ACATGTTGATTCTTGCAATTGTGCTATTCCTATGTTTGTCTTACTTGACTAAGAATTGAGAATTCTGGAAACGGAGCTGGCGGGTGCTATTTGTATCTTGAAAGGTGGCACAGCTGGCAAAACTGTTGATAATTGCCGACGGGGTTGCTCTGGAGTCTTAGCGGCATTCAGACTCAAGTACATCGCCTATTGTATCATGAAACAGGATATGACAATGCATAGCTCGGTTACTTTGTCTTGATAGAAGTCCAGGTGGTGTCACGAGCTCGGTGATATCCGACTCCGGCGGGAACAGGTATCTGCAGGGCGTCAACTTTGTTATTTGTCTGGTTGAGACTTCCCAGACGTAGTTTGGTGGAGCTGAAATATCCCCCTGAAACCTGCATTAGTGTGATTGTGACGGACGGGGTTCTGGATGGGTTCCAGTCGCCTAAATATGTCAATTCCTTCAGGTGGTGTGGGGAAAGATTCTCGGCATTTTTTTGCTAGCGGCTCCCTGTGGGTCGAGTGACCACATATTGTCATATTCTCAGCTGCACAATAGCTCGGTTCTTCGGCATTACCGAAGCCTCTGAACCAGTCTGACTCTATTTCTCTCGGGGTGGTACTTCCTCTCACAATATTTAAACACTTAGGCGTTGTTCAATATTTTGTCACATGCCCTTGACATGTCGTGCCACTATCTGCATAGGACGTCTGGCAAACAAAAGATCAGATACACAGGAGCAGGAGTACCATGCCGAGGTAAAGTCATGAACTCATCACAACTAGAAGTTCAAAGCAAATACATAACAAGTCAGAGTGTGAATAGAAATCAAGCAATTTGATTGGTAAAGTTTAGAAATTGAAAAGTCAAAGTTGAGCTATAGAACGAGAATTGCGCAGCAATTGTAAGCAAATATGCAGTTTGAGACGGGCCATACGACTTGGAATTATTGTATAGAAGATGAAGTTCAAGCGAACAAACTCAAAGAAATGACGGTCGGACCAAAATGTGCTTCAGTTGGAAGATAATCCTCCTCGCAAATACTTACTCTACTGCTCCACTTCCGGATCGATTTCTACGCTCCAGACTAGCGCAAAAGGTTGGACATCGGCCATCATGGTTCCTCCTACTGCAACATTGAATGCCACAGTCGCCTCTCTTTTCAGATTCTTCCAGACAATTTGTTCAACCGTGTTGACCCCGTCAGAAGGAGCGGGATCAATATTCTCCTGCTCACCCATGTTGCCATATCGGACGCGGCGGTCTTGACCTGGGATTTCAACAGTTGCTGACAGGTTAAGGTTGTTCTGCAGCAGCGCTCCCGCAACATCTGTGTAGACCATAGTCACCTTCAAGGTTGCGGATGGTGTAGAAGCATCCATATAACGATCCATGTTGAAGGAAGTTGTGAATTGATCCTTCAAGTCCTCATCCGCGACTTCAGCTTCAAGAAAATCGCGGTTGAGGGTCTTTCCCTTGAGAATCATCGACCTAGCTAGATCGACCCGACCAAAGCCTTGAAGCTCTCGCTTATTTCCGGTGTCCACTGCACCGTTGATAAGAAGGGCCTTAAGTAGAGCAGCGCTGGGGTTTGGGAGGCCGTTTGCAATAAGCATCTCGCGCAGTACAGCCACGCATCCGGCAACCAAGGGAGTGGCCATGCTTGTGCCAGACAAGAACTGCCAAAGCTTATCATCGCTTTTTCCAAATGTGCTTATTGGCTGAATGGCCCGCGAAGCAGTGGACAAAATCATTCCTCCAGGTGCTACAATGTCGGGTTTGATACGGCCCTCCCTGGTGGGTCCCCGGCTGCTGAATCCGGAGATTTTGTCAGGGTCTCCTTTGACTAATCCCTTGGCATCATACACCTGACAAGTGTAATCTCGGGAAGATCGCAGATTCTCGCACGAGCCCACGGTGATGCAGTTCTTTGCAGCTGCCTGTGCACCAATGTGGCCCTTGGGGGTCGCTGCCCTGCCACTGTTTCCAGCAGCGAAACACACGACAAGGTCTTGATGACTCCAGACAAAGTTGTCAAGCTCTTCTGAAGCATTGTTGTAGGGTAATTGGCCTCTCCAGTCCCACTCAGGACCCCATGAATTAGTGTGAATCCGAGATTCATGGTTCTCATAGGCATCTCGCAGAAGGTCCCCCAGCGTTTTACCGGACGAACCGAAAAGTTTACCGTCATCTGTGAGGAGGGCCTGAACAACCAATGTTGCCTCGGGTGCAGCTCCTTGAATAGAGCCACCCATAGCGTCTGACTTGCCGTTTCCCAGGACCGACCCACAGACATGGGTGCCGTGGCCGTTTGTGTCACTTGTTAAGTTTGTCCGTCCAACTGGAATGAGATCGCGCACTCTGTTGGCGAAGGCAGGATGCGTATTGGCCTTGTCTCCCATGTCAAAGCCGGTATCAGCAACTGTGACAACTTGGCCTTTTCCTTTGTAATATGTAGGACTGCCAACCCCGGAATCCCCAATATCAGCATGGATGATATCCCGAGCGACGTTGTTAAGCAACGTTAGGTTATGAACCTCCTCAATAGCCCCAACGCTATCAATCTTTGCAATCTCCAACAAGTCTTTCGGGGAGACTTGTGCTCGAATAATAGAGCTATCTGCGCGGACACTCATATTCTCCGGAGAGATGCCGGTGATTTGACTGATTTCTTGCATCAAGGCCTCAACAGATTTGTCGGCAGCCTGATGCAAAACGAGGTCCACTGATTTTGGCTCGTCATGGAATTCATAGTCGCTTTGGGTCTTCAGACTTGGAGGAAGCTTCAGGAGAGGGGAAAGGACTTGGACATTTTCAATAAAATCTTGTTCCCTGATGCGATCGATATCGGTAGGCTCGTAACGGCACTTGAAGGTATTGTCGCCAAGAAACTGCTGTACTTGGATGTGCAACTCAGAGAGAATCCGCTTCTTGGATCGATCCAGAGGACCAGTCAACTTGACCAGAATGTAGTTTGATTCAGTAATGCTGGGCCTCAGATCAAAGGTGCTGAGCGACGAGAATCCAGAATTCTCAGACAGGGAGAATTTGTTTCCGTTGAGGTAAGACATGGTGAATCGATGAGAGTAAAGCAGCAAGAAGCGATATCACAGAAAGAATATGCCAAGTCGAGTTTTGGCCACCAGCCCGTGTTATTCTGCGTCTTTATATCGCTTCGTCAGGCCAAATATCATATTCAAGTGATTCAGCTCGCTCTTCTTCATCGGGCTATTCCCATGCCTGAAACCTGTCAGCTGGACGCTGGACTTAGTGCGCTTGGCCATTATTTCAAAAAATGGACTTGCTCGGTCGGATATTTTGGCTTTCGTTGTTCAATTTTACAGCTGTGAGTGTATGCTACGGCCCCACAAAATTCAGTCGCCTATTGTTGCCGGAAAATTATATGTAGGAAAGGCAACTATTCGTTCGTACCTAAATTGGGATAGCGCTCCTTTTGGCAAGGAAAAAAAACGGGAATATGGCGTCCATGCAGATACTACTTGCTTCAGCTGAACCTTCATGATTTCTGTCACCTCTCTGCGTAGATGCGTAGGGTGGGGATGTACTTATTACAGAGCCTTCGATAGAAGATGTTTTTTATAGCATATAGCTGGACAGTAGGCACAGAGATTACAGGCTCAGGTTGACTGGTCTTTATAATATCCTGCGAGAAAGCATACTCGACGAGATCTATGCTTGGTAATATTCCATGCTTGGTGATATCCCCAGTAGGGATGGCAGCCACGTTTGCCATATCTCCACAAAATTTAATTTGAAGCAGGCAGGAAGTAAGCCAGGTATGCAAGCCACCGGAGCCTGCATAGGTGATAAAATCAAGCATGGCGCGACTGCAAGGCTGAGTAGAGAACATGTTCGCAGTTTGCACGCGGGCGCAGCGCCCCCGACCGAACATGTGGACTACGCAGGTACCCACCGCAGGCCCGGCCCGGGTATGATAACCACATTTATTACCACGGGTACGGCAGCCACCAAAGTGCATGTGGCGTTTTCATTAGTTTTAACGGCAGAATTCCTGATTTGGCCACATTGCTGCCTGCAACCCGGCCAAGATCAATCTCGAAGAGTTCTGATTTTGCCAATCAGGCCCACGATTTTGATGGCCTATCTCTCATACGTTTTATATGCGAATTGAATGAATTGAACTGAATTGAATCGAACTGAATTGAATCGAACTGAATTGAATTGAACTGAATTGAATCGAACTGAATTGAATCGAATTACATACGATTTGAACCNTGTATTTTTTGATCTGAAAATTGGATTGATAAGCTGCATAAGGGGCACATGACTACCTATAAGTAGATAATTAAGCGAGAATTATGCTAGTGCGGATATCCGCAAGATATCCTCATGTCCTCGCGGATATCCATGGATATCCTCATTAAGGATATGGTATTAAAGTAATGTCCGTTATCCTCAATGTGCGGATATGGTATGTGACCCAATATCCAATGGAGAGGATATGCCGCAGTCTACACTTCGGTATGGTTCCTTGTGCATCCTTCGAAGGGCAATCCCGAGACTAATAGCCCTCCGCACAGTACACACATCTCACGTTGTTGGCACAGGTGGCTCCTATGTGTCCAAATTGTTGGCAGTTAAAACACTGGCGTACGCGCGCGTCCCGGTCGTATAGGACCACTAAGTAGAGTGCGCCAAAAACCGCAAAACCGCAAAATCGAACCAACCCAAACCGCAAATGGGTCGGTTTTTGGGGCCAATACTAGAAACCATTATGGTTTTTGGTTTTTTAGGTTCAAACCGCAATGGTTCTTGGGGCCCCAATGGGTTGTCAAACCAGACAAACTGGGCGGGTCCTTGTCATTGCATATTTTGTGCAGTTTTGCTCTGTTTCTCGGGGTATTAAAATTATAGATAGATGACTTTTTCGATAATCTACATTTTGAACGTACGTGAAATAACTTCTTTACGCCATAGCACTACATTTATGATAGCCGGCCAATTCAGGTTTAACTCGCTATAGTATTCATCGCTAATAATACGTATATAGATCCTCATCACGTCTGATCCGTTTCCGAGCTCGTACTGAAGCACGTATCTGAGTTCTTTCCTCCTGATTTAAAGGAAGAGGAGGGTCGTCATCATGATCGATCATAACTTGCATCTCTTCCTCTTCCTCTTCCTCTTCATGGGTTTGCTCTTCTTCCGTATCACTAATTGGATCGACGCTGACTGTATCGGGCGTGCTTTCCTTCTCTTCCTTTGACGCTTCGATCTCATCGCGAGTGAAGAACTCCTGTAGGAACTCTGCCTGTTCCTCCGCGATCTCGAACTTTGAAGTACAAAGAAACATCATTAACTCCTGTATAGTTGTTGCACTTAATCTTCCACGGCGATAATGACACATATCTCGAGCAGTATTGAATAGTCGCTCAACACCAGCACCAGTCGCAGGGACTGAAAGTACATCTCGTGCAAGGGCTGCAAGAGTAGGGAAACGATGGGCATTCTCCCTCCAAAACACCAAAGGCGATATATCTATAGTGGCTTATAGGTAATCAATATCATATCTAGTAAAGCGGTTAAGAATACATACCACTATCAAGATATTGCGAAAGCTCATCGCCTGCTACCTCACAGCGGGGACGTTTCGGCTTAACCATCGAGTCAAGACGCGATATTCCTCCCCCCGACGAAAGAGATAGAGGAGATGTTTGTTGCTGGGCAAGACGTTCTTTATATACAATTAGGTGGTTCTCGAGAGACTTCCGGTATATCGTACGCCAACGATCATCCCAATCATCTGTTTGAAAGAACTGGAACTTATTCGCTGGAGCAAGCATAGTGGTGATTGCGTAAAGATGCCCTCGTACGTTATCTGTCTCAGAGTAGTACTCATCAAGCTTCTTTCGAGCAGCTTGTAACGCCTGAAGCATCTGTCGCTTCCAGGTAGTTCTCTTCCGCGTAAGCTGGGTGATTGATAGCTCAAGGTGCTCAAAAAGCTTGTTGTAAATCAGAAAAACATGATGTGTGGTCGCATCCCGCGTTTTTGACAGTTCAACTGTGAAATCAAAGAAGGGTTGGGTGATAAAGAGAAGGTAGTCAACCTGGCGCCATTCTTCATCATCGAGGACCATATCAGGCCGCTCATACTCATCACAGAATGGCTGGAAGAACGATCGCAGGCGCTTTGCACGTCGAAGCATTAGGAACGTGGAATTCCAGCGTGTCTTAACGTCTTGGAGTGGCATCAGCTTTATGGTTTCGCCTTGTAGATTGTAGAAGGTCTCTCGGCGTTGAGGGCTTGCATTTATATAGACAGCAAGGTTTCGAATCTAGAGGTAGTGATTAGTGTAAGAAAATAAACGCCACGTTATATAGGTATATACCTTAGATAGTGTGTTGGCAATATCTTGCTTAGTTGTATTCGCACGAGCTGACTGGGATCGCTGCTCTGTCCACCGTGTCTCTGTTGATTCATTCTGCGGGCAAGCCTTAATGTGCCCAAGAAGCTCATTTAGACTTAGCTGAATCACATGAGCAAGGCATGGAACCCGAATAAGGGTAGTGTCCTCTGATATTGCTTGCTGTAATGTATCAACTAATGTTTGGTTATTTGATGCATTATCGGTTGTGATAGCGAAGACCCGATCTTCAATCTTATGTTTAAGAAGAATATCGAGGAGTATAGCACTTAAGTTAGCCCCAGAGTGTGATCCATGAAGCGGTTCGAAACCGAGAAGAACCTCACGGTATTGCCAGTCCTTATTGATAAAGTAGCCAGTTATAGCCATAAATGCCTGTGTAAAAGGCGAGGTCCAGCAATCGAGCGCAATTGAGATCTTTGTATCATCCGGAAGCGTTCTTAGGATATCTTCCTGTTGTTGTTGTACGGAGGATTGTAGGCGGCGTCGTATAGTCTTTGCTGAAGGGATCTCAGGGACCTTTGGCGCGGACTGGGCCATCTGGATTAAACGATAAAACGTAGGATGCTCAATCAGCCGAAAAGGGAGACGCGCGACCGTAAGAAGTGTAAGAAGCTCTCGCTCCCATTTCTCTTGACTAAACTCGTCGGCGATCGGTATATTCTTACCACAAAAGCTAGTAATTAGATATAAGTAATTTAAGATCTTGAGATAAGGAACATACCTTTGGCTGTAGATATCGTGTGATATTCGACCGCTCACCCTGGGAAGCTCTAATACAGCCTGCACTTATAAGGTGATTCTTCATGGTTGAGGTTCCTTGACGCTGTTTCCTCCCATCCTTTGTTATACGGGCGAAGTTTGGATGCTCAAGAATTTGTCCACAGCGCTTACACATAACCTTTGCAGCACCATCTGAGCTATGGGCGACCTGGTGAAAAGCATCCCATGTGCTAGACTGATGTTTCGCGTCCCAGGGTATGTGGCCCTTCTTACCAAACCCTGTCTCGAGCCACCAGCTTACCCAGTCATTATGGAGCATTTCGTCGTATAGAACATAGGCCTTCTTGCGATCAGGGCCAACACGCGTAAGCGATAGAGGGATTGTAGGGGGTAGGGACGGTCGGAGGAAATCCGTATCGAAGGAAGGTAATGTTTCCTGACTCTCAGATAGATCAGGCGTAAAAGGATGATTACGAGGAGTGTAATTGTCGAAATCGCTGTCGTAGATTGACGAGGAGAACGGAGATTGCTGGTTTTGAGACATAATGAGATCAAAAACACAGCTACTGATGGTAAATGCTAAGAGGGAAGAGTCTGACTTACACAAATTGTAAGGATTCTATATGGACGCGACCGATAAACAAAGGATCCCTAAGTGAATTGATACATCGCGATTAAATAATTAAACTAAGCCGCTAATTGGATGTTAGTAGCTTACCATGTGGGTCAAACCCATTTCAAACCACCAGAAACCGCAATAAACCATTATAAACCACAAGAAACCATCAATAAACCGCAAGAAACCATTAAAAAACCGCAAGAAACCATTGAACTTTTTTCCGCCGAAAAACTATCTCCTTTGTGACTGACCCAGCTGGCATTTCTCTGCCTAAGGCAATAATCCAGTGGCCAGGTCTATTTTCAGGTAGAGGTCCTACTAATTTTACAGGCTTTTGGGAATGGGAGGTAGGTTTTCTTTGGAAGTGGTGTGTCCCGATGGAAAGGGTCTTCGGCAGAAAACAGGTGGAAAGGTCTAATGCACACACACAACAAAGAGGTATGCAAAAGATAGGATTGAAGAGAGACGGTTCATGAGAAGGCACGTAGTCAGCTTGATTGACAAAGAAGAAGGGTTATGTCAAGTATGCTCGAGAGCAGTTCTCATGTCATGAAGAGATGTCAAACTTGATTCAATTTAGTTAGAAAACATGGTGATACTTATATCGCGGGGTACACGGCAGAATGACAAATAAAATAGAAGGAACATCCTTGGAGTGTTGAGTAGTCTCCTGCCTAGGTAGGCCATTGCATGTAAGTGTATGCAATTGTATGTAAGATCGTTGAGGATCAATCTGATCGATCTCGTCGTCCGACGAGGAGGTCAAGTCATCCAATGAGGGGTAAGAAAAGTGGGTCCTTGGTCGCATCTCGACCGCACAAAGGGAAAGCCCCGCATTTGCCATTCAGATGCATTTCAATTCAGCATGCATCTACCACACATGCTGACACAGGCTATATACGTTATAATTATTAAATTAATATTATCTTTGCAAGTAAGATAATTCGCAATTGATTAGTACCAATTATAGCCTTATAGCACCTTTAGTCATAAACTTGTAGGGAAAACGTAGTGATCATAGAGAGGTATACGTTCAATACGTACGTCAAATATATATTCTCACAACCAAACATTGAGGAACATCTAATACCTAATATTTTCAACCACATATCGTTCAATATACTTAAAAGCGAAAGAGTAAATCATTACCTCTACTAATCAATCTATATACAAGTGAATTACTATCGATTTCATAGCTTGGGTGTAGAAAAAAAGGATCAAGTATAATTATAAACAATACAAAGTTTAAATGACAGTAATATATTAGTATGAATCAGCAGCTTTATGTATGCCAAGACCTGGATTTTATGCAAAAATGGTTTTTGTTGGGGCCCCATTGGGGAACCGCAATGGTTTGTGGGTTGAGTGCGGTTTGGGTTTTGGGGGTAAGTTTTGCCCCCAATTGCGGTTTTTGGCGCAGTCTACCACTAAGAGACTGTTGCAGTCCCACAGTGCCCCCTTATCTATCGCCATATTCGCTAGCAGCGGCGAGGTAAACTCCAGGATCAGCGAGCCGGCCTTCTTGCCCTCTAGTATACGCAGCCAGTGTTACGGACCTCAAAGAGGCGCGGGGGCCGCAGCTATTTGAGTAGCAACCGTGAGCCAATCTGACAGATCCTAGTGTATCGGGGGCTGATCCACATAGGACGAAAGGGGACTAGGCAGTAGCTTCCTCTTGGTCATAGGATCCTACTGTCTAGGAAANCCCCCTTCCTGTTAGCACTCTCGCCTATATCTTCCTACGCAGAGGTTGGCCTCGGTGAACCCGGCGGAGGATTTCACACTAGCTTAGAGGATTTGGTTTCGGTGGCCCCGAGCAAGTCAGCTGTTCGGTCAAAGAGACCGCTTCGTGCTTCTTCTCTAGTTCGCCGTAGCTAGCGGAGGGTCTATTGCAGCCAGTGTGAGATCCTCCGCTAAATATACCCAGCGTAGACTCCTAGTCTTTTTGGCTCCTCATAAAGGCATAAATCCTCTCTAGCGACCGGGGCCGCCGTTAGCTTCCTTAGCTATTATAGTTATGAAAGCCCTATTAGCTCTTTCGCGGCGTAGTACATTAATGACTTCAACTTTGTATACTCCGTAGGTCGAGCTCGAGCGATTGGAAGCGTTATCCTGGCGGCAGGAAGGAGATTGCAGAGAGAAAGATGCGGGGAAAAAAGCGGGTAGATTCGCATCATAAGGACCCGCAGAGATTACTTAATAAGTTCATGCCTGATTTCTAAGACAGTGAAATCAAGCGGTGTAAAAGGCGGGATGAAAACTCCACTTGCACTTTGGTGACACTTATCGGCTGCCGTACCCGTGAACATGTTGCCCCGCTTCTTTTCATGCCACTAAGAGATATCACAATCCATCACAATCTACCACAGCGTATCACATCAATCACAACCATCACTGAAGCTAGAAGATACACACCATCTACTGTGATGAGTGCACCATTACGTATAGTATATACTAGCCACAAATTTATACGCCGTATAGGTATATTCTTGCCGATGTAGTATGACTATTCAAGGAGAGCCCTTTCCCCACTGTCTTCTGGATTCAACGGGGAGGCCGGGGGCTCTCGCTAAATATTACTATGAGCTAAAGGAGACATTGTATTGAGATCTCTTGGCTATGGGGCTCCTGATCCACTACGTAGTTCTGAACAAGCTCGCCAAAAATGCCAGCAATACACAAGCAGCAACCTATTCAGCTGTGGCTGGTCGTCACTTCTCAATCAACTTCCTGAAATGACGAAAGAAATCATAGATATGTCTCAGTTAGGAAGACAAACTCGTCACTATGCTCGCTAGATCCTATTCTGTGAACCCTCTGGTTGGCCTAAAGATACTCGCTAGAGATGTCGCAGATACAGCGGGGAGTCATCTCAGCTGGAACTTGCTTCCATCTCCACTTTGGCGCTTCAAGAAGACTGGAGGCTGGCTGAGAAGAGTTGGGGTATCACAAGCGAGTGTGCTAAGGGCGGAAATTTGGATTGGAAAGGGAGATTGATGCTGGAGTAGCTCGCAGCAGAGTGTTCCTGGAAAGTATATATAAAGTGCCAATTCTTTCACCCAGAAATGAACTCTGCATCCGCAATCATTATCTTGAAAACAACCACCATCTATTCAGTCCTTCTGAGTATTTATCTTATTTGAGCTCTTTTGCAAGCCAATTCTCCACAACCTCAAATCATTTCTCATCATCTCCTTCTACATTCATCATGTCTGCCCCCGTCGAAACCCTGGACGCAAGCTGGAAGAAGGCCTTGACCAGCGATGTTGCTGTGCTCAAGTTGGCATCTTCCGAGGGTAACGTGGGTTTCCTCTCCATCTTTTCCGAGAAGACCCTCATGAACCTTCAAGCGGAGACCTCCTCTCTTCGCCAGGATCTGATGGCAATGGACATCAACACCATGTACAACAACTCGGACATCTACCAGAGGCTCAGCCAGAAGACGACTGAGGGCCTTCAACAGACCCAGGACGAAGCTGAGCGAGTCAAGCGCAGCCTGGAAGAGAAAGCGAATGGCCCTGACGCCAAGGATGAAGGTAGCTGGAAGGATCAGCTGCGCAAGACTGTTGAGGAACAGAAGAAAAATAGCGAGAAGCGTTGGGATGATTTCCTCACTCTCGGTCTCGCGGAGATTGAGAAGCTTCCACCAACGATGCGACCTGGTGCAGCAACCACCTACTCGGCTGGCCTGAGTGCTATCGGTGCATTCGCTGGGAAGATCGTTGACACGCTGAAGGGCTTTGTCAGCCGTATCAGCGAGTTCGTCAGCAAGGCCTGGGAGAAGATCAAGGAATTCGGACAATCTGTCTACAACTGGGCCTCCGGCGCATGGAACAGCGTCAAGGGAATCTACGGTAGTATTTTCTCTGTTCAGGGTCTCTCTACTCAGAGTCTCGTTGCTCAAAGCACCCTTTCTCCTCCGAATTCGAACGGCGAGCTTGGTCCTCGCACCCTGAGAAAGGTTCTTAGTAATGTGGCATTGAATGGAGCCGGTGACTCGGAAACGGTCATGGTACCCGCCGGTTTGCTCCGCAGTCTGGCCGAGTTCCTGTGGTAGACTTATCTGTCTCCATGCGACTTGAATGTTCGATTCAAGGCGACGAACCAGTCTAGCCGAGGTTCAAAGTGGAACAGTCATGGAGACATTACAGGTCCCTTCAAGTTGATCATTGTCGGACAATTTGCTGTCATTCAATTTTGTGCTTTATTCTACCATGCTCTGTTGGTTCAATAGTCCGTTAGCTTACACAAATACACGTATCCATTTTTTGTCTTTCTGCACTTGTTACTGGAGATTTATTGTGTCAAATATTTATATTTCACTAATAATAGTGAAGCGAATCCGAGCTCAACGCAGTAAAAAAATCACCCCAGCGGTTATAGGCGTTCCGCAAGGACGCTATCGATTCCCAAATTGCAACATCCAGAATAAGGTTGCTGTTCCCAATGCCTTGGTGTAGTTGAGCAGAGATGAAACCTGGTTGTGATTTCATGAGGTGGCCGTCTTTCGTCCACATAGCTAACACTCGCTCGTGTTCCCTATTAGGGACGATCACGGTATCCATAAGTACAATTGGCCCTCCCTCTTCCTCCTCCAGCTGCAAGACGAAGGAGACCGAAGGGTCAATGTTGCCGAAAGTTGCCATTATAGCTCAACGCTGATATTCGGGAAATTCGAGGGTAACTGTGATGCTGTGAATGCTACTCGGATTACTCAAATACTTATACTTAGGCGAAATTCGGAGGGAGACTAGAAATGGAAGCAGCCTTGCGTATTCCGACTGCCAATGTCCCGATCGGAGCAACGAGCCTTGCGGGACCAGCTCCAGGGCCATGCAAAGTCCCACCTACCCTCAAAGTTTCTTCCCCAAATTTTTGCATTCTTCACGGCTCACAACGGTTTCTACTCATGATTTGTGGGTCGGAAAAGCTCGTGCTGATAAGAATGACTGGCTATGCACGGCTTTTGCGGACTTTGCAGCTTCCGTCGTTAGGCTCAGGAATCGGTGCTAGGATTCAGTTTCATACTCACTTGCAGGGAGGCACCGTGTTTGTGTTGTGGTCATTTCTAAATGCAGAGGAAGGTGAAAGGGATGAAATCAAGGCTTGAATGCGTGAGAGACGACGAATTATCACCTAAGGCAAGGAAATGGCTCTCATGGGGCGTTGATTGATTGGCAGTGTGAGGAAACCCCAATAAAGCTACTCGCTTTATTACCCACTCCTGCTGCGCGAGGGTCCCCCATCCCAACCATTTTGCATCACTGAATAAGTAGATAGCCAATCTCTCATGCTAGAATCCCACCAATACCAAGTCATTTGTTTGGAATATTCAGAACAATATAGGTATTGCCCAGCCCTAATGCTCTTCGGCTTCGCTACACACTTCATCTCCGGCAGATTCCCCCTTGTAGTACGGTCACCACTAGCCAAGAACCTTCAGATTATCAGCTCAATTCACTAATTACTTAATGCGATTAACTTAGGTAGATTGCACTATCACAGTCGTCTGGTGGGCTTGCCATATGCCAACTCGTGTGCGGAGCGAATCTCGCGTAGGTAAGCTGAATTCTCAAGTTCTGCCCAGCAATGTATGAGACCTCCGTTACAGCGTTTTCAAGCTGTGCGCGACAAGGCTTGTGCTCTAGGCATAGAGAATTATCTTCCAAACGTTCCTTAGGCCGTCTCGTGCAAATTTAATGAGACGATCTTCACTTCAATTGTTGCTGGGAGAGAGAGGATATCGCGTGCTGCATGAGGATGTTCTTTCCCGCAGTCTGGTTGAAGACAGGTTGCATCATACTTCGAAGAGAACAGTGCAAATTGATTTCACAGATGACTGGGATGTGGCCTGGGGAAGGCCCAGCCAAACGCATGGACAACAGAAGTAAGGGCGGGCCAGGAGAGGGCCCAACAAGACTAGCGACACAGTGCAACAATCGAATATTGTTTTTTGTAAATCTTTGTGCTTGAAGAAGGGATCAAATCTTTCAAAACGAGGAATAGGGTGATTTATTGTCGGGACATATCCTTCCATGAGAAGCAAAGCCAACATGTTAGTGCTTGGCTTACATACCCTTGCGCTTAACCGCAATTTCTGCCATACATTGTTCCGGGATAAGGAGTCTACATGAATTAATTGACTTTCGCTTTGGAAGCATACATACCGCCCACTTAGCTGTGTACACAGTACCTAACAGGTGATACCTTTTTTTATCAAACCCTCGCTCCTTAGAGTTTTAGAGAACGTTTGGGAATGGCGTAGCAGATGATGAATTCTAAGGTCGTATAGTGGAAATCGCGTCAACCACTACATCTCCCCACGCCGTTATGAGCCGAGGACTACTCCGCGATAGATCGGACCTTTAGCCCGCATTCAAAGCCATAGATGTCGACCTGGGTGGCATCTAATCATGAGAATTATGTTTAACCTATTAACCTAAAAGGTTTAAGATTGCCAATGCCTGAAACTTCGAAACTAGCAATCTGGACGCCCATTATTGGAGGCATTTGTCGGTGTTTAGACGTCGGTCCGAAGTCGCCGTACCATGGATTGGAGAGTAAATACAAGTAAAGTATAGTACGAGAGGAAGTAGATGTTCATGCGGATTAGCTTCTTCATTGATTGATAGACAAAAGGAATACAACCAGGGCCTTGCCTAGGCCCTATTAGCATGATAGTAGTAAGATCGCAGCTTACGCACAATAACCCTGCATGCATTTTACCAGATCCGTCGCAGATGCCTTAAGGCAGGAATGTGGGAAGAGACACAATGGGCTGACCGGTTTTCTTTGATATATTGATGATTAGTTCATACCAATGATCCTTTTTGTGGCTGTATCTTCGCCCTGTGCAAATTACTTCGGGAGAACCGGGATTAGCGGCTTTTGAGTTTCTTGGATTTCATTATTTATCTAGTAGGACGGAATTTTTACGGAATACCTCCCGAAACCGAAACTACAGCCAATTCTTCACAGATCACTCGATGGTTGTCACGATTTTCGGATGAACTCCTTTGTTCCTAGTGATCTGCCTCTTGGCTCCTTAGTTTGGGACATTCACGTATCTTCCATCATTGATAGTATTAGTGAATGATACTGAATGCTCGAGATAAGGTTGCATGGCCGATCAGTTGGCCGTGTGCTCTCTGAATCGCGAAGCCCAGTAATCTTGCCCAGATTTTATCATTGGATACCTGAGGACTGAAGTGAGACCAATGTCCCCACGACGGTTTTGACTCCTTTCTGCAGGTCCGGGGAAGAGATACCAGAAACCTACGATCTACAGTAGTCAATATATGCAAGGCGCCTGGGGAAAGACAAGAGGACAGTTTATTGTTGAAGCCACCGGGATGGTTTCACCATGTGGTAGGTAATGCTGAATGCTGGGACACAGTTGGCCTCAAGGACAATGCACTGTCTTTTAAGACGTCTAGATCTTTCTTGGACAAAATAGAATTTAATGATGCTGCCCGGAGTATCCTCCATTGCATGTCATCAGCGCGACGATTGACAAACGTCAACCGTTTCAAACAACCCCGGAAACGGCTGGAATAGGCCAAATACATCGATAAATTTAAGTCCCATGAAGCAATGACCATGTCCATTGTTCTCGAAGTCTTTTTCTAAGGAGGAGAATCTCACAAGGCATGTCCAAGTATGCTCTACAGAGAAGCCATTCATCTGTAAAGAACGTAGCAAGCCATTCGGTGGCCGGTAATTCTACTGGGCAAGAAAATGGATGCATTCAGAGTTATTAAGACAACGTCAGTAATTCACTTCCTCGCCATCTCAGATGCCATAAGCCCGAAGATGCTATCTCTCCCCTGGCGCCCATTTCCATCAACTTGGCCATCATAAAAATTGATGTGGAAGGTTATACAGGGGATGCACATGACCAGACCATGCGCAATCGATGCAAATTAGACCAAGAATCAATGGTGGTTTCGACAAACGTCCTTCTATTGCGGAAACTGAAAGCGTTGAGATTACTATGAATTCAATTTTTACCATTTCGACAGAGCATCGCCGTATCACAAATGATATCATGCGCTAGTTTGCATATACGCGAGTTAACCTTGTCTCTATTCTTACCCAGCCCATGACGGAGCGGAGAGTCGACCATAAGTGACACAATTCGACCAATAACTGGACTTTTAGATTCTGGTCAGAAGCGTCGATGTGGTTTGCTCAAGATAAATGCGACTTGAATGCGCTCAAATCCGCCATTATGCATCTGTCAACCAGGTTCTGCCATGTGATCATCCAGATAATGTGACTGAGCCAGCAGAACAGCAGATTCAAATACCAATTTGTAATATAGCGCCCGCTATGGAGGACGCCGTTCAGAAAAAATGGTACTTCTATACTAGATGTCACAATTCGGATATAATACATCTGACTTTGGGAATCACTTCATGGAAGAAAACTCTGTAGTAAATGTCAACATCTAGATCGCGGTGTGACTATGTCATATCATGACAAACATTCCATGTTTATATACTAATATCTCCGAGACTTTACTACCACGGTTTCTCTTAGACCGAAAATCTCACATTATAGTATTACCTAGCAAGAATATCTACTTAGAATATATACTTCATGTTACGCTGGGGCCCGATCGAAAAAGATGAACTCGTGACTGACGGATAATACAAGAATAAGAAACTGTCCAGCCGAGACATGTGGTAGTTTACCAGCTGAAGAGCTGAAGAGCTAAAGATGACACAAACAATCTGCAAGTCCTGAATAAACGGTGGTGGGGATCGTGAACTGAAAGAACTGTTTTGTAGAAACCATTCGGCCGGCCTATATACTACCGGAACGAACACATCAAAGAGCTAGTGCAACCATACCAACCATTGCCCCAGCAAGTGGGAGAAGACTCCTGAATGAGTTCAACTTTTTCCATTTTTCGAGTAGGTATTTAGCCTGCTCACTGTCGCGGTCCAGGAGCTCCTCCTTTGAGGCCGCCAATCTGAGAAGGGCATTGTTGGTGCTAGACATGGCAATCAAGGTATATGGCACAATGCTCAATGTCAAAATAGCGGCAACTGAGAAGAGGCCAATGCGGCTGTAGGCAGTTTGCTGAAACAGTGGGGGTCTAGAGTTCACTGACCAGGCACTGTAGATGAATGAGGCAGCTACCACTATCGCCACCGGTGGATTCTGCGTTTTGCCAGCCTCATACACATTCTTCCACTGCCTGACGATAAGTTTGGAGGTTGCGTTATGTTCATCTCGCGACCGAACTAATCCAGGTACGGCATTCATACTCAAGGCAGCGATATTTCCTATCATTTGAACGGGCATCAATTCACATAATGTTCAAGAGAGCTCTCAGCTAACCAGTGAAATCCCGTACCTGAAAGCCATGCTGCCCCCGCAAGACCGAGGAAGTGCGCTGCGCGAACGGCGATGGGAGTCGAAGCCATGCTGTAACATGCAGGGTGCTTGAACTGATTCTCTTGATCGGGTTGTTAGACGTGACAATGTTCTAACAGCGGGCAGCGCAAGGTAATATTATAGATAGAACACGGGGAAATAGGGTTATCTATTTTATACAAAGATGAACAGAATTAATCGTGACGCAAAAGGAATTCTCGGCCGGTGCCACAGGACGTCCAAAGCCGCTTTCGGTTGGTCCAAATTCCCGATGGTTCCGGGGATCCACCCTAGTCGGCTTTTGCCGGACTTTTGTACGGCAAAGGTGGATCCACGAGGAGGGAGATACAGTGGATACCCTAAACTGAACCACGCAACAGATCTCTGCTTGATTGTTCTTGTGTTTTCTTTGACAAATTATCTTGACATTTTGTATTTTCCATCCCCAATATTGGAGGTGTTACTTATCCTCTATTCTCGATCGCCCCACAATGGCGTCACAGGGTGCATACTGATGTCTTCCAAAACGTCAAAACGATGGGAGTTATAAAATAATATTAGCCAGAAAAAAGCTATACAGAGAGCATTTCAGAATTGAGCCAGCGCTCATAGAAGTCTTTCAAAGACCCCAAGCTGTCATGTGCAAGGGTGTATTGACTTTCGCCCCGAAGTCACCCTTTTCGAGCTCTTAGTCGGTGCGCTCTTGTGCTACAATGCAAGAGTGCATTGGAAGCGAATTCGTAACAGCGGAAATAATGTATGTACTTTCTATAACAAGCGCAGTTAACTGGAAATCAATTTGGACTTTGCTTTGCATATGTATCTCATCAGAAACAATAAAGAATTGACTTCTTTATAAGTTATCACACTCTTGATTGTCCGCAAGGTCGGCGCCAGCGTTGAGGGGAGGACACGTACTACGAGGTTCACAAGTCTCGATATTTGAAGCTCAAATCCTCTTTCGACATGAGACTTGTCGGCCTCAAGACAAAAAATTGGCGACAGTTGGGACACGGAAAATCAAATAAATCGGGTGACGAATATTGAATATGAGCTGTTGTAGGTACTTTCAAGAATTGTACTTCATCAAGGCCGAAACGTAGGAGCAGGACTGCCTCAAACATAAATAACTTTATTCTTCAGCTAGAGGGGGCTTGGTGAGGGTCTACAAGGCGGCCTGCAGAACTAGGAATCCATCTCTGTTGTCATACTGGTACCAATAGATACAGGCCCCTAGCTTGCAATTTATGTGAGCGTAACATAACAAAGATTGAGCTGTGCGGGTTTATAGTATCTCCCAATAGGAGAATCTGGAATTTGTCCACGTGACCGTGCTAGTAAGCAATAATGTCGAAACACATAATACTGGTAGACCAAAACTGTGCCATAGTTAACTATGCAACATTCTTAGTCATACGGGCTTTGTTGTTGTTCGACAAATGATCATTCGGAAATACTGCTTAGTAACTCTACTACGCACCAATTGGTTATCAACAAGTCTGGATTGCTATAAAGCCCTTGGTTGGCAACCTAGTTGACTTTGTGGGCATAATAATGACTAATAAATGCGGTTCTATGGGTTAGAATCTCCGTTCTCCGGTTTCCACTGCTGCTACTGTTCCGACATGATCGCATGGGCAGAGAAGGCTCAGACGGCAAGAGTTTCAATATTACCGTACATGGTTAGAGGGCCCAGCAACATGCAGGTATTTTTAATTCTTGAATCACAATCTTCCTCTAGAACCTAGTAACTCACTATCTCATCATTCAGGGGGACATAGCAGCACAAACTGTCAGTTCTCTAGGCCAAGTCCTACGAGCAGTGGGAGGACTGACGAAGCCCAGCGGTCGGGGGCTATTCATGTTTCAGAGCCTAATAGCTGGAAGCTCTTCCGCTGCCATCCTGGGTCTTTTGGTGCCACAATTATGGGGTATGCTTTCACTGCTGGGGTGATAGGTTTTCTGAGCGGATCATGCGTCGGCTTTATTCTGGGGACTGTGGGATATTATAGAACATGCTATCAGCAGAGTTTGGTTCCTTTCACGACATATCCAGATCTACTGAGACATCACATCACTACTGATTTTGGGATGCATGGTGTGGACAAGGTCTCGCATTTCTGGGGAAGGGAATCGGAAAAGATCCTGGAAGAGGTAAAAACCGACATTGCTCTCCGAGGAATGTTGATAGCAGCTTAGCACTCTGCTGTTCCTGCCATTAAGGTCTGTTTTCCATGTCTTATTCTTCTCCGTTCATTTCCTGGCACCAACGTACTAAGGCAGATTGTTTCAACAGGATATCCAAAACCAGGAGGAGACCTATCTGATCTCCAAACATAACCAGACATCATGCAAGGAGGGAAAATAAAATGTTGCTCTGCCTGGAAAGATCTTCAAATAGATGCGTTAACGTATTGGATAAGCGAGCCGTACACCCAACCCAGCCGTACACCCCATCTAAAATCGCGTCCCTCTACCTACATACCTACTTCAACCACCTACCATGCCACCAATTCGCTCTGAATCTCGGCAGAAACTAGCCAATCAAGAGGGCAAGATTTTATTAGCCCTCAACGATATCGAAAAGGGCCGTGTCAATTCTATTCGCGCAGCAGCGAGGCTATACGAAATACCCCATACAACCTTAGCCGGTCGCGCTAAAGGTGTGAAAGCACGCGTCGAAAAACCACTAAATGGGCGTAAGCTTACTCAATTAGAAGAGGATTCGCTTGTTGAACGGATATTCTCTATGGATAAGCGTGGAGCAGCGCCAGGTCGTGCCGGCGAAAGTGCTCCCCTTCAAGCCATACTGAATTGACCCGACAGAATACCGCATCGACCAGCCCGATCAATTCATGGCGGCACATGAGCGCAAGCTGCAGGTGTTTGCGGCGCTCGTTGATTCCTTCCAGAGCGTGCACGGCTTCTCCGGGATCCTACCGACAGCAACACTCATCGTGCCTCCTGCAACTCTGCAGGACGCTCTGAAGCAGATGGGGACGCTCCTCCGTGTTGGATCGTTGCTGATTCCTGGTGATCTGCCTGCTCCACCCGCTGCATCAGCGGACTCTACGGTCGTATCATCTGCTGCTGTCCTCCCCATTGATGCCCCTGCCGAGGGATCATGGAGTTGGATACAGCCTCTCAAGTTGGAAGACTCAGGTAGCCGTCAATTCTCGCTGACTCCAGCGTCCAAGTTGTTTGCTGTGCCGGATGGGCCGCAGACCGTGGTCGAGGGATATCTAAAGCTGGATACTGTAGATGTCCTTGATCAATGAGGGTTCAATAGTTTGACGCTCCTTTACATAAGCATATCAGGGCTGGTAATTAGACTCAGTATCACATATATCGTTACAATTCCTGTTGTCTATTGATTATCTAGGATCTGCAATAAGGTACAGAGGTAGCAAAGAATAATTCATTGGTACTGTAGCCCATTCTCTTTGATTCAACCTCCCCTTGACCTTTGAGCGTGCTGAGTGTTCGCCTTGAGGGCCGTGACATTATCTACAGGCTAAGCCTTCAATAATGCGGGAGTGGAAGGAGAAGAAATGTATTATAAATGGATAAGGTATCCACACTATCCGGTTTGTTTGAGTAGAGTGTGAGTTATGCGTCTAATTTCATACAGATGAGTCTTCCACGCAACTACTTCTTAGGCTCTGTCGGTTATATAATTAGAATCAGTTAAGTATTTCATAGGCGAGCGGGCCAGCCGGCCGATCGGGCCACCCCTGAAACACTATACTAAAGGCGAATTTCTAGGTCAGTATATAGTTATCAACAACGAGAAGTTATTCTTACTTGATTCTTAGTAGATATTATTTATTAGAAATAGAAATAGTAGAGAACAATAGACATATCCATAATTTGATCATTTACTCCTAATACCAAAAAGTTATACCGGACCGATTTAGATATAGGGCGACCTTAACGACACGACAGAAAAGTTCATAGCACGACGAGGCTAGTCCTAATGAGGAAACCCCCCTTTCAATACAAAATGCTACATTCGAAATCACAAAATACCTACCGAGTCATTATGTATAATTCATGTTAATACTTCCCATTTATATTTTTAGCTACTACATACGCGACCTCTATCTATTTGTCCCTATAATAGACTAAGTTATTATTCTATTCCCCCTCCTACTATCGCCTTTTTTACGGTCCTTTCTAAATATCTTTCCTAAGGTCTACTCTAAGGTCTACTCTAAGGTCTTTTCTGAGGTCTTTTCTAGAATATGGGCTTATGTAAATCTTGAATGTAGCATTCTGCATTGAATAGGTGGTGCTCCTCATTAGAACTAGCCTTGTCGTGCCATGAACTTTTCTGTCGTGTCGTTAATCCCATCCTAGATATATATATTTAAATTGTCACACAGTAGAATATTTCCTACATGAAGCAAAATACGTACTACGGTACATCAATAATCAAGACATCTTAAGACAAGGTGATCAACTTCGAGCCTTGAAATAATAAGTTGTGAGATATTACATTCAGTATAGTGTTTTGGGGTGGTCGGCCGGGTGTTCCGCTCGCCCTTGAAATACGTTATGGTTTTTCGTCGCTGACTTATTGTGGGCATCGGCAGCTTTTGAGGATTCATGCTTTACATCGGAGATATTCTGGGTCTCGCGGTTCTTGACTTTAATGGATCTCCATTCTATAAATAATACCGGTAGCATTGAAATATAGGATAATGCGAAGGTAATATACCAAGTATGGGTGATGGCGTGATTGTAAACTTTCACCGGGGCGGATAGCATCGATAAAGAAACTATACTTCGAAATTCGGTCACTCCGGCCTTGGCTATTATAAGGGCTTTATTTGCACCGAAAGCTGGTATTTCTTCAGGGCTATTCTTTGGTAAATGGTTAAATAGGGGTTTAATCACCTGTAAGAAGATCGTACCGCCTAGTTAGTGGCTGAAAAAGATGTGATTCGTGGTATATCTGACGGTGGAAGTACGGGTTGCGTCGCTAGGATTGGCTGCTGGATTCTAAGATCGAAGTTAAAGCTACGAGGAACTTTCAATCTAATCTAATGGGAATGGGTAGTACTGGGCTGGAATAAGCTGGTGAGAAGCCCGCTGTTTATACTGCAGAGTGTTTAGGCTAAAACCATTGTGGGTACGTATTAGCTGATTCTTTGTGTGGTCACACTAATGATAGTTGTAGTAGTAGTAGTAGTAGTAGTAGTAGTAGTTATTAGACTAAGGTTCGAGGGTAGAAATGAAAGACTGGCTTGAACTAGTGAGTCCCTCTTCATTCCCTGAAAATAAAGATAGGATATAATAAACTAGTAGTATTATACCTCAGCTCAATGTATAGCTCCCAAAGGTTTCGAGATCCCTTTCGTCGCACTTAAGAAGCCGGGAAAACCTATAATTACTCTGTTTGATAGTTTCCTATGTTAATTACTAGACTGAAAGGCCTTTATACATCTGAATAACATGAAATATTCAAACACCGCATTGCTACTTTCTGCCCGAGTCAGGATTCCAAGCGAATTTGGACAATAAAGAGCGTGCCTACTCGAAGAGGTAGTACATGCTCAGAGCATTCGCGCCACCACAAATCTCCACGGAGTTTCCTGGACAAGCGGTACCACAGGCAGAAGTAAGAGTAGCGCCGTTGTCAATGGTGTTGCCACAGAAGCACTGAGTTCCATATTCCATACCAGCATAGATATATCCGTTGTCCTGGCAGACAGCCTGGCACTTCTCGACCGTGTTACCAGCAACATTGAAGGACTGAGCTAGAGTACGCTTCAGTGTGGTGTCGGAGTAGCAGCCAATGCTCTGCCAAGTAGGCACGACAGCATACATGCTGATTGCGTTTGACCCACCGCAGATCTCAGCGGAGTTCTGGGGGCATGCGATGTTGCAGTTAGATGAGTCAATCGGCGCAGCATTATTTATGATAGCAGTGCCACAGAAGCACTGCGTTCCATATTCCATTCCCGCGTAAGTGAAGCCTAGATCTTCACATTTGGACTGGCATGCCTCGACTGTGCCGCCGGAGACGAGCTCCGAGGTGTTGAGCGCGCGGGCAGAGGTACTGTCAGAGTAACAGCCAAGGCTTTTCCAGGACAGAGTAGTCGAGACTCCGCAGGTGCCGTAGTTGGATTGACATCCACTACCGCAGTAGTCGGTGCCGCTGCCACACCAGCCGAACTGGGAGCAGCAGTTGCCGAAGGAACTTCCTGCACAGGTGGCGGTGCCGTTGTAGGCTCCGCAGAGACCGGTGCTAGATACCGATGATCTTGGGACGAGGGAATGCTATCAACATGATTTCCTGGTTAGCTATAACATCTGCAGGGGTGGGTCATGACCGTACGCTCAGAGCGGTGGGAGTGGCCGAGCCCAGGACCAGGCTAGTGAGAAGCAAATTGATAGTCAGCATATCGATGACGGGTGAGATGGGCAAGGGTCGCGCAGGAGGAATGGAAGGTAGATCAATAATCAGCTGTGGAGTGATGATTAAATACCGGGGTACAAGCTGCCCCGGACTTTAACAGTCTTTATATAGTTGTAGTTGGTGCCTGACGGTAGACCACCCATCACTCCAGCCTCTTCAGCCGCGAAGAGCTGAGAGAATACCAAAGGAGGAAGTCCTTATTGGGTTTTGAGCCTTGAAATTTGTTCTGAACCGTGCGGGCTTCAAAGAGAGCTGTACCGGAAGTGGCGGTCCAACAAAAAGCCCAAATGAGTCGAGAGTTTTCACCACAAGGAGCACAAGGGCTGGAACCTATGGCCGATGGTAGCAGGTAAGTTTCCCTGTATTGACGCCCACGGCCATCCCCGACTACCCAAGAGGCATTTTTGTTGCCTCTGGCGTATGATGCTGGTTCTTTGGCGAGTCATCCCAGATATTATCAAGCCACGAGGCGTCTAAGGTCTCCGTCAAAGCAAAGCGAGTGGCTACCTGAGCGAGATATCTTTGAAAATCTCGGCGAGTCCATCTAGCTTATCTCGTCGATTTGGTCGTACTCGGTCAAGCCGATAGGAGCAACTGGTTCCTGGACAGCTCGTTTAGAATTCCCATCCGGCAAATTTGTGGCGCGGTAGGTCTTACGACTGCAGTAGCACGGTAACCATAGATCAACTAGGAAAAGTAGAGGGTGCTTCAGACATGCATGGGATACGAAAATGAAATTTAGAAAATTCGATTTGGCAAGAAGTAGTTCACAGGCTGTTCGTACGATAGTAAGCTTGCAACGATCTCCTCCGAGCAATTATTACCGATAAAACAAGTAATCAAGAGATCTAGACTTCTCTCTCTTAGCACGTTTAGCAATCTTCTTGGCCACAGTAACCATCCTCCCCTCACAACGTACTTTTGTCGACGGGCAAGCAAACAATGATAAGGCTTATCATACCGGCACAGCCTAAGCACTTATTTCCAACAACTAACCCGAATAACAGCTAGCTCCAATACTAGTTCAATGATTAGCTCCAATACTTGTCTAGTGCTTTGACCACGCATGATAAGTGCATTCTAGGTGTGGAATTTGTGCCCAAGTATGGCCCAGATCGGAGGCCTCCGCATTTATCGAGCCACGCTAGCTGTGCTTCGCCTGGAGTTAGAGATCATACCCTTGATACCCTGTATGTAACGCTCGGCAAGACCGTCCCTTTTTGAAAGCAGAGCAAATATTGACATGCCCATACCGACTATCTTTAAGAGTCCGGAACTATGGTGGACGCGACCGTGGAAAATGCCATGTTGATTTTGACTATTTAGATAGAATAGCTTTTACTATCTCTGTGGTGTTTAAGTGAAGTCTGATTTTTTTTATGCTTCTATATTCTCCAAGTCAAGAGAGATTAGAAGGGTTTGGAGACTCGTGAAACCACCATGGAGAACTTCCGCGCTTCGCAAACCCCAAATTCCACACCATCCTTTACGACCCCGACTGCATCGATTCGCTCGCGAAGGCTGGATTCGGCTGTTGGTGAAACTACAGGTAATTTCTAAGATAACAGGTAGTTTAACAATTTTTCTAATGGTCAAGGCAGCACCTACAAATCGACCTCGGCGGCGCTTCAAAAGCTCCCGGCTTATCGGGGAGTTTGAGAAGCCATGGCTAGATGATAACAAGAAGAGACCGAACTGGGATAGCATAATCTTCTATACTTGCGCATTTATTGCATTGGGTAAGCATAATGATCTTGAATAAATCGATTGGGCACTGAAAAAGAACTTCCAAAGCTGTATCAGGCTATATCTGTTGGTCTGCGTATGCCGAAGTTCCCAAACACGAAGTGAGTCTTTGATACACGTCGAAGTGTCGTCCCGTGGACTTAAGAACTGACCAAGCTTGAATTTAAAAAGTGGTGCATGGTGCTGGATGATGATTTTGCTACATTGGATAGCAATGTCTGGAGTCATGAAGTGCAGCTCAATGGCTTTGGGTGAGAATGTCCCCATCGGATACTGGCCTGCAATCTCTGCTAACGTAGCATCGTCACAGAACTGGCTCTTTTGACTGGACAACGACCGATGCGAGAAACTCATACGTCGACGCCGAAGGTCTTCACATTGTTCCAACCCTTACCCTCGACGATACCCACTACACGGAAGCTCAGCTTCTCAACGGCACACTTTTGAATTTGACTGCGGATGGCACATGCACCTATTCTGTGCAGCGTACGTCCACGCTGGCGGATTGGAGTTCGTGTGAGGTGCTCAGCAATTCTACGTCAGGGCAAATTCTGCCTCCGGTTCGATCCGCTCGTCTCACTACAAAGGGCAAGAAAACGATCAAGTATGGTCGGGTAGAAGTTGTCGCAAAGCTGGCCAAGGGAGATTGGATGTGGCCTGCAATCTGGTAGGCTGGCACTCTCTAATTTCACGATAGATAAACAGCTCACAAGTGACAGGATGATGCCCGAGAATTCTGTCTACGGCGAATGGCCAAAGAGCGGCGAGATTGATCTCTGCGAATCTCGTGGCAACGATGCAGAGACCTACGCTCTCGGGAACAACATTGTATCCTCGACAATGCATTGGGGAACAACATATCTCAATGATGCATATTCAAAGAGCACGGCCGACTGGGGCGCGCAAAGAACAAAGTACAGCGATGGTTATCACACGTACGGACTCGAATGGACTGAAGACTATCTGTTCACCTGGCTCGATGGTCGACTTCGGGTATGTTTCATCAGAAACGGCCCTCAATTCTTGAATACTAATTGTCGCGGGATCTATAGCAAGTTCTTTACTTCGATTTTACCAAGAACGAGAACATGTGGACATATGGAGAGTTTGCTGGCAGTACGGTCAATAAGACTGTCCCCAGCAATCCGTGGAGCGGTAGTGACCGGAAGAACACTCCGTTTGACCAGGACTTCTATCTCATCCTCAATGTCGCTGTTGGCGGCACGAATAATTATTTCCCGTAAGTCTGTCTCGATTCATGCTTTAAATAGCTACTAATAAGGATGTTTCTAGTGATGAGGTTGGTGGTAAGCCCTGGGTGGATGACAGCTCGAGCGCCATGAAGGAATTCTACCTGGCCCAGAGCTCCTGGCTCCCTTCATGGCTTACCACGGAGGAACGCGGCATGATTGTTAAATCGGTAAAGATGTGGCAACTAGGAGCCTGCGCATGAGCTTCGCTTGTTATTCTTCATTTTTGAGTCCATTATCTTAGATTTCCCCTCCCTCCTTTCGCTATCGAGAGAATGCAAGACAATACGTAAGAGAAACTTAAATGATTCAATTGCACTAGAGTAAAGGGTCTGATATTGTAGACTGACATAAGATAGAAAGTTGTTCCGAGACAGACTTGACTTGAATCAGGTAGTGCCTTAGACGGGGCGTTCACAGTCAACAAAGCGCCAACAAGATATTGGGTATGAATCAAAGTAGTGTGACGCAGCAGATTTACATAGGCACGGACTCCAAATCGTATCGCTAGGTCGTTTATTTTTCCCTGTGTTAAGGACCAACCCCTGCATCACGCTGGTTCGCTGCATTGATCAGCTTGCAGATGGCGGGTGCTTAGATACCAGATTAACGAACCCCCTCAGTCGAGGGCTTCAGATACCCTGCCAGGTGGAGACACTCGGTTATCTAAGGCCTCTTTCAGTAGAACGAGTGTCATCCTCGATGATGGCGACTACGGTAGATACACCATACGGGCAGCTGTGCGAATGGTAAGCGGGGAGCGCGCAACTGTTAGCGCTTCCTCGATCGCTCTGTGCAGCGGAGGCCCGAAGCCACTTTAACACCGATGTATCATGGGTGCAACATGTATTGCGATGGAGATTAGCTACCAATCAATCTGGTCATGTTTGACACAGTTTTGTCAGGATCCGAACGTTGCCCAGGATTATAACAGCACTTCACTATCACCTTGCGGTTGTGTGTAGAGGACGTCGCCAAGCCGACAGTGATTAGGCAGGATTTAAGCTATAACCGACCCCCCGCCCATCAGGAACTCTCGCAGTTCGGGTAATGAAATGTCAGCAGGTCCCGGCCAATCGCGGAACCGGACGGCATGGTGCTTGGGCCTCGTGAACTGTTCCTGAAATGCCATTAGCGCCACGAACCATCGCCTTGAATTGCCATCAATTATACGAGCCGTTTCCAATCGGGGCAAATGATTCGATGGACTGAAAACCCGCTCTGATAGAGCGTTCCAAGTGTTCACAAGGCTGGCTAGCTATCCGGCGCCCCCGAGGTTCGTCCGATAGCGGTCAGTCCTGTTTCGGGACAAGCTAGATTATTCGAATAGTGCAGTAGCTTGACGCTGATAAGGAACTGACTCAAGCTTGGAGGAGGCCATGGAAGCCACATCGTGTAGCAGTATTGCGCCAAATCATGACCGGTGCTATGCAGTGGAGCGAGGTCTTCAGCTGGCGGGCGTGTCGCAGCATCGGCTTGTAGAGCCTCTTTTCAATAGCCTCGTGTCGATTATCCGTTCTACCCCAAGTCACTGCGCACTGTAATGCCCGTCGTTTTTTGCTAACGCATAACGTTCACGCCGAAGTCTGGACCGCTGTTTCTTTTGTCCCTTCTTATCATTGCATCTGCTTTCGTCGGCATTTCCGCGCTATTGAGCTACCGTCGTACTTTATACATACTGAGTCCGCCCCAACACCAGCTGGGAACGACGGCTATTTCATAGAGTCAGTCCTTTGTGGAGATTCCTTTCTTTCTTCGATATAAATGTTTGATTGCGATTATGAGTCCCAATTACATAGGCGATTCGCTCTCTAAGGAGCTACCCAGTTTGGAGGAGTGGCCGCTCTCTTCAGACAAGAGCCATGAAGGCCGCGTTGAGGGCCATGCTTCGGGGGAGTCACAGGAAGGCCCCAATGAGGATGGATATTCCCATTCAAGGTCATCCACTCCTTACATTGACGCAGCAGACATTGGCCGGGTTCTTTCACCTGGCCCTTGCTCTGGAAGTAATACGCGCTCGCGTGGCGGCCCTCCTTCGGTTGCTCATTCTCTGGTGTCGCCCTCGATCTCTGAGTCAGGCGAAGGAGAGGACCCAAGCTCCGTACGTCCTCAGGGGTTTCAAATCGTCAATTGAACACTGACAATTTTCTAGATGGTGAGATACCTCGCCCGACGTGCAACTCTTCTTGGCTGGTTCGACGAATCCGAAGTTGAGCAGGGTGCTCAAAATTGGTCGTCGACTTGTATCTCTTTGCGCCAGGCTGACAATGAATATTCATTCTTCCCGTGCAATGCCAATCCTGCGTTGGCTGATGCTATTACTCGACTGGGAGAGACGGCCGCAATTGCCATGTCATCTCGATTCACGTCCGCTGTGATCGACTTAATTATACCAGGCCAAAAGAGTCTGGTGGTCGAGAATACCAGTGCCCGTATTCCAATTGTCTACTGTTTGAACGACGTCAACTCCGACCTAGTCCACTTTGCACGAGCTTGTATCATCGTGCAAGAGAGGCTTGTGCTGGTCTGGTCGCATAATGCGGGCGCCATTCTCAACGTGGCTTTCGATGTTGAGAGACAGCTCGGCAAGAAGGTGCGCCCAGAAGATGTTTATTGTTGATATTGATAACTGACGTTTCTCTCCCTGTAGAGCCCTCGTATCTCCAACATGACGACCCCGCGCGTTTCAGGACGTTCCTCTCCTCTCGATCCCGAATTGCGGAATTCGACGCAGGTCTCAACCAAGGCAAATAGCGCCGACATTCCCGTCCGTGGAGCGCTCGATGAAAAACACGAGATATATAGTAAGGCTGTTGCCTTGGAAGAGGGAATTGAGGAGGATAATACGCCTGTGGACCTGGAGGGGAATTTGGCTCCTCGACCTGCTCATCGGGTCCATGCATTTAAGATTAGCTTTGCGATCATGCTGGTGATCTTGACACAGGCGCTTGGTGTGTCCCGGGTGAGTTCGGGAGCTTTCTTTTCTAGGTGTTTGTCCGGACCCCATTCTAACCTTCCTTTCAGTTGATTAATGAATTTGCTTGGGATGGGAGCTACACTCGTTTTGCGTTGGTGAGTTCATTCATCACTGCCAAGGTAATTGCATGATAATACTAACACGGTATAGGTTGTCACAATCCCGCCTCTCGCGCTGTTCTCGTTGGTAAGTCTCTGGCCTCTGGATTGTTTCGAAAGGCCGCTGACGCTCCTCAGTTCTTCTTCATTGTCCTGGTTACAAGTGCTTTTCAGCTTTTCCTCCCAGCCAGCTTCTGCTTGAAAAACTCCAAGTTCCACTCGGGTTGGTCCCCTCACATTGACTGTTCCATGACGATCCTGACAACCCCCTAGCGATCAAACCCAACCCAAAGTTCCACCGTGATTATGGATTGCCTCACATCACAATCCAAATGCCTGTGTACAAAGAGGGACTGAAGGGGTGGGTAATCCCTATTGCTGTTCAATGAAAGCTGCTAAGATTTGCACAGTGTCATTGTACCGACGATGATGAGTGTTCTGGCCGCCGTTCAATACTACGAGGAGCAAGGTGGGACTGCATCTGTTTTCATCAATGATGACGGTATGCAGTGTATCCAGCCAGAGCTCGCTGAAGCCCGCAAACAATACTACCAAGAGCATGGAATCGGCTACACGGCCCGCCTCCCTAACAGAAAGAGCTCCTCCAAGAAGAGGCGCGGAGTGTTCAGTTGGTTCCGCATGTCCAAGTCGGTAAAGGAGAACACCGAAGCAAAGGAGGAAGAAGAAGACACAAGCAGCCCCCAGGCTATCGCAAACAAGATCGGCTTCGAGCGCAAGGGCAAGTTCAAGAAGGCTAGTAATATGAACTACGGACTGGCGTTCTCTAACAGGGTCGAGGATGAGTTGACGCGCTTGACCCAGTTGGAGTGCCAGCAGCGCGGGTACACCACTGACGACTTGACGGTCGAGGATGATGACCGACTCTACCAGCAGGCTCTCGCTAACATGCTCGCCGAAGATGAGGGTCACACTTGTGAGTATCATCAAGGTTCTCTATCTCACGGCTACAAACATCGCTGACTCGTTCCAGGGGCGGAAGGAAACATTCGTATTGGGGAGATTATACTTATGTATTTCGTTCTCTATCATTCTATCACAACGCACACTAACTACTGATACTAGTATCGACTGTGACACTCGAGTTCCGGTGGATTGCCTCCTCTATGGAGCGTTAGAAATGCATGAGAGCCCTGAAGTGGCGATCATCCAACACGGCTCCGGTGTCATGCAAGTGGTCCACAATATGTTTGAGAACGGAAGTAAGTCATTTGTTTCAATTCCTCCTTTTTGAAACCCCATCTCAATGATCCATCTCAGTCACGTATTTCACGGACGTTGTCTACACTGCCATCAAGTATGGTGTCGGGTCCGGTGATGTCTCCCCCTTTGTCGGACACAATGCTTTCCTCCGCTGGAAGGCTATTCAGAGCATTCAATTTGTAGATCCCTCGGATGGCCAGACAAAGTGGTGGTCGGACGCGCATGTTTCCGAGGATTTCGATATCAGTCTTCGGCTCCAAATGCAGGGCATGACTGTTCGCCTGGCAACCTACCACAATGGCGGCTTCAAAGAAGGCGTGTCGCTCACATTGTATGATGAGCTGACGCGATGGGAAAAGTACGCTTACGGTTGTAACGAGCTCGTCTTCAATCCATTGTCAGTGAACTTGAACCAGTCAAAATCTCTGTGGCTTCGGTCGCTAATGCTCGAGACAGCTATCAATGGCCGTACAAAGGTCCAGTGACCAGGCTGTTCCTGCGCTTCCTATGGAGTAACATGCCTGTTACTAGCAAGGTAACCATCATTGCGTACATTTTTACTTGTGAGTTCTTCAAATCCTGCTCATCATATCAATCTCTCATATCCGTAGATTATGCTATCGCCTCCGGTATGATGCTGTCGGTTGTCAACTATATCATCGTCGGTCTCTTCAACTCTGAAATTGACCACATATACTTGCGATCGTGGGGAATCTGGATATCCTTGGTTGTCGTTTTCAATGGAGTTGCCTCTGTTGCATTCAGCATGGCTCGCCATCAATTAAAGGAGATGGTCTTCTGGAAAGCACTTCTCAAATCTGCATTGTGGCTTCCGTTCCTGGTTATCTTCTTCGGTGGCATTAGTCTGAACTGTGCCAAAGCAATTTTGTGTCACGCTTTCAGCATCAATATTGAGTGGGCATCGACTGCTAAGGAGCCAGGTCCTTCTGGCTTCTTCATTGGTCTTGACAAGATGGTGAAGCAGTTCAAGTATACTTGGGCCATATGTTTGTTTCTTGCTGCCGGTAGGTTTTCTTTGCCTCACACTCTCCGCGTTCCTGGTCAATGATCATCGGCTAATGCATGTATTCCAGTGATGATTTTCATGGCCCTGGGTACTCCCTGGGGATGGCAGATCAAGCCGGGTGAATATTCGACAGCTTCGATCGCGATTGGCCCGCTGGCCATCCAGATTTGCAATGCAGCCATTCTTCCATTGATCTTAGGCCTCAACTAAATGACTGTTTTTTTTGTTTGCTTTTCTGAACCTTGACTTTGCATCACACAGTCTCTTTTGTTGTTTTCCGGTTCGAGGACTTACCTGTGTTTTTAGCCACGTGAGCAAATTGAATATCACTGCATAGACCCTCGAATGCAATGAATCTTTGCTGCGATAATACTTCCGGATAGTGACCGAGAGTATACATGAGAATACTATATGGTCTCCTATACGGCCTCCTATATGGATTCCCGGGCGGTTTCCCAGGCGGTTTCCCGGACGGTCTTCTAGACGGTCTTCTGGACGGTCTTCTGGACGATTCACGTTACTAGCTTATGCTTGACAAGCGTATAGAAAAAACCAGATCTGCAGTAGTTAGCCTTAGCTCAATATTCCGCCCGTCCTTCTGCCTAATAAAATGGGGTTTGAGCAACTTGCTTCTATCGTCCGCCGTAGTCTAAGCTTGCTCTCCCATGTCTATGTCCTCTCTAAACTCATCCTCGTCAGCCTTTAGCTCCACATTCAACTGGGAAATCTGGGCCGCCAGGTCCGGTAGCCTTCCCCCCGTAATATAAGGGGGAGCAACGGGAGAATCAGCCGGCGCTAGAGCACAAGAAGCAACAGGAGCGGACGCCGCAGGGGGGTCGGAAGCGGCGGGGGCTGGATCCGCAGGAACCAGCATGCGGGAATTGTCGACTTGTGTGGTAGGCGGGTCGGCGGTAGGGGAGGGGCGGCCTTGCCGGGGAGCAGGGTGCCCACGGCCACGGGGGTGACCACCCGAGCCTCGGGGCCCTGAGGAGAACGATCGAGAGGCGATCGCTCCCCATCTCGTAGAGCGGGGGCACGGCGGGGAGATCTCGAACGCTCCCTACCGGAGGACGGAGGAGGAGGGGCGGAGAAGGAACCCACAGCCGAAATGTTCGAAGTCTACACAGTCAGTATATATGAATGCTAAGGGTATATGTAGATAGGAATTCATAAGTGGAAAACTTACGTAAATAACATTCGACGGGCGGGATCCCTCCAAACGAGCCATTTCTATAGCAAAGTGGTTCTCAACGGCTCGAAGCAATCGCTGGACATAGCAGTTACTGTTGCCAGCGCCTAATGTATCGAACTCATCAGTATATCATCTAAACTAGAGCGAGGATCAGATACAGATAACTCACGATGCCCGAGTCTGTTACAATCGTAAAAGTGTCCGTCGTATGCCGTAGGGCGGCCACCAGGAACCTGGTATCGACCAGTCCCTCGGAATTTTTACCGGCCATTTTGATTTTTTAGGGGGGGGGAACGCGCGAGAATGTGTTTTTCTTTTTTTTTAAAAAAAAAAAGCGAACGAGTAAGGACGTGCGTAGGCAAGCTGGAAAAAAGTCTTCGATTGGGGGGGGGGGGGGGGAAGGTGGTTTTTATATTAATTTGAAGCTATCCCCAGATCACCGATTTAACGCATCTGATTGGTCAGTTTCTACCCCGGGTACCGAAGCCCACGTGGCAGGTGATCCGGCCAATCAGAGCGCAGGATCAGCCCAGGCACCGTTCCCATTCAACCCCCGATTAGGATATAACATGTGATCCAGCCAACAGCACAATCAGTTCAATCTTAGAAACTTATTGCCTATTCATGAGGTCCTTTGACCGATTATGGATGCAATTATTTTCTACCTTTTCCTCTCTCCTTTTCAGCAACCCAAGCGAGATGCTTCAGTATACTCATCCGGGTCCCACGCAAAGACTCCGTCCTCATTGTCATTAAGTTTCATCATTAAAAGTCGTTCCAACTCACCCTGTTGGTTTTCATTAAGTAGGTTCAGCCGCTCTTTCCATACCTCGCCAGACTCATTGGTCTCCGTATTGCCAAAAGGTCGCCTATTGATCTGATGCCAGTAGATCGCATAGAACGCAAAGCTATAGAGATTAGTAAACACTACCCAGAAGTCTTCGCTCTCATAGCTCCGTTACATCAAATCCAAAGGGCACACGCAATGCTAAGTTTCTATATCTTTGTCACGCGTCATTGCCGTAAGGAACGTCTTCACGTGACGAGAGAAAATTTGGGCCCCGATATCCGGGCTACTCGATAAGTAGCCACCATGGTGGCGCGTATACAAACTCCACTAGTCCAAATGTATAAACTCCTAGTCTAAAACGCCATTATCTAGATATATTCGTTAAGAAGAAAATTAGTCGGTCGGAATCATCACACCATAGTTTAAATGGACCATTCTCGCAATGTAGCAGAGATTATCTCTTTTCCCTAGCAAGCTTGTGAAATAGCTGCCTTACAATAGACTTCCTGTGAAAGGGCTGAACTCGCTCGAATACCAAATCGAGCATAATGATAACACAGGAGAGGGGAGGCCTCAGTTATAGAGCCTGGAACCATAAGTCCCTCTCGTGCCTTTTTGTACAATATTTCTTGAGAGATATGTAGTTAGATTAAGACATTGGGGAGATTAAGACATTGGGGGAAAGGATTTGAAATTAAAGAAGCAAAATGGCATTGACGACACGACAGGAAAGTTCATGGCACGACAAGGCCAGCCCTAATGAGGAACGCTACCCCTTCAATACAGAATGCTACATTCAAGATTTACAAAACACCAGTAGAGTCCTTATGTAATAGCGTTTGGCTTCATGGTAGGCAAATTGCACGGAGTAGTGGAAAGTCGTGAGTGGGGTGGCTTACTAGGTATTGAATTACATTGGAAGACTGAGGCCTCGAGGGCCTGATATAAGAATTAGGCATCAATCACCACAAACAACCAAGGTCCATTTGAACCGTGACAAAAATATGATCTCAATATATAGGAATCCGCCAATTAAGCGCTAGATAGCAGCTAATAACTATCAGGTCGAACGGTCGTTTGTCGCTGTGAGAATATGAGTTGAAGTGACCCAGCTACTAAGGTGAAGGTGTCCCTCTTGCCCTCAATAAAAGCAGATTTTGTTTGCTCGGGCGCGAATGAGACATCGTATCTTGTGAAAATTTCGGCTACCACTCGGCGAAGCTCCATCAGTGCAAGCTGTTTTCGGACACAAGCATACGGGCCTAAGTTTCAAGTTAAGAAAGCAAATCATTACAGGTTGAAGATGGGGTTGGGAAGGTAGTGTAAGCGGTTCAAAGTCATACCGGCATTGAAGGGGATAAAGGCAGACGGGTCCTTGACAAGTTCTGGCTGCGTAGTCCACCTCTCGGGCAGAAATTCCTTAGGACGATCAAAGATGCGGCCGTCTGGGCTCGTAAGCAAGGATATAATAGTAGGGACGGTAGGGGTTTCTAACCTCGGAAAATCGTATGTGATGGAATGCACACCATGACGTCCCCAGGAATATACTGATCCCCGATGGTGATGCCCTCAGAAGGTGTCATGCGTTGGGTGCCTGAAGGTACTGGAGGATGCAAACGGAGAGATTCATTGATTAGTGCCTCAAGTACGTTCAGTCCCACAAGCTTATCCTGAGACAGGTTCGACAATGCATCAAGCTCTTTCTGGAGCTCCACCTGCCAGCTAGGCTCACTTGCAATGTAGAAAAACAAGTTGGTCAGAGTTGCCGCGGTTGTATCACTGCGAAGCCCTTGTCAGCAGATTTGGTTCAATAATGAGGTTGTCAAAATCATGGCAACAACCCTCACCTTCCCGCGACCACGATCAGATAGGCGTCACCATGAAGATCAAGGAGATCTTGCTTTGTCTTTGGGCCACTTTCATATGCCGCAAGGACCCAGGAGAATACATATGGGCGGTCGGGTTTGTTCTAATATGGTTGGATTAGCAATGTCATTGACCGTGATTCCAGCGCAATAGATGGCAGACTCAATTCGTTCCGTGACTTGGTTGCCAATCCAACTCCAGTGATAAGGTAGTCTGCATTTAGCCCAGGAATCCTCTTGAAGAAAGGGAAGAGCCACGTCAAGCGACTAAAAAGGCCAATGCTTTTCATATCTGAATGCAGCTGCTTCAAGATATAGGCAGCCTTCCCATCAACAAGCATATTAAAGGACTTGCCGAAGGATAGATCGCCCATGATATCGAGACTATAATAATTGAACCAATCCGTCACGTTCATAGGTTTACCCAGAGACCGTTCAGTTGCGGCGATTAGTTGATCCGTATAATGGGCAACGCGAGGTTCAGAATCTCGAAGTGCTGTGTCGTTTGCTGAGGTCAATGATACAAAGCAGCTGGCGCGAGTAGGATATGTCTACTCCCTACCTTTGGAACTAAATCCCTGGTCCCACACCTTCCTTCTCCGTACGTGCTCCTTTTTATCTCGTATCATCTGGAGGGAAACTCGTGGCTCCAGGACTGTGTACCAGGGCCCCTTACCTACCTTTGCCATTCCACTATGGAGCGCTCTAACAGCACGGGGGTCGGTAATTGATAGCTCAGTAGGACCTAGTGAGCGAAAAAAAGTTTCAATCGAGATGTTTCTGTCCAATACAGTGGCAGAGAGAGCGCACCTATCCAAACATGATCCCCGTACTTCAGATGAAGTTTTTCAACCTCATCATAGAGCTGGAAATTCTTCGCCGACAGGGATGTGACGTAAAAATTCGAATATCTGCCGAGATACGGACCGGGGAAACCGGAAAGACGATGCCAAAAGCCGCGACATAAAAGAATACTGAGATAAATACCCAGTATATGATACCCGAGAGACTTGAAGGCCCAATTCGTTGGTGTAACGATCTCCAAACGATCCAATACGGGAATACGCTCGATAACGCATGAAATGAGGATAAGTAATCCATACGTCTGAGCAACGCCAAGTGATTTGACGTCCCATTCTCCATGGCGGTAGAGGAGAAGGTGCGATGCCACGCCACTAACGATAGCACCGATTGGCCACGTATCCATCAAGACGACGCAATTCGTTGTGTTCAGGGGGCCACTTTATTTTTGAAATAGTTTCTTGGGATGAATGGTTGATCACTCTTCCCAGACACTACTGTGCTTTACGAACACTTTTATGTTGAATATTCAGGGTAAGCGCTAGAGCAATTCGGGATCTACCAGATGACATAGTAAAGGTTGCTAGACTTGGGGCATTAAATTGAATTGAATAACTGAGGATCGGTTAGCGCCCGAGAAAGCGGGCAAAAAAGAAATCGTTGACTGATCTAAGTTTGTAATGGAGCGTACATGCGGGGTAATTAACCTGGTCTCCGTGCCGGGCCGAACGGAAAGTGGGAACTCGGGCGACGACAGATGAAGCTTACAGTCACGTGTCGTGCGATTAACATGCCAAAAAGGGGGGGTTTAAGGGCCTCCGTTTTCTAGGGGACCAGGAGCGAGGAGGTGGCTTTTTGGAACTCGGAGTAGCCACATCAGCCTTGGTCTGAGGTCGGCAGTAACAAAAGATCCATCTCAAGAGGCAAAGGAAATCCTTATTCCCCTTAATGTAGATCTCCTTGATTAGGAAGTAGGCCCGTCGCCATCACCATATTGGTAGGATCCGAAAAAGTCCGTCCCATCGAAGGTTATAACTCGGTCCATCTCGAGAAACTGCTGCCCCAAAAGTATATGCGACATGGCTGTCAGTTCATCCTCTTCCTCCCCGTATCCGATAGCACCAATGCTTCCTTTATCGCGTTCCATATCCACAAACCCGAGACCAGCCAGATCCCTTGTTGAAGATGGACTAACATACATTGTTCTCTGTGTACCCGTGGCTGGTGCATTGGATTCATAATATAACCCCGATCGGGTATCGCATAATTGATGTTGGGATCTCGGGGAATCGATCACATTGGACATAATTCGGGGGCCATATGTATTTGGCGGAGTCGAACCAGCCGTTGCTTGCCCCAATTCAGATCCTGTTGAATAGTTGAAATGGCTGAGACCAGAGGTGACCTTAACTTCAGGGCCACTACCCAAGCTTGGCGGAAGTCCCATATCAAGGGGGAATGCATCACCTGCCTCCCGGCATGGCGACTGCGTATTCAGAAGACCACACAGACTTGCGTTCAATAGGATATCCCCGACGGAACTGCCTGGATTAACGCCTGAAGTGTACCGAGATTGCATCTGGCGAAGCTGAGTGGCATATTGGGTCATCAGATCAGGACACGAAGGGCATCTCAAGCTACCGCCATCATTATTGCTCATAACCCGAACCTTATTGCTACTATAGACCCCAATCCACCGGTGTGACATGCCATTGAGGCTATCCATGAGGCTGAAGAACTCTTTTGACAGAGGATTCCCCGTCTCCGAAACGGAGTTCGAAACGGAGAGCGAATGAACTAGCAGCACGCGGGCGGCTACAAACGCGCAAAAGGCAAATTGGCTATTGACAATGCCACCCATGTGGCACAAGTATTTATCAATAATAGATGCTGTCTCAACGGCAGCAAGTAGACATGTTTCGGCACTGCAGGCACTTGGCAGCTTGACAACGCCGCGCCAGGTCGTTGGCGGGTATGCGACATGCTGGTGAAGGAGTATTGTGGCTGCATTATGTATAAGGTGCGCCAACGTCAGGTTCGGGTCCATCTTGACCACTGAGACGTCACGGGAGACATCTGAGTCACGCCATTGGCGAGGAAGAAACATTTTCCAGCTGAATCAATTCTGCGTTAAAGCAAGATAAAAACAATAACGAACGAGACTAGGAAAAGACCCACTGGACAAGACGAAGATCGAGTTCTTTGAACCTCGTTAGCCAGTTCTTCACCTCTTCAGTATCTCCAAAGTCTATGCTTTGCTGCAGGAAGAAAGAGGTAACTTGGCTGAGGTTTTCCGTTGCCTCGATACAATAAGCAAATGCTCCTAAGCTCGAGGTATCCAGTTGGTCACCCCCGCCCGCTCCCCCGCTGACGCCCCGGCTTGGGCTATGCTTGTTGCTAGAAGACGGCTCATACAGTGCTGGAACATTCGCTATAGACTGGCCGATCTTGGCTGTCGACTTCGTCCATATTCCAAAGAACGGCGTAGAGACCACCTCTTCTCTCGCCCAGGGTGCTCCACCACAGGGAAGTCGTCGATGCACATGGTCGGACGTAAGGCTTGTGTGCCAGCTGACATGTGTTAGATGTGGAAAGATGAAATTTGGAGTAATTCTATTTCTCACCCAGAAGTTACCGAGCAAACTCTGTAGTCGTTAGATCGATCACCTGACGCGGGACGTATGCCTCTCGAGTGAATTACCTGTCAAGGAGGAACACATTCCAGAAAAGCCTCCTTTGTTCCTCTGATTCTGTCCAATCACGTGGGACTGATAGGAGAGTAATGGGGCGAAGAAGGAGATGCTTATGCGAAGATCTATCCGCGGGCTCGACAGTCAATTGAAAATACTCGACCGTCCTGGTCAAGGACCCAATAATCGGCCACGCTCTGGAAAAATTACCGGACCCCATCTGCAATGGAACCGGATCAGTCAGGAAAATGTCAGGAAAATGTCAGGAAAATCGGGGAAAATCGAAAACTCCAAGAATGAGAAAACTTACATAGTCAAAAGCGAGAAAGGTCAGAGCCTGCATACTCTCTATGTTAGGATATTGCATGGCATGGAGCAAAACCGCCCTTCTAGACACATTGATTTGTCTTTCGACATCCAGTGGGCGAAGTCCCACTTCCTCAAACTCTATGTATTTCATTGTAACAGCAATGATTGAGTGTAGAAGCACTGCCAGCCGGTCTCGCTCCAGAGGATCCTGAACTTTGGCCCGGAATCGAGCTTGATGGAGGATAGGAACCCAGTGATGCACTGTTTGGAAGTGCATGTCGATGATCATGTCCACAACATGCGATGGAGGAAGTGGCGGTACTTCGTCTTCTGTATGGGAGTTCTCATCAATGACCCGCCTCCTCTTTCGGTTGGTACCGTTTTCCTGATGCGGTGACGTTGCTGATCCATCTACTCTGAGTGAGCGATCGGAGGTCCAATCCTTGGCGTAGCTGTGTGAATTCAGCTCTGGAGCTTGCATCTGAGACTGGGGTCCAGAAGGATGGCCGTCGTTGAGCGGACTCGGATCAAGATCCAGGAAAGCGAGTTGCGGCCTACGCTTACCATCTTCGTCTAGCAGCATATTTTCAAGTACCTCTAGAAAGGTAATCGCCCGTCAGCTTGCAGCTTCGGATGAGGTAGGAGTCACTTCCGGGCGGGATGGCAATTTACCCAAGCGGCGACTGAGACCATCAATTGCACCCGTCTTGATACCGGGCTTTTGTTTGCTCACATAAATGCAATCGAACGCTGGAACCGTGATGGAGTTTAGTTGGAGCTCTACATTCGACGATCTCTCTCCATAGCCCACCTAGTCTCTGACATTGGGAGCAGGACGGCAGGTCCCTCGAGCACTTGAGCTTTCTTCGTCGACATGACTGGCAGGCCGGTATGTCCTCTGTGGCCGGAACGTTCCCCTCGTTGCCGGTGTCGCGAGCCATGATCTCCCCAGAATGTCGGCGTACATACATGCCCATCCAAGTTACTCCGATTATCCCGGGCTAATCGATTTTCGATGCTTGAGATATGAAGCACATCGGGGATCGGAATAAGTCCTTCAGGGACCGTTATATGAAGCGAATTTGTGGGACGCGTCAGCTTCAGGGTTCTCAATGGGCCATATCTCCGCCGAGGCAAGGTTCAACCCCGCATTTCGGCTACATTGTCGGGACCATCTTGAGTCTGTGCTCGATAGGATGATTGGTTGAGCTACAATTGAGCAAGCTCTAAGCGAGGAGATCCACATCCACGCTCGGGTCCCTTCTGTTCAGAAGTTCGTGGGAAACAGTGCTTGCCATTGTGAATTAAGCTAATACTGCGCAACGATCCAAAGCTACACACGCTGAACAAAAGGTGCAACTCACTTAGCACCGCATCGGGGGAATACAATCCCAGCCCGCATGAACATCCTTCCCTAGACAGTCTTCACTGGAATATGAACGACGCATTCCCCATCCTCGGCCTCATCCTTCGCCAGCCTTTCCTCCTTGGCGCCTGCGGACCCGTCGAGGAGCTGTCCAACCTCCTCTAGACTGAGATTCTTGGTCTCCGGATAGAAGAAATAGATCAAAGTGAAGTTGCTGACTAGGACACAGCACCACACGATGTAGTATCTCCAACCAATGGCTTTGAGACCGACAGGGTTTGTGTATCCGCTAAAGATGTTAGCGGCCGCATCGCCAAAGCCATTGAGAACAAACGCCTTGGCGCGGAGATCGAATGGTGCGATCTCGGCGACATACGACGGCACCATGCATCCGGGCATCTTGTAGAAAAATCCAAAAAGAAAGATGGCGAAAATCGTGGCTTTTCCCAGATTCGCGTTGCTATAGTCGATGCCCGCGTTGACGCCCGTAAAGACGGTGATCATCAAAAATGCGACGAACATACCCGACATGCCAATCAGGAACATCGGCCGTCGTCCGAATTTGTCCACATGCAGCGACCACACATTGCCCCATACAAAGCCGCTGATTGTGATGCCGCCGTTGAGAAGCAGCTGTTTCTTTGAGCTAGTAATGCCAATGGACTGGAAGACAAGATGGATGTAGTACGTGATCAGCGCATTGCCGCACCACTGAATGATGAATCCCGATGTCACAATAATAAAGAGCCGATAACGGTTTGCCGACGTGCGGAACCATTTCAGCCAGGATGTGCGCCCCTGCAGGAGCTCTGCTTCGATGGCTGCTTCGATCTCTGCCATCTCTAACTGCAACAGCTGCGACGACTCATCTCCCTCGGCGTGATATTTGGCGAGAATGCGGTATGCCTCGTCACGTCGACCCCTGCTAACGAGCCAACGCGGACTTTCTGGCGTGAACAGCATCATCACGAGTTGAAAGATGGATGAGACCGCCTGCAGCAGGGATGGCAGGCGCCACGACCATGAGGATACCATGAAAGAAGTCCCGTAGGTAATCCAGGCCGCCATGATCTGGCCCAGCGATCCGGTCGTGTTCTGGATGCCAATGATTTGAGTGCGTTGGAAAGGGTGCGCAAGCTCGGCGGCCAGGATGGGACATGCCATGTTCTGGATCGTGTTTGCGAAGCCAATCAGGACCCGCGACACGACGAACATATTGTATCCAACCGACGCGGCCTGTAGAGCTGCACCAACTAGCAGCAGGCATGAACCGATGATTATGGGCATCCGACGACCGAGGCGTTGTATCAGAGGTGCCGCAACAAGAAGCGCACCCAACTGCCCGTAGCGAGTACCGCTGGTGATAGTGCCAAGCCTTATGCCTGTCGGGTGCCCCAGCGCTTCTTCCCATCGGTCGATGATTTGAAGGCCATTTAGCATAGAGCCGTCGTAGCCGTTGGTCACATCGCAGACGATGCAGCCGAGCAGTATCAGGTTCAGCGACCTCAAGCCAGGGTAATGCCACCAGAGCCGAGTCCGTTGGTCTGTCCGCTGTAGAGTCACACCCTCCACACCGGTGACCCTCGATTTGTCGACATGAAACATGACGGAGATGCAGGAGCGAGAATATCGAAAGGCAATGAATCTCTGATATGACTTTCGAGGTGAGCACGTGTTTCACACCTAACTGATTGTCGAAGGAAATGGGGAATGAGGTCCAACAAGTCAACCTCGCGCTTTATTAAGGGAATCCCATGGCACTAGGACATTGAAATTCGAGGAGACATCAATGGCGGGGAGCCAGCTGTGGCGTCCCTACCCAGCGGTACGACCCCACAAATTGGCATCGTCATGAGCTTGTGGGGATCTAGAGTAGATGCTATCGCCGGGATGTGGAGTGTTGCTTAATTGCGATAGCCCCGGAATATCGGGCTCTTGGCGCTCCAGGCTGGTCGGAGGGGGAATGTTGCTTTGAGGAAGTGGGATGGTAAGAGAGATGGCAAAAGTGAACGGTTACGCTGTGTACGCTGTGGCGCACCCACAGGGGGATAGTATGGGTGGACAGAAATGCACAAATATCTCTGTTTCTCTCCGTTGGAACAAATCTAAGATATTAGCTAATTAAAACTTCTAGCTAGTTACGCTGTAGTAAAATCTAGCAATCTCTGCTCTACTCTGCAGCGGTCTTAGGATCTGTCAGAGCCTGTGCTTTCCGGCGTTTATTAAGGATGGTATTAACAACACGACAAAAAGTTCATGGCACGACAAGGCTAGTCCGAACGAGGAAACCCCCCCTTTCAATACAAAATGCTACATTCGAATACACAAGTTACCTACCCAGTCCTTCTGTATAACCACATCAATACTTCTCGCTAATAACGTTAGCGACTGTGAACGTGACCTCTATCTTTTTATCCCTATAATCGACTAAATTAATATTCTTCTACCCCCACTCCGACTACCTTGCCCTCTTTTACGGTTATTCTAATAGCCTTTTTAATGGTCTTTTCAATGGTATTTTCAATGGTCTTTTCAATGGTCTTTTCAATGGTCTTTTCTAAATATAGGGCTATGCATCCATATGGACTCGGTAGGTAACTCGTGTATTTCGAATGTAGCATTCTGTATTCAAGGGGGGCGCATTCCTCATTTGGACTAGCCTTGTCGTGCCATGAACTTTTCTGTCGTGTCGTTAATACCATCCTCTATTAATATGATGACTTTATAGCTAACCCACAGATTCTTGAGTATTTCATTCTGATGGGTGTATTCCACATCAGAGCTAGTATAAACTGCAAGCTCTCGATCGGCGATAGACTGTTATGATAATCGGTCGCTTCAATTTAGTAACGATATTGTTAAACCCATAGAGTTCAGGGCCTATGAGAAATTTCGAAACTCATTGATCCCCTCTCTTCAATTGTATCTGCGATAATTACAGGCGCCCATGCGTCAGAGTCTCCCATAACACAAAAAGACCATTCTGGCCGCCTGGGCGCTTTTCCTCTGTGTACTCCGTCAAGTTACCCATCTTGTAGCCGAGCCTTGCCACAAACTCGCTGTGTCCAATCTCCGTGACTTCGGTAGCAGCGTTAGCCATGGGCCTCCATAGACCACAGAACGGAAGCTGGACAAAATCTAAGAGAATAGTCAAACTCACCATTATTGAAACTCCCAGTGAGTGTGCCATCGCACAGCCAGTCTGGCACCGATCCCCCGAGAGCATAGTATGAGTGAAATTCCAGCGCATACTTTAATCTCTGACCGGTCACTTCAGCAAATAGGTTCCTCCCCTGTATTCGTGAGGTCTCAGCAACGTGTGAGATTGAAGCAATCCCATAGCCTGCATGCTCAAGATCACGGCATGTTTCTTGGCAAAGGCCATCGAGAAACGTTGATTGACCGTACCAATAGGCCTTAATCTCGGCTGTCGTATCATAAGAGCTATCAACTGGCGCAATAGGTACGTCGCCGTCGGATGTTAGATAAATGTAGGCGGGAACCCTATCCAGGAACACGCTCATAGCTGTGTCATATGCGGTTGAGTTCTCAACGAAAATGGCGATGAACATGGACGCTTCCATCATGACTAGGTGGGACCGCACAGAGTTAGACTTGAACATGCGTCAAAGAAATGATCATGATTCACCTAGCTCCCAGTTTCCATTCGCATTCGCATTTCCGCCAATAATTTCGGGAAGGTATACATCTGATAACATGGTTTCAAAATTGCCGATTCCATCGTCACTCCAGCCAGCATCGGAGTAACGGATAATTTCAGCCGCTCGAGCCCAGACAGACGCAACCCAGCCTGACTGTAGGGGCGCATTGGAGTTATTGTGGCCGGTGATAGTAGAAGACCATTCTTCCATATAGTATATGGCCTTGGTCGCGTATTTTGTCTCTCCCGTGATATACCAGGCTAGTGCCATACTATAAGCAGCGATAGAATCCTGGCGTTCCGCGGTACATCCAACGTCAGGGTTAGAATATGACCCACATTCGACCATGTGCACAGGGGACGCCATTCTGCTGAGGTTGAATAAAGTGTTAGATTTCATTCTAGTGTAAGCGTCGACCCACGGTGACGAATTGCTAAGAACCTGGGCCTTCATGAAGTCGAGTTGAGTTGTGTTCATCAAAATGCCGGGGTGGATCCATGTTGAGGGTGCACCAAACACCTTGGCAGCCAACAAAAGAACTGTGGCTATCCAAGCACGGAATGCACATTTTGAGAATGCCATCGTGAAAAATATTAAATGATACAAGACAAAGGTATCTCAATAATTTAGGATGCAGATTATTGTGTCTCGGACTGTCCTCTCTCTTATACTCTATGTCACTGGTAACCCGATTATGTCGGATTCGCCCCTCCAATTTGCGAGAGGTTCTACTTGATTGACTCAAAGATAAAATTTCAAATCGAAGAATTTCTGAAGAAACCTTGTTTCGTACTCTTTCACGCATGGACATTCCTTGTCTAGCGAGCTGGCGTGATAGCGCCAATCTGATATGGCGCCGGACGCCAATACCCCGATCTCCGTGGAGATCTTTCCCTCTTTCCAAAGATAAGACGCATCGTGGACGTGTGGGGAACAATGCAACCCCGCGTTACCGTTCGGTAGTTTCGTCGCATTTCATATCTCGAGGAAATGGATTCTTCGGCAATCGATCACTCGCACCACTATACTACGTAGCCGATGTAACCTTGAGAGTGTTTACTAGTACTACGCCAGGGTTCATTCAGGGTTGTAAGATATAGATTCTGTTCAGCTTCAATATTCAACAATGCAACTACACAGTTGATTAAATTGAAAAGCTAGTCTCTCAAGCTCGGAAAACCCGACCTAATGATAGGGACGATCGGATGGGTTTGACGTATCATATGATATATAACTGGTGTCACCCCCACTCTTCGCGAGATTCCGATCGGGTAAAGAGATCGGCACCATCGGAACGGAAATGTATGAGATGGCGATTGTTACTGGCGACTTAGCTGGCAAACTCAGGTTCCGGGCATATCACAGTTTGCTCCTGCTGACACTGCTTGTTAGCGCACGAGCCACTCCATACTATGTCAACTGTAGCTCGTCCGCACCTGGCAACGGTTCGTCGACGGCTCCTTGGAACTCGCTGACCCCGGTCAATGGCTTCACCTTCCAGCCCGGCGACATCTTATCATTTACATCGAATGTCACTTGCCAAGGCAAACTCGCCCCGCTAGGCAATGGAAATAGTTCGTCCCCGATCCAGATCACGACATACCCAATAGATTCCACTGCCGGTCCGGCTATCATCAATGGCGGCGGTGGCAATGTGTCTCTGGCACTCACGAACCAAGACTACTGGCGAATCACCAACTTATCGATCACAAACCCGGCCAGTCAACTCAGTCCGAGGCAGGGCATTCTCGTGACAGTCAATGATGGCAAGATCCACTCCGGGATAACGATCGACCACAACGTTGTTTACGATGTAGCTGGCCAGACGAACAAGGCCCTTCACGCGTCAGATTTCGCTAAGTCAGCTGGGATTTCCATTTTGGCCTCTCACGGCAGCTCCATCAATAACGTATCAGTGAGTGATAACGTTGTCCATGATTGCGGAGGCGGTGCCATCAAAGTACGACCCGGCCAGACGGACACTCTCTCCCACAACGTCCGCGTCTCCTACAACAAGATCTCCTCGTGTGGTGGGGACGGCATCATCATTGCGACCTCTGATTCACCATCAATCGACCATAATGTTGCTGCCGACCTGGGCACGGGGAAATATCCCTGGACGGGAGGCAACTTTGCGGGGATGTGGGTCGAAACATCGCGAGATCCAGTCATCAGCCACAATGTCGTGTATGGAACTACGATGAGCGCCTATGACAGTGAAGCCTTCGACTGTGATCTCGGGGTCACCGGCACTTGCACCGTGGAGTACAACTACAGCCGCGATAACGCTGGCGGGGCCTTTCTTAATTGCGATGGATGCGGGACTACTGCCGGCACCGTGTCGAAGCAGGTGGTTCGGTACAACATCTTCGAACGGGACTGTCGCATCATCAGTGTCGGGACCCTCCCCGAGTTGTGGCTCTACAATAACATCTTTTACTGTCCGGACCGCCTATTTGACATCAACGTGCCGCCCAACACTCGCTTTGTCAACAATATCTTCGTGGGCGCCGAGGCCAACGCGAGTCTGCCCACGGGTAGTGGCATCGACTGGACAAACAACATGTTCCAGAAAGTCCTGCCACCAACAGAGAATGGGATATTCGGAGATCCCAAATTTCTGGATCCTGGGCTGTCGGGCAGTTCACTTGGTTCGGGATTTGGGTATCGCGTGAAAGCCGGGTCGGCAGCTCTGGGAAATGGGGTGGCGATTGGGGAGAATGGAGACCTGGACTATTTTGGCAACCCAGTGTCAAGCAATGCAGCGCCAAATGTGGGAGTATACAACGGAGGGGGAGTTGATGAAGTATCCAAATCAGGCTAGCAAGAGAGCGGGACAACCATATGGTGGAAGAGGCATTGACGTGAGAATAAAATCCCCGATTTAGTTAAGTTCCAAAATGAGGAATGGAAATATATTTGCTTATTGAAATTCCGAATCCGACTATACCCGGCCTTGAGGGCTCTTTGGGGACTGTTAGTATTTCACTCACACGGCATTCTCATGGATCAAAGTCTTTCTCCATGTCCTCACTTAGAGTACTCATCCACGACAACCCCATCCAGCTGTTCCGGTGCTGGTCTCAATGGCCACAGGTCACCTGCTGGGGGCATCTGCAGCAGGCCTAGAGCCTCCTTGGCCCTTTGATGGCCCGCAGTTGCTGCGGTCCGGATGATATCTGCCGCAGCGTACGCCTTGAACCCCAATTCAGGGTACGGCCACGATCCACTGCCCGTGGCTACTGGTATGATGAAATCCACCGCACGTGAAATATTCCCCTCTCCTCCGGGGCCTGCAAACTTCCACAAGTCAACTCCGAGCTTTTGTCCTACACAGGCAAGACGCGTCAGAGCGAGGAGGTTGAAGGTTGAGTAGTGCCAGCTGCGAGTGCGACGGAGTTCCTCGGGCTGGGAGCCATCTGGAGCAATGGTATCCCTGAGGTGGGCACGCACGGCGAGGACCTCGTTACGGGCGCGGTCCGTATCACCAAGGAAGAGTGCGATGGCTGCAATCTGCATGGCCGCAAAGCTACCGTGATTGTTGGATTGGGCACGCTCCTCACGGCCAAACGGACTATCCGTTAGCCACTCGAGGAAGTCAACGTTCCACCGGCGAAATACCTCCACATCGACATCGGTCCAGCCAGGTGCTCGCGATGGGGTGATTCCCGGTCCCTGAGCCTCGGTGGTACCGTAGGCCAGGATGGCAGCGGCGTCGAGAAGGCTCGTATAAGCTTGTGCGAGGTCGATAATCCCGATGCAGCGACCCGTATTGGCATACGGAATGAGCTGGGCATGATTGAGGTTAGGATTCATGCGAGTCTCGGGGTTGATGAACCGATGAACCAGGTCCGCAGAATATCGCCCGCAAGGCGCGCGTATGCTTTGTTCCCCGTGTAGTACCAGGCCAGGGCCAGAACGGTAGATGAGGAGAATACCTTCTCCCAGTAGACGCGGTCCGTATAGTTGAGGACTTCGGGATTCTTTTTCCCATCGCGATTGATGTATGGTTTACCATCTGGTGAGTCTGGGTTCGGCCACCAGTAGCGGGCCAGACTGGTGTAGTCGTGCTTATCGCCGCTCGGGGGAAGAACCGTTTTCATGGTGACTGACCACGGGCCTTGCGTGAGCCACTGGTCGGCCTGCTTCGTGAGGGCTTCCAGGGCCGTCTGCAGAGCCGAGTCAGTGCCTTGACGGAGGCGCTTTCGAGCTTCGGTCAGTCTGAAGCCATCTAGAACCACTGTCGACGGATGGAGTGTCATGTTGGATCACCCTGGTTTTCCTGGAAGGTGTAGGTTCCTCCAAGGAGAACAGATAGATGATTTGCACCCATGATCACCAAGCAAACTCCCAGATGATTGACACGGTCGTAGCAGCGTTGCTGAATCGCGGGCTGCGACGGTCAGCGGAGTGTCGATCCCCCGAATCTCCGGGCAACCGCACCGGCGGACTGTTGGCAACCCGCACACCACATCAGGGACTTACTCGAACACCGCATCTTAACAAGGGTGGTTTCATGGAAATGACACATAAAACAGTTACATTGGTGCCTGGTGATGAGCAGCTCATCCCGCCCTCTCTTTCTCTGACACCACCCATCTTTGAGACTCGTCCTCTGCCATGTCTTCCAAGACACGCCAACAACTGACTACTTCGACGATGACACTTGGCAGCCTCAAGACGGGAGAGAGCTCCTTACCAATGGTGGACACTGCCGAACTAACGGATCTTTATACCGAAAATGTTACTGCCAAGATCTGGAGAGTTGCCAACTCGTACCTCCACGAACATGTCTGTGACTTCGAATCTGTGCCGCTTCTTCTTTCTTGTGGTTGATTACTCACTATGAATGATCGACAGCCATCTCTCGACGTGTACCCGGAGTATATCCCGGAGACTGGTTCCAGTGCCGGCAAATATGAGTCCAAGTCAGCCAAGTTCTGGACTTGCGGGTTCTTTCCGTCCAGCTTGTATTGTCTTTTCGAACGCTGTATCAAGTTCCCGCATCGGATCCCGCTTCCATCGTCGCCGTTAGACATGATATTCTCACCAGAAGCCTCACCTTATTCCCAGCTCCTGGCCCTCTGTCGCTCGTGGTCCGCACCCCTGCATATGCAGGCGACAAGGACAGACACACACGACCTAGGCTTCATGCTCCATTCACTGCGGGTCGACTGGGAACTGACCGGCAATCAGTCCAGCCTACGAAGCTATGTATTTGGCGCACACAGCCTGGCCTCGCGGTACGATGAGCGAGTCGGGGCAATTCGGAGCTGGGACCGAGCCGTAAGTCACGCTTATCAGATCGAAGACAAGGAGAATAACTTTCTGGTCATCATCGACAGCATGTGCAGTACATTATTCTCTCCCAAGCTCAGCCCTCAAGCCCTTACTAACCACCGATGATCCACCCTAGATATGGATCTGCTCTTCTATGTTGGCCACTTCACCCGTAATCCATCCCTGATCGCTATCGCAGCCCAGCATGCTCGTACGGTCTTGTCCACTCTGATTCGCGGTGATGCCTTCACATGGCATGTCGTGAACCTGGACCAACACGCGCCCCAGCAAGCCATACCCAAGCATCGGATGACTCACCAGGGACTCGCTGACGAGTCCTCGTGGGCCCGGGGCCAGGCCTGGGGGGTGCTCGGGTTCGCGCAGACGTACGCGTGGACCGGCGACGCCGAGTTCCTTGTGGGTTGTAGACGGCTGGCCGATTACTTCATTGCCCGGCTCCAGGGCTCGCCCGCGCGGAAGTGTTCATGGGTACCGTTGTGGGACTTCGGCGATGCGAGTGGGGAGTTGGATGCTCAAGGGGACAAGCTACGAGACGTATCGGCTGGCATGATCGCCGCTAACGGGATGTTGCTCCTGCACCAGGCGCTCCAGGGACGGCAGAACGGAGAGAGTGAGAAGATGGGGTACGATGGGAGAAGGTACCTAGATGCAGCTCTGAACATTGCGAAAGATACTATCACGTATGCGCTTGATAAAGAGGATGTCGCGCGGCTGGAGATCGACGCGGAGAGTGGCAGAGTGACCGTGCCCCCGGGGAGCTGGGATGCAATACTCAGGCATTCCACGGCGAATAACAACCCGAATGCGACGACCAGGTATAAAGATCATGGATTGGTCTTTGCCGACTACTATTTCCTTGAGTTTGGAAATAAACTGTTACGCATGGGATTGTAAAAATCATATTTTATGATGAAATCTCGTACAAAGATCGCTTCACAAGGAGATAACCTAAGATACGGCGCTATTTAAATATGACGCAAGATACGAGGCAATTGCGATCCTCACTAACTAATGTTGGGCAAGTTATGCTACCTGAGATCACTCTAGCCGATGGTGTCTTCATACTAGTAATCGGAGTCGTCGTCAGATTTTGGATCCTATTCCGGTAATAAGCCAGAGTTTGGACGACCTCAGGAATTTTAACCAGAATTGTTCCAGCAAAAATAGTACTGCTGTAGGTTCATTGCGGCCTAAACCGTCTCCATGCCCCAGAACTTCCTAACGACTGTGAACTGCTTGGAGCTATTCTTAACGCATAGCCACCAGATGATGCGAAATTAAAAACTTTGACATGAACGTTAGTTAGAGCTGTGTCGATAGGATTAGCACGGATCGCTATTCGTATGATCTAGTATTGCCGCCCAACTGTAGTAACCTACTGACGCTATTGCCTGACAACTCGGTATATGAATCAATCTATCTATGAATCAATCATTATCGACATTGACCATTTCAGGATGCTTTTTTTTCTCCAGACATGTATAGGCCTGGCAAATCCTTCTTCGTCCCTCTCAAATTCGAGCATTCTCTCAAATCCCTGCGCTTCCAACTCATCAACAAACGGTGGTTTAATCTGGATAGCCTTATACGTCTCTTTCAATTCTTTGTTCTTCTTCGAGGCCCTCGCATAATTGCTCATAGGCTGAGGCTCAACAACGAGATAACCCTCGTCATTCAATATACTTCGTATATGCGCAAAGAGCTTCAGTATCCCGGCGTCCCCGTTGTTGAGATGAATCCACTTCGTCACAGAGAGCAGTAGGACAACGTCGAACTTGCCTAAGGCGGTACCCTTGTACGCAGACGTATCCACAAAGTCAAAATGCTCGAATGTGCACGGTCCATCCGGGTACGCCGCTTTCGCCTGCTCGACCAGCCACGGGTCGATATCGACGCCGACTGCAGCGGCCGCGCCGCAGTGCGCTATCGCCTCATAGGTCAGTTTGCCTGCGTTGCAGCCGAGGTCTATGACTCGCGCATTGCGGAGGATCTCTGATGGAAGAATGGAAAGGCGTTCGTCCGGGACAGTAGGCGCCCGGAACTTGGCATAATATTGGTGGTAGTTGCCATGGCGCGCGGCAAGATGCGTAGCTTTGAAGCGCTCTGCTCTAGAGAGGTCTGTTGCAGGTGGATGGTTATGGCATGGATCTGCCATAGCTGGGAGAAGGCCCGATCAGAGAGGCACGTGCCGTGAGTTGTATTGATTATAACAAGTCGAAGATTTGCATTGATGCTGCACTAGGTTTAAGCACCTTTGATCTGCCACATGTAGGCCACACGTTGGGATGTCAACCTCTAGTAATGCCAAAATTTTTCGATCGAAGGTTTGTGTAGTTTGCATATGATCAATGCCTGAGGCAGGAACTCTCAGTAAGTCAAGAAAAGCGACTGCTAGATCATCGCTACTAATGGGGCTTATTTCTCGAAGAGAAGAACTTTTCAGTTTCAAAATCCAAGCTATCTGATTGTTTTTCAACCCTAATACTGAGCAGCACGTGCTCCATAAAGCCAACGGGTGAACATAAGTTGCCTTGGTATCCACAGTATGACGTCAGCTTTCCTTGCCGTCTCCTTTCATGTCTTCACTATTTGTGCAACTAACCTCGATACCGAGGTCCTTCTCAACATGCCATTCAGACAGGCCCTTCAAGGAATTATTGATAAGGCGGACAAGGCTTGGGAGGGATTCAGCCATCCCGCCCCGGCGCCAGGAGCATCGTACAACAGGCCTCCCCCACCACCTATTCCAGCCTCCACCAAACCACCAGCTTATCAGCAGCAGGGCGCGCAAGCCCTGATCTACTGGCGGCCCGATTTACGTCCCGAGCTACCGGTGTCCACCAATTTTCATCACGAACAGGGACAGCACGGATGGGGGAACCACGAGTCCCAGAATTATATCGACAGCCCGCAAAACTCGTTCCATTCGCCCCATGGCGACGCGGTGATCGTACGGGCTTTGATCAACCACGGGCATCCCGACCCTGCACAGAAATTTACCAGTGCCAGGCTGTCAAGTCACCAGACCCTCAGTCGACCACGAGGCTGTCTGTCGGCCAGAATCACGGCGCCGGTGGCACGAGGCATCTGGCCTGCCTTTTGGCTGCTGCCTAAAGACCCCTTCAAGTGGCCCGAGGATGGCGAAGTCGACATCATGGAAGCGTGGAATGGCGATGCTGTCAACCATACCTGTCTGCATTGGGGTCACTTCAACGGTCAGGACTGGGATAAGCATCGCGTTCTCGAAACGCCAGTCCCCAACATTAGCTCGCCCGCGGGAGTGAGGTACGATTTTATCTGGGATGAGGACGAAGCAACGGGCAGGGGGCGCTTGGTCTGGCTAATTGATGGCAGGCCCATCATGAGAGCTGAGAAGCCAGCTGGCACGAGGAAGATGAGTGAGTTCAGAATCCTCATCAACATCGCCGTTGGAGGAAATGTGTGTCAGGGAAATATGCCTAGTGATGGATGCTACGAGATGGTGGTTCGTGAGTTGGCCATGTGGGACGCACCACCTGGGGGTTGGAATGAGTTTGGAAGGGCTTGGAGCTATTCCAAAGATGGCAATACCATGTAACGAAACGAAAGAGATTTACATTGCAAGATGTCCAGATCGATCGCTGAGATCTTATGGATTCATCTGATCCCTTAGCTCTTAGAGTGAATCCACTTTGTACGAACGCAGTAGATGATATTTTGACATGCTGCAATGCCACAGATAACTGTCGTGAAGCCCATTATCTCGATGCGTTTATTGGTCTAATTAGATACATGACATTCGCTTTCTAGCCGAGGTATCTCAAAACGGAAAGAAGAAGATTGTTTCCGTTGCGGGAGACGGCGCACCCATCATGAGGAAATCAAATGATTAGGCAAAAGGTTCCTTAAAAAGGGCCACTTAGATTTCCAAAGCTGGTTAATAGAACGTAATTCTGAGGGCAAGAAGACCTAACACTTTCAGGTATCCAATCATTATAAAGAAACCGAAGTTCCTAAGTCAGTACTTCAAAAATGACAAACAGAATTTATAACAAGCGCCGAGTCCTATGGTTCATCAAGTATTTAGAATTCACGTTACGAGGAATATAATTAGAATGCGGTCTGGTATTGTGATTATTGGCTGTCCACATGAAATCATCTGAGATATTATCTACAATCAGTCCGTTCGATGTCTTATACTTATCCTCTATTAGTCTTACATTCTAGTCATTCATACTTTATCCTTTCTGAATATATTTAAGTAAATGAAGTCAAAATTCAGAACCTATCAATATCATTCACCTGATTCAAGCATTCTTCAAACTATATCTGTCCTTTTGCTCCTGTTTGTCGTGTAGAATGAACAAAACGGTAGCCTTTCCAGGAGTCGATTGGGATGTCAATCGGTTGATACCGAGGTTTAAATCACCAAGGTAACATGAGAGTACCTGAACCAGAGACAATTGAAAAGCACGAATTTTGTAGGGAAGAACACGGGAGATCAGATTCCTAAGTAGTGCCCCAAATATTTTCTTCCCAGCAAACGAGCTGTGACATGGAGGGAGTGACAAAAAATCTGAAAACTGGTTTCAGAATAAGCCCTTGTCACTACCAAAGTTACCTTACCCTACTTAACTACCCTTCCCTTCATCGTCGATTTCCGGTGGTCTGCCCCCAGTTGTCACGGGTACCCCTCCGAACACTGTCCGATCACCGGACGACGGGTAATATCTGCAAATGGTTTCCGTCTCTCAAAGCATAATTGTTCGTTGCATATTCTAGCAAGTTCAGCAAAAGCTTGAATATGCCCGGCCCATCCTCCCCGGGTTTAAACGCAATCTTCCCAGCCTTTTGAAATTATTTGACCGACCTTATATTGAAAGCAATATCCTAGGATAGCCGGGTGGAAGGAGCTCACCTTCGAGGAAGGGGTATTGCAAAGTGTTCTTCGTGGGGCAACGACAGCTTTCGAGTTCATATTCAAATTCCATATGGACGGCCAAAATGTTTTGCGCAGAAGCCTTCCGGCAATTCTCGATTCTGATAGATTCTAATGTTTCATTCGCTACCCGGTTTCCAATATCTGACAAGAGTAAATGCTTATGGTTTTTTTTTCCATGCGTGTAGAACGGATGGGTTGGGAAATCCGTGTCCACCATAAACAATTGGATGACCTTCCTTGAGCATTCGTTTTCAGAAAACGATTGGACCAGCTGGGAAGAGTGTTCTGCGGTCGAATGTAATCAGCTATGAAATTTTGGGCGGGAGTAGTACAGTAGAGCAGCCATTGCGGCTGCAATCATGGGCCTAGCCGTAATCAAAACACCTGCGGGTCCACTGGTAGCGCCGCCAGTTGTCTTATTTGCATCGGGAGCCGTAAGCGAACTCAGTCCTTCGGTTATTTCCAATTGATGATGCGAGCTGGAACTTGGCGCCGTCGTGGAGTAGCGCTTTAGCTGGGCCATTAAGGTTAGACCTATCGCCTACTTTTGGGCATGGTAGACAACGTATTTAGCTTTTTAATAAAACCTTTCAGCACTAGTCTAGCTTTATCTAGGCATCGCCGCGTGTATTACGTGAGCGACTATTTCTTTACTTGGGGGATCTTTTTCTAGGGCGGCCCGAAAGAGGTCTTAAATTTCCTACTATGCAGGCGTGCGCGGAGGGCTGGCCATTTTGAAAGGTTCACTACTATTCCTGATCTGAGAAACATCAGAATGATTATCACACTATTACCTTAATCCAAGGCCTAATTTTGACGGGAGGTCAGGGTAAATGGAACCTCTCCAACTCCGGTATTTCTCTTTTCCCCATTGGAGGAGATTTAGGACCCGCCCGGGGTCGTGGGGCGGGGTAGTGCCCGTCCGGGGTAAAACTGACCGAGCCTATAGCCCGCGGATAAAATGATACCGAGCCGTGTCCGCCTTGGGAAGTCGTCGGGTCCTTGAATGATCGGTAATGTCTTGGATCCTGCACGTCCTATTTCCCCCACTGAGCATGGTATTGTATGAAGACGAGGAATCATTCATGATGAGCATCCGGCTTCATGTTTGGAGGCCAGCCTTCGAAGACATTCTGGGTGGATCACGTTTGCTAAAGATTTGCCCGTGGTACTTGATACCCGAGTCGAGCACAGCGCTCACTAGAAATTAGCGCTTATGCTCCCCCAGCCTTTCGGTTAATTGCATTCGCGCCTTGTGATAGGTTCAACAGAATCGAACCACCCTGCCAGGGAATTAGGAGGATGGGATCTTAGAGTAAACAACAAGAAAAACCTTAGGACGAGGTACTACGGCCCAAAGCAGGAATTCTCCGGCGAATGGAACGCCACATCTCGACCCACACCACCACACCGTTCCACCAAATTGCTTGACTTCAGCACCCCCCGCAATGCCGAACGAATACAATTCCTCCCGGCTAGTGCCTATTAAATTACTCCGCTCGAAAAGAGCCTACCATAATCAAGCGACGCTGCTACCGTAGTGCCCGGGGGAATGACCCTCTTGCGTGGAAATGTGGGGTTATGGAGGTCAAGGTCCGGAGCAAGCTTCACCTAATCGAGATAAGGGCAGGATCACCATTCACAAGCGTATGTTCCCAGGTATAAAGATCTGAAACCCCCAGTAGTGCCTGCCTTTCCTTCGCTCACCCGTTTCTCTTTTCTCTCAGAAATCGTCAACATGAGCAGCGACCTCCCAGAGAAGCAGACAGCGTCGGAGATCGAGGCGCAGCCCGCCTCCACGGGCGGACCGGTTTACGATGTCGGCGAGAAAGTTGACTACGACAGGGCGGGCGCCATCGATGCCGAGCAAGTTGAACATAATATGACCGTGCTCCAGGCTGTAAAGGCCTATCCCGCTGCCAGCTGGTGGGCATTCGTGATGTCGTCCACTATTGTAAGCTCTCGCAGTCTTGCCTTCTATAGGCAGATCATTACTCTAACGTTATATTCTCTACTAACTTTACATTCTCTAACCTTGCGATAGATTATGGAGTCATACTGCGTTTTCCTTATGGGTCAGTTTATTGCCACAGCCAGGTTTGCGAAGGACTTTGGTGTATTCAGCGCGAGCTCGAATGAGTGGATTATCGAAGCTTCATGGCAGTCAGCATTCCAGTGCAGCGGGCCAATCGGTGCCTTTATCGGTGTATTCATCGCAGGTCCCATTACTAGTTGGATTGGATATCGTTGGGCAACCATTGGCGCCCTCATGGCTTTGAACGCATTCATCTTCATCTTCTACTTCGGCAACAGCCAGGGCATGTTTTTCGCTTCCCAGATCCTAGAAGGCATCCCATGGGGAATTTTTATTGCCAACGCGCCGGCTTATTGCGCGGAGATTGTGCCAATGAGGTTGAGAGCTCCGGCGACGCAGATGTTGCAGATGTTCTGGGCGATTGGGTCGATCATTGTCGGCGGTATCACGTACCACTACCAATCTCGGGATGACCCGTCGGCATACCGAGTTCCCATTGCACTCCAGTGGATGTTCCCTACTCCTCTCGCGATTCTACTCTTCCTTGCGCCCGAATCGCCCTGGTGGCTCGTACGAAAGGGCCGTCTGGCTGAGGCAGAGAAGGCTGTCAAACGCCTGGGACGCGCGAGTGCGAATGATAACCCGGCTGACGCAGTCGCCATGATGCGTCGCACGATCGAACTTGAAAAGACTGAGACGAAGCCGACTCTCGTTGAACTGTGGAAAGGTACCGATCTCTACCGCACATTGATCGTGTGCGGTGTTTACGCATCTCAGAATCTGACGGGCAATCTGATTGCCAACCAAGCGGTTTACTTTTTCAAACGTGAGTCTCGCCATTTCCTGCGAAGTCATAGCATACTAAATCCAGCTCAGAGGCCGGCATGGGAGAAAACACCGCGTTTGCACTTGGTCTCATCACTTCTGCCCTCCAGTGGATCATGGTCATGTTGTCTTGGGTCCTCACCACATACCTCGGCCGACGCACCATTTATGTCTATGGTCAACTCATCAACTGTGCATTCTTGATCGCGCTCGGTATTGCGGCATCGGTTGGCGCCAGTAAGGCGGCTAGCAACGCACAAGCATCACTTGGCTTGATCGTCTCCGTCCTCTTCTGCTTGGGACCCGCCCCTGCCTCATGGGTCATCATCGGCGAGACACCTTCCGTTCGTCTGCGGCCACTGACAACCGGTATTGGACGAGGTGCCTATTACTTGGTCAACATTCCTTGTATCTTCCTTTCCAGCTACATGCTCAACTCTGATAAGTGGAACCTGGGCGGCAAGAGCGGCTACATCTGGGCTGGCACTGCCTTTTTCTGCACCGCCATGTCTTGGATGTTCATTCCAGAGATGAAGCACAGGTCCTTCCGTGAGATCGATATTCTATTCAACCGTCACGTCCCCGCTCGCAAATGGAAGCAGACGGTCGTCGATATTCGCGATGATGAGTAGATGGAAACTGCTGTTCGGAAAAGCCCGAGTGGGTACTAGCTACTACTTGTGCAGGAACGGGTGGTAGAGATGAGTTCTTTATAGGTACTGACTGGTCATTATCTTCAAGATGAGTTACCGATTGCGGATCACGGGGAAATGTACTGTATGCTCTACTCTCGTCGGTAATGACTGCTACAGTACCGTTCTTGTCTTTTGTATATTTAATTTAAGATGCTAGTACCACATACAAGCTTTCTGCTGCCCTCGCGTCGCTCGGGCTTGTGAGTGCAATTTGAATCACGTGATCTAAGTTATTAGTTGGAGCAATACTTTCAACTCGATACAGGGGCATTTTGGCTCCTGCCGGAGTGGTACTTCGTTTCCTGTACTCCGTAGCAACTCGTCGTTGGCTGGGGGGGGGGTTACGAGTCCTCGCAAAAATCCGGAATCACGGTTCAATTGCTTGGCAGCTCGAATCCGGAAATTTGGAACACCTTGTCATCAGATCATGCGATCAAGTGATCGCAGGTTTGGCGCTGAGGTGATACAAACTAAAATGGTGGCGTTCTTTGTCGCCGGAGAATTGCCGCTTCGGGTTGTGGGCAAGCGTCTGGACTTGTTTCCTAAGCCTATACGAGTCATGCCGGCCCCCGGTCCTGGGCTTTTGGGCTTTTGGGCTTGGTGTAACCCTAGCCCCCTTATTTGCCAGCCGGCACGGTTCAAGGTAGCGGAGCCTATCATACTTGAGCGACAGAATTAAGCCGAGAAGCGCTAAGGAGTTAGCGCCGTGATCAACTCTGGTTGCCCAGTACCACCCGCAAGTCTTTCAGCGAATGTGACCTATTGAGAAGACGCTTTTGTAGCGGTGGCTTCGGTACATGGAAGTCTCGGTTCGATAGAAGCCTTCGGTGCCAGATCTTTACCGGTGCCTTCGGGGATGGCCGTTGTGCGTGCTTTTCATACCCGGCCGATGCCGTGTTTGATCGAGAAAATACACAGGACAGAATCCAGGATGTAAATTCGTCCAACCCCGGAAACAATAAAAGACACGGGGCCAAGACGCAAATGCGGTCAGACGGCCAGACTCTCCGGCTCGCACACGGCTCGGAATGATCTGATTCGCAATGTAGGGGGTTCGGGGTGCTTCACCCCGGACGGGCTCTACCCCGCGCGGAGTGGACGGCCTGACCACGGGTCCTTCAACTCTCCTTGGGACTTTAATTGCTTTGAAATGCCGCAGACTTCCCTCTATGTTCGTCTTCTCGGTCGACCGTTGATGTAGATTCACACTCTCTCTATGAAAGACGTAGTGTTATCCAAGTTATAAGATTTGGAAAAAAAAAAAAAAAAAAGGAAAAAAAAAGTGTTAAAACGAAGGTTCTCACGTGACATTTAAATAGATCACCGTTCATTTGTACTCGTCAAACTAGTCCGTGTACTGTACGACAGCTGTGTACAGTGGACCTCTGATGCCTCATCGGATGATCTTCCCGTTGTACTGTCAATCGTCGAAGTGTGATGGCACAGTCTTTTATTTGAAAAGGCATGATCCATATCCACGTGTGGGCCTATCCACTCGGGGAACGAACCATCGACGTAGCCCCGGATCCGCAGGGTCGAGTTTAGCTCATATCTACTCCGTACAGAACGACGAGTGCCAGCGGAAATGAATTCCGGGCGCCCGATGGTCTTGGAGGTCATTAAATCGGTCTAGTTCAGAGTTGACACATTGTATCATGTCCGACGGAGCAAAGCTCATTCGTCGATTATTCCATTGGTTAGCCATGAAAGGGATCATGAGGCAAGGGGTCTTGAAAAACATCAGTCGTCACTATGGATGATCACTACAGGAAAATGAAAGCCGAAGCGAGGATCGAGGCCACCAACGCTAGAAGGCTGCTCGCGCCAACTGCTTCTTTCGATGACAACCCGCCACCGGCCCCAGAATGCTTTCCTAGACCCAATGGTAGCCCCTGGTAACTAAACGTCAGGTTCTGAGGAATCGTCTTATTATAGCACTCTCCGTTCGCGATGTCCAGATTGGTCAGGTCATCCGGGTTGAGGAAGAACATGTACTGAGACTGGGAGAGATTCTTGAAACCAGAGGTATCGTAAGGGAACTTGTCCCCAGAATCGGTGGCAGAGGTGTTGCGAAGGAAGATGCACTGCACCTGTCCCGGGAATTCCGTCACCATTTCGGGGTAGTCACGCATCACATCGCTGTTACTGGTGTCTGCGATCAGGATAAATTTGCGCTCGGGGAACGTTTCGAAAATCTTTTGCAGCAGGAACTTGCGGATCGAAAGCGTGGCGGAGACATCACTGAAATTGAGAGGTCGGGTATCAAAAGAGCCGCCCGGATAATTGGTGTAGATAAATTGCATGTAGTTTCTGGTGATTTGCTCGGGGGTAGTAGTCTGAAAGGGAGGTAGAATGTTAGTGGATTTTCAACGACATTGAACAAGGGGCATGAACTAACCAAATAGTGGAAATGCATGTTCGGAAGGCTGATCGACCAATTCCGATAGATGTCTGGCATATTCTCCCACGGCGTGAACGCCTTGGCGAAAGAGTTGAGCAGACCTTCTTTGGGCTCATAAATCTTGGTAACACGGAGGATATCGTCAATGTCGGACACGACGGTCAGTCCGGTCGGGGGTACCAGGTACGCTGTGGCATTTCCAATGGAGGCGCCCTCGACGTACGTGTTGAGTCTCTGGATCGCCGATGTTTGATTGCCCGCCCTCAGGCCGTTGCTCTTGATTGGAACAAACGTATCGAAATCACCCTCGGCCGTAGTATTGTAGGGGAGAGTCACATTCTGCACGCCCCCCGTGGTGTTGGATGATCCACCGCCCCCAGCCTGTCCACTTGATCCCTGTGACGCGGCCGGCTCGAGGTGAATGGTATTGACCGCCACGTGAGGCTGCTGCACGACGAAGATTTCGGCCGTGAGGTTGCGTGCCTGGTCCTGCTCGGATTCGGGGAGATCGGTGATTTTGGTATCGACGAGGAAGACATTGGCGAGCTTGTTCAGATCGGAGACGGAGGTATTGGGCTGTTTGTACACGTTGCCGTGGAAGCGAACGTTCCACCCGGAGCTGGTCCAATTGGCATACGGGTCAATGTTCAGCACGTTGGTCGGAAGTGCTGCCAAATCCGAGCTTTCTAGTCCGAGGGAGCTGGCCACTGCGTCTCCGGTCGGGAAGCCCTGGAAGAAGTTGGGCACTCCCGAGGCGACCCAGGTGGGAAGATCGGAGCCGAGGCTTGAGAGAACATTGCCGATGTCGGATTCGACATCACTGAGAATGTCTCGTTGGACAACGGGGGAAGGGGTCTTGTCAATGGGGGATGGAGTAATAGCGGCCTTGGGGGGGTCGTGAATATCATTGAGTTGTACTAAAGCCGTGGGAGCGGGGATCGCAGAGACAGAGACGATCAGGCAGGGGGCACATGACATAAGCACCAAGCCTTGGAGCGTGGGGATAAAAGGCTTCATTTCTGCTCAGGTGATCTTTTTCCCCTTCAGATATTGGTCACCGTGATCATCGCAAAGTCTGGGCAGGTACCAGTTTAAATAAAATGATTTCACCAACAAGCACCAACAAGCACCAACCGGAGATTGTCAACATGGGAACAGGAAGAGGAGGAGAAACAGGGTCTGACGGGGTCCCAAGGGTCTAAACGGGGTCCACCGACGTCACTCCCGTTACAGAAATCATAACGGCCCTGAAAGCTTTCTTACTTCATTTCCTTGCCTCCATTTCCTTGCCTCCAGACTAAGGAAGTTAAAGCTGTGAACTGTGGTAATTACGATGCTCCGGATTAGGCCCATCCCACCCGACCACAAATTGGCTGATCGTGAAGAAGCTCCCTACTGGAAGGAAGGAAGGTCTATGTACATTGAAGTTGATACGATCACAGTTCATTTCAGCGCCAAGACGTCAGTATCCAATTGTGGCTTATCGCCTAAATCATGATGGGTGGGGTAGCTGATGACGATACAGTACAACAGCACACCCGTACAGCCGTTTGTCAAATTGAGCAAAATGAAATAATACAAAGTGATCGCTCAACGACCATTTAAAGGTAGATACCTTCGAGGGCGAAAGACGAGCCAGGCCGGTATAGCTGCACCGAGGATAAACCCAGTACTTTGGAGCTCCATCCTCCTATTTAGTGGTACCTTCATCAGCAAGTTATTAAGTTTGGATAGAACCAAAGGATTTGGGCTACTGTTCGCCGGGATCATTTGGGTTCTCTGTCAATACAACGTATCAAACTTTACGCAGAGCTGCTTCTGTAGGCATGATCCTAGCTCAGATACAAAGATTAATATGATACAGTATATTTTTCCCAGACCGTAACAAATCAATTCAACCATGCGTCATTTCTTTACTCAAATCTCATGTGTGTTGTCCCTTTCCGATATTTGGCCAAAGAAAACCTTTAATGGTTTTCCTACCTAGAACGTAAATTCACTCATCGTTCCTACTTGGCCAAGCTAAAGGTTGCATATCTCATTCTGTCTATCAAGCGAGAGTCTTTCTGCGCTGCCTCAGCATATACTTATACATCATCACCGAGCCTTTGGTTCTTCTGTTAGATTCTTTTTCTCCTCCAATGACTGGGTTGATAGTGGGTGGTTGATGTAACTTACCAGGAACATATAACCCTAGGAAGAAATAGAACACGGCTAATACTGCCATATTACCAGTGACCTTGGTAGCATTGTACATCAACCACCATTCACTTCCAATTCCAACTGGGTAGAGGATCACAAAGAGCGAGTATCTATACGTATTGCGAAGGGGGTGAGCAGATCTACCTCGGAGAAGGAGTATCCGTCCGCATGGATTTAAGTAGTGCTTACCTGAGCCATTTCAAAATTCCGGTGTTATTCAACCCGGCTAACATTGTCGCAAAGTATGCATACCGAATGACATCTGCAGTTGACCACGCGAGTAGCATAGCTGCGTAAGCGCGCGATGGAGATGTTGCTTCGGGAAACGCATAATTCACAGCCCAGACCTGAGTTGAGCGGGCAAAGACTTGAGTGAAGGTAGTGAAGACAGGTGAACGTGTGATTCCTATGGCTGGGCGTTAACAAGATGGATTTTAAGGCGGAAAGCAAGAGACTATACCACATGCTGCATGGATAATCTCCACAACAGCCAAAGTTTGAGTAAAACGTGTCCAGGGTTCAAGATTTGTGTATACAACGGAGGCGTCGGGCGATGATACCAGCGTGAAGATCAAGGTAATTAGGATGCGGAACCATAGTGAAGCACAAACAGCGTTGTAGAACAGTAGATAGATTCGGTTGATCGATATGCCAGCGCGGGGCTCTGGCTGATGGGCGATCGACATGTTTTGTTTCATGTCAATGGTTCACGATTGTTATCGTAAACCTTATGTCTCGGGGTGAGACGCAAATTTAATTTGGTGGAATTTTTAGCGTTTGGAAGCATTCCAGTCACGGGACCCGGCCATTAGCCTCGGTATCTAAATCGCGTTTGACTACATTTGGCAAATTTGGAACTAATTACGACCGGTCTCCATCAACTAGTACCGATTCAATCAGCTTTTCATTTTATTTGTTCCGTGTTGATTCTCGGTGGGATCTCTGCGGTCGGCGCGGCCACAATTGGGCTTCGTCACCTCGCGGTTTCCGAATGCCGAATTCTTGCGACCAGCTCGCCGCGACTTCTGGAGGCAGATGGTCTGATCGACAGAAATCCATTCTTCGTTACCTTGGATTTTGAAGCCAGCCACTCCAGGCTCTCAAGGTGTCGACGCAATCATTGACGGTGTTGGTGCCGGCCACACGCAAAAAAAGACAGTCTTGAAGCACTCGACCTTGATGTGCCAAGGTATATATGGACGGGAGATGAGCAGATTGATGCGCCATGACGTTAGTGGAGGGAGATAGATCGTATTCATCTAGCTTGGGTCACAACTTTATCGGGGATACTGTTCACAAACCTGGCAGCTTTACAAAAAACACTAGAAATGTCAGCTATCGTTAGTGTATCCTTGTTGTCGATAATAAAATGTACTGTTGGTTGTTGATCTCGAGCTGGTTCAGAAATAGGCTGGTGACCAATTCGTATCTCACGTAAGACAAGCCCTCGATCTGCAGTAGCGACTCGTCAAACTCGTCGCCTCCTAGGACTTTGTTTGTGGTGATTGAACGCTAAACCCCAAAGAGTAGGGTCGGCGCTTAGCCCCCAAATGTTCCCCCTAAAGATTGTTTAATTATTTTGTGAACCCTGGTACCCATTTCTCGAGCGAAGAATAACAAGTAAAGGCCATATGAGTTTATTCAAGCCTTCATTCGTCACTCTCAACCTCATTTTTCTTCTTGACTATGTCCAGGCGAAGGCGGATTTTCCAACTCCTCTGAGTGAAGCCCATCCGGAGCTGAAGGCAGATAATGGTGTGACCTTCGACCCGTTAGGTGTAGCGGCAGTTTTGTACAATGAACGTGCCGACAGAAGTGCAGCGAGGCTATATACCCAGTATGATCGGGAAATCTTTATATGGCCGCATATGACCATGATCGGGGGCACTCTGCCCCCAATGCAGATGCTTGTTGAGCGCTTGACAGCACCCTTCAAGTGGATCCACCCCGCCATCAAGATGTGTGCCAAGGATACAACAATGCTCTCGATTAGATCAAACATTTCCGGCAACGTTTTCCGACAGCTACCCTATAATCTGAGCAACACCTGGCTCAGTGATATCGTTTCCTTTGAGCCTTCAAAACATCCGGGTAACGACTTTGCGATCGTGTACGTCGACAGAGTTCACCGAAAGCCTAAAGACGATAAAGCCGATGGCAGTGAAAGTGATGACCACGAAGAGGAAATTCTTATTCAGTCAGAAATTGGAAACCTTCGGTGGCAGGCTGGAAGATGGACTTTGAACGTGCTCTGCATCATCAACGGGGCGATGGTTTTGACGGGGATGGTGTTTGGCATTCTGCTAGCAGACTTATGGGCCTTCACCCTGTTCCTCCTCTACAGCTTCCACTGGGGTGCCTCAGTGGCCATTTCTCTCAAGAAAATGGTCACCATCCATACGCCTTCAAAAATCGACCCAGAGGCTAGTGATCGGTTCGCCGTCTATGAGCGTGAAGAAGGTGGAACCGTCATTTTCAAAGGTCCCCAAAGAACCTTGGAGACTTGGGCACGATCAACCTGGGAGTACAAGCCTGAATGGACCAAAGACAGCCTACACTGGTTGTGGGTTATCACCGGATCACTTTGTGGCGTCGCATCCGTTGCATGTATGGTCAATATGCATGGCAAAATGCAGCTCGGCTTTCTGGGCGTCTTGGTCTACGCGTCAGTAGCAGAGATTGGGGCGACGCGAATCGCACGCATCCTTCAAACCAAAGCTCAGGGCCCGATCTCCAAAGATGCCGTTCGTGGAAATGCGACTCGTTCGCTGGCCATTATTCGGGCGACCCTCGCAGTCAACCCTCGTTGTCGGTTGACGGGTCTCGATTGGATCTCAATGGGGCTACTTCCGGATATGCTGGTGTTCGAGGAAATGCAATTGCTTTTAGCAGACATCAGCCAAATTTTGGGAGATTACAAAGAGATACCCCGGCCGTTCCCCGCAGAAGACAGTCGCAGCTCGGCCATCAAAGTCAGGTGCACAATGTTCGTTGACAATATCAAGGCCAAGGATCCTGGTCGGAAAGACTTGGCCCAGAGAATAAGAAAAGAGGTTTACACGACATTGAATCTGAGCCAAGAAGATATTTTGGAGCCCAAAGGATGAAGATGGTCATGACTTTTAACTTCTTTGGGCTCTCTATCTTTTCTAGGAAGGGGGCCCTTGCACGGATGTCAGCCATGTATGTTTCACTATATTTTCGTTTGAAAGACTGTGGCAGTCGGGAGAAGATGAGGCAGACCAATGGAGGTATATCAAGATTTTTCGCGGTCTATAGGACACCTATACCCAATCAAAAGCCGATATTCGGATTACTCAGAATAGTAACTAGTTAGTAGCATCTTAGGAATCACGCAATCATTATCATGCCATAATAGTGCGAGTCAGAACATGATAATTGAAGTTCAGGCAACAAGTGTATCCGTAAGGCTCCAAGGCTGCAAGGCCAGTCTGACACGGGAATGTTTACACAGCCCACTTCGACTGCCACTGCCACCACCTGTCCGCTTTGATTTTCATTTGTCACACGCAGCTGACATCCACACCGAGTTAAAAGCACCCTGCGCGCGAGGGATCATAGGCATGGCAAGCTCCCTTCCCAAAAATCCATGAAATCCCCTCTTCGGGAGGAAGAGGGCCCAACCCCTGCAAAGCTCTGCGCCTTGTACGATGTCGGTGGTGGGGTATGTCTGGCCGATTCGTTTGCCATCTACTCGGTCGTCGCATTCCCCCCCAAGTGGGCAACTATCGAGATCGATCGCATAATATGCTCTCAGCTCGAGGAAGCTGCTTCGCTGCTCGCAACCAAAATTCCTATACTTTCCAACCTGCGCGATCATCCAGTGCTGGACCTCGTTTCGTTGCCATGTCCGCCTCGGGGACCCGCTCAAGGAAGCATTTGTACAAGCCCGGCTGACAGCCTCCCCTGGTTCTTGATACACGCAGCTAGATATTCAAAGCACTGCGTGTTTGGTCGCAGCGATTCTTTGACCTCACTGCTCGTTGTTCTCCAGCGGCCGTGGTGCATCCTCGAGCTGTGCTGCTGTGATACCCTAACGGTAGCCGCACTTCACAATCTCGCGACTCTGGCCATGAAATTTGATGCTTTGACCTATAGACCTGCTGTCGAACTCTTAGCCCACGAGTTATCGCGCAGAAACGACAACCCCCCGAACCTCCCCAGAGTCAATCATTCCATAGGTGTGACGCATAGATGTCCTCAACAGCGCGGTGCCTTCAATTTGTACAAGGAGCTCTCTAGGAGTTCTCTTCGATCGCATAACTCCTTTTGGATAGGACTGATCTCTATATGTGCGGTCTACCTTGGTCTGGCATTCTCTGATACGACGAAGATTCTGGGCGATCTGGTCAGCGATCCTCAAACTACGAGCGCGGAAAATCCCAGCGCTCTCAAGGCGATATCCAGAGCTTTATCATCGCATGGTGCTTCTATTCTCCCAGTAGGCCAAGCGAGGCGCCACATCCATACTCTCGCACTACGCAGAAGGCACAGCATCGATGTCATCACGCGTCCGGAAGGAGACTCGGAGATCTATGACACACCGTCCCTCGCCAGCCAAGCGGATTCTCATATTGAACGCGCCCATGCACCGGATCTTCTGAAGCTTTACGAGGTAATTCTCAAAAGCTTCAGAGAGTATATCTGATGCTTTCAAACCAAAATTGCGGACCAAGACTTTGGTAGGATGGGGTGCAGCCTTCAAGTTCTTCGAGAATGCTTCCAATAGCTACAACGTCAAGGGTGGCAGAGCTGGCTGTTGAATCAAGACGACATCAACTGTTATAATGCAAGATTTGGTCTATTCGTTTAGAGTGTGTATGAATGAATGAGCTTATTCGAGTATATCGTTCGTTCCATCTTTTTCAAGTCTCGAACAAGGCTTACCCCGCATGAGAGCCAGGAAAGTCCGTGGAGCACTTCCCCGCAGTTGTTGCCCCGCAAGTCTGATATTGTTCCATCGTTGATTTCCCTGCATTACCGAGTTCACACCGAAAAAACAACTTCAATTGGCTCAGTCTTGGAATATCAAGCGGATTAAAATCGAATATCAAATTATAAACACCCTTTCCGGTAATGAAGTGGGGCGTGAGAGTTTGGTTGACAACTAGATTGCTTGCCGTCAGTTCTGGTTTCCAGTCATAAAGCCGAGGTCCGAGACGAATTGCAATACAAGGTTTTGAAAAGAGATGTGTCAATTGAGAGGAGGCTCACTGGCTCTATTTACCCCGCTAAATGGGCTCGGTCTATATCAGGTACCAACCACCCATGGCATAAATCCGTTCTAGAGCGCGCCTCTTCTGTTATTTAACCTATGAACCGTCAACCAGTGTAGAAGGCACCTCGTACACAAAATGATTTTCACCTCTCAGCAACCAAGCATTTCCAGTAAGGTGTCATAGACAGGCATTATGTGAGCCTAGACTCATGATGCTTACAAAATATCTCTACTTCAGTTCCCGAAGATGTTACAATTTGGGAATGGCTATTTACCTCGTCAACTTCACCCTTGAGCCAGCATAAGACCTCCGATCTTGGAGGCTTCACAAACGCCGCTACAAAGGAACGGATCGGTTACGATCTGGCTAAGGAGTATGCGACAAAGATATCAACGGCCCTGGTTCATAAGTTTGGACTTTCGAAAGGGGATGTGGTGGCACTTTTTAGTCCAAACACCGTTTGGTATCCTATCGCCATGTTTGCCACGAATCGCGTGGGTAAGCAGCCCTGTTTGGATATCCCCGTCTGATAATGCCATGAATTATAACATCTTTCTGTAGGTGGCATGATATCGGGTGCTTCGCCTGCCTACAACGTTGAGGAAATGACGTTTGCGTTACGTACAGCACAAGCAAAGGTTCTTATGACCGCGGTATCCTCTCTTCCCGTTGCTATCCCGGCTGCAAAGAATGCAGGAATCTCACAGGACCGGATTATACTTCTTGAAGGAAGGAAAGAAGGCTTTACTTCAATCCAAGATCTTGTAGTCTTTGGAGCAGGGTTTGGGCCTAATGGCCAGGTTCAGCCTTTCAAGATCCCAGCTGGGCAGACTAACAAGGATATTTGCGGCTTTCTGAGCTTTAGCAGCGGAACCACCGGTCTTCCTAAAGCTGTACGTCATTTTGGTTGATGCCATTGACGCAGAAACCAAAGTAACATGTTGACAGGTCATGATTTCTCATCACAACGTGATTGCGCAAAGTATGCAGGTCGAGCAGATCACGTCGAAAGGAAATAAGAAGGTATTGGCAGTGCTACCGTTATTTCACAGTAGGTCAACCTCATTCTCGTGGAAAGCCGGCCTCTAACAGATACATTGTTGCAATAAAGTCACCGGCCTAGTCCACCAAATGCATCTCCCCGTCTTCCGAAACTCAGAGGTCTATATGCTTCCAGCGTTTACCATGAAAGCCATGCTAGATACGGTCGTTCAGTATCAGATTACAGAGCTCTTGCTCGTTCCACCTATTTTAATCCGGCTTCTGCGGGATCCCATTGTTAAAGATTACAACCTCTCTCACGTCCGCAAGTTCTCTTCTGGTGCAGCCCCACTCTCCTCGGAGATCATTCAAGAACTCAAACGCCAGTTTCCAAATACGGGGTTCAAGCAAGGATATGGAATGACCGAGTCATGTAGCTGCATCACGGCCCATCCGTTGGAAAAGTCTACCTATGAATATGCCCACTGCGGCGGCACCATTGTCGCAAATACCGAAGTCAAAATCAGCAACCCCGAAACGGGCATCGCGCTCGGATATAATGAGCCTGGTGAGATTTTAGCCAGAGGGCCGCAAATTGTGATGGGGTACTTGAACAATGAGAAGGCCACGGAGGAAACCTTCGACGCTGATGGGTGGCTTCACACTGGTGATGTGGGTTTCATTGACGAAGAAGGGTTCATCACGATCACAGACCGTATTAAGGAAATGATCAAGGTAAAGGGTATTGCAGTTGCCCCAGCCGAGCTTGAGGACCTCTTACTTGGGCATCCAATGGTGGAGGATGTGGCCGTCGGCCCTATTCCTGATGACTACACCGGCCAACGCCCGAAGGCGTATGTCGTGCTGAAGTCTGGCATTCGTCATGGTAAAGATCGGTGGGCTATCTTGAAGTCACTCAATGAGCTTATCGACTATGTCTGTGGTAAAAAGGTTCGCCATAAGTGGATTACTGAGATTGAGATGCTCGAGGAAATTCCGAAAAGCGCAAGTGGGAAGATCCTTCGTCGGATGCTCCGGAAATTAGAGCAGGAGGATAGCAGCAAAGAGCGATACATCGTTACTCGGGGTGAGACGAAATCCAAGCTATGAATGATGTCTTCGAACAGGCTAGGGCACACGAATGGTTGGAAATTTGTGGAGAAATATAGATATTTGCCAGTATATGGGGGAAAGTATATATAAACCAAACACTCGATAATCTATCTCGGGACCCCATCCGAAGCCAACGCCGATCATGCAAACAAAGTTCATGCACCATAATCATGACTCAAAACGGTAAAAAAAAGGCAGATGAGCAATGCAACATCTTTTAACTCAAATAACCAGGAAAAAGAAAAAGAAAAAGAAGAGGCCTGCCTCGACGCTTATGCGTTCTCAGCATGGTACATCTCCCGGTCCTTTCGCCCAGCCGGGCTCTCATCCGCATTCCACTCCTGGTGCTGCTGCGGAATCTCGTACTTGCTGCTCTTCCAGGGAACGACCTTGTTGACATACATGTAGTCCAGCTCCTCAAGAGTACGACCCTTGCCCTCAATCACGAAGAAGTAGATGACAAAGATAGCGACTAACAGGCAGCCCGCAAAGACGTAACCGTAGGCGAAGTCAATGGCACTAGTGATGAAAGTGGTGAAGAAGGAGATGAGGAAGTTCCAGGCCCAGTTGGAGGCAGTGGCCAGGGCCATACCCTTGGCACGGTACTTGGAGGGGAACAATTCGGCGACGATAGCCCAGATCATGGGACCCCAGGTCATGGCGTAGGCAGCAATGAACAGACAAGTCACGACGATCATGCCCTTGCCGACGTTGGGGGTGTTCTCCGGGTTCTCAATGTCCAGCATGAAGTGACCCAGGGAGGCGAAGATCATGAACATCACAAACATCCACGCGGCACCAAAGATGAGAGACTTGCGACGTCCAAAGTTCTCAACAATGTAGAGACCTCCAAAGGTAGTGCCGAAGTTGACGGCACCCAGGATGACCTGGGTGATGAAGCTGTCCGAGATTCCGGCACCCTGGAAGATAGTGGTACCCTAGAAACAGAGACATGTTAGCATTTGATTCGTCAAGGCAATTCTTCTGACCTAGGGAAAGGCATAACTCACGTAGTAGAAGAAGTAGTTGGCGCCAGTGAGCTGTTGCAGACTCTGGAGGGCCATGCCGAGAACGATACGGTAGAACATACGAGGAGCCGTGAGGAACTCGTGCCACACCTGGGCCTGGGACTCGGCCTCAAATTGCTCGCGGATCTCATCCATCTCTTGGTTGATACGGACGTGGTTCTCGGGGACACCGTACAGCTTAGCCAAAGTCCGGCGGGCACTCTCGACCTTGCCATGGCGGAACTCGTAACGCGGGCTCTCGGGGAAGAAAGCCATGCCACCACCGAGGATCACAGCGAAGAGGAAAGTCAGGCCCAAAGTGATACGCCACTGGGCAGTTCCATCGAGGTTATGAGTGCCCAGGTTGATGCAGTAGGCAAGGAAGATACCCAGAGTCACGAACAACTGGTAGCAGGAGATCATGGCACCACGAACATGACGCGGGGCACTCTCACCCTGGTACATGGGGACCAAGAGGGAGCAACCACCGACACCAAGACCAGTCACCCAACGACCGACAACCATCTGCCACCAGTGTCCACTAGGAGCAGTGATCTGCACGATCAGACCGACGATCAGGATCGCACACCAAATCGAAATAGACCACTTCCGGCCGATGAAGTCGGCCAGGGGAGCTCCCACCAAAGCACCAATCAAGGTACCGATGGAGAGCATGGCGACGATCAGGCCCGAGCGAGTATCACTGAAGTAATACTCGCCGCTGCCGTTAAGCTGACCATAGCGTTGCAAATAGTTGCTCATCTCCTGGAAGCCGGAGATCTGACCGGTATCGTAACCAAATAGCAGACCACCCATTGAGACGAAGAGAGCCATCACCAGGGACCGGAGAGTGATGCGTGGAACAGGGGTGTCGACTCCAGCTGGACGCATAGGCTTCTCAATGGGACTCGTTTGGAAGGAAGTGTCTGTGCTGGAGTTCTGAGCCGGGGTGATAGACTCCCCATGATGGGCAGAAGATTCAAGACCCATGATTGCGATTGGTTTTTTGGTGGTGGTTTACACCCTCCGTTAATCACTCCCGAATGTTGATTTATAATATGAAGAGGATATCAGGCAACCAAGGCTTTGAATATAAGGGGATGTCCCTGATATTAACACAAGAGCAGTTGGTCAAGAGAGAATGCCCGTGGGGAAAATGAAAAGGAGGAGATGTCGGTTTGGAGGAAAACTGGGCCCTTTTTGTAATCGTGCAGGAACAGGAACATGCTCGCTAGGAAGGAAAAAAAAAAACCAATATACGCCCCTCATCTCCCCAGCAAAACTTCACCCACAATTGTTCATTCGTCGAGGAGCCCCCAGTGGAGAGACCGTGTGGAGAGCCACGACGCGGACGACGACTTGCAGAGCCGAGTGCCGTCCGGACCAAATGACGATGACCAACGCCAACCGGCCGAATCTGATTATTCGTAGGCCACGAGATACCCACCTGGTCAGGAGACTGCCAGTTAGAGGTATTTCCAGCAGGGGATCGGATGTGGTGAACCATTCAGAGGCCATCCCTGCCAACGGACGGCCGGGTTGGCCGGGACCCAGATGGAGACAACAAATCGGCTCGGTTGGGTGAAAATTCACCATTCAAGGCTCGGCAAGTGGCGACGATGGAAAACCTCGGGGCACCAGACAGCAATCAAAGCCGTGCCGAAGTATGACGTTCGTGGCTCGGCATCGGCGTTGGCTTCGATCGGCTTCCGAAACGGCATTAACACACGGTGGTTATTAGCATTGCCAAGTCGGCCCGAATTCGTAATCTCGTTCGTATTTGTTGCTCTCGTCTCGTCTGGTAGCAGGCTGTTTGGATATGTCTTCGAAATACGTGGTAAGATAGAAGCCTGGAGAATTGACCCCTCAGCATCTCCGTGCATTCCGGGGCATCCGCCCCCAGGCTGCTCCGGATTCTTTCGCCCTGGCAATGATGCCAAACCCGATGAGTGTCTCGGTGAAGTACCGATGGAGACACTGCCCCCCGGGGTCTCTCCGTTGCCCGCATCTCTCCAGTCTCCAGTTTTATCAGGCTTACACGTGTCGTCGGAAAAGGGGTCTTCTAGAAGCGGGAACTATCGTCGTCCCACATACACGGGGTAATATTGAGGAACAGAGTCTACTACAATGGCTAATATAAAGCAGTCCTGAAAACCATCTTGGGTTTGGCTCTTCAACAATCTCTCCGACATTCTCAAGCCGATCCTTCTAGCAGACAAAGGCCCTGAAAGCCTGATCTGCCGTGGCTGCCCATCAGTGGCGGCGCCACACCCGCGGTAGGGGTGACGGACTACGTCACTGCAGAGTTTGCACGACCACCCAGTTTGGACCAAAAAATGGAGATACACGAATCATCTCGTCAATCTATTCGCACTCTCTAACCTATGCATTCTTTTATCCAAGTTCTCTTATGCTCTGCCTGTGCCTAGTAAGAAAGGGGAAATATTTCCGAATTTTTTGCAATCTGTAAGGTTTCGAATCTCGTGGGCTGAGTCAGCGGGAACAGTTTTTAAGCGCTCGTTTGGGAGGGACAGTAGAACAAAGCGAGACGGGACAATATCATTGGCGCTGTTCTTTGCCTGTGGGTCATTCAACTTCAGACGATAATTTTCATACGTAAGCTTTCCGGTTCCTCCGGTTCGTCCGATCTTCTTCCGCCAGTTCGCTACCTAACTTTGAGTTGGCGAGCTCCTGGCACCGGGTGAACCATGCCAAGTTTTTCCATGAGTGCAGTCTATCAACCAACCAACCGTGGTAGGAAGATCGGCCGGCTGATTGTCGGTCGGAGAAATCTAAGATCATACGATATTCAATGATAGAGAGTTGATGGTTAATGGCATGTCATAGCCATGCCACTCACTATAGGTTCAAGATTGCCCCCCGGAATAGGGAACTTGCAACCGAGCCTCGGTCGGCCGAAGACGAAGAAACAAGGTTGGCCCAGTCCAACTTCTTCAAGTACGGTAGGTCAATTCGATGGTGAATGAGTATTTGCCCTTATTCTTGGCTTGGCATGTTGCCGTGTTTCTTTGAGACTTGCCTGCGTCAATAGTAAGACTTGGATCGGGAGAATAGCAACTCATAGTGCAGTCACATATAGCTCGTCAGGCCGGCACTACCCTGAATCTAGCCTTTCTTGATGGTCCGCCTCCCTAATACGCTATTTCGGAAGGCACGAGCCCCGATTCTTCACACAGCACGGATTGAACACATCGGCCCTTGTCCGGTTGAGGCAAGCGCAGCCACTCCCCCCGCTCGCGACGAGCGCTAAACCCTACGAGACCAAGCTCGGGGATCAAATTGCGGAGAAAACGTACATCTACGGAGTGGAGATACGCGGAGTAGATAGAACAGACTCGATCCTATTGAGGAATAATGCTCGATCGCCTCGTGTAATTTCTCCGGACTGCAGCTCGTGTCTCCGCTTCTCCAGTGATCCTGCAGAATTTCCCCAGATTCGGTTCGTTATCGCGTTTTCTCAGTGTGCCGTCCCCGGTCTTCGTCCATGTATACATGAATCCATCATTAGAATCAACATACTATCAATCAGTCTAACTCTAAACGTGCGGTCTCCTCCGTCTATTTGCCTCCGTAATCTATCTGCCACCGTTCCACTTTCATTTCTCCACTTCTAGTCCTCAAACAACACGGGCCGCCGTCTAAACAAGCACGAACGTCTAATCCGTCTTCAGAACCCTTTTCTGACCCTGTTCCATAACGGAACCTTCTCCGCATTCTCCCCTGAATAATCTCAATGCATCATTGTTGTTACAATGTTGCTCAAAATGAATACTTAAGCATCGTAGTCGCGTCGTAGCCTTAGATTCTTCACGATTGACACTTTCAAACCCCAATTACTCGTGCAGACATCGCATTCAAATGCACTACTCCTCAGTGGTCTTGCTGTTTGCTGGGCTGGCCTCGGCCCAAGTGGCTGAATGGGGTCAGTGTGGGGGGAAAGGCTGGACCGGCTCAACTACCTGCGTATCCCCGTATACTTGCCAGTATCAGAACGATTGGTATAGTCAATGCCTGCCAGGTATATCACCCTCTTTGAATGAAACAATTGATTCTCCCGACTAACTCTTTTGTAGCGACGAGTTCTAGTAGTACCACCTCAAGCACATCGTCAACCACATCCAAGTCGACCACTTCGTCAACTACAACGAAATCGACCACCTCGTCCACTACGACCAAGTCAACAACCACCACCACCTCCTCGACTACCTCGACTACATCCACTGCGGTGTCCACTTCGACCGTATTCCCCACGACCAACGGTCTCAACTTCACCATTGATGGAGAAACGGGCTACTATGCCGGTACCAACTCCTACTGGATCGGCTTCCTGACCAACGACGCCGACGTCGACCTGGTGATGCAGCACCTATACGACTCCGGCCTCCGCATTCTCCGCGTCTGGGGCTTCAACGACGTCAACACGATCCCTTCATCCGGAACCGTCTACTTCCAGTATCTGACCGCGGGGACTGCCACGATCAACACCGGCGCTGACGGTCTACAGCGTCTTGACTACGTGGTCGCCTCTGCAGAGAAGCACGGCATCAAGCTGATTATCAACTTTGTCAACAATTGGTCTGACTACGGTGGTATTGCGGCCTACGTGTCAGCCTTTGGAGGCTCTGCAACCACCTGGTACACAAATACCGCGGCGCAGGCAGCTTACCAAACGTATATCAAGACTGTGGTGTCCCGGTATAGTTCATCTTCTGCGATCTTCGCGTGGGAGTTGGCCAATGAGCCTCGCTGCAATGGCTGCGATACGTCGGTTCTTTACAACTGGATCAAGACGACCAGTGCGTATATCAAGTCTCTTGATTCGAAGCACATGGTGTGCATCGGTGACGGTTAGTCAACTTCTCTCCCGCTTTCGCAGTGTACAAATCACGACATAACTGCGTTGGACTCTACTCACCCAATATTTCTCTTTCTCTAGAGGGCTTCGGTCTGAGCACCGACTCGGACGGCAGCTACCCATTCACCTACGGCGAAGGGCTCAACTTCACTCTGAACCTCGACATCGACACCATCGACTTTGGTACTTTCCACCTCTACCCAAATAGCTGTAAGTATCCCCAAAATACCCCCATTAAGTACCAACCCTCGCTCACATGTTCAACAGGGGGCGAAGTAGACACCTGGGGTCCCACCTGGATCAAGGCCCATGGCGATGCCTGTGTCGCTGCTGGCAAGCCCTGTCTTTTCGAAGAGTACGGGTACCCCTCGAATCATTGCAGCGTTGAGGCTCCCTGGCAGGCGGCGGCGCTGGATACCAAGGGCATTGCCGGAGACCTGTTCTGGCAGTGGGGTGATACTTTGAGCACTGGACAGACTTCGGATGATACTAACACTATCTTCTACGGGTCGAGTGACTTTACCTGCTTGGTGACGAATCATGTTGCGGCCATTTAGGTATGATATGTCGCGGATGGTCGAGTATGCGGTTTGATGTTGGGCAATCACTGTCCGTAAATAGCAGTATATATTGTCGGGTTTGACCAGGTCTGTTCAGCTGCAATGCAGGCCTTGAGACTAGAACCGAGCCTCATATCCAGGAAATATCTCCCTTAAGTTTTACTCTGAAATGTTTCGTCGGGAATCACTGATTACTCAAAAAAGAAAAAAATAAGAACGAACGATGTGCTTCCAGATCGGACCTTATTACTATGCAAAGAAAGGTCACGTGACCAAAAGACTGCGCGCATCGCATGCCCAACAAATAAAATTCCTTCTTCCATTTACAGGCGCGTAGTCTCCTCCACGGAGGCAAGAATGCCCCGTCGATTACGATCAGATCGCAATCCACAGGATACCCGCAATATCGAAGCGAAAGTTGACCATGACCACCAGGAAAGCATCCAACTCGACCAACCAGTGCGATTCCTCGCATCAACACCAACACCCTCCCCACTCTCTCTTCTCCGCACCTCGTCTCGCCTACCCGGCATAACGAGCGCTGACCTCCGAATCCTGCGCACGAAACAACGTCGTTTGCAGCGCTCCGCTGCTCTGACACTACAAGCCACTCGCGAGCTTGGCCCATGGGCAGTCCAAGGACTAGCATCGACACTGATCTTCGCCCAGCACGAAGCCGGGACAGCGGTCTGCATAGACCCGCGCGGGTGGATGCTAACCTGCGCGCATTGCTTCGGCGAGTCAGCACAGGAATGGCGGGCTCACCGTCGCAAATGGCTTCTGTGTTATACGGGGCTAGCAGTGCAAGTTGAATGTGTAGTTTGGGATGCGCGCCGCGATCTCGCTCTAGCGAGGGTAGGCTGCATCGAAACACCCGCAGAGCTCGGTGATAGTCGCGGCGCAGTGCCAGTGACTCCCATTTTCGCATATACTCCCCTGTCCAGGTCACAGTCAACTACGGCCCCGATTATCTGCATCGGACAACCCGGAGCCGACGATCTCGAATCCGCCGCGCCCCGCAGAACCGCGTACGATCTCGTGGAAATCTCCGAGGGTCGGTTATGTGGTATGATCCCTGACGTGGATCCACAGGATAACTCTGAGATTGGGACGCTGAAACACAATGCGTGGACATACTGGGGACACTCGGGCGCACCGCTGCTGCGAAGAGGAGATGGGAGTTTGCTGGGTCTGCATTCTTCCTGGGATGACCACACCGCGATGCGTCATGGTGTGCCACTGGTTGCGATCAAGGCATTTCTCGATGCACACCTCCCCAAAGACGAAGTTGACCTTCCAGGATCTGTTGAGTCCGCTCGGAGTCTAGAAACTAAAGAACCCGAAATCATCGTGATAGATAGCTCTGATTGATTGAAAATTTGCTTTGTTTTTTGGTATTTGTATTTGAAGATGAGTCGCTACTTCGAAACCAATGTACATGAAGTCTTGTCCAGCAAAACGGTAGCTAGGATACTATAGACCACCAGGGATTTCCCGATCAAAAACATAGCCATATCAAAGCGTCTATCGTTTACGGTGTGTTGGAGGTGCGTGGGAAATGGTTGTAGACGGTGAACCGCGTTGGAGGCGGCGATCCGGGAATCAAAGAGGCGTAAAGAGAAGTCGCATGGAAAAGTAGAAGATCCGGGACCGCATGGACGATAAGACCGCAAGGGAAATCAAGAGCCGCAGGGGATAGTTGAAGGCGAAAACCGAAAGCCGCATGGGAAGGTGCATTGGCCGCTGTGGGTATTGGCAGAACAAAACAACTGCAGGCAGACAGCAGACAACAACCGGCGGGTTAGTCGAGATGGGTTAGCGGACGGAAGCTGGCATTGGCGAAGAGCGTCGAACTGGATCGAGAAAAAGATTGCAAGGGGTATCGATCGGTTGAAAAGAAATCATGGGCTATTGGGCTTTTTCGGCAGATCGGTCTCTTTGCCGGAACCATTGTTGGACGGGGGGTAGCTTGGAGGGATAGACTCGTCGTCGTGATCCACGGCGTCGGTGGGTGGGCCGCGGTAGTTCTTGAGGCCCCAAACGCCGTACCAGATGGCTGCGATGAGCACGAAACCGAAAAACACAACCGACGCATAATTCATACTTTCCTTGGTGACCGCCGTGACGGTGGGCATGCAGAACAGGGGAATGGCGAGGGCGCTCCATCCTAGAGGGGACGTGATTAGCGAAAAAGGGAGGGGAAGGGGTTTGCGTGCAAGGAAAAAAAGACTTACCGAGGGCGAAGATGTTGGCAATGAGTCCATAGACGCCAAAGTTGAAGTTGCCGTTCTTGATATCCTCGCGACGACGGAAGATCAAGGAGACAGCAATGGGACACGCATAACTCAAGGTCAAGAAGATGACACCCACACCGGCAAAAGCATTGTAGGCGGCGGTAGACCCAAAGTAGATCGCACCGAGAGCAATCTCAATGACCATACCCAAGGCCAAGGCATTCAGGGGAATGTTGAACTTCTGGTTGACGGTGCGCCACCGGCCCGATCCGGGGATACCACCATCACGGGCAAAGGCCCAGGTGCAACGGGAGGTGGCCGTCACACAACCCACGCCACAGATGATACCGAGGACCAGCAGAGGAATGGTCAGGCAGAAGGCCCCGGCAGAGTTGCCAATGGCGTGCTTGAAGATGACGGGAGTCGGCTGGGAAGAGTTGATGATCAGGCTCAGCTCGGGCATGACGAAGCAGACGGGGACGAGGAAGAGAAGACCGGCGATAAAGTTGATGGCGACAGTACCGACCATGGCCTTGGGGACCATGACGGCGGGTTCGCGGACTTCCTCGCAGAGACTAGCCGGAAGGTGTTAGTATGGAGGGACTCGGTTTCTGATCTCGGGGACGGAATACTGACGAGATGATCATGCCGGTGGCCGAGGTGGCATAAGCAGCCTGCAACAAGCCGATAAAGAAGGACCAGCCCGCTGGCCAGCCAGCTTGAGGCTCAAATTCACCAAAGACCCACGCAGCATTGCGACGACCTTCCTTGGCGATAGCCAACAGACAAACGACAATGGCAATCAAGCCCGCGATCGTCCAGAAGATGGCAAAAGTCTGTGCGCAACCGGAAAAAAGAAGCAAGTTAGTGGCTTGACTCGAAAGGGAAAGGAGGCACGTGTGAATTTCGACAGGGGGGAAGTATGGAAGAGAGTCTATAGAGTACAGACAAACTCCTTTTCTTCTTGAATTCGAATTTCGATCGTTGGATATGAGACACTCACCTCCAACAAGGGCAGCCATTTATTACCAAAGGCCGAAATAGCATGGGTCAATAGGGTAATGGCCAGGAAGATCAAAAAGGTCTGATAAGCCTGGAAATCATCGGTGATACCCACGCCGGGGGACTTTTCGAAAACATCGAGACAGCCGATGAAAAGAAGCGTAGTACCAAAGTTCACGGCGAGGGTGATGGTGATATTGCCCGCCACATAAGACCAGCCACAGATCCACGACGCGACGCGACGGCACCAGAGAGGCGATAGGACGAACGTTTGGTAGTACCTGGAAAACGCTGACGGTTAGCACCGTCTCGAATCAAACTTTAGGGGCACATTGGATCCCGTACACTCCACCGGCAGTCGGATAGACAGAAGTAATTTCGGCGAGAGAGATGGCGACACAGAAAATGAGGAAGCAGACGACCACCCAGCCCCAGATAACGTTGGCCGGACCACCCGCCACAAGGGGATAGTATAGCGTCGTCGACAGACCGTAGGGCACGGAAGACAGGATAAAGCACATGAACGTGACCTGCCAGATCGAGCGATTGCGCGCCAGTTCGGGCTTATATCCCATATCCTCGAGGGTTCGATCCGCACCGGTGGTTTCAACGCCGGTCTCGACGCGCGAGGCCGAGACCTTGGAGGAGCGGCGCCTTGCGTCCTCCATTGTGACGTGGTGTCAATGAGAGAGAGAGAGAGAAAGGAGAAGAGGTTATAGTTGGGTAGAATGGCAGGGCATGCGCGGCAGGTTGCGTCCCGGAATCGGATTGAAGTATAAGCAGGGAATAATAGAAGGGGATCACCGTGATAGGTGGTTGCGGGAACCTATACGGGAGCAACGGAGTATCCTTGCTTTCTCGTCTCGAGTCTATCCAGTATACTCTTGCTTTGACCGGAAAGTCAAAGTAGTACAATCGTAGAGATCACAGAAACAAAAGAGTACGAAAGTCCAAGGATGGAAAAAAGTGGGAAGATTGCCTCTTCTTAGCATAAGAGGAAAAAAAAAAAAAAAAAAAAGAGAGACAAGCCCGAAAAAAAAGGCGCGAGTGGGGAAAAACTTGGCGGCGGACGACGCGGGCGTTGAACTTCACGACGGGGAAAGATGAGACTCCGGGCTACCGTTTGGATGGGCTCTCGCTAACGAACACGGTCCAATCCAGAACGTCTAGAAACCGTGCAAACGTGGGAAAAGACATCTCGTTTCCATCCATTCTGCGTGGCTTGGCGAAATCTCGGATGTCTCGTGGGAGGCGGAGGCAATTAGATAAGCCAATCAGGGCAAGTTAACTAGTCGGATGAACCATTCTACGAGGCCGAGGACAGGATAGAGATTTCCGAATGGAAAAGTTTATACTACCTGGTCCGATGTCAATGGCTCATTTCCGCGCAAATTGGGACCGTGGAGGATACGATTTGCGCAACTCATTTGGATAATGGTCGATTGCGCATACCATAGCCCCGTACCGTCCCGTCGTCCGTCGAGCATATTCCGTTCTCGATGTACGGAATCGTGAACTAGAAGTATGTTCCCAATCCTCTCAGCAGACATGATCGTCGTCGTTCCTCCGTCCATTGGCCAAACGGCAGATATCTTCATGCATTCGTATTAGTCTTCTTGCCTATCCTCGCCCAGTGTCGAGTCCCTCGTTTTAGCGTGTTTAGCGTGTTTAGCGTGCTTGGACTCGGTCCCGTGCCACCCTACCCTCCTCCTTTTTCGGCAGGCATCGTGCGCCGTGCATACACAGCAGTCACAATAACTTCTACATTGTTTATTTCCTGCTGGCCACGTTAACACGACCCGAGTGGTTGTTCACGGCCCGGCCGGCGAAAGAAAGGAAGACGGGGTCCGCGGAGTTGATGATGTCAGGGGCGGAGGGAGGCGGACGCCTCCCATTTGGCATACCGCGGGATGGCCACTCATGAGAGCCCGACGAGATACTAAGTGGACCCTTTCTTTCAAGCCTCCGACTGGATCATCAGTCGACGGAGGCGCCATAGACTCCGCCCACGCTAACTGCTTCCATCTTGGCCGACGCGGTGGATGGCAAGTGGGTGCCCTAAGTCTCGAAACCGGGAACGGAACGTTTGAACCACGACCAAGGTCGTGGCCGAGGCCAGACGGACGACGAAGGAGACTGCCAAAGCATGGGGTGAATTATTTGGCGCAGAGGGTAGAATTGGGAACATGCTCGTTCATCTCGGAGCCTCCAAGGATTTTGAAGAATAAATGAATTTGCGCTTTGGCCGATATGTCCACCGTCTGCTTACCAGGTTTCTCGAAATGAACCCGTCCATCCCGCAATTTCCTCTGAAACTTACGATCCGTCCTCATGCAATCCGTGCTCAGCCCCCGCTTGTCGCAGCCTCTGCCCCCTCTCTGATTCCCCTACGGGAGTACATAGTCTCAAAACCGTCATCATGCTTCATGTCGAACGGGGCGCAACACGAAGTGGACAAAGTGGACCCGCGTGGCTTGTTACGCCGATGAAACTACGAAAGGATAGGATAGGCGTGGGAATTAGGTAAAAGGGGGGCGTTGGGATTAACGCTAAATACCGTAGTCGATAGTTGATCAGGCTCATCCACGTCAGCAGGAAGGAGTGACGATGATCGGTGACGACGGGGGTCGTGATAAACATCAACTAGAAAATCCAAAGAACGCCTGCCGAAGCACTCTAATTCCCCCTGCCGCAAGGAACGACCGGGGTGCCAACCAGGATGGCCATCACGCAATATCCAAAAAAAAATGGGCAGAGCGCCTCTACGTTTCATCAAAGTCAATGGCCACCTTTAACGCCTGGTGATGTGCCGCTGCTTGGAATGTCTTGTATGCGGTGGCCCCCTCTGCACTGGGAAAGTCTAAACGCCCACCAGGATGCATTAGCCGTATGTCACACTTGGACTAGAGAATGGGGTTGAGGCATATATGGGAACGCAGGAAAAAAAAGCCAAAGTCCGCTCGCGACAACCGCTCCCAATGAGCAGAATAAGGCAGGAAACGCGAAGCTAGAAAAGGAAAAAGTAACGTACGATGGGTCACTAGCGAGCCAATGTCCAACATTCCCGACTCTGCTAGTCGCAACAGTTGGGGTGTCGTCGTCGCATTGACCAGCGACATGTGGATACCTGGTTTAGTGCAACGCGATCAGTAATTGGTGTCTTGCAACCAAGTCCTCAGCCTCCTACGTGTGAACACGGGACATTCAAGAGGGCGTACTGATATTTCGATCCCACAACTTCTCCAGATGCAAATCCACCGACGTGCCGTGGACGCCCACATTCGCGATGCGCCCTCCCACGGCAACCAGCTCTTGACACAAAGCGAACGTAGCTGGAATCCCCACCGCTTCGATGACCGAGTCGAATCCCAACCCCTCGGTCAGTGCCAGCAACCGTTCTCGCGTATCGGCCGCGGAGGAGTTGACAGTGGCATGGGCGCCCAGCTGTCGCGCCGTGCCCAGTCGCGCCTCGTCCAGGTCCACCATCACCACCAACGCGGGTGAATACAGTCTGGCCGTGAGCAGTGCCGCCATGCCCACGGGACCCGCCCCAACGATCACCACCGAACTCCCCGGCTGCACGTTCGCACTGAGGACACCACACTCCAGACCCGTCGGGAGGGCATCGGAGATAGCCAACGCAGCGCGTGGATCGATCGACGCCGGGAGTCGATGCAACGAGAGTGTCGCATGGGGTATCCGCACAAACTCGGCTTGTGTACCATCAATGGTATTTCCCAGGATCCAACCGCCAGTGCGACAATGGGAGGGCAAGCCGCGTTGACAGAAGCGACACGCGCCGCAAGAAGTCATACAGGAGATCAACACGCGGTCGCCGGGTCGTAATTCTTGGACCGCGGAGCCCACGGCATCGATGACCCCGACGCCTTCGTGACCCAGAACCACCCCCGGTTGTGCGCTGGGGACATCGCCTTTGAGGATGTGGAGATCCGTGCCGCAGATGGAGGCGTGTAAGAGACGGACGACGGCGTCCGTCGGGTTCTGGATAGTCGGTTTGGGACGATCGAGTACTTGGATTGTGCCTGGGCCGGTATAGACGAGGGCTTTCATGGTGCTAGTATAACAATAATGCTCACGATACTAATCCGTGCAGGCTTCGTCCATCTCACCGAGTAAGAAGAAATATGGCAGGATATATAGCGAGTAGAAAGTGTCAAGACAACCACGCAACACGGGTCGATGAATCATGAGTCCCCGGATACGTACCACGGTCATGCAGGCATCAGGAGATCGGAGACAACGGCAATGGCTTGCATGACTCGTAGACCCCCCTCCATCGGGGGTATGGGCCGATCACTCCATCCTGTTTTTGCCAGAATGCAGGATCCAGAGTCTAGACTGCAGATGATTGTTAGATTGTTACTGCAGATCGGTCCGAGGCGTGCGGGGAAGACGTGGCGGATGCGATGTGGGGGGAGTTCTCCATCATATCGACTTGGCATCAACCGTATGTGGGAAAATGTGGGGGAAAATCCAGGTCTCTAAAGACAATGGTTTTAGAGCATTCTGGAATTAATGGAATTTTATCGATGGACGTTATCATGAACATGGAAATGAGGATGAAGCAATTCCAACTCTGCGGTGATTGATATAGTCACTATGGACACTCCGCGCGTCCATGCGTCTTGGATATTTCACACAACTACTCTGCACGGATTGACTATGGAAACTCTTGGTGAATCAGGCAAAGGAAATGAAAATAAAGGCGCAAACTATTCACCTAGAACTACTTTGGGCACCTGCACCTGCGCCTTGGAACTCCAACTGTCTCCCCCTCCGACGACTAATCAGGAAGTCCCCAGGCCTTTTTGGGCTCTCAGAACCGTGATGTTCACCACTTTCCAACGTCACCGTGGTGAGCACCTCTGCTCTGCCATCTTCCCGACCTGACAGCCCTACCTTCCTTGGAAGCTCCCAGCTCTCATCTTTCTCTTTTCACCGCCACACTCCTTTACCACGCATCACTCTGACCATGGCCCTCAGAAAGGCAGTGCTCTCCCTCACCACGTGGATTTCTTTCACCAAGGACAAGCATACCCTCCACGACTCGACAGCGGAGCGGAGAACCTGGTCCCGCGAGATCGAAAAGAAGGACGGACTGCACGCTCAATACACGTGGATCCGAGATCACAAAGCCGAGCTCCAAGAGGGCAAGAACCTTGTCCAACGCGAGATGCATATCAGCGCACAACTCCTACACCTACAGACTCTGGTTGACCAGGAGAGCTCCCCCGACCCTTCCCATCAAGAGCAGATACTCCAACACGAGGCCGAGCTCAAACGGATCAACCAAGAGTGTTTGGAGCACCAAGTACGACTTGCCGAGTTGGAGAGTTATAAGCCGCCCGGACAAGTAGCTGGCAATCACCTCGTCCTGTATGGCCAGCACGCAAACCCCGAAGCGTGGAAGGCCGAACGAGAGAGTTGTCAAAGTCATGGGGGATGCTGTGCGCGCGATTGCGGCTGTTGCGAGCGCAACCTGCGAACCGTCCGAGATCGTGCCGGAGGACTGCGGTATCTCCATTGTTCTCGAAGCTGTGTCTGCTGTGCACGGCATCGAGGAGAGCGTCGGGTTTCGTCATCCTCTTCTACACGTTCGCGTCACCCCAGTGTTCACCGGCCACTCACTCCCGATGGGTATGTGCCTTGAATGGGAGGAACAGTGCATTCTTAGCAATCTGGATGGATTTCGACGGGAATGGGTTCATTAGGAACGGAGTTTTTCTTCTGGGGCAGGGAGTTCTTGTCTTGTATGAAATGTTCTGTCAGCTGGATTTTGTCTATGATTATAAGCGAGGTATTCTCGAGCATTCTACTGGCTGAAGAGTAATACACATCGGTTACTACACAACTTTCGACTCTTGAATTCATCTACCTGGTTCAGACCGTATTCTCAATCTTCATCAAATCCATAGCCACCATCCCTCGACGGAAATCATGAGGGACATCATCATGACAATCAAGGCTCCCACCACCACCAACAATGATCAATGAGTCTTTCGAGGTGGGGGGTTCTCACTTTGTAATGTTTCTTTTCTTATCCGTCGGGTCCTCTCAGCACCGATCAGACTGAAACCGGCATGAACGAACGATTCCATTTCCCGGCGTTCTGGTATCCTTTGGATCTTCTGATGGGTTTGTCGGCCTCAAATATTCTCAAGTATGATTCAGTGCGTTTCCAGATCCATTTCAAGAGCATTTGGCTCCATGCATATCAACTATTGATCATTCCCATGTATACCGTGTCGAGAATAGTTGATCGGGGATTTTATGGGCAACATCACGCACTCACACTATGCGCATAGGCTCAATCCATTTAAATAATGCCCAAAGCTTCTCAAAAGGGCTTAGATCTGGTGAAAAAGGCGGCGGCTAGCGGTCCAGTCCGCACATGCAGCCCGCACAGGGACACTCATCATCGACCGCGGATCTCCAAGAGAGGAGCCTCCATGTTGATGATTGCCTTAATAGGGACATCTTTTCCCTTCGTGATCTCTCATTCACTTATTGATGAACTGTCATATACATCTGGCATTCCTTTATTTTGTTTCAGCATTACATTGATAGTCCACTTTGCTCGGATAACCCGCTTATCATGAACGATGTCAAATCCACCACCTTCGCACTAGCAAAATAGGCAAAATAGGCAGGTGTAGAATTCTCTGGTAAGCTAACACGCGCGCCTTAACTTACCAGACCCGTATTTGCGGGTGTCAGCTTACCGGAACCTGCCCAAAGGATCCAGCTAGTGCCTCTTCATTTAGCTCGCTCTCCTGGCACTATAAAATCGTAAATACCAGCGTCTACCTACCTTCAAGGGTCATTTATAGAATTCTCACAATCCTGATCAATCCATTCTTACTCCTTCACTAGAAGCATCCACCCACTTACCCAGACCAGCCGAAAATGGCCCCTCCATTCCCCTCTGTATCCGGCGTCCTCCTCATCGGCAGCGTCCCGCTCCCCTCAGCAAGCGCAGTATTCGACAAGCTCACCTCCACCCTCCCGCAACGTCTCTCCTCACTCCCAGACGGCGAACCGGGCCCGCGCCAAAACTTCGTGCTCTGGGAACACTCGCGCTTCCCCCGCGAAACCCTCAAGTACACCAATGGTGGAATTAACCTCCCCGACGGCCACTCGGGGGTCTTCACGCAGGACGACGTCAGCCCCACAGACTACGGCGTTGCTGCCGTGGAATCTTACCGCCTCTTCTGCGAACATCGAGATCGCGGCGCGATCCCGGCCGGTATCCGGTTTCAGATCTCACTTCCCTTGCCCTGGGCGGTTATCGCCGGGCACGTGCGGCCGGAGTTCCAAGCCATGATGGAGCCGCTGTATACGAGGCGGATGGAGGATGCGGTTCGAATCATTCTTGACAATATCCCCGTCGGCGACCTGGCGATCCAGCTTGATCTCGCGCGCGAGACGCTGGCACTAGAGTACGAGCGTGGTCGGCTGGGTGAGGAGTTCCGGCCGCAATTTGCGGGCGAGGAGGGAATTTTTGAGGGAATGCTGCATCGCATTCAGTCCTTTACCTCGCTGATCCCCGAGGAGGTCGATCTCGGGTTCCACTTCTGTTATGGGGATCGCGATCACAGGCATTACGTGGAGCCGGAGGATTTGGGGGTCGCCGTGGGGTTTGCAAACGCGATCAGGGAGAGGCTGAGAAGGAGGATTGCCTGGATGCATCTTCCCGTGCCGAAGAACCGGGATGATAAGGTTTATTTTGAGCCGCTGAGGACATTGGGTCTGGGGGTCGGTACGGCTAGCACAAAGTTGTATTTGGGTCTTGTGCATGCGAATGATGAGAACGGGACGAGAAGGAGGATTGAGGCGGCGCTGTCCGTTGTAAAGGATTTCGGGGTCGCGACGGAGTGTGGGCTGGGGAGGACACCTGCGGTTGAGCTGGATTCAATCTTGAGTATTTCAAGGGAGGTCTCAGTGCCCGTACAGTCCGACCTGTAGATGGTAAGGAGAGCTTCGGCTGTCGAAATACACAAGATATATCAGGACAAAGGAATCGTGCGAGTATTATACGCTCGCCCTCACGTCCATCGAATCAAGTTCAACCGGCGGACCAAAACCCCTCCTATTATCTGTTTACGCTCTCTGTTGTATCGGAGGCACCATGAACGGGAAAGCCGTAGCTAATGGAAGTGAATATTGCGGAGTAGATCGGTTAGTCAGAAAGAACCCCGTCAGTTCTGCGTGCAATGCACGCACCCCATACCCAATACTGCATGCGAAATTGGATAGCAGCTTATAGAAAATTCACTCACAAAGTGCAACAACCGTCTACTGGGGCAGTTTCGCAGGCGATCGCCGCCAAAGCCATGCCCCCATTCCAAGTCCTAGCATAATCCATCTTACATGTGCAAGGTTTATCGCCAAACTCAAAAGAGTTTAAGCTCAAGTACTCTGATTGGTTTTTCCACTACAGTTTATTCCCCATCGAGTTTAGTTCCAAACTCACAATGACCCCGTTCCCGTTAGCCCCATGGTCTCGGCTCTGTTGCTTCTCTGGATGTAACCCTATCCCTGTCCCTTGTCCCTTCGCCTTGGTGCCCTGATAAGCCCCAGACCGACCCTGGCTCAGGAGGCGCATTCGCCTCGACGGACTTTAAATTTCTCGGCGTCGTACGGTGAGCCACCGGGCCGGTGCATGCGACGGCTAGCTATTCCCTGACTACCCTGAACTTGTCCTGGCCGGGAAGCTCATCCTGGCCCTTCTGGACATGACCGGTCGACCGGTCTACCGGCGAGCTGCCGGTGTGGCTGGCCTTATCTTGCCAGGACGCCATGCTCGGTACAAACTGTCCGATCGCATGGTTGATGCGATAATGATCATTTCCGTTCACCAACCAGAGCAGACGAGGAAATTAGGATAGAGATACGGACCAGATGGGATCATGACGGGTGTGATCCTGAAGCCCAAGGAATAGTGAGTGAAATTGTTCCGGGGGGGGGGGATCATGATGCAGTATAGGGGTGTTGTATATTGCAGGCACCGTTGGAAACGCGAGATGTCAGTCCAGGCCAAACCCAATTCGGGATACTCTTCAGTGAGCAATCCTAGGGCTGAAGACATCATGACCAGAGATCAAAGATCAAAGATCAAGACCAACCCGAGTCACGTTGATCTTCACGAGGAGCGGCTTATCCACGGGCAGTGATTTCCCCAGACTCGGTTTCTGTGGGTCGAGCGGGGTCTTGGCTTTTTGCGTTTCGGGTCCGTCAGCCTTCTTTTCTTTTCGATTTCCTTTTCTTCTTATCTCACGGACCCTCAGTGTCCCTCCCAGTCTCTCGTGGCGCCCAGTCACATTCTCCCGCCGCACCTAAGCGACCATCCCGGCCTCGCATCGCGCAGCCGCGAGGCGCAAGGTTTTGCATGACAAGCCAACTCACGATCCAAAAAAAAAAAAAAAAAAATAACACCAAAAAATTACACCTCGGGATGGAGGGCACCCTTGTCCTGACGGGCACTCGCCTCGGTACCCCGGACCTCGATATGCAGTTTGCTTAAGAATGCCCGTATTCCCGCCGATCTTTGGCGAGCAATCGAACGGCTCGTCCATCTTTTACTCTTTGCGCCTGTCACTTCATCCGTTGCACGCTGTATACGGTGAACTCGTGTGACCATGGCGACCATTGAACGAGTGCCTCCACAGGCTGATTATTCTGATAATCACCCCGCCATGACCGAGAAGGGTCGTGCCGTGCGGACCTTGGTCGAGGCCGAGTTGCTGGATGATCGCTACGAGACGACGCAGCGTGGTCTGAAGAACCGTCATGTCCAATTGATGGCCCTGGGTGGTACCATCGGAACGGGTGAGTCAACACACCAAAATCACTTCTTCCTGGTGTCGTAAATGCAAAAATCCTAATCCAAGCTATCCTGCTCCCTCAGGTCTGTTCGTTGGATCCGGTCAGTCTCTTGCTACCGGTGGGCCTGCCTCCCTTCTCATGGGCTACATCTTCATCTCCGCCATGGTCTACGGGCTGGTCACCGCCATCGCCGAGATTGGAGCTTACCTCCCCGTTCACGGTGGTACCATGAGTTACCACGGGTTTCGATATGTCTCGCGTAGCATGGGTTTCGCCATGGGTTATCTCTACTGGTACTCCCTCGGCATCCTGGTACCCTACGAGATCACGGCAGCCGGGTTGGTCATTGGATATTGGGATACCAATGCAACCATCAACATTGCCGTGTGGATCACCATCATGATGGTCGTGATTATTGCCCTCAACTTCCTCCCCGTGCGCTTCTACGGTGAATCCGAGTTTTGGTTCTCGGGAATCAAGATTATCACCTTGGTCGGCCTGCTCATGGTCTCCTTCATTCTGTTCTGGGGCGGTGGTCCGAACCGTCAGCGACTTGGGTTCCACTACTGGAAAGATCCCGGTTCCTTTAACGAGTATCTGGTGACGGGCGATGCCGGTCGTTTTGTCGGGTTGCTCAAGTGCACCGTCTCCAGTGCCATCGCCTTCATCTTCGCCCCCGAACTGATCATCATCAGTGGTGGAGAGATGGAGTCCCCCCGTCGCAACGTACCTCGGGCCGCCCGCCGCTACATCTACCGTCTGGTCTTCTTCTACATCCTGGGTGTTTTGGCCATCGGTGTGATTTGCCCATCCAACGCCTCGCAGCTGACCGCAGGTAACGGCACCGTCAAGTCTTCTCCCTTCGTGGTGGGCATCAAGAATGCGGGGATCCCCGTGCTCGACCATATCGTCAACGCCGCGGTCTTGACCTCCGCCTGGTCCGCGGGAAATTCTTTCCTCTACATGTCTTCTCGCTCCCTGTACTCGCTCGCCATGTCCGGCAACGCGCCGAGCATCTTCAAGGCCTGTAATCGCTGGGGTGTCCCTTACTACGCCGTCGGTGCCTCGGCCTGTTTCTCCGCATTGGCCTACCTCTCCGTCGGCAACTCCAGTTCCATCGTGTTCAACTGGTTCGTCAACTTTACCAATACCTCCGGCTTCATCTCCTGGATCTGCTGTTGCGTGGTCTTCTTCCGCTTCCGCAAGGCCACCGCCGCCCAAGGAATCGAGCAACCCTACAAGTCCCGCCTGCAACCGTACGGTGCCATCTTCGGCATGGCCGGTGCCACCCTGATGATGCTGATCAACGGGTTTACCGTGTTCTTCCCGTCCGAGTGGTCGGTCAGCAACTTCTTCACGGCCTACATTGGCATCCCTGCGTTTTTGATCTTGTACTTTGGTCACCGGTTCTTGTACTGGAGTGATCCCTGGGCTTGGCGTCCGGAGGAGGTGGATATGCATACTGGATTGCAGGAGATTATCGATGCCGAGCTGCCAGAGCGGCCGCGGGGTGCGTGGTGGAAGTTTTGGTAAATGCCGAGGAGAGTGAAAAGAGAACCATGGGGGGAGCACTCGGTTGAGTGGATAGTAATGGCGTTGAGAGTTTGTATTCCGGACTGTTCGATATCAGTCAGCCTGGATATAATATGGAATGGACAATTCTATCATCTCCTTGCACTTGATTGCAATGTAGAGTCTCGTCAACCTTCTTCGGATGCTTTGGCTGGACCCAGACGCCGTGATTATGTTGAGCAAGACCGTCTTGGTAGACAGTACGCTCAACGATAAGACACTGCACAAAGCATGACCCAAGTAAATGACATCGTGATTCACATCGGCCGAGCGCCTTCAACTGCCGTGACGATCCACAATCTCATCCGCCTTGGCCACTGCGTCCGTCCCCGTTTATCGAATCTCCGCACTCACCCGCACTCGCCCGCACTCGATAAGATCGCCAAACTCATGACGACTCACACAGGATGAAAGAATCATATAAAACACCATCCTTTCCCTTCGGCATACGCCGTGAACCGTTTCTCATCGAAGCTCCGTTGATCGGCATCTTTTCAAGCTCCCCATCCTCGGCTCGGAATTTATAACTGCGATCGGGCCGCACCGAGTTCACGGGCCCTGCACCACCAAACTTTAAGCAACTTAGGAGCAAGTCAAACCCGAAGTCCGAGCATCATGGCCGTCTTGCCTCCGACCGTCCACCCGATCGAGCCCCCAAGTGGATCTCTGATTGATTTTGGAGCGCAGATCGAGGGAATCGACTTGGAAACCCTGTCCGGTAAGTCAGCACCTATGTCTACATCCCATGAAATACCCTCACCTAACACCAGTCTAGACGAACAATTCACCACCATCCGCAACGCATTATATCACCACCACGTCGTGGTATTCAAAAACCAACGCAACATCTCCCCCAAGGCCCAATACGAACTCACCAAGCGCTTCGATCCGCAAGCCGACAACTACGGCCACGGCAAGACGATCGACGCCAAACGCAGCATCCTCCACCCGGATCTCAAAACCGTCCCGCACCAACCCCAAGTGCAAATCATCGGCAATGGGTTCGTAGAGGCCTACGAGGGTCTAGAGAATTTCCAACTACGACACCCACACCACCGCACATTCCACAGAGACCATATCCCGGACGACAAGGACTATGACTACACCCGGTTTTATCGCTGGCATATCGACGCGGCCTTGTACGATCTGAATCCGCCGCAAGTAACGACCTTGCTCGCAGTGCGGGTCCCCAAGGGCCGCCGCCAGACCCTCCTATACGATGACGGGTCCGGTGAGACGATGGACGTGCCACTGGGCACGACGGCATTCGTGAGCGGCGAGAGAATGTTCGAACTACTCTCCCCGGCCGAGCAGGAGTTTGTGCGGACGAGTAAGATCGAATACGCGCCTCACCCGTGAGTAACGACCCCGTTCCAAAAAAAAAAAATACCCTATATATCCCATTCCGGAAGAGCCAGTAACTCATCATATCGCACAGATATATCTGGATGAGTCCCGCACACTCCCGCTCCACGGGGTTAGGCCTACACTCCGAAGGCCTCGAGCTACCACCCACCGACCTACCCCCCATCGAGCAAGACAAGATCAAAATCTTCCCCATGCTCTGGAAGAACCCCATCACGGGGAAACTATCCCTCCAAATCCACCCCTCCGCCATCCGGCGGATCCATCTGGCCGACGGCTCGGTGATAGACGATCTCGAACGCGTCCGGGACATCGTGTACAAGTTGCAGCGTCCGGGGATTAGTCCGCAGTATGTTTATGCGCATGACTGGGAAGAAGGGGATTTGGTTCTGTTCAATAACCGCGGTGTGTTGCATTCGGTTGTGGGTGCGTTTAAGCCGGAGGAGGTCAGGTTGTTTCGGCAGTGTAATCTTGCGGCTTCGGAACCGCCGGTGGGGCCTTAGTCGTGGGCAATGAGGGTATGATATGTGTATTAGATGACATTTAGAGGAATATGGGTATAACTTTCCATGAGGATATCTCTGGGCGTTGAGTGTGATGCATTTTTAGTGAGGATATGAATACAAGTCAAGTCACATTATAGTACAATTGAGATTATAGTACAATTTAGATTACATTAGTATACAGATGAAGCCGAGTTGTGCCTAGTGCCACCTCAACTGACGAGAAAATCCAAAATTATGATACAGCCTGATGATCCGCTCAACGTACAATGTAAAAGCCATTCACGGCCACCTGTCGTTCCCTCCACTCGTCCGCCACTGAACGAACTCCAAGTCGGTGCAGCGGGACCTGCTCCACCCACTTCTGCCCCTTGGCCCGTATAGATTCGTAGCTCTGTAGAGTCTTGTCTACCCAGCCAGTACTCTGCTGACCCGACGCCTCCAAGGTTGGTCCATCTGGCGCCCAGGCGGGGTGGGAGAGGGTACTCTGCACGACCGATACATCATATGCATCAGCGAGCATGGCAGCCTCGGCGGCTGCTGCTTGGGCATCTGCAAGTTCTTGGCTGGTGGCACCTGTAGGCGGTGGGATGTCTACCCGGAGGAAGCCCATCACCCGTACTTCCACTTTGGCCGTCTGGAGAGGTGCCTCATCCAAAAGACGTAGCTGAACGACGTGCTGTGCCACTTGGGCCATGTTGACCCGCGCCGCTTGAAGGGGGTCGAGGGTGCGGATGGATAGGATCGCTGGACACCAGGAGCTCATCACCTTCTCCTTCTCGGTGCTAGTGTCAAATCGAGCCCAACCGAAAAAGTAGCCTCGTAAATGCTCCGGAACCCAGACTGGAAACTTGGCGAGGGTCAACTTTGGGGTATGGCCAGGACTGCTAGGGGATATCGAATGATCGAGTTGCCCACGAGCTTTGAAGATCATTGGAAAAGGTGGTTGAGGGCCAAGCTCGGCTGGTGATACCTCGTGGTTGACCATCCCAGCTGAATTCCCATCTCCCGATGCCCGTCGAGGTTGGGCAGAGGACCCATTGTAGATCCCCGCAACTCGATCTTGGATACCACTCGCAGAATACGCCTTCTGGGCCGCCGCTTGCGTCAACCAAGACGGACGGTATGGATTCAATTTTGAACTCATCGCCGCAGTAGCGGGCGTCATCACAGTTTGTGCCGCAGTCTGAGCGTATAGACTGACAACCATAGCTCCAACTTCCAAGGGCAAAGTGCTCAAGCTTGCGCCGCGAATGGAATGCGGGTTTGTCGATGTGGAGATAACTCGGAACACGGGACTATTGCCAAGGACCTTCTTTTTCAGACCTTGGCACAGCACCAGCTGGAAATAGCCATCACCAGCTTCAGCGGGGATTCGGACCACGACTGTCTCGCGTAATTGGTGAGTATCTCGCAGTCGTGACGATCCCTTTTTATACAATTTTTTGATATCCCGCTGCCAGGCGCGTTCGTCGTCTGGGTTCACTTGATCAGCACGGAGGGGTATACCCGGGGTAACGTCGAGCCAGCTATCATTCAATCGAAACAAAGCTTTAGCACGCATGCCAGTCTTGCCGGACCACCCTTTATTCTGTAGCCACACGGTGCGGTCCTGTGGCAGGGGAGCATCGGAGAAGATCGACGCGGCCACCGAAGTGGCATTACCCCGGTAAAAGACGAGACCATGAGAGTGACGCAGAATGGTGACATGTTTGTTTGATTCTGTGGGATGGTTGATCAGGCCTCCTAAGAAGTGACGGGCTTCGCCATATGCCTTTTGCACAGGCGTCGGGGACGGACTCCGGGATGGAGATGACGATGGTGACGGCGATGGCGATGGCGGTGCTGATGAGCTTAATGTGCCCGCCGTTCTTGGCCTAAGTGATGCATCTGGCTGGGGTACTGGCAAAGATGCCCCATATAAATCATTGTAAGAAGGAGGCCGTGACAATGGCGGCGGTACTAAACACGGAGAAGTTGTGGCGTGCGACAACGCTCCAGGAGCTTGGGCAATGGCGGTTCCCCTGAGATTTGGGTTGGAAACGGGCTTTCGTCTGATCTGAAATCCATCAGTCGGCGGGACCGGCCTCAGATAAGTAGAAGCCATTCTCTACAAGGCATTGCCCGTGTGTTTAAGCCAGAGAATAAAACATATATAGCATCAAACGGCGAAAGTAAACTACGACTCTGGAGATCGTCATCGCGGATGTTTGGAGGCCGCGATTGGGCGGAACCCGCTGAGTCATGCTACTGCCTCAGGCCAGAAGCCTTTGTGGCTGTGCAGATGAGTAAGCCATATAGTAAACCAATAGTTAACTACAAGACTACTACTGACCAGTTCGTAGCAAATGCCAACCAGTGGACTCTCGAATGCTGATATTTGCAAATAGACGTCGAATCTCTGCACTGCGCCGTGTGTATGCATGCCGGGCTAAAATAACTAGAAATTTCAAAAAGCCTCCCTCCCGTCTATCCGTCCATGATTTTCCCAGTTCCCGCACTTTTCTAAACTGGGTTTTCGTGCGGCATTCAACACTATGCCATAGGCTTTTGGGCCGTGTTAAAACTACTAGACAAAACTATCAGTATCATAGCCGACCCATGAGATTGAACTCACTCACAGTTTTGAATAAGCGTGGATTTTATTCGATTGAAGCTCTGCACGCATATGCGCCAGCAAAACTTGCACCTCGACTGGTTTCCAGCCTCCAAATCTTGTGAACAGGGCGAGAGAATAGCTTTCCATGGCGCCCTCGATCATTTGCGCTCTGAAGTATCGACCCACTTCTTTCAACTTCGGGTCTTTGGGCCACGTGCCGAACGGGCAGACATGTTCGATCGTGTCGACGGATTCAAAAGAAGCTTCTCGGAGAAGGCTGGGAAGCTGTGGGGCGATATCCCACACTCGTCCCTGTATCTCGGTGATTCGATTGAACTCGCGCTGCAGATACAAGGTCAGGTTTGTGCTTTCCGTGATAATCTGCATCGTTCTGGGACTGACCTCCCATTCGTACAAATAGCTGTCTTCCGGACATGATCCATCGTCGCAATATAGTTTGGCGCGAGATTCGGCAACCTCGATTCGTCCACCGGGCTTGAGGTACCTGGACGAAATTCAGATATCAATCAGCATGCCACAACAAAAGCATATGTTCGGACAGGCTGCAGTATCGCACGCACTGGTAGCATTGTTTCAGAAATGTCGACCAATCCTCTATACTTCCACCGAAACATCGCACGTGGATAAAGTCAAATGACTCGGGTTGGAAACTCCATTCTCGCGTCACATCATCAATAATAAAAGAAAGATTGGGTGGTATCCTACGTCGTATTAGGACACAACTGGCTTATAACCTGCTGCCAAGATGATCACGATTGACTAACCAGCCCGGTTGGATTGGAGAAAGGTCCACTCCCGTCACCTCTGCCGATGGGAACTCATCCGCGACTGATGATGATTAGTATCGAAACTATCTTTGACTGCAGATTGGAAACACACTGTCGACAGCCCAGATTCCCGTGCCCGTGCCAATATCGAGTATGCGTTGTGGGTGCTCCAACTTTGTCTGGCACAGATTGCCGTCAAGACAGAGGCGAAAAACATGATGCATAACGTCCAATCTTTCTGAAGACTTGGTCAGGCATCGCAGGAGTTGCAGAATGAACTTCCCTCATACCTTGCTCTCGTTCATCGTTGGGAAGAATCTGTGACGTCGGTAAGTGGGCGCGCATTCCACGTCAAGTTGGGCCTTTGTGAGACATCGACAGCTCGAGACAACGTACATAAGACCCAGACCCATAGGCGTGGTAGGTACGACCATTTTCGTATACATAGCTATAGATGGACTCGCTCAACGAGGTCAGATCACTGCGAATGCTGTCGACGTCACTTGGTGACTGTATCGAGAGCAAGGAATTAGAACAAGCCATCGACTATTCAGGTCAGTAGATCTGGAGATAGATCATACGCTGGCATCGGCATCCACCTCAATTTCCGTGGAGTCCGTTGGTCGATCGAGTTCCGTCATAGTCATGAATGAACTCCAGCCCTCACACCGCGAACCCTACGGGCTGTGGATCGTGCTGAGCGTCTAGTCGTTGACCGTTCGTAATGCTCTCGCGTAAGTGAAGAAGAGTCACGAAGAGAAGAAAATGAAAATGAAAAACGGACCATGCCACGAGAAAAAAAAAAGCCTCCGAGGAGGGCGTCTGCGCGCGTGTTGCGCAACTGGCGAAGAAAGGAACCCAAACGGTCGGGACTCGGGACCAACTGGATCAGAAAACATCACCAAATTCGAAAATAACCCAAACTCTCTTCTTTCAACGTACATCCCTCGGTCTCCACTAGCACGAACCACTCTGTCGGGTCCTCTCCCGAGCTCAGAATGACGAGGATATTCCGTGCAGCTCGCAGGAGATCACCGTCTCCAACTCCCGCTCTTGGTCGAGAACCACACGAGATATTTGAACTTGGACGGCCACTCTCATTGCATCATGTCATGTCTTATTGATCACCAGGGTTCCACCAGCTTCGAAGGTCTCGACGCATGACTGATACTCAATTCGAAATGGTCGTCCAAGCCGACCTGCAACGGGCATGAAAGCCCCATGCTCCTCCAAGTCTTTCTCTTCCATCCCACCGTGGTCAGGTCTCGACGTGTTATTGTTCCACAGGTGCCAACGAGACCTCGCAGACCCCGAGAAAGATGACCAAGAAGCGGTCTGTTTCCCTGAGTTAGAGAGACTGGAACATTATGCGCCCAACACCACGTCTCCCGCTGCTTGCCCACAGTCGCGTCCGCCACCGACCCAGTGTGTCGGTGCTTGGTCGGGGCCAGGATGCACCTCGAAAAGCAGCTGCCGGTCGTGCAGAACAAGGTAACACTAGCACTGGGCCGGACAATACCCGGAATGTCTGTGGACGGGCCCTCGTCTGCATGATGTGTCAATTCGCAGCGTTTGCTGGGAAATACCTGCTTCACCGTCGTACAACCCCTCCCAATGTCAAGTCACCCCCGGCCAGATACCTTTGGGCGGAAATCGGGCATGAGGCTCGACGAGCTGGATAAGCTCTCTCGCCATTCCCACTAGTCTTTCCCCAAGGAGTCGTTCTCGTATCTTGACTATTCCCAGCCTTAGGGCGGCTCACCGACCTCGTGCGCCCGCTCTCTGGGGGGTCCTTCCATGCTAGATCAGCGTTAGACCCAACCCCTCCCGCCCGCCCCCTCGGTAACCAATATCGAGCGAGAAGATGTTGTCGCAGTGGAGCATCCTCGGATGAATTGCATTCGGGCGCACAGGACGGGGCCACGGGAGGTCTACCTTGTCCAGTCGCTAGAATTCTTCGAATGATTCTACGAAGGGCTAACGTTGAAGTTCCGGGCTTATGCGTCGCGCCAGTTTACCGGGACTGGATGGGTCAGTGGGAACCCCTTAAAGTAGGAATCCACACGATGGTCATGATCAACAAGGATGTTCTTTTTGTACCCCGGTACAAGGTCCCGATCTGCATCGTGTCAAGTTCTCCCGTATCAATGGAACTCCCATGAGGTTCTAAATGCAAGGCTCAAAAAAAAAAGGGAACTACATCAAGGCGGAAAGCCCAACCCGACATACTAGATTGACGAGTGACGAGGGACATCAAGGGATCGCTTGCTTGCCAATGCATTGATCTTCTGCCCGCAAAGTCCGTGGCAAATTTGCGCTATCAAGAATCTTGGATTTCATCCGTTTCTGTCTCTCAATCACCTGCCCACTGAGCCAGGAAGCTCTTGTATTGCTCGATTTTGTTGTACGAAAAACAGATTTCTATGAATTGACCATGTCGGCGACTATTGTAGCTCATTCATCAACGATCTGCATAATTCGGGAGGTAGGCAGGTGACTTACGCGTGATTCTTCCGCCAGCTGTGTCATTATCATCGCCGCCATTCATGCGAGTGTATTTGAGAACCTTTTCGACCCGCGGCCGTCGGGACGATTGGTGCATCTACAACTTGCTCGAATATCCTCCGGTTAGGTACCAAGATGATGTAGAGTGGCGATACCGACAGCGTCCGCAATGGCCATTGCTCCTCCCTGGCCCATGTTAATAGATAATCTGTCATTCGCAGTAATTCCAACATCAGTCATGGGCGCTGTGCTTGTTTTACCTGGCCGAGAAGGGTGTGCAGCATCGGCCAAAAGAGCCGCATGGCCTGAGATCGAGGTAAGCAGACCCTCCATAAACATTTATTTCGTCAAATCACACCCCATGAATATCGTCCCCTTCACAGGGGTGTCATAGTATGGCTCAATTTCCACAAAACCATGTCGCCTGTATAGTCGCTGTGCAGCCACCATATCCGGCAGAGTATCTAGTCGAATACCCCGGTAACCCAGGGCTTTCGCTTGAACAAGAATAGCCTCGACTAGTCTATCACCAAGCCTTAACCCGCGGGTCTCTGGAATCACATATAGACGTTTCATTTCACACCAGTGCCCATCATTGCGTCGCAACCCGACGCAGCCGACAACAGATTCAATTTGAGGTGTTGTCAAGGGACCAGCTGAAGTTTCTGGCTTTGGCCCCATGGGTGTGTCGTGACTTTGGGCTCGCGCAATCAGCAGCGCTCCTCCTTGTGCGATGGCATATTTTCCGGGCAATGAGTTGAGCTCGTCCTCGAAAGATTGGAAGGTAAGGTCGATCCCTAGTGATGCCGCATAACCAGAAAAGAGTGAATGAATTGCAGTGGTGTCGGCTGGGAATTGGGCTGGCTCGATGTGAACTGCCATGGGGACGACTTCTAGAAGGTTAAGTTTGGATTGGCGGGAGATTATTTGCAAATCTTGAAGATAAAATGGTAAACCGCAGTCATTATCAAGGAATCTCAATAACTAGCCTTCCCGAACGATGACTCACTGGCCAACTGATTGACTCCTATACGATCCTCTACTGGTACATTCGAGAGTTTTCATGTCCGATTACCCATGCAATCGCCGAGACTACTGTTGACAGCATCATAATTTCAGGCATTCACAGTAAATTGGCTGTCGCCCATTCTTTGGCTGTTGTGAGGTGAATTCCACGCTGGCGATTCCACGTCTTGTCCATATCCCACGCCACGCCACATCCTTGACCAAAAACCGCTTGGTATTTAAGTAATCCATTGTCTGGGTCCTTTGCGAGGGCAGCCAATGCATCCTCAACAGTGATAACATCCCGCTTAACTGGCTGCTGAACCAGGGACTCTACAATGCGAGCCACATCCTCGTAGCTAACCGTATCGCCTCCCACGAAGATCGGCCGATCGGCAAACAGCGCGTCAGTCTCTTCACCCAACACGATTTCGGCCGTGATTCTCCCAATATCTTCAGGTGTGGTTACGGTGACCTGATTGTCTAAACTGCCCAGTGCACACACGACTGTGTTCGCCAAGTCAACCACGCCAAACGATGGCTCGAATAAGAAGCTAGTAAACATCCCCGTCGAAAGGATAGTCCAGCGGGTCTGCCTTTGCGACCGGAGAAGATCACGAACATCCAGTTGCTCATCGAACAGATCTTGCGGCGATCCACGCCCAATGGCATCATAGTCCACGCCAAACTGCCAGGGGATAAACCGCGACACCTTTGCCGCCAACACGGCCCGAGCAACTTTTAACTGAATACCCTGTCCTGACACGAAGCCGGTGCAGCCAATAATCGTGCCAAAGTCCGCAAACAGCGCAGCCAGGGTCCGTTCAGAGTCTTCGACGATGTCGCCCGCCACCAGTTCGAGACCTAGGTCACGTAAGACCTGGATTTCTTTCTGTTTGGCGGGGTAAGGTGAGTTGATGCTGGCGGGGCGCAGTAAGACGGCCACCGTGCCAGGAACATGGTGGGGATGCGCAACTAGACCGCGAAGCACTTGCAACCCTAGTTCGCCTGCTCCAATGACTAGAATATGTGATGAGGAGTTCATAATAGATTCGGTAGACTAGCGTTCAGATTGTGGAAATCAGAAGAGTGATTAAATCTTGACTTTCTGACACTCAACCGCGATATTTATCCCATCCCAGGCTGGCCCCCAAAGCCCCCAGTGGACCCTGATGATTGGTAATACATCAGGACGGCCCAGGATCCGTAAAGGAGATAGGAAGTAAGGAGATGGAGAAAAGGGAATGCACTTCGTAGATTAAGCTTGGCTAGTGTACCAGGGGTAATCTGCAGTTCATCATGATGTAGGTATTTTCTTACAAGGTGGAACCATTCCACTTCAGTATTCAATTTTCCCAGGATTGAACTCGTCGCCCCAAAGCTGTCAAGACTCAAGAGTAAGGCCTCGGGGGCCTGAGTGGCGGCCAGCCAATCCCAAAGTAACCTCAAGCCAGTCATAATCCTTTCTTCGTTCGAGTTGCAGTCGCCAAGATATTCATGTCAGCATTTCCCTTTGCATCGCAGCAGTTCCCAATTTCAGAGCTGCGACGGATCTTTTAAAGAGAACAATTCCCCTCGGACTGTATCTCACTATCTTTCTCTCTATTCAAACAACATGGATCAATTGACTGAATTCCTCGCTAAAAACCCTCATATCCGCCATGTAACTCCTCAATCACCGGATTTTGAGGAGCTGCGATTAGGATTCCTCATTAACGAGAGCAATATCCCCGCAATCATCATCCGCCCGCGCTCAGCTGAAGATGTAGCCGCGTTGATACCTGTATTGACTAAGAACAACTTACAGTTCGCCGTCAGAGTCGGCGGGCATGATATGTTCGGCCGGTCTCAGGTCACAAACAAGGTGACTATTGATCTGCGAGAAATCTCCCACGTCAATGTCGATGTCGAATCCCAAACTGCACGACTGGGCGGTGGTGTTATCTGTATGGATATGCTGGAAGAGCTGCAGAAACACAATGTGACCACGCCGTTTGGTGTTACTCCATCCATTGGCCAGGTTGGCTGGGCAACCTTTGGTGGTTATGGTCCTCTCAGTTCCAAGTACGGGCTTGGTGTTGATCAGATCGTGGGTGCCAAGGTCGTGGATGCAGAAGGGAAGATTCGCGACGCCGATGAACCCATGCTGACGGGCATTCGGGGCGGTGGAGGCTCATTGGGAGTTATTGTGGAGATCACCGTCAAGATTTACCCACAGGACCAGGTACCGATGAGTTCTTGAGATCCGACCTCGATATACCTGACTGATATCTTTGCAGGTTTTGGCCGGTGCCATCTTTTTCAAGTCGGAAGACATGGCTGCTGTGGTCAAACAGTACAATGCCGCTTATAGTCAAGCAAAGGAGGAAGGTCTTCCTTCATCGCTTCATCTATTCCAAGCGATTCTGAACAGCCCAGTCGGCAAAACATTCTCGCTTTTCTTCATGTGGTCATCGTCGGACCTGGAAGAAGGCCAGCGGTGGCTGTCGAAAGTCTCGTCGTGGTCACCGGTTGCAATGAGCACTGTTCAGCCATCGACACACAAAGATTTTGGCGCGTTCGTATGCTCGACGATGCCGAAGCATACATATGGGACGATCTTCACGATCAGCTTCTATGATTTAACTCCTGAAGTCTTGGATGTGATCGGAACTCACGCACAAAAGCAACCCGACATTCCAGAACTTCTGTTTGGAGTTCATGAACTTCGCCACGATGCCCCAAGAGAGCCGAACCTTGAGACTGTCTTTGATAATCGCTGTGCACACTTTTTGATTGAGGTCATTCCATTGGCCTCAAACTTGGAGACTCTTGCTGAAGGTATCTCGTGGGGCGAAGAGTTCATCAGCGCTCTGCGTAAAACTGATGCCGGAAACATCATACCTTCGACCTATATATCATTGACCTCACCCAAGGAGGTTGACATGGCCAAGATCTATGGAAGTCGCTATGAGGTTCTGAAACGGATTAAAAAACAATACGATCCACAGAATGTTTTCAATAATACTTTGACGCGATTCTAGAAGAAATCTGCGACGAGACTGAAGCACTGGGAAAGTTTCATAGTGATATCAGATAACGAAAATGAAACTTGACTTGTAACGACAAGATTTCCACCTACTCCCAAAAAGCTAAATCCACATTAAGCCACCAAATAAACGCCCCTAGAACGCCGGGACCATATCCCATACCCATAGAAATATATACAAGCAATCGGCCCTTTACACATAAGTGACGGTGAATTGGGTATCGCTTTGAATCTCGACATCGGCAAGCAGCTGGCCATTTTGCTGGATTTCCAGAATAGAGGCACTGTTCACACCATACTCTTCACCGGATGCCTTGGCCTGTGCACCAGTAAAGGTGACCTGGCCAAAGTTGGCGAAGGGAACCATAGACGAACCAGAGTTGAAGTCTTCGACAATCCACTCGGCATTCTGTCCGCCAAGGGTGGCAGAGGAACTAGGCGCAGAAAGCGACTTGGTCACGCTCTTTCCAGTCGACTTATTCTCGATAATCGCGACACCTTTGCTGGAGGAAGAAGACTTGACCGAAGCAACGATCACGTCGCCAGCCGTGAGGTCGAGGTCGAAGTTTTCAGCCGCGTTGGGGTACCACTCGTACCAGGCATCATACGATTTTTCTCCATTGGAGATGTAGGCGTCAATGCCAGTCTGCAGGATAGCCTTGGTGTAGGTGTCACCATCAATGCCAACCCAAGCAGAAGCAGCTTGGGTATCCCCCGAGTCATCGGTGGCTGTGGGATTAGGTACGGTAAATGTTGCCGAGACTTCAGTGTAGGTAGCACTGGCAGGTGGTTGCTCTCGAACGACCCCAGCCCAGTTCTTGCTGTACTGGACACCAGCGCCATCGCCTCCTTCCTTGAGAAGCACGCTGTTCTCCTCGCCAGAGTTGTCAAACTTGTGAGCTGGAACGGACTGGCGAGTCAAGACACCACGAGCTTCAAGGCGTTCAGCCAGTCCAGACCGAGGCGCCGCAAGGGCACCAGTGGCCAGCACGGCAGTTGTAATAGCGGCAGTAAACTTCATTTTTGCAAGAGGCTGTCCGAAGCACGATACAAACTCCGGAAGAAGACGAACAGAAAGCAGTAGAGAATAAGAGACGGAAATGTGACGTGTGATGCGAAGCCCTATTGGGACTTGAGAATCGCCTTTAGACTTATATACCTTCATCTTGCCAAATGATTGTTGCATGCAGATGTCAGCCGCATGGGGAAGAAGTCGTGTCGTCCAGACCTCTATCATGAGGACTTGGAATAGCGGGTCATGGACATTGTATCCACAGGGCGTTTTGACGTCAAGGTAGCAGGCTTTCACGAGAGATTCGACAGAAAAATCGAGGAATTGACAAACGGTCTGCTGCTTTGGTCCTGAGATCTCGTTGATCATGTCTTATTTCGCCGTCATCCCTATTTGGGATGGTTCCTGGGCGGGTCGAGGAAAGGACCTTCGCCATCTCGAGCGAACCAGAACCCTCAGAAGACAGACTGCAGCAACACAAAGTGATTAGGTTTTGAATTGCCAAGCGCATTCCTCAGGGGACAGTTACGTCTGATTGCGGGATTGCGACGGATGCGTTGATGATCGACGCCAAACCCCGATCTTCGATGGCCACGAGATCCAGTGATAAGGGGAAGTCAACACTCCTATCCATAATTTCAGAGTAACCAGGGTATATCAGTTTTAATTCAAGATTATCAATCTGTCTGGATGTTTACCACTGGCCAAGAACGGAACATGACTACACGTTGTGTATAGCCGGGGCAACGAGAACGCGTAGAAACTACGTTAAAGTCCATAACAAGCGATGAGTCTACGGCAGGTAAAAAAACACCTGGAAACAAACCAGCGGATAAGAAAAAGAAAATCAAATCATGGGGAAGTAATCAATGACCAGTCGCTGGGGGAATATGGTTAGCGCGCATACCAACCAAATCAGGTTGTGTCGTACATTCCTCAGCGACTCGCTACGCGTGATGGTTGGCTTCACCTCACCGAAACCATGCAGTATTGTCGATCCGTCCTTTTCTTTTAAAAATCGCCATATTCACGATTTTCCGAGGCCAGCTCTTTGTATATATGCGGATTCTTCTACTGGTTTGAAGACACTCGTGGCTCGGCAAGTCAATCTCACATTAGCCTTGGACAGACAAATGCGGCTCCATTGCTTTTCGAAGATGGTCTAGATCCCGGTCTACATTCAGCGATATGAAATACGGGAGACCACGTAATTCGTGTTCCATGGTGGTATCCTTGGGGCGCTGGTCTGTTGAGTTCCGTCGCAGAACATGTCTATCTATATTCCGGCCAATACGAGATCACAGCGCAAGATAATGAGACAAGAGCATCTACGGAATCAACATAATTCCATCCGAATTCCAAATAGTCGGTACTGCCCGCAAGCCTCCTGTATCATCGCAATCGAAGTCTCATGCGTTCCTCCCATGTTATCGCCATCGTAGGATGTGTTTCTCAACCAAGCTGTCCGAATTCAGCACACGCTCGATTGTAGATATAATTCAGTATGATTTAGAACAAAATTAATGAATCAAGTTGGAAGGTATATCAGCAAGTCTCCGTGTTTAAGTGCGGTGCGGAAGCAGTACAACAACAGTATTAATAACGCAACGGAGAATTCTATACATCAAAAGCCATCACAGAATTTACATAGGGAGCCTTCGCATCTCATCCAGTGTCCAGTACTTGCGCATGTTATCAGCTTTGAGCGTTTGAACCTCCTCGTCTAAATGCTTCCACAACACTTCCCCAAAGCCTTCCATTAGACGCTTAACCTCCTCACGACGCATATCCTCCTCGCCAGAGCGGCATTTCTCGAGATAAGACTCTAACTTCTCCAGACCAGCATGAATCTGCTTGTGCTGCTTCAAAAGGTCGAGTTCTTTCCGAAACTGGGGCATCTTCTTCGCAAGAACAGGGAAAATGTGTTGCTCTTCGATTGAGTGGTGGAAATCGAGCTGGGAGCAAAACTGAAGACCAGTCATGATCATTTGACGCGCTGAAAGACCACTCGGCCGCTTCGCAGAAGAATCGCAGGCATCCCAAAGTTGATTCCATGCCATTCGAAAGTGATTGTGCTGGCTTACGGTCAGTACTCAACCCCTTGCCTAGTGGAGCAGTATTCTATGCTTACGAAGCCTTCCATTTGGTCCGCCATGCGGTTATATGTTCGCAAATCACCAGCAGACAGCGGGGGTAATGCCCCATCTGCACTCGCGGATCCAGCTGCTTTATTATCCCTGCCCATTGGGAAAGAAGGCGGCGAGAAAATAGAGAAAGGACGTGGAGAAAGAGATGCCCGAGAGAATGGTGGTTCTTTGCAGCGAGCGCATAGGACGGCAGTTGTGTATAATCAACAACTACCGAGTCAGATGGACAAGAAGCCAACGAAAGAGTGACGAACAGCGTGAAAGCAGTTAAGGCGCAGATAAACGTTTAGATCTGCACCAAAGATTTGGGGCAATGAGCACGCAGAGATTTCTAATCATTTCTAATCCGGCAGATTAGCGCCCCCCGGCAGGCCGAAATGTGGCGATGATCTTGGACCCGGCTGATGTGGGCCTATAAACGTTAGAGAACAACGATTTGAGATACCTGGTCAAGCGCCAAGTCGTTTGATAGAATTAAACGGAATAAACCTTGGCGTGTAAACATTCGGTCGTGTACTTACAAGTTACCTTTAAAATTCGGTCGGTCAATTGAGCATCCTGCTTTATAAGACTGGCGGATAGGCGCAGCCACACCATATGTATCTCCAAGAACAACCTTGAACAACGATCTTATAGCCAACGCTAGTCTGTTTTACCAAATGCATTCAGAGTCAGAAATTCGTTCAAATACTCGAATTCAAGCTGAGGTTCAATTCGGACTTTTTGGCACATAACTGCTTAGATTCGACACTAGGCCGTAAAGTTCCTGGTTACAGGGAAGGCTTAAATGGATATCAATAGGGATAGGACTCAGGGACTACGAGAGACAAAAATGCATGCGATGAGAAAAATCCATTTTCTATTAGAGGTAAGGATGTCCCAGATCTTCAATGGATGTATGCCACCGCGACAATTAAGTCATCGGACACAAATCTAGTACTCACTGGTGAAAGAGAAAGAATCCCGGTCGATATAAGCACTTCTTCGGCACAACCATGGCCATGAAAAGGGCCAGATTGCAATTTGACATCCGTGCTAGATGAGTTACAAGGAAAAGCACAGGATATTTGCAACCATGTCATATTCAAGACTAAAGTCAGTTTCTACGGTAGAATGTCCCAGATCTTCAATGGATGTATGCCACTGTGACAGTTAAGTCATCGGACACAAATCTAGTACTCACTGGTTAAAGAGAAAAAATCCCGATCAATATAAGCACTTCTTCGGCACAACCACAGCCATGAGAGGGCTGGATCGCAATTTGACATCCGTGCTATAAGTAAGGAACGATTGGAAAGGCACAGGGACAGGGGTAAAATAGAATGGCATTCAACTATGTTAGTTATACAAAATCAGAATGTTCCAGATCTTCAATGGACGTATGCCACCGCGACAGTTAAGTCATCGGACACAAATCTAGTACTTCACTGGTTAAAGAGAAAGAATCCCGATCGATATTAGCACTTCTTCGGCACAACCACAGCCATGGAAAGGCTGGATCGCAATTTGACATCCGTGCTGACTGGAGAGAATGTTTGCTGAGGAGGTCCAAGGAGGTCAGTGGGTGTTAGTTGTTGGTAGAAGAAAAGTGGTAGATTATTATCAATACACATCGTGGCACCGGTGGCACAAGAGGTTTGGACGAGGGATATAATGTAACAGGAGGCCACCGGCGGAGGGGGAATCGAATATTAGGCAATAAAAGGTCGTAACGCCGTCGAGAAAAGGGGAAGTAAGAATATACATCGAATCAGAGCTCCTTGTGGGTGACCGCAGGGGGTCGGAAGTTACCCGAACGGATCTCTTGCCAGGCAAGGTCAAAGCGAGCACCCAAGAACCAAGCAGCGACCATCTATGAACGGATTAGCCGGGGGCGTGACGATTGCAACCCGCAGTTTCGTAGACTTACCATAACACCAGCCACAAGGAAGATGATCACACCCATGATGGCCATCAAGAAGAAGACGTCGGACTTGCTGTCCGCCTCGGCCTTGCGCTTCTCGAGCTCTTCGCGGCTGAGTTCTCCCTTAACACGACGCTGGGCGTCCTCGGCCTTCTGAGTCGGGAAGATAGTCTCAATGAACTTCTCAATCTGGAATAGGGGTAAGCGTGATGAACACGAGAAAGAGCTAGGAAAAAAGACGTACCTTGCCGCAGACAATGCTGATCTTCAGGAAATTGGGATCCTTGGGGGTATTCTTCTTGTGGATGGCGCGGGTCAGGCGGCGGAAGGTCTCGCACAGAACGTTCAAGTTTTGAGTGGACTGGACCATGAGCTCGCAAGCATCACCCTTGGTGATCTTGATGTTCCGCTCGAAGATGGCGTAATTGCGGAAGCACAGCTCAAGGGTAGCAATGGCCATGGACTGGGGAATGGCGCAGAAGTTGAATACACTCTGCTCCCGGAGGCCAGCCAGGTAGAAGAGACACTCCTCGACATGCTCCAAAGCATTGAGAATCATCTCCGAGTTGCAGTTCAAAGCAGCCTCCTTGTATTCTGGCTTGAAAAGATCCTCAAAGTTGTCGACGTGCTTAGACCAGATCTCCTTGGGCCAGAATCGTCGCTCATCGTCAAAGTCCTCGCGGATATCTCGGATAATGTTGGTCTTCTGCAGGAAGAGACCCATGGACTTCTGGAGCTCGGGGCGCTTCAGAAGAGCGGGGTTGCCAAACTCAGCCTCAACGAAAAGGCGAGTCAGGCCCTCGCCAACCAGACCGGCCACGTAGTAGCAGTAAAGATCGTACTCTTCAACGGTCTTCACGCTAGCATCCTCGGTGGCAGCCTTGACGCAATAATCAGCCATACCGTTGCCCATCTTGTCGGTGATATCCTTGACAATAGCCTGATAGGCGGGCTTCATGTTCTTAAACTCGGCAATGATACTCTGGAACTGAACCAGCAGCTCCCGATCCTTCTCCTCAGGGCGGTTCCCAGTGAAGTTCCAGCCATCCTGGGTGAGGAAGTCCTTGAAATTCCTAAGGAGGGGCTCCTTGGTCTCAAGGGGAATGGAGGTATCATCCTCAATGGTATCCAGACCACGGAGGACAAGGTAGAAGACTGTGATAGGGAGGAGAAGCTCTGGATGCAGCTCTTTGATGACAGTGCTGAAGCTGCGGCTGGTCTGGTCCAAGAACTTGTAGCAAATCTTCTGTGTCTCCGTATCATTCTTCTCATTACGCTCATGGGGCGGGTTGTGCCAGACTTTCCTATGAGAGAGGTCTGATTAGCAATGATTCAAGAAGTAAGCTCCAATTGGGAGGCAGCAGTCTAAGAGGTACCAACCATTGAATGATCGACCTCAATTGGATCGGGTGGAAAGCGAAGTAGATGGCATTGCCAATGAAACCCATTGTGGGCGGAGAAGGACACGAACAGGTCCTGTAAAAAAAGGGGAAAGAAATTGAAAAAGGGACTCAAGTACGAGTCTAGGACAAAGGAGGGGGAAAACAGAGAGAAAAAGACGTGGAGAGAAAAGAAGAGAAGGTGGGAAAAGGGGCGGAGTCGGAGCTCGCGGAGAAAAGAGATTGCGGTCATGTGACCTCGGCCCCGTGCTCTCACGAGGCGTCATGCGTGAAGTTTGGCGGGGCGCCGGCAGATCAGCTTCAAGTTTTGGAAAAAAAGTTACGGATCTCCCGATCATCCCTGTCAACAACTCAGTCCCGTTATTTTCGTGGAAATACTGGTCTAGGCGATTTCGACTCTTCGATCATATACTTGCGCAGCGCAATTTGCCCTGCTGCTTTCCACGATGGTCGCTGACACTAGCTACTATGATGCCTTGGGCGTCCCGCCGACGGCTACCGAACTGGAGATCAAGAAGGCCTACCGCAAGCTCGCAATTGTCACCCACCCTGGTATGATATGACAGATACCTGTTACAGTATTGGTTTTCTGATTGACCTTGATCAGACAAAAACCCCGGCGATGAGACCGCCCATGAGCGATTCCAGGCGGTATGCGCAGGCTCCCGCGCCGAATCATTCTTACGAAGACACTAACACGCGCGCTGACCCTAGATCGGTGAAGCCTACCAAGTCCTGAGCAACGAAGATCTGCGCAAGCGATATGACAAGTTTGGCAAGGAAGATGCAGTGCCCGGTGGTGGTTTCGGTTCGTCCAATATGCGTGATAACCCTTGGTGTAGGCACTGTCATGGCTGACTGTTTCCATACAGAGGATCCTTCGGAGTTCTTCAGCATGATCTTCGGTGGCGAAGCTTTTGTTGATCTCATCGGAGAGATCTCCCTCATGAAAGACCTGACCGCAACGATGGACATTACGATGCAAGAGATGGAGGAGGAGGAACTGGCCGAGTCGGCCGAACAGAAGCTCAACATCCACGATGAGGAAGTCAAGACCGCTGGTGGAGAGCCTTCTGCTGCCCCCGCCAAGGCTGCTGAGGCTGCCGAGGCTGCCGCTGAGGCTTCAAGCCACGGGGAGGCACACGCTCCGCCACCCGCCTACGGCGAGGCGACTGCTCAGAGCTCTGGAACGAGTACCCCCCGACGCTACTTGGGACAGCAGGCTCTGATGGACAAGTCGGAGGAGGAGGCTCGCATGGATGCAGCTGGCCTGTCGCAGGAGGAGAAGGAGCTTCGCAAGAAGGAGAAGAAGAAGGGCTTGTCCAAGGAACAGCAGGAGCGTCTTGCTGCGTTCGAGGAGGAGCGGAGAAAGGCTCGCGAGGAGCGTGTCAACACCTTGGCCAACAAGCTGATTGACCGTCTCAGTGTGTGGACCGAGACCGACAAGGGCAAGGACGTGACGCACGCCTTTGAGGAGAAGATCCGCCTTGAGGTTGAGAACCTGAAGATGGAGTCGTTTGGTCTGGAGATCCTGCATGCCGTTGGTGCTACGTACGTCCAAAAGGGTACCTCTTTCCTCAAGTCGCAAAAGTTCCTCGGTATCTCTGGTTTCTTCTCCCGGCTCAAGGATAAGGGTACCCTGGCCAAGGAGACCTGGACTACCATTTCCACTGCCATTGATGCGCAGATGACCATGGAGGAGATGGCCAAGCTCGAGGAGCGTGGTGGTGAGGACTGGACGGACGAGAAGAAGGCTGAGTACGAAAAGAAGGTTACCGGTAAGATCCTTGCAGCGGCCTGGCGCGGCAGCAAGTTCGAGATTCAGAGCGTTTTACGCGAGGTCTGCGACCAGATCTTGAATGACAAGCGAATTCGCCTGGAGAAGCGCGTGGAGCGTGCTCACGCTCTGGTGCTCGCGGGTAACATCTATGCTAAGGTATGGTTGCACATGACCCCCTTGCCTCCTGTATAATCCATCACTGACGACCTTCATTCCAGGCTGCGCGTGACCCCGAGGAAGAGGGCGACTACATGGCCTTTGAGCAGCTGATGGCGGAGGCCATGCAAAAGAAGGGCAAGGATGAGAAGAAAAAGAAGAAGTCCAAGCACGGCCACGAGTCTCCGGAGACATCGCATGCCGAAGTGAACGCCACTGCTTCTTAGATTCCTAATCACTTCATGTCTTAGTCTTGCTCTTCCTAGCCCGCCTGTACTTTCATGTCCGAACATACACAGTACTTGTTTGTTTTGATTGCACGTCTTTTGGGTTCACCTTTCTTTACAGCGACGTCCTAGCCTTCTTGCTGAAAGGGGTCGATATTCTCATGCAGTTCGAGTCATAGATTGCCCGTTTATTATATACCTGAGCTTCCGAGAGCCCATATAATCGATTGCAGAGATGGCCCTTCATTCTGACGTCCACGTGGGATAAACCTACTAGAATTTTCAAATAAATGATAATACCTTGGAATTAATAACAACTAGAATGACCGATAGATATCAACAGCATATTAATAGTTAGAATAACCAATTCAAAAGTCAAAGAAGGGGTATCTCTCCACCCAAACACAAGTCGACCCTTGCTATACCACGCAAGCCGGAGTCCCAAGACAGCAAACACCCGTCTGAATTATTTTGTCGTTGTTGATCATCGGTCATTCATTTTTATGAATGATCTCACGGACGATGATCATACTTCTCATGGTGGACGGCGCTATCACCGCTCAACTCGGCACTGGCAACCCCCGAGGGCGAGGACGAACTATACGTTTGGCTGGTGGGTGGCTGGTTATGCAAAGCCTCAGCATCACGACCCGACGGCTCCGAAGCAGCAACGGGGGCTGGGGTCGTACCAATAGGCACATCATGGGCAGGGGGAAGGACCGTCGAGGTCTGGGGCTGCTCTGGATCCACTGCCCTCTTCTTCATGGACTGGTAGCCTGCCCAGTCGGAGAATAGAACACCGGATACGGCGAGGATGGCAACGATGAACAGGGCGAGGAAGATGAGCCTAATAATTTGTAGATGGTGGTTAGTACGAGCAGGCGAGGTGAGTGGGAATGATGCGTGGGAGATCCTACCAGAGGAGAATGGCAAAGGCAATGACGGCGTTCAGGTAGTCACTGTAGCTGGTGGCACCACCGAGATCGGCCTCGATATCTGCAAAGCAGGCCAGCCAGAAGACGAAAGTGACGAAGTAAACGACGATGAAGGAGACGCCGAGGAAAGTGTTCAACTTGCGGGTCACAGCACCCTTGCGAGTATAGAACCAAGGAAGAATAAGGGCGGCAGCAGATACTAGGATAGTCCAGACGGCAGAGAAGATGATGAAAACCAGAATACCTGGGGCGCTATAATGGACAGTCGTGTAGACATAACCCTGATAGGGATCCCATGTGTACGTCTCACGATCACCAGTCCAGATAGAAGCGACATAGGCAGTCAGGCCCAACTCAACGATAGCAAAGACCAGGGCTGTGCCCAACAGGACGTATAGGACGATATGGAGGGCCAGCATGATTACAGCGAGACCTCGACTTTGAAGGAATCAGCACTGGTAAAAAGCGAAAAGGTCCCAAAATAGAAGGGAAAAGAGAAATCACGAGCGAGAAAAACAAAACAAAACAAAAGCTCGACAGTGCATGATACCAGTCAGGATCCCTTGCGCTCTTTATTCTACGCTCCACGTGCGGCTCTGTGCAGCTCGCGAGTCAGTCATCAACGGAAGTCGATAGCCGCAGCAGGTCTTTCCAGCAGATTGCAATGTTGAGCTCGGGCCGGAGTTTTAGCTTGAAGGTTCTCCAAATGCTCCAAATGCTCCAAAACCCTGCAAGACCCCCAAAGGACCAGCTTCAAAGCCAAGCCTTTGATCGATCGGCAGAGACGTGACCACCCCCAATCAGCCCTAAAAGTGCGAGCTAGCTTGCCAACCAGTCCGGTTCGGCGCACGGCGCCACCCCAAACTTTGGTCTCCAAGGGGCTTGGCCATTGCCGCCTCCAGCCGGGGCTGATACGAAGGACTACGTCGAGATGGCGCCCGCCCTACAACCGAATCGGTGGATGGTAAGCGAGCGCATTGTTTCCGGCCGCATCCTTTCGCTCCTTGAAGAACGTCATTGGATCGTGAAATTTAGGGTCGACAGAGGCGGAGAGAGCTGAAGCTTTCGCTGGCTAGTCCCTGAATGATCGGAGCCGCCTCGGAGAACCCGGGCTTTCTATCCGTGATCTCATTGGATCTGGTTGTGTTTGTGATGATGATGAAGGACCGGCCAAGAGTGCAGACTCGGGCACGCAGGCACGAAGTCATCGCCAGAGAGTCTGCAAGGTGGGCGATTATGTCCTGCAGGGCCACTTCTTGGTCCCTGACTCCGACTATGGAGCAATGATAGGTCTCACCGGTTGGGTGGGATGTGATGCATCTAGTGGAAAGGAGCAAGTCGGTTGAGAAAAGGGCTGGCCAACGGTCGGGTCCATCACACCTCCTCGCATCTCCTCGCATCTCACCCGCGCTATTGACGCGCCGAGTGTTGACCCGGAGAATTCAAACTGCACGCCCTGATGAATGACCCTGTGGAGCATGAACAAAGTGTCTGACCGTTTTGAGACTATAACTACGAAGTACTGACCCAGTACTCTAGGTTGAGATCCACGGGAAACCATCGTGGTGATCTGGTCAACAATTCTAGCCTCGATAATACCGAATGATTTTATGGATCCCTCGTCCTCGAGTGTAGAACGGGGAGACACTTGAAGATCGGCGCAGCCATTTCTCGTTTGGGTGGGCGCAGCCTCAAAATTTCCAATGCAGTGCAGTTAATCAGCAACTACGCTTAGAGGTCGTTGCTGATCAACCGAGGCTCTTCGACTGGCAAGTGTTTACTTTCTGTTCATGATCGGGAACAACAAGGTTGTGGATAGCCCTCCTGTCATCGCATCAATCGCACGTCCTTGAAGACTCAATCGCCGACGTTTGACCGTGTCTTCCTGGTATACTGAGCTGGATCGACCTGCCTTCCTAATCGGTGATGTTTGGTCAATGGATTTTCTGAAGGAATTAATATTTACTGACGTCCGATCGGAGTCCGGATACTGATCTTCCTCCGATAACCCCGGCTTTCTGCGATCCTCCTCTGTGGACCATCTCTAACATACTGTACTGGTCCCGATTGTAGGCTATCAGGCCGATTCATACGTACGCAATGTGCCTATGACACGTATGTTTGACATCGGCGTTCCAGCCGCGCTGAGCCTGGACTACTTCAAGGCAGGTCCCCATATATTACAGACCACTGTCCCGCATTTCCTTCCACACCATTTCAATACCGACGAAATTAACCCAATGGGCGCACGCTTATTTACCGAAGTCTGGACGAGTCTGGACTTGTCTTAAGGTTGTCTCATTTGACCAGCTCTAAGATCAAATGTACAAAAATCCGAATCTATCTTCCTAGTCGGATACCGCGGATTATATCCGGTTCGTGCTGAACAATGCCCCCGTCTTGGCCAAGGGGTTGTGCAACGATGCCGTGAATGCGTTCTGCCGGATGGAGGAGGTTTCGAAAAAGTGCCCGATTTGGACAAGGAGGCGATGTATCAGAATGCTTGCTTTGGCGATTATAACATCACAACGCAGGTTGCTAATGGGCAGCCGATCGACTAATTGGATGATACCGGGAACTTTGATCCGTGTAGAAGCGTCGGCGCTTGTCAAGGTCGATCTCGCTCGCATCCAACCAAAGTCGACCGCGATATCAAATCTGAGTGCCAATCTAGATCACAATAACAGCACCAGCGCTGACATACTGTGGAAAGAAATTTCGCGCATTGGTCGTGTGCCCAGGCAAAGCTCCGGTGCTATCAGTAGAATGCAACAGATGAATGCCCAATAGGTCGCTCAAGGATACACCATCGTCTTCCAAGGAGGGATACTAGTTTGCCAGTGGTCTTGATCTGCAAACAGGAACATGGCTTGTCTAGATTATTTGGCACATTAATAATTTTAGCTCGTAGGTATTCGGGCCGCCGGTCTTTGATTCACACATTTGATTGGCCGGCCGGTCTCTGAAACTAGTTCCTCAAACTCAACTCGAGACCCCCACTTCCCGTGTACAAGGGAGCTGCTTACCAAAGGACCGGCATTTGATTGAGCTTGTCCTTTTTCAACAGAAGCGGTCAATTAGTATGTGTGATCGTGTAATCAGATGGGGCTAGATAATGAGAAATACCTTTACCACCCCACGGACATATTTTTGATTTGTTTAGTCGTGAGATGAAGGTGAAGATGAAGGCATACCGGTTGACTCTACAGCATTGCTTGAGCTAATGATGGACGCGATACAGCGCGAAACTTGTTTACTTTTTCCTCTATTCGATTTTAAACTAGTGCAGCCCAATTGAAATTGTAAACTATTTAGCATCACTCCTGGGAATTCTATTTTCTGGATCAAAGATCGATGATCATATAAAATTTCCACACTTTAATAAATGACGAGAAATCAACGGACCTTCAGCAGCACTTTCCTTCGTTGGAAGAGCACCCATTGAGGACCTGTGGTGCCTGTGAAGTGTCCAAGCGACAGAAGCAGGATGAAGTCACTGGAACATCTGCTACAGCTAGGGCCAACTTCAAAGGCTGCTCGATGACAGCCGCTTCTTCGGGCCGACCTAGCCGAACCAGACACTCGTGGTATCCTTGTAGCGACCAGACATTGTTAGGGTGTCGACGCGGGCGAATGATAGAATGGTCAAGACCAAGGTCTGCTCGATATATCTGAGCGGCTTGTTCAAGATGGCCCTGTTCCATAAGCAAGGCGGCATATGCGTGGCGGACAGGCTGCATCCATGACCAAGGCTCACTGTATGGCAATTTGTCTTCAAGCTCAATCGCTTCTCGGAGGAACGAGAATGCCTTATCGTATTTGGCGCAGCGGTATTCAATTTCACCTTGCAGCATGGCCGAGGCCACCTTGAGGACGTCAACCATCTTACCATTATAGGCGCGACGCGTCTCGGGGACTCGAGCCCACGCTGCATTAAAAAGCTCCTGTTCCTCTCGCGCCGTAGCCACGTCTCCTGTGGCTGCGAACGCAATGCCACGAGCATAGTGAGTGACAGCAGTGGTACCGGCGAATAGGGTTAGATCATGGGGAAGCCCCATGCATTTGAGCTCTTCCCACATGCCAAAGCGCACCATCACGTGTAAACGGATAGACATGAATTGTTCCAACCAGTCAGCCATAGGCGGGGACTGGATACGAAGAACTTCATCGGGGACTGTTAACTCCATGCGAGTGACGGCGTCCAGAGCAGTCTTCTTTTTACCAGCAAACATAGCAGCGTAGACCAAGGAGTGATAGTCGTGTAACCGGTAGAAAGTATAGAAATTCTTGGCACCTGACCTCCGGAAGTATTTATCATCTGCGAGTGTCGACTTGTAGTTCGAAGAGATTGAGCGGCGCCAGTCGCCAATCAAAATGTCCAAATGCGTTGGCATGTGCTGAACATGACCGGCATCAGGGACGAGATCACGCAGGTGATCGGCAGCGTTGATGCCCAGCTCAGGGGTAGGTGACATTTCGATGAAATGGATGTATAGGTGAAGCAATCCAGGATTGAGGTGAGCACCATCCGACTCCTGCGCAAGTGCCCGTTCTAGCACGGCTTTGACCTCCAAAGTTGGGGCTTTTGAGTTGGGCTTGCCAGTAAATAGATCCCAAAGCGCCCATGGGGTCATATTCATCAACGAATCAGCATACAGGGTAGCCACATCTAGGTCGTCCTTGAAAGCCTCGTATACGGGCTTCATAGCCTCGGCATAACTCTTGTTGAGAGCCTGGTAGTCCTTGGCAGGCTGATCGGTTGGGAAACGGAATTGGATAGCGTCAATTAGAGCTTTTTCCATGAGGGTTGTGTTGACGGCGTGCTTCCTCGCAGATCGAGCTGCCTCGTGGCCGCGCTGCACGGAGGTGTGGAGGTCGCCGAGATCAAACTTCTCCCACGGCTTGTTATAATTTGGGCCAACCGAGTAGGCGAGACCCCAGTACGCCATCGCACATGCAGGGTCATGCGCGATGGCTTGTTCAAAGCAGTAGGAGCCTTCAACATGATTGAACGAGTACACCCATATCAGACCCCGATTGAACCATGTCTGGGCATCGGCGCTGGTGGTAGTGATGGTGTGTCCAAACGAGCCAAGGTCATAGTATTCGTCGCTGGCCGGGACGGGGGAGGTGATTTTCTGAGCCATGATTGCGATTTACCTGGGTAGAATTAAAGTTGCAGGTGAATCTCTAGGAAGGCTCAAGCATTGAGCCATGGTTTATATAGCTCGAGGCCGATCGGGCGTTTGAGTTTCGCAAAGTTGTAAGAAGTGGAGACGGCACTCGGAAAAGGAGTTGTGCCGGAGGTTGTCTCCGTGATCAAACGCCGAAGAAGCCGAACTTACTTTCATTCTCCGCCTCCTTTCAACCACCTGCCGGATCTTGCGATGTCGATTGTAACATCTTCCGTCGCGTTTACCTAAGATATTCTCCGCCGGATGAAAATCAAACACTCGAGGCAAAGGAAGACAGAATAAGGGCTAGGCATCTGTTGAATGCAAAAAGATGCCGCCTGCTGCAAATAAGCCTGTGAAGCTGGCGTGCCTGGCTTGGTATGTGGCTGATCATTCGGTGGCACTATGCAAGGGTCTCTAGACTGACAGCAATGAACCCATAGCCGTGCCGCTAAGATCCGCTGTGATGGGAAGATGCCTTGTGCCAGTGTAAGCATTGCCATGGAAGAAAGACAAAGAAGACCGTTTCTGCCATAGTAACCCTTCCGAAGTGCTCTATGCACCAAGAAGAATGCAAATATCAAGCAAGTCGACGAGGTGGTGCCCGACGAGGTCCTGTAGCCGCCGCAGAGTTGGCTAAGAAAAGAGCTCGTCGGATGGCCGAAAAGGCTTCGGGCAATATCCAGAATCCGGACGCTGATGTGCGTCATCGAAGCCACAATCATCATATCCGCACCAGTGAGCCTGCTATTTTACCGCCTTCTTTACTTTCTCTAACACAATCGATCCCACGGCCATTTAATACGTCCCTGGGAAATTGCAGCACAGATCTTTCTTCCCCCTTGGGTGGAATTGGAGAGGAGGAGGATGTGTTGAGCACATTGGAGGATCCCAAGTGGAGTATCAGAGCCTATGGATGTGATCAAGATCTGTATGTCTCATCTTTTCAGAGAAATATGTCGTATTGAAGGACTAATCCATCCCTTCGTGGGACCTCGGATCTCAGTATCAACGCATACTACATATTCATTCACCCTTACCTTCCATTCCTCCCCCCTCCAGCGACAGCTCAGTATGAGGATAAGTGCGTCGCTGTTGATATGCGTTCTTTTCTCGCAGATCCTTCAATGATGCCCTACTGGCCGACCTCCCCAGTGAGTCTTGCTCTCGCAGGAATACTAGCTCTACTGCCGCCGCCTGGAGAGTCGCATCCGCTACAGCACGAATCAACCGTAGTTCGACGCTCTTACGCCGATCTATTTGCACGGTCAGCGTTGGAGTCTCTGGAAAATTCACTTGAATCGTCCCCCCAGGCAGATCTGGCCAAGGGCCTACGAAGCACCTTGCATCCTGCCGTTCCTAAAAAGCTAGAACCTGTCCTTGCACTGGGCCTTCTTAGCTTGTTTGAATGCTGCCAACATGGGAACGTCTCAAAAATGCGAATCCGGGCAAATCAGGCCCTTACAACAGCAATGGATCTATCATTACATGAGGAAAACTCCCAAACTGGGTGTTTGGATGCGCAACGCCGATGCTGGTGGTCGACGGTATGCATCATGCCTCGATTTTACTCGCCATCTTCTCTTGTTGACCGGGTCTCACTGATGAGTGTAGATGTTTCTCGTTTATCAGTCATCTATAATGAATTCCTCGGTTAGTCTCTAAGAATGATGCTTGGCGATAGTAGCAGCGTCGCTAACAGTATGGCTAGCCCCCTATCATTACCATCAATGACCCTCGAATCACAACAATATTTCCGGAATTTCGGGGATGTCGTGAGGTGGGTCAGATATAAACTTATTGAAACTATCCTTGTTGTAAACTAATCCCCGTCCCTACCGTGCCGTAGCCGTGGCCCCTTTTGGTACATGCTCAAGAAGCCCTTCTGCGCAGCTGTGAGATTGGACGCCAACTCATCAAAGAAGGACCCGGTTCAAATCTACTGCATTCAATTAAGGATAATGTGGAGAGTCTCGACTGTTTCATCCTCGAGCTCGCGGCCGAAATAGACCGATTTCGCTGCGTTACCAATTATCAAGGCGCCGAAGCGGATGCCTCACGCAACCTTTGGTCTATATCCAATGCCCTTGTACACACAGCCAGGCTCACTCTCCATAGAGTTCGTGCCTTTACAGATCGCCCCGTTCTTATTCCCGATTGCTGTGACTACCTTGCGATCGGCTCCAAGCAGTCTTCCGAAGGTGCACATGATTTTTATCTCTCCTCTGGACGCATCGCCGAAATCAACGCTGTGTTCCCCTTCACGGAGCAAGAGTCAGTTAAGATATGCTTCCATTCCTGTCTTGTTGTTTCGCGAGTATTTCGTCGCCTTCCATCCCCAAACCCAATGTATTCCGACACCACAGAAACCGAGGACACTGTTCCTTGGGCGTCAAGACGATCTTTAGCATCCCCGCGCTCTATACCTTACATGGCCTGCTGTGAGCTACAGAGCTTCTGCATTATGGCGATGATTCTGTGGAAAGTGCGAACTGCGATGTGCTCGGGAAACCTCGCCAGCTACCTATACCTCCTAGATCGACCAAGTTGTTCGACTCAGTGGCAAGACGCGGAGCGGCTGGTTGAGGAGCTGCAAAATGGGATGGAGGCTCTGGCGCGATCTATTCAAGCGGATACAGTATTTGAGGGGCTGGCCAGAATGGCTAAAGAGGTAGAAAGGACGTATAAAAATACTTTAGTGGATTGAACAGTGTCTACATGTACATGGGAAAGTTGATTTTCTCGACTTCTAACCCATTTTTCTTGTAGATAAATCATCATTTGCTCCACATCTAGAGGATCGTAGTTTAACGTCATTCCATTCTGTCATCAGTAAATAATCACGTCGAGTTTCTGACCAAGGAGCTCTCTTGTTGCGCGTCCGGGATTAGAATTACGGCGACCCGGGGATTGCTAAGAAGTATTTCTAGCGCGATCCCACTTCGGCCCTTGATCTCCGCGACGTAAATACACAAGATTGGGAGATGTTTGCAATTTATTTCAGGGAACTTCGGACAAGTGAAACATGGAAAAATGAAGGTTAGGCTAGTTCTAAGGCTGTGTCAATGCTCCATTGTAAAACATTCGCTTTTCTACACAGTGGTCAAAATGGCCATGCGGCATATGCGAGTATAGCATTTTACCTTATTTGAAAAGCTACACTTGCTACACTTCTCCATACGAGGGTCCCCCTTCATACGAGGGTCTCCCTCGTATGTCTAAGATCTAACCAATCAACCGCTTAGATGAATGGCCCCTTTGACGAAAAACTGATAAACAAGCTTGACCAAGTGTGTATGGATGGCGCTGGTCGCAGCGAATTATAACAGGGACATCCCACACAAGATGAGACCTGCGAAAAAGTTGCCTGAATAGAGCAAATTCGAACCAGGTGCTTGGATCTACGCATCCCCCGATTCATCCCTACGAATACAATTTTTGGTACGTTGATGGGTATTGGCGAATTTGTCAGCAAACTGATTGAAGCAGCGACATTGAATTTCTCCAGTAATTACCATACGCTTGACCAGCTCGCAGAAACTTTGTATCACTTGCTAAATCAATCAAATATTTGTACTTGCTATACTCTAGTTCAATCACGACAGTAATTTGCGCGGCAAAAGTCATCACTATTCCGTTAAAACACCAGTCACAGGACGGAAGGTGTGGGGTTCCGGGAACACAACAGGGTCTGTGTAGTAAATAAGTTGATTCGCTCACCGGAGTCTAAATTTCTCAGTTAATTTCAGTCATTTTCAGCAGGTTCGGGACTTAGGTACGCTTACACCTAGAGGAATGGCATATTCTCCATAGAGCAATGTTTCATGCGGGGCTACTCGAGGCTGTCGGAACGTGACACCAAAAGTGAGTCGGAGACCCTCGTTGATAGTAGCAGTCTGTCAATTCTTGGGTTAGATTAGGGCCTGAATGTGCTTTGAAAGGGGACTTTACCAAATAAGGTAGACGCTCGAGCTCCAGCTAAGAAGGGCGATAGCTAGGTGTGGGCATGACCTCCTTGAGCTCTGCTCGCAGTTTTGCTAGTATCCTGACATCATTATACAGATGAAACGTAGCGAGCACTAATACCCTAGTCGTGGTAGCAGTACCCGCCAAAAGAACAACTAGGCCCTCGTCCATGAGTCGAGACATTGTTTTCTCCTCCGACGGTATTAAAGGCGTAGTTAAGCCGTCAAATAATGTTTTCCTTTTTTTTGTTTCTTTCGTCTCGTCTAGAGCATTTGTCGCTTGTACCTTGATCCCTTTCAAAAAATACACGATAGCTTCCGATTCGGGTAGCAAAGTAGTTGCAAGGTTAGGCATAAACAACACAGCCTTCCGAATAAAGGGGAAAAAACGATTGAAATGAAACCCACGGGCGACGATTTCTCCAGTGCTTTGGAGTTTATTAGCTCTCTCTCTATTTTCCAAGTAATCATAACTGGTTCCAAAGGCATAGAGTGTGATGACGTCTGCAGTCAAGCCGGAGAAGATAGACTCCATCAGAAGAATTCCGCCATGTTGATATGCCTCATCAAACCGATCCGCGAATTTTTCAGTCTTCTGACGAATATCAAATGCAAGCTCAGTAATTGACCCTTTGGAAAAGAAGTTCTTCATCATATTTTTGCGTCTCTTGTGGAGATCGTGGTCAATGGTCGTAAGAACCGAGTGGGGAGATACAAATCCCGAGACAAATTGAGGGTCCTTTTCTCGCTTCCTATTACCCGCGCAGTAAATTTCATCGTAAAACTCGGCATCCTTGATGTGGATTTCGCGAGGAGTTATGCGAACGATAGGGCCTGAATGGGGTCAGTAATTACTGATCACGGTAGTAAAAAGACAGATGTCTGACCGTAAACCTCGTGCATGCGAGCAATTTCTTGCATGAAAATTCCATTTTTGATGATATCAAAATAAAATTCGTAGAGATGAGAGCAGGCCGCCAGCTTGGGCCCTAACGAAGGCATCAAAGCTAGAGAAGAAACAGATGAGGGAGAAGAAGAAAAAGAAAGATGCCTATCTACTTGTAGACGCCCTCATCCAAACCCTTTCTTCACCAATCTGCCAGTTGACTATCTGTCTTCGCCAATCCGTAACAAATTTTCTTAATTTTGTATCGGTATCTGAATCAGACCGCTCGATTTCACCATAATTTACAGTATTTGTCCTAAGGGGTTTCCCATATTATTGTCGATGCGCAGGCCACCAGGGGCTAAGGACCCCGCCAAAGCGGTAAGTCTCTCCGCGGTCAGGCGGCACCCTCTTTAGTATAGCCAGAGGGAAATCCCGCATGCAGGCTACGTCAACTGGTTACACAATGTGTTGGCATATGCATTTCACCTTCTTTTTGATCCTTATCTTTTCCCCTGTCGTGCATGAGGAAAATCATATGTACATTGGTGCTCGAGGAGACACGTGGCATCTTGTCAACGCTTGTGACAAAACAGTATAAGAAGAGGAGAAGATCTTGGAGAGAAAAGTAATCCATGTCAGGCAGGGAATTTGGATCGTGAATGGAGTGTCTGGGCATGGGACGATATCTCCCCAGGGATTTGGGGTTAAAGCTGGGTGATGCGGGCGATCACCCAGGGTGACGGCTTGTCTAACTTCAATCGCACCCAGAACAATAAACCTTTAGTGCTGCTTTAGTCTGAAGGATCGCTTTGAGAAATGACGAAGTAGGTAAGTGTGGCGGAAGCATGGATAAGCGGACGGGAAGCTCCGTTCTCCACGCTCTATTACGTGCTTACCTTGGGAAAGATGAAAGTTTTCACTGGTGCCAAGCTTCCGCCAGCAATGGATAGGTCGGCTCATTCATCTTCCACTTTTTCACTTGTGTCGGTTTCTTCACTTGTGAAAGCTCCTTGGATACCCTCTTAGTCATTTCGGGGTTTGAAGGTCGGTGTTTGAAATCGGCTGTTCTATCTTGCCTTTCGGGATCCCCATTGGTTGATTAAGCAGGCTCTAAATAAACGATAAGGAGAGCAGTAATCTATGGCCTTATTTTTTGTTTCCACTTAGGTGGAGTTCTAAATCACATATTCTGGTACAAAATCAAACCTTCACTTCTTGAAGATCAATGTCGCTCGTGGTAAATTCGGTTGAGCTAGGCCCAGAAACCAGCGACTACTGCAATTTGGGCACATTTAGTCACAATGTCAGAAGTAAAAATGAAGCTGCACAGGCCTAGCTTGACCGTGCCCTGGTCTGGTTATATTCATTTAGCCACGAGGAGGCCTTCAAATGTTTCGGAAAGCAGTGGCCCACTATCCAAGCTGTACTTTGTGAGCCAAAGAGGTCCTTAGCGTCTACTGGCACTTTCCTCCAAAGTAAAACACCACGCGGCCACCGCCTGGCATTCAGGTTGTCGATATGGACGAGAAAAAATAGGCATAACCAAGGCATAGTCGTGCTCTAGCAGCAGCTCGAAAATACGGAAATGCCACACTAGCAGGAGCTAAAGCATTTGAATACTCCGACTCTGGAACACCATAAGGTGTCACTGGGTCTGTTGACCAGATAGCAGAATAGATATAACGCGCATAAATAGTGTTCTAGGTCTTTAGCTGTTCAAAAGGTTTCACGCCACCAGGAGCGCTCCGGCATCTGTATGTCGAATTCTTCGAGAACTCTCCAGACGTGACAAGGTTGAAGGCTGCCTAAGGTTGTGTAACAGAATACCCAAGTGACTCCCTCGAGGCTAATCTAGAGGTGCAGTGCATTCACATGACATGATCAAGAAATTTGTCTCTAAATGGGCATTCTTGGATTGAACATATTTTGGGAAAGGTGGGCTTCAGTTTTCAGGCGTTGTAGATTCCCAACACATACGGAGCAGGGAAGAAGAATCCTAATTATTATCCAAAGTTCTTTAAGACAAAGTCTGAGAGGGGACACCTAAATATCCGGGGAAGTTGTAACTTCTCCAGATCCTCAGAGAGACAGGGACGAACGAACCCGATAGGAGCTGGCCCTTGATTGAAGCAAGCAAACATCAGGAAACACAAAACAGTCACATGACCAGACATTCACCCACAACTAATCAACACGAAGTGTTGCCATCATAATTCGTGTACGAAAAGCATCAATAAGTTGAGCTTGAATATAATCTGATTCTTGAAGTTCACCTTTTCGGCGCTTAACGGAGGTCCATCGTTTTTCACTGCGAATAACATGGTTATGGAGCTGAGTCCGCAAAAGTTTCTCCGGACAAGAAGAACCAGCGGAAAGCCAAACAGGCGGCTTTCACCTCGTCCCATTGGCTGATAATACGGCATGTTGACGCAGGCGGTGTTCAATTCGTATCATTGGCTGAGCGTACTCAATATCGAGATAAGGGGGTTTCACCTGATACTATTGGATAAGCATTTTAAGTACTAGCGAGGGACCCACTTGGAAGTCTCCACGATTAGTGACTCGTGAGAAATAAGGGACACGACGAAGAAAACAAGGGAACTTCCTCTAAATTTTCAGAAAGCGCCAGGAATCCGTGAAGAGGGGCAATTGTCAAAAATACTCTTGTGCGACAATCGGATCTTGTAATCAACCTACTGTCGAGGATCGTCATAATGACTTCGATGAACGTGGCGCCATCTACAAATCGAAAATCAGTTTTTGAGGCGGAGGTCTCGCCGTTTCGGCTTTGAAGTAGTTTCATTGGGTGAACGGAAAACTCCGAGATGACTGGACCTTTTAGCTAATAAACATCCAACGCCTTATACATGAATAGATTCAAGTCGTCGCACACATTTAAGTCTCAGGTATTGTCCATCCTTGGGCCGGGGTCTTACTGTTCAGAAAAGGCCTTTATCGTCCCTCTTGCTTAAAGACCACTTAGATCTTCCTGATAGGTAAGGTGCTCCACAAGAAATGTTGACACCAACTGACAACCTTGCTTTCAACAGTAGATAATGTTATTCAGAACTGAAGTGTCATCAGACCCAACTGGTAAGAAAAATCCAGACCTGGCCTCATTGCCCATCTTCTACTTTGCCTGAATGTTCTAACCAGCAATGCTCACTGCAGTGGTCATCGGAGATAATAACTCCTTTGCCTTGCACGGCAAAAATGTCTCATACCTCTTTCATGCGGATGAGAGCACTGGTGATCTAATATCCGATCACTTTGGTGGAAGTGTCACCGGGCCTGTACCCAAAGATCCGACTCCAACTGTTGATGGTTGGACAGGGATGTCAGGTCGCCTGCGCCGCGAGTTCCCTGACCAAGGACGGGGAGACTTTCGGAGCCCTGCAATTCGTATCCGCCAGTCCGAAGCTCACACTGTATCAGCACTGGCGTACCAGTCGTATACGGTAGTGGAGGGAAAACCTGCATTGCCAGGCTTGCCGGCAACTTTTGGCGACCGGCATGACGTTACAACCATCGTGATTCATCTCTACGATAAGTACAGCCATATAGCTGCAGACTTGATGTACTCTATCTTCCCTCGGTATGATGCTATTGTGCGGAGCGTTACTGTCACAAACAGGGGCAAAGGGAATATCATACTCGAGGATCTGGCGAGCCTCAGCGTCGACCTTCCCTTTGAAGATCTTGATATGATCTATCTACGCGGTGAATGGGCAAGAGAAACCCATAGGCAGAGACGGAAGATTGACTATGGATTACAAGGGTAGGTAATCTACTACAACTTGAATACCCTTCATTAATATTGAACAGATTCAGAAGCAACACGGGCTTTTCATCTCACTCTCACAATCCTTTCCTAGCGCTGGCGCCTCCATCCACTACCGAGTCCCAGGGTGAGGCATGGGGGTTCTCTCTTGTCTACACCGGTTCTTTTGCGGTCAACGTCGAGAAATGTTCGCAGGGAATGACGCGCGTCTTGATGGGCTTTAACCCTGATCTACTTTCTTGGTCATTGGGCCCCAACGAGACCCTAACCTCTCCAGAGTGTGTTTCAGTTTACTCCAGGAACGGGATCGGGGGGGTTTCCCGCTCACTGCACGGTCTCTACCGCAATCACCTTGTCAAGAGCAAGTTCAAAATGGATAACCGGCCTGTGCTTCTTAACAGTTGGGAGGCCCTTTATTTCAATATCAACAGCAGTAATGTGTATCGTCTCGCACAGGAATCGGCTTCTCTTGGTGTGAAGCTATTCGTTCTGGATGACGGGTGGTTTGGAAAGGACTACCCGCGTATCTCTGACAAGGCCGGTCTGGGTGACTGGGTTCCAAATCCTACACGATTCCCTGACGGCCTAGCCGGTCTTGTGAAAAATATAACAGCTCTGAAATCGGAAGTTCTGACGTCGGCCAAGCATTCTGCTAATCTACGTTTCGGTATCTGGATCGAACCGGAAATGGTCAATACCAACTCAACCCTCTACCAAGAGCACCCCGAATGGGCACTTTCCGCAGATCAATATCCACGCACTGAGCAGCGGAACCAGCTTATTCTAAACCTCGCGCTAGCAGAAGTTCAGAGTTTTGTCATCAAATCTGTCTCGGAGATCCTTAGCAGTGCAGACATCACCTATGTAAAGTGGGATCATAACAGATGTATGCACGAGACGCCGTCGCCGACAACTCACCATGCATATATGCTAGGCGTCTATCGAGTCTTCGAGACTTTGACAACGCGTTTCCCTGATGTCCTTTGGGAAGGATGTGCCTCCGGCGGTGGGCGATTCGATCCCGGTGTCATGCAATACTTTCCACAAATCTGGACTTCAGACAACACAGACGCGGTAGATCGGATATTTATCCAATTTGGCACCTCCCTTGCATACCCAGCAAGCTCCATGTGCGGCCATATATCAGCTGTCCCAAATCATCAAACGGGGCGTACTGTCCCAATGGCCTTCCGCGCCCATGTTGCAATGATGTGCGGTTCCTTTGGCTTGGAGCTTAACCCGGCCGAGCTAAGTCCAGAAGAAAAAACCATGATACCTGATTTCATCGCGCTGTCAGAAAAGGTCAACCCTATTGTGCTGACTGGGGACATGTGGCGACTCAATTTACCAGAGGAGTCGAATTGGCCGGCTGTGCTGTACATTTCGAAGAATGGCTCAGAAGCAGTCTTGTTTCTGTATCAACTTAGCTCGAAAGTGAACCACGCCCTATCACGAGTCAAGTTACAGGGTCTCAATCCTCAACATAAGTACCTTGTGGATGGGGAGGGGCCATACTCGGGTGCGACATTGATGAATATGGGATTGCAATATCTTTTCAACGCGGATTATGCGAGCAAGATCGTATTTCTGGAGAAGGAGGCGTCCCACTGAACAGAGAGATATTATGACCTAGGTCGGTAGTTAATGGGACATCATTTTCTCTTCAAATTTGGTGCGAGCAGAAGCTGCGTTTGAATCCCACTCGGGGTAACTGGATGTTCCCTTTGACGAAGTAAGTTTAGGAGAGAGCAAACCCCTCGTCAGGCTCAGATTGAATCACATGAATGGCCTTAGGTAATAAAACCCCCCTCGGCGATTAACCCACTTTCAGTGCCTCGTTCGACCCAAGATCCCGTTTCTTTAATATGCCGACAATCAAACAAGAAATAGTTTCTGCTGCATTGTGTTTCACTCAAACGTCTCTGCCATACGAGGTGCGGGTTTTCCCCTTTGCAAGTTCAGGACTCAATTGACTCGGAACACACAGGAGGCATCTTTTCCAGCATCAATAAATACCAGCGAGGCTAAGCTGGTGGAACAACTCTTCTTAGACTTCTCCGTGCAAGAAGTGCGTCAGAATGAGATGAATGGGTTTCCAATTGTCGAGCCATGGGCTACCGAATACCTCAATTCTATACGAGATGGGAGGTACGGCGACGCAGTATGGGCCCGTTATCATATTGCAGGCGAGGTGCATAGTGGTATCATCGACGGCACAAACAGAACCGTACTCGAGATGATCGAAGAAGATGCTCTGGGCTACAAAGTGGGTGATCCCGAGGTATATCACGAAGCTCTGTCGTTCTACGCCAATACCAATCCGGCGGATGGGCATCCGGGCGTGATTGAAATCATTTTGCGCATTGGAAATCAAGATGTCGACACGCTTCGTGCTTAACTTAGAGCCGAACGTCAAGTGGATGTCCTTACCAATCTCTGAATTGATTAAGTACCTTGTGGTGTTCTAGGATCAGATATAAAAGGCATGTATTGATTTCGGGTGATATTAATAACACGACAGAAAGGTTCGTGGCACGATAAAGCTAGTCTAAATAAAAAACGTCCCCTCGTTCTACGTCCCTTTTAACCATCACCCTTTCCTCAGGTCTTGTCCAACGGTCTTTCTAACGGTCTTTCTAACGGTCTTTTCTAAGGTCTTCCATAGCTATCTACCTAAATAACCATAGATCTTTAAAAGGAAAACAAACAAGGTTTACGTAGTGCCAGCATAAATAGTCGCTGACAATACTAGCGAGAAGCGTCATTAGTTACATTGAATCATGTACACATAAGGACTCGGGAGGTACTATGTAGCATTTTTTATTGAAGGGCCGCGGGGGTAGGCGTTATGCATTAGGACTAGGCTTGTCGTACCATGAACCTTTCTGTCGTGCCGTTAATATCACCCATTAACGTCACGGTATCAAATGAGAATACTTTCAGTATCGCGTATCTGATTGCGTACATGACTCGAGATCATCAGAGCTGAAGTATACTTTGCAGTAATAAACCCTGTGAGATCACACAAGGGGGATGGCAATGGAGTTGAAGAAAGTCAATCCATGAATCTCCTGGTGATGGAGAAGCTACTGTGACAAAAAAAATACTGCGAACTCCTGACAGGTGATGTCCAAGTCGTCAAATCTTTCGTATGAAAGACTGCACTTGAATCCCTCCGACTTACCAACGACAGTTGTCAGCTGGATGGCCTCTTCGCCTTAGAGAGGTGGCTTGCCACGAGCTTTGACCGGGTTCGGATCCTCCTTCTTCTTTCTCTCGCACTTGACACTTCCTTTCCTTCTCTCAACTTCCCCTGCTCCCCACCAGGAGTTCAGGCCATGGAACTCCCCTTTTTTTCTAAACTTCGCCGCCCCCGGAGCGCAGGCCATGGTTCTCCGGGGGTTTCTTGTGGGTTGGCCAGTGTGTCTGTTGAAATCCTCTGGGGTTACCAACAGCCATTTGTAGCTGGAAGGCCTCTTTGCTCGCAGTGACGTGACCCGGTTACTCACTCTGAGAGAATTTGAATATTTCCACTCCCGATCTCTTGCCTTGTTTGTTTATTTCTGCCTTCGCCACTTCCCCGGAACTTACCATCCTTCCAACTTCAACTTCGACCTTTCTTCCTCGCCCTTGCCCTTCTCAACTGAAAAAAAGGTTCTGCTACCTCTTTTTCCTCTTCTCTCTTCACATCCTCTCCCCTCCTACGTTCTCAGCTTGAAAACCTTTCTGCTACCTTTTTTTCCTCTACTTCCCTCACAGACTTTCCCCTTCTGCTCTCTCAACACCTTTCTCACCCCTCCGTGCTCTCGATACCTTCCATCATGGCGCGTAAAAAACGGCCGTTGTCTCCCTCTACTGAGCCCGCTAATGAGAATGTCGGCCAGCCTGACCTGCACCAAGAGCTGGTTGGCCCCCGACCCCGCCGCATCCCGAGTGTCCTCATCACAGATGATGCGTCTGTCCTCACTTGCACTCCCACTCGTGATCACTCATTCATTGCATGCTCGTTTGCCTTGGATGCTAGTTACCCTGACCCCTACCTTGAGGTCTCCTTTGAGTGTGCCTACCATGACCCAATTCCTCCTCCTGACCCTCTTGATGATCCGCAAGCGGAGTCTGGCCATGTCGACAAGAAACAAGATGCCCAAGGATACCGGAACACGCACCACGGCTGTGCCAAGTTCACTTCGAGTGACATTGCGAGTCTGAGAATCGTCCAACTCGAGGCCCCGAATAACGAAGTAAGTGTCATTCTTTCCTTTTTGTTTCACTCTATTCTGTCAGAGCCGATGAATAACAAAGTGTATTACTAGAACAAGGAGCTACAGAACCTGACATTTGCGGACGCCATGGCCCGAGGTGACCGATCAATTGCCCCACAGAATCTTGTTGATGGGAACCGCATCCTTAAACTAGCCTTGGATGAGGGGAATCTCAAAATTCTCCGCATTGAACTCCATGAAGACGTGACCATCAAAACCATCGGTCTCCACACTCCCAAAGTCCTAGGGGAGCAGAACGCCTCATGGCTTGAACTCTGTCAGCACCACAAGTCTTCGCGTTCATTCAATCTGGCCGTGGATTCCACATACGAAGGCCTGGAGGCCATGAGATCCCAAATTGTCAGCAGTTGGGAGGAAATGAGACAGTCCCCGGGGCCATTCCACGAATTCTATGGAAATCATCCTGACAAGCCTTTTGTCAAGAGTGGATCGGCAGATGACAATGTACCTCGCACGTCCCGTCGCAACGACTTTGATGCTCCTGGTCAATTGGGCTTTATGCACAAGCATGAGTACAATGCTTTGTGTGCTTACGGCTACATCGATGAGCACGCATACAATGATTCGGCTACCCGAGAACTGACCGGTCGTCCTTTGGAGCTCAGGCTCATGGAAGTTCCACATACTGAGGGTCGGGAGTTCATGGCGTTTGTCTCCGAGGCCAACGTCGCATCTGCTCGTCTTCAGCCAGGAGATCCACTCGAATACGCCTTCGTCGACGGAGATAGTGCTGACGCTGGCTCTCAACCCGACGGACATGATCGAATGGAAGGTATCCATAGTTCAGATCCGTATGAGCGTCCCCTAGCCCAAGAAGAGCTAGACAGGGAGGAGGAAGTCGACTTCATGGACAGTGTTCATGATGATGATCCCCGAGAGCGAAATTTGGCTATTCTCAAGTTCATAGACGAAAAGAGGACCGCGAAGCAATCCGAACCCCAGACGCCACCACAGACAACCGAACCCATTTACTGGACTGGCAAAGTTGGTAACGACGCCGCTTGGATTCCCACTGGTTGGAGGCTCTTGTACATGGTTCGCCCCTACGATAGAGACGCCAAAGCTTGGGATTTCAAAGAAGAGATCAACGCCTTGCCATGGAGAACAATGGCAGATCCCGACTTCAAGACAAAGTTTCTGGCCCACCCTCCTCATCATGTGTGCCTGGGGATCATTATTAGCGAGAAGGAAAAGAAGTCAATTCTCGCAGCCAACCATGAGATGTACATGAAGGGCGGACAAATGGAGGAACTCTGGGATTTGCTCTTAATGCAGGAACCCTCAACTTTCCGTCATGTCGACTTCTACGGCACAATCCAGGAAGACACATTTGATTTTGCTCAAATCACCAACAGGATGAACCATGGTCAGAAAGCGGCTTTTGCTGCATTACGTGACATGCGTGCCTTTGCTGTCGCACTCCACGGACCTCCTGGCACCGGAAAGACTTTCTGGGCCTCCAACGTCCTCATTCCCCTTATCCAGCAACCGAATAAGGACACAGGGCAGCCTCACCTGATTTACGCTATGGCCGCAACCAATGACCAAGTTGACAAGCTTGCGGAGGAGCTTCACAAAGTTCTGAACCAGATCAGAAAGTCCCTCGTAGTCTTTGTATGACAAAATGGGACAACTCGAAATACCCAACAGGCTATTAGACGCTCTCTACAGCGATTCCCAGGACAGTTATTCATCAACTCGCTTAGTCGGCTCCCTCGGTATTGGCATATACGGAGAATCTACCAACATAGCCTCACGATGCGTTCTTTATGCTCTGCCCTAGTAAGGACTTTGTCGATCAAGGCTCAGAATCGATGGATTCACTATGAAAAAAGACCGCGGTTCTTCCTTCTTTACCGCCTTTCTTGAACCCATGCTCTTCCTGGTCATTTCTCTACCACCTCACTAACACAATCTCTCTCTTCCATCTACCTCATTGGGACGTGGCATATCCCAACTTCCACTAACTCCACCCTGAACTGGCGGACGTGGGAACCCTGAGCGAGCCCATCTTTCACGACACGGACAACTCCCCACTCTAGGGAAAATCCATACCAAGGTTTGCTGAGGCAAATCATAGCGGCAAACCACGTCGCCGCCCTTCGCCTCTACCAAGCGAACCCCCACAGTCGGGGATTCTGGGAAGAGTACGAGATCCCACTCTGGCATCCTTTTTTGGTCGCAAAAGCCCATGGCAGCTGCGATGCCCTTCGCATCTTGCTAAAGATCTATCTGAGTGATCCGGTCTACCAAATGCCGGGATTTCCCCCCTTGGGGGATTACCTGGTGCTTTGGAAGTTCTCGCCCATCCATCTGGCGTGTGCAGCTGCAGATCGGGGTTTGACCCTCTGGTTGTTATCTAAGAGGCAACGAAATCCAGATGAGCGACCGTTGGCCACACTGCGGGATCCGGCCAATGGCTACGGTGGGCGAACACCACTGTTCTGTGCCGTCAGCGGTTTGCCGCGCCACGGGGGGCAGGTCGAGCGGAGGGAGGCGTTTATCTTCCTTCTGCTGGATAAGATAGGTTGTAAGGTGCGGGGTTCAGATGTCCCCTGCTCTTCCAATCGAGGACAAGGACAACAGATTCGCCATGGACGGACGGAGGAACGATGATGATGATAATGCCAATGCCCAGCAGGAATAAAAGGCAGACGAGGAGGATGATAGACGCCGTCAAATAGCTTCTCGACGCAAATCCTGATACGATCAATGCCCGTGACTGGCAGGGGGCTACGGTGTTCAATTACGCGGTCAAGTCCTGTGCGGCGGGAATGGAGGGGATCTTAGCAGCTGTGAAGGTGCTTCTCAATGCGAAACCGCGCAATTTGACTTTGAATCACCTTCCCGACGAGAAAGCTGACCGGCACGTCAATACTCTTGCAGGATACAGTGACTTACCACTCTCAAAGATCCAACCAAGTCCGCGATGAGCGCTTCACAGAGCTGATCTAAACCTTCCTTGAGCATGGAGCTGATACTCGGTTATGCTTACATCGGCTTGGTGCCGGAATTTGGCATGATCCCATCACTCTAAGTATGCTGGACCGCCTTCTAGAGCCACCGACGGATATCAATGATACGGATACCGATGGCTGTACGGCGATGTACTATCTTGTCCAGCATCTGGGCCAGATCGAGGCCGCTCGCCATTTAATCAGCCGCGGCGCGGACATGAGCGTAGTCAATCACATGGGAAACATGCCTCTTCATGAGTTGATGGGAGGAACCATGCTTGGACGTCTGAATGAACATGGGAAGTTTGATCATGCGCAACCAAAAGATGCACCGGCACGAGCACGGGAGGAATGGATCAAAGTCTCGGTCGAGGCTGGAGGCTCCATGCATCAACCGAATGCAGCCGGGCAGAGCCCGGCTCAGCTACTTGATGAGCTCAACGAGAGGAGACAGCATAATCGGCAGGCAGAGGCAGCACGTGGAAGAGGACGAGGTCGGGGTCGAAGTTGAGGTCATAGACGAGAGGCGGAATGAAGAGGGCGCTTATGAGCTGCCCAGACTCTCTATGTCTGAAAAAAGGAGTATAGAAACAATGAACTTATCAAGTTTTTCACAAAAGTTCAGAGCCCACGGCCACCAATGACCCGATCACAAAACCACGTGCGGTGCCGTTGTCAATGGATTCTTTGAATTTAGGGCTAGTGGCTCCCAGTAACTGAGAGCGTAATCCTGGAGGCGATACAAATGCACCCAATGCAGAGGTGAGAAGTAATGATTACCGAACGAATGCGGTTTCGCTGTTCATCGGGGTAATCTTCTTCCCTCAAGTAGTCAAGTTAAAGACAGTCTCACTCCAATCTGCGCATCGCGTATGCATGTGTTACCTAAATTGCAATGGACGCTCTTTATGCAGTATAGATGTTGAGATAATTAGATGAGGGGGAAGCCATAGACCCGAACCCGCTAGTATTATGGTCCGTTGGTTCTGTAAATGTATTGGGAATTGATAAATCGTATACTATACACATGACGGGTCGTGAGAATCTAAAACTTCTTTCGTTTACTTTCAAAGCATAATTGCACACCGTCACGGCTTATACCGCTCCAGCAGAGCTCGTATTGCATGGCGCTTGATCGGCTTGGTGAGAAACGTGTCTATCCCAGACGCAAAGGCCTCTTGCTGCGCGGCCGGACTGTCCAGGCCGGTCAACGCGATGATTGCCGTAGGGTACCATGGTGGCGTTTCAGAGGGGTTCTTGTCATAATGGGTTCGCTCGAATTGGCGGATCGTGCGGCTGGCTTCAAAGCCGTTCATGACCGGCATTGAGATATCTGCGTTTGTCTGTTAACTTGATTGAGATTGAGAGTGGATGGATGAGCCTACCTATGATGACGAGGACGAACTTGCCCGGGTTCGAGCGGAATTGCTCAACTGCTTCTAATCCGTTGTTCGCAGTCTCATAACTCCAGCCTTCCTTTGTCACGTAGGTCGTGAGAATCTGAAGATTCACAGGGTTATCCTCGACGAGGAGTGCACAGGGTTTGTTATGCTCCGTAGCGCTCTCCTCCTTTGTAGGGGAATTTTGTTCCAATTGTGTTTGTTCCGAGGGTGGGCCTCCATTGGAGTTGCCAAAGTCTCCCCCTTCCTGACTTTCAAATGTATCCGTGGTAGGTCGTTTGCTAATCTTCATCCTTTCCCCTGGCGCGTCTCTCGTGTCGATATCCAGTGGCAGACGCGAGGATTCGGGCATTTCGACCCAGCGAGTCTCTTCTTCTCGTTGTGTACCTTCTCCATGGAGTTGGCGAATACACAGCTCCAATGTTTTCGCTAGCTTGCGCGGCCCGCAGGGCTGGCTGATGAACTCAATAATAGCGCCCCGGTCGCGCCTCAGGGTCATTGTGCGAGCGAACATGTTGTGTGCAGTCTGTGGAGATTGGCAAATAACAATGAGTGGTGATATACCCTCTAGGTCGTTGATGTTGAAAGGCTGATTTCCTGCAGCATCTGCTCCGTCCAGATTAGTGTGAACCATGAGGTAGAAGTCACAAGGAGTGCGGTCGCCGTCCAGAGAGACTGGTTTGACGGTGAGATGGAACCAGTCCTCGCACACACTCTTCAACGCATTATACAGCGAGGCATCCCGATCTGATGCGACGGAAGAACCGAATCCCAGTAAGCCGACGGATTTTCCGTTCGCTTCTTCCCGGACAAGGCTGTACGCCGCATTCGAAGATGACCCATCGGACGTGTCTGACGCCAGGACCGGTTTGAGCGGCACCTGGATGGATATTTCGGTACCGCGATTCTTCTCGGATTTGACTTCGATCGAACCGTTCAGCGAATGAAGTGCTTTTTGCACAATGCTCAGTCCGAGTCCGCTCCCAGGCGCGAGTGCGTCTTCTTGCGAGAACGCAGTGAACAGCCCGTTTTGTAGGAAGTTGCTGCTGATGCCCTGCCCGGTGTCTTTGACACTGAGAGTGACCAGATATTGGTCACTGGGGTCTGTTGACGTGTCGGAGTCTTTGCTCTCCGGTTGGGAAATTTTGGTGACCGTCAGCCGCAGGTAAATAAAGCCTTGCGTGGTGTACTTTAGTGCATTGCTGAAGACGTTCATTAAGATGCGGCGCCAGCATCCGGCCTGTGTGAAGAATTTCCATTCGGCGGCCTCCTGGATATCAAAGATGATGGTCACTTGCTTCGGCTGTTCGGTCGCCTGCGACGCTTCTGCATTAGCATTTCGATGCTGGACGCGAGGGTGATGGTAAAAGCTGTGGCCGGCAAAAACACTCTCCACGACTTCCTCGAGCACAGAGTCTAGCTGGACTTCCTCGGACGCGCTCTCAATGCCGCGTGGCCAGTTACGCTCGGGTGTCGCCCGCTCTGGAGCTGAGGATTCCGAGACGGTACCGCGACGGTGCTTTTTCTTCAATTTAGGGTCTTGCTTGAACTTGTCCACATAAGTCAAGTCAAGCAAATGGTTGATCGTGTCGAGTAACGTTCGGCCACAGGACTCGATGGTATGGACCATGCCCTGCTGTAGCGCGTTCATCGCAGTGTCACTCAGAATGTCTGCGGTGCCAAGAATTCCGTGCAGCGGACTTCGCAATTCGTGCGATATGCTGGTGACAAGGTTGGTATTTTCCTGTTCTGCCACCTCCACATCCAGCCTATGGACCTCTGCCATGACACTATTGCCAAAGGCGCGGAGATAGGCGAGTTCGTTCTCGGACGCAAAAACACGTTTCGGTGTATTAGTCCAGACAAGGGCCCCAGAGAGCCATCTAGACTTGTGCGGCTCCCAAAGAGGAAGAAAGACGATACTACGCGCTCCTCCGAGTGCTTTATTCAGCTCGTCTGCATCCTGCTTTTGCCGTCGCCTTTTACCACTAACTTCCTTTCCCTGTGTCCCGGAGCTGGCGCTACTGTCATCAGATAAGGAGCCATCCTGCGTGTAGTTGAAAATCTTCCCACGCGGGTAGCGATTCATCATTGCCTTGAGCACAATCTCTCGCACGGCGTAGTCGTTTTGTATCGGACAATCGTTGCAATCATTTCTGGTCGAAGGCCGAGTGGTCGAAGAGCCTAGAATCCGGCAGGTTTTGGTATCGTCCTCAAAATTTTGAAATGTTGGGTGGGATATAGGCACGGACGCAGAGTCGCCGCTGCCCGAATCGGTGCTATCTTCACTCGTCGACCCTGTCCTCTCGCCCGTAGCTTCGTACCCGACCAGACCTCCAAAAGACTCGATTCTCGCGTCGAGGAAGACGACTCCCTCCACTTCGATCGACTCCCGAATCAAATTCGCGGCCCGGAAGAAGATACGCCGGAGCGCAGCCGAACTACCGTCGTCCAGGAGTTTGTTGCCGTTCACCGAGGATTGGGTTGATTCCCTCTTTTTGTGATGGTCGGTGGATTCGTCGTCTTTGGAACTTGCCACCTGCTTCTTCGGACGATGCGCAAGCTGTCTTGTCTGACTGCGTATTTCCTGAAGATTCTGCTCGTGTCGATTCAACTGTCCCTCAACCGTCTCCCCCGTGCGCTCGGTGGTCGCCGCCTGCTCCTCCGACTCCAGCCAGGAATCACGGAGCGTGGTCTTGCCTTGCATAAAGCTGCCCAGACCAGAAATCATGCGCTTCGCTTGGTTATTCTGGTATTTGGACTGTAAGGTATCCAAGTGGTCCATTACCGTCGCCGCCATGTGCTTCATAAAGGCGATCGACGATTGATCCATTTCGGTTTGACGCGGCTGCGTCTCAAATATGCCAAATGATCCTATCGTGCTCCCCCGGGGAGTCACTATGGGCACCACGACGCAAGACCGTGCCTTGAGAAGACTGTTGACCAAACTGTGCTCCTTGACGTACGGGCTCGTCTGCGCGTCCGGTATGACCAGTGCTCCCTCCCTTATTGACGGGTCATCCGATGGCTCTCTGAGGGGCAATTTGGCAACCTCGATGCACACGCCACTCCCTATTGGCAGAACGGAACATCCTAGTCGCATGTCGTCGCCCGTTGGCGATCCCGTGGCTTCGGTCAGGATGTACTGATGCGTGGGTCCGAATAGCGAGATGATTGCGCGCTCCGCGCCGAGCCGCATGGCGCCCAATTGGGCGAGTGATGTCAAAACATGATCGCGCGATGGTGTCGGAACGAAATTCTTTCGACTAGACTCGTCAAAGGGCGCGAAGGGAAACGAAGCTTGGCCGTGTGGGAGATATCTAACTTAGTCAGCAGGTTCGCTCAAACGCTGCCGTGCGCTTTCTGCCGACCTGTAAAATTCTCGTTCCGTGGTCAAGTCGAACGAGATGTCCTCGAGTTGATTGTGTAAAGTCATGTTGTCGCGTATTCTCTCATCCTCAACGTTAAGCGTCACAGGCAAAGTGCCGATTGAGCTGCGTGCAAGTCTTAAGATTCGCAAAGTTGGGTCGTGGGCTGGTGATATCATTTTGTTCCCCCGACGTCATCGGCCGTTCCTGGCGCTCCACCGGCGCCCACGATCGACCAACTTTTTCTTCCGCCCTGCGGTTCCCCAAGGGCTAGCGCGCCACTGACATACTCTGCACGCTGCGCTCCGATCGACTGATCGTCCCGGGACTCTTATTCAAAAGTTACACATCCTTTCTATTTGAGGCCACCGTCACGGTCCGCCATGCAGCACGATGGATTCCTCGAGAATGAGCTAATCCGGAGTGCCCCTCTACACTCCCCGCACTCACCTTGCAAGTACAAGTAATGTGGTCGCACGTTGATCTACAGTGATACCGAACTCCCTGTCACAGTTCCCTATTATGGAAACTTAGTTCCGTCTCGACAAAATAGGCCCAGATCGATGAACAACTCTTAAGAACCTCAAGAGTTGTTCGTGGGGTCCTCAGGCTCGCACCTTCAGGCAGCCCGCGTCACTGCGGCGATCGTCAGCGGCGTGTCGGGATTTGAACGCCTCAAGGGACTACCCGCCTGTGATGGGGGGGATCGCGAGATTTGGAACGTCTTTCCAGGGTTTGCATCATGATATAATGTGCCGAATCGACAATCATAAGATAATGAACAGTTGAAATCCTAATTTTTATTGGGACCGCTGGGGCTCTTTCCATTGAGCAGCCAAGGAACCAGTGTATATTGTGCGTAGACCAAAGCAGTTCATCGGGATTTGACAATTATCCAAGGATGCGATTCTTGGAACCGCTCGATTCATCGTTTTCCATTATGTAGAGTATGAATGCATGCTGTAATACACAGTCAGCTCGACCAACTTGAACAAAGGGTCGAACCCCGGTACGCCCGCTCCCGAGAGCAGGTTACACGCCGGCTCACCCACACGTGACTTGAAATACACTTTTAGCTTGCATATGATTCTGTATGCCCTAAAGTAGTTTAGCGCTCTTTATGTTGTTCCGTCCACGTTTGACAAATTTTGGACACCACAGCTTATATCTCTTGAGAAGTTCTATATAACTCGCCTCCATACCTAGGTCTCTTCAATCGTATTAAGCGATTTATTCAACTAAAGACAACTATAATTAAGGTCTCTTGATTAAATGATATACCTAACGAATAATGCACTAGTCAAGAACTACGGTTGAGCTACTATTTTTTAAATGAAAATTATACTTACGAGATATAAATTTCTTAATATGACTGTTTGAAGATTGATTCTGAAATAGCCCTGACATTTGACTGAAATTGTCATTGTTTAGAGTTGTAAGCTTTTTATATTTACTTAGCTTTAGAAATATTTCAACAAACTATTAATGAACAAAACTTACCTCAGATAATACTAGTAGGCGGTAGGCGGTATCAAGGTAGTGACCCGTTTGTTAGTTAGTTAATATATGAAAATCTTATTAAGCACTATGGGAGAAGATCGAAACCGTGATGATGGTGATTCTATATAAAAATGTAAGTTTGGAAATGGAGGTGGGGAGAGTATGAGCTTAGCCCTTCTGTCAGGTGATACTCGGAAAATCTATGTATAACCTGAGCAAGCATAAGGGGCGTGAGCCGGCCTGTAGGCTCTCACTGTGGATAGTAATCGATATCCCATCGCAATCCATAAGCGGGACCCCGGTCGTCTCGCGGGACATCAGCCGTGGTAGAGGAGATTCCCGGCACCGCCACCGCCTTTTGAGGACACGCGGATGACGCGATCCGACGCGATGCGCTTCGGTCCTGCAACTTTGCGCGGGCCGAATTTTAGCCTTATAGACCACGACGTCATCGCTAGAGGCCACGGCGGAATGAGGTACTTCTGATAGATGTCCGAGATACTTTTATCGGTCAAAGAATTCATGTCTGAGAATTGCCGCTGTCAATCAATCATGAAACATGATATGGAGCAGATGCGTTCGCTTTTCATGCGGCCTACATTAGGCAATTGACTCATGAAAATTCGTCCACTCTTCACCATGTTAGCGTATAAGGTTAGAGGCCTTTACATGCAAATTATGAGCTATACTCCACCTGGATTTCCGAAGACGCACAAGCAGTCGAGTCTGTGTTCTCGCCTTTTGATGAACGATTATCAATCCTAACGATCATAGCATGGCAATCTGTCATCTATTGTACGAAATCATTGTCAAGCAGAACTTCAATGCCAGGTCGATGACCGTTCGTTTGCAAAATGCGAGAGACTCTTGATGTCTCGACACCAAGTTTTTCACAAATCCTTTGAGTGAGCTCCCAGACGGTTCGCTCCCTCAAATAGATTGCCCGATAGTATCGCGCTGAAGGTGACTTGCTTGTGTCATCATTTATAAAGAAGCAGGCGGCTAAGTAGAAGGATGATTAACGACTTGCCGAACCCATTGGTGTTAGGATGGTAGATTTTCGTGGTAAATCTGACCATGGGCGGCTTAGATGGGTAGTTTTCAGGGAATTTCACTTCCACGAAAAATACGCCGTTCTTATATGGCGAATCCGGCTAGAGCCAGTGTTAGCTTCATATTAAATTAAATCTAATACCGGCCGCCGGCGTGGAACAGTGTATAGCCCTCCCTTCTCTAAGACCATTTGTTACATAGCACGGGAACCAGAGAACGACCTACAGGACCGATAATGGCTGCTTCCCAGAGGAACTAGAAGAAAAAAAAACATCAGTCGTCAATCAGCTTCGCTTCAGTGCGATATACGATAATGCCGTTTCCGAGCGATAAGAATCAAACCCGAGTAGAGGTAGAAACAAGAGGGTTTGGTATTCGGTCCTGATGATACACACCATATCACTTCCATTGGGATGTGCAGGAAGACGGGGGATCTCTTTTAGAGGAAAAAAGTCAAATTTAGTCTCACTCGCAGTAGATGGTCTAGTAATAGACCGAGCATTTCTTACTCCTGGATATACTCCTATTCCTTGTTGATACGTTCGAGAGCCATGATAGAGGAATGGAAGTTGAGACAGGGAGTGAAGGAAGAATTAAGAATGAGGGTAACTGGAGGCGAGGTATGGAATACCAGCATGTCTTTATATATATTAGTTCTTTAGTTATATCACTCTTACTCAGCAATGCACGCTTCCGTTTACCGTATAACATCGAGAATTTAATACAGTTCAACCAGCCACCATTTTCCACCTAAACTCCAGTATAACACCAAATTTAGAACTCTCTGCGTCCGAAGTGGGAGCTTTTCCCCCGGGGTTCCCCGTCAAAGTTAATACACGCTCAGGTATTGTCAACATATATGTGTGCATATCCTTGCAATAAGCGAGCAAGTGCATGTGTACGCTCGCTAATGCAATCGGATGCATGAACTCTACATCCCCTATACACCGCTTCATGATATATGATGTTGATCATCAACTATCGCATCAGGTGGAAAAAGAAACGAGCTTCCTAATACTCTCATATGCCCCCAGGTTAACTCGGATCTTTATGACTCTTTTCCTTCGACATTCTGCCATGTACCAAAAGTTATACATACTGCCTGTTTCCCTAGTTAAATAAAACAAGTTTGACCCCATTTTCACTCAGGAATAGAGCTCAAGGCAAATATAATCAAACTGTGTTGACCTTCCACTGTTCAACCCGTTCGTTGCCGACCCCGACCTCTATTGCACTTTCGTCTCTCATCCATAATCGTGGTATTCGATCGACCGATATGCGCCTTCAAGCACACCACTAACCAGGCTTTATGCCGACCGCGTAAATCCGATAGGTACTTTAGAGTCTTAGCTATGTAATCCAATCTTACATCTATACATTAAAATCGCTGAATGGTGTCATTGATTACTTGCTTTAATTGTGGCGCTGACGCTGCCTCGCTGAGCTCTGCCGAGGTCGCAGATCGGAAATTATGGGTCATTACCGCAACCAGACTAGGCATTCTAGGGAATTTCGCCAAAGCGCATTTGCATCTAGGACATCACCTGAAACGATGGCAGTGAGCAAGGGCCGTAGTGTTGCAGAAATCAGGGAAGCCGGAGTACTCGATCCCTGGAGCGTATCGCCCGATCTCGCTCCTCAACACACTCCGGAAACTCCTCGAGGCAGTCGTAGCCCGACGACTGTCGTACCTCGCCGAGAAGCACGGCTTGTTGCCCGATACTCAATTCGGAGGACGCCCGGACTGAACAAGCCCTACTAGTCCTTTCCAATGCGATTGATCAAGCTTGGTATAAACTTAGAGTTGTGACACTTATAGCGTTTGATCAGAAGGTTGCCTTTAACGGAGTCAACAAAATCAGTCTCGACGCCCGCCTCCGAGCAAAGGGGATTCTAACACACCTCCGCATCCGCCGTAGAAGCCCTAAAGAGCTCACATATAGTCTGAATGGCGGCATCCACATATTTAGTGGATGATATTAATGGCACCACAGAAAAGTTTATGGCACGACAAGGGTAGTCCCAATAAGTAACGCCTCCCCCAGCGGCCCTTTAACCTAGACTGCTACATTCGAGATTTACATAGTACCTACCGAGTCCTTGTATATACATAATCCTGGAACATAACACTTCTCGCTAGTGTAATTAGCGACTATTTACGCTAGTATTATGTAAACTTTATTCATCTATCTTTTTAAGATCTATACATATTTGGGTGAAGTAGATAGATATTAAAGACCTCAGGAAAGACTTCAGAAAAGACCTTAGAAAAGGGTGATGGTAGGTAGGGATGTAGAATGAGGGGGAAATCCCTTATTAGGACTGGCCTTCTCGTGCTACGAACTTTTCTGTCGTGTTATCAATACCACCCTATTTAGTCGTCATTGTTCGACATTACATGGCAAATTGTGCTTATGGTATTTTCTTCCGGCTAAGGTTTAGTTCGAGGTGAAGGGAGCAATGACGTTATGACCTGGAACCCTTATAGCCCGAAACGAATTTAAGGTTAGGTTGCATTTCTACCTCTCAAGCGTGATTGGCTGTAGGGAGAAGCCTATTGATTCGGATCGGCCCGTGCTGTGCTATCCGGGTCGATACCAGCCGCTACTAGGGTATAATAGGCTACCTAATATCCAAGTTCACGTGTTGTAGGCATTGCCATTTTCTTGATGCGCCAGACCAGTGACCTAAATATATCATCTGAAGTATGCACGCTCCTAACCGTTGATTCAGCCAGTCAAACCATACTTTTCTAAAAAGGAAACAACAAAGAGCTTTCTGCAGGATTAAAGAAGCGACCAATGTCTCGGCCATGAGTCCTCGCTGTGACATGATTTTCTGGTACAAAATTCTGAGAAGACAGATGAGATTGCCCAACAGCATCCCCTCACGCCGCATTTCATAAATAACAACAGCCACCAACCCCAAGCCAGCTCTGCATTTCCATCTCAGCACCCACAACATTTCAGTTATTCAACACATCACAAATCGGAGGCGTAACAGGATTCGGCGCAGGCGCAGGCGCTGGCGCTGGCCCCGGAGCCGGAGCAGGCTTCAGATGCGGCGTGGGCGTCCCCCGATGATTACACACGTACGCACTCTCGCACCACTTCCCATCATCAAGCTTATACACCCACATATAATGATACGAATAACACTTGAGCGGGATATTCATCTCAAACAAATGCCACGCGTCGCCCGCCGCGTTGGGGTCCTTAATGTTCGGGTTGATGTGCACGGTAAACACGTCGCCATTGGGCATGCGCGCCGACACGCCGCCCTGCTGCCCCCAGGGGTAGGCACCCGTCCAGGGGACGTTGACCATCATTGTTGGTCTGTTGGTTTGGAGGCCTTGTCCCGTCCAGACGTCGCCCGGGTAGTAGATCATTTCGCGGGAGGTGGAGCCGCCGTTGACGCCGAGGCCGATGCCACAGTCGGCTAGGACGAGGTTTTCATTTGGGGTTCGTTGGGCGGAGGATAGTTGGAGGAGGGAGAAGATCGTTGTGAGGAGGAGGAGGAGGATGTCGCTTGGCTTGAAGGCAGCCATTTTGCGGTTTGAGAGAGTCCAAAGATTGAGCGGTTGATTTGCCGTTCGAAGAGGGCTCGGCTTCTCTTTAACATTCATCGACCAGCGGCGGTGCAGAGATGAGAGACGGGATACCGGTGGAACGGTGAATGCCAAGCGACTTGAAGCGCATATTTTGACCAGAGGATCGAGAAAAGACGTTGCATGCGCCCGGGATTGTTCAGCTCTCGTTTTTCTTCAGCCGTCTCTGCAAGCCATTGTGGGTCGTTGTATCGGAGTATACACCGACCTTGTCAGCATGATGCTCGATTGCTGCAAGATCATGCCACTTCTGCTTGGACACTGGTAGCCCGAGTGTGAAGTGCCAAGTGCCAAGTGCACAGCGGGATCACCGACGCGGCGGGGACGTGGGGATCCAACAAGCATGTCCGGGGGAATTGGCAGCTGAAACTGATCGCTCGGTCTCGACCACTTCTGGTTGGACCCTTGGCCGGGCAAAGAAAAGCCAATCTGCGATTATCTCCTGCCGATCTAAGACCGTTGTGCAGAACGGGCAAAAGAGCCGACGGGATTTGGGCGGGATTTAGGCCGGCCACGTCGCTAGGCTGAAAGATCCCTGTCGAGTAAACGGCGAGTCGGCGACCTTAGTGGGGATCGAGGAGTTCGAGAAGAGGATTAGAACGATTGAACATGCAGAGTGACGTTTTGCCATGGATGCATCCGCGGGCAGGGATGTTACAGTATCACCCTGCTTATATTAGCCAAGTGTTTGTGGCATCGCGCGATACGAGCTCGGATCCTCATCTTATGCATTGAGATGCGCCCGGAGATTCAGGCGAGGCTATGCTATTCCTCGTTTCAAGCTTGGCAGGAAAAAAATGTGGTTCAGCTGCGAAGTACGATAGCGTACTCTTTTTTTTTTTTGTTTTTGCTTGACATGTCACCATGCAAAGGATATATGAAAAGGACCCAGCACGGCTCCGGAATCGAGCATTCTATCCTTGAGCAGAGACAATCCTGACCCCCCATTCATCGAAAGGGCAATTACCATAATGCTCGCTTTTAAACTTGCAAATCTACACCTCCTCCTCCCACTCCTGCTAGGAACCAGCCTAGCAGAAATCCTCACTCCCTTCGGCGACACGGCCAGCGACGGCGCCATCAAATTCCAGCCCGTCCTCGACTTCGACAAGGACAGCTGCTACCAAACCGCAGCCATCGGCACGGACTACAGAGTCAACGCCGGCATCGGCCCAAACCTCGCTCCACCGCGTCCGCCGGGTACGGGACCAGGGATTCCGCGAGCTGCTGGCGCCGCCGACGAGCAAGTCGTCTTCGCTGCGAATGTGACCGACGCCGACCGCGAGTTTGAAGTTCGCTCCACGCACGGTCCCTACATCCCCTTTGGCTGCCGCGACAAGGACCGCCTCGAGCACAGCCAGACGTACGTCCGCGAGCGGTGCAACCACGGGTGGTGCGCGTACCTGTATGGATACTATTTCGAGGTCGACCAGGGCCCCGGAAACGCGCATAGGCACGACTGGGAGCATGTGATTGTCTGGACGCTCAACGACCAGGTGTTTTTCGTCAGTTGGTCCGCCCACGGCGACTATACGACGCACCACTCGTCCACGGTCCGGTTCGAGGGCACGCGCGCCAAGATCGTGTATCACCTGGGATCGGGCGGTACGCACTCGCTGCGGAAAGCCGAGGCCAAGGACGATGAGATTGAGAATGATATGGGGAGGTGGTGGCGGGCGCCGCTTGTTTCGCTGGAGAAGATGCCCTGCGATTTTAACCGGAAGTTGTTGAATAATGAGTGGGGCAGTGCGCATAGTGATTTGAAGAAGTTGGGGGAGAAATTGGATAAGTGGATGCCCTGGGATGCAAGGAATAATGAAAAGTTTAACCCGTGGGAGCCAAAGGTTCCGTCTTGGGCCAATAGGGGGTGATTTGGGGGTGGAATGTTGCTGAAATGAAGGAAGTACATGTTTGAGGTGGTATTACTTGGGAATGGACGGGTTTGTGGGCATAAGACAGCAAAATGAGAGGATCAATAAAAAATTTTATAGAGCCCTAAATCAAGTATCATTTGCTACTACATTAGTACATAGGGAAGAGCCCTAACGGGAGCCTAAAGGTGAGTAGCCCTCTTTTAATTGCTGTACAGCTAGGAAGACAGTGTTACGACCCTCATGGACTAGTCCTCGAACGGGGCTGCATATATGACCCCTATGGTTTGGCTTACCAGCAAAGCGTAGGGGTTCAAATTAGTCAACTATAGCTAGCTGGACACACCGCGTATAAGATTAGAACCTTGGCGATTAGTCCACGCATAATATCAAGTCATTGGTTTCCTTCACTCTATTTCACTGCCAAATCTATCAAGCATAGTTCAAAGTAGGTCCTAAGATTAATCCACTATTACATTCTTTTATGATATCAAGTCACGAAAAGCTACTATCAGGCTATGCGCCAAGCTAGAGAGAGCAGTTACACTGTACAGAGGATGTCAGCCAATAATAGCCCGAGGCATTGGCATTCGAAATTTCTATCTACTTCTACAGACAATCTATACTCCTACATTATCTCCTCCGAATGTTCTCGTCAGAGTTTGATAGAAGGTCCGGTTTCGCCAGCTGAGTAACGCCACACGGTAGCCAAGGAGATGCGATAAGAACGACATGCAGATTCTGGCAATCATTAGCTGCTTGCTTCCTTCTTGGCTTCACGTCGTTGCATATAGCGGCGCCACTAGTCAATCAAGTCAGCATTTGAAGGGGGAAAAAGACACATTGATTTTCGTGAAAACTTACAGCCGGATTGAAGAAATAGACGGGAATTCCCAAAAGGAAGATTGCCCCAGTAACGGCAGTCAGAATTCCCATCGCGGCAGCATAGCTGTACTTGGTAACCATTGGAGTCAAGCCATAACTAACACCAAACGCGATAATGTTCTTTGTGCCGACAACTGCCACAAGGGCAGGACCGGGGTTTTTCTCCCACGCCTCGGCAGCGAAAGAAGTTGACAAAATGAGCACTGAGACGAAGGCCACTTGCAGCAGTGTCCATCCCATGTACGGGCCACCCCACGTGGCATTACCATTAGCGGTGAAACCGTACAGAAGAAGCGAAATGACCATCAGAATGCCAGGCACGATCAGCAGGATCAGGCGATGCTCGGGAGTATGGACGCCACCGGCGCGCTTGGCCAGGCGCAGAATGTACCAATCACCAAACACACCGGCGTAGAGCATACCTCCAAAGCCACCGAACACACCTCCCAGATTGATCAGGCCAACATTCTTGGCAGCCCAGCCATACTTCTCCTGCAGCACGGTGTCATAAGTCAAAGACATGCCGACACTGCATCCCAGAACCACTGCCGACAACAAGGTCGCGTACAGAATTCCGGGGGAGCTGAAGGCTTCGAACATATGGTACCATGCCATCAGAATGGTCTTGATTGGGTGCTTCGACGGCTTCTGCCAAGGGGCAAGCATCTCCATGTATGACTTCTTGGGTCGTGTCTCGTCGGGGATGTCCTGCTCCTCGGCCTCCAGCGCGAGCATATACTCCCGAGCCTGCTCACCTTCCAGAACTTGGGTGACACCAAACTGGTCTGTTACAACAACTCTTCCATTGATGAGTTGTGCGCGACGCTCGTAGCGTGTCTCGAAGCAACCGAAGACCACAATGACAAGTCCGACACCGACGGCGATGACGTAGACCCAGTAGAACCAGCGCCAGCCCAGAGCTGCAGCTTCATAAGAAGACGCAATGTTCAGGCAACTGGTCACCACATTCTGTGTTGCCCAGTAGACACCATACACAAGGCCACGCTGGTGGACAAAGGTGACTTCGGAAAGCATCAAAGGGAGAAGCTAAACATAAAAATATTAGTTTTTATGCATGCCGCGGATGATATGTGAGATCGACTAACCGATTCGGTAGCACCCGTTGCCAAACCTTGAAGACATCGAAGACCAAGATGCTGCTCGAGTGTCTGCGATACAGCGCAGCCAATCGTCGCAACGAAAAGGACGATGATCGATCCAATGGCCACGGGTCGGCGACCGTACACCAGGCCCAAGGGAAGAATAAGATAGTTTCCTGGCCGTATTAGCCATACCATGTCACTTTTCAGAAACGATACAGTGTATGCTCACCAACACCAACAAATAACGAAGGGAACGTTGCCAACCAAACGATTTCAGTCGAGCTATGGCCCTGAGGCGCATACAGCCCAAAGAAAACGCTCAAAATAGCCCCCAAACCTCCGACCACGGAAAGAGACATGATGGAGAACCAGCAACAGCTGACAATCACACCACTCTTCTCCCAGAGGGTGAAGTTGAGAGGATCATTGGGATCGGCACTAGGAACGGGCAACCGCTGAATATCGCCAGCCGCATCGACGAGTACCTCGCCAGCATTGACAGTCTGCGGCTCCACATCCTCCAGGAATTCAATCTTGACTTTCTGGTCAACAGGAGTAGCCATGATGTTCCACTTTATGAGCCAGAGCTAGAGTGAATGTCTGGACACGCAGCGGCTCCGAAGAAAAAGGAAGAGAAAAAGACGAGGGATGATGGCGAAGCTGTTCCTTTTTCAGTTGGGAGGCGGCGAGCTGCGAGGCAGCTAGTTCAAATCATCGGCCCCGCCGCTGGCATACTGCGGTCGGTGCATGGGCATAGTTCAGTGAATGTGCTGTGACTTCGGGGACTGCGACTGGGAAATTTTGGACAGGCGACAGTGGGTGGATCTCCCCCATCCCTGCCGAGCTGTCGCGGCCGAAGTTCAGAGTCGGGGTAAGCGCCACCTTCCCCGTGGGGGTGAATCGCCCACATGCCGACAAATGCATGGTGGTTGATTGGCTCTCCACTCGGCAATCGTCTAACAATCTGGGTTTTGGCGGATACGAAGCTCCGATTTCATGAATATACGGAGTAATGCGCAGCAGCTTGATTTCTATGGTACACGGTTTATTCATTCGGCGTTTAATATCCTAGTGTCATCATCGTAGGTCGCCCAGATCCTCAATCAGAGAACACAGGTTCTGAACCATCGGGGGAAGTACATCATCCGGCAAGGTGAGTGGGCAATTACCTTCAAACACCTGCCGCGCCACCGCCATTACTGTGCGAGGCTTGCTCAATTCACAGAAAGCCTTGACTTCTCCTTCGTTGCCCCCACGGGACTGAAGCATCATCAATCCAGGCCGACCCACGCCGTGGTTTATAAAGGACTTGGTTACATGGTTTTCGGGTCCATCCAAGGGGACTTGCGGAGTCAGTTCCGCGTCACTCATGGGGGTGGTCACCTCGAGACGCTTATTTTCACCACATTGAATCAGACCGTAAACCCATAGAACCAGCGCGGCATGATAGATAGCCAAGCAGTCAAAGCCGCGGAACTGAAAGACGGCCACCTTCCGAGCCGCTCGAAGCATTTGGCCAGCGTGCCAAATGGCGGATCGCGCTTCTTTCGTCCGGCTCCAGTCCCGAAGTCCGGGATAGGCGCGACGCGCATCTAGCTCCCCCATCTTTCCGACGAAGCGCTGGATTGTGTCAATGTCAATGTGGAGGTACATCATCACGAACTCGTTCAACAACGTCGTGACCGGGGGTGCGCTTGGGGAGTCTTCTTGCACGGCCTGAAGGGTTGTATATCTGGGGAAGCAGAAGTCAGATTATTGAATTCGTAGATATCACAAAGGCACCAAACATACAAGTCTTCTTGTCGACTTTGTAGCCATAACCGAGTGGTCGCGCGCGGTCCAGATCGAGAATTTTGAGAGAGAAGCATTTGCTGACGGAACTCCCACACCTGCAGAGCAAGACCTTGCAGAAGGGCAGATCTGGCAATTTCCAGATCTAATTCGGGGGGTATTTGATTCATCAATGATGGATCGGACAATAGATCGCGTAAATGCAACTCAGAGCAATCTTTCAACCGGTACTTGGCTGTCCAAATATCCCGCCAGGCTTCAGCAGTGGGAGCAAGCCATAAATCTCTCGCCGAGGGGAATGGTAGCGTCAACTCTGTATATGAAATGATAGCGGGTCGGTTCATAGACGTGGCCACCTCCACGTCATGGCCGAACAGATGATAGACGAGTCTGATTCGATCAGTACTGGGCGCAATACGGGCAAAGGGGACTTTCATTTCGTACCGCTTGAGTGATTCTTGCCGTACCCAGGCATGCCATGCTCGTTGTAATGATTCATCGTCGTTGCCGAATGAATAAGGGGTAATAGTTGTGTAGGTTGATCTGTCAAAGGCTGCACCACGACGCACCGCCTGGTATTGTGAGTATGCAGCTTATGAGATGTTCAGGGGTTCAACTCACTGTGCAGAGCGGCTGTAAGTAGCTTTCAGCAATTTGCATTTTCCGAGTATAGCCACAAAATATTCCAATATCGAGCCATAACATTGAAGCCTGCAAGTATTGGAGGTCGCGGAGTACGCTGTTGTCATCTTCCACCTAGTTAGAAAGGTGGTTAGCGTAACTGTGCAGCGCAACGATAGCTTCTAAGATTCGATTTGGAAGGACCTACTAATCGTGCGAGACCCTCTCGAGTAATTTCCTGCAAAATGATGCCAGTCTTGTTGATAGAGGGCATTCCACAGCACACACACCCGCCCGCAACCAACGCCGTGAGCAATTCCGGGCGCAATTGTTGATATACTGAATCGTAGAAAGTGTAAGGGTGAATCCAGGCGTCCGTCTCGGTTCGTTTCCCAATGCCGATTTTAATCAGCGTGTCAAGGTAGTCTGCAGATGGAAACGTCGTAACTGAAAGGCGAGAGCCTCCGGTTCGTAGGACCAGCTTCAGGATATCGTCCCGATCTTGAGCTGAGAGTTTCCCAGGAATTTTTATTGCGTCCAAGCGATTTTGGTGCGAGGATGGAATGCTGTCACTATCGCGCAAAGGAATGCGTCTCTCTTCGCTGAAGCCATGTTGATTTTTCTCAGGCACCCAAAGCCTACCCGGGGCGTCAGAACAAAATGGGTTTGAATAGCAAATCTTCAATTGTACTCACCACAAAGAACGTCCAAAGGCTGCGGCACGCCGACTCGCAGATTCCTGTTCGTCTGGCGGGGATTGTTGGGGGTCCTCGAATCCAGTGAAAGTCATTGGCACATCGAGTACCTTATCGAGATCCGGTAAAAAGTCTGTGCCGAAGATGTCTGTATCTGTAAACGTGAAATCGATGTCCTGATTGAAATCGAACACTCGCGGCTGTTGTGTGCCGTGGACTGCATCGCCGGCCCCGAGACCCGGCAGCATCACTTGTTCGAAAAATGCGGGAAACCCGTTGAGGGGTGAATAAACCTGCACGTTTCTATGCGGGATGAATGTGGCTAAAGCCATCTCGTCCGCTGACGCGACGTTCGAGTCGTAGATTTCATGCGCATTCCCTGGGAGTGAGTCGGATGGTGGCGGCACGCTGAATTCTGATGGCCCAGATTCGGGAGTTGCTGTCAGAGTCGACAGGTCCGGCGGCGGGCCTCCGACATGCGGTGAGTAGGGCGGGAGAGAGACTGGGTAGGAAAGACGACGCTCGCTTGAGCGACGCCCACCTTTGGATCGGGGGACACATTGGATCTGCTTTGAAGAACATCGCTACGAGCTTGTCAGTGTACGAGGTCCCTTTGAACCCAGCCGAACGACGTACTTTGCAGGGTCTTTCGTTATCGCAACTTAATTTTGCGGTCGCGCAAGCTTCGCAGGCTTCAAGTGCGCGCTCCTTAGTTCGTCTCGTCGAGGATTTGCCTTCTGCCTCATCTTTGTCATGGACAGCCTGGTGTCGCTGCAAAACATCTCTGGGCGCCGTTAGCGGGGCCGCGATGGGATATAGGTGGCTGGTCATTGTGACATACCGGCGATTGAAGCCGCGTTGACACGTTGGACATTGGTACACGCGCTCGTTGCGATCTGATCAATTCTGCACTTTCAGCCTCCGGGAAGATCCCGTCGTATCGGATCGGAGTGATGATTTCTCACGGGAGTCTAGATGACGCGTCAAATGGTCCGGACGTTCGTACGCCTTGTCGCAATGCGGACAGTGGTGACTGACGGCCCTACGCGGGGAACGTCTAGGGTTCTCCGGACTTTCGGGCATGCTGGGGACTTCGGAGGAAGTGGGGTAGACAAAAGTGGACGAGGCATCGATTTATGTGCGGAGGGCCGAGGGGCAGGGCAAGGGCGATCGGGAAGGCGAAAGAATCTGCGGGCCACAACTTGCCGATGGCTGGAGCTGGTGGAAGTGGTTGCGCAGAGCTTCAGAGAAAGGACTGGCCAGTGACAACCATCGGCGACGGCCAGTCAGCGTCTGGCCATTAAACAGACTTTCGAACGACGCGTGGGGGAGGTGGGTCAAAGTGTTGTCGGAACCACTCATACACTCCGAGGCGAGGCGAATTGAGGGTTTGGGGGAATTGTGGGGTCAACTGTCAACGTGCGTTTTTCTCCAGTTTGCGGGGCTCGCCATTGTCATATCCAAAAGGGAGTCTTTACTTTTGCGTCTTTACGCTCGACAAATCGCCTATTTTTGCTCATTGTCGCTTTCTGTTCTGACCACTGCTGTCCAATCAAATGACTCTACGAGACCGGAGTTTAAGCCGCCAGTATATGTATATATAGTGCACTCTCGAGAGAATATCATCAAGCAGTCAACAACCTTGACGTGGACGGAACACTATACATTAGACACGACGGCCATAGCCTATCCATTCGTTTTACGCTTGCTTTCTTTTTATGACATACGGTAAAAGATCACAGTCATTACAGAGCTTGCCAAATTTGCTAGTTGGTAGTAGCTATCCAAGCTCAAGCCGGCGCAGGGATCTGCTCGTTGCTCCAAGCCTTGGCCCCCCGATACATACAATTAAATTTCATGAATTCATCCGGTCTCCTGTTCAGAAGTCAGTAATCAACTTCTTTTTCTCTCGTTCGGACAATTTTTCTCACAAAGTAACGGTGTTCTTAGAAGCAGCTGGCTTCGCCGCCTCTCTGCTGTATGCTTGGATGAGGCTCACTCGAGCGAAGCGAGCCTGGAAAATATTCTATAAAAAATGGGTTAGTAGAGTTTCTGGGGCCAGAAAAAACAGGAATGGAGGTTAAATAATCACCTCTAGGATCTCGGAAAGAGCGTCTGCCGAAGGGGCCTCGCTGATACCCTCAAAAAATGCTCCCAGGGCCTCTGAATCTTCGATTGCTTGACTAGCGCCCTGGCCCTGGGTGGGAAGCATGGCATGGGCGGCATCGCCAATGAGAATCACTCGGCCACGATGCCAGGCCTTGAGCGGGTCCTTGGAGATTGTCAGTAAATCACGTCCTGGGGACTGCTAGAATGAACTACTTACCAAATCACGCAATTGCCACAATCCGAGATCGGCGGAATGCCTGCTAGTTGTCAGTGACTGAAGGGGAAAACAATGAATAGAACCCTCTCATACTTGAATACACTCGTGACCCACGTTGGGAACTCTGAGAAGGTCTCAAGCATCTTATCCAGATTTCCCTCGGCAACCCAGGATTGCTTTGCACCGGGATCCTCATTCAATTGTTCTATGGCTCTGATTAATGGCAGGACTTCCGAGACGATCGGATCTCTGACTTACCATCGGGCACCAATGCCACGATACCGTAGACCTCACCTTGCCTGCCAGGGCCCATAACTAGGCGGCAGTTGTGGGCAACCATCATGGAGGTGAAGGGCTCTCGAGGGTTGATCTTGGAACAAAACTCGGGCTCTTCTTTTTCCAAGGTCTCCGAGGGGATCTGACCACTGGTTAGTATAGCCACGTATGAGTCCTTGCCGTTTCAAACATACCATAAGACGATAGGCTAGATATATTGCGGTGAGTATATCAGTTTCTAACCTTGTGGGAAAATTGAATACATCGCGAACTCACCAGAATGCCCCGTGGGCAATGGAGACGGCTCGTCCTCCAACACATGTTTGCGAATCACGCTATGACTATATTTCGAGATGCTTAGCATGGAAGGGATCTCATAAGGATAAGGTACATTTGCCAATTTAGCTCACATTCCATCGGCAGCAACGATCAGATCTGCCGTCACTATCTCCCCTCCTTCGAGAGTGACCGTGCCATCCAGCGGACTGCAGTCTACTACGCGCGAAGCGACTCTGAGTGTCACCGGATCGCCTGCGCGATCGAGAGAAACTGCAGCTTCCTTGAGTTGATCATGAAGATCTCTCCGATGGAAACACAAACGATCTGCACCGAACTCCGCGGTTGATAGTGGCACGGTGTTGACCAGAACTCCGTCAGTGTTGTAAACACGGAAACCTTCATCAACCATTCTGCTAGCGGCAGCCACTTCCTTCTTGAGGCCCCAGGTAGACTCGACAATTCGGGATGCATTCGGTTGCAGTGAGATCAAAGCACCGATTTCCTTGTTCAGTCTAGATTGCTCAAGCACGGTGATTTGTCGGTTTGGCCCGCGCAGAGCGATTGCGGCGGTAAAGCCAGCAATTCCGCCTCCCACAATGACAATGCGAAACGGAGGCATGTTGATTCACCCAGTTTGACGATATCTCTCTGTCTTGACGAACCTAGCCAGAGTCTTTCTAACTGACACTATCCATGCCTTTTGAGAAAGCACAGACTTCCACAAATGTTCCTGTTGGCCACTCGTCCACCCTCCGAGGTCGTTGCTCCCCCACCTCCACTTCCCCCACCCCCACTTCCCCATTTTCCGAAGACTGGAGCCAGGAAATTCCTCAACGAGACAGCGCGGCCAATGAAGATTATCACGACTGGTCTTATGATGAGCTAGTTTGTGAAAAGTGTGGGCATCCGCCTCGGAGTTTGTCGAACTTGTTTTTCATCCGAGAGAGCCGCGACGACTATTATAAACTTCGAGAGAAATCACCGTCAGAGACACGATAATACGAGAACAGGTATCACAGAATTATTATACCCAAAATGTCGGCTACTACCACCGTCACCGAGACCGTCCAGGCCAACCCCAACTTGCACGGCTCTGGCCCCATGCGCCTGGATGGTACCGACCAGCACTTTGGCGATTTTCGCGATCAGTTGGCTCGCGACGGCTTCGCCGTTGTCAAGGGCGCCATTCCTCGCGAGAAGGCTCTGCAGTACGCCGATGAGATGTACAGCTGGCTCGAGAATTTGTAAGTTTGGAGTAAATTTAAGTCCTTGATAGGGGGCAGTGACTCACATCTTACCAGCAAGCTCGGATTCGATCGCAACGACCCTTCTACCGTGCACAAGGATAAGCTGCCCGTGATCAACGAGAAGGGCATGTGTCTGAACTATGGTCTCTCCCACGAGAGCTTTGTCTGGGGTGTTCGCAGTGAGCCCGGTGTTGTGGGCGCCTTCGAGAAGGTCTATGATGACGAGGATCTGATCGTCTCCTTCGACGCCGTCAACTTCCAGTTCCCCAAGTAGGTCAACCTATAAAGTCATTTAAACGACAATCGATACTAATTCAAGGGAAAAAAAAAACAGCCGTACCGACCTTCCCCCCAACAAGCCCTGGCCGCACCAAGACCAGGACCCCGAGAAGCACGGCTTCCGCTGCATGCAGGGTCTCGTGAACCTGCTCCCCAACGGCCCCGAGGACGGTGGCCTCATCGTCTGCAAGGGCGGACACCTTGTCTCCGAAGAATTCCACCATGCTTTGGCCGATGAAGAGCGCATTCCCGCCTGGACCCCGGAGTGGTATGGCTTCACTGACCGTGGCATGAAGTGGTTGGAAGACCGCGGCTGCAAGTGGGAGAAGGTCTGCGCCGAGCCTGGCGATCTCCTGCTCTGGGACTCGCGTACTCCCCACTACAACCTCAGCCCGAAGAATAACCAGCCCCGCTTCGCCATCTACACCTGTTTCATGCCCGTCGCTGATGCGTCGCAAGAGGACCTGGTGCGGAAGAAGGATGCCTTCGAGCGCCGTGTGGGTACCACTCACTGGCCCAACGCGAGGCACACTGGCTCCAATGTTGCCAAGCGGGATGGCCAGGAGGACCCTCACAACCGTGACAGGCCGGTGAATGACCCGAAGCTGAGCGAGCGGGCTTTCAAGTTGACTGGTATCCCTTATATCAAGGCCAAGGCTTGAGAATTCCAGCAGACTATTGTTGGAGGTTATGGATATGAACTGAGCAGGAACGTAAGCTCGACTTGAGCAAACGCTAGTATCAGAATGTATAAATGAAATTATCTTGTTTATTTTAAAGGTTATTCGAATTAACGGAGCCATCTTTGGGTATCAAAGCCTAAGTTCTTCTACGTAACAGTATAGGATGATGAAAAGTACAGTGGTTTTCGAAATCAGTTTTGACCCAAAACTCTTTCGACTTGATTGCCGGAAAAATAATTCCTCGGTCTGCGAGCTCTGATTGGATGTTATTTTAGGCTTCTGGGACCAGACCGCTTTCCACTATAATCAATGAATCTTACAATATATCTTCAGTACCGTTTATGCTGTAATTTACATGAAATTAGCTGAATACGGTCACTTCTCTGCCTGACAATCAAGAAGTTCACGTACATCGACTTTCTACTTACCGTTGTTAGTGCAGACGACATGGCTCCAAGACTCTCACCTTCAAAGCTTGCGCTCATTCGTCATACGATCGAGAGCAAAACTTTTCGCACATCTGAAATGGCTGAGCAAGCTGAATGTAGCAAGTAGACCATCATTAGTATCCGCAATAACTTGCGACAATTTGGAAGCTTATACATACCACAAACCCGAGTAGGTCGAAAACGAAGGTATCACTACTAATGATCGAAGCCCTCTGTAATAATCTATATAAGAAACCTGGCCTCTATCTTGAGGAATAGTTGTATTCCTATGGGATGAGTTTCAGGCCATATTTATAACCTCTAGTATTAGAAGAGCCCTTATTGAAAAAGGTTAGTCTAATAAAACGGCACGGAGATGTGCTAAAGAACAAAATGTCGAATTACGGGATTATTATCTATATAATCTAGCAGATTTTAAATTATACTGCCTAGTCTATATTAATGAATCTGGGTATAATAAATGTGTTAGATTTAGACGGACAGACTAGGCATAATGTAGCACGTCTCCTTTGCAAATAACGTAATTCTATCGAGATTAGAGATACTAAATAATATCCGCTTATGCGTTAATTGGGATTACTATGAGAAAGATCCGGAGAGAGAATTTGATACATTTCTTGAATGGTGTATTAATTTGGTCGGTGCGAAAGAAGAGAGCACCAGGGGTCATTTCTGACATTCGGACTTGAACATAGAAGTTTTGATGCTCGAACTCCTTCTGGCTCTATCCTAAATCACAGTGTGTCCCGAAACCGGTGCCAACCACTTTCACTCATAAAAAGTGCTTACTAAGGCCAGTGGCAAGAGTATTATTATCGTCTGCCCTAATGCAGCAGGAAAAAATCTTTTTCCCACCTCGAGTACTCTGTACAAGTCACTGGTGTGTTTATGAACGATCTTGTGAGCCGTGTAATATGGAGGCCTGGTGGTGATAGCATTGTCTTAGGCCTATTATAGTTCTTAGGGATTGCCCCACGCTTTAGCTTATCAGTATCAGCCCGCAAACGACAAAGTCATTGTGGGCGGATCAGCGATATGGGTATGTATTTTGACGGGAGGTAGAGTGATTTCAGAGGCCACCATTGGTTTCACAATCAGAGGTCGCCGATCTTAATCTACCGAACGTGCTACCAAATCAACGCCTAGTGGGGTTGGTGGGAAATGGGGTTGAGTGCGTTTTGATACCTCCTTTAAACAACCCGTGACGGATAATCAGAAGCAGTGTGTCTTCGAGCGAGGGTCCAGAATAATTCGCTAGCTGTTGATAGGCTGCGAGTGAACAAGGCAAAAAAAACGCGGAAGAGAATCGCATACATGATAGAACAGATATGTGAACTATTATTGATCTATTCTGGAAGAAATCGTAGCGCGCAAATTCTTAGCTCAGAAAATGGCTGTATCGGCCTTTTGGCACAATCGAGATGTGGTTCGTTTGGTATCAAGGTAGTTCGGCTGCCTTATTTCAATTCCGCATGTTGTGCGTCTCCAAAAGTTACAACCTGTGCAACTACTAGCTACTATGTGGGGGCACAGGGTTATGAATGAAGATCAAAAAAGCTAGACGGAACAATGGAGGCTTGGCAGCTGAAAGTTGCCCTGAACAAGGCAGCTGAGTCACCAATGCTGTCTACCGTAATTCCCGGTCGACCCGCGCACCCGGTCGAGCTGCGCACTCCAAAACACATAGTAACTAAATGCAATAAATTACCACTTCATATCTCAACAGCCATGGCTTATTTTTACTTGAGTATACTAATACAGGCTTTTGTTAGCATATAAAATAACATATCTTAGTTTTTCTGGTAGTAATTTACACAAAATCAGAAACCACCTAGCACATTTGTGTGGCGGTATGCAAGGCAACCTACAATAGCAGCGCCGTACAGCAACGATATAGTTTCCGGCCAAAAGACCCTGTAAGGTCTCCGTTTACGCCTGTCTTAGTTTTCTTGACTATGGCCTTGACCGGCAATGGCCAATTGTTGCGTGAATGCACCAAGAGATGGTATAGTATAGAGAAGCCAATTGGCTACAGATCAGTACATGCACGCTATTTACTTCTCTAGCTATGACAAAATTTGCTCCAGGGCACGTACGAAAAACGGGATAGAGGCATGACCAAATACTTGCGCGTGGTAAGTTACTACTGCATATCTCGATATAACAGGCCACACTCTGTCCGTTTCACTTATCACTTAGGCCCCTACACTCAGGGAAACTGCAGGCAACTTACAGCCTCTGTATAGTCTGAGCCAATGACGATGTTGGATTGGGTACGAGGGAGGTACCGGGTTGGTTCCTCGCAATCAGGGTCAGCGTAGGTTGTACACCGGATACCTGGCGCTAACTGAATTGACCGTACTCTGCGGGGCATAGTATTGAGATCGAGAGGAACACATTGATCAGTAGAAGAAATTTGCTGAGATGGCCCTGAAAATTGGGGATCAGAATAGACAGTGGCCTATATAATTAGGTTAGATATCCCCCGTTTCCTTTCTCACTGATGCGGAGTGACGTACAATAGTAGACTGAGCGGCCACGGCAGTTGTGAATACAACGCAGAGGAATCGAGAGAAATGCATGGTTGAGAAGCGTGAGGTCCTTTCTGCCTTACGTGCTGGTTGGTGATAGAGTTGATGTATAGTTCAGCTTTGCTCGTATGTCCGTGTGTTTAGCTATTCTTGCTATTACTGTGATGGGACTGTTAGAAAGTTTTTGTAAATAGCCAGATTAGACATACGAACCTTCCTAGAAGACGACAGCTGAAGAGTAGGGTTTGATCGATGTCAACTCAGAGAATGTGGTGGGAAAAATGTTGTGATTAAATACCTTTTGTACGGAGTACCGCCCCAGCAATAGCTAGGGGCAATGCATACCTCACACCGCTCATCAAGCTGAAGAAGCCTACATACAGTGTCTTAGATCGCGGATGAGATCCACAATCAACATTTCTAAAATTTACGATGAAGACACAATCCACCAATTTTGGTGCTATTGGTGCCCTGTGGAGTGTGTATTGCCGATCTGAAAACTTTCATGTCAGATCGACACTCTACATCTGTAGGTCGACCCTCCGAGCTGAACCGAACCCCTGACTGGGTAAATCGACGCTCTTTGTACAAGAAAACACTCGATTGCACATCGTCGAAAAGTTATTTTAATCGCGGATGTAAGGTGATGAGTATGAGGATCAACATACTTTGATTAAAATGGGATTTACTACTTTGTCTACGGAGTACTCCGTAGCGTCAGAGAATAACATCTTTGAGGTCGCTTTAAAAACTACCCATCTTGAAAGAATAATCCAGCCGAGCCCCAAGATCAGCAACAAATGTGTGCATGATGATCTGCCACTAGTACCTACGTGCTTGAAACTAGTGATTGCCTAGTAGGTCCTAAAGTGGCAACGAATGCGCGAATGTACGGATGAGACGCGCCGTACGCGGTAGAATCCACGGAAAAAAGTGAATATTCTTCCCTCAGAATTAGCTCTCTAGAGCGTAAGCACAGCCTTCTGTGTGATGACTACTACAGCGGGCGTACACCAATACACTATAAGATGCGCTACATGTGGGAAGAATGAGGGAAAGTAGCAATTAAGGACTAGGGGGAGGCGGAAAGCGGGCGGACGATCTTGCCAGATTTCCAGATCTACCAAATAGTTCGAGGGGATTCGATGTATGTTACAGGCTGATTACAATACGTTCTTGACAAGATTATAGATGTTACTGTACCAGCTTAGTTCTGCCTGACTACATACAACAAGCAATTCCGCAGGGATTCGATGTATAATTACAAACGTATTACCATACATTGACAATCTGGTATAGTAATTACCACCACTTTTCTGCCAAACTTGCTACTAAACAGGATTAGCGTATGACGGAATTATTTTCCGAGGATCAAGTCGAAAGAGTTTGGGGTCAAACTGATTTCGAAAACTACTGTAGAGAGATGTCTTTCAACTTTGAAGTATGCTCTGTTGATCCTCTGCCATCCAGCATCTTTTCTGTGCTATGCGGCTTCTTGGTATATGCCGTGGCAATCTTCCTAGGGGATTTGGGCTTACGGTGCAGTCCCTATAGAAACATCAATACTCTGTTCCTTGCCCCGAGGCTTGGAATTAAATACCTTGTGGCTCAGATTGCAGCCCTAATGCTGTGCTTCCTCCCATGATTCTTTTGTAGGGAAAATACCAGGTATTACCGGATGTTTGAGATGATAAGTCCAGTGATTGATCTCACAAACAGACTCCTCTTCGGGCTTCTTTGATTTGTGCGCCTGGCAGAAAGGCCTGGCACAGAGAATGCAAGTATCTGTCACTTTGGATTTCGGTTGACTGAGCAGGTTTTGATGGATTTTAGGTCTTCTTCTGGCCATTTGTTCACAGACGAAACAAATGTCCGCTGTCGCAACGCCATCTGCTTCAGCGGAGGCCATTTTCAGTACTTTTACACCGAATGGTAGGATATGGGTGTTATATGAGCAAATTATAAAGAAATATCTTTGCGGTCCAAAAGATGAGGGCCAGAAGATGAGGGTTATATGTACACGCTTCATCCTCGTGGGCTGTATAGCAATGACTCGGTCTGCCAAATCATTTCTTTTCCTTCAAATCCGACTGAGAGCGCAGGTTTGGGTGCATGACTCGTGTACAAACAGTATTGGGAACTGATTGCCATGCCCTACTGCGTGCAGCAGTGGTGAGTTGGCTTACTGGGGTTGACCGGTGCCACGAATATACCTTTCGTAGACAGTCTAGAACCGACATAGACAGAGGCCTATTCCGTCAGGTTTCCCGGCGCATTTCTCAAATCCTGGAAGTTAGACCCTAAAAATGAGTAAGGTATGTCCTTGAATCTTCACGAGGGCCCCACATTCTCCAGTACAGCTCACCAAACTGCTATGCCAGTCTCTCGCGTATACATAGTTATTCACATGTGAAGCGGGTCCCACAAGTCCCAACGGACCAACCACGGTCGTCAGAAATGTTGCCAGCGTCAGCGACGATCACCGGCTTGACCATAAACCGAAGACTCACGTCGATCACCCCGCGTAGTCTGATCTTTCTCCCGGGCTTGAATCGCTCAAGTCAGTCGTACGATATCGGCGGGTGGGATTCCGACCGAAATGCCGACTATGTAGATCTTATGCGATGCTTTATGCCGACCCATATCTGGGGTAAGCCTACTGCTGTTCACGCATAATCAGACTCTTGAAGAAACGTCGGCCTATAGAATATGGTCAAGCCTCGGTAATGATCTATTTCGATGCTCACGCCACTGTTCTGGATCAAGCAGTTCCGTTGTGAATATAGAGGTTGTGTAAAATGCACCCGGTTTGCTTTTTCATCAGGGTTTATGAGCCAATCAATTACTGAGACATTGTCATAACTTGGTGTATAGAGTAGGTGGTGGTACACGGTAGGGCCGCCCCGCGCCGCCATCGCTGACCTTCCTCGGTCCGCTCTGCCGTTATAGTTGGGGGTCTGGCTCATGCACGATCTTCGCGGCGACGGTTCGGATCGCAAAAGGCCATATCGACCATTCACTTGTATGATCATGGAATCAGATCCTCTTCAACAGTGATGAACATCGTAGATGTATAAATATCCCGGGAACCATCGTAATAAAAAACAAATATAGTGCCATTACTACCCAGGACTGATTTTGATCGCACATACCTTATTCAGATTTACATCACGCTCCAAGTAATATCATGGGCTGGCACACCATGACCGCCATTCTCGATGGAAATATTATCCACACGGCATCGCATGCGGCATCACATGCGGCATTGCAAATCTCATCAGAACAATTTATGGTTTATTCACTGATTGGACTCGGTGGTTATCTGGCCCTGGCTTCGACTCTGCGATTTCAAAGACGTCGCGCTCTTCACCGAAAATATGCCTATAATACACGTGAATCAATGGGAAAGATGACCGACCAGGATGCATTCACAATTCAAAAGACAATTTTGCAGATGGAGTTCCCCTTTATCGTTCTCAAATCCCTCCAGTTTGCTCTATTCCGGGTACGTGCTCGATCAAGTCGGGACTAATTTACACGTACTCACATAGGCTTATCGCACCCTAGACATACGGCATTCCCACTATATCAACCCTGCTCTTGAAGACATCCCAATTCTCCGATCCCGCAACATCCTTCAAGCGATATGCAGATACAGGGGCCCTCATCGGCGAATTCATGGCCTTTGATCCAAGCTCGGAACGAGCCCAAACGGCCATCGCCCGAACTAAATTCCTCCATCAAGGCTATCGAGCCAGCGGCAACATCCTCGAAGAGGACATGCTCTATACCCTCAGCCTCTTCGCACTCGAGCCAATCCGATTCGTCAAGATGTACGAGTGGCGCGAAATGACCGAGATGGAGCGCTGTGCCGTCGGAACATACTGGAAGAGTCTCGGAGATGCACTAGGTATAAGCTATGAGACACTGCCATCGGGTAAGATGGGATTCCGGGATGGAATCCATTGGTTGGAGGAGGTTAGAGATTGGAGTCTGGAGTATGAAGTGAAGCATATGAAGCCCCATCCTCGGAACAAGGAGATTGCGGATCGAACTATCGATGTGTTGGTATACAATCTGCCAAGGTTCATGAAGCCGTTGGGCCTGTACTTTGTGTCTTTTTTGATGGACCAGAGGCTCCGCAGTGCAATGATGTACGTCACGTCCAATCCATTGAGAGAGCGTCTGCTAACAATATATACCTTGCCAGGATCGATCCCCCACCGGCATTTTTCAGCGCCGTTTTCTCTGCCGTCTTCCGGCTGCGCAAGTTCTATTTACGATACTTGGCCCTTCCCCGCCCAGGTTTCATGCGGCTGGATGTATTCACGGAGAAGCCCAACAAGTACGGACGCAACTACGTCCTTTTCTACGAAGGTGCACCGTTCTATGTGCAGCCTACTATTTCGAATCGATGGGGACCGGTGGCTTGGTTCAAATGGGCACTGGGCCAGCCGCTACCTGGCGATGACGGTGATAAGTACTACCCCCATGGATACCACACTCCTGATCTAGGACCGAAGTACTTCGAGGGCAAGGGCCGGAAAGAGCTCGAGGTTATCAAGAAAGGCATCAAGCAGCAGCGGATGAGCCGGTGCCCGTTCCCTTGATTTGAATGCTTGAGCTCTCACGGTAGTTATTTGATATGGCGATGGAATGCTAGGATGATTTAATGACTTAGTGACATGTTGAGAATTCATATTGAGAGATTCTAAATTTCCCACCACTCGAGTGGCCTGAAGGGAGCAACATGAGAAATCTCTGAGAGATAACTCATCAGAACCATGAACGTCAATCAGGTGCCATAGAATTTGAATTGATAGCATCATAAGTGGGTGGAATACATGAACAGAAAAGGCTGGCAGATCTGGGTATATATCAAGGATTGTAAAAGGAGCTTTGTAGCTCGGCGCATTGAGATTGCTCAGTAAAAAGCAGACATCTATCACCCATTCCCGGAAACATAGCCGCAAGCGCCCAAGCAAATGAACCACCAAAAAGAGATATCTGACAAAGACAGGGAGATAGGGTGACAGGAGAAAATTTGGACAAATGCACGAGAACAAGGCTGTTGTATGAGACTGAAAAAACCGGGTCTAACAAAAAGAGAGATAGCAAGGGGTATTTTGCAAAGAGATACAAACGAAGGGAACATATTAGAATACTAATCAGTCCCACCGGGGGACGAGGGTAAGGGAAGTGCTGCTGGGTCGAAGAATGAGTCGTCAAATGATGAGGTATCAGGGTGGAAAATGGACGCATATTCGGTGGAAGGACTGAGCAAACCTCGCCCGCTCTCGCCAATCTCGCCTAGCTCTTCTGGGGACAAAACTCGCCCACCCAGCTCGACATCCTGGACGCGGACATTATATTCAAGAGCTTTTCGACCTTCTTTGATCAGCTCTTCTGTCCAATCGAGGCATCGTTTCAAGCTCTGGTTGAGTTTCTGACTATCAACCAGGAGCTCCTGGTGTCGGGCGAGATCAAGCATGAATTTTTTTTCATCATGAGCACGGTGCTTTGCATCATGTTCTGCGAGAGAACCAGGGCTTAGGACGCCTTCATCCATGACGGAGTCCTCATCGCTGGAATCGTAAAGTTCGTCTTGGGATCGAACTGACGAAAATTCGCTGTTCTCTTCATCTAATTCACTAGTCGTAGACAGTGCGGCACCAGAAAACGAACGCGTCGAAGGAGCCATGGAGAGACGCCCAGAGCGGCTAAGTCGTCGATATCTCCGTAACTCTGCGTTTTGTTTTCGCATCTCCCGTTCCAGTGTCCGATTGATGGCCAGAAGAGAAGAATTGCTAATCTCCAAATCCATGATTTTCCGCTCTGTTCGCGCATTCAGTGCCATATCGCTAGGACCGTCAGACTTTCCCGGGCTCAAAGGCCTGGATACATGGGGGCCAGTCGACACCGAAGAGCCATTGCTGAAGACTCGTGGACGCAGCGTTGGAATTTGATCGGACATGACCGGTGTCGTTCCGTCCGCACCCAATGTATTGGAAATAATGACTGGGCTCGCTCGAAGTCCTTCAGGGGGAGTAAGAATCTGACTGTTCGAGTCCACGCTCGATGATTTCCTATGTTGTCGGAGTGACGGAGGCTGCGGCCTTTCGGATATTACGCTCGGGGACGAGCTGTAACGTTGCATAATGCTCTCCACCAATGCCAGGTCAGGATTGGCATTGTATTGGGACAGTGTGTCGTCGGAGGGAGTAGAAGTGGCATCGGAAATTCGAGGGGATTTAAGACGAGGGGAAGGCGAGGCGGCGGGCCTCGGTGCAGGAATAGGACGAGGGAGACCTCCGGAGCGGCGCTTGACACTGGATATTGTCGAGTGGAAGTCTTCTACCGCGGCTTGCCGTTCTTGATCCCCGTTGGCATAGACGAAGCTTGAAGCAGGGGACATCTTGGCCTGCTTCTGACGAGGCGGTGCTTCTACCTCCGAGGAGGTGGTTGACCGGGCATCGGAAGCGTGGAAGAACATCGGGGAGTTGGACGCAAAATCAGTAAACGAATTAGGGCGCGAAGCTTGTTGGCCTTCCGCCGTCAATGTCTTTGCTCTCAGACTCCTCGATTGCTCTGGCTTCACCCCGCGGGCTGGACTCCGCTCTGTCCTTCGCACGCCATTGACTCCCAAGCCGACCGTAGCTTGAGAGTAAGGAGCTGGCGGCGAGTGGGCTGAAGTGGTATTCGTTGGGGAGGAGAAAGCAGCATCACGGCGGGTGGTGCGTGAACCCGACCGAGGGGTGATATTTGCGCTTAGAAAGGACGGAGGGACCGAGGAGATATCGTCCTTGGTGGGGGTGGAATAGGGGTGGTCGGGAGGTGCGAGACGGCGAGCGACGGGATGACCGGGGCTTGGACTGGCTAGTTTTGGCGTCAGAGGAGCCTTGCTGGTACGGTGAAAGGCCGCCGAGAGGGTGGGCGTGAATGGTTTGGCGAGATGGCCATTGTTTTGTTTATCGGAGGTCATAGTTGCGGAGAAGGAATCGAAGCTGGCATCGCGATACAGCACAGGCTGCAGGGCATGGTGGCACTGGCCACACTCAACAGCTGACTCTCAATTTATTCACACTGAGAAGAACACCTGCGTGGCCTGATGAACGGGGAAAAAAAAGGTGAAGGTGGGAGGATGGCGAGGGGACTCGAAAACATTCAGGCTCGATTAGGTTTAGGGTGATGTTCACCGCAACAGAGGCATTCCCGGGGTTATGTTTTTGCGGGCGAAGTATATTGATTCCAGTGGGGTTAGCGGCTATTGGAGAGTTGCAGCTTGGTGACTAGGAGTCTACTATTATTGATCATGTGTTTATGATATTGGTGACTTGAATCGTTCTATGAGAATATGACGCGAGGCTGATGCAGGACCCTGGCATGAGCCGAAGCCATGCGACAAGGGGGGTGTTGCCGATGCTCCACTCGATAAGAATCCAATTGGCTGGCCGATCACGGCTGGAAAGGACGGGAGACATGGTCAATGTGGCTCTATTGTTGCTTGTTGCTTTAATATTCTATATACAGGATTGCTAAGGGGCAAAGGGATGCGTTCGGAGCCAGTGGCGGACGATGGGCTTCATGACAGTCCGCCAAGCACAGGAAGATCTGTATCTCTCGAGGCCGAGGGAATGGTGCCTCTAAACCCGAGGGATAGAAGGGAGTTTCAACTGAAGAAAAGACGTTTCTGTCGTGGGTCAAAGTCTGCAGGCGACTGCTGAGCTGGTATTTTGCGCTTCTTGTTGAAAGGTACCGAGGCCACTTCGTGGGAGGTATCCTGCGCGACCTCACGAATGGTTTGCTTAGAGAGACAAAAGTCCACATGATCGTTGAAGACTCGATCTTCCGCGACTTGCGGTCGTCCACAGATGGGACACTCCCACTGCTCAGGCTGGGGGCCGGCCGATTCCACCGGAAACTTCTCAATGGTCTCGGTACGACCAGAACCTGAAGGGTCTGGAGTCACTGAAAAATCAGCTGCCTCTTGACTTAGTTGCTCTAGGTCGTTCATCTCATCTTGCTTTTCCTGGCGAGCAGCGTCCTCGAAGGCCTCTTCGGCTCCAATATCGTGCTCCGCATTGGCATCGGACAATGGTGCATTTGGCTCGGGATTCTCAGCAGGGATAGACTTTGGCTGCGTCGGCACTCCAAAGAAGTTGATCCCGGCTTTCTTGGTGCTGACTAGGTTTGATACTCGCAACCCCAAGAGTCGTAGCTTCATGCTCGGAATTTCCTTCTCTAGTTTCACCAGCATGGGCAAGGCGAATGCATAAAGGTCATTTGCTCGGGAAACAGCCCGCGGTGGCGCGGTTTGTCGGGTGAGAACTTCAAATGTATGAAGTTTCACTTTCAAGCAAAGTGTACGACCCTTGAACTGCGTTCGAGCTAGATCCTGGGCCAGCTCGTCTGCTGCCCACCGTAGCTTCTTACGAAGCTCCTCCTTGTCTTCAATGGCATGAAATGTAGTCTCTGTACTTACACTCTTTCGTTCATGGGTCTCAACAGGCTCAATCTTCGTTCGTCCGAGACCAAGGTAACACTGCGCTAGAAACTGGAATGCTTTCTCGCCAAAGAGTTTGGTCAATAGAGCACGTTGCGGGTAGATGTCTCCACACGTCTTGATGCCAATCGAGTCCAGCTCTCGTTCGAATACTCGACCGACTCCATTCACCTTGCGAACTGGTAGCTCTCGCATAAACTCCATGATCGCGGCCCGGTCATTGGGCACTCGGAATTGTCCGTTCGGCTTATTTTTGTTCGAGCAGATCTTTGCTATTTTGGCGTTGGCAGCGATTCCCGCGGATACCGAAACCTTTGTATTTTCCAGAATCTCGGCGCGCATACGCTGTACAGCTTCCTCCGGGTCGAGCTCGTTTTCCGAGCAGAATGCTGTGATATTTAAGTATGCCTCGTCGATGCTGGCACTCTCAAATAGAGGGTCGTACTGTGCCATAATTTCGCGGATCTCCTTCGCCTTGGCTGTATATTTCTCGTAGTTTTGCGGTAGGAGAACCAGCTCTGGACAAAGCTTCTTCGCAACGAAGGAAGCCATACCACTGCGCACTCCAAATTTCCTCGCTTCGTAGTTACACGTAGTGAGCACACCTTTCCCGACCGCCATGGGGACCGTCTTGAGCTCTGGATGATCAAGTTCCTCGACGGCCGCGAAAAAGGCATCGCAATCCACATGGATGATGTATTGGGATAGATCACGGCTCAGCTCGAGTTCGGCAAGATACTCGTCTGCTTTGCGAAGGTCATGACTCAAGTCCAGCTTTTCCAGCCGAGCTTTTTCTTTGAGGATACGCTGGATCTTGACTGTAAGATTGCGGTCACGTTCTTGTTCATGATCAAAGAATTTTGATCCTTTTGAAGCATTATAGATAATTTCTGATACCTGAAAGCGCATATAAGCCCCCGTGTTCTACTCCTTCTGGCTATTGGTCTCGTTAAACGCACCTTTTGCTGATCAACTGTGTCCTGGCCCGCTTTGGTTAAAGAGGGCCCCAGCAACTGATATTTCAGCGTTTCAAAGTCCTCTTCGCCTTTCGGCGCATCCGACTTCTCATCTGCAGTCCCATCCTGAGACGCCATTATCCTCGGCGTGCCATCAGATAGCAAAGTGAGAGAACCGAAATAATCAATTCACTCGTGTTCCAGCAAAGTGATTTGACCCAGGCAGCACCCGGTCAAAGAGAGTGACGCCTAGTCACGTGCCCACGCGTTACCGCTTCACGTGTGCGGGAGCCTCCGCATGTCCCTCAGCAACGACTCTCCATGTGGATCTTGGACTCGGCTGGAGATTTTCTGAGCGGTAAGTGATCTTGGATTGACTCAAATGGAATTTGAAGTATAAAAAGGTTGCTGACTTTGATATCCAGGGAAGCGGTTATGGCTGCGTCCCGGGAAGCAGTATCTCTTTGGGCGCATCCTGATGGATGACGGTACGTTGAACACTTTCTCGGAAAGAAGAAAAAGAGGTGATCATCGACTAATAGAGTGGGATTTTCTAGTTCGTCATGTCATTCCTAACAAATCGATCTCTCGGAAGCATATGCTTATCGAAGTGTCCAACGTTGAACCCCGCGATGGAGTATGGCTGCTGCAATGATAATGTTCAGACGAGATGCTGACTGGGATAGTAGACCCGGACACACGCGAGGACAAAAATCTCAATTACAGACCTTGATTCCAGTCGAGGTACTGTGGTGAATGGCGAAAGGATAAAAGGAAAGCATGTACTTTCAGGAGACGACCACAGTATCATGCTTGGGCACTATCCACATGCCTTACGGTACGTGCCTTCGCCTTGCCCGTGCTGCGCTCGTTGCTGACGAATCTGTTCCAGAATCAAATGGCAGCCAGTAGTTCTCAGCTTCTCGTTTTCATCCAAGGAGATGAGAGTGGAAGACCCTTTGGCCAAAGTCCGCGCTCGTCTCGAGAGCCTCGACATTAAAACCATTATCCCCTACCTAGTCGGTCAAACCACACACGTCGTGCAGAGCAAACGAAATACGGCGAAGGGCCTCCAGGCTCTAATCAACGGCAAATACATCGTTCAGAACTCCTATATTGACGCGCTTGTCTATGCGACTACTCCCAGCGACTTTGAGAACGATGCTTCCGCGTCTCCGCTGGAGCTTGATTTCGACTCAGCCTGGCCCGACGAAACGGAATACCTCCCACCCGCGGGTAATGAGCCGATCAGCCGTCCTGCAGCAGCATTTGCACCTAATCCGTCGCGTCTGAATGTCTTTGAAGGGTATACGTTTGTGTTCGGAGACCCTTCCCAGTTCGAGAACTTGCAAGCGGCAATCAACAATGGGCAGGGCAAGGCTCTTCTCTACCAAATTAAAGATGGGGAAACTACGGCGGAAGAAATTGTACAATTCATGAGGTCGGCTGCTGGTCACAAGGGCGTCGGTGCCGAGAGGGAGGAAGCGGGCGGTGTTGTGCTTGTCCGGTTCCGTTCCAAAGGACAATTTGAGCCGTGGTCTATCGAGCTGGGTAATGAGGTTGCCTTAATGACAGACCAGCGGGTCATCGAGCAACGTGAGTTCTTGGGTGCCATTCTGGGCAATGACGCCTCCCCGCTTTGTCGTCCGCTTCCTCGCGAGGAAGGAGGAAGCCAGACCTCTTCTCCAGCAGCACCAGAAGAGCCGCGGAGGAAGCCCTCTACCAATCAGCCTCTCTCGCTATCTCCGCCTTCTGAAGAAACAGCCCCAGTCATGACCCAGAAGCCTGCTCCACGGGCACGCAAGTATGTAAGCAAGATGAAGACTTTTGACGACGGGTTTAATATGGAATCCGTCCCTGTTTATACACCTGAAGACGATGGCCAAGACATACCCGCTAGTCAAGCCATGGACTTGGAGCCTATACAACCCGATGAACCCAGTCAAGCCGTGACCACGGTGGAAGAGCAGGAAGAGAATGATGCTGTCGCAGACTTACTACCTGGCGCGAGAGCAATGAAGCGCCGCCGTGCGGAAATGGGCGAAGACCGGCAAGGAAGCGTTGGCGCGCGCGTGAAAACGGAAGCCGCTCCAAAGCCGAAACGCGCGAAGCTGGATGTCAGAGAAGCTGCACGAAAACACCGCCAAGAAGAGGAGGAGGAGCAACAGCGACAGGCTGAGGTAGATCGCCATCTTTCTCAGGATGTGGATGTTGAACAATTAAGGAATCTTGCCATCGTGGAAGAGATGGAAATCCCCGTGCGGGAGCCCGTTGTACGAGAGCACGAAAGCTCCGATCGATGGGACGATCGGTGGAATGGCCGCAAGAATTTCAAACGATTCCGACGCAAGGGTGAATCACAACATACTCGCCAACGCCTTCAGAGTGTGATCGTTCCACTTGAAGAGGTAACTCGCAAGGATTTTGGCATCGGAGAACACTATTGGGTTAGCACGAACAAGACTCCCGAGGTGAGCCAGAGTACCGATCTTGACGACCGACAACTCCGACAATCCTCAATGCGCGAGGATCGCGCCCCATCTCGTTCCGAGGTGTCGGTTCGGCCTTCCGAGACTCCAGATCCGACCCCCGAATCGCAATCAGCACCATCTCGTAGTCGCAGTCAGAAGCGGCCACGAGAGACTCGGGATTCGGACAGTGATGAAGAGCCCCGGTTCAGATTCAGACGCAAACGCTAGCATACAAGATTGAAAGCTTTCGCACCGCACTCAATGCTGCTACGTGGCTTTTGTATTATGTCGCATCTATACCCTCGTCAATATCAATATCCATCACTATTGAACTTTTTTGTGGAATTCCTCTCTGCCGAATCTAGTCGTAATCTAACGTCTCGGATCTAGAAACTAGGAAATCATTCAATCAGATATAATTATTCCTATCAAAGAGTAGTGTGTCTCGGACCATCCGTCTTCATGCCCCAGGTATCATTCCTGGTCCCTTTTTTTCTTCCCTCACCTCTCGACAGGACAACAACCCAGACAGATCTAGAACACAATATTTCTGCTCCCAGTCCTTTTCTGATCTTTTTGAATTACTACACCCAAGTTGATTACACATGAAGACATCCCGATCTTCCCCCCCCCCCTCCCCCCCACTTTCCCTTTCCTTGCCAATGGGGACCCTGAATGGTTGCACTGCGTTCCTCTTATCGATCTAAATCTCAGGCACTCTCATAAATCTTTCGGACCTAGCTTTTTTTATCTTAATGGCCAGCCAGGTTGGTTCCGTTGGCGTTAATCCCCAGCCGCGGCTAGGAAGATGTCATTTTCGAAGAGAGGAGATGGGATACTTCGTTAATAGAAGATGCGAAAGCATGGGGTCTCTTTCTCCGTTCTAAACAAAGACTCAAGAATTCAAGAATACAAATCCGCTTGGAAACAATAATGTGACTCCAGATTCTGATCTTCTACGATACTTATTCCTCAAGGAAAGACAATTTTCTAGCCATGGTACACCAAGGAAGGAAATCGTCCAAACACGATTATAATCCCGGCATATTAAACGCAAAGACTGTTCAGCCGCATTGTGACCTGTCGCCAGTTTAGTTTTTAAGATGGGGAAGACTCGGTGATTTCAGGTCTTACCTTTTCGATATACCTCACACCAACCTCGATACCATCCTCATCTTGGAATTCAGTCTCATCACCGAAATCGTCATTTTCCGGATCCAGGCAGGTCAAGCAGGTGACGACCACTTCAGAGTACCGCGTACCCATTCTTTGTTGTAGCTCGGTTCGAGCTAAGGAGAGGAGCTGATTCTTGAAATAGTACGAGTCCCCGCCTCCCTGCAAGAATGAAGCTCTGACGGCCGGAGAATGGGTGCCATTTCTGGGGAGCGGCATACCCGTATCCTCGTAGGTAACAAGAGGCTCCCATAGACCAATTTCCAGCAGACATACACCCAGACTATAGATGTCGTGGTGCATGATATAATCCTCCGAGACGGACGACCCAATTCGGTCCGGGTGTTGGTAAAGACATCGCTCCCAGGCGAGCTCGCCCTTGCGTAGAGTTTTGCCTGATATCATTCGGAAACTGTCGAATCCGATGAGGAAGGCGGATTCGGACAAGGACTCAGTGTTTGTTAATAACAATATGGTCTCCGGTCTTATATTCTTATGCACGAATCCGAATGAATGCACACAACTGACAGCTCTGGCCAATTCATTCGCCAATCTGAACCGATCGGTGAGAGACTCTGTTGGCTTCAACTCCATGAGACGACTACGAAGAGTCCGAGGCTGGGAGAATCCATCGGGGACTCGGAATAAGAGTGTGAATGATTCACCATAGGCACGATTCAAATGTTGAGGTCGGTGTTTCATGTAACCTTTGCAACTTAGCAATCCAAATTCGAGAGGATTCGACCGGATGAGTCGCCGTGCGAGATCCCGGCAGTTTTTGTCCAGGTCATTTGCATTGAGTCCAGGAAGTGGCTGAACCTTCTCAATAATGAGCATCTGACCCTTGTCTTCACGCGTGCCTAGCTGGGCCGAAGAAAGAGGAATATCCAATGTACCAAGGGTCTCGAGGAATGCTTCTGGAAGAAGAACTTTCTCTCTATGCACCTCGGCGTTTGAACTAATTCTCAACGCCGACCTGAGCGATTCAGCCGAGGATATAGCGACTCTACAATCCTCGAATGGAGATTGTTTCCATTCGGATAATTCATTTTCCACTTGAGAACCCACCCGACTGATCGCCAGGTACCAAGATGGATCAAACATATTCTGCCATCGCTCGAGCTCGTCGACCGATATGTCGATACTTCGTCGAGACACCATGTACCTGACGCGACTAACCTGCGCCTCTCCCCCGTTGCGCTCCTTCTTCATGGCAGATTCGATCTTCATCTCAACAGCCCTCAGCCTGCCATTAAGCATATCGATAGTCTCGTATATGATCTTCCGGTGGTCCTCGTGCAACTCATGGGCGATGTTTTTAACCGTTTCGAGTTGCAAGTTTGCGCGCATCCAGTAATTCTGCACTCGCAGAATCTGCTTGGCGATATCGACCCTGGCATTCTTGAATGAGGAGCAAAGGTCCCATAACTTCTTCCCCGTCCTGTGTTCGCCTTGTGGTTAGTGTCGGTGTGTGATGTGGACTAGTCTAGTCGATATGCCGGCACAGCTTACTTCAGACAAAGTTCCACCAGCGTGATAATGGAGATTGGGTCAACCATTATTCCAATGAACCTTGACCCGACATGACCCCCAAGTGGGGGAACTCGGTTTCTTAAAAGGGCGATCGAGCTAAGGATCCTGGGCAAGGCGGCCCGATGCGCCAAGTGCGGCTGAGCGCGCGGGGGCCAAAACCAGTGTGCCTTGCCAGCTGCGGCAGTGCAATGATCTAGGTGTCAAATTGAGACTCACCACTTTAGTAATACTTCCCATTGGCTATGATCGGTTGAGTTTCTAGCATTGGATGATGCTTGGTGGGACGAAAACAGAGACTAGCTCAGTTTGTTGAATTTCGGCGCGCGAACCAAGGTATAGCATCGACCTGGGTAATCTGGCAATCGAATGCTTTGAACAAGCTTAAAGAATCATGAACGCTTCAGCAGTCATGGCAAGCTCTTTCTCCTAATCACCGCGGCGGTAGTGTGCTCTGCAGGTTCCTGCCTTGTAGCCTAGGATGTATGGCTCTACACAGCCCCATTGCTGCGATGGGTCGACTTTGATTTACCCATTATCGGGTTTGTATCATTTCCAATGCACTCGAAATATTTCGTGGATCCAACGGCTTCCATTGTGGCCGCTTGTGCACGTGTAGAGCCCTCATCTCGTTAGAAATGACGAAATTATCGCGGTCGGTCAGGGTCAATATCAATGCTCTAAAGCAAAGGATTAAAATTCTAATATCATGGAGTTACGGACAAGAAAACGAGCTCTTTCATTGCATCGACTGAAGCTCAGCCGCCACATTTTCGTCATTGCCCCCATCCCGGACGATGATGCCAAGAATCCACACATTGACGCCAAAGAAGAAAAGTGAAGATAAAAAGAGGCCTGGAACGAATGCGGACAGGCCAAGGAACTCCAGGTTGTACCCTTGGGATAGCCAAAGTGCCTACAGACTGGAATTAGCAGAATCTTCTGATAGAGTAAAGAGTACGTTAGAACATACCTGGCCTAGGACCCAGAAAACAGCGGCCGCAATGCCCAGAGTGGGCTTCCGCATCAACGAAGATGAAGGCAGGTAGAAAGGAAGGAGAATCAGATACCAGATAAAGTACTATTGAACAATTAGCTTGGTCAAATTAACAAGACATCCCGGGACGTACCTGGCTAGTGCAGACTTTGTTGAACGTAACAAAAGCGAATGTCTGCGCAAGCATAGCCGTTGCCAGACTCTTCTTTGCCAGGACCAACGGAATAGCAACGACCGCGAGAAGTAGTTGAGGAAGGAAAGCAAGCGTCTCAAAGCGATAGCTAGCTCCACCGGCAGACGCAAGATACAGCAGAGTGCTGTAAGGAGAGAAATTATGCCGGTGATCAATGCGAGTGAGGTGATGGAAGAACGTATGGTGCAAGAATGGCATGCCATACTGGAGGTACATGACAGCATTCAAGATAATAAATGTGAAGAGTGCAGAGACGGTGAAAATCACACGAGAGGGAGTGATGAATCCGAGTATCCTTGAAAGCAGGGTAGAGCTTTTAGCAGGGGCAGCACCATCACGCTGAGCATCCCACCACCAAAGGATAGAAACCCCATAGATGAAGGGATAAATCTTGAAGTGAACCGCCAGTCCGAGAATCGCACCGGCTAGAACGGCCCTCTTGGTCAAAGTAGCCCAGAGTAAAGCCGCAACAAGGACCCCCAGCAGACCCTCCGAGCTACCGCGGGTACTAATGTTCGCAACCATAGGATTCCAGAGCCACACAGCAGCAACATAACGCAGCGCCCGCTCAGTGGGGAAATGGTAGCACCGACGCAGCAGCTGAACAACGAGCCATCCGGCAACGACATCGGCCAAAGCAAACAGGATCTTGCCAAACGCAAAAGTCACCGAACCGAGAGCACCGCCGCCCTCCCACGCAGTAGGAAGAAGCATCCACGCCAGGAGCGGCGTGTAGCGATAAGTATCTCTCGCATAAGGTGATTGACCTTTGGCGACATAGCGCGAAGCATCCGTGAACACCATATAATCGATATCGGTGTATTTCATCGCAGAGTTGGCATCTTGCCAGCCACCGTAAACCAACAGAATCAGGCGTAGCGCGGTGGCAGCCAGCAACACGCGGGGAGCGGAATCAAACAACGCCATCTTGACGAGAGAATCGCCAAATTCCAGTGATCAGAAATATTCAGAGTCGACGGAAGGGAGTCCGAAAGCTCCCTATTGGGTCTTGGTCCGTTCGGCGATTTGAGGACCTCCTTCTTCGCCAACGACACTCCTTGACGCTAGGCACTTGAGATCGACCGCTTAGCCAATCTATGAAATGAAGTTTGTAGGACCTGATTGGCTCAACTTGCCATGCTGGTCGTCGCTATTCCTGAGATGTTTACAGATTTCGATCCGAGCCAAAACGCCACGACAGATCGGCTGAGTCAGCACAACAGCTCGAGTCCAACCACATTGGGAAAAGATCGTCTCTTTGAAATCGCGAGTCAGAACGAAGGACAGCGGCATTTCAAGTGTTGGTATGCTCGAGTATATTTCAGTTCAACAAGAGAGAAAACATTGAAACCGATTTTCAAATCTGAAAATAAAATTAATACAAGAATATAGCCGGCAAACCAAGCCCATCAATCCGTAGGGGAAGCTCCATCATAGGCATATGTTTCTTTAAACTAAATATTCGAGCAAGTCTTGTAAATTAGGTGATGCCATTTCGAAAAGTATTCGTATTGAAAGGAATATATTTACATTCAATAAGCTAAAGACTAGAATAAAAAAAGCATATGATTTCCCACGTGGCCTCATATCCGCTAAAGATAAACATACACGAACAATCAGCAGTACAAAATGCTTCATCAGAAAATTCCAAAGAATGCATCGCATCACATCACCTCACACATTTTCCATTCAATAAAAGACCGGTGGATTGACAAAATAAGAGTCAGGAATAGGCTCAAAGTAGGGATGCGACCCGAACTTCGGACCCTTCTCATGATCGGGCGTCAGCAACGCCATAGCCTCGCTCCGGGTATCAACATCCGAAAGGCCCGGCCACATGCTCTGGTCACTCCAACTGAGATACTCCCAGAGATACTGGCCCGAGTCATCGACAAACGGCGTAGTCAACGGATCTGCAAACCCATTCTCGCCGAGCGTCATGCCCATACGGGCTGGTTCAGGCGGCGAGAACATCATACTCGAGTCCCGACCAGCGGAAAAAATGTTAGACTGGACAGATCCAGCACTGCTAGAAGTGGCCATATCTTGTCCGCGCTTGCTAGCTTCATAGATACGCGCGATGGCGTCCAGCGAGCGCTTCGCGGTATGTCCGTATGTTTGCATACGCGCGAGAGTTGCCAGTGCCATTTCCACCTGTGCTTGGCAGGACTCAATGGAGGCGCGGGGGTCGTCGGCTGTGGGGTCGTTGAGGAATAGGCCAACTAGGGGGACGAGAGATGCTTGGAAGGTCCACCAGACGGCGTTCCAGCCACAGAGCTGGTTGAGCTGTGCTGTGGCGGCGATGTTTTGAATAGATTGTTCAGCAACCTCACGACACTTTTCTATCGCAGTTCGTTCCTCCGCTCTCAAAGCAATGTATGGGACGCGTCGCATCGCATAGCTCAGCAGCGTGGGGCGGAAGAGTAGCATGCGCTGGTTGTAATACCGCCATCTCATTACAGTTCGCACGGTTCTGATAGACTCCGAACAAGACTCGTGGTCTTTGAGAACGGTTGGGAGATTTTCCCACCAATCAAGGAGCTGCGCATCAGCATGAGCCATCTCCTGGTGTTTGACGAGGGGGGCAGCTGCGAGCGACTCTTGTACTTGGGTGGCGATTTTAGCGAATCGGATATTTTCCACCAATGGAAGGATTTCGAGGACGTTGCCCTGTGACACATTTGTTAGCAGAGGCTTTGATCATGAGAGTGGGGTCAGGACGTACCTTGTCGCGACAATTGGGTGGCCGCACTGTGATATTAGGTCCGAAACGGCCCATGCTCGGCCGTCCCAGGGTCATGCCTCCCCAAGTATCCATACAGAAGAGGGACCACCAGACCCGGCGCTTGAGATCCATCGAGGCCAGCTTACTCGGACTCGGTACTTGTCGGCTTTCAGCAAACTCTTTGTGCAAGCCCAGCCCCGCTGCCATCCGAAGTGCAGCACCCATAAGAGAATATGCCAGATTAGGCTGACTGATATAGTGGCAATACCAGCCACCCATTAAGCCAAGTGCTTGGATGGTCTCCAGATGGGCACTTCCAAGCGAGCTTAGACTGAGATGGCTCTTGCAGCGCAAGAAATATGTCTGATGCGTCTGGTCGTCCGGCTTTGATGCAGCGACACTGCCCAGGGCGAGGACAATGTTGAGCAGCGCGAGCCAGTGGTCATCCTTTCGGTGACCCATCATGTAGGTCTCGCGGAACATTTTCTCATCGATCAAGGGAGCAAAGGCTTGGAAATGCAGGAAATATGCGTCCAGCATCTGCATTTCGGTTGGTGGGATACAGTGCTGTGTCTGTAAGGATCCCTCGCCATGGCTCCACTCAGAAGGCATATCGTATTCGAGACCAGCCTGGTCGCGTGGATGCGTGGGGGGAGTTCGAGAGAAGTATGTGGCACACCCTGGATCCAGCCAGACGATGACCTTCAGTACGGCTTGAATAGATGAAACGCCAAGGTAAGATGATGGCTGTCGGGCGGACAGAGACAGCGCATTGACGTCGTCCGAGACACCCTCGACCAAGTCGGTGGAACTCGGGCGACTATCATCGAGCTCCTCGGGCATGCTTTGGAGAGACTCGAGATTGTCATCTTCATTCGACAGAGGCGACACATGAGCTTCTACCGAAGCTGAAGTAGCAGGGGAAGCAGGGTGCGGCGCTTGGTGTGCCCCAGGAGCCTGTGCGAGCGACGCTGCAGATGCAGATCCAACCGCCAGCTCAAGCAGCCTCTCCCGCGGCAAATTGACCAGAGACTCTGGCGCAAGATTGGGGAATAACTTTCCTAGGATGCCTCGGTATTCATCAAGGGTAGTAGACAACTTTTCAACATGTCTATATCGTCATATTAGGCTCTGATCCCGGGATAAAGAACTCCTAGCAAAGGACATACCGTCTAGATGGACGAGGATCTGAATAATGACATTGATCGGCTTTCTTGTACCAACGACAAGCCTCGCATGGTTTCTCACCATCACATTTAATCTTGCGATGTCTACAAGACGTACAAGCACGGAGAGTCGTCACTCTGCGGCTTACCGAGTCGCGGCGCTCGGGATTGGGGGGACGAGTAGTGCGGGCAGGAGTGGCCACAGTCGGGTTCTCGAACCCTTCAAAGGTGTGGAACATGATGGACTGCACGGTATCACGCAGATGTTGTGGTCAAGAGTCACATAATTTGGGGGAGGCGGCACTTTCTTTGCGATTTCGATAATGAAACAGAATCGATAGACGGAGATTGTCGTATGATCTCGGGGATAATTATAGGGAGGCAGATAATCGGGCAGAGTAAGCCAGGACAACAGAGCGGCTGAGTGTCCGTTGCAGTATATCCCGGTTAGAGTTGAAAGTGAATATCAGTCACTTTGCGAACAAAGAGCAAAGTCGTCCGGTCGATGGGGAATAGTAGCAAGAAGAATGAAGTCGATTCAAAAAAGGAAAAAAAAGGCTAGAAAAGAGGGCCCACGGCCGACTAAGAGCGCGGGCGACGGGCAGCTAAGACGGAAGCGAGATAGTCGACCAGAATAGCCTGATCCGCCTAAATCTCCCCGCATTTTCAGGGAACAAGACCTTCGTTCATCTTTTCATCACATTTCTAGGCCGCCGAGTCTCCGAGTCGCTGACCATTCGTCTTCCAGCGACTCCGGGGTCCCCGGATACGGCCTCGCTTATTGGGTTATGCGTCAGGGACAGACTCGGTGAGTGGTGATGTGCGGGATTAACCACGCTAGCGTGGATCTACTGCGGAGGCAGAATGTATGGAAACCGCCGGGTTAACTGGGTCAGAGGGCCATATCCTTGCCCCTGCTCAGTTCGGACAGAATTTCCATTGCCCTCGTCATCATAATTTGAGTACCGACATATAGGAGACCAGGGTTTCCACACAAAGTATCTGGGGGCGGAGTCCGATGGAACGTGCATGGGGGGGGGAGGCGGCAGTTCTACAGGTCTGACCGGGACGGTGCCACGCGCCAGGCTGACCAGGATGCGAGAGCGAGATTAAAGAGGCAACATGATTACGGAGGCTGCATGTTTTCTATACGCCACATGTCTGTTCTTCATGCGCCAGAGTCTTTTTTGGCATGCCCTTTCAGGGTTTCAGAGGGGGGCAAATAATCCCCGCTCGTAGCAGGAGAGAGGACCATATGAGTGTGGATGGAGAAAAGGAACCCTGCAGTAGTCGACCAGATGATCGTCTGGGGAAAGAGCGTCGCAGGACTTGCCGATCCAGGGTCACCTCCTCTTGGATTTGACACTAAAACAACTTCGTAGCGCCGGCCATGATTCCTTTAGTCCGGAGGTTAGCAGGCGATGCAGTTGCCAGGTAGTTATAGCCCTTTGCATGAATCAGCAGAGGTACCGAGAGAGCCAGGCTGCAAGCTCGCCCAATGATTCTCAGTTCCTCACCACTCATCGGGGGGCCCTCTTTTTGACCCACGGTATGGAGTCAGGCAAACGAGGCGGAATCGGGACTGAAAAGCGACGGGACCCTTCTCAACGTTTCTTTCAGGTCCGTTTTTGATCAAGCGGGGACTTTGGGAAGCGTGTTCAGTAGCAACTGTCCAATTGCCACGGGGAGCGCACCACACCGATGCCGAGACCCTGTTCTTCCGGGCGCGATATCCTCTTCGAGTCAAGTGCCCGAGGAGATGAGGAGATGATTTAGAGGCATTCCCATCACCCCAAACATCGAAATGCCGGCCTGCACGGCATATCTGGACATTTCATCCGCGGCAAAAGTGACGTTGACAAGGTGGAGGAGGAGACCATCTGAATACCCCGCAGCACATGGACTGCGACTCCTTTTCGATTGAACCCCTGGAGAGAAGCAGGGGGGGAATGCATGAAATTGCCAAGCCTGGCTAACATGTGTCCTTGGGAGCCGAAGAATGGAGGGGCCGTTGACTCTCCCGAATCCTGGGGGAGCAGTCTGATCATTGGTTCGGCTTGAGGGGGTCCATTACACGCAAGTGGACTAGCGTGTAGTTGGCTCCCAAGCTAGTGGGTTTCAGCAGTTGAGAGCCAGAATGGCTTGACTTTGTCAATTTGTCGAAGCGAGTTCCATGGACTCAATCATAGAAGTCTGAGAATATCATCTGAGAGATAAAGTTTGAGGTCAAGGGAATGCGGGCCGGCAAGACTGGAGGGTGGATGGAGGGGTGTGGGACTGACCCTGAGAGTTTGGGTGAGGCAGCAGCTCGACGGAGAGACCTCCGTGACCAAGAAAGATGACTGGCAGTCGTCCCCTTTGAGCGAAAGTCAGCCAACATGCTCCGTCTCTGCTCCTGGAGGGGCACTGGAACCGGAAATTGGTAATTCCACCTCGACACACAGAAGACAAAAGAGGAGATTTGGCAAGTCTATGGACAACCCGGCCACCTGATCAGGGAATATTGACACCCGAACTCCAAGGCAGGAAAGTCATGTGCCCGGGACCTCCGTTCCCAAAAAGGAAGGCTCGTGGGGGGTTTCTTATCGATAAGCCCATCGCAGCTGCTTCTAAATAGCTCCTTCTCCCCAGTCGTTAAATAGTCAGTATTCAAATATTAACAAATACCAAAAAACATCCCATCAGGATGGAATTCAGTCGTCAGTCACTCTCCACTGGTTGGAGTTTCCGCGATCGCGATGCCGACGAGTGGATACCCGTCTCTGCGGTACCGTCCGTGGTCCAGCAGGATCTCATTGCCAACAACAAGTAGGTACTTCCAGTCGTTGCATTTTCGTCTTGAAATAACTCAATTTGACCATTGCAATGGTTTTCGATATAGGTTAGATGATCCATTCATTGGATTCAATGAGCTCAAAGCTCGTTGGGTCAATGAGAAGGCTTGGGTATACCGCAATACTTTCCAACGTCCACACGTGCCCGAGGGTGCCGCAGTGGACTTGGTCTTCGATGGTCTGGACACCTTTGCCACGGTCAAGCTCGACGGTCAGGTTATCCTACAGAGTGATAACATGTTCTTGGGTCACCGCGTCAATGTGACCAAGGCATTGGAGGCAGAGGGTGATCATACGCTTGAGATTGAATTCGACTGTGCCATGCTCAAGGCACGTGAATTGCGAGCTCAGGACCCAAATCACAAATGGGTTGGATTCAATGGAGATCAGTCACGTCTGGCAGTTCGCAAGGCACAGTATCACTGGGGTTGGGATTGGGGTCCGGTGCTGATGACTGCGGGTATTTGGCGTCCAGTGCAACTCGAAGTGTATACAGCTCGGATAGTCGATCTTTGGCCTCGAACGCAGCTGGCTGCTGACCATCAATCGGCCGAAGTGACTGCTATCGCCAAGTTCGACACGGTATCCGGGGGTGATTACACAGCTCGCTTCGGTCTCAGCTTAAACGGAAATGAGATCGCTACTCAAGATGTTCCCGTCTCCGCGAAAAACCAAGCAGAGGTAGCCTTCCGCGTGAACCGTCCAGAGCTCTGGTGGCCGCATGGATATGGAAGTCAGACATTGTACGATATCTCCGTGTCACTGCACCGCGGCGACGCATCAGTTGTTCAGAAATCCAAGAAATTCGGTATCAGAACGGCCGAGGTCATTCAACAGCCAGACAAACATGGCAAATCCTTCTACTTCCGGGTCAACGGGATGGATGTCTTTTGTGGTGGTTCGTGCTGGATTCCAGCCGACAGTCTCTTGACCAACGTCACCGCAGAGCGCTACCGCAAGTGGATTGAGTTGATGGTTGAGGGCCGACAGATAATGATTAGGTACGCCGCATACCATCCATCGGATAATCAAACCGGCTAACGTTTCTAGGGTCTGGGGTGGCGGGATCTACGAGGACGATGCATTCTACGAGGCATGCGACGAGCTTGGTGTGTTGGTCTGGCAGGATTTCATGTTTGGCTGTGGGAACTACCCGACTTGGCCCACGATACTCGAGTCGATCCGTCAAGAGACGGTCTACAACGTCCAGCGCTTGCGGCACCATCCATCAATTGTCATCTGGGTCGGCAACAACGAGGACTATCAGGTGCAAGAGTCAGAGGGCTTGACTTACAACTATGAGGATAAGGACCCGGAAAGCTGGCTGAAGACAGACTTCCCCGCTCGTTACATCTACGAGAAGCTACTCCCAGAAGTTGTTGCTGAGCATTCACCCAGCACGTTCTACCACCCTGGAAGCCCATGGGGTGATGGCAAGAAGTCGTTTGATCCTACGGTTGGTGATATGCACCAGTGGAACGGTGAGTCTCGCAACCCATGATAAACGGATACTCCCATGCTAACAAGCTATAGTATGGCATGGCACTCAAGAGAAATATCAAATCTTCGACACTCTCGGCGGCCGGTTCAATAGCGAATTTGGCATGGAGGCTTTCCCACATCTATCTACCATTGAACACTTTGTCGAGGATCCAAAGGATCTTTTCCCACAGTCTCATGTGATTGACTTTCACAACAAGGCCGACGGGCACGAGAGGCGACTGGCTACTTACCTAGTGGAGAACCTGCGGACAGCCACTGACCTCGAGGTATGAATGATCTCCATGCAGTAGACTGATTTTCAAAACTAACATGTGCAGACTTACATCTACTTGACTCAAGTAGTTCAAGCCGAGACCATGATGTTCGGGTACAGAGGCTGGCGCCGCCAGTGGGGCGATGAGAGACACTGTGGTGGAGCCCTTCTGTGGCAGCTGAATGACTGCTGGCCGACCATCTCCTGGGCCATCGTCGATTATTTCCTGAACCCCAAGCCCGCCTACTACGCCGTCAAGCGAGTCCTCAACCCCATCGCCGTGGGGGTGCGCCGAGAACATCACGATTGGAGCGTGGCTCATGCACAGCCACCACGAACCAGCAAGTACGAGCTGTGGATCTCCAGCAACAAGCCAGACACGGTTCGCGGTAGTGTTGAGCTGCGATTCCTATCCGTCAACACAGGCCGCGACATCCGCACGCCGATCGTGCGTGAGGATATCACCATTACCGCCAATGGCACCACCAACATCATCACCGACGGTCTGATCGATCACGTCGCCGAGCCGGAGCCACATGTCCTGGCCGCCCGCCTGTGGGTTGACCACAAGGTTGTTGCACGAGATGTAGACTGGCCCCAACCATTCAAGTATCTCGATTTATCAGACCGGGGTCTCGACGTGCAATTGAAGCGCGGATCTTCCGGACAAGCTACCCTAGTGCTCAACAGTCGCAAGCCCGTCAAGTGTCTCGTCATCGAGGAGCAAGAGGGCGTTAGACTGAGCGATAACGCTATCGACATCGTACCAGGTGACGAACAGACCGTGGATGTTACTGGGTTGGGCGACCGGCCACTAAAGTATCGGTTCCTGGGCCAGGACTCGTGCGCATTGCTCCAGTAAGAGCGTGTGTTCGCTTTTCATTAATGATCGCATGACGTCGCATACCAAACTGTGATGTTTCTTTGGGCATGTCTATAGACTAGTGACAATGGATCAAAGATGCCACGCATTTCTAAGGCTCTTAGCTAAGTAAGTGAAGCTGAAAATCGATTTGAATCCTTCGTGTATAAATGCGACCCTCAGCTTCCATTCTTAGAAGACCTTAAGCAGTTTTATACGCCTGTAGTTTCCACTCTGACCGTAAAGCTTTTTTTGGATAAAGCATTCTCCTAACATTCCATTCTATGCTTTCCAAGTCCTATTTCTATTTATTGTTTTGAGTCGACTATCGAGTCGTTTCACCTCTCTGAACGGCTGAATTCTTGTTTTGTACGATACGATGCTGAACTTATATTCAAGGCCAGTACTCAGTCTGCCGTTTCCAAAGCTATCAAAGATCGCAACTATGAGCTCCTGAGATTCGTCGGTTCTCACACGAGATATTCCGCGGCGGTCATATTCTCGAAGTACCCTTGACAAGGACATTGATAGAGCTTCTTGCTAAGAGTGGGGTAAACACAGAGCATTCTGCCTGGTATGCTTCAGATAACGGGCTGACTCTCGCTGGCGTGTCTGTTGAATGGGATGACATAGAGCTTCTAAACCAGTTACTATCGAGAGGGGCACATTTGAGCACAGCAGAGTCATCGGATCAAAGTTACTGGCTCCGATACGATAATCAAGAAAAACGCCCTTACGTTTAGGCTGTTTCATGGGGGATATGACAATGGTGCGGGCACTTCTGGATGCCGGCGCGCAGGTCAACTTGTGATCTGAGTCTTCGGCTCCACCTCTTGTTTTGACTGTTGATAATGAATATTTGAATGCCGCTGGAATCCCCCTGTCTGAAGGTGCAGATGTGGCTGCAGCTGACTGTTTTCGGTTTGTGTGTGCGCCTTAAAAGGAGAAAGTGTGGAGCTCTACTGGATGCTCTTCCAAGCTAGACCCAGAAATGACACACAGCATCAGCACGACAATCGCCTAATATTGGAAAAGTGTAAATAAACGTGTGCTTGTGCCACAGTTTCGTATTAGTATTCCGAAGCTTATCTTCAAGATGAGTACCGTAGAGAGAATAATAGATAGGAAGCATCCACATCATATCGTTCGATTTAATACCTACCGGTCAAGAAGTTACGTCGCCCTTTCTCTTCTGGGATGGCACTTTTGGACATCCACATGTTTGAAAAGTTAGGTAATTACACGTTTCTTACTTCCAAATGATTGGTATATCCATGAATCAAGTGCAGATTAATGTTCCCAACTGGCCCTATTGGTTGAAGATTTCGTCGCAAAAGAAAAGCACAGCAGAAATATAGAGTCAGGCTCTCCCGAGGGTCGGCAGCTCGTTCGGCAGTGGGGAACGCCCCTCCAACCATCAATTATGGCTGAATCCACAGCTTAGTTCATTCTCAAGCCATACATTCACTTAACCTCAAAACTAATCGTCTACTATAGATCACTTTCGGGTGGACATTTTCTTCCAAACATTTCATTCTACGTCCTCGGCCCTTCGAGTGCCTCGACAGTGCCAATGTCCATCCCACATCTGCAACAAGCCGCCGTGGTTGAGAACCCTGGAGAGAGCTTTACAGTTGTCTTGCGTGACGATGTACCGGTCGGAAACCCAGGTAAAAATGAGGTTCTTATCAAGTTGAACTGCACAGGCATTTGGTGAGACACGCTCTCGTCCCTTTCCGTGCGCGGGATTGCTAATAAGAGTTACATGTATCAAGCCACTCGGAAGTCCGCGCTGTACTTGGCTGGGGTATCTATAACTCCATCATTGGCCATGAAGGCGTAGGAACTGTTGTTAAGGCAGGTCCCAATGTCTCGTCATCTTTAATGGAACAGCGCGTGGGATTCAAGTGGCTGTACAACGCTTGTACCGAATGTTCCGTCTGTCGACGAGGCTTCTTCCAGAATTGTCCCAAGCAACTAAACACCAGCCGACACGTTCCTGGTACCTTGCAGCAATATGCCATCGCCGATGCTCGGTTTCTCACCAAGATTCCGAATGGAGTCCCTGACGAGATTGCTGCTCCACTGTTATGTGCCGGCCTCACCATGGCCGGTGCCTTGGCCCACCTGGACAACGAGTTACAGCCCGGTGACTGGGTGGTTATCTCAGGTTCTGGTGGAGGTCTTGGCCATATTGGCGTTCAACTCGCTGCACGTGTCAAAAAGCTCCGCGTCATTGCAGTGGACAGTGGTGATGAAAAGAGAGACCTCAGTTTCAGCTCTGGTGCAGAGGTCTTCATCGATTTCAAGACCGAAGATGTCGCAAAGCGAGTTCTCGAGCTCACGGAAGAGGGTGCCCATGCGACGGTAGTTGTTCCCGGCACGAAGGAGGCCTTCCAAGTGGCGCCAAATTTGGTCAGAAATATGGGCCATATTATTTGTGTCGGTCTTCCACGGAATGATATCGAGCTCCCCGTTTCGGCCACTCTCTGCGCTGCACGAGGTATGCTCCCCTGATTTCCTGGGTTATCAGTATTACAGTTGCTAATTTAAAATAGGGCTTACCATCAAGGGTTCTTCGGTAGGATCCGAGGAGCAAATGACTGAGCTGCTACAGCTCGCCCTCGATGGCGTTATCACACCTGCGATCGAGGTGTTTGACTTTTCTGAAGCACCAAATCTCATTCGACGGATTACAAAAGACGAAATCCTAGGGAGAGCCGTCGTGAAAATTCCGTAGGCAGTTTTATGCAATCGAACTAAAAAGAGGGAAATATGAATTATTTTTGTCCTTTCCGATGCAAAACATAGCCTACACTCGACTTAGTGGAGCCCTGTCCGCATGGAATAGAAAGCACACAGGACAATGCCTATAGCAAAGCATCTCAGATTGAACTATGACCTCCTGTTTCAGCCATCTCTAGATGGAGACTGTATTTTCAATACTCAGCTGGCACTTAGTAACTCTGTACTCGCGATGTAGATCTGTCAAGAGCTCGTTGTCAGGCGTGATTTCGATCCCGCCTTATCGCTTCTCTCTCATATCTTATCACTTATCGCTTATCAGGTGGTGTTGTAATTCCTCGTGCCATCTCAACTCCACTTTCTCCAACTTCCAACCTTCAACCTCCTCAATGGGTACAAAGCGCTCCTGGGAAGGGCAAACTGTCGTCAAAATGGACTCGACGGAGTCCGTGAGTCCGACGATTTCAATCTTTGAGAACTTCCGTAACGAGCTCGATGAGCACCATGACCGCCGTGAGCGCATCATCAAGGCCAGTCGCGACATCACCGCGCTCAGCAAGAAAATGTAAGGTTTCCCCAAAGGTGAAGCCAAGACGAAAATTGACTAATCTTTTAATCTGAAAAATTATAGAATTTTTGCCCTACAGCGTGTACGGACCACAAACCAACCCATCCCACCAAATATCACACAAGAGAACGACGCTCGCCTCGAACAGATCCACAAGCACTTTGCCACAATCGTCTCTGATACCGTCGGTATCAAATCCTGGCGCTACCAGCGTCAAGTCAGCGGCGGTGTCCAAGAGTTCATCGAAGCGATCTCATTCGACCACTACCTCCGCACTGAAACATTGATCACCCACGCAGAAGTCGCAGCCCGGTCACCCGGAATCTTGGTGACGGAAGAAGACTATTTGATGGGCATTTTCGATCTCACCGGTGAAATGATGCGATTTGCCGTGACGGCCTTGAGCTCCGGGAAGGTGACGCCTACGGACGCTGCGAAAGCGGGTATCCTGGTTGATCTGCGCGCTATTCGAGCTCGATGTGAGGCGCTGAGCGTTTCGGGACGACACCGGGCATCCATGTATAAGGATCTTTCGAAGAAGAAGGAGGTTATGCAGAACAGTGTGGAGAAGGTGGAGCGAGCGGCGTACGGGATCCTGGTGCGAGGGAGTGAGCGGCCGAGTGGATGGACTCCGGATCTGTCGGTGCCAGTGGAAGTTGACACCCATTGATACAGTCAGAAGCTAAAACTGAAAATCTATACGAACTCGTATAATCTGTAATCATGAGCTTTGAAAAACGGGCTCTCTGTGTTATGAGACTGCATCAGCAAGGTAGTGGGTCCTATAGCCCGTATATGCTTATCCTACTCGTTGCAGTGCTTTCACAGCAATTGTTGATTGATAAAAACAATATTAGACTGTCCATCACTTCCTGTATCTTCTTTATCCTGCAGGCTTCGATGAATCCAGCAAAAGGAATTTGCAATCAACGCCGATCTTCGAGCCCCGTCTGAATGCACAAGATAGTCATTGGACGAGCGGCTTCCGAAGAGTTCTTACCTATAATATTATTGCCTAAGGTCCAAAAGACCTGCCTGGAGTCAGCACTGATCTTCGAGGATACGTTGAGTAGGGTCTTATATTCGCCAAACTTTCGTTGAAACTCGATTTCATACATCGCGGTACCATTGGAACACTTGATAGAAGGGGTAAAGCGACATCAATTGCAAACGAATGCACCAGTGCTTATCTTTCTGGTCCAGCCATTTGTTGACAACAATATGAGGAAAAGGTCACGCTGTCATTTATATAATCACAAGCCTCGTCAGTAATACGGTCAATCAAATATCGGCATCCGAATATAACACTTTGGTTCTCTTCAGTATTGGTGCACTACTCACCAGTCCAGAGCAACGGAAGTTCATGCATACTCCCGAGGTATGTATCTATGAAGCACTGGAAAATTGCTTAATTGGCTATCTGGGCTAATCAGGACTACTGAACAAGGAAATTGTGTACAAGTTAGAAGCATCCAGGATCTGCTATTAACATCGGAATTCATTTCCGCAGTTGAGACAAGTATCCAACTTCCAAGTCGAACCCACCCAAGCATTAAACAATCACGCCCAGCCACGCTACTCTCTCTATGATAAGATCAAGACCGGCCACTGGAACTCTGCGACTACAAAATCTGGGGAACGATAACCAGAATTAATTATGTGGGGGCTATCGACGAAAGCGTCACGGTGACATCACCACCCGCAAGCCGAAGCAGCGTAGAACGGTGAACACAAAGCACAACGGAAAAGATAACCACGGGGAAAAAAGAAATAAATAAAAAGGAACGCCATGAGAAACCATCGTATCATCCATAGCCTCGACCGTGTCCGCGGGAAGCCTCAAGTCTCAAAGTGCAAGTCCAGAGAAGGCTAGGCTTGCGTTTCGATGGGACGTTCCCAAATCCATGAAACGCAATCTGAAACGTAAACCCCCGCAGAACAACAGCACAAAGCAGCCACCCGCAGCGCAATCAGGCCGAGCGAGGATCCTCATCCTCCGTCAAAATCCCCTGGGTAATAAGTGCCTCTGGCTCGGGGCGATTCTGAATCTTGTGCTCCAGGTTATCGGCCAACATGTGGCGCTCGAGCTCACGGGCTTGAGCCTGCAGGGCCGGCGCGGCGGTGGAAGCGGGGAGGATATTACCTTTGCTGGTTAGTACAACGCCGTGACGATAGTGATAAAGTCCGGGGGAGTAGTAACGCGTAAAAGAAGAAGAGTGTGTGTGGAAACTGTAGAATCAAAAAAAAGGGGAGAAAAAGAGAAGGATGGGGGAGATATACGCTCCACCAACTCATCCCGCTCAGGTCGCTTCTCGAGGTTCTTCTTCAGGTTGTCCGTCGCGCGCTGGCGGTCCAGTTCCTGCTGGGCAGACTGGAGCGATCTGTGGAACGTGTTAGTCAAAGAGAGACGTCTGTCTAGAATGACAAGGTCCTGTACGGTGCCACATTGGTATTCAGCAGGATGTGGCGGTTCTTGAGGTCCTGCATGTCCGGGCGCGTTTGGAGGTGTTTCTCCAGCGAGTTGCGGCGCTCGTGCGGGAAGGCGCTGAGAGGAGTTTCGTCGATGGCGCTGGACATTGTGGAAATGATTTTGAGAGTGTGTGAGATGATGCTAGTGGGTTATATTAGAAATGGGGGTGGAGAGACTGAGAATTGCCTGAGTTTGTAAGAAAAGAGGAGGAAAGAGAGGAGGAGGTGAGTTTGTCAAGTGATGAAATGCAAGTCCCACGGGTCGGTCACGCGGGGGAAGTCCCGTCCCATTGGAAGCTTCATGCGATCGCCCGAAAGTACTGAACGTATGCTGTACTACTATACTACTACGACCTCAACCAGAGTGCACGTTTAGATAGACTGAAATAAGGGGGAAAATAAATAGTCAAAGCTTGTATTCGACCCTCTCGTACTAGAATTGAGTAAAATGCAAATCCACCCTCATGCATGACCGCACGAGGCCCAAAAGCAACCTCTCGGATGTCAAAGTGGAAAGCTATGGGAGGGGGTAGTTCATATTCTCTCAAGGAAATTCCAGAGTACAAATCAGCACGAGGGGTGTTTCTTTTCCAAGGGTTGTCAATCTATGCAGCACTGAAGCCGCGAATCGATTTTCTCCAGGGGTTCGTCCACCGCATCGCGATTGTCTGGAGTATCCGATCAATGCCCACGTGGTTTGGAAGCCATTGCCGAGTGGAAGACAGGAGATGGGGAGATTGGGAAGATAGTAAACACGTCCTGTGGGGACTCCCAGTCGGAGAGTCTCCCTCGCGCGATCATATCCGTCCTGCAAAGGAAAGAAAGACAAGCCCGTTCCGGTTCTGGAGTGCACTTGGTTCACGAAAAAAAGAGATGCTCGATCTGTAGCAATGCTCGATCACGTCGAGCTTTGCCGCAGACCCGGCCTTACCTTCAAGGAACCCATAGCTTACCGCGTCCACGACCGCTGCCTCGTCCAGGGCCGCGAGAGGACCCTCCACGGCGTCCGCCCGAGCGGCGAGAAGCCCCAACGGTGCCACGAGCAGCACCCTGCTGGTTGCTCAGGTCCACGGTAGCCGGCACTTTGCTCGCTGCACCACCCAGGGAGCGGCTGAACGAGTCTGGATCAATAGGCTGGGTAGGGACCTCGATGGGAGTAGTCTCGACGGTAACCGGCGCGGCTTTCGGGGCAGCCTTACGTGTGGACCCACCCCGGCCACCGCGCGAAGAAGATCCCTTGCCGCCACGGCCACCACGGGGGACGAACACCAGCTCATCCTCGTCAGAGTCCTCCTCATACGACAGCAGGGTCTTGGGTTGTTCCGTAGGTTGAGTCTGGATTTTCTCGACGTATTTGCAACGGTTCTTGTACTCGCGCTCCTCGTATTGAATGGCAGTGCGTAGCTGGAGAATGTTCTTGACTCCGATACCAAACTTTTGCGCCCACACCTGGGTCGCGCGGTCGTTCGTCACCAGAATACAAGTCTTGGCAGAGTTGTCGGCGTCCGGGCCGCTGTGGATACGCCACAGCAGCGCGCTCAGCAAAGGGCGCAGCACGGGCGGAACGACTGGGATGGTAGAACCAGATGCGGTGCGCTGGTGTCCGGGTTTGGGCTTTCCTTTAAGGGTAGTACCATTCTCGTGCTGAGCACATTCGGGGCTGGTGCGCGAGCTGCGGGAGGAAGTGCGCGATCCTGGCACACTGGGAGAACCGGCAGAGGTGATGGATGCGGCATCGGCGTCTTTCTTGAAATTCAACTTGCTCAGCAGCATCTGCGACAAGTCGTCCGGGGCAGCTGTTCCATTGTTCTTTGCAGCCTCTTCGGGCACAGACTCGGTAAGTACCCCTTCGTCCATCGCCTCGGGCTCCTCCTCGAATTCGGGCAAGAAGAATTTCTCCGCATCCTCCCAGCGCTCATACTGTTCCATCGGGCCCTGCAGGGTAACACGGTCGGAGGTAATCTGGTCTTTGCCAGAGGTAACTCGGTCGAGGAAACGAACAGCTTCGCGGGCATTGATGGCGGTTTGCGATCCTGCGCGCTTAAGAGCGTGGAGCCGTTCGAGGGCTGGAAAGAGGAAGGGAGAAAAAGAAAGTTAGATCAGCCAGTCACCAGCGAGGAGGAACGTCGGAAGGGACTGCTCCTCAAAAGTATCGAAATACCTACTGTAAAGAGGGACAATGAGATCGATGGCGCCGTTGGTGGTCCATTTCTTGATCTCGCTGATGTTGGTGGTCAAGGCCGTCTCGTCCACAGCGCAATGAAAGACCTTGCGTCCGGTCGACATGGCGGCACTAAAAAGAGTGTCTTTTTTCGGCGAGTATGAATGAGAATCGGGGAAGGGCAAAGGGCAAATGTGCCCTAGACCGGGGAACTGGATGTGTTGACAGCCGCGACTAGAAGGCCGGGGGGTGGTCAGCAAAGAGAGCCGATGAAGGAGGTTTGGGGCGATGGAGGGACATGAGAATGTGGGGGCGCTGAGGGCGGGTGGTCGGTATGACGCGGATGGTGAAATGGCGGAAGTTACACTCACAATGAGAAGCGTTGGGATAAGAGATCATCTGCAGCATCTTTAACCTTGGGGGGAAATTTATCAGGAGAGCAGCAGGGCTGGTTGTTCACTCTGGATTCGAGAAGCTTTCAAAGATTCAAGGTTGCTGTTGCGACGACGACCTAGATGGGGCTGACTAAGCTACGACTTTTGCGGTTCCTGACCAAGTACGGAGTACTCCGTGAACCTAACAACTTAAATAGATCAAGTGACGTGGAATTGATGGAAGATGTCAGAGATATGTGCAGGAAAGATGTAGGAGGGATGCATTTAGAGGTGATGTAGATGCTTGAAGAGAGCATCTCAACAATAAGGAGTGGAGTATCGTCTAAAACGGGGAATCAAGAAGAGCTAAACGCGATAGAAAGTCACTAAAAGCAAAGGTCCAGTCCATCGTCCTTAGGTTCATGAGGATTGCACCCTCGTGGATTTTCTACGACTTGACCTTCTTGATCAGGCCATCAGACTCCTTGACTCGTTGAGCCCATTCACTAGAACCATGTTAGTAATCTTATCAATAAACACAATGCCTGTGATAGTCTGTAACTCACGTCCAGCTACCGTCATATACCCGACGGATATTAGGATTGCCATAGTCTGCCACTCCCAAAGCAGTGTCAATGACCGTCGCTGTTACGCCAGTGCCACATGAACTGATAATTGATCGAGAAGGATCAACCTTGTGATCCTCAAAAACCTTCTTCAACTGTTCGGCGGGAAGATAAGTCTTGGTCTCAGGGTCCAGCAATTCCTGGAACGGCAAGCTCTTAGAGCCTGGGACATGGCCCGAGGAAAGACCGGGACGCGGCTCGGGGTCAGTACCAGCCCAGCGGCCATACGAGCGAGCATCCAGGATCTCGACCTCCTCGGCGCCCTCCTTGCCATAGTCCAATGCCAGCTCCTTCATCTCGCGGAAGGCAATCACCAACTTGGAATCATAAGTCGGCACGGGATACTTGGTCTTCTCGACGGGAGCAGGCTCGCCGCTCTCGGTAGGAAGACCCTCGCGGGTCCAGAGGCGGTAATTGTTGAGAATGTGAACATTGGGGTGGCCAAATACACGTAGGGTCCAGCCCACACGGGGAGCGCTGAAGATGCCCAGCTCAGCCGTATCATAGACCACCACCTCATCGTCACGGCGGATGCCAAGCTCGCTCATTGCCTCAGCAAATGTCTCGCAGGTCGGGAGCATGTGGGGATAAGGCGAGTCATGATCTTTGACCGCATCGAGGTCGAAGAAGCGGGACTGCGGGATGCGGGACTGACGGAATGAGTCAATGCCCTTGCGGCCTTCGGGGTCATTCGGCATGAACCATGCTGCACAGAGGGGAATCACTCGCGGAGCAGTCGAAATCTTAGTCGGCGGGTTCTTCTTGAGAGCTTCATTGAGCTGAGTAGGGGTGACCAAGTAGGAGGAGAAGGATACATGGCGAGCCTGTTGTCCAGGACGGGTAGTAGAGCTCATATTTATGCGAAAAAGACGAGCGGGAGAAGCACCGAAGCGAGCGGCCATAGTAGCCATGATCGAAAGGGTGGGAAAAGCCTCCTTATGTCAATGTCAAGTTCGATTTACATCGGAGCGGAAGGTGTGGAGGAGGTGCGGAGAAGCGTCTCATGTGATAAACACGATAACAACGAGAAACTTTGATAAGCCGATAAGCGGACCCGACTTGCTTCTCTCCATCCCACTACCATTTTGTTTCTATTCCACGGGCTTCTCATCCAAACATCTTGATCTTGCAGTCACACTATGAAGGTCACATTGAAGGAATGGAATGCCGTTGCCACCTGGCATTGGGACATGCCCGAGGACGAGGTGTGCGGTATCTGCCGCGTCCAGTTCGACGGCACATGTCCGACCTGCAAATTCCCAGGCGATGACTGCGCCCTTTGTGAGTTGCTACGATGCGCCCATTACCGCTAATTCGGGTTACCTTGGATCCATACTAATCTCCACTCTCTATAATATCAGTGATTGGTAAATGCGGCCACTCGTTTCATATGGTGAGACTATCGACGCGTTCTGATGTGCGGAGGGGGAAAACGACTGATACCGTGGTAAACAGCATTGCCTCATGACTTGGATCCAACAAGACTCTTCGAAGGGATTGTGCCCAATGTGTCGTCAAAGTGAGTGTCTATCTTTCTACCCGAGATTTTTCTCTAGTGTATTCCGATGCACTAACAATGACCAGAGTTCGAGTGGGTCCAAGAAGGAAAATAGTGGTCTCGGTGACTGCGTACTTGCATTTCCCCTCGCGGCAGGCGTTCGGCGGGTTGATTCAGTGATACCCTTTCTTTGTCAACTTTTTATATCCTCTACTCCAGTGCTTTCCTCGGTCTTCTCCTCTGTTCATAGATGATCATCGCGCTTGGTATCAGTCACGTTAACTTAGTGGCCAGCTACATCATACATCTATCTGATCATTGAGATTTTGGTTGTTGAGCGGAGCTTTTCCGGGACTTCACAAACTATTACTCAATTCGTAAACTGAATCATATCTATCAACACCATAGGAGGTAGATATTGTATGATTGATCTATGTGGATTCGGATCTCAATGGACACCGACGTCGGGATCCAGGGATCAGTTAATTCGAACGGACAAGGGAATGGCGAATATATGTCCACCATGTGCTCATCTCAGTTCGAAATCACGCCACCTGAAACTACTAGGACTTTGTACATCCCCATCCGATAATGTCCATGGCATATTTAGAAATATCCATATGCCCAAATTCTCATTCAACTTGAGAATCGTTACCTGCATTACCTCGATGCTGTCAACATCAAAGGAGTAGATTAAGTAAACCCCACTTGGCAATGGCATCACGTGCAGCTATCGATAAGAAGCTCTGGGGAAGCGACATCATCCCAGTCACCTCCTCCAATTCGGCCATGTAGCGACGGACATGTCTGTGAATAACCCGACTCATCCTCTCTCCCCTTCCTCACAGTCCTCTTTCACCGACCGTCCACTTCGCCCAACCACCTCGGCCCGACCGAGCGACCAGTCCCTCCGCATATCCGATGACCACCCTATAGATGAGGCTCCACCCCAACACGCCTCGCCGATCACCTCTCCAACCCACGACGGCGCGACAGACGACCTGGGGCACGACGATGGAGAAGAAAATCTCACAGGAGGCTTCCACCAGCCCTTCCAGCCATTCTTCACTCTGATCCAAGATGCCCATACATCAGACCACCACCACCCAACAGTGCACTATATCTTCTCCGATGACGACACGGACATTGTAACGGAAGCCGCTCTACGCAGCTTGGAAGCTCAGCACGAGGCCGCCCCGGGATCCAGAAAAGCCGATGGACGTTCAACAAACCCATCGCACAACCCCGCAGAACACCACGACAATGACAAGTCCGCGCTCCTCCCGCCGCCGATACCGGGGGTCCGCGACAACTACATCGTGCTAGACGTTGAACCGGTGACCGTACCCGCGGCGGGGACTACACCAACCGACCCATGCACAACCGCGCCCGTCACAGCCGGCGCAGGTGGTACAAAGTCCATGTCCACTTCACCGGCGAACCCGTCCACCCTCGCAGCCCAACATCCATCCCCAGGCTCGAGCGTACCACAGCCCCAGTACCGCGTAACATCAGCGAAGAGTTTTTCGCCGACGTGGCAGGTACTCAGTAGCGAGATGGTACCGGCGCCAACATTCGATAACCACGATACCAGTGACGCGCCGGGGCACGGGTTGATGTTGAAGATTTATGGGACGGCGGGGATTCCCGGTGAAGTAGGGAAGGATAAGGCGCCTCGGTTGGAGGATATGATGGATCAGTTTGCGAAGAGGATGCGCGAGTTGCAAATGGTTATTGATGCGGCGGATGTGGCACCTCCCGAGGAAGGAGAGGGGGTTCAGGATGAAGAAAGTCAAGGACTGCTTGGGCAGAAGACTGCGACAGATGAACATATGGCGAGCAATGAGGCTGCCAAGCAGGAAGGAGTACAGAGTGAATGACGCGCTTGATAAGGCGATGTGGGTTTGGTCCTACTTGCTTGATATTAATTTCATCTACAAGGATTGAATTTTGGCGCAAATTTTGACAGGTACATTGGCGTTACCGAGTTGATCTACTGACAGGCCCCGTTTGCCTGCTGGGTATACCATCGTTTCTCTTTTAATCTTTGGCTATATGAATTGAAGATTCTTTGGGACAGAGGTCGAAATGCAGGTACTCCATTAAGACCAAGTGTGGCTTTAGTACATGAATACCATATGAGAGAAGTAATGAACGCAAAAACGCCAGATGGAAAACACTGATGCTTCAGTTTATGGAACCTCCAATCTATGCAAACAAAAGAAGCCAAAAGTGAAAGACACTCCCACATGGTTTTCTCAGCCAGAAACTCCAGTCCAGAAGGGGAAAAGACCAGCGACATTGGGTATCAAGATGTAAACTCGACAGTGAAAAAGGAATAAAAAAAAGAGAACACGAAGAGAGGTGAAAGAAAGACGTATGTAATGCAAGGTGAGCAACAATTTATTCCGCGTTGCGACTCCTATATCTGCGCCCGCCGCCAATAGCGGACGGGGGCACATTCTCCCTGCCTTCCATCATGCCGGCCATCTTCTTGGACAGCATCTTCTGGGGCAGCTTGGTCTCAACGGGAGTATAACTGGAGGCAGAGCGGCGGCGTTTCAAGGGTGGCTGCTCCATTTCTTCCATATCGGGGGTTTCTTCCAGGGCCATGGGAGGCGCGGATGCAGGAATTTCAGGGTTGTTGACGGGCGCAGTGTCGTCGTCAGTATCGTGCGCGTGTTGTTTGGCGACGTTTAAATCGACTTCCCTAAGGCCAGTGTTGGACGAATTGATTCCGGATGATGGAGGATGAGTCCCTACCTCTTCCGCGGCGTCGCTGTAAACGAAACCTTTGGATGGCGAAGAGACCGGGGAGCTGGCAATGGTGGCAGGTTGAGGCTCTTCACTGAAGGGAAGGGCTGTGAATTGCTTGGAAGTCCGGTGGCGGGAACGAATTCCCTCATGTGACTCAGTACGAGGCAAATCCGTGCTGTACTCATACTTTCGCTTCTTGGGAGTCGCCCCTGTAGGAAGATACTCCTTCATGGGGTGGCTCTGGATGTTGTCGCGTAGCTCAGAGAGTGGCTGGCGGACCTCCTCAAGTAGGGGGGCAGCCGCTTCCTCGAGATGTTGCGTATGCATGTCCACATCCTCCTGAAGCTCGCTTACACGTCCATAGAGGCCATCAAGCTGCTCCTGAATGGCTGTGCGCGAGTTGCGACCATTAGTGGCCATGGCGTCCAGACTACCAAGATGTGCCTCATGGAAGCGACCATTGTGAGAGCGAGCCTTGGCGACAAAGTCATCCAGAGCTTCCATTTGCTTGCTCATGTCGCTCATCTGAGCATCCACAATTCGCACAGTCTCCTGGTGTACCGACTCGGTGGCTCGCTGAATGGAAGCATTGCGTTGATCAAAGTTCTAAGATGATTAGTTCAGCTTCTCAAACAGAATGATGCAACGTAAAACTTACCTCCCAGTCGTTCTGCATCTTGGTTCGAATGTCATCCCGGGATGCCGTCACGTCCTTTGCGAATTGCTCTTCCTTAAAGATCCATTCATCGACATGGCGGTCATATTGCGCAGTGGCTTGCTCCAGGGAATCACCGGATGCCGAAATATCATTACGAACAACTTCGTACTTGCTCTTGAGGCGAGCAGACTGTCGTTGATTGGAGTCCTCGAGCAGGTGCCGAATCTGCGACATCAAGGTTTCCCGTTCCGCCTGGGCATTGGCCTGCTCTTCTTCCATGATTTGAGCAAGGTTGGAAGAGGCCTTGCGGTTGGCCTCTACCGACTGACGATTTGCTTCTTGAAGCTCGAGTCGCAGCTTGTTGATCTCACACTTTTGCTGGTCCAGATGCGATGCCATGTCCTCGAACATGGACTTGAAGTCTTTGCCCAGGGTACTGTATGACGAATGAAGCTGGGAGTGGAACTCCGAGAACTCGCCAATGACTTCTTTTGAAATTCGCGCAGCTGCGGCCGAAAGGCCGTTCAGGCCTTCACCAACCTTCGTCTTCACATCCTCACGAAGAATCTTGATCTCCTCGAGAACCTCGTTCATTTCGTCGTGCGCACTTGAAGTTTGCTTCTTCGCATCGGCTTCGACCTTGTCAAAAGATGCTGCAAACTGCTGAAGCTGTGACCGAGTTGATTGAACAGCATTGAGCTCGTCGCCCATAAATTGGTGAATTCTGGTGGACATGATCTCTAGAAGCTCCGCATGCTGAGCCTGGAAGCTTTCCATGCGCGCATCAATCTGTTGAGTGACATCAGACACCTCGCCGGTGGATGCCTCCCACGTCTGCCGGTTTTCAAGCTCCAGGTCATTCTTTCGATCAATTTTGGCGTGCAGACCGTCGATATCTTCAACAGTATGATCTAAGCTAGACAGCAGACCCGCACCAATGTCACGAAGGATAATTTCCGTAGCTTGGTGAGCTTTCCTCAGAACGGTCTCTTCATCCAGCCTCTCCGAAGTGTTCTTGAGACTGGATTCCGTTTGCTCGAGGATACCTCGCGTACTCTTGAGCTTGGCCTGAGTGTTCTCGTTGTCCTGCTTCAGCGTGTTGAAGTTGGCCGTCAGAGAAAACAGCTCCTGGACCTTGTGTCGCAGACTCGATTCCATGGACTCAATCTTAGCTCGTTGTTCCTCGTTGACAATTCGCCGGGATTCACTTTCCGTGGTAATCTCCTCATACGCATCTGGGGTCATATAGACACCATTGCGATGGCGCGTGGCAATGAGCTCACTCTTCAGCTTCTCAATTTCCATGCCAATCTCACGGAGCAGCTTGTTTTTAGACACCATGGAGTTAATCTGAGGTTTGTTGCGAATGTTCTTGGCTCGGAAAGCATAGTCGAGAGTTGAGATTGTCTCCTCCAGGTTGGTCTTTGCGGGAGATACTGTCGCGATGATGCATGTCTTCGTGCGACCACCTAGAGAGTCTTGCAGGAGCCTGGTCAGCTTCGACTCCCGGTACGGAATGTGCGAGCTCTTGTCCACCAGAGCATTGATAACTCGACCAAGAGTCAGCAAACTCTTGTTGATCAAGCCAGCTTCGGTTGCTCGCTTATTCTCGGCACCACTTCGTCCGATGTTCTCGCTACCAGCCAAGTCCACCAAGTTGAGTTTGCCAGAGCTCACATAATCCTCGCCAGACTCGGTTGTGCGCTTGGTGAGAACCGTAATCGTGAAGACTGTATGACTGCGCGAGCTAAGATCATTGCACTTTGTTGCGGCCACCTGGCGCTTGTGACTGCCCATCTGTAGCAGCTTGATACCGGTTGATGCCGAGTCGATGTATGTTTCCTCCATTCCTTGAACTAGAGTGCCAAGATGGCCCTTCTTCTCATTCTCATATATTTTGAGCTTCGTGTTGTCATCAGCCGCAAGGAGATCCCGAAGCTCCTCATTGTACAGCTCGATGAAAGAGCACTTGACTGTGCTTTCCGTATCTTCAAGTTTGTGGAAGAGCGAATAAAGGGTGCGCGGTATAATGCCTGCATCGTCTGATAGAATCCCCAGAGTATCGGTCATGTCTCCAGACATGGTGTACGTTTTTCCGGTTCCTGTCTGACCATATGCAAAAATCGTGCAGTTGTATCCGGCGAGCATCTGTGGTCCGAGTCAGCCTGAACAATTTCAAAAACCGAATCTGCTCAACTCACCTCATTTAAGATAGGAAGTACCACCTCCTCGTACACAATGGTCTGGTCCGCTGCTGGCGAGAATACTTTGTCGAAGGCATATGTCTTGTTTGAGACCGCATTTGGTCCCATGGATAGATCTAGGTTCTTTCCACTCACACCTTCGGTGGAGAGGACAACGCCACTGTTTTCCTTGACTTCACGCTCATTCCGTCCTCGGCAGCGCACCACCACGTGGATGCTTGTGTCCTCGTTGATCTCTCTTTCGAATTCCCTATCCTTTCGCTTGTTGATCGTGCTAGCTTGGTCGACACTCGGCTTCTGTACACGTGCAATCGAAGAGGCAGCTGGTTTCGCAAAAGTTGCCGGCGATGCCTGTCGATCGGGAGCTGCGGAGCCGGCTCGTCGAGTGGGTTGGCGCAAACCCGTCCGCCTGGCGGCGGCCGGAATCGCAGAGGTTGCCCGTCCTGGGGCGGGCATGTTGGGAGAAGCTTGCAATAATGTGTTCAGTGAAATAGATCTCCGTCAATCTTTAAACCGAAGTAACGAAGATCAATGCATGGAAATCGGGTTGCCGATGGGTCGCAAGTGCAAGTGCAGAAACGAGGATGCGGGCAGATGGATCCCTTTGGGCAAAACATAAACAAACCCCACGTGACCGTCCCATCTCGGACGCCGCCCCATAGTAGGTTTTCACACTGACCAGGAGAAGAGCTATCTTTGATTTAAAATTATATAGAGAGAGAGCTGTCTTTTAAAGCTACAGGTTTGAACTATAATGGCATTTGCATCTGTGACACGCTCTTGGTACTCTCTATTTGATGACGATTTTACCTGCGACAGGGCTAAAGATTGGTATGGTCAGTTACGATAAGCTGATAAGTAGATGATCACACGTGACCGGCCCTCTGTCATGCTCCCCTCTCACATGATTGGCGTCATTGTAAGCCCCCGCGAGCTTCTTATCGGTAATTCCCTTGCTTCGTCTCCCCCTCTCATCTGGCCCCTCGATGATTTGGAGAACAAGCGCACTGCAGCCACGATGACCGCCCGATCGGCACCGGTTCAGATCTTCCCAGGCAAAGGCCTAGGCTTCATCAGCATGTTTCCCCCTCAGGTCCCAGATCTAAAAGGCTCTGGACAAGATAGCTAATCGTTGCGCAGCACTCGGTGCCTCTTTACACAATGTCCTGACTCGCGTCAAGTCTCACCCCCAAACATACCCCGAGATTGACCTGGCATATTCCTCAACGGATCCTCTTCGCAACCCCGTCATCTTGAAGTTGCCTGCTAACGGCTTGCGACTACGGTTCGACGGACCTGACCAGAGACTACGTTTGATCGAGGTGCTAGACTTCTCTCGGAGCAATTTGGTATATAAGAACCAGGAGGTGCTCAAGGGGGCGAAGTCAACCGAACCCTCCACCACCTCTCAAGGTCCCGGCTTCCGGCATGTCTACAACCGTCTCTTTGGCCCTTCTTATCCAGGCGAATACATTCTGCCGGACGAGAACCAGTCGCAATACGGCACATACGTGCTATCATACCCGGGTGTATCGTTTTCATTTCCTCTTCAACATTCCGCATGGTCCGACTCGTGCGACTTTGTAGCGTTGCTTTCATCCTCTGCTGCACTGCCAGCAACGTCCATGGCCATTTTCCAAGGGTCCTCATGGCCCGAGGTTCGCGCCAAGCTATTCACTCAGCAGCCTCAGTATCCACGCTCGTCTGCCGTGGTCAGCAAGACTCGCGACGCATTTGCTGATGAAGTCGAAGAGTTTCATATTCTGGGTGCCGGGAGGTTAGAAGTAGAGCGACGAAATAATCCACCAGCACAGATCATCTTGGGGGAGACCACCCCTCAGGATATGATTGCCGAGTTTGGTCCTCCGGATGCCATCTACCGAAAACATGACCGGCGGATATCGATCCACCGTGCAACGGGCAATGGCGGCACGGGGGACCCTCTCCACATGAGTCCATCGCCTGTGACAGGAATCGAGATTCCAGATACTGACCACTCCTCCAATAACAGCGTGACGGATGACTCGGATGAGGAAATATCTCCAAATAGCATCAGTGACCCAAACTCACTGCCTGCTGAATGTTTCTTCAACTACTTCCATCACGGGTTCGATGCATTCATTTCTTATCCAACAACCCCAGGGCCTGCATTCCCTGAATCGGGAATTCCAGAGCCCTCTTCTCAACCTTCTCTACCACAACTGACCGTAACGAAGATCATTTTGCATGGAAACGTACCAGGATCATACCCATTTAATCGTCACCGTCGCAGTCGGTGGACCATCCACCTTGACCAGTCCGATAACGGTCTAACCTCCGAATCATCCTACGATGACATCTCCAAGCGACTGCACGATGTTTGGAAGGGCTCCAATGCCAGCCCTGAAGAGCAGCGAGTCATGCAACGACCAATGGTCCTAAACCGCGGCTGGGGCGACAGCCCGGAGAGCAGCGTCGAGTTCCTCGGTGGCTGGGAGGAGACCACAGCCCGAGGACAACGAAATGATCCGGACGGGCATGATGGTGGGCTGGGCAATACTGAGCTATTTGGGTTTCCAGGGTTGTTGTTCGAAGTACTGAAGAACGGCGCGGTGAGCTGCCTTACGGTGTATTAGTCGAGTCCTTCGGTATGCAATCGTCGTTGGCGTTGGGGTAGGATATGCCACTTTTTTTAACATTAAGATACAATTGGCGATGCGACCACGAGCTATGATTTCCGGGATTTTTCTTTGGGAAGTTTGTAAACATCTGAGATCGCATGTAACGTTTTGTTTCTAGAATACCAATCTTTCATGAAACTTGTATGACTGTTCGTTGTAACATCCGTTATTACCCGTAAATGCCCGAATCCCCATCTCGACCGAACCTCTGCGCGATTCTTTGCAACTCCCGCAACGTCTTCAAAACTTCCAAGGGGAGATGCTGGGAGGATGCACAAACAGGCGCGGCTACTCCCGAAGTCCTGGACGTCGACTCTAAAACTCCCCAAGTCAACGTTTCCCCCTCGAGTGTCGCCGGTCGACCAGACGAAATACCTCAAGCGATCCACCGATGAGCTCTACGCCTGGCAGCGCCGCCAACGACCGGCAAATAAACCATTCGTCCTCCACGATGGACCGCCCTACGCGAACGGCGAATTGCACGTTGGACATGCGCTCAACAAAATAACAAAAGATATCATCAACCGGGTACAATTGAGTCGGGGTAAACAAGTGCGGTATGTACCTGGCTGGGACTGCCATGGCTTGCCGATTGAGCTCAAGGCCCTCCAAGGCCTGCGTGAAATGGGAGTCGTGGATGGTTCTGTTAGTCCTGCGGTAATCCGTAAGTCTGCGCGCCAGCTGGCCCGACAAACGGTCAAGGAGCAGATGAAAGGCTTCCGCGGATTTGGAGTCATGGCCGACTGGGAGAATCACTGGAAGACGATGGACAAGCAGTTTGAGATGCGTCAACTGGGGATCTTCCGAGAGATGGTTGACCATGGTCTCATCTATCGCAAGTTCAAGCCCGTCTACTGGTCGCCTTCGACCGGCACTGCACTAGCAGAGGCCGAGTTGGAGTACAAGGATGATCACGTTTCCACCGCGGCTCTAGTCAAATTCCCACTGGTGAATATCCCCTCGCACCTATCCGCGGACCCCTTACTCAAGTCGGATGGTGTGAATGCGGTGATTTGGACTACGACACCCTGGACTCTGCCTGCCAATGCCGCCATTGCCGTGAATAAAGAACTGGAGTACGTGATTGTGCAGTCAGAGACCCATGGTAACCTGCTAGTCGCCCAATCTCGATTCGAGTATCTCGAGAGCATGCTCAAGGAGGAGCTCTCTGTCATTGTGCCGTCGATCCTCGGCTCCGAACTAGCGGACAAGACTACTTACCGGCCTATCCTCAAGGGCGCCAACGCCGATCCTCAGCCAGTTATCGCTGCGGACTTTGTCACCGCGGACTCGGGCTCTGGGCTGGTTCACTGCGCACCTGGCCATGGTATGGACGACTACGAAGCCTGTCTCGCCCGTGGTATTCCGGTCTTTGCCCCTGTCAACGACGAAGGTCGGTTCACGGAGAAAGCCATGCCGCACGATCCCTCTCGTCTCGCTGGGAAGCCCGTGTTGGGAGAAGGTAATGACCTTGTACTGGCATACGTCAACTCCCATGGTTATCTCCTTGCGCAGCACAAATATGAGCACAAGTACCCTTACGACTGGCGATCCAAGCAGCCGATTATCATTCGTGCTACTGAGCAATGGTTCACCGATGTGGCCGATATTCGCAGTAGCGCGCTCAAGGCCTTGGAAGATGTTCGATTCGTCCCGGAAGCTGGCAAACATCGGTTGAACGGCTTTATCAAGAATCGCAGCGAATGGTGTATCTCACGCCAGCGTGCCTGGGGTGTCCCAATCCCTGCTATCTATCATCGAACCACTGGCGAAGCTGTTTTGACCAAGGAAAGCGTCTCGCATATCATGAAGACCATCGAAGAGCGGGGTATCGATGCTTGGTGGACTGATGATGCTGACGACGCCGTCTGGGTGCTCCCCTCTCTGCGGGATGACCCAGTCGGTTACCGACGAGGCACTGATACGATGGACGTGTGGTTTGACAGTGGGACCAGCTGGGCAGAGATCGACGTCCCTCTTGAAGGCCGCAGTCATATTGCTGACGTCTACCTGGAAGGATCCGATCAACACCGTGGTTGGTTCCAGTCCGGCCTCCTGACATACATTGCTCATCGGATCGCCTCCGGCCATAGTGACACCTCTCTTGCTCCTTTCCGCAATCTCATCACTCATGGATTTACCCTCGATGAACATGGGCGGAAGATGAGCAAGTCTATCGGTAATACCATTGCACCTCAAACCATCATGGATGGCACTTTGTTACCTCCTCTCAAGCCACGAAAGGGCAAAGGAAAGAAGCAGCCGGAGAACCAAGCGCCAACGTATGACGCCCTAGGGCCCGATGCTATTCGCTTGTGGGCCGCTAGCAGCGACTACACACGCGACGTGGTCATTGGAAAGCAGGTGCTTCAGACGGTTCACACCAGTCTACACAAGTTTCGTGTTACTTTCAAGCTGCTACTTGGAGCGCTGGGCGACTTCCGTTCCGAGTGCATTGTCCCGTACGAGCAGTTGCAGCAGGTGGACCGTATCGCGTTGAAACACCTTTCCGACCTTGTGCTTTCCACGCAAAAGGCTTGCGACAACTTCGAGTTCTACAAGGCCGTGGCTACGATGAACCGCTGGGCTAATCTCGAGTTCTCAGCCTTTTACATGGAGGCGATCAAGGACCGACTGTATACTCTGGGTGAGAACAGCACCAGCCGACGTGCTGCCCAAACGACGTTGTACTACATCTATCACCACCTTCAAGAAGTGCTAGGCCCCATCACGCCGCTTCTCGTGGAGGAGACATGGGACCATACCCCGGAGGCGATCCGGTCGCAGAGCGAGCACCCGTTGCGACGTATCGCAGCTACCCCGGCGACTGAATGGCAGGATCCCGTCCTGGATACCAGCTACCATGAGGTTGTCGCCGTACACTCGGTCATCAAGAATCTGCAGGAGCAGGCCCGTGGGAAGAAGCAACTTGGCTCATCCCTGCAATCATTCGTGCACCTGGTTCTTCCCCCGACTGGCAAGACGAGCAGCACGGTCTTCTACCAGTACCTTTCCGAGCTACCCGACCTATTTGTGGTGTCGTCCGTCACCGTGGCCGACCCGAGCGAGGCTCTCCCCACCGAGATTGCCCAAGCTGAATGGCAGTACGAGGACGACTGTGAACTACCTGATGGACAAAAGGGGCGAGTGTACGTCTACGCGCCACAAGCCTCCAAGTGCGCCCGTTGCTGGCGGTATGCCATTCCGGAGCCGGTGGCGAACGATGAGATCTGCGATCGGTGCGATTCGGTAGTCAGCGAGCTGGAGGCTGCTGCCGCTGAGGCTCCGTCACCCGTTGTCTAGACCTCGAGGCCATGAAGCTCGGAGGCGGGAGATTTGGCTGAATGATGAATTGGGATGATCATCTGTGACGCGAGATTGTCAAGTTTGTTGCTTCTCTTGTATTTATACACATATTAACTCTTTGCATAAGTTCTTTGCATGTAAAAATGTATTATTATTGAGTCAGCGATTTGAATCTCGGCTCCTGCAGATCATCTACATCCGATCTGCAAAATGATCTATAGTCTTGTCTGTCATTTCCTGTAGTGTACCCTTCCTTGATTCTGCACCCCCCAGTCCAGCCAACAATAATGCTGACCATGAGAATGATGATAATACCTATGAATACTATTAATAATACCCCGCAATATGAATCCATGCAATGTGTCACCCAATACGTACGACTTTTCCTGCTTCCAGTGGCGATGACGACAACGTCTTCCCGTCATCTTGGAAGCTCGAATCCTGATTTCCGCCTCCGCCCTGATCCTTAAAACAGCTTCGTTCTGCTGCTCTACTGTCCAAATCTCTCCAGACACTCTAGTCCATTCATCTTGCAACGGTTCTCAAGTCATTCAAGATGATGTTCCCTAACGAGTTTGATTCGTTCCCCAAGGTTACGGCTACGCTGCCCATCACCACGCCCACTTCGGTGGCTCCCATCCCCACCGTGATCCCCGGCGCCCCGCTCTTCCAGGATCTTCATGACACGGGGAAGCGTACTCTTTGGTATGGCTACCAGTCTAATCTAACGATAAAAACCCTATCTATGATCACATATCTAATAACATTACCTTCAGGGTCGTCACCGTCTTGATGGGCGTATCCTCCCTCGCCTTCTACACACTCGCCGCCCGCGCCCCATTGGTATCAACGCCCAGACCCCCTCTACCCCAGAAATCCGATCTTATCTCACGCTTAAGCTTAATCTTGAGCCCCCAACCCATCAACCTCCAAAAGAAAAAATATTCCGCTAACACCCCACCTTTCCACAGTCCAAACGAGTCTTCCACACTCTGACCTCCCTGATAACCACCATCTCCTTCATCACCTACCTCGCCCTCGCAACCGGCCAAGGAATCACCTACAAACACGCCCACATCACCAACCACCACAAACATGTCCCCAACACGGCCGACGACTACTACCGCCAAGTCCTCTGGCTCCGCTACGTGAACTGGGCCATCTCCACTCCACTACTCCTCATCAATTTCGCGCTCATCTCCGGTCTACCGGGTGGCAACCTGTTCGCTGCTATCGCGGCGAACTTCGTCATGCTGGCCACGGGCTTGTTGGGTACTTTTGCGGGCCACACCAAGCAACGATGGGTCTGGTTGACGATTAGTTGTCTGTCCTACCTGGTGATGTTACACCACGGAGGGTTCCATGCGCAACGGGCGGCTAGGAACAAGGATACGCGGATTTCGAGGTTCTTCGGAGCCTTTTCGGGGTCTGGGTTTGTTGCCTTCGCGTTGTTCCCGATGTATGTTGGATACGCTACCCTTTCTCTCTCTCTTTTTCTCTTTCCTGACGAAGTTATGGGAGACGGTACTAATGTTCATATTTCTTAGTGCCCTCGCTGCGGGTTCCCTCGCTTTGAAGATCAGTGTTGACGTCGAGACTGTTCTTTTTGCCATCCAGGATATCTTCACTCAAGGCATTCTGGGTTACTGGCTGTTGCTGTCACATGATAATGCCCAGGGAGTGTAAGTCACTAGTGTCATTACCCTCATGAGATATATTCACTCACGTACTTTTAGTACTCTCTATGCGGACGGTTTCTGGTCCTCGGGCGTTGGAAACGAAGGCGCTATTCGCATTACCGACGAAGATGGCGCGTAAATTGGATCTGAGGCTGTGAGTACAACGACTTACTGGCAGGCTCGCTATTCCGGGGACGAATTAAGTTGGCTCTTTACCAATCGTCCGCTTTCAAAGTCCCTTCAACCTTCTTGGACTCGTACTTCGCCTCTAATCTGAGGCATCGTGAAATTGGACCTTGAGTCATTGTAACAGCGTGGTTCTCCAATTCTCCATTCAATCGTTAAAATAACATGTATCAAATGCCACTGTGATGACTATTTTGATAAGTGTCGGATACAATATCGTAGATCACTAGATCATAACATCCATAATCACCGGGTAGTAATATGCGAGGGTACATCAAGTTGAACGAAGCAACTTGGAACGATCAAACCCACCGCTTTACCCTTCTTTCAGCTGATTAGCTGCAAAAGGGCCTGGGTTTTATCATCAGATGCCAGAAATGAGCTCTGACCCACATCCAGCCCGCCCTAGATATCTACTACCTTCAACTCTTTCTGCGGATCGCCAGAGACCATCTTGACCGCAACAGGCTCCAACTCGATCCTCCTCGGGTACCGCACGATAACATGCTCCATCGACTGTGGCAGCCAGAACCCGGCGTCAAGACACTGGCCTTTAAACTTGATGCTTTGTAGCCTCTGTGGATCGAACCAATGTAGAAACGGGCCTGCGTCCACGACAAAGCCGGACAGAGTCAGATGCTTCACACTCATGCGTTGAGATGTCCGACCTCTAGCCATGGCCAGGATCTTGGCCTTTTCGATGCTGTGCTTGTCAAGGTATTCACCACAGCCAATATCGGGGTGTAGCGCCCCGTCACCGAGGTTTCCACTTGAAAATACCATATTAAAAAGGTCTACATCATTCTCAGTCTGCGGCAAATTAATAACTCACTGGTACACCGGCTCGGCATAGTGTTTCTTGTCCATTTCCCATCCGTCTTCGATGGCTTTCCACTGTGCTCGGTGGACTGTGCTGTCAATCTCCGGTTCCAACCCCATTTCCAGGGACAGCTCTTCGAGGTCAAGGTTCAACCAGGCAGCCTGCCAGATGAATGCTTGATAAGACTGCAGCATGCCGGTGATTCTCAGCGATCGCAGGCAACGAAACTGACACAGTGGCTCCAGTTCAATAATATTCAGGCGACTCGGCCCGTTTGTTTCCTCCCCGGATGGCCCGAATAGGTCCAAACCTAGGGTCTTCTTTGTCCGAGGGAGATCAGACCAGGTTAATCCACCACGGAAGCCGATGAATGGGCTCTCTGCAGTTGCAAAGTCATCCGCTGTGGGTGTAGGTTGTCGAGAAATGGGAGGAGCCGATGAAGGGGACACTTCTCGCGTCTTCACGATAACTCCCGGAGGCAGGTCTGGTTGTTTGAACGGCGAGGACCGTCCAGATCGAAGCGCAGACAGCGTCATGGGAGCCGAGCCGCGAGATGTAAAATGGTTCAGGGAGGATGTCATTACCTTGCGAGGGGAGGGTGATCGTGTACGGCGCTCGTGGGCCCTGAATCGAGATACCCCCGTGGACAGGGACGAGTGACGCTGGAGGCCAGTCTTGCTTGCATCAGACATACTTAGACGACGCTGTCTCTTGGTGGGAGTCTCCTCGGGGACCAGATTGAATGGGAAGCGTTTGGGCAGGTCGAGATCCAGTGCTGAACGAGAGTTAATGGAATGCTTTTCAAATGACGTGATGAGACGAGACACAAGTGATTATTTAAGTATAAAACGACCTTACCGATATCCAGCTCTTGGCTGATTTTGTCCTCGTACTGCTTCGCATCCTGCCAAAAGTCCCAGCCCATCAGGGTGTTTCTCCAGTGTTCAGGATGCTCCTCCATGGTGGAGGAACGGTGCTGGGTGTAGATTGGATGACCAGTCTGGATGTCAGGTGAGAAGTGAGAACTGAGGTTTGGAGATATGGAGAGAAGGATGAGAAGGAAGATGAGAAAAAAGAAGGTACGCTGGCGACTCTTTACACTAAATGCAGTTCCTGCCTTTCCTCATTTGGCTGCGGCCTAGGGCATTGACTTTGCATCACCGTAAGTGGGAGTCTTTGAGGATCGACTATCTCTCCAATCCCATTGATCACACTCAGTGACCTCATTTTGATGATAGTCGTGGGGGGAGAGAACAATATCTCCATATCTACTGAGATGAAGCGGAGGAGATGCAGATAAATCGTAGGGAAGCACTAAGCCCTGCGTACACTTCAATATGGCAACTCCGTCTTTGTTTAGAGGGAATTTCTAGTTCAATCAAATGCTTTGACACAATTCCCAATGTACTTTCGTTGATCAAGTGGAGTAGCCTCGAGGACATGCACCACACCACTTGCGTAGTATGCAGTAATATGTATATGAATGGTCTAGATGGAGCCTCATTACGTCTAGAGGCTGCAGGTATACTCCACCTGCCACTGGCATCAAACTCCATAAGTCTGCGCCATGTGGGGACCCTACAATATCGCGTAGATCTCCCTCAAGCCTCAACCGGCCATTTCCAAAAGCAGAATCGCTGATAGGTTACAAACTCACTACAGTCTACAAGACATCCAGAATCACCACGAGAAACCCATCGAATGGACTGGTAGAAAGGCTGACTTCGCTATTTTTGTGAACCCTTTTTCCCGTGATAAATACATCCAATTGGACAACCGGAGCCCGAGGGGGGGATCAACCCGCAAGCCACCCTTTTTTGTTTTTATCCTGCCAGCCCGAGAGAGAATAAGAAGTTTGTGGTGGATGGTGGAGGAAAAAGAAGATTCGAGAAACTTTAAATCATGCTAGCATTATTCCCAATAATCTAGTACTTCTTGCCCTGGCGCAGGACATCACCGAACTCCTCAAGAGGGCTGCGGATGAGCTTAGTCTCCTTCCAGAGGTTGGGGGTGAGGAAGCCGTAGGTGTTGACGACAGCGACGAAGGTGGCCTTGAGGGTGTTCTCGAGGGTCTTGGTGGAGCCGGAAGAGGAGGTGTAGGCGTCCTGGACACCGGCGAGCTGGAGCAGACGCTTGACGGCGGGGGAGGCAACGAGGCCGGTACCGCGGGGGGCGGGAATGAGCTATAGTGAAAGATAAAGTCAGTTCCAAGCTTCTTGACTCTGCGATTCGATAAAGGGACTCAAGGATATACATACACGGACAGCGACGGATCCACACTTGCCGGACTGCTTGACGGGCAGAGAGTGAGGCTCACCGAGGTTGGTACCCCAGTAACCGCGACGGACGGGGAGGACGGCGAGCTTGGCAATGGTGATAGCGGCACGGATGGCAGTGGCGACTTCCTTGGAGGTCTTGATACCGAGACCGATGTGACCCTCACCGTCACCGATGAGAACGATGGCCTTGAAGCGGGTACGCTGACCGGCACGGGTCTGCTTCTGGACGGGCTTGATCTGTAGGTGTTGAAGAAGAACATGTTAGTTACTGGAGCCTCGATCAATCTTCTTGCATGTGTTGTCCTTCAATTGCGCGAAATCTTGGAAAAGGATATGCAATTGCGCTCGTGCTTGTCGCATAGCGCAAATCCTTTTCCCATTCGAATGCAATTGTTCCTCTCAAATTCCTCCTCGGGTGTGATAATTTCGTGTACGGTGTGGTGCTGGTGTTCTTTTGGTGTCGTACCTTCATAACCTCATCCTTCAGCTTGGGGAGGAAGAAGTCCACAATCTGGTACTCCTTGATGGGCAGAGAGTGGAGGTAGATCTGCTCCATGCTGGTGATCTTGCCGGCCTTGACGAGACGACCGAGCTTGGTGACGGGCTGCCACTCCTTCTCCTCCTGCTTTCCACCACGGCGGCCACGGCCACGACGGCCACGGCCACGGTCACCACCACGGTCGCCGCGCGATCCGAATCCACCACGTCCACGGGGAGCAGCGTCAGCCATGTTGTATGTATGAGCGACAGGTGAGGGTGTCGAAAAGGGTGGTCGATGGGGTCGTCGGTGGTTCGATCTGGACGGACTTGTTTGGCCGAAAATTCGGGTGGGCTAAGCGAGGCGGGCGGAACTTGCGTGTAGCAGCCCTAGATGCAGCCCTAAGCCCTAATGACCCGATTGGGGACTGAAAGAGAAGAGCGGGAACCCAAGAATGACGGAGATGGCACGTGCACTTTAGGCTTTACAGGGGCAGGGTCAGCTGATCGATTTTCCAGGGCTCTAGTCCAGAGTCCGACATATCCAGTTCAATAGTAGTTATGCAACGGTGTACAAAAGGGGCATGAATTAAGGGGGATACCTATGGTCATACTTGCAATAATTGTGTTGCAAAAATAGTTGCATCACTGAACTCCATGATGATCGTAGTCAATAGTGTATTAGTCAATATTTGCACTGTACAGATTCTGTACGTATGTAGATTCGACTATTGCATATATGAAATACAGAATGCTAGATGGCTACGAGAGGTGTCGATTCCAGCATGACCTAGGTTATTCGACGACATCAACAAAACGATCAATAACAATTACCCCAAAGTATCACATGAGACGTCCAGAAAAGAAATCTAAATCCTATTTGGGGGTTGCCGCCCCAGGCGGGTGAATTTCCAAGCCGAGCGAACCCCGTCCAAAAACCTGTCTCCGCAATTTAAAGATGGAGATCGTTCCCCCTCCGACAAGGTTGACTTGCCCGCGACCCTCTGACGTCTTTTTCCCTGTTCTACCGAATCGACTCGCTTTTCCCGTCCTTCTTCGGTATCCTTCTTCTTCCTCCTCCCTACTCACAGTCAAACGCCATGTTGCGCTGGTAAGCTACTTATCTTGCTCCTCCGCGCCTTGACGCCTTCGCCGCGGAAAACAGTAGCTCACCGATTCGATTTACAGGTACCAGAGCAAGTTGGCCAAGAGGCCTATCCTCACAGCCAGCATCACGAGCGCCGTACGAATCTCCGTTCCCTACACTTACTCCTTTTGCCTCCTTTTTTCAATTTGACTCTATGCGCCCCAATCTAATTCACGTTCGCAGGTGTTGTTTGGTAGCGGTGATGTCCTAGCCCAGCAGGCCGTTGACCGGAGAGGACTGGAGAAGCATGACTTCGCTCGCACCGGGCGCATGGCTCTCTACGGTGGAGGTATGACTGCAATCCCTACGGAACACCCGAAATCTCGATCGCTAATCGTTCCTCTTCCTCCAGCTGTCTTCGGTCCCGTCGCCACCACTTGGTTCGGTATCCTGCAACGCCATGTCGTCTTCAAGGGCACTGCAACCACCACCGCCGCTCGCGTTGCGGCCGATCAGATTCTCTTTGCGCCCATTCAGCTGACCTGCTTCCTATCCTCGATGGCCATATTGGAGGGCAGTGACCCGATCGAGAAGTGGAAGACTGCCTTTGCACCCGCGTACAAAGCAAATCTGATGGTCTGGCCGTTTGTCCAGGGTGCCAACTTTGCGTTCGTGCCCCTTGAGCTTCGTGTGCTGGTGGTCAACATTGTCAGCTTGGGTACGTGTTTACTCGAGAACCTAGGATTTGGCGATTCAAGTGCTAATCTCTCGGCAGGGTGGAACTGCTTCCTTAGCTTGATGAACAGCGGCGAGGAATAATCGGTGTATTGGAGGGATTTACACAAAGAAAAACGATCTGGCGTGTCCTCAATCTTCTACTGCATTTGTCCATCATTTCATTTTGGCGATACCATCGGCATTTACTATAGAGGGATTCCACGGTCGCTGTTTGGGGTTTTCATTTCATCAATTGGGGCTATATACACACTGCTTTCGGGTTATGTACTACAAGGGATACTCTGCTTTATGGGATTTGGGATTTGTAATTTTCTAGAGTCATGAGAAGAAATCAAGCTGGGCAATTTGAATAGACTTGAAAAAGATAGATATTTTTCCAAATACATGCTTGCAGACAAGCACTAGTCACCATCGTTCAAGAGAATTCACCCCGTTCACTATTGTTAGGGCTCCCGCGGCCCGACCCAAAGAGGCAAAGCAGTTTTTGCGTTGCCGCATCTCGAACTTCAAAACTTCCACCGCGGGCCTTTTCGTTTGTCGCCGCCCACTCCACGCTCCATCACCCTCTGCCTGGAGCAGATTATATATCCTTTCCGGCTCAAGCTCTCGCTTTTAGATCGGTTCTCCCTCTCTCCCGTCCTTGTCGCATCTCGGTCAACTCTCGCCGATTTCTTGCGCCTTCCCGGACTCGAAAATCTTCCCCTCCGACTGCTGTCAAGCCTCGAGCCTCCCGCCTCCCTTCAAATCTTTCCCTTCTCACGCTCTCCTCTCCACCCACAACACCCAACATGGCGGCCGTCGCAGAGAATGGTCACGCTGTGACCGATGAGAATGCCGCGCCTGCGGTCGCTGCCTCGTCCGATGAGGCGATTACCGTTTTCCACAACCCCGAGAACTTCAACGTCAAGCACCCGCTCATGCACGAGTGGACCCTCTGGTTCACCAAGCCTCCGTCCGGAAAGGTGAGAATTGCTTCAGGGGTAGGGGGTCCAGGAGAATCAAGTGCTGACTTTTCCCCCCATCTAGGGCGACAACTGGAATGATCTGCTGAAGGAGGTCGTCACATTCAGCTCCGTCGAGGAGTTCTGGGGCATCTACGTATGTGCTACCCACCCCCCCCCCCCCCGATCGGACACTTCGCCTGGAACGTCAAAGACTGCTCTACACATACTAATCGGTCTATCGTTTAGAACAACATCACGCCAACCTCCGAGCTGGGCCTCAAGGCCGACTACCACCTCTTCAAGAAGGGCGTACGACCGGAGTGGGAGGACCCCCAGAACAAGCACGGTGGCAAGTGGTCATACCAATTCAAGGATAAGCGGTCCGTCCCCATCGACGACCTGTGGCTGCACGCACAACTTTCCGCCATCGGCGAGACCCTCGAGGGCGACGGCGACAACGAGGTCATGGGTGTGGTCGTGAACGTGCGCAAGGGCTTCTACCGTGTCGGTCTGTGGACTCGCACCGTGGGCAAGAGCATCCCCGGTGACAAGACTACTCGCACGCCCGCACAAGGTAAGGAGATACTGGAGGCCATCGGTCGGCGGTTCAAGGACGTCCTCCGTCTTAAGGAGGCGGATGTCGTCGAGTTCTCCGGTCACACCGATAGTGCACACAGCGGCAGCACCCGCGCCAAGGCCAAGTACACCGTCTAAAAAAGCGTTGACCTTTTGGAACTCTTTTTCTTGTTCTTTTTTTTGGGAGGTCCGCTTGCCCTTATTGCCAATACCCCAGGATGGAAAAGGGGGAAGCGGAAGGGGCGCGAACGAGATGGAGATGGAACTGCAGGTGAAGATAGAGACTTTATGATGAAGGGAGAGAGACTTACAGATGGGGACATTCAGGAGAAAGATAGGGTTCTGCCGGGGATGCGGAGAAAAGTTGATGATTCCCCAGTCTCTCTTAGCCCTGCTGCATTTGTTCTTTGCAGTAACGACCTGATTCCTTGCGACGTGTATCTTACTCTACCAAACGCATTTTATGAGACATATGTCGTGACTGCGGTGTTTCCCATTCTTGTAGAGTATGACCTCTTGTAGCATAGGGGTTTGGTCTATCTAAACCAGCACTGATGAACGCTCAATAAAGGGCGCCCCTGGGATTGCCCCGACGATATGATATGTCTACCTAGTCCACCCCAGCCCAAGCTAGTGATTCTCTCATTATGCTAGACGTGTATACAAATGCAGAACATAACTTGACATACAGAAAGGTGTTCACAACTGCGGGCATGAGCTCGCTGGATGGAGGGTATGGCTATTTAAGATTTGGCAACGTGGAGCCACGATATATTTCTGCAAGGCCGGAGTCCAAGGGTTGACGGTCTTTATCTGACAGGATAAGAAACGAGATTTTCGACACAGAAATCCTTTTATTGTCGTATCTGTCGCATTAGAGTCAAATTGGTCTTTTTGCAAAAATATTTTAAGCCTTTGTTACTTTCGGGTCAGAGAATATTTGCTGCGGAGACTAGATGGTTGTGTGTAGCAGAAAGGCGAGGAGGCTAGGTGTTACGTAGAGAACTCAAACGTACCTATTCATTGCCTACTCAAGGATACTCATGATTGGATGCTTTAGTTACTCTTATATGATTCGCAAGAGAAAGCCTCTCATAATTGAACCCCGAGTCTAACCCTATACTTACTGGGCGTGTCGTCCCATCATTCAAACCATACCTCCAACACCACCAACTTCAATGTGCCAATCACCCAAATATATTCTTAACAAGCCTGTTTAATGAGCTACACAAACAGACACCCAGATGTACGCGGTGCACCGTCAGCATCTTCTCTAGCTAGGATAAGGCCCGAGGTCTGTACTCCCATTCCTGCCCATCCAGGACTGTGATTCATCGATAAGCAGCGGTGGTAGTCAGCAAAGTCACCGTGGCTTACTAGCTCCATCGATGGAGGCGATTGATCCTAGGGTATACTTAAACGATGATTCCACGGAGATACCGGGATATATTGGTCTGTAAAGTTGACCCTTTTCACCACTTGATCAGGTCAGACTTGAAATAGAGTTAGGAGAGTCGCGATAGTCTAGAGAAAATCTCTAGCTTTGATCGTATCTTTTTTACAATTTCGATTGCAAACCGACGGCCTTTAATATGATCGACTGGTTCTTAGGGCTCGACATAGTGCGACTCACTCTGGCCGCCCTCCTCGCCATCGTCCTCGTCCTATACTGGTACACCCGTATCCCGACCTCTATGCCCAAAAACATTCCCACGGTACCCATCTACATCTCCCTCCTCGGTCTCTGGAGCGACATGGGCCAAGACAAAATCTATGACCGCTGGCTCCGGCAACCTCTCGAAAAATACGGCGCCGTCAAGATCTGGTTTGCGGGACGATGGAACGTCCTCGCCACGCGGCCGCAGTTCCTGGTTGACATGTTCCGCCACGAAGACGTGTACGCCAAAGCGGGGAGTCAGAAGAAGATTCCGTGGAGTGTTATTGCGGCGTTGGTAGGGGAAAATATCATTAATAGTCATGGGGAGACTTGGAGGTTGTTTACGTCTATTATGAAGCCGGGGTTGCAGAGGAGGTTTACGGATTCGGGACCTTTGTTGGAGAAGTCGAGGAAGTTTGTGGATATTCTATTGGAGGAGCAAGGTAAGCTTGGGTGTGAAAAAGGGGTGCTTGTGAATCCTATTATTCAACGGTGGGCGTTGAGTTGTATGGGGATTTGTTTTATGAACGTTGATCTCGAGGTATATCCATCTACTCCTCCTGATTGGTTATGATGTTCATGGCTTCTGTATAGGCTCTAGAACGACCAGGTCAACGTCTTGAAGAACTCCAAACCATCATCAAAAAGACCCTCTTCAAACCCCTCTTCTTCAACTTCCCCGACCTCGATCGATACCCATTCCTCTTCCGCCAACGCAAGGAAGCATTCGCCATCATGCAAGAATTCGGCGACCTCCTCTGCAAAACAGTCCGCCAACGCCCGAGCCACCAGGAACCCAAAACCCCCGACGGTGACCAACTAGTCGACTACCTAGACCGAGCCTTACAAGAAGGACGTATCACGGACGAACAATACCGCGCCAACATCAAAGTAACCTATCTCACAGCACACGAGAACGCCCAACAACTCCTCAACTCCACATTCTGGGTTCTAGGCACGAATCCGTCCGTGCAGCAGAAACTACGAGCCGAGATCCTCGCAACACGACAAGAGAACCCCTCAACGGATCTAGTCAACTCCCTACCCTACTTATTCGCCGTCATCCTCGAACTACTCCGCTTATACCCACCGGTCTCCCAACTGATCAACCGAGTCACGACCTCCGAAGCCGTGCTCGGCGGCGAAATCACTATCCCGAATCATACGTGGGTAGGATGGAATTCCTTCGGCGTGCACACGGATCCGGATATATGGGGAGCCGACGCGAGAGAATTCCTACCCGAGCGATGGGGACGGGACGTGAAGAGTATCCAGAGTGCTATGCGTAGTAAGACGACGCAGTGTCATTTTATTGCGTTCAATGCGCATTCGCGGAAGTGTCTTGGTCAGGGCTTTGCCGTGCTGCAGATGAAGATTTTGTTGTTTGAGATGGTGAGGCGGATGGAGTGGGTTGTTGATCCGGGGTATGAGTTGAAATTGACTTCGGTGAGTGATTGAATCTTGGAGGGTGTTGTGTGTCAGGGCGATTTGACTGACTGAGTGTTTTTTTTCTATTGTAGGGTGGGATTATGGCTCCGTTGGGACTCCGAGCTATCGTGAGGGAGAGGGAAGAAGGGGGCATTGGAGAAGGGAGTATGCTTGAATGAGTAGTTTGTCTGATTTTATCGGAGATGGTGGAAGGGCGCGGAGACCTGAGGATATGGTTTATGGTATTCGTGAAGTAGAACGCAAGAACGGGAAAGTAGTCAAAGGATACATATAACCAAATCATCGTCTTATCTGAAGTCGGATATCATCCATATCATCGCCGACACCGACACCCTTAGGCTCATGGCATTCTCAGTCTGCACGGGGGGTTCTTGCTCGATGTCGCAGGTGAATTGGACAGGATGGCCGTGACCACACATCATTGGTCTTGATGGTGCTAGAAAGGATCGTTCCAAAGTTGACCATGCGAACGCAGTTCATCGACAGAGATATATGTGAAGGAGAGCAGGATGCAAATGGAATACTCCTAGCTCGGACAGTAGGGCCTCAATGCGGCACTCTACTTGGGCAGTTAGTCACTACGGTACCGCCGAGACAGCATCTGTGCTCGCCGCGTGACGGAGTAGTCAGTAGATTGGGGGAAAGCCCGAAGACGGAGGCCGGTCTTGGCTTGTTCTCATTTATGAGTAATGACGGGTCACTCCGGTCTTCATTACTCACGCTGTAGTGAAGGCCGATGTCGTTGACCATTGGCAAGATGCCATTTAGGTTGAGCGGTTCACAAACCTAATATTCGCAGCTTTTTCCAGAAGAGATAGGCCCATATTCTAATCTGTTATCAGTATAGGATCAGAAGGTGTAGTCAGTCGGCCTGAAGAACTGCTCTGCATCCATCATGGTCCCCCGAGTCTCGCCCATCTACTCCGTCGAGTAGTATAGGAATTCAAAAGCTCGGGTGCCTGACTGGTCCAGGCACGCGTTCACAAACCGAGAGGGCCACGGAGAAGATCCGTCACTCCCCGGTCCACCACCCGAATCCTGAGTGGACGACGATGTCGCAATATCATTTCTTCGACGGACGTGACAACCAAGAGGAGCTGGTTTAGCGATTTCGGCCGATGATTTTCTCTCTGCTGGCCACGCAAGGTCTCGAGTTCCCAACAACTTGAGAGAAGAGGATCGGAAACTGGTATGTTTATCCGAAGAAGGACCGATGGCCGATGCATAAATGGGGATGACTCGGTCGAGCGGCCACACGATGGGGGACCACGCAACGATATAGGTTTAGTGTCGCACAGGATGTAGCTGGGGCAGTAGTGGTAGTAGTAGTAGTACATAGCCAGGTGTACAAATGTCGTGTGCGACCAATTCGTGGGCATATGATCAACATTCAGTGAACAAACATAACCCGACGTGGGATCATCTCGCCAAGAACCCGATATGCAACTTTAATCGAATGCTTATAATTCCTCGTGCACGTTGAGAACAATCTCCCGGAGGTCCTCCGCTGGCACCCCGGAGCCACGACGAGCCACGAAGAGATCAACTCTGGTGGACAATTCGACTTCCACACTCTCCTGCCAAGTGGCGTGCTCACGCCCTGTCTTTTGAACCTGCCAATTTGCCAATTCTCTTGGATACTCTTGGATGGGCGTAAATGAGAGTTTCTTCCCCCTCATTTGGCGTGATATCGGCCGTGCGGTGCAGCCAAGGGCTTGGAGCTACGCCCTTCGTAGGCGACTAGTCGCCAAACGGGCAGCACACGGCCGGTCAAGACTGCCCCGGGACGGTCGACACGAGCAAAGGACGCCATCACGGCGTCTCTCGTTGGTGGAACCGCAGCGAAGTCGGAGCGATAAGCATAATCTGGGGCCTTTTTTTCTTGGACTTGGAGTCGCCGAGTCGGTCTTGGGGACTCGTGGATTTTATTTATGCAGGTGCGTTCCCCCCGTTCGATCGCGGAGCTTTTTTTTTGGGACTCTCTTCTTGAAACTCTTTTCTCTCTTGGCTGTGCCAATTTTTTCAGAGCGCTTGCTTTTTTTTTTTTTTTTTCGTTCCTGTTCATTCTTATTTACATACTCAGTCCGACCTCTCTCTCCCATCCTTGATGACCAATTCTCTCGACAACCAGAAACCACCTTATCATTGAACGGTGTCTTGGCAGCGCCAGACTCCACCTGCCCGTCGTCGCCAAATCTCCTCGACCGCGCTGTTACGAGAGAAAAATTACCCCGGAAATCATGCGCTGCGATCCGACCACTCGCGGGTGTACGGTGTATACCTTGCGTACGGGGGATGAACTGGCCTCGACAAAGGGATGTCCTTGATCTGGATTTTCCTAACAGCAACCTCCCCCGAAACCCAGTCAATTCCGTCTAATTCAGCACCCTTGGGAGATTCATTGGTTGGCTATTGGCGGCTTGCGCAGGACTCGAGATCGCCCCCGGTCTCAATGTTGGTTCCTGAAACGGATTCCTCTGGCGGGTTGCCCTGCATCATGGCCAACTCCTCTCGATTGCCCCCCACACGATAATACCCAGCGGACTCCGGGGTAGTATCGTGCCATGTGTACAGGTTTCTGAGACACCAAAGTCTAAAGACAAGTCTTTGATTCGTTGATGAATCAAACCTGATAAGCTCTGAGGGGGACGCGGGGAAGACGGCCCCAACGTTGCAGCACAGATACGCACTATGGAAACTACCGTACGAATCTTGTACCTGGACGTGTGTGTGTACGGGTGGCGGGGGGAGAAACCGGCTGAACCTGGCAAGTCCCCGGCGCAATCAGCCGCTCGTGTAACGACTCGCCGGTGCGCCCATGCCTCTTGCCTCTGATGGTGCCAACCTTGCGTGATGAGACGAGGGGACGATGAGCCAATCGCCGCACGACATACATTTGCCTTGCTTTGACCCGAATGCGGTTGTGTCCCCGGAGGACCCTCTTTGAAAAGGCCCAAGCGGATGGAAAGGACTGGGAGGGAGGACTACGGGGTATGGCGGAGTGACTCGATAGAATCAATACTGCGAGTACTCCTAGGTAGGAATCACTGCGCAGTACTCCGTACTGATATCTACCCATCATTGACGACCTCGGTCGCGGCCCGTGGAAGCGCGTCGGCTGTCACGACTGATCTGTCATTCGCCCAGCTCGTCACAGCCGACAATGATCCCCGCCGTAGGGGAGGTACACGCGATTCCTCTCTAATCCGTCCAATCCACACGTCCGTCCGCACTGTACGGAGTAAATACCAACGCCCACACGGCCCATTCCCATGATTCACGCCCTGTCTCCTCCGTTCAGATGCCGAATCGCCCCCCTCGACGAGCCGTGCCCGCGTCTACCGCGGAGTCCGGAGAGTGGACTCCGGCGAGAGCGTGTCTGATCCGACGATATCTCTGGGCCCAAGCGATCCATTTTTTCTCCTCCATTTGCCTCGTGGCGAACCAGGAGAGCGTTTGCGAATTCGCGGTATGCGATGGTGTGCCGAAAACAGAGCTCAACTGAGGGTCTCTTTCAAAATTTCCACCGGCATTCTCCGTTTGGGCTATCTCGCGATGTGATTTGTTGGCGAGTAGAGTGTGGACCCCGGACTAGACCCTTTGTGGTCCCTGCCAGGTACGGCTCAACGGCAAACGATTTTTTTTTTTTCCTTCGAGAACCTCTCCTTGCGCCGCCATCGAACGGAGTGCCAAGACTTCCATACAACGAGTGAGACATACTGAATCCTGTCGCATTGCTTGTTCGTCGCCAAATCCAAGGAATACTCTCTCGGCATATCAGCGCATATCAGCATACTACACTCCTATCAGAGCATGACAGTCCTATCAGCGCAGCGTGTTCGCTTCCGTGTACCCCCTTCTGGGGTTACATTTCGTGGGGCTCGTCCATTGCTGCACGGCCATTCGCCCCAAACTCGACCGGTCCTGCCGATCGCATCCACGGTTGGTCTCTCGCTGGGAACAATTGGTTTTTTCTTTTTTTTTCTTTCTCGCCTTCCGAAAGTGGGAACGGAAACATACCAAAACGTCCACTCAAACCCCGGGCTTGTACTGTACCAAGACAAAGAGCTTGAATTCGACTAGACCTCTTAGTCGATTATTTTACATTATTTTTTGTTTCTCTTTCGTTCGGTTCATGCGCCGATAAGAACTGTCCGATATTTTCTCCACCACGACCTCGGGTTGTTGGGTAATCAAAATCGGCTATATATGTATACCGGTCACGGTCACCTTTTCCTCTTTCTCTCTTCTTCTCTTCGTCCCTGTGCAACTTTTGGAAGAGAAGGTTATTCCCTGGACCTAGTATCGCCATGTCGACTGCGGATCACGAGGTTGAGGTTGCTCGGTATGTCTGAAGACAAGATACCTTCAACACCCCCAAAGCATCGCATCCTGCAATGCTCATTGCGCGGGTGGCCCCCGACTTAGGGTTTCCTCGGTAGAAGTACAAATTTCTAACCACTGTCCCCACCAGGCCTCCTACTTACGATGACACCGTCCCCGTTGAGCAGCAGATCGTCCTGAACGAAAAGGCCAACATGGATATGGATAAGGAGAACCTCTCCATGACTCCCGATGGCGGCGAGCCCACCGAGGATGAGAAGCGCTCTCTGCGTCACATCGCTGAGAATCTGCCCGTCTCGGCTTGGTTGGTTGCCATTGTCGAGCTGTGTGAGCGGTTCACCTACTACGGCATGTCTGGTTTGTTCCAGAACTATGTCCTGCGTCCTCTGGACGGTAGCCAGGGCCGTGGTGCCCTCGGTATGGGTCACCAGGGTGCTACCGGTCTGACCACTTTCTTCCAGTTCTGGTGCTATGGTAAGCTTTCATACAGATAATGAGGTATATCGAAAAAAAAATATCATGACGCTGACTCTCCCGTTTCCGTTCAGTTACTCCCATCATTGGTGCCATTGTCGCCGATCAATACCTCGGCAAGTACAAGACTATTGTCCTGTTCTGCGGTGTCTACCTCGTCGGTCTCCTCATCCTGGTCTGCACTTCGATCCCTAGCGCTCTGGAGCACGGAGCCGGTATGGGTGGTTTCATCGTGGCCATTTTGATCATCGGTCTCGGTACCGGTGGTATCAAGAGTAACGTTGCTCCTCTGATTGCCGACCAGTACAAGCGGAAGAAGATGGCTCTCTTGACTACCAAGAAGGGCGAGCGCGTCGTTATTGACCCCGCGTTGACCATCCAGCGCATCTACATGATCTTTTATGGCTGCATTAACTTGGGCTCCCTCTCTCTGCTGGCTACTCCTTACATGGAGTTGTACATTGGCTTCTGGTCCGGTTACCTGCTCTGTCTTTGCATGTTCGCTGCCGGTACCCTTGTCCTCCTCCTGGGCCGCAAGTACTACGTTGTTCGCCCTCCTCAGGGCTCCATCATCACCAACGCCTTCAAGGCTCTCTGGATGATGGTCAAGAACCGCAACATGGACGCCCCCAAGCCCACCTGGCAGCTCGAGCACCGCGGTGTCGAGGCCACCCTCCCCTGGGACGACCACTTCATCGATGAGCTCAAGCGTGCCCTCGTTGCCTGCCGTGTCTTCGCCTTCTACCCCATCTACTGGGTCGTCTACGGCCAGTTCTCCGGTAACTTTGTCACCCAGGCCGGCCAGATGCAGGGTCACGGTATCCCCAACGATCTGATGCAGAATTTCGACCCGATCTCCATCATCGTGTTCATCCCCCTGCTCGAGACGGTCGTCTACCCTCTCATGCGCCGCCTGAAGATCCCCTTCCTCCCCATCACCCGTATCTCCCTGGGTTTCATCGTCGCCTCTCTGGCCATGATGTACGCCGCCATCGTGCAGCACCTGATTTACTCCGCCGGTCCCTGCTACGGCTCGCCTCTCTGCGCCGCCTCCGAGATCGACGGCACCGCCTACGGTAACAACGTGCACATTGCCATCCAGACCCCCGCATACGTGTTCATCGGTATCTCGGAGATTTTCGCCTCCGTCTCCGGTCTCGAGTACGCCTACACCAAGGCGCCCCCCTCCATGAAGTCCTTCGTCCAGTCCATGTACCTCCTCACCAACGCCTTCGGTTCCGCCCTCGCCGAGGCCCTCACCCCGGCCGCCTTTGACCCGGCGATTATGTGGATGTTCGTCGGTCTGGCCGTTGCTTCGTTCTTGTGCGGTATCATCTTCTACATTATCTTCCGTCACCTGAACGCCCAGGAAGATGACATGAACGCCCTGGACGCCGATGACCCGATGCCCGAAGCCCCCGTTGAGGAGGCCCGTCGTGCTTCCCAGGCCCCGCATTAAATAGAGATAGATCTGTGATCTGCTTTTTGTTGCAGGGAGAATCGGGTGATTCTTTTCCCTTGCCGGTTTTGTACGTTTTCTGTCTTGTGATGATATCCGAACTTGCATTGCGTTGCGTTGTAAGCATGTCTGCTTTTTTGGCTAGGGCGGAGGGAGCGGGTATGTCTTCCTGTTGTCTTGAGCTGCTGGGCAGCTATGTGAGACGAGCTATGATTTGTTGCGGTGATAATCTTAGTATATATATTATAAATAGTATCTCAAATGTCTGTGATTAGAAATATCTCCCGAGTATCAAGTCAAGTCGTGATTGTATTGTGTTGAATACCTCGTGTCTAGTCCAGGACTCTAGACTGGTCTACCCCATGGGTGTGGACTCGAGCAACCTGCAGGGCTGGACCCTTTGACTTTCAATCATGTGTCACTAAACCCGGAATTCTGGAAAAGTTACCAATTAATCCCATTACTTGGGAGTATTCCGCTAGATTTCGAGAATTTTTCATTTGATTGTGCCCCAACTCGGTGTTGTAGGATTGAACTGGACAGTCGCGGGATGGGAGTCGATGTCTACGACTGGCGGGCTCGTCTATGGCCAAAAGGGACAATGCCCACGAGCAGTGGACGTGTCATATCGAAATAATGCCCAATCCATTGTTTATTGTGTCGATTCAGATTCACCATTAACATTAAGGTTATAGCTAGTTATGTCAGTAATCTACCGGTGGCCGTGAATGGAGCGGAGTACATTCGAGTCTGGACAGGTCAACCAGAAGTATGCATAAGCTATTAAACGTTCTAATTAGTCGATAGTCTATAGCTTAATCGCGATAGTGTGCCCCGTAGCATGCTTTCTGGTATTTTTACCGCGACCTAGAACATTCTCGCCTTTTAATTCCACTGCGTGCCGCAATCATGACGTACAGACACTGAGTGTTGCCATGGGACCGAATATGCCTATTTGACTCGAGACCTGTAGCGGAACTAATCTCTATATGAAAGCGAGACTAGTTATATCAACCGTATAGAAAATGGTCTTTTCTATCTACTCTATTAATACACAAAGTGCTTGCTATAGGCATATACATACATGGTCGGTTATTATGAAACAGACTGACAGCTGTCAATGGAGCACCACCCGTGGAAACGGTTTCCCTCGCAGTAGTTGGACCCTGATCCACTTGAGCTGGTACCTACAGTACGAGAGGGTACCTCCTGTAGGTACCTCCCACTGTAGGTAACAGACATCGCCGATCGCAGGATTCGAAAATAGCACAACCCACATCAGCCACGATACATGAATGGCCAATTGGCTCCCGCTCTACCGCGATCGCAAGGAGGCTGCGCAGGAACGCACTTGCAGCTTTAAAGCAACCATCTCCTGGAAGAGCTACAAGGTGGGGATCGCGATCTTCGATACGAAGTACTCTTGGAGGCAATAGAGGGTCCGAGTCAAATTGTCAAGGCCAAACTGGAGGGCGACCCCTGACTATTATTTAAATTGAGCAAGTACTGTGGGATTTTATTAGTTTAATTCTTGTGGGAAAGGTGAAACAAAACGCCTTTTTAGCCGCCCGAGTCCCCTTGCAACAATTCTATACGGAGTACAGCTACTGGAGAACTGCTTCGTGTGCTGATAATTTCCATGTAGAGTAACTATTAGAAGCATGGTTTGTCTATTCATAGTACTCCGTACAGATTAAGACATCGGAAATCATCACAAGGCTACAGGGTTTCCATAAGAAACTCAGCCACTCGGACAAATAAGAAAAGTGACATTCTCTTGGAGTGACATACAGAGAGACACCGCCAGGCGCTTCTGCCGCGCCACATCCTCCCTCTTTCCCGTCTTACTTTCTGCTCCTCTTAACACCCTCACCCTTCCCTCCTTCGTCTCCTCCTCTTCTTACCCCCTCTCCTTGCTCCTTTTGACTTTTCTTTGTTTACATTCCAATTAACCATCATGAGTGTGAGTTATCCTTTCTACCCTCCAATCGCGAATCCTTTGTATATCCGGGCCCCCTATTTCTGACAACGGCCAGTACCAGAACTTGGAAGACAACAGCCAAGGAGGCTACGGCCAGTACAACCCTTACGGCGCTCAGCAGAACCCCTACGGTGCCCAGTCCCAGCAGCAACAACCCCAGCAGAGCTATGGCTATGGCGGCGGCTACGGCCAGGCCGGTGCCATGGAGCAGGGCAACGGCGGTTATGGTGAGAATTGACTTCTTCAATTCCTCCCCCCCCCCCTTCGGGCGCACCCGGAACCGACGCGCTGACTTCTTCTCCGTTTGTCTGAAAAATAGAAATGTCCAACATGCAACAAGTCCCCGATAAGAATGCGCTTCTGACCCGCATCAACGAGCTGAAGCAGGGAATTGAGGATGTCAAGAGGAAGCGTACTACCCAGCTCCGCGCTGCCCAGACTGCTCTCCTGGAGTCAAACACCAGCAAGGAAGACCAGGTGACGCGCCAGAACGTCGACTACGTCGAGGACGAGATTAACACCGCTCTCCGCTACCTGCGCGATCAATTGAAGCGCATCGCCGACACCCCTGGCTGCGGCTCTTCGGGCCCCGCGGAGCACTACACAATTGCCAAGAAGAGCTTGCAGGATGAGATCACGGCTTACCAGGGCGACCAGTCCAACTTCCACAAGCGCCTGGAGGAGCAGGTGCGCCGTCGGTACCAGATGGCCAACCCCGAGGCCACCCCGGATCAGCTGGAGGCTGGTGTTCAGGCTGTGATGCAGGGCCAGGAGCAGGCTTTCATGGTGGGTTTTTCCTCTTTCGCGCGCGATATTTCCAAAGAAGGATCAGGATTTTAACTGTTTCATTTTCGTTATAGACCCCCGGAACTCGTTCTCGCCAGGCCAACGATGCCCGCCAGGCCACCCTCGCCCGTTCCGCTGCTATCCGGAAGATTGAGAAGGATATGGCCGATCTGGCCCAGCTGTTCACTGATGTTCAGGAACTTGTGATCCAGCAGGAGCCCGCAGTCACTCAGATCCAGCAGGGTGCCGAGGAGACCCACCGCAATGTCCAGCAGGCCAACACTAAGCTGGACAGTGCTATTGTCAGCGCCCGCAACGCCCGCCGCTGGAAGTGGTATGCGTTGATCATCGTTAGTAAGTGGTTATTGCACTCTTTTCTTCTTCCCCCGAAGTTCTTCGACTAACTGGGCACTTTTCTAGTCATCATCATTGCTATCGTCGTCGGTGTCGCAGTCGGTGTTACCGAAGCCAACAAGAAATCCTAAGCGCCTGCTTTGCTTTTTCCCCCTCCAAGTTTCCTTCCCCTCTCCTTACCTTGTACGACCTCGTCTCTCCACGCTCTCCTCGAACGACAACCCCGCGACTCTTAAATCCCACACTCGCCGTGCTCATTCCCGCTATTTCCCATGTTACCATCCACCCCACCCTGTCCCCCTTCGTTTCTATACCACTTTCTCGCATGTCATTTCTTCTCTCTGTGTGTCTCTCTCTATTGTGTAAAAGCAAATGCTCGATCGGCCTTTTTTTTTTTCTCCTTGTGTTCTTCCAGTTGCTGCAGGTCTCGTGTACAGCCGCTGCGTGGTGATTGCCCACTCGACTGTTCCATGATGATGATTGTGCTTTTGATCCTGCTCCCCGGATACTCGAGCGTGGCTGTCGCAGTCGACAAGCTGCGTCCGTACCCGGGGATGTACATACTAGACCGTTTTGCTGTTTTTCTTTGTTTTTGGTGCCCTTTCTGTTCTGCTTGGCACTTCAGTCTATGTAATACCGTCTAATAATCTATCCCTTCTGTCTCAACGCTTACAGTGCAAATGTAGCTTGCATGGTATGGTCAAGTACATGCCCGTGGCATAACGGTATCTGCGTTGCTCACTTCCTGGGGGTATCTGTATGTGTTGCGGCGAGGCCAATTCGCCAAGCAGGGGTCTCTATATCACCTCACACGCTTTGTATATATATCCGAAGCTTATCTCTGTATCTGCATCATTCCTCGATACTCGCACTCCGTATCCACCACTCACGCCTTCCTCTCCTTCTCCCGCAGCTCCTCCGCCGGCGTCTTCGTCTTCAACTGCAAAGCATGAATACCCCCTTCCTTCGCCATTTCCTCCTTCAACAAAGCGTACACCATCCGGTGGCGGGCGGGTTGCATTTTCGATTCGAAGGCGTCGGAGACAATCGTCACGCTGTGAGAACGGTAGTGTTAGATTGGAATGCTCTGTGGCCACTCTTATGATCCCTCAGGAGCTAGCCGTAATGATATACCGAGTAGCCGATCAAGAGCTCCCGGTGGGGGTGGAGGGGGCTTGCGCACTGGAAGTGTGTTTCCTTCGAGGTAGATCCTTCCATCGCGACGTGGTGGGCGTGTAGATGTGAGTCGTTGCGGATGGTGAGGGTGGACGGGGTGAAGGCGTGCGTAAGCTATACCAATTAGAATTGAGATCTGTTAGTCTATGTATTGATGAACGTAGCGCAGCTCTACCACACTCGTGCTGATAACGGCACTGGCGAACGACAACTCCGGGGGATGGGTACCTTGTCGCGCATGACATCCTCCATGGGTGTTTTAGAAGCCATTCTGGTCGAGACGGAGAAGAGGCGGCGCGATAGCAGGCCTGGGAGTGTACGGGGGAGCATTGGAGGACTGCGCGTGTAGCAGATGTAAGGTCGAGGGTGAGGCCGTCTAGAGGAAGTGCGGCGAGTGTAACGGAAGTGAGAACGTCGGAGCCGTTTGGAGGGCTTCCCGCGGAAGTTTATCCGCATGACATCAACTACCTTTTGTCTTTGACTCCAATTGTTGTCTCTACAGTGTTGGACGGACTTGACACGGAAGTATGATCTGATATTATTCTAACGGGTAAAGATAGGATAGGGATTTGTTACTGAATTACCATCATGTCCGGCCGCAATTTGGTCTTGAGGCTCGCACGCCCGCGTCTGCGCGTGAGCTCTGCGCGCCTGATTCCCTCGGCTCAAGTGTTGCATACGAGGTTATTTTCAACGGCGAAGAGACTACTCACCTCGCTGCCTGATACCCACATCTTCCGTGCAATTCGAGACCACGATCCAGCCAGTTTGGCGGTGCTGCATAGCTTGTCGGGCCGGTCGTTCACATACGGAAACCTGACTGCCGATGTCCTCCGCGCAAAAGAAGATCTCGAGCAGAAGGCCGGCAATATCAAGGGGAAGTTGGCTGGAGAGCGAGTGGCCTTTATGGCAGAGAATAGCTATGACTATGTTGGTGCGTCGTTCTGACTTTTTATGCTGTTGTCCCGTTTTCCTTCATGGCGAGAATTGAGGCTAACTACTGATAGTCATGCTGCTGGCCATCTTTGGATGCGATGCCATTGCTCTGCCACTGTCCCCGTCTTTTCCCACGGGGGAATTGCAGTATATTCTCGATAATTCGGCGGCCAAGGTCTTTCTAGCTACGGAGAAGTATGCTGACAAGGCACAAGGAGTTCTCCAGGCGGGCTTGCAGCATGATCCCCTGTTTGATATCAGACAGAAGCTTGTCGTGGGGGCTTCTGGAAGTGAAATCGTTCCGTTGGAAAAGTCAAAAGGCTCGAGTGAGCTATCTGCCGGTGGCATGATGCTATATACGTCTGGTACGACGAATCGTCCGGTATGTAGCGGTCTTCATGAAAACATCGTTTGTATCTCAAATATAGAGCCTCTATGCTAATTTACAACAGAAAGGAGTATTCATCCCCGAGTCAGCACTCACCGCACAAGCGACTTCCCTCTTACAGGCATGGGAATACTCTCCACATGACCGACTACTCCACCTCCTCCCTCTACACCACATCCACGGCGTCGTCAACGCGATCATCACACCCCTCTTCGCCGGCTCCTCAATCGAGTTCATGTACCCTTTCAACACAGATCAAGTCTGGAACCGGCTCGCAGCACCATTCCTCCCACAAACCAGTTCCAAAAGCCCACACAAGTCCAAAATCACCTTCCTCACAGCCGTACCAACAGTCTACAACCGCCTCCGAGCAAGTTTCTCCTCCCTGTCCTCGGAACTCCAAGAAGCCGCTCGAAAGGGTATATCCCCAGAGAATCTCCGTTTAAACATCTCCGGCTCTGCGGCTCTACCGACCCCTACCAAAGCAGCGTGGCAAACCCTTAGCAACGGCAACGTCCTCCTCGAACGGTTTGGAATGACCGAAGTCGGCATGGCGCTCAGCTGCGGTCTCGATTTCGCAGATCGCGTCGATGGAAGTGTTGGCTGGCCTTTACCACAGGTAGAAGCTCGCCTCGTGGATACGGAGACGAACGAAGTCATCCCGCTAGGCAAGGAAATCGACGCCAACGGCCGCGAGCGCGTCGGCGAGATTCAACTGCGTGGGCCAACTATCTTCCGCGAGTACTTCGGTAACAAAAAAGCCACGCGGGAGAGTTTCGTAGACGGCGGCGATGGCGGCGGTCACTGGTTCTGCACTGGCGATGTCGCGACGAGACGCGTTGTACAGGGCGCCGGCAAGGGGACGAGCGGCGAATGGGCCCGCGGTCCCATGTATTTTATCCAGGGCCGTAAGAGTGTCGATATCATCAAGACGGGTGGCGAGAAAGTCAGCGCGTTGGAAGTTGAGCGCGAGTTACTGTCTCTGTACGTTATCCCAACACCCCTGCAAACTCCCCATTTTCCGTTCCCATCTTACAGCCGGCAAGGCCACGCTACAAAATACGCCTTACTAACACACGCCAGTCCTCAAATCGCCGAGGCAGCTGTCGTAGGCCTCCCGTCCGAACAATGGGGCAGCAAAGTCGCCGCCGTCGTAGTCTTACATCCCGATGCGCATACCACCGGGCGCAACGGCAAGGCCTGGGGCCCGATGGATATGCGTCGTGCATTGAAGGATCGATTAGCTGGATATAAGATTCCACAGGAGATGAAGGTTCTGGATGCGATTCCGCGGAATGCGATGGGCAAGGGTGAGTTATACCTGTCCCTTCCCTTCCCTTCCCTTCCCTCCTCTATCCCACTGTTTTCATCGGGGGAGCGGAATCCTACTGGAAAAAGTGTTGTGGGGTCATGCTAACTCTAGAGTGCAGTGAATAAAAAGGCATTGGTGAAACAGGTCTTTGATATTTAGGATGTGCATCGGGAGAGAGAGGAGATGTTTTATACTTACTTGATAGAACTTTCATGGTTGGGCTTGGATCTTCTCTTCTCTTCTAATCTCCAGGGATTTGTGTCAATAGGTAGATTTCTGTGTATGTATCAACATTTTCAACCTTTCAAAGTCCGAATCACTGTAGACCTGCGAGGTTGAGATACATCTCAAATGTTTATCGAGGCTATACGTCAAATACCATACAAGAGAACGCTTACAAACATCGAAGGAGATTCGAGTCTCTATTGTTTCATGATATACAAGTATGGTACACTATAATACAAGATCACGCAGCTTGTCCAGCGGTGATTAGCCTCACGCTCAAGCCCACTCCCCCGTCCTCTTAAACGGCTTAATCAACCCCTTCGCCTCCATTTTCACCTCCAAACTCGCCATATCCACCGCCGTAATCTGCGCATCAACGACCCCAAAGATATCCATCTTTTCTTTATCTGAACATTCCTCCGGGATAGTGATTACACAGTTCACGCCCAGATTAGTGATGATACCCGAATACACGGTCCCCTCGACTTCGGAGCCCATTCGCATCGAGCGCAGGACGACGGGGAAGGATTCCGGGAGTGCACATTCTGCAAAGTAGAATGCGCGGAAGAGGAGCATGCAGGCCCAGTGTTGAGTAGAGTAAGCCGAGATGGCGCGGAGTCGGGCGAGGAGAGGTTGAGAGTAATCAATGTGGTTGTCAAGGTCGAGGTGGGAGTATGGGAGGGGAGATGATGTAATTGGTTCGGACAGTTGAGACTCAGTTTCGAAGGTTTCTTCGGGGATGTCGGTTAAAGCGTCGAAGCGACGACCGTGTTCGTGCTCGAAACGCAGAGCTGCTTCGATCTGATAATGCGCGATGACGTCGCTGAATCGACGTAGCGGACTGGTACTCTTGACGTACGCGTCCAGACCGAGCATGTGGTGGTGGAGAGGAGTAGAGGCAGAGACTGCCTTGGGTAGGGCAAGGTGGTAGAATGCCTGGCCGCCGAACTCATTCATGTTTTCCCGCGTAACGTGTCCGTATTCGGGGTCGTACCATGTCCCATCGTAGACGACGGGAATGTTACGGGCCGCGCAGAACTGTCCAGCGATGTGACCGGCCAGGTTCATTAGGAGCGAGACGAGATAACGCTTCGACTCATCCCGGACTTCATGCGGGTCAAAGTCTTGCATTTGCAGCTGGATGATCGGGTCCCCAACAAAGTACCTGCCTTCAGTGACTTGGAACTCGTATGGCTTCGCGAGTGCCGTGCCCATCTGGACAGAGAGGGAGGTATCCGGCCGAGGAAACTGAATGTCCATGGCGCCGTTTTTCTGACGTTGAGTGCGGAAGCCGAGCATCAAGTTGCGAAGAATGGTGAAATTGTCTTTGTCCTCAGCGGTGAGTGTCTCTCGTAGGACCTTGCCTTCGGGCTGAGTTTGCTCGATGGGCTCGCCGCCGACAGTGAGAGATTCGGAGGAAGGTATTGACTCGGGATCCAAGAACTTTTGTAGGGTGCTATGGGTCAGGCTGATTACGTTCCGGATAGTGCCGTTTGCGACCTCGGTATCGAGGATTTCTCCTTGAAGATTCATCTTGGCGCTGAATGTCAATGTGGGCCGGCCATTTGTCAGACTGAAGTAATCCTGTGTGAAACTCGTGGGGAAGATGGGGTATGTGCGCTCTGGGGCGTAAGTGGTGGCAAGTCGTGATTTGGCGTATTCAATGATGGGATTGTCATGTTCCAAGAAAGCCGTCGGGTTGGCGACGTGGATGCGCACCCAGAATGTATCCTCGGAGCCGGGGATTCGCTCCAACGAGACGCCATCGTCGATTTCCTGTGCCGTGACTGCATCTATACAATAAACTGGCAAGCCCCCCCAATCCTTGCGTAGGTCTTCCATTGAATCGGTCAAGGACTCTGAGATGGTCGCGGAGGATTCTTCAATTTCTTCCCATTTCATATCCTCCATCAAGGACATGCCATGACCGGGGAGCAAGATGTTTTGGTCGAGAAGACTGAGATTTTCCCAAGGAGCCACCACACCAAGCTCCTGTAAGAACATGCGGGTGGATGACTCGCTGAGCCCAAGAGTATTGTACATGCCGGTAGCACGCATAACGTGAGAGGCAGTCGATCGTAATGTACCAGACGGCATAGCCACCGACGGAATCGCGTATAATTGCATATACTCGATGATTATCTGATCAGTCTTGGTGAACTTTTCAGTTAAGACTTCACGATACACCATCGCCTTGCCGTCTTGTCCAGGGTAGAACTTTTGGGAAGAAGGCCCCACGCTAGACATCACCGTCGGAGAGCGAACCTTCCGGCTGAGACGAATGAGGCGTTGTGCCTTTTGGATGAATTGTTGGATGGGATGATCTTTGAAACCCGGGGTCTCTTTGGCCATGGCTGCCCGAACCAAATAGTCCTGATGTTCGCGAACCCACGTCGTGACCTGTTTGACCACGTTGGTTATTCTCTTCGGCTGTACCAAATAAATTGGGTGGAAAGTCGAATTGAAATCCTTGTCGATGGCGAATGGACGGCGTCGCACAGCCTGGTGCACCGCAAACAGGTTCACTCTGTTCAGTTGCGGCTCATCGATATCTAGGAGCTTCATGGCGAGCTCTTCAAGAGTCATGCGTAGAAATTCAGTTTCATCCGCGACCAAATCGTGAATATTATCCAGTAATTGCGCATGCTGTCGGTAGAAATCGAATACCTGCTGCTCGAACTCGGTCATCATTTCAATGAGGGGCCGCCCTAGCGGCCTCGGAAGTCCACCCTCTGGCACGGATTGAATCTCGGACAGGGCCTGTGCAGGACGATCCGGGAAGTAGGGTTTGATTGGATCAACAAGAACCGTGGGCGCAAAGCCCTTGACAATGTAATCGATTTCACGATTGGAGCAGATCCGCCAATTCCCCCGAGTCGTGTAGATTTGTTTTTGCTTGTGGACGGACTGTACGTAGATAGCGAGGTTGAACACACCATCCGACGTAAGGCGGCCCACTAAATCACCGGGCTCTAGATGATCTCCTTCGAACTCTTCAGAAGTATCAAAGTCATCTTTATTGGAGAGCTGTGAGCTAGCCCAGAGGGAATCCGATGCTTCACGACCGTTGAGCATGGAGCCGATCAATTGACCGGGCTCTGTGGTTGACGATTCACTGCCAGGTTCGCGGACGGGGTCTAGGACGTTCGGATTGGTTTCGTTCCATTTTCGTAGATATTCTCGAATATCGCGATACGTCTCGAGCTCGGCTTCCAAGCGGACTTCTTCTTCGGCGACGGGGGCGATCACTGGGTCCTGCCCGGTCAAGAGATCCTAATGAGAGATGGGCGTGAGTTCAAAAAGATCGCCGAAGGCATGGGATAGATTGAATGGCTTCTCACCTCATGGTTGACGTCCTCACCCGCCACTGACCTCAGCGCTCGCGAAGTCGATAGCAGTCGCCGCCCGCCAGACAGCGGCGTACGAGTCACCGACCGTGGGTAAGCAAAGGCTACTCGCCTTTGCTGCCCAGAGAGCCGCACGCATAGCTGCCTCGCACTGGCTAGACTGCGTAACAGCTCTATCCTCGGTAGCACCATGGCCGTTTAATGTCGACTGCGAAAAAACGATCTTGTTGCTTGCCCGAAGCACGGCCATTATCCTGGCAGAAAAGTCCCACCGCCATAGGGCGGTGTGTCTAACCTTATCGCGTCTCCAGCGTTCAGCCTGCATTTCCAGCAGTCTGTTGGGAATGATCGTACTATGCTCATTCTAGAATCAATTGCTCTTCCATCAGACCGCTCACATTTGATTTGATGATTCCCATGGTCCCATACTCGACAACATGACCAAATCAACGGATCTAAACTAGGGATATTGGATGTATCAGATGCTCTACCACGCTTTGGGTGCCAAGAAATCGATAGTTCCTTGAGACCGAGCAGGGATTATTCCATGGCACGCAAACCTCCAGGCAAGAAGACCACTCTTAGAAGCAAGTTGACGGCATCTGCCGCATTTAATTTAGGAGTTCGTCCGGCTCAAACAATTCCCGGACTTTTGGGTTTGAATCTGACACAGCACTTGAACTGCGCACGGGCACGGGTCTAAGAGACCTAGAATCATAGAATTGTTTGTAAAGATAGCATGTAGACTGCAAATAAGTACCCCCTTCAAGCCTGACATCTCAAACGTCTACAAGGGTTTTGCGGGCTTTGTATGGTAGTACATACAATTCATGGATGCACTATCTGACGTGACACAGAAACGTGGAATATGCCATGTTCAAGTGTCGCGCAGGAAAGCCTCCGAGTTGCAGATCTCTGGGCTTTTCATGCCTTGAATTCTCCGACCCTAAACCCCCACTCCTTGAGAATCTGTTCGCCAAATATCCACTTGGCACATCTATATTTCACAACTCCGTACACACTATCTACCAGCATCAAAAATATGGTGTCCAGCGTATTCGCTCCGTTCTAACTCCACCTTTCTATCCAGACTGCCATCTTCCTCGGCAGCTCCGGCCTCATGTGATGTCCGCATTTCTGCATCGTCACTGAGATCTACCAATGTCTCGGACTCTTTAATCCATTTTGAGTATTCGACTTCATGCGACCGAGACGAACACACCCGGCGGGCACAAGATCGAATGCCCAAAAACTGGACAGGCGGCGACTATCATTGCTAAAAAGGTCTAAGCGAGCTTGGCCTTAAACCCTTTTAGTCTAGTTTTTGACAGCCAAACTCGGCCAGCCTGCCCGATCCAGGAACCGCTCAGGGGGTTCGTCGATGATCCCCCGCACATCCCACTTGTAGAGCCACTCTGCCGAGAAAGCTTTGAGACGCTGCCTTTGCTTTTGGGCTTGTGGCTGGACTATTCTCGGCCCCCTATCTCGGTCAAATGATAAATCTCCTTTCAAGACGATCCGTGTCTCCAGCTAGTAGTCGACCAATGAAAAAGAAGAGATGCTAATGCAGCTAGACTCGCAACCTATCCCGGAACTTCCTCGAATCGTTGATATGCACTTCGGGCACCGAAATGGCACTCTCCGAACAAGCAACGCATCGTGTACACATCTTCTTCGCCCTTGCGATCGCCGCAAGATTGGCATCTCGGTTAGACAACTGAGTGACAGGATCTACAACCTCAAAAGCCGTTGGGCACCGCTTGATCAACTATTCCGAGGTTTTTTTGAATGAAAAGCTGGCTCCCGTACCATGTGCACTCCTCTTTACCCGCATTCTGGCTTCACGGGGTGGATAACCCCGTAACGCGGAGCCTCAGGTCAGCTTATCGGCATTCGCAAAATGGTTGCGAAGACCGATTACTTGATGCCCCCTACTCCATTCGGCAATTGCGTGACATGGTGTCGGGAGGGTTGACATCGCTTGGAAGCGAGCCTGACAGGAAATCTAGACTCCACCGGGTTCATTTTGTTGATCTTGCAGACGCCGTCTCATGTAGACTCCACTCTCAAGGAGAGATGGCCAAGGATAGTGGATACCCCCAGAACTTCTTTATACCAGGGACAATTCAATTGCTATACAATTAAAGCCCCGTGACTAGCCCCTTATCCAGGATAAAAGTCCCGCCTGCCCATTTCAATCTAGCAAATCTCAAATTATCAAAAAATTCCCCGCGTGCTCATTCTCAATCCCCTCTATACACATATCGAGCCCGCACCTTTTAACAAAATGCCTTCCAGCTACGGATGGCGCGCTTTAGCGCTATCGCTGGCCACACTCACTCCCCTTGTGCGCGCCAACATTTGCGCCACCCTCGCGGCTGCCGGAATTGACGTTGAATACCCATTGTCGCTGGACTACTCGACCGATCTGACGAAATATTGGTCCACTGCCTGCGGTGACCTGAAGCCAACATGCATTGCCGCGCCATCCAGTGCGGCTGAGATGTCACAAGTAATCAAACAGCTACACAATGTAGAGACGTTGTTTGCGGTGAAGTCTGGGGGTCATATGCCGAACAATGGCTTTGCTAGTATTCAAGATGGTCTCCTTGTTTCGACCAAGAATTTGGATCAAGTGTACTACAACTCAGATGACGAGACGGCTGTCATTGGACCCGGTCTAGCTTGGGAGGAGGCGCAGGAAGGACTCGCGGGGACGGGGCGAGCTGTTGTGGGAGGTCGACTTGGAGGTGTGGGTATTGGAGGGTATATGCTTGGAGGTATGATCGTCTTAGGAGGAATAAATAGTTGCTGGATACTAACAGCTTCTTACAGGCGGAATGAGTTTCCTCAGCACTCAATATGGCTGGGCAGCCAACAATGTTGTCAACTATGAAGTCGTCCTCGCCAATGGTACGGTGGTCAATGCCAATGCGAAGGAGAACACCGGTAAGAGATACATGACTACAAGTCCGAGGCGGGACCGTGCTGATAGGAAGCAGACCTTTTTGCTTCCCTCAAGGGAGGTGGTAACAACTTTGGCGTCGTCACCGCGTACACCATGCAGACGCACCCAATTGGCCAAGTCTGGGGCGGCAATTATGTCTTCACGGCGGATAAGACGCCCCAAGTTCTGACGGCCCTGCGTAACTTTGCCGACAACTATCCTGATGATAAGGCGGCGATTATTCTGACATCTGAGCACGGGTTGGTGATTGATTTCTGGATCATGTTCCTCTTCTATGATGGCCCTGAGCCTCCAGCGGGCGTGTTCGACGAGTTCACGGCAATTGATCACATATCCACCACCAAGACATGGGATACCTACTACGATCTGCTCAAAAATAACGACCAATTCATCTTGCAGTAAGTTGTCGTTGATTGAGCATGCAGTTGGTGGATACTAACAATCTCATCAGCGGACAACGCTACACCATCGCCACCGAGACGACACCCGTTCCAAACAGCACCGTCGGCACTGCTCCTCTCCAGGAGTACTATGACCATTGGTTCAACGTGACCGACTCGGTCCTTGAGGTTACCGGTGTTCTCGGATCCATCGCTTTCCAGCCTGTACCCAAGACGTTCTCCGAGAAGGCCAAGGCCCGTGGTGGAGTAAGAGACCCAATACCCTTCATGTTTCCACAAGCTAATGATGATAGGATCTCCTCAACGTCCCGACCGACACCAACTATATATTCATTGAGCTTGACTTTTCCTATTCACTTGCCTTGGACGACGGCAAGATCGATCAGGCCAACCAGAACCTCTACCAAGGCCTGGATAACTTGGTACAGAAGAACATCGACGAAGGCCTTCTTCCTGACGTGTACCGACCGCTTTTCATGAATGATCTCTACTTCCGCCAGGACTACTGGGGTCGCATTGATCCTGCGTCGAAGAAGTCGGCACTCGCCACGAGACTGCGCTATGATCCCGATGGCTTCTTCCAGAAGCGGACCAGCGGTGGCTGGAGACTGAATTAATTGACGAGTGTCGCCGTCCTGGCGGCTGAACAACTTGTACAAGTTTTAATTTTATTATACATAATATTGGAAATAATCATGTTCTCTATTGATGTCTCGCTGGACTATACACACTTATAAGAATGGGCGCTGAGGATGACGCGCACATTGGAGGTTTAGCTTTCAATCCATTCCCGAAATAGTCACTGCGGCTTGCGAAGAAAGAATATACAAGAAAATTCGGAGTTCGGTAATTGCGCTCATTATGTGGCCATTCTACAATTTGAAAGGGATGTTTTCCAGAGAATTAGCTTGTTCTAGATACTTATAACGATGTTGGCTGTAATAGGACCAACTGGATGCACAGACATGCCGTCCTTCTCTCTGCTGGCATCAATCTTGGTCTTCATATCAATAGACGTAGTTGATAGTGACCAGACAGCCATCCTCCTGTTGAACTGAGCCGCAACGTTTACAGCCGTCAATGCTGCGAATGTTCTGATGATCTTTCCACATGTTACCACTGATACTGCAATTGGTGCCTTGAATAAAGACGCAGTAGCCTTGAGTCTTGTCCCCTCAACAATTGCCGGTAGGTTTAATGCCACTAGAGATACAGTAGTCAGTCAGCTGTATAGTCAAGGGCTGGCAACACGCCAAGATTGTATTGTGCAGACTGCGCAGGATCTCGATAGGAACGTAAAAGGAGCATCACTCACTTGGTCAGACTCTAGATATTTCAAATAGGACAGTTTAGGGAGGGTGTTGTCTAAATGTTGTCTAGCACTAATTTATCTGTTAAGAGACTTATTTATATAGAGCTGAAGTATCCTTATTGGAGTCTCAGGAATTCTTCCCGTTCACATCCTCCCCTACAGCTCACAACTGTATATAATATCTTCTTCTTATAGTATGAGTTTCAGGCACGCCAGCAGTTCTCATGTCGCTTAACATCAATCTTGATCCCAGTCTGAATACTTAAGTTCTTGAGCTGGTGCATCATATCCGAGTCCCATATGCCTATATGTTCTTCTGGTGATTCGACTGTCAGAAGGATTCTGCGCAGACATGGCGTATATGATTCTCGGTCACTCAGCCATGATTGCAGCAAGCCTAATACAGCCCAATCCTCCCAATCCCACTCGGGTATCTCTGGACGAGGATCTTCCTGTACACTCAAATCGTATGTGAGTGTCAGGAACTCGAGATTCCTTGGCAACACATCCTGCAATAGGTTCGTGGTGTCTTGCACGAAGCCAACACAGAAAGCCAATGGGACCTTAAGTATCTTGACAAAGTAGAGGTCGGCCATTGGCTTCAACGATCCCTTTATCCTAATGCCTGGATAATGGCAATCATGGCCTCCAATCCCAATCTCAGCGGAAATATCGAGTTCTGTTAAGGTGGGCGGAATCTGAGACAGTCCAGCAGCAATCTGATCTAGGTCGACGACAGGTTTGTTGAATTCATCGTCTAAGCCATGGTCATAATACCACTCCCAGCTAAGCTGCTTCAGGCTTTGGGTGGCTGAGAGTATGTCGGTGAGATGTGCCTCCCGAATGCACGTCAAGTGAAGCGAGTTTAGCCTTGTCGGGTCGGGTAGATGCGCTGCAGGCCATTTGAATGCGGCTGAGCTCCTGACTGACGCTGACATACGTTCGACATTGGGCAGATAGCACAAAGGCAGAAAATCTGGGGTGTTTTGGGCATTTTCTGCTTGGCGTGCTCAGTCCGATATGACAAGGCAATTGATCGCCACATCCCTGAGCTGAGAAAAGTCGGGAAGTCGATAAACCCCAGGCTCACAGATCGCTGAACTAAGTACCATACCAATGAGCGTACTTCGTTGTGTAAAGAACGGTCCAAGGGCCAGTAGCTGTAGATTTGGAAGTTGAGCTAGGAGAAGAGAAATAAAAGCGTCTGTCACGCCTTTGCGTAGTTGCTGTATCCAAAACTCGCTATAGGGAACCCCGGTTCTCTGGATGAATTCAACTGATCGGTCCAGCTCGGTACTGGAGACTGTAATCGAAGGAATCGATTGCGTAGATCCAAAATTCGAGGGGACTTGGCCCCCGAGTTGAACATTTGTGACATGCGTGGCCAATTTGGGCCTAGATACGGTGGTTCGTAGGAACGGGGCTATTAGTGGAGGGGTTTTTTGATCCTTCCACGACCCTTGAATTTTCGAGTAGAGAAGTGGCTCCGCTACTGCGCGGAGTTGTTGATGGACGAGACAAAGTGTTCGCCATTCAGTCGGTGATAGTAACCTCAACACCAAGAGCAAAATTTCCGTAGGGCAGTCGGTAATCCCACATACTCTTTGCGATTTCTACCAACTTGAGTGATGTCTCAAAGGCACCGGTATTGGACCACTTACCGGTGAATGCATTAATGTAGGTCTCTCCCTTCTTGTGGTTGTGTCCCAGGTGAAGGCGTCTGCGCCGCACACTGTGCTAGAAACCAAGCCTTCAGTTCTCTCTGTGTCTGGAAAATAGTGGTCAGAAAAAGGGAGGTTGAGCAATCTGCGATTGAAAAAAAAAGCTAAACAAGAGTCGGCATAACCCTTAGTGTTTGGGTAACGTACTCACAGTAGCTTGTATAGTATAAGTAATTTACACGAATTGGATCAAGAGTCCGCTAATTTCGATAGGGAGGCGATGAGTATGGTCCAAAAGTCGCTTTTACAAGTCTATCAAGCGCTCGAGCTAAAGACTGAATGACTCAGATCACTCTCGTTCGTGATCCACTTTAGCAGGCAAAGGGCTCGATACCAAGCCCGTGATTTCTCCTCAACAAGGGTTATGCACTGCTAGGCTGCTAGTGAGAACAGCACAGGAGAGTGACTGGGATTTGAACCTCGATTCAAAAGACATCACATCACAGGCCTGTTACTACGGCCTTTCTGTGCCGAACACAGCCCATAGCGGGGAGCGCGGGCTGTACAACACTCAACCGCCCCAAGAGTCGGGACTAGCTAGCCCTCACTAATTCAGTCGTCAAGGCAGAGCCCGTTCAAGATAGTATCTTCCTGATTAGGGTAATCTATCCTTGGTGACTCGGCGTCAAACTCGCTAAACCCTACGGCTCGAATGAAACAGTGAGCTATTGAGCTTCGCTCACTTAAGTGCGTTGCATGCCCTGAGGTTATCAAAATGTGTAAAAAGAGTGGTTTCATTCGGCTGACAGTTCATTTTCGTCATTTTCCATATCGAACATAACTCCCGACGCCAAAAAAAAAAAAAAAAACTCATTAATGCTCTGTGTGGCCAAAGACAAAAACATATCACAATGTCGCTCAATCTAGCCTCCCCTATCTTCCATTATGCCCATCTCCTTCTCCTCCTCCACTGATCAACCCTTCAGATTTCTCATCACATTCATGCCTTGGTGAGTGTGACTGGGCTTTTTGAAAAATTACTTCTCGGCGTCAATCTTCGCCTTCTTCTGGCGCCAGAGGCAAATATTGCAAATCACTGAAAAGAAGAACAAAATACTACGATCAAGTCAGTAACCTGCCCCAGAAACAGTCGAATGTAGAAATCACTTACCACAACGCAATGCTCAGTCCCCAGATTGCCTTTGTCTCCAAGCAGATAGTCTTCGATGCTCCGATCCATGCATCAAAATCAATCTTGCCGCTGATGCTTGCCTCGACGTTGGACAGGCGCGACGAAAATGAATATGTGGTCGCATCCTTGAAGTTCAGCGAGGAGAGCGACGAGCAGTTAAGATATGAGAGTGGCTTTCCCATAATCACAGCCACGACGATGAGTGCGATGAGAAGGAGGAGGTCTAGAACCGCGCAGGGAAGGAACGGAAGAATATCATCGAAGAACAGGATGCCGGTAATAATGCAGTATATCGCGGCTATACAGGTCTTCGATTCTGGTCAGAATTCAAATTAATTGTCAAGATGTGGGCGTCGGACTTACCACGCTGATGGTTCCGATGATAATGTTCGGCGCTGTATCGTCGTTGTTGACAATCGAGGAAATGAATTTGGCAGTCATGCCAATGATGGCAATAAGCGAGCATGTCTGGAAAATGCGTGCGAGCTGGAAAGTAGCACCGAGGGCTCCGTAGCGGGGCGGCATATTGATTACTAGAAATGATTGAAGTTTTCGAATGGTATATAGAAAGCGATGGCCGGAAATGTCGGTCAAAGGTGCTGGCTTGCGATAGAGATTCGAACGTTCAAGGAGCGATGTAATTAATGTAAATTGCAAAGAGAAAATGCAGAATTGAAGGAGTGAGAATAGATGAGTATAGAGAATGCTTAGGGTAAAGAAAGGAAGTGCTTCGAAGGAAAGTGTTGCAAAGTTGATTGAGGAAACAAAGGGACTTCAGCCCAGACCTTATATAAAGCCCAACCACAAAGAGTTCCAAGAATCATTCCAAGCGACCAAATAAGGAACGACAATCTAGACCAAACAAAATTAGAAGCATAACTCAGGTCTAGACCCTCAATGCGAGCTCACAGCCTCCTCTGACCTCATTGTTGGGGCAATAGCTGAAGACAGGCGCCACGCGCAACGAATGCCAGCTTCAAAATGGACAAAGCTTCGACTTTAACAAAGGGACCTGCATCGATTTGCAGCCCTTGCAACGAAAAGCTCCGACCAGAGACCCGAGGATAAATTTGGGCTGGGGGTGGAGACCCGCCTCGGCGCTTGGAGAGGAGCCCTACGAACCCCGGGCGCTTCTCAGCCACTCGCTGCCTCTGATGGCGGTAGATCTGACGCAGGCGGCTACAAGAGTGAGTCAGGTACACTCTGAGAGGATAAATGCACGGTCGATCATGTTTCATCCTAGTCATTTGGTTCTTTCATTTTTTTTCTACTGGGCGCCTGGAATGTTTTGTATAGTTTTAAGTTTGTAGAGCGAGATCAAAGATGTCTCCACGCTATCTAGGAAACTATTAAAATTATAAAGGAAACTATATAGAAGATTATACCTACTAATCACCGTGTTTAACAGATTATTAAGGACTAGCTCGATGATATTACCGCTAAGGCGTCAGTTATGATACTTATGAATTCATAGGATCGTAATCGTCTACATTTTAGGTTCAGTCATCTCATCAGTCAGTTAATGAGACAGTTGACCCGTTGATCGCAACTGATTGATCGTATTTCCCATGCTGTCGTTATACGTGTCTGCGATGGTACCCAGTATGAGACGTGAAGCGCAGGAGGAAAAGTGTACAACAGCAAGAATGAATCGCACTTAGCCGCACCGTAATCATGCACCCTTTATTTTGGACAGGCTCGAAAACCAAATATACATGTCATAATGTGATTGAATTTCCTCCCTTTCTGTCGGTCTTGTTTCTGGCAGAACCAGCGCCTTCCCGTTGCCTTTCTTATACAGAAGTGGAGCAAGGTCGCCGTTGGCCGTTGACCGTTTGACTGTTTGACCGAGTCTCCTTCCTGTTTCTGTTTTGTTGAGATAGTCGATGGCTATATAGCCATCTCCTGTTTTCCTGTTTCTCTGCATACCAAGAGAGTTTTCCAGATCTATAGAGATTGACAAGTCTTTCCTCCCTTCTCCGGCTTCCTTGGGTAGAGATCTCCCTCAGGAGGTTTCCTCATAATGATATACAAGGGTCCCTCCCAGCTTCAATCTCCCTGCGCACTACCCTCGCTTGCGGTGCGCGATGATTCCCCTCCAGTAGCCCTGCTTGGACCTGGTGGCGCAATCTGGTTTCGGATGTCAATAACCTCGTTGTTCAGTCTTATTACCTCGTTTTGTAGGTTGCTGATTTTTCGACGCTCGTGTTCCCAGCTGTCAACACGAGATTGGACTGTATGTGGGTGTCCTTCTTCATCGAGGGTCGTGAGTGCAACCACGGTTTCTGTACCCGGGGTGCGCTCCTTCTTGCTGATTGGCGACCAAAATATTTCAAGCAGCCGTAGAATGCTGCGACGCCTAATGGTGCTGCCCATTTCAAAAACGTCGATAACTTGGCCACTGAATCGAGGATCTTGCCAATTGACTCTAAAGTCACGAGATTATCTTTGGGGGCCTGATGCCTCGGAGGTACCAAGCCCCTAAAGATAATCTCTTTGCATCCAGTGAGTTCTAGTACAGCCAAGGTCGTTATAATTATCTAGAACAAGCTAGTTCTTTAGGAGATATCCTTCTCAAATTGTAATTTAAATTCGATGGCATTAACGACACGACAGAAAAGTTCATGGCATGACAAGTCTAGTCCTGATGAGGAGCGTCCCCCCCTCTCCCTTTAGAAAAGACCACAGAAAATACCACAGAAAATACCACAAGAAATACCGTAAAAAGGGTGATAGTAGGAGGGGAAGTAGAATAATATCTTAGTCTATCACAAGGGTAAATAGATAGAGGTCGCGCATACAGTCGCTAAAGATATCAACGAGAAGTATTAATGTGAATTATAGATAATGGCTCGCTCAGTATTTTGTGAATTTCGATTGTAGCATTGTGTATTGAAAGGGGGGGGGGGGGGATTTTTCCTCACTAGGACGAGCCTCGTCGTGCCATGAACTTTTCTGTCGTGTTATCAATGTCACTCTCTAAATTTGCCGACACCACGTGGTACGTCGGGTTAAATCATTCAGCGAGTCTAAATAATTGAGCATATGTACACTTTCCTCTAGTTGACAGATTGAGCAACATTGTTGATGATCGCCACAACCTCGTCGGGGATGGTCAAAAATGGAGCATGGCCTGACTTGACTCTGACGATCTCAAACCCACCAAGCTCAGCCATCTGTTCCTGGAATGGAGGTGGCACCGCGGCATCATTTTCACACAACACATAGGTCTTGGGGCATCGGTATTCTTTCTCCACGCACTGCGGCCATGTGTGGAAGCTCTTTGTGGTTTGTTTCGTGTGCAGATGCGCCCATGCGTCTTCTGCTTCTTCGGGGGAGAGATCGGAAAAGAACAGCGGTCTAGCCGTGTCTAGGAGGTGTGCAATACCGTCCTGAGTTGATATCAGTCAAATGATTTCGAATGAATTCGTTCTTTCGATCTTGGCTTACCTTCCAGGTCTGGTAAGGTGGCGGAGGAGGGTTCTGCTCGTTACCCGAGATGCTCTTGCCGCGAATAGGAAACACGAATCCGGCGATATTGACCACAGCAGCGATTCCACCCTCAAGACCCTTCTCAGTGCGTTCAGCAACTGTAAGACCCTCAACGAGTGCGCTCACGGGCAGAGAGCCATAACTGTGAGAGACGACAACGGCTTTTTTGCCTTGATCGAGTAGTGGAAGTAGATGCTCTCTGACCACAGCTGCGTCGTCGAAGAAGCTCAATTCGGGATCCACTGATTCTCCACAAACAGCCAAGTCAAAGGAGAGCACTTCATACCCCTGGGCGCGTAGGGGGTCGGCAACCTTGCGGTAATGGAAGGGTCGGTGATAAGAGCCCGGCACAATGACTACGACTGGTTTTTGAGGTTCCATAGTGGGTATGATATCTTTAATGCTAGTAGCCAAAGGAAGAGATGTGGTTGGAGATTCTGGAATTCTGGGAGTCTGAGAGATGTTATAAGGACAAGGCTAAGTAGAGTCCCTGCGGTGTGTCAGCCTTGCGCACTCTTCCGGTATATCTGAGCACGTACGAAGGACATCTCGCACTTATGAACGTATACAGAATAGGGCTGACGTAGAATCAGCGTGCACTGGCTTCGACACGGTCCTCCTATCCCGAGCTGACAGGCGGGATGATCGCAACCTCATCCCCAACCTGTATCACCTTCTGGGCGTCTTCCACGACATCGACATAGTCACTTTCAAGACTGACGCTACAGCTACCCAGTACCTTCTTGTGAATTCCCGGGTATCGTTCCTCCAGCAGCGGGAACAGCTCGGACAAAGGTAGGGGTGCGGGGAGACGCTCGGTGTTCTTGGAGGTGTATTGGGATGCGGTCGCAAAATAGTGGATAGTGAATGTTTCTGTCGATGACGACTCCGTTGTTTTCTCTGAGTTTGAAGTCATGATAGCGCGTAGTTGGCAAATCCTAGAGAATGGGAAAAAGTTGTGTGAGAGTTGATTGTTGACGACTGCGGGGGAAGCTGGGAGCATCTGAGGGGTGATTCGGTGAGACTCGCCCGCATGGCCTCGGGTGCCTCAGGCTCACGAACAGATTGCGAAGGAGCAGAAAGCCGATCGAACGGGCCCTACGGAGTTCTCCGTGGGGAAACAGTGATAGGTCATTATAGAGCGGTGAGATAAGTTATGTTAGCGCCGGAAATTAAGCTTCCGGCAATGAAGCCGTGGAGGTACTGTAGGTATAAGTAATGTCTGAACAAGCTGACACAGCATAGACTCAATTCTGTGGAACGATCAGACAATGAGGTAGGATCAAACGAAACCAATCTCAGATAAGAGTATTCATTAATCGGATCCTTTCCAGTCTCATCTTGGCAGGTAGAAGGTCGTGGATCGTAAACAAATAGTGTCGCTCATACTGCCGTTCGTACTAAGGCTGTTGCAGTGGCAACCTTCTCTAGTGAATAGTCAAGTGTAATTTGGATAGCATGATCTAGATTTCAAATACTACGTGAATACTTTGTATCCGCATCGATGAAAGATGAAATTGAGGGACCCGCAGCCCACATGTTCTGTTCTGTGCCTCATTAGACCCTTCCGCTTTTGGATGTATACGGTCGCGTATTTTATTCTACCTCATGTGTGCAAAAATTCCCATCTTCATATCAAAGAAGAAACCTCTGTATATACTGCTTAGAAGGAACCAGGAGAGCTATACTATTTAAAGGACTTACTGGTGGATCTCTGCCTATACAAGAATTCTTTCAAACAACTTTAACTTCTGTTCATACGAGGAACGATTCCTCAGTTACATGCGAATTCATGTTTAATATGTGGGAAAAAGGATTTTCCTACCGAAATAAATCATCACACTGGGTTCTTGATAACCTTGATGATTTTTATGCAACATTGGTCCCGAACGTCGCGCAAACAGTGCGAAAGACCGTGATGCAGAATCGAGGTCCGAGAAGAACGTCTTGTAATACCATTCTTCTTAAACAGACAGGGACCAAACCAGGACCGTTCGGAATTACATGGTCTAGGAACCGGTATGCTCCACTTACAAACGCTGTGCCACAAGGAGGAAGATTCTGGAAAACGAGAAGAAGCGATTCCGCCGCCAGCGACTAAGGAGTCTCCACTTGAACTTATTGAGTGATAGAAGGATGATGATGGCGATGATTATGACGAACAGACTCCTCTACTACGTTGTTCGACTTGATGGGTTTTATTTTAAGATGCATAACGGAGTACTCCGTGCACAACTATATGTAGAAGAATAAAACGCTCAGTGTTATCAAGTGAAAAATCCGTCTAGTCGGTATGATTGGTTTTTTACCTGGGTTATTTACTTATCAGATTGGCTTGCATAGCTTGGTAAAGTGGGTCTCTAGCCTAGACAACAATAAATCAAAATTCAGCTCTTGAATTAAACTTTACCTAAAATATCATCCCTACGCGAATCTCTGGTTCGTATTGCTACGTGGCTAGTGCATTATTCTCCGCTAGCTGAGTGGCCCAATCTGGGCTCAGCGTGGCCAGAAAACAAAATATTTGGGAGCATGGCAAGCCCGGTGGGGACCCACGCTGCGCTGGGAGTTTGGGACCCGCCCGGCGAACCCGATTGTCAACGGCGGTGGATCGTGGTCGGCTATTATTGCACCAGCATCAAGCGACCTATTATCTCCTCGACCTATTATCTTTTAGCACATTTCTAGCGAGGCCTCAAAGTAGAACGTATTCAGCTAAGCCCCTGACATTCAAACGGGCCGGTAGAACCGAAGCGAACACATAAAACGCCCTTCATCATGATGTGATTCCGGGGAATTGTCAACACCATCATCTCGGAAAACTTCAACGAACATGTCTCTCGAGCAGCTACCAAATTCAGACCATACTTCTGCCGTATCAGAGTGCCGTGCACTCTACGAGCAGATATGGAATACGCCTTCACTGACTCTGGAATTGGCACGGTCACCACTGATGCAGCCTGCACCACTATCGTTGACTCTCGAAGAGCGGACGCGACTCACATACCAAAGGGCAAGGGCCTTAGCACGAGCTCACAGTAACTTCCCCTGCCGTAATTATCATGCTTGCAAGCGACTAATTGGGACTTGAATGTAGATTTGACATTGAAAGATGTGGTTGAGATGACACCAGCCTTCTGGAAACTTCATATGGATATGCTCACCGCGATGGACGGCGGCGCTATCAACCTCGTCAGCGTCCAGTATAACCTGTTTGTCGGCACAGTTGCTCCTTTTGCTGCCACGCATCCGGAACTGCCGGCGATCATAGAGAAGGCGTTGAGGGTTGATATCTCGTACGTTTGCCGCCCTGTTTCTTGAAATTTCTATTTTGTTAACCTGCTTTAGATCACAATTCATGCTTACTGAGCTCGGACATGGCTTGGATGCTCGCAATCTTGAAACAACGGCCACACTTCTGCCCAATGGCAGCTTTGAATTACACACACCGTCTCCGAACGCTGCCAAGTAAATGACCGCAGACTCCAGGCTTCTCTTCCCTGATACTAACGAAGCCATCCTAGGTGCATGCCACCAAATACTCCACGCAACGGCCTTCCGACCATTGCAGTGGTGATTGCCCGTCTCATAGTCGAAGGAGAGGACCGCGGAGTCCGGCCGTTCGTTGTTCCTATGTCCGATGGTACTAAGATGTGCACAGGAATCACTTCAAAGTGAGTTTCAGTAATCGATCTCTTTAGATATGTCGACGACTGACAAAAATGGGTGTCTAGAGTCTTTCCACCCCGTCCTGGCGCGAATCCAATCGATCATGCCCTGACCTACTTCGACCACGTAAAGCTCCCGCCTTCTGCCCTACTCGGCAGCCTGGAAAAGCCACGCAATGAGCGCGACAACTTTCTGTCTACCATCCACCGCATGGGCGCCGGAACTCTCTTTCTAGCCGGCGCGTGCATCCCCCTTATCAAGATGGCCGTGTACAACGCCAGCAAATTCAGTTTCCGGCGCCACATCCTCGGAAACGACGGACAGCCGATGCCCGTGATCAACTTCCGCACGCAGCATCTTCCCATCTTGCACGCTATTGCGCGCGCCCATGTCCTGCAGGCATTTTTGATTTATGCGGGCAGGGAATATTGCATTCAGGCTGATTCGCGCGTCCGCCATATCTTTGCCACGACGTTCAAAGCGGTTACGATCCATCACTTCAAAACCAGTCTGCAATCTATAAATGAGGGCTGCGGCTGGCAGGGGTATTATGATCGCAATCAAATCCTTGCGGCTAGTGTAAGGCTTCTTCTCCTCACCCCGAAAAGATATAACGTGCATGGCTAATCGTCTTTCCCAATTCAGCTGGAATTCAACGCAGTGGCTACCGCAGAAGGCGATGTGCGCGTCTTAGCCATCCGTATGTCTAGTCCCACTCTTGAAGATATCTAATCAAAGCTAAATTGCAATTCTAACTGTTCAATAGGTCTGGCCAGCGAACTCCTCATTGGTCGCTATGAGGTTCCGCCGCCCAAGGACCCCCATAGCGCCCTCGCGCGCCACGAAGCAGGCCTCTTCACCGAAGCACGCGGATTAATGAAACGCTTCGGCAACAAGCACCGCAGCGAAGCTTTCAACCGGACTATTCTCCCTCTATGTCTCCCGTTGGTTCTTGCCATCGGTTACCGTATGGCGATCGAGGCCGCTGCAGACGTCGGTATCGAGCCGAAGCTCTGCGCCCTTTACGAAGCTGGAGTCATCAAGGAAGACGCTGGCTGGTTCGCGGAAAAGGGCGGAATTAGCCGCGAAGTGCAGCGCGCGATAGAGGCGCAGGCCGCCGATGCTGTTCTACCGGAATTGGAGCGACTTGTCGAGGAAACTGGAGTCCAGCCATATTGCACTGCGCCTATGACCTCGCAGGCGTTGTGGGACGGGTATGTTGAGGAATTGGAGACATTTTCGGGGAATGCGGTGTGGAACTTCGAAGAGACGAAAGCACGGCTTTAAGAGTTGTTCATGGTCTTTATGAGCGCCTTTGTTATCATAGATAAAAATCGAGTTTTAATGTTACTGAATTCCGAGCAGGCATAGCTATGGTTCTCCTTGTAGCCAAGCTTAACGTCCGACATGAGAATTTTACGCTCTCCTAGACAGACAGTTTTTGTGGATGGGATCTCTGCGCTTCAGCAAGCTTGATCATTCTTTACCCGAGGTGTTGTCAAGTCTGGCTACGAAGATGAGTGCACACCTATCGGGACAATCGACCTGTCCATGTTCCCGGTACGATTGGGTATTTATAAATTACACAATCAGTGAGACATACATATATCCGGTCATTCTCTTGGTAGATTTGAGTGCATTACCCAATTGGATATGTACAGTATTCAGATGGAGTTTTACCACTTTACTTCCTTAGGACTATCGCTAGGACGAACTACACATTGGGCGGTAGATATGTGTATCCATACTGCAGTATAACTAATTATCCAGTGCTAATCAGTGCCCAACTTTTCTTCTGTCATGGACCGCACCCAAAGCACCGTTATGTGTCTGGCTTGATCCGGCAGTGTCCGGGTGCCGAGACAAATAACCTCATTCGGCCTTCGTCCAGCACACGGCACTCAAAAATTGGATCCACGGCAACGAAGCGAGGATTGGACCCATAAACGTGTCTGCGCTAGCTGTGCTGTCAAAGCTGTCAGTCTCACTAGCCAATAGAGCCATAACGGCTGGTCGGTTATTATCGCCTTCGGTGGCTGAGCTAGTGGTTCTCAGCAGCGCCACAACCTATATATTTGGCCAGGCTAATACTGATCGGTCTGTCGCCGTGCCCGAACACCAGTTCGAGTCGGGCTGAACTAGCATTTCAGGTAGCCACTTTTAGCTTGAACTGGCATGGACAAAACACGGAGTCGCCGGAGCTGAGCCGACACTCGCTAGGGCGGGCAAAGACGTCTAGAAGATATAATGGAGGGGAACGGGATGGACCTAACATTATTAGAATTGTGAGAGTTAATCGCTCCCCGGACATAATGGGTGAGCTCGTGAGTCGCAACAGCGACGCGTCGCCCACGATGACCAAGAACAAGATGAACGTCTATGGTACAATTACAGACTCGGATAACCACCCGCTCCTAGGAGGCGAATGCGGGAAACGTTTAATGCCCCATATTATCGATGCAACGGCCATCGCGACGCCAGACGTCGCATGCTTCTTCGTGCCCCGGACCTACGGCAACCCTCGCGACAGCTGGAAGCCTGTGAGCTGGGCGCAGGTCGCAAACGCCGTCAACTATGTGGCTCATATGCTGATCGAGCAGGCTGGGACGCCAACGCCTGGTACTTTCCCTACGATTGCGTATATTGGGCTCGAAGACCCACGCTATGTGGTCTTTGCCATGGGCGCCATCAAGGCCGGGTACAAGGCTCTGTTCATCTCGCCGCGAAACTCCGTCGACGCACAAGTGAACCTATTCAACAAGACTGACTGCAATCTACTATACCATGACCAGACGCTGGCCTCGATGGTGAAGCCGTGGGTCGCTGGACGGTCCGGGATGAAGAGCATCGCAATCCCTCCGTGGGAAGAGTGGGTGACCACGTCGGTCGCCCCATTCCCGTATACAAAGACTTTCGCTGAGGCCGAATGGGATCCGTTTGTGGTTCTTCATACCAGTGGTAGCACGGGTCTACCCAAGCCAGTTATTATCCCCCAGGGCTCGTTCGCCCTGAACGACCTGCATCGCTATGTTCCCAAGTACAAGGGCAGCCTACCCTGGTTGCCAACATTTGGGAATTTCGAGAATCCGCGATACCTCTGCACCTGTCCTCTGTTCCATACCGCAGGAATTGCGCCCACGGTTTTGTCGGGATTTTACTATAACACTCCGGTCATCTTCCGCGATCCCTCGGTTCCGCTCACGGGGGATAACGTGGTGGAGTGGTTGCAGAACTCCGGCGCAACCTATACGGTCCTGCCGCCGGCGATCCTGGAGCAGATGTCAAGGTCACAAGTAGCGCTTGATGAGATGAAGAAGTTGCAAGTTGTGGCATTCGGAGGAGGTGCGTGAGCGAAACATCCTCAGACATGTCCCCAATCTAACTAAGCTCTCTATGTAGGCCCAATCGCGCCCGCTGCAGCGGCCTCGCTACTCAAAAACAATATCAATCTACTCAACGCCATCGGGGCCACCGAGTTCATTTACATGCCGTACTGGACACAGCCAGACTCGTCTCTCTGGGAATGGTTTATCGTCCCAACAGAAATGTTGGGTATCGAGTGGCGGCCCTTTGGCGAGGACACATACGAACAAGTCTTCATTCGGCAGAACAAGGAGCATCCCGGTGTGCAGGGGTGCTTTTACGTCTTCCCTGAGCTGGACGAGTACAGCACGAATGACCTCTACCGCCCGCATCCGACATTACCAGACCACTGGACCTACGTGGGTCGCGCTGACGACATTATAGTCTTCTCCACCGGCGAGAAACTCAACCCAACGACTATCGAAGGAGCGGTGATCGGACACCCCGGGGTTCTAGGCGCGCAAGTTGTTGGTTCGGGACATTTCCATGCTGCGCTGTTGATTGAGCCTGCCCAACATCCTGCAAATGAGCAGGAGAAGCAGCAGTTCCTCGACGATGTTTGGCCGGTTATCGAGAAGGTCAATGAGGAGACTGTCGCGCATGGTCGCATCTTGCGTGACTATGTCTTTTTGTCTGACCCAGCGCGACCGTTCCCGCGGGCCGGCAAGGGAACAGTCCAGCGCGCCATGGCTGTTAAGCTCTACGCAGAAGACATTCGCCGCATCTTTGAATCTAGCTCTGATACCAACGGCGTCCCAGCCGCAGGCGTGGAGCTTGATTTTAGCTCAGAGACAGCCCTCGCGGATGGGATCCGGGATTTGATGCAACGGACGCTGAAGTTGCCTGGACTCGGTATTGATGATGATTTCTTCACTGCAGGTGTCGACTCGCTGCAGGTTCTCCAACTGGCACGGGTGTTGACCGCTAGTGTCAAGCAGACCGTTGAGGCGAGGAGTATCTATAGTCACCCAACCATCGCCAAGCTCAGTTCCTTCATCAATTCTCTAGCCGGATCTAGTTCGAATGGGACTGCAGTCATCAGCAACGAGGCCGACACTCTGGCCCTCTGCTCGGCCCTGGTCGAGAAATATACGCAGAATCTACCTTCCTCAACACCCATCAAACCCCTTCCCTCTACCACAAACCAGACCATTATCATCACTGGCACAACCGGAGCCCTGGGCTGCTACCTCCTTGACCTCGCCCTCGCAAACCAGGACATCACAAAGATCTACTGCTTCAACCGCACCTCCGACGCACGCGAGCGCCAAATCGCTGCAAGCAGCGCCCGTGGCCTCTCCGCCGACTTCCCACCATCCCGCGTCGAATTCTTAACCGTGGACCTCTCCTCATCAGCTACATTCAACCTGCCGGAAGATATCACAAATTCTCTCGCGAGCACGGTCGACCGCATCATCCACAACGCCTGGCCCGTGGACTTCAATAAATCCATTGCGTCCTTCGAACCACACCTGCGTGGTGTCCGGCATCTGATCGACTTCGCCGCTGCCGCCGCCAAACGTATCTCCATTACATTTGTTTCGTCCGTTAGCACGGTCGAGCGATGGCCGGAGTCTGGCCTTATCCCCGAAGACTCCCTCTCAGACTTCAACCACACCTCTCAGATGGGCTACGGCCAGTCAAAGCTTGCCGCAAGCCTGATACTCGATGCCGCAGCGACAGTATCGGGAGTGCCAAGGAATGTCGTCCGCGTAGGCCAGGTCGCCGGCCCCCGGGCCGAACAGGGCCAATGGAACCCGCGCGAGTGGCTCCCGACTCTTATTCGAAGCTCAGTATTCCTAGGTCTTTTGCCCAGCGACCTTGGATTGCTGGGTAACCTGGGATGGGCGCCCGTTGAGGACATTGCGGGTGTTATTCTGGAGGTTTCTGGCCAAGATGGCAACAGCGGGTACTTCCACGCGGTGAACCCGAATCTTCCAGACTGGAAGGGGGTCATTCTGCCTGCGGTTAAAGATTTCTATGGAAGCCGGATTGAGCGTGTTGTGAGCTTGGAGGAGTGGGTGGACGCGTTAGAGAAGAGCGCAGTTGGCGAGGTCAATCTGGAGAAGAATCCAGCCGTGAAGCTTCTGGATACGTATCGTCTTGCGTCTACCAAGACGACAGACGGTGAGGCTGCTAGTGCAGGCTTTGCGACGGAAATTACGGAGCAGGCGAGCGAGACAATGCGGCAGATGGAGCCGGTGACGGCAGATTTGATGAAGCGGTGGTGTAAGCAGTGGCAGTTCTAGATGTTATCTTTATGATGATCCCTCGCTCGGTATCACGGGGTCGAATTGATCCAATGATCGAATAATGAATATAAATCTGTACAGCTTTTCGCATTACATCGTGCAATGGTTAGTAGAAGTCTGAAGTGAATTGCATTTAGCCGCACCGTGAGTTATACCCTCTAGTACCCTCGCTTGCGAAGCGCGAGGATTCCCCTCCAGTAGCCCTGCTTGGACCTGGTAGCGCGATCTGGTTTCGGATGTCAATAACCTCGTTGTTCAGTCTTATTACCTCGTTTTGTAGGTTGCTGATTTTTCGACGCTCGGTATTCCAGCTGTCGACTCGAAATTGGACTGTGTATGGGTGTCCTCCTTCATCGAGGGTCATGAGTGCAACCCCGGTTCCTACAACCGGTCTTCGCTCCCTTCTTGTCGATTGGTGATCAAAATAGCTCACGTTTTTCACGGTAGAGGGCCATGACTTGAGCTAAGGACAATTGGTATACACCATTTTCATCGGGCGCGGGGAGATTCGAGGGTAGCTTGGGGTTTTGAGGCGCCGACTCAGCCAGGTCTGCTAGCAGCTATACAGTAATTGGTCAGCAACTTTGGGTTTCAAATTCTGTGTGCGCGGCCATAACCTACGGTGGACTATATGAATGAGAGGACCATAACCCTTTGTCCGTAATTTAAGAATCGGCAGAATCTCATTTTCAGGCATCCTTTTCCCTATATAATCTACGCATATCCTGTATACCCTTTGTTAAGTGCGATTTCTCGCACCGAAACAATCGAAATCGATTCAGATTAAATGACTAATGACATTACTGGAGCTAAAATGTAAGTTAGATATAATCCGTAATCTAATATTGAATCCTCTTACGGCCTAACGTCTTTACCTAATCCTATTAATTATTACGATCGTAACTAAGATAGAGGGTTAGTTTCCTAGACAGTTTCCAAGACAGTTTCCTAGACAGTTTCCTAGACAGTTTCCTGGATAGTTTTCTAGACGGTTTTTGGACGGTTTCCTAGTTAATCTCTACATTGATCTCCTAGTGATTTAGCAAGCATGAAACGTGGAAGAAAAGCGGTGAATGGTCTTTGAACAAATCCAGGGTTATGACCTTCTCCCCCCTATAGTCCGCCGTAGTTGAGACGTGTCTGTGGCAGCGATGTGGTCCAGTTTGCAAGCGGGCGCGACGAGGCCATATATCTTCACTGAGGAAATTGCTTGATGGCTTGTCGCCGGAATGTTCTTGTACGATTTCCAAATGACAAGAGATCAGGTATCTTTCAAACTACCATCCCTTCCCCGCAGGGCTGCAGCTTGCCTGATCGCTATCCTTCGCCGAAGGCAGTACATGCGACTGACGAATCCGCCGGACTTCAACCGCTCGAATCGTAATGAATGTGAGAAAGATATGTCCACAAAGAAACATTGCTTGAAGCCGTCATGTATAATGACGAAATGGCAATCGAGCGTCAGACGGGATATCGTGGGCCGTCATCGCTCGCCAGCAGCATCGCTATTTGGCTCGTTGGTGGCATTTCGCACGCGCGCGACAAATGCCCACGAATCCTTCGAAATCAACAGCATAATGACGATTGTTCGAGTGAAGATCCATCATACAAGCAATAGCCCACATCAGCAAGTGTCGGTAATAGCGCTGCAACTCGGTTTCGTCGTTGATGCCCTCGTCAGCCAAAAGAAGCCAACTGCAGGTGATGAATAATGTATGGCGAGCTCGGCCGACGGCATCAGGGCCAATGCAAGAGTCATATATCTTCCAATGGACTTTTGCCAGCATCATGACGGAGAATCCTTGCGAAAAGGCTGTCTCGAGCCGTTCTGGCATCGGATTACCAAGAGACAGTGGCATCATCGTGCTGGACGAATCGTTCCTGTCGACAACGGTCGTTTGCAATATAACATTCGCGCTTTGACGATGGTTTGAAGGGGAGAGAGGCACTCGAGTAGTTGGCGACCATGCTGACTTTGACGGCCAGTGCTGGCCAGATCTCGTGGATTCGATGAATCAATGACAAAGTCTCTTTCTCGAGGTAGGGCCCCTCTCTGTACACCCTGCGGGCTGGCCGAAAGTTTGCCATTTCCAGGAAACATCAAGCAAAGGCACATTCGGATCTTGTATGCTTTGCTTGCCGAGGTAGAGATTTTCGTCTCAAGGTAGCACAGCTGCAATTCGCTGCTATAAAGCTCACGCGACCCTCGTTTGCTTTGGCTGTGCCCACGGATCCATCTCTATTTCAGACCAACCGAGCTGACAGAACGGTCGAATGGAGCTCGGATTGCAGCGTCCAAACTGGCGGTTATGCTCACTCCTGCCACCGCTGTCGGGGAAAACGGCCTGTAATTGTTACTTACCAAGAGGAGAAAAAGGAGTAGGGACAGGAGAAAAAATCGTCCAGCGAACATTTCGTTTTGCGGTATATAGTTTTGGCAAAAAAAGTGGACGTGAGGAGGTGGATGCTACAGCAAAGCAATCACAGCAACATGAACCGAGAAACTAATGCGGAAGTCTATACTTAGGAAGGAGCGCGGCATGGTGTTTACTTCGAGTCGCTCTTTCCATAGTGCTGCCCTGTATCAATGATCACCGGTCGCCGGGCACTCTAGACTGCAAATGAGCTCAGCGGGTAGTTTTCTAGACGGGTGTGGTAGTAGCATAGTCGCGTTTTGCGTGCATAGCCCGAAAGGCTCATAGCACCTTGTATACATGGTCTCTGCAAGTTGGCAATGCTAGACCGGACGAGGCATATTCTACCGCCGGTGTGGATCGATCTGACGAGTACGTCAATTTCTAACTGCCGACCCCTTCCATGGCCGTAAGGCTGAGGCCCGAGGCTCAGTCGAACTGTAAAAAGGACTCTCGTCCTTAGCGCGTACTGGGTATTGATCAGTGCGTGATCCTTATTGTGGAAGCTACGAGATACGGTTCTTCTTGGTCAGTCGTTTCTATAGGCAAACATCCAGTCGCTGAACTTAGTGTCGCGATCACGATTGCGCGAGGAATTCCCCATCTGGCGGTCGAAAGGAAATGTAGGAGTCATGTTGCCCTTTGTCCGTCCCTGGGATAACCACAACGCTTGAAAAACTTATATGTGACCGTCATAGACGCGTTATTACCGGACCCCGATTGAGACTGTTTCCTAAATAGATTCCCTATTAGTCTCCTAGCTAATCTCCCGTTATTATAAACGCCAGGGAAGGGTCCTAGGTATAATCTTGATTATATGAAGCCGGGCAAGTCGAAACAGATATTCTTATTACTCTTTTACTAATTGAAACACGCCGTCGTCTTATCTAAGTAGTAACCATAAAACTGTACTTGGGCTAATTAGAGTAAGGGGCGTACGGAAAGCGCGGTGAATTGGGCTGTAAAGAGATTGAGGGTAATGGCCATTGGCACCCTATGGTCCGCCGTAGCATACTGTGTGGGAACAACAGGAGCACGTAGGAACCCAGATGTATCGTGTCGAGAGACACCACGCGTATTTGACTTGCTAAGAATCAGTCGAGTTTGAATTTGATAAGAAATGGCCTACTACAGACGGCAGGAGATCTGCAATCAATATTCATGGAAGCATCTCAGAGAATTAAACCTTGAAGAAGAGAGAGAATGGTAGCAAAGACTATAGTCCTACATGCCTATATCAAACACGTTTAGCCTAGCTATTTAGTACAATGAAAAGCCAATGGATCGAGACCTCCAATAGAATGTTCATCAGAAATGAAAAGGATCCGTTCTTTTCTGAAGGCCAAGTGTTCGGATGGTCTAGAACTCCATCCTGCATAAGCTACTAAATTAGCTGCAAGACTAGCCAGATACACAAGCACCAAAATGTGCGGAAGTTTGGTACTGGACAATTGCAGTAGGATTAGCCAATTCGATAGACTGTAACGTATACTACGAATCACGCAAAGCACCAAGTACAACGAATGGTGCGCTTGGTTCAAAACGAGCCCATCGTGGTTCGCTCTCCTGACCGTGAAAAATCTTTGACCCACTCCTCAAATCAAGAGATAAACACCTGAAAATAGTCAGCGTGGCAGGTCTAATGAAGATGAAAGCTGGGAGCGACATACTCGGTGTTTCCCTCGGGGTCGTAGCAATTATCACGCCAAAGTAGTTCATCTGATAGATCAATATACCCAAGATGTTGGTGTACGCCAAAGGTCACTGTACCAGGGTCTTCTTGTGATTCTGGCTCTCTCCAAACGGTAGAAATACAACGTCTGCATTTAGTAGAATTTCCAGTCGTGTATACCAAGTCCCAGAGATTCAGGTGAGGACATGCGAAGATAGGGTCGGCTAGTTTGGACCGATCCCCAGAAGATACTGGTAGATGAAGGGAGTACCAAACAAGACGAGGAAGCCACTACTAGAAACAAATATTTCCATAGAAATCTGCAACCTGTCATTGTTCTTTGAGTGAAATGGGCAGATATGATCATCGGGTCTCCATCCGTCAGAATGAATCCAGAAACAGCCATAATGAGTCGGAGGGGGCGTAAGGGAGGACCAGAGAGGAGCCCGCACATTATTTCGATCTCGACGAGTAAAGTGAAGACATGGGTATAGTCTTATGACACCATCGTAGCGCTTACAACGTCTTTTTAGAGGCAAGACCGCGAGCGCATCTGGCGTAAACATTTTTCGAGACTTAAGCAGAAAGCATTCGGCGCAATATGCCCACCGGGAACTCTCAAGCTGTGTAAGGAGTTGAACTCGTAGCTTATCATCGCTGTTGATGAACGAGAGAGGAAGTTGATTTAGAGTCGAATGGTGCGGAAGAGTTGCTTTATCTTGGAAAATCCTCTTACATGTTGTGAAGAGAATTTTGCAGGTGAGAGCAAAACAAACTTGATCGACCAGGCCCAAGATTTTCGAATATCTCGGCAATAATGCTCTCATCAAACGAGCAAATGTCACATTTACGCCCACACCCGGGCTTCTGAGGAGCGAAAGTGCCTGTGAGGGGGTTTATGGTGCTGAATTTCCAGAGCCCTTGGTTTTCTCTCTGAAAGTCATTCTTCGTTTTGACTTCGAGCTTTGCGTCCTCAAAGCTCGTCGCTGAGCTATCATCTTCCAATGTGTCCCAAGGAGTGGGCTTGGGGAGCGGGTCCACCTTCTGATCAAATTTCGAAAGAGAATCATGGCTCCTGTAGATAGATAACTACCCAGAATGCAGGTAATGTAAGGTCTGCTAGGCAGCCCACTAAAGCTCGGTAATTAATAAATGTTTTCGCTAAGCAGTCTCAAACTTTGTGTGACGTTAGAATTCATAATCGACTTCCATAAATGGAGTTTCCAGAACAACCATGGCTCCCACATATTAGTCACCATGGCGGCTTGGTAAATTTCAATTGGAGAGAAACCTTGTTTGTAACTATAGAATATAGGATTGTGACTCGCAATCAATCATAAGAGACGCAAAGAGATGTTCGCAATGGCTTTAAAATGCAATTCATGTTATATACATTGTTTTCATACTGATTAGTATCCATCCACTGCCTGAAGGAGACGTGAATAGCTAGCTTTGTCCTGCCTTGATGGAAAGTATACGCTTCCAGGTTCGCCCAATGCAATCCCTTCCTCATGTCCCGATTCATTATCGTCATGGTCATTTTCATCCTCTGACTCCTCGTCCGTATCCAAGACAAAGTCCTCGGTATTGAGACGGTTGTAGTTCCTAGAGCGATGCCACAGGATGACACCCCCTACGAGCATCACCACGGCCAGGGCTCCCGATCCCGTAGCGATCAAGATAAAGCCAGTTTTTGACAGCGCCTCGGGGGCCATTATATCAGGGATCCCGGAGTCGGACTCGCTATACAAATCCGAGGCAACGGGTAGCTCAGCCGTATCCAAATCCACAACGTCACTCGACCGAAGCACGTTTCCATCGCGATCGATAGCTTCGGCCCATAGATACCGCCAGACCGTCTCTCCAATCGTCAACTTCGTCTCGAAACCAGTCCGTCGTGATTTGGCCACAATTTCACCTCTGTTCACCTGCAGATTCCCAGCCGCTCCTCGAATCACCCAGCTCGCTACCTCAGTAGCGCCATTCCAGCTGACATAGACAACCAACTCCCCCTTCCAATTCTTCCTCGGGGCAACGGCAGGATCCCACCAAGGTGTTGCTGACCAGTCCATCTTGTAAGCGCGATAGTTGTCGAGTGCATCAGGGACGTCGAGGCTATGCCACGGCGAGAATTGTACGTCCATGACCGTCTCACCGGTGGCATTATGCTCTGTGAAAGTTGGGCACCGACCCCAACCAATGAAAACATTGCCAAGGCCACCAGAAGTAGGCGAAAGAGCCTGGACGCTGCCCTGGCTTTGGGCTTGCAGCTTTGACGGATGCTGGAATTCTTGTAAAAGGCGGACAGTTGGAGGCGAGACTGTGTCATCGATAGCGATATGCAGACCACGGGAGCAGTTAGTGTCACACTCGCCGTGTGAGGTCTCCTTGACGTGATTATCGAATAATGTCATCTGGGTCTCGTTGGTTCCAGGGACAAACCGAGCGTGGTGTTGCCAGCGCATTGTTAGTACGGGTTGGGCGGACTCGGCTCCTCTTGGTGGAGGGAGCTCGACAAAATCATTCTGATTACCACCCAATGTCCAGATAATTTTGCCCGTTTTTCCGTCAATCAAGATAATGGAGTGGAGGTGGCGCATCGAGACAAGGTAATTTCCAGCCTGTGTCTAAAGATCGCAGCGTGTCAGAATTTATATCACGGCTATTGTAAAAGAGACTCAGCAGCTGGGTATCGTCTGACCTTTTCGATGCTATTCAAGTGATAGGCATCCCAGCCCAAGCCCCTTCCCTCGGACGAGTCGAGAGGGTTCACGTGGTCGAGAGCGCGCCAGTTGAAAAGTACCTTGTTTGTCTCGAGGTCAATCTCCTGGACAACACCGTCCAGAATCTCGAATGAGAAGGGTAAATTCCATCCCTTGTAGTTCGCACCTCGGACGCGTATCTTGTTGACTCCGGTGACCAACGCCGTTCCATTTCCTGTGAATGCAAACTCGTGGAGGTCACTGTGTACCCTGAGATTCTGTGCCGATACTTTATAGGTCAGGCGATAGGTATCGTCATACGCAAAACCATAGCCGTCACCAATCCCCTCGCCTTTGTCTCCCGCCCAAAAAGTCAAGTACTTCTTGCCGAAATTCTCCTGTACTCGAGTACCGAAGACATTTTGAAAGGATCGATTCATGAATACAGCGCTCAGATCGTTGGCGTCCAGGATGAGCGGTGATGAGAGTGGCGACGATTCATTGCCGTCATGTCGAAGAAAGATATGAGAGCCCTCTTGAGATATGGCATCCCTGTCCCATATGTTGGCTTGCAGCACGGGTGAATATTCGCTGCTTGAGTGGAATTCGAGATGAGGACGGTGCCCCAATTCTCCATCATTGTACTTGTGATAGTTGACTGACACAAAGTCCCCGCGAACCTCTGAAACGAGTGCGGCAAGACATACCCAGACAAGAGAGAACATCATTTCGGTATGTATGTGAGAGCTACTGCGAGCCGAAAGGAGCTATATTTGAGTGTGCATCGTCAACGACAAAATCGAGCCGTCTCAACCGAAGGACGTGGGGAGTATCTATGATTTCCAAATTCGGTGGGAAGCCCACATTCGAGGAAGACTTTCTTGAAAGACTATTTTGCGATCGTCAGGGCTTGCGTATGCGCCACGCCAAGAGCAATCTTAGTCTTCATGGCCACGACTTCCACCGGGGTAGTGGAGCGGGAAGTGGGGAGAGAAATCGTGTATGGTATCGGGCGCCCAGTTTATTGCACTTGAGAAAAAGATGACCAATAGTGATCAGGGCGATGCTTGTCCCTGTTGGAAGCTCGGTGTTGACAACACACATATAGAATGCCGAATGTTATTGAAAACGGGTGGCCAGGAACCGTATGGCAGACGCAGAGTTTACATTTGACTCGTAATCATTGCCAAATTGGGTTGGCTGCGGGGCGGACGGTGGAGCTCATTCGTTATCTTGCTTCGGACATCTCGGCTACCGGGATGGAGAGTGTGGCTCAGTGAGCTCTGCTGAGTACAGCCAGGTCCTGGCTGAGGGACCAAAATCAAGGATCCGTGGTGTGGCATAATCTGAAGAGGGTGGCGATGATGGCGGAAAATAATAGAGATATTCCCATCACCTCCACATGGTCAATTCCCGCTCCGCTGGATCTTGGCAAGATCGATCATAATCGATAGTATCTGGAACAATTAATTATCCATACGCTAATGGATAGGCTTAATCTTGCAGAAGGACCTGTAAAATTGCATCCCATCCATAGTTTGGAGAATATGATATCCCGTTGGCTTGTTCAATAGAGCGCCCGCAAGGACTGCAAGGACTTGAGATAGCCGAGACAATACTAGCTAGTCAGTAAGCTGAGCCTCAATCAGGAGGGCTTGAAACCACAAAATACGTTATGTCAGTTGCGCTTACAGTGCCGCCCGTTATTGCCTTCCATATTTGGATACTGAGAGACACTCTCTCAAACCCTAGTCGCGCGATAAGAAACACCCATTATGGAATCGCGTAAATTACGAGTTCTGCCAATACGGAATGAGGGTACCTGGTTTCGTACCCTAGTACAGTACCGATGCAAGTGTCTGTAGGTAGGGACGACTAAAAGACTCAATACAAACTAAGTAGTAAAACTAGCGACGGTTAGCAATTTGTCAACTTCCCTCTTCCACCCCTCAGTTACTTCACAGCAGAGGGTTTAACATTGCCTTTAGTGTCTATCTCTGGTCAAGTTGATAGGCAAGGCTTGACAGTATTATTTCGTGATTACCATTACTTATCGCCATGTGGCGGCTTCCGATGTTCATTAGGCATTGGGCATACAGTACCCGGCTAACCCCTTACGGAGTGTAGCTCTAGGCTGCCCTCCCTCCTCTGGACACATTCGCCATGACCGATAGCTCTTTTAGTGACGATGCAGATCAACCTCGGATAATCGACCCACCGGAAACAAAATGGCACGATGCCCGCACTTCTAGTTACTTCGGTAGAACACCCGAGACCTTATACTCCCCCGGCCCTTATCAAGTATAACGAATGTAGCGCGACGGTATCGGTCCGCTTCCTCCTGTTGATCTTGTAACTGATTATCAGCGTCGGCCTTGTCGTCAATTGCGGTTCGATCTTTAATAAAACTCAGAAAACCAGAACAACTAGCGTAGTATAAAGCAAGTCTACCTGATAGTTGATTCATATATGGATTTTAAATCAGCGTACACGAATGTCCTTGTACCCAACTTGACTGATAGGCAGGTCGAACGGAAGAAAGAGGAAGCGCGTGGATTAGAATTCCCGGAGCCTCCACTTCACTAGCTATGAGATCCTGGGACCTTTTTCTGCGTAGTAACTGGCAAAGATAAGGGAAATATGGCCAAGATCACAAAATCCAGATCCCCACAAGGAAACCTTACCCCGTGATGGGAAATTGGTCGAAAACCTGGAGTTTGATCGATCCGACTTTTCGGGGGGGCAATAGGCTATTTTTGCAGCCACTAAGGGGTTCAAATTTCCTAATTGGGTATAGCGGTATAGCTATCGGCGACATGAGAACCACGCTAGAACCTAAACAGGCTAGAGGGCTTCGCCTAGTCATTCAGAATACAAGGAGAGAGCCAATAGGATGATTCCGTTTCAACGCGATGCACGCATTATCCGAAATGGCTTTAGACTGGACTTGGCCCAATCCTGCAGGGACCCTGAAATAAATCCTTGTCGTATATGAGGGCGCTGGCCGCTCTATCTGTTCCTCTTAACGTCTTCTCAAAACTTCCATTCCTGTCGCTCGTTTAACTATATAACCCGACCTTCATTTGAATCAATACAATATGCGTATCCAATCTTTCGCCCTTTTGGCCGGTGCCACTGCCGCCATCGCTGCCGAGACAGTCACTCTTTTCCTGCCTGGCTTCGATGAGCAATCACTTGAGGGCAAGATCATTGGCACGGTAAATACAATCATCCCTCTATCAATCTGCCACAATTATCTAACCAATATTATCCCAGACCGGTTCCATGACCAAATATCTCGTCAAGTGTGCTGCCGACGTTGACTCCACCGAATGCGGCGTTCCCGCTGATGGCATGACCGTGGCCCAAGGCTCTTCAACCGTCAGCCTGGCATACAGCGCGGGACGTATGTGAGTATACCCAGCCCTATAAGGAATTCACTCCTACCCCATAAGTCATAGCTGATCAATTTCCGAAACAGGTCCATCGATGAGAACTGCAAGTATGATTCCGTAAGCGTGACTTGCGCTGCCAGCCTCGACGAGGAAGGCATAACCACTACCTTCACCTCCGCCGTCGCCCTCACTGAAATCCCCGGTGGCGGCGCTTTGATGCCTGTCACTATCACCGGAACTGGAACTGAGAAGGCCGCCGCCACTACCGGTGCCTCCGCATCGGCTCCTACCGCTTCCTCGACTAGCGGTGCTACTTTGACTACCTCCGCTTCGACTACCGCTGGTACTAGCACTGGTACTAGCACCAACGACTCCTCTAATAGCAGCAGTGCTGCTGCCACTAGCCAGACTAAGTCTGGTAATGCTGCTATGCCTATGATTACTGGAAACGCGCGCTGGGCTGCTGGTGGTGCTGCAGCTGTTTTGGCTCTTGCCGCTCTTTGATCATCTGGACATTTTTTTGGAATGACGGTGGAGGTACATAGTTGTGGCTTGGTTAAAGCCCCTCTGCCTTGTAAAAATATAGATATATATATCCTTGTGTATCAGCTACAACCGAATCATCTTCCATCACTCTACCTGCCGCCTTGCGGTTGAGTATAAGCTTCCATTCGATTATGTAGCAGACGTTGGAGGCTTCTCATCGTATTCGCCACCTTCTTCCCATTCGGCAAATGGCAGAAAATTGAGTTGATCCGGCTGTTGCTGTGGCACGATACGGGGCAGGGCTAAGTGAGTACAAGGTCGCGGGTGTGCTATCCAAGTTACTAGGCGTTGGGGCATACTGCCAACTTTCTTCCTATGGGTCGACCATCCGGGATTGATCGGCATTGTCACCACAAGAGCTATAGCTCATCTCGAATACGGTCGCCACTGTATCGGAAACCATGATTCAATTGGAAAGTTTGGATACCATATTAGTACGACTTCGGTAGCCCAAGCACTCTCTCCCCAATGTAATTGCATATCATCTCCCGACTGACTGGGGCAATTCGAGGAATCAGCACTTCACGCAAGTATCTTTCCACATGATATTCCTTCGCATATCCCATTCCTCCGTGCACCATAACAGCTCGCTCACAAGCCTGGAAGGCTGCTTCGGCACCCAGATACTTCGCGGCGTTAGCATATTCCCCGGACGAATACCCATCATCGTATAGCCGCGCGGCATGGTATATCATCAATCTAGCCGCTTCGAGCTTCATCCAGCTGTCAGCCAGGGGGTGTTGAATAGCCTGATTCTGTCCAATAGCACGTCCAAACACATGTCTCTCGCCTGCATAAGTGGCTGCTCGTCGAATTGCGGCATATCCAAGGCCAAGAGCTTCGGCGGCGATCAAAATGCGCTCGGCATTCATTCCATGTAGGATCATTTTGAATCCCTCGTTCTCTTGGCCGACCATGTCAGTCGCTGGAACGCGCCAGTCGTCGAAGAAAAGTGAGTTTGTGTCGACAGCTGCACGGCCCATTTTGGGTATCTCCGTAATCTCAACCATGGATGGATCAAGATCGGTATAGAATAGCGAAAGACCTTGTGATGCTTTACTGACTTGATCAAGAGGGGTCGTGCGCACCAGGATCAATATCTTGTGCGCATTTTGTGCTGTCGAAATCCATATCTTTTGACCCGACAAGATATAGTCGCCCCCATCTCTTCGAGCCGTGGATTGTAGTTTCAATGTATCGAGTCCGGTATTAGGCTCAGTGACGCCGAAACATGCTCTCTCTCGACCTTGAATTAAAGGCTCAAGCCAGCGACGCTTCTGTTCTTCCGTCCCAAATTTGACGACCGGTTCCAGGCCAAAAATGTTCATGTGTACAGAAGAAGCAGCATTCATTCCTCCTCCGGACTCCGATAGAGTCTGCATCATAATTGCAGCTTCAGAGATACCCAAGCCCGCGCCCCCGAACTCAGGCGGGATGCAAATTCCCAGCCACCCATCATCGGCGAGCTTTCTATGGAGCTCAAACGGAAATTCTTTCTTTTCTTCTTGCTTGAGCCAATACTCATCCGTATAATTAGCGCAGATTTTAGCGATGGCTTCGCGGACAGTCCGTTGAGAATCAGTCAGGTCGGGATCGTGTGCTTGTAGGTACTCCTTTGCACGGGCATGAAGGAATCGTGTGAATCTCTGGTATTTGCCGGAGAGGCCGTGTCTAAACTGAGGTCGTCTATTCCCCGATTGAGTCTATTTGAGTGGGTCAGCTTCTCCGCACGTGGTGGGATGAACCATTTGAACGTACGATCAGTCTGCGCGCTGGATTTGACATTTTCTTCACTTTTACGAATCTTCAGAGTCCCAGATTCAAGCTTTCCTCTAGGACTTGGAGTAAAAGGGGATTCTTGACGGCTATATCAGTCGATCATATAGGCTCAAATCGTCGGGAGAATAAGCCGAAACCCCCGCTTGTCGTCGATCGCATGTCGCGCCCGAGGTCCGGACCACGTTGTACATACAGAACAACTGTGCCCCACTAGATGTGAGCGCAGTGGTGATTCAAGTGTTCTTGGGAAGACCATGTGCGGGGAATTGACGTCTACCAGCCTCGGCGTTTCATTTCGGCTCTCACAAGGTTATAATTCTTGGTCTCCTCGCAGCTGTTCGAAAATCCCAAGGATACAGCACGTAATCAATGAAGATGAAAGTAGGCGTTTCGCCGTAATTCTGAGCTCAACTCATATAATTGAACCTTTAGCCATCGACTGACTGCACTGTCATCTCACCCGCAGATTTCTCTGTGATCGCCAAAATGCAGTCTTTAATTTGCACGATAACGCCGCGGTCCTCTCCGTCGCTGTTGCTTCGATCTACAAATTTCTTGAACATACGCCGAATTCACGTACAGCCTTCTCACAAAATGGCTGGCCCCTTAGAGGGTATCAAAATCCTCGATTTATCGCGCGTTCTGGCTGTGAGTTCGCACTTATCTTGCCGGAAGCCCGTTTCTGACAAAATCATAGGGCCCATTCTGCACCCAAATCCTAGCCGACTATGGTGCAGATGTGATCAAAGTTGAGCATCCCAAAGGTGGTGTAAGCTTACCCCATCTCTCCTTTTTCGTCCGGAGCAATCCAGTGTCTGAAAGTCCATAATTAACTCTCCCACCAGGATGACACGCGCCTCTGGCGCGAGGCAGGAGAGGAGAATATCTGGAAATCAGATGCCAAGGACACATCTCTTTACTTCAATACAATAAACCGCAATAAACGTTCCATTTCGGTCAATCTGAAGCATGAGCAAGGAAGGGCTGTGGTTTTGCAGCTAGTAAAGAACGCTGATGTCGTGTGAGTGGTGAAGGCTTTGGCTCTTTAAACATGATACACCACTCCCTAACTTTTCTTCAATTTTAGTGTTGAAAACTTCGTACCAGGCAAGCTGGACAGTCTAGGTCTTGGATATGAAGTCTTGAAAAGGGCCAATCCCTCTCTCATCTTAGCAAGTATTTCCGGTTTGTACCAACCAAGATCCTGCTTTCAATACATTTCACAGAAAGGCTGAACTCGGCACAGGCTACGGCGCCGATGGCCCATACTCTCAACGTGCAGGATACGACGTTATAGGCGCTGCCGAGGGCGGATTGCTTCACGTCACGGGCGAAGGGGATGGACCACCCACCAAGCCAGGGGTCGGCATCATAGACATGTGCACAGGTCTCTATCTCCATGGTGCCATTGCGTCCGCACTGCTTGCTCGAGAGAAAACAGGTCTCGGGCAGAAGATCGATACGTCACTGTTTGAGACTACGATTTCCATCTTGGCAAACGTGGGTATGGCCTGGTTGAATCTCGCCAAGGAAGCACAACGATGGGGCACTGGTCATCCGACGATCGTACCCTACGAAGCATTCACGACAAAGGATGCGTATATTGTTGTCGGCGCGGTCAATGATAGGCAGTTCCAAATCTTGTGTGAGCGACTCGGAAACACCGAGTTGGCTGAAGATTCTCGGTTTGTGAACAATCAGTCGAGGATTGAGCATCGAAAGGAGTTGAAGCGCATCCTGGATGAAGAATTCGCTTCCAACACGACCGCGCACTGGGAGGATAAGTTTGAGGGAAGCGGGTTGCCATACGGTCCGATCAATAACATGGAGAAAGTGTTTTCACATCCCCAGGCTATTGCCAGGAATATGATTGAGACTGTCAAGCAAGATTCAGCGGTGTCAGGGGAGATACAGGTCCTTGGCAAGTTATTAACAATTGCTTCGCTTCGCACACGAAAAAATTACTAATCAAGCCTTCCATACAGGTATGCCAGTCAAGTTTAGTGAGTCTAAAACTTCAATCAGACGGGCGCCACCGGCTCTCGGAGAGCACACGGATGATATACTGCAAGAACTTGGCGTGTCCTCTACCACGATATCTAGTCTTCGAAAGAATGGAGTCGTATAGGGCTATAAGCCCTCATTGCGAGTCGATCAAATAGCCCGCCCGTAGCAGATGTCTCGACAGTCTGTTCAACAACGTCCACGAGACCGAACTCATTGCTAGATCCCAAATATTGAGTCTTTTCATATGAGGAATTCTTTAACTTATCCATGAATTCAGTAAGAGAGTGTAGAGATTGGTGGAGACCTTTACTAGGATGAATCGAATTGACATCACCTCGCTGAACCTCATAGGTAACAACGTCGGAAAATGAGCATTAATTTGTTGATTGCTCTTCTTTCTTAGGCGGTTTCTTAGATGGTTTCCTAAACCGTTTTCTGGACCGTTTCCTAGACGGTTTCCTGGTTAATCTCCACTATAAACTCCTTATAATATAGTAAGCACGAAAATGTACTTAGGACGAAACAAGATCGGTGAATGGTCTTTAATAAATTTAGGTTATAGCTTTCTTCCCCCCTATAGTCCGCTGTAAGTTCCGGAGTGAGAGGCTAGTGAGGCAACTCGAGGTGTGCCCGTTCACAACGCAGTACGTACCCACGGATATGACTTATTGGGTATCTTGGATTCCATCTCTAGCTCTGGGAAGGTTGGTGTCTATAGTTAACTTGTATGAGCCTAAAGGTGTTGGTCGCTTGCCTGATGCATCCTTTAGTCAGTCACGTGCTTTGGTGAATCCCCTCCGCTACGCCAGATCCGGCCAATTATTGTTATTTAAATAGAATAATTATTTTGCAAATTGACTCTAGGTTTGAATCTATGTATATATACACGCTTTTCAAGTTCCTAATAGTGGGTAGCAATCCAGGGTTCGAAGAAGACAGTGTTCCAGCTCTCTCTTAGCACCGCCTAAGCGCTGATCTATAAAGATCGCGATATTTACGACTAATGAAAGACCGTCTTGACGTAGTTCCAACGTGAACATCGATATCCCAGATCCATACCTTTTCACCTCCGCGGATCTAGTGACATGTCTTTCAGCCACGAGAATGTTGGGGCCTCCAAGCAACCCCCATGTTCCCCAAACTCTCAAGAAACTTCCCCGGGACTGACGTATGAACGTCGGCTGAACGATTCAGAACTCCCGGGGTGACAAGATATTCCAGGTTCTATTGGCCGAACGGGTTTCCGGTTTCCCGGGGACCCCCTATCTCCTCGACTCCCCCCTCATCCTACTAGACTCCGTACGCGTGGAAAGTTCCTACGAGGACAAGAAAGCAGGGGAATGCCGGGAGGTTCCCGGCAGGTGACCGAAGGAAACCCCCACGGGAACCCGCAAATTTCCATCGTCCGACCCGTTGGGCTCGGCAGAGCAAGATGGGTTGACCACTTCCCCAGTTCACCCGGTGTGGCTATTATTTACAAAATCTGGAGCCAAGCTTCTGATCCTTTTCCCCAGGACGATTCTCACCATCGGTAATTCCCCCAAAATCCCGAGGGCAGTGCACATCCCACTGCTCTCAACCGTCTTAAGAGCAACCCGACTGCCCACGCACGGTGCCGGGCCGATTGGCGAATCAGCGCTCGCCGTGTGCCTGGCCGGGGAGCCCGTCTCCGCCGGAAAACCCTTGCAACCGAGAAAAAAACCTGCCGTGGGACCTCCCGACCGCCAAACAGAGTTCACAGATCATAGGCCAAGAGCTAATTTCATTCCCCACCAAAATTACCCCCCGCAACTGACGAGAATTTTAGCGTGGGGGTTCCCTGGGGTTTTGCACGCAACCGGAGGCAAGTGGAGTTGGGGAATGTGCAAAGAGAAAAAGGGAAAAATGCCCCCCTCGATCGACTCTTTTTCTTTCTTCTCGGTGTGAGAATCCGGCCTGGTTGCTTAGAGAAACTCCCCAAAGCACAGTATATACCACAATGGCGGACGATATCTCACGAAACAACGGTGACCGCATCGAGGTTGAGATTGAGAAGGAGCGGATCGAAAATCTCGAACATGTCGCCGAGCAGCAGCAGAATGTCGTGCCTCATATCGACCCGGCTCGTCGAGCCGTCGTCGAGAAGAGCCTCAAGCGTAAGCTGGATGCTCGCTGCAGTCTGTTCGTGTTGATCTATATCATGAACTACCTCGACCGCAACAATATCTCGGCGGCTCGTCTGAAGGGTCTGCAGGAGGATCTCAACCTCACGGATACTCAGTACTCGACCTGTCTGAGTATTCTCTATGTGGGATATATCCTGATGCAGGTTCCTTCGAATATGTTCATCAACCGTATCCAGCGGCCTTCTCTTTACATCGCCATCGCGATGACTCTCTGGGGTCTGATCTCGACCTGCTCGGGTCTGGCAGGCAACTTTAGCCACATGGTGGCTATCCGTTTCCTGCTCGGTTTCATCGAGGCTGCCTTCTTGCCCGGTGCCCTTCTCATTCTCTCCAAGTGGTACACCCGCCGAGAGTTGACCACCCGGAACGCCATCCTGTTCTGTGGTAACCTGATCTCCAACGCCTTCTCGTCGCTTGTCGCTGCGGGTGTCCTGTCCAACATGGACGGTGTCCTGGGCCATGCCGCTTGGCGCTGGCTCTTCTGGATCGAAGGTGCTATTACCATGACCATTGCCATCTCGGCTGCTTTCATCCTTCCTGACCTGCCCACCAACTCCCGGGGTTTCTCCGAGGAGGAGCTCCTTGTGGCGCAGCTTCGTATTCTGGAGGACGTTGGCGAGGCCGATACCGACTCGGAGGAGCAGAGCCCCTTCAGTGGCCTCATCATGGCTCTGAAGGATTTCAAGATCTACCTGATGATGCTCGCTTTCACCGCGTATGTCGTGGGATTGTCTTTCAACGCTTTCTTCGTAAGTCCCAGCCGGCTCAGATACAATTGATTATCACAGATAACTAACATCTTTCTACCAACAGCCTACTCTTACCGGTACCCTTGGCTTTTCCTACGTTCCCACTCTCCTCATGAGTGCTCCCCCATGGGTCTTCTCCTGTATCTTCTCCGTGATCAATGCCTGGCACGCGGATAGAACCCAGGAAAAGGTCAGTCCTTTCTCAAAAAGATTCCCACCAAACCCAACCCACTCCAACTAACCCACCCCAGATCTGGCACATCTACGGCCCCATCTTCATGGGTCTCGTCGGCTTCATCATCAGCATGTCCACCCTCAACGTAGCAGCCCGCTACATCGCCCTCTTCCTCCAAGCCGGCTCCTACGCCGGCTTCATCGTCTTCTACTCCTGGATCAGCTCCTCCTTCCCCCGACCCCCAGCCAAGCGTGCCGTCGCTCTCGCCCTGATCAACGCATTCAGTCAACTCGGTAACGTCGCCGGCTCGTACGTCTGGGATCTCAAGGATAACGGATACCGCAAGAGCTACGGTATCGTCACTGCCATGTACGGCATTACCATTGTCGGCTTCTGGATCTTCCGCATGATCCTGGTCAATCTTAACAAGAAGCTTGAGCAGAAGGAGGCCGCGTGGGATGCTGAACATACGGAGTCGCAGACTGGGGATGTGGTGTTTATGGAGAGTGCGGATGAGTCGTTGCGGATGCGTAAGGGCTTCAGATATCTGGTTTAAAGTGCTGGTTTGCTCGGATCAGATAGTTATGACTGTCATCATGCCTGGTGGTGTGTGGCGGATTTGTATGAACAGTGGGCCTTTGGCCTTGATGCATGGGTATACCGTGTGTAAATTTGGATATAGTATATGCGAAACAACGCGACATGAACAGAAACAATGTGTTCTTCAGCTATTCAATTAGCCTATGTTAAAGGCCTGGGTAGGTTGTAGCACGGCTAGTCCTGGTACATGTAAGGCTTCCTTTAGTATTGTTCGTCTTCCTGTCGCGTCAATAACCTGAACCCGGAAGATCTGGCCGGGTCTTCAATAATATATTTCCAAGTCTACACATAACACTGCGCCCGAGTTCCCAAGTTCCCCTCCTAATTTATTTCACCCTTCACTAATTTTGAGTTACAAGCTCCAATTAAAGATCTTCAATTGTCACCGTATCCCCAATCGAACCTTCCATGACGATGTAATCTACCAAAAAATATAAATTCGGCTGTTGCAGCCTCCATATCTTTCATGGGTTGATATGTTGTAAATCGGAGCTCCTTATATCCCAATTGGGCAATCTGGCCGAGCGGTCTAAGGCGTCAGACTCAAGAGAGTTTCCTCTTCTGCTAAGTCTACTTAGTGGAGTATTCTGATCCTCGTACGAGGGCAAGGGTTCGAATCCCTTGGTTGTCAAATCTTTTTGAATTTTTGGATCTTGGTGCCGAAACAATTAATTACGTTTTTGATGCTAGGGAGCGAAGCAGAAAGATTAGCGAAAGAAAAGCAGTGGATTGAGCGGAAGATTTGAAATAATATTCGTTCTGCCGTTTTCAAATAGAGAATAGCAGGAAGCAAGGGACGGTCTGGTCGGGCATTAATTACCGTTACTGAATTGAAGCCTTTGAGGGACAAACAGGACAAAACACCACTCAAGATGTGATCGGTCACATGATCATCTATAGACCCCCTTTCCAGCTGCTCCTAAACCCGCATGTTGAGGTTACGGCAAGATTATCATCCCCAGTTGGAAATTAATTAAAGGATATAGCCTGGAACTGAGCGCGAAAAGCTGCCACGAGCTATACATTACAACGGAATACCGGACGATGCCATAAACATCTACAGTGTAAAGCTCGAAAGTCCAAGGAAAATAGAAAGTATATCTCTGCCAGTTCCTCATACTACATTAAGCTTAGATCCAAATACTAAATCCTACCATTTATACCATCATCAAAACCCACCCCTTCCATCTCTACAAGCCAGCCAACCCCCTAAACGCCTTTACCAGATCGGCCTTTAAATCCTCCCAATTCTCTAATCCGACACTGACCCTCAACAACCTCCGATCAACAGTAGCATCCGACATAGTCCTCCACTCAATAAGCGACTCGACCCCACCCAAACTAGTCGCATGCTGGAAATAATGCAACCGACTCGGCAACTCCCTCGCCTTCGCCTCCTCCTTCATGGTAATCGAGAACACAGGCCCGAATCCATTCGGCATCTGCCTGCTCAACCAGTCCCCCTCCGTCTCCTGCACGGAAGCATGGAACACTTCCTCCAGAACGGCCTGGATGGCAGACTCATCGGAGCCGGGCGCCGGGGTTGGCGCGTGCAGCGCGGAATGTAACCATGACACCAGACGAGCGGTATTCTCGCTCTGACGCTGGACACGGACTTCCAACGTGCGCAGACTACGCACGCCAAGCCACGATTCCATGTTGCCCATCACCGAGCCGAGGAAGAGTCTATCCTGGAGAAGTTGAGTCGCCCAATCGTCGCGCTGCGTCGCGAGGACTCCGCAAAGCACATCGCTGTGACCACCGAAATACTTCGAGCCAGAGTGCATGACCAGGTCTGCGCCGAACAGGAACGGATCCTGCAACCCGGGCGGGGCGAATGTACCATCGACGATGAGGAAGGCGCCACGGGAATGTGCTTTCTCAGCGTAGGCGGCGATGTCGAAGGCTGTTCCTTTGGGGTTGACGGGCGTTTCGAGGAGGATTACGTCTCTCTTTTCGAGGAGAGAGGGGTCGCAGTTCAGGTCGAGTTTTTGCAGGCCGGTTAGACGGGTGAAGAGGGCGATTACGCCGTGGCAGCCGTGGTAGCCTTCGCCGACGGAGATGCGGCGCGGGTTGAGGAGGGTGAGGGCTGCATGGAGGGCGGAGAGGCCGGAGGAGTAGGAGATTGCTTTTCCGTTCAGGAGGGATGTGAGGATCGTTTCGAAGCGGGTTGGGTTGGGACAGGAGGCCCGGGAGTAGATGTGGGTTGTGGGATAGTTGTCGGACTACATAGTAAGAGCGAAAGAAAGAAGAGAGGTATGATTAGACGATTGACAATGCCATTGACAATGTAGATAGCTAGGGTATGTAGGGAGGCAGGTAGGGAGATAGGGATGGAAAGGGTAGAAGGTGAACATTGCACAATGCGTACACTGATGAGATTGGCCGCAGGAACCAGAGCGGAGGGATCATCGGAGTAGCGGAAAGTGGTGGACAGATGCATCGGAGGAGCCACATCGGACACGATATTGAGCACGTCGTCTGCGTGCAGAGAGCGGGTCGAAGTGCCAATGTTATGCGACATGGTCATGCTATGTAAACAAAAAAGGGGGAATTGTATGCACAAGAAGATAAGGAAGAGAGAAGAAACAAGAAAAGGGACTCGGCAAAGGTATAATACAACCAGAAAGTGACTCGAAGGGAAGCCGAGGGGGAGGAAAAAGAGGGGCAGGAACGCAATCCGGTCACGTGGTGTGGGGAAAAGATGCTGCCGGAACAAAGTCCGACATTGTATGGGACCATTGACTGTTTGGGTATCATGCATGATCGAGATAAAAAGAGAAATTGAGGGGAAAGAGAGTCATTGACTATCGGCGAAGTGATCCCATTCGTGATGGCTCACGGACAGATCCAGGCAAGGCGACCTTAAAGTTGGTGCGGTCTAAAGGTATGGTTAGCACGAATTGCAAATACGAGGTCCATCATTGGGACTCAAAGCAAGGATCATCACGAAAAGACTTACCAAGTTCCTTGTCGAACGTAATAGTAATATCGTCATGCTCGATCGGATACTCGGGCATATCCAAGCACACAAAGTTCGACCCCGGATCCTCATCTTTCTTTGGCAGCGCAAACTTGGCATCCACAATGCGAATGCCAAACTTGCCAGATCGGCCAAAGGATTCAATATGGTCAGTGCCCTTAAGAACAAAGTTCATACAGGTACCATGCTGGAAATCACCAAAGAAGGCGATGAGTTGGATAATCTTTTCTTGGCGCACAATCTGAATGCGTGCTAAATTGGCTTCCCATTTCTTGTAGATGGGAACGACCATACGACGGCGGGAAATGGTGAAGGAGGAGGCGATTCTGATCTCGTTAGCTTGGTGTCCAAATTTGGCCGTGGGTGACGTTGCACTCACCCATCGTAGATAACCTTGAATCCAGTCACGGCTTCTTCAAATCCGTGGAGATCTAACAAACATCATCAGCAAAAAACCAAAAATCAACCCAGACGAAGAATGACATACCCTGCATAGAAGCAAACTCGAACCGACGAATCATCGGCTTAGCCGTTGCCTTTTGCAAGAATTGCGAAACCTGGTCCGGCATCTCAGGTCGAACCAGGTTATCCGCCAGTGAGACCGTCAGATCCTGCTGTGCCGGACGATACAAACTCATGCCAGTGATTCGATTCACATCCAGCCCGAGCTTGAGTTCACCAGGTCCTGTAAAAAAAAAGATGTGAGCATGAATCCATATTTCATATCAAAGACCACTCAAGGACGAGGATTTCTCCTTACCTAGGTTGATACGGTCTGTAACAGACCCCCATTCCGTAGCGACAAACGCTCTCAAGTGTTCCGACAAAATAGTCGGTCCGTAACCATGATCCACAAAGGCGTGTTCTTGATCAATCACCGCTGCATTACCGGCAGGGAACTGAAGATGAGTAGTGGGAGCGCCGCCAACAGCTGCGTCTCCTGGCTCCTCGATGGCATAAGAGCGGAATTGGAATTCTCGGGTCTTCGTCTCGTTGTCTCGTGGCGCCATGCTCAAGAGCACGGAATGGATCTTGGTTCGTTCCTCCACCCCGTGGAAAGTCATCAGCATGGATCGCGTGCGCCCATCTTCCGTGACCTTCAAAATGAGAGCGGGACTTCCGTCTTCACCACGCAGCAGACCAAATATCACCGGTGAGCCATGTCCCAGGATGTGGTTGACATTACTAAGGGTCTTCACCTTGGGACTAGTCAGCACGGTAAGGCGGAACCCACGGTGGGCGTTTCGCGAGCCAGTGCCCTCCGTCACGGTGACTTGTCGTTCAAACAATCGAATCCGACAACGCTCCATTGAATCCGCGGGGAATGCCTTGGGTGTCCCGGGATCCACGTACTGGAAGACCTTCAGGGTGTCCTCGAAGACGACCGTTTCACCCGCCTCGGGAGACAAACTCGCCTCGGACTTTTGCGTGTATCTGACAATGTTCCAGAGCGTCTTGAAATCATCTTCCTTAAACATGACATCGAGTTCAAAACCACGGGGTAGCTTAACGCGCATTGAGTTACTCCGCACTTGCCACTCCACGTCATCCCAGGTAGGTCCTTGCTTGCGGTCGCATTGAATCATGACATTGACGAGTTGGCTTTGGCTGGTAATCGCAGCGAACACGTACCAGTCGGATCTCTCGCGGATGATTGTCAACGCGCACGGCATGGCGTATTGCTGGCCTTCATCATCCCTTGAACTCACACATGCTTGCACGAACATGCTGCCGTAGCTGAAGAAGCGACTCGTATCTCCCAGGGGCATCATTTGCACCATACTTGGCGTCTTACCCGTTGCATCGGCCAACATCGATCGCGACGCACTACCAGACAAAACGGCGGACACGTCCGGCGCAAAGAAGGGGTATCGGAGCCACACGCTAGTATCCAGCTGGCTGGGCGAGTGTTCGTCATCGGCCAAAATTGCGGCGAGAATGCTGTTACGCTTGATGGACATGGAGAGAGAACGAAGGTGATTGAGCATGGTCTGGTGGAGGTTAAGAAGATCAACCAGCTCCTTGTCACCCGTGGTAGTGGCCACTGCCAGGAGTGCATCAATACCCATGGAACCATAACGAGAGAGCTCGTAATGCCCAGGAACTATTTTCTCATTGATCCACAAGGATTTGCCCAAGTCAACGACGGCCTGTTTAGCGTAGGTCACGGGCGCCGTATTGCGAGAGCGCGCATAAGTTTCCAGTCGAGTCTTGCCTCGCAAGAACCACCATACTGCGGCCCGAATCCATTCTGTTAGAGCTGTCTCCACGAGCGGCTTGACTTTTTCAGCAGCCATGTGGAACAGACTGTCGTATCTGGCGATGTACTCCTTGAATTCGCTGAATGCATTGTCGCCGACCTGATTGGCGACTGACCGCAAAGAAAACTTGGGAGGCTGAGGACTTCCGGATGGTTCTCGGCTGGATCGGGTAGACGGAGAAGTAAGTTGATTCATGGGTGGAGGCTGGGGGCTGCGTGGAAGCTCTCGTGTCGATGAAGATGCCACCTGATTTACAGGAGACGCTGGTTGGGGCTCGTGCATGGGAACCTTGGGAGCTCCAGACGAGGGCTTTGCCGGGCTTCCGGGTGTAAGAGTGGGAGGTAGACGCGGGTCGATAGGGCTGAGGTTTGGTTGAGCGCGATGAGCAACTGGACTGGGAGGGTTACGAATCGACTGCACGATTGATTTGACAGATGGAGCGGTAGCCGAATAAGGCGGGGTCCCATAGAGCGAATCGTACACAGACTCATTTGGACTTCGTGGGCTGTGCGAGGGAGGTACTTCGGGGCTCGAGATATCGGTCTCGTCATCCGCCGGGGATGCGATATCGTCGTCGAATCGGTGCTGTTGCAGCGCACGTCCTTCCTCCGCCTGCATGCGATCCCGAACACGCTCTGCAACCGAATGGGAGTCGGGCGATCCTCGGAAGGAGAGACGTGATCCAGGTTTCTCTAGGTGCAAGGTACTGAGAAAGTCCGCATCTCGTGGCTCGTGCATGAGGGGCGGCTTCCAGGTCGAATTAGGGCTCGTTCCACCCCGCTGGTCCTGTGGGGTCCCTGCCCGGCGTGATCGTGGCTCACCATCGCCCAGCGAGGTATTCACGGTCAATGCCGGCAAGTGCGAGCGCGACGGGTTTGGCGACCGTGATGGGGCCCTTTTAAGCTGTTGCTCCGCCGCCTGTCTGTCGCGCGACCGTTTGCGCGAGAACGAAATTTCGATCGTTGGAGTATCGGTCTCGTCACCACCTTCGCCAATAACTTCCGGGGCCTGATCGCAAAACCCCACACGGAGACCCTTGCCCTTGCGTGGTTTGTGGGAGATGGTCGGGGGCTGCGGTAGTTCCCGCGGTTGCGGAGGCTCACGCTGCTGGTAAGGTTCCCGGGGCTCGGGCGGTGGTGCAGGGTTGGTAAAGTTGAAGGCGGCATAACTGTCGTTCAGGGGGGATGGGATAGAGGGAGCAGGAATCTGGGTGACATCGTGGGGGGAAGGAATGTGGCGTGTTGAGACGGTGGGTCGGGGGTCTCTCAGGTCAGCCTTGGTAGCAGCAAAGTGGTCTGGGATGGGACGATTGGAAGCAAGGAAATCTTGAATCTGCTGGTCGGGCGTGGAGTGGTCTTTCTTGTCCTTGGAGAATAGCTTGCCTCTCCAGTGAGGCTTCTTTTCCTTCACGGGCTTGGGCTGCTCAGCAGCCAGGAACGAGAACGGGTCACCAGCAGGCATGTCGATAGAGAGTGAAGGTTAGAGCGCGAAAGCAGAGAGACTAGTTGTCAACATTGCACGCCCAGGTGCAATCAGTTCCACGAGTGATTGACAAGGAGACCAGTCCTTATCGAAATGTTGCGACCACTGCGAGTCTGGCGATAGCTTTCTCCCCGCTCTTTGGAGATCAAGTCCCGTTCGGTACAATCAGCACGCGACCAGGCGCGAAACGGGAATCCAGCAGGCGAGGACTGATAGTAAGGCTGTTGCTGAGTTCGGAGCCAGCTCAACCTGCGCCGAGGAAGGTGTTGGAGAGTTGGTGAGGAGGTAGTGTTGCGCGGCGCAAATAGCGGGGAAGAAGGGGGGGGGACGAGGGCACTTCGGCGGGTGGAAAGTGGGATACTTCTTGGACAGGGGAGTATGCAAATATACAAACACACGAACCGCCTTGAGTAAGAGAACGAGAGGGAGGGATCTATCGGACCCTCGAGATAAGGTAAAGAGAAGAAGGAAAGAAAAGAGACGCGAAGAAAGAGATCAGCGCAGGAAGGAGGGGCGAAAGGTAGCGCCCGTGCCCCGACGAACCAACTAAGCCAGGAAAAGCTGGGCGAAACAATGTGTTAGTTTAGGAGATACACCGTAATAGTCGTGGTGGTGGAGACTGAATCATCCCAAAAAGAGAGTCGGCCATCTTGGTGTATATTATAGGGGGTGGAAAGGCAGGGTAAGGGGGCATGAACTTACTTGGGAGGTTTAAACTTGGGGGGGGGGAACAGACACCTGACGGGTAAACCTTCTAACCAGGGGGGAGGCAAGTAGAAGCAGGTTGGCAATGGAGCTGGGCCAGCAGCCGTGAGACGTGAGACGAGAGACGTGAAAGAGTTGAGAGCCCGGAACGTGGACTGGATAATCAAGGAGAAACCGAGGACAAAGAATGATCTGTAGAAAGAGGGATAGATTGTGAGAAAGAGTACGGAGTATAGGTGGTCAAGTTGGGAGGGGACGAGCTTGGATACTCCGCAAGTACCAATCCCACCCGCAGTGGAGCTATGAGGTACGCAGGTCACTTACGGGTTCTGCCTCAATGTCGTCGAGGGTCCATATGGAGACTCCATTAGGGGAACTGATTGACAGTTACAGCCACTGATGATAATCTGGATGATCTACGTATTACACACAACATTTACAGTAGCTATCTTCTCCGTTAATATACTATACCAAAGGGGCAGCGAACCGAGTCTACCTATACAAAATGAGCATGTGAACAGTTCCCCAATCTCTCTATACACAACTCGTCGTCCATTAATCTCCCCCCTTCTCTAATTGCAATTCCCAATTTACCAAATTATCCTCGGCCCTCCTAATCCTCGCCCCACTGCCCGCCGCAAGAAAAGCGCGTACCACGCGGCTCATCCAATCACCGTCTGCCCTTTCGATGGGTCTCATCGTGAAACTCGACTAAGCCGATTGTAGCGGCGCCAACTGTTCCAACAGGGGGCCTCGGCGGGTCCCGCTGACGAGTGTCGCGCTCCCTGAGGATCCTTGGATCATGTCTTTGTTACCACGACAATCCACATTGGCCACACTGAGTCCTGACCATCGGCTCTGGTGATGATGCCGTGCTGCTGGGTCCATAGATCGAAGGGTCGCCCTGATGATGCGACGGAGACCCCGTGGGTTTACACGTGTGTACTGGATTTCTTTTAATAGTACCGTACATCAAGTGTACGCTCGGAACGAGAGGTTGGCTATTTCGATTATACCGAGTATTATACTCCGTACTGACAGGTGTCGGCCTTCGCATGAACTACCCATCCATGTACCAGCCCCTAGGGATTGCTTTGATCGCGTGATACAATAATCAAAGAATCCGTATCAAAGAATTATAATGCTGTCTGTCCTCGCAACTCAATTCGAATCCACCGACATAGAACCTAAATATTCTACTTTGATCCTGCCAGTGCCAACTAAATCCCGAGTCCATTATCCTCTCCCCAAATCGCAATCCCCAATCATCGGCCCGCAGCCCAGATTTGTCACTCTTACCCAGATTTACCCAGTGCTCACCAGCCACAATCCGGCTTGGCCCTCCTTGGGGGACGGTCGATCGAATGTCCCTTGAAAGCCAGGCAAAATGCACACACAACCCGTCCGGCTTCCCCCTTCGGTCCTCCCGGTAGCGCCCATGCAGGGTGATAACATAACCAGGCGCTGGGAAACCGGTCAGCAACTGACTTCCGTTTGTAATATATTTCACTTACTGAATCGCCCAGCTTGGCTCGGCTGGCATGTAAATCAATGAGTCCCACCCCGGCTGCTTTCGGCGGCTTTGATTTGTTGCTGTCAGATAGAGCCCTGTCTCTTTGTCGATTGACAGGGGAATCGGGATAACTAACTCTACTACTAGTTATCAATTACCTAGTACATACTTAGATCCGGAGTAATAGTTCATGGTGATACTCTGCGGTGCATAACATGTAATTATGTATTAAAAGTCCCTTGTGGCCACATACGCCGCGACTTCGCTACTTTGTCGAATGCCGACCGAACCGTACCCGAGATTCTAGCGTTTGCCGATGATACTTCAATACTCCGTCCTCTTTACAGCAATACCCTTGAGAGCTATGTTTTTCATCGCCACAAGTATCTTATCCCTGCGCCTCCACGCGTACGGAACCTACAAACTAGACTTAGATTGTGGACTATCTAAATATATCCTTATCCTCGCCTACCAAGCTAAGCTATGTACATCGAAGTTTAAAGACCGGGTTTCACCACGCCACCCACACAAAAAGTGGCGTTTCTACTGTCAGTGTCAGTCAGCCAGCCCTCCTCGTTAACAACTCGGCATCTGGTAGGTACAGCGAATGATCGTCAGCTTAGGCCACCCCGCAACCCAAGCCCGGGCTAAGAACTAAACTTGTCAACCGTATCCATTCCCGATGGGTACCCCACCGAACATGTCGGCATAGGGCTGGTTGGATCGCTCGATAACGGAGTCCCGGAGCGTTGGAGTAGACTTGGATTATCGTTTGCGAAGCTAGTGAAGCTAGCGAGGCTAATGACTGAAGATGGGGATACAGTTCTGAAACCTCCGCCGGTTTGTTTTGGAGGAGGGGGAGGAATCTATAAATAACTCGGTTCGCCGAGGGTTGATGTTTCAGGTCGTCCGTAGTTGACAATCGAAAAATTTGAGACAGGGTCGAGTAATAATAGAGTGCAGATAAAATTAGTGCTTCCACGTCTTTCTGGCGGCTACTCTACTCTCTCTGTGAATGATCGTCGTACTCCGGAGGAGGTTGGGGGTATTCCGCTTACCATAGTCCCAGCGTTGCAACCCCGTCGAGTTTTCATAGCATATTGTCCCTCCTCTCCTCCCGCATTGATTGGATACCTCTTGGTTATACATTTCAATTCAAGTGCCTCATATCAGATGAGCCAGCAACCTTAACAATCACAGTAGACTCCAACCCATTGGCCGGAGGTGACTAGTTTCCCCGCTTGACAGGGATCCCGGTGTGTAACATGCTGGGTCTATTGACCACAAATACTTGGTATCAAGGCGCAGCTATATAACATTCTTAGATAATTTTTCGTACATTGTACTCTCTAATCATCCATGGCCCCAATAGATCTATGCTACGCGGTCTAGCCGTCGTTACCAAATCATACCTCACCACACTGGAGTCGTCGTCCTTTCTTTCTCGTAGTCAACCTCCAACCAAACCAATATTTGAGCCTATTCAAATTGATCTCCAGCCAAATATCCTACAGACCTGCGTGAATAAAATGATACCTCTCGTAGAATCTACCAAGTTGATTGGCTATAGCATGTATGGAACACTGCATGCTGGATCTTGCATGGAATATATATCGTGTTATGACGAGAACAACCCGGAACAGAAATCCGGAACTCTACCTACCCAGCCCGCAAGACCTCCATAAGTTGAAACAGTCAATTAAGTGGCTCAGATTTGGTGCGACCCTATCAGGACCTCTCGAGAAACTACATAGCGACCCAGACACCCCCCCCCCCCAATCTATCTGTATACCAATAGACACTAAAACTCCTCCACTGCCTGGTGCAGAAATGCTGCGACGAGTTATGCTGAAGGTAGAGATACCCAAGTTCAGTGCGTAGGTGAGCATACTGGATATAACAATGGATTTAGACCGTGTACAATAGCAGCGGGCGTTCCGCCTGCTGTAGGCGGATGCGAGTACTCCATAGGATGCCGGAGAGGTCTAGGTTTGAACGGGCATTGTGAAAACATGACAGTCAACTAAGCTAAACGGCGCCGGCATATCACATTGTTCACTCGTCTGTGAATAATAATCATGAATTGGGAGGTATGCCCTCAGTGAACGCCTAGGTGGGAGTGGATGAAATATTGACACGCAGTACTTCCTCCAGCTGGATGGTCCTGCAAAGCCGCTTCTACTTAGAAAAATGGAGAATGGATACGTACTACTTTATATGCTTACGTGTATATCACATCTTTAGGTCTGATGAAATGGCGTTGGTCGCATCATCGGTCACGGAGTCCAGCCACCTTTATATCGAATCATGTCCAGCTATATATATATATAGGGTGATTTTAACGACACGACAGAAAAGATCATGGCACAACAAGGCTAGTCCTAATAAGAAAAACCCCCCTTCAATACAAAATGCTACATTCAAAATTCATAAAATACCTACCGAGTCAGTATGTATAATTCACATTAATACTTCTCGTTAGTATCTTTAGCCAGTTTATACGCGACCTCTATCTATTTATCTCTATAATAGGTCTTAGTTATTATTCGACTCCCCCTCCTACTATCACCCTTCGTTACGGTCTTTTCTAAGATATTGGCTTATACATACATAAAGACTCTACTAGTAATTTGTAAATCTTGAATGTAGCATTCTGTTTTGAAGTGGGGGCGCTCCTCATTAGGACTAACCTTGTCGTGCCATGAACTTTTCTGTCGTGTTGTTAATGACATCCTATATATATAATACCCGTAAAATGGGCCAAGTACTCATACCCACGAGGTAGGAAGATGGGAATTCATGCTAACACAATTGCAGGCGAGGCAGCGTGTAGAGACGCGCCGAGGGAGCGGCGATGACTGGCAGGTTGATCAGGTACTGGAGGTTTGCCGGGGCTGAGTCACGAATTGGATGAGAGGGAACACTGACTGAATTCGTTAGATGGGCACAAAGTAAGCTGGAAAGCCTATGTTGCTTTTTGTAGGTGAGCAGGAGGGGTTCGACAGGAGGTAGTATGCGGTTCGTGAAGAGTGGACGAGACGCCTGAATGAGATGCGGCGGTCAGGCTGGGGTCAACCTCAGCAGGGTCTTGTAGTTATTCGTGTACAGCTTCTCGAAACGAGGGAACTCCTCGTGGTTCCTTAAGTCCCTTTGCATCAAAATTTGCGGCGTTCTCGAGTTTTTCTCAAAAGGTAGGTTGCAGATCGGGATAGGTTCCGTAGAAATTGATAGAAGATGTCGAGAAGCTGCCAATGTCGATGATCATTGGGAGGCTGCACTCCGGGTATTTTTATTGCTTTTATGATTACTATTTTGATTAGGTACGCATATATGGCTAGATGCATCGTTTTTACGAGACGAGCGATGTCTCATATGATAGGACCAGGGCCGTCCGTCAGATTCCCAAGCAGGAGTGTGGGTTCCCTAGTTTGACAATTTCGAGGTACGGTGGATATTGTAGGGCTGTACCAGGTCAACACGAGTAATAATCGGAACTCCAGAGAGACATGGCACACCGTACTCCATGTACCGTACTCCGTAGGGTATTTTCCTCAGTAAAATCAGGGTTCCCTCTAGGTAACTCTAGGTAACCAACTCGACCGGTCGCCAGGCCATGATTGGGCTAGTACTACCTCCGCTCGCTGCAGGGTCCAGTATAATGAAAAGAGGTATCAGGATCCCACTATCAGGTTATTCGGACTATCATGCCTATCATGATACAGCATAGAGCCACCATTGGCCAGTGGCATGTCGAGCTAGCCTAACCAGCGACAGGCAAGATACAGTACAGTACATGACCACGCTCCCCACAGAAGCCCTGAGACAGGGCCAGTGACCATGCGAGGAAAACGCCGTATCGACGTTGTGGCGGGCTCAACTTTTCTTTTTCCTTCTTCTGTAGAGCCAAAGCAGGTCTCACTGCAGCCGATCGTAGGCCCCGAAGCCGGATCGGCGCGCAGGAAGCAGTTTTGTTTTCTTCATGGGTTGGCAATCCCGTTTCGGGGAGTTTTTGAATAGGCATTGATTCGGGAGAGAGCTTGTCAGTGTGGGAACGGATTAGCGATAGGTGAGACAATCTGTTGGAGCGAGCATGGTAGCTGAATGGGATGGACCACTGGACTGAAACAGGTGCAGCGGAGACACCGAATGGCCTATATTTCCATTTCCCGTAAGATCCTGTGCTACACTCATGAAGAGGTATAAAACTGAAGATTTGAAGGAAGAAAGAGTGTATTGTGGGGGGTCATGAGGTGTATAGTTCTCTAGCTTGGAGCACGGTAGTTTCATGGAAAAGGGCGGCCAAACAGAGAGACTAAGGCTGAGTCAGTGGGCTGGCTGCCTTGGGCTTCAGGTCTGCGATTACAGGGCGCTGCGGATTGTACGAAGGATAGTTGAACAATTATTTGTTCAAATAGTAAAAGAGAAAGACAATTATATTTACAAATTCTGACTATAAATCCAGAATCAAATTGATATCATATTTGAACTATTTCCTATCTCCCTTTCTACCTTGCTACAGTTCTATATTTACTTTCTCTCTGTAAACCGCCAGTCCCCCGAATCTCCACCGGGCCAGACCCAACAAGGCGCAGCAATAACAAGGCCCCGACTTTTTCTCTCTCTCCCTCTACACCATAACAGCTTTCCACAGCTTCCAGTCTCTTTTCCTTCTCCCTCTGAGAGTAAACATTCTGCCGCCTGACCTTTTTGCAGGCCCGCCCGTTGCTTGAACCACTCACAATCTACGAGTACGCAGTAGTCCATAGTGGCTGCCGACCTTACGTACGCTGGGTGCTTCGCGTTCGCAATCATCCGAACTCCCCTCCTCCAGGCCCCATCCAACCATCTCCCGACCTCCCCGTCCGGTTCCTACATCCGGTCTCCTCCTCCCAGGAACCTGCTTACACCAGTCCTGCTTGATACGGGAACCATTCAGATTTTCTACCGCTTTTCACCCACTCGCAAACCCACAACTCGATCGTCCACAGTCCAACGCTCCTCGTGTACATACAACCACCTCCTTCTCCCCCCGACCGGCTCTTTCATTTGTTGCTAGGCTGCAATAGCTGTCCCACCCCGCCTACGCAACCGTCTCCATCCTGAAGGACGCGCACAGGGTGGATCGCGAGAACCCCTGGCACTCTCCCCAGTGTCAACACAACGTGGATTCGACCATCCGTACCGGGGGTTGACCTCCCCCAGGAGGTCATCCCGGATGCCCGAGACGGACAAAATGTGTCACGACTCGACGCGCATCGAGCTAGAGGCGGAGGACGCAGGTCTGTCCCGCCCGGATGCGACCAAGTGCGCGCGACACGGCAGGCTGTCCATGTCCCAGGGCCGTCGATGGCGAGATACTTCTAAGCGTCGGCGGGGACGAACCTCCCGTCGATGGAGCTCCTCCAGCACCTGGTGGATAGCCCTGGTGTGCTTGGTTCTATCATGGATCTCGCCAGCCGCAGCTGCGTTGTTGACCTTTGAAAACTGCTTGAGCGAATCAATTCTGGACTCCAACCCGACCCAGTTGCAATACATCCCGCTCAACGTCTCCGTGCATTTCAATTTCACCGACCCCTTACACCCGTTGAATGTCACGGTCTACGGCAATGTGTCGGGCACGGCCGACGGTTCTCAGGCTCCTTCTTGGACAGATTCGTCGTGGAATAATCAGAGCTCGACAGTGGGAAAGATTACCGACCTGAGCACCTCGAATAACAAGTACAGCACACTAATTACCTCTTTTGACGTACTGAGCTTCACACCTTGGAACAATGCGTCGCGGTTCTGCGAATCGGTCACGCAGGGCGAGTGTCCGCTGGGTCCAGTCTTCACTTATAATTTGTAAGTTTGTATTCGCTTATCAAGTCAAGTTGCGGGCCTGTATGTCCAGATCTAACGTTCATTGCCCTCGCTTAGGAGTGATCTGAGTACGTTGCGAGCTTTCTCCGTTCAACATGACATGCTTTCCACGTACCGGTTTTCGACGATCAACCCAACATTCATTATTCGATCTGGCGACTCGTCGGCAGCCGAGTTGGGCTGTATCACGGTTCCGATCACACCAGACTTTGGCACCTCCCTCAAGAATGCCCTCGCCTACGTACCGCTAGTGATATTGCTGTTGGTGGGAATTGCCACCGTGGCAGCGGCGATGTATAGCCCCTGGGGGACAACGGACATCTTCCGATGGACAAGCAATTACGGCCGCGATGAGGACGTGCTACGACTGGTGACGCCTGGCTTTGCGGACTGTCTGCAGTACTTGCAATACGTCGTCCTGACCGGTTCTCTGTCGCTAGACTACCCTGGATTCTTCCAGCCTGCTGTCAGCCACGGGTCCTGGTCGGTCTTGATGTTCAATCAGAGCGTTGTCCATCCCGATGGCGGTAACACTCCCGTTGTCGACGGGGTATATGCAATCAATGGGACGTATGGCCTCGACCGAATGAACCAGCTGGTCGGCATGGCCTCCACTAAGGATATCTGGCCGGGTATGATGGTCTGGACGCTGGTCATCTTGGTAGCCATGACTGTCATCTGCCAGATCGGGTTTGGACTGCGCTGGCTCCATCGCGAACTCGCACACAGTACAGAGCAGGACCTGCGCGCCAAGAACATGCCGTTTACCATTGGCAACGTCATTCGTATTGTCTTCAACTACCTTCTCCTTCCCATAATTTCCCTCTCCTTCTTTCAACTCGTTATCGCCAAAGGCTCTCCTGCGTATAGCGTTGCGCTCGCAGCCGTGGTCATCATCATCGTCATCTGCTTCTCGATCTGGCTGGTTCGCGTTATCGTGTCCACCAGACCAAAATCCCACCTCTTCGATGACCTCCCTACCGTCCTATTGTACGGACCACTCTATAATACATACTGCGACGATGCCGCCGCTTTTGCCATGGTCCCCATCTTTCTCAACTTTGCCCGAGGTGTTGGAATTGGAGCGCTGCAGCCGTCCGGCATTGCACAGGTTGTCCTGCTGGCCATTTGCGAGGTCGTTTCCGTGCTGACCCTGATCGCTTTCCGCCCTTTTCCTTCCCCGACCCATATGAACTTTTACCATGGTATCTTCTCCTGTGTCCGATTCCTGACAATGATCATGAGTGTGGTATTCGTTCCCTCTCTCACAGTGTCCTCCGCTGCGCGGGGCTGGATCGGCTATGTTATCCTCGTCTTGCACGCATTGGTTCTTATCTTTGGTTTCTTCCTTAATGCCTTGCAAACGTTGATCGAAGTCTTGGCCCGACTCGCTGGTGCTGGTGGCGCCACTCGTGGTGGTTTGGTCAAGGTCTTCGGAATGCGGCAACTGTCACGGCGTGTGCCGCGCCAGGATCTCGCTCGACAGAGTATGGGCTCTGAGGCAGCGATGCTGGCGCATGCTGATGACAGGTTGTCCTCGCAATTTGGAGACTCACGGCCACGCAGCTTGTCTGGGAGTTCTGCTCTCCTACTAAACCGCGCGACAGCTAGCGAGGGGCGTGCCAGCGCAGTCCTTGATTACGCCAGTTCTCAGGGCGGTGGTTCGCACAGCCGTGCCCCGAGTGGTAATCTGTATGCGCAGTCTCCTACTGCATATACCGGGGCCGGTGGATATTCCAGCGGATCACCGAACAGTAGCACATTTATTGCAGCGCATCCACGTGATCCGTACTACCGACCGCCACGCCCAGGGCGGAGAACGCCCCAAGGCTCCTTTGATCGGAGCAAACGGAGCTCGAGATCATTTTTGAAAAGTCGCGGGCGCGATGAAGAGGACATTGGCGAAGCAAACCCGATGTCTGGTCGGGGCACGCCCGTGCCTGCATACCTGCCCGCGCCCAAGGATGATATGGAGATGGAGGACACTGAGCAAAGAAAGGACTATGCGGTTCGTGAGGTTGATTTCTACTACCGTGTGCGTGGACCTCCACTCTCGCATACCGGTACTCGAAAATTGAAGACAGGACCGGCCGATCCCACCGGCCCCGTTTCTTCTGCTACTGGCTGGTTCCGTAACTTGTTCCAGGGCAAGACCAAGGACAAGGGTAAAGGCTTCGAGGTCGTTCGAAGTGCTCGGGCGCCACCTCCAGGCCTTTTCCCGGTTAGCGACTATAATGAGCCCTACCTCGATGACCCCCAGGCGGAAGATGCTGCGGCCGGTGGTCACTCTAGAAATGTGTCTACGAGTGAAGTCCCCTATCGTGACTCTGAAGGCGAGCAGGGTGGTGACCATAGCAGTGAGCATGGTGAGCAAGAACCCAAGGACGCTGGTGAGACCTCAAGGCCTCCGGTTCTGCCAGAGCTGAATACAGTTGGCGGCATTGAGCTACCAAGTCGTGTCGGATCTCGTCGTACACAGGCAGCATCTGAACACGGAGCAGAGGATGTCTTTTCAGGTCTATCTGTCGTAACCGAGGCATCTTCGCCGCAATCAAAAATTACCCCGTCTCATTCAGATCACCACCTCCAACCCCAGTCATCTCCCGCCACCGCCCGTCTCCCATTCAGCGGCAGCAGCTCACCATCCCGCGAGCGAGGACTCTCGGTCGCATCAACATCTGGCTCCCTGACTTCCAGTCAGAAGACCGGCCGCGAGGGCAGCCGAACAGAGCGACCCTCGAGCATGGGCTATGTGGCGCAGCACCGCACGCGCGATAACATCCACGAAGCCAGTCCCGACGAGCCCTCCTTCAGGGGCAGCGCAGCGGAACTCGTCGTCGAACATACTCACAACGAGCACTAAAACCTCCAATACCAAAATTCCCTCTTCCTCCAAAAAAATAATTATCCTAGTGTGTATACATGCAAAACACCATCTACTTTATGAACTCATTATCCCGCCTCTGCTCTCCTCAAACTCTGGCCGTTGTCACACAGCTACACCTCAACCCCCCGACAATTGTATTCCACCAAGCGGATTGGCCTTCATTAATGCCCCGGACACGAATTTTCTTTTCTTTCCATTCTGCTTCTGTTGTTTGCTAATATCAATTTTGCTTCCCCTCGCCTCCTTCCTTTCCACTGAAGCTCTGCTTTTCTAAGCTATGGTCCTGTGAAATGTGATTCTAGCTGTTGGCTGTGGTTGTCTCTTTTCATTGGAGATTGAACCTCAATGAACTCTTGATTTAACATTTCGACTGTTTCTCCCCAAAATTGCTGCTAGGCGTTTCGTTCAACGGGCTTGCTTGTTTCAATCTATGCATTTGCTTTTGTACTTTTGCGATTGGATCTGATATCTAGCCTCCTTTTTGGATTGGTTTTGGCTATTATGTGTTTTTCTTTCCATACTTGTTCTGGAGGGTTGGCTTTTTGAGTGCAGATTGATGGATACTGGGTGTGTGTAGCTGCGGTGGCAGCTGTCAGGATTGCTCTCAGAAGGGTACTGCTCTAAAGGTGTGCTCTTTGGTAGTCAAGTGTAATTAACAGGCCTCGTTACTTGACTGGCAGATTCCCTGCTGAGCCAAAAGCAAAAACACTGTAGCAATCATGTTTACGAATTTGCCAATACCTTCTCTACTGATCAATCTTCCAATGTTGGCGAGACTCTAGACATCCGTCCTTTTAGCCGAGTGCAATTGCGAAGTATAAATACCCGACAAGGTAGTTGGGGGATTCCATCGAAGTAGACTTTTGCATTCATGAACCCTTCGAGCATCTCAGCCATAGATGAATGGGTTTCTCTCGTTTAGGAACATGTTCAATCCCACATGAGCCTCTCCCTAATCGGGCTGGGAAATCAACTGAAGGCGAATGAAGTAGTATGTATTCCATCACCCCGAACCGTGCCGGTGGTGGCAACCTTCGGCATCGTTCTGCCGTGAGCTCACCGCTTTGAAGCCCGCCCGGCGCCCCACTGATAAGGACGATCACTCCCGCACCCTAAACATCATCTCCCTCATCATCAACACAGACCCCTTTTCCAGGTGGTAGATCACGCGACATTTTTGACCGGGAAGTAAGGTCTTTGTGGCTTCACTGATCGAGAATATTCTTTCTGTTCATCTCGGTCATTGCGGGAGAACTTGTGCGGGTGAAGAGCACATCACGAGACTCCGGTCGGCCTTTTTTCTTGGCTCATTGCGAAGTTCTTGGCCACCCCGTGGGTTTGGAAGAGCCTCAAGTGTCCGGTCGCTTGTGTAGGACAGTGAGTGTCTGAAGACTGCTATATAGCTGGGATCCTTCTGCATAGACGGGAGCCTTGTTTCAAAAACAAAGAGTGTGACTGCGTCTGGTAAGAGCTTCGAGTGTCGAGCATGGGTTGTTATCTGTTTAGATAACGATCGCAAAATCGCCCAGTCGTTCGTCATTGCACCAGTATGCTCACAGGGATCATTTTCCATCTAGCCACAAATTGAGAACGAGGTTTTCGGCCCTCTAAGAGACTTCAGAATTCTCCCCAAACCATCGATAACCCCTTCGTTCGCCCTTGATACTGTCGGCTTTCGTGACCACCGGCTCGGTACATCACATTGAACAATTTTGTGCGGCGTATCCCATGAAGATAAGCATGTACTCTGGCTAAGGCTGGTCCTGTTGCCCATGCTAGAGCACTTCTTGCATTGCATTCTATGAGACACTCACAGAACCATCAACATTCTCCATAATGTCCGGCTCTTCTACCCCATCTTCAGATACCTCCATGACAGGCCAGGTGCCATCAGAGGAAGAAGCCATCGCCAGTGCAGGCATTGCTGATGTCTCGATCGTCGACAACGAGAATGTGAATCCGCCAGCTGGCAGGCCGATAGACGCACAAGCTGTGCCAACGCCAATCTCTCCAGAGAGTGATTTCCTGCTTGGTTTTGCGGAAGCAAGTTCGAACAATTATATTCCTCCACAAGATCGGAAGCGCCGATTGACAAGCAATTCGGATGCTTCTAGACTCCAGCGAACTTGTTCCGGCGGAGCAATTCGGCCTGAGGCCAGTGCAATGGCTGCATTACCTCATCGATCCGTCTCTATGGTTGTACCGGCCTCAAGAGGTACCAGTTCCAGAGCACCAGGCTCGTCATATGCAACGGCGATAGATATCACATCTTCACCGCCCGATGATGGTCGGTATTCAGCGATTGATCGTGCAGATACTGGACATGGACCATACGCGGAAGGCTCGTCTTTTGGGGGATCGTCGAATCATGTCCACGTGGGGGAGAATGAAGCTCACCCGTCTAGAGTCAGCTCGAGATGGCAGCCAGATCCAACACCAGGTGCATCAAGTCATATATCGTTGTCTAGTGGCTCTTCGTCAGTGTCACGAACGCATGAAGGGCCAAGCGACCGGCCTGGCTACCAGACATGGCACCCTGGGTCGGCACCAGGTGGAGACGGGGATGCTTTGGCCAATTCGAAGAATACAGGCCGTCGACGTCTTATATGGGACTTTCCACCTCGGCGGTCTTCGCAAGGCTCAAGTGGCAGCGCACGGAGGAGCTCCATCGAAGAGAACTCGCATCCCGGACTTGCTGTCCAGCATGCGACCAGCCGATTCTTGAATAGAGCACCTGCCACATCTCGGTCAACAACTGTCTCCATCCCTGGAACCGAGGGCGATATATACCGGACACATACCAGAGCAAATACCTTGAATTCGTCCGGTTTCACAGACAATGGCGAGAGGACTATCGAAAGCTTCGGCTGGAGGCCAGAGCGCAGGGCTGTCGATAGAACTTCGTCGGAAGGATGGGTGTTTTCTGCGAGCTCGGGCGAAGCTTCTCGATCCAGGGCCGATAATGCCGATGAACGATACGGGAGGTATCCAGAGTATCAAGAAGTTGATATGCCGAGATGGCAGCCCGATGCAGAAGTCACGAGTTGTCCGATCTGTGGCACTGTCTTCAGCTTCTGGTACAGAAAGCACCATTGTCGGAAGTGTGGCAGAGTTGTATGTGCGAGCTGCTCGCCTCACTCAATAGTCATTCCTAGACAGTTCATCGTCCGTCCGCCCGACACACCCACCTCACAATCCGAATCATCTCCTGCCTCTCAAACTCCCGTCGTTGACCTGACCGGCGACGATCCCGACCCTTTCAACTCATCCATAAACCCTGCTCTCGGAGGTGGTGAAAAAGTCCGTCTCTGCAATCCCTGCGTCCCCGACCCGAATCCCAATCCCTTGGGATACGGTTCTCCACGAGGTCACGGTCACCGATCCACCCACTCGCTGACATCCTCCATGGGGCAAAACAATTCCCGAGGCGCAGTAAGACTCCATCCCTCTCTACGTGATCAATCAGTCAGACTAATCTGGTATCTAGATTGCCCCCTCTCGCCAGGAGCGACGAACGGTCGGGGCCAACGACCGGCCCGCGGGCCTTCAAGGACTCGGCCGCCCGGCTCGCAGGTCTATCTCTGGCACCATGGACAGCTTCAGTCCCAGCACGGGGGACCGAAGCCGTATGGCCGGTACCACCTTCGCCGTAGACCTGTCTGCCGCCGCCACACCGCCGCCACGCCCGCAAGTATCGGAGGAAGACCTCTGTCCCGTCTGCGGACGGCAATTCCCAGCGCTCAGCAATGAGCATACCCAGGACGCCCGCGAAGGGCATATCCGCGAGTGCATCGCCGGCTACGGCGCCTCACCTGTCCATGCTGAGCCCGAACACGTGGACCTCCGCCAACCACCACCATCGCTACGCCCTTCGCCCGCAACTGCACGCATGCTGCCATTTACGGCGACCGAGAAGGACTGCCTCGCAGAGGAAGGCACCGTGGCCGAATGTCAGATCTGCTTCGAAGAGTATGAGGTTGGGCAGAGCCTAGCCCGCCTCAACTGCTTCTGCAAGTTCCACAAGGCTTGCATTCTGGACTGGTTTTCACGGAGGATGACGTGTCCTACGCACCAGGGCTAATTGAATCCGGGGAAATTGGTGATCTCTAATCGGAATGGAGAGAGCTCGTTTGATGGAGTGCAGGTAGCTGTCCTGCTGGAATCCTTCCTTGTCCTTTTCTTTTTTTGTTTTCAACAGCGATACATTGGGGGTACTCTGATTTTTGTTTGTGTGATTAGCTTGTTCTCTGTAGATACCCCCAGCAATGAGACGATGACCTTTGTCAATCGGACCTTATGACATAGCTATGGACGGGGTGGCATGTACACTGTCTGCTACAGAAAATAGTATTCGTCCTCTGTAGTGGTGTACTCAAGATGGAATGGCTACCTACTCGAATAACTTGAGTTCTTTGTAGATGAGTACCGTTCGTCACAATTATTGTACTCTGCTTAGCTTCAGATGAATTGCCTTTCTTGATCAATCCTCCATCCGCTTCGTATAGATGTTGGTCACGTGCAACTAGGTTGAGGGGCCCCCCATTTACGCGAATCGACATTGCAAATTCGAGGACCTGACACTCTCTCTTAAGGCGGCTTGCAATTTTGAGAAAGCAGGTCGTATCGGTACTTCCCCCTGGCGCTTGTCTCGCTACGGCTACATTTCTTCGTAGCCGACCACATTGTTGTGTGACTTCTGCGCGAAGTCGCACATCTACCTCGGCGGTCGGTGTTTGCACCCGCCGTTCTCCGTCTTGGTTGTTCCCCAGTGAAGCGTTTGAGAAATCAACCTGTGGACACCGCGATAAACATCTCAAGCAGAGGAGCCAAGGCTGTCGGTCGAAAATAAGCTTTGCGCAAAGTATTTGTGTGATCCTCTGGAAGTATAACCTCGCAGAGTGGTCCGATCAATCCTTTATTTAGTTCCTGCAGACAACATATCCGCCCGTGGCACACCGTGCCCGACGCAAAATCGGTCTTTGTACGTGCCGTACCTCCGACAGGAATTCGATATGGGGTCCGACTATCCGGAGCCCCCCTCCCCTTACCCCCGCGAGTCGCACAGCGGCTTTGGTGTATCTCCAGGCGATCGGGAGCATTTCAGTCTCGGGCCACACCCGGCCGGAACGACGAGCAATTCCGAAGAGCCGCATCTAGACGCCAAACGGCCCCGCGCTTGCGAGCCATGTCGCCAACTCAAGGTCCGGTGTGACCCGGACCCATCGCATCCAGATGGCTCATGCAAGCGATGCGCCAAAGCTGGGCGCGCATGCGTTGTTACCGCGCCTACGCGGAAACGTCAGAAGAAGACGGATAGCCGCGTCACGGAGCTGGAGCGCAAGATTGATGCCTTGACTGCGACCCTGCAAGCGTCACATCGTGGTGCGTTTGGGCTGGAATCGCCTTCCAAACAGGGGTCTTCTCACTCGCCCGAGATTCCTGGTCGGCGGTGGCTGCGGGATGATCCGAATTTGGCGGGGAACAAGCGCCATCATGATGGGCTACTGGTATCGCAGTATCCTCGCCAGGATAGCCCGTCTGCGGAGAAGTTACCTCCACAACAGTCATCCTCTCGACAGTGGCGGGTTCCTTCGGCCGATGAGACGGGGCCGGCGAAGACGGGGAATGAATTCGCTGATGTGATTGATAGAGGTGTAGTGGATGTCGACACTGCCCAGGCGGCATTCGAGCGCTATGTTACGAAGATGGTACCGGAGATGCCCATGGTTGCCTTTCCACCAGGGACGACAATGGGTTTCGTGCGTCGTGAGAGACCGGCCTTATTCCTCGCTATCCTCGCGGTCGCTATCGGCCCGTTCAAGAACGATATACAACTCAAGCTTCTTGACGATGTGTATCGCATATGTGCAGAACGCGTGGTAGTCAAAGGCGAGAAGTCTCTCGAGCTAGTTCAGGCGTTTATAGTGCTTGCGATCTGGTATATGCCTCCGGACAACCTTGAAGAACTAAAGTTCTACCAACTCGTTCACTTCGCTGTGATCCTGGCTATGGATCTTGGGCTCAATCGGCGACAAGGGGGCGAGGACAGACCATTTAGTCGATTGCGTGAAGTGCTTCTCAAAAAGCCCTTGGGATCAGCATTTGACATTAATGGGCCCGAGGCGAAGCGTACTTGGGTTGGCTGTTATTTCATGGCGGTTCAGTAAGTCTTGCGCTTGTCATTTTAGTTGATAACATACTAACCCTTTTCCAGGGTCTCTACGGCTTTGCGGCGAACCCACCTTGTCAGGTGGCAGCCATACATGGACGAGTGTCTGCAGACCTTGGAGAACCACCCCGATGCTCTGCCCTCCGACAGGAAGATTATCTGGTGGGCCAAGCTTGGGCAGATTATCGAAGAGTCTAGCACACAACTTATTACCAATGATCCTTTGTCCATCATCACTTTTGCAGACAGTAAAATTCGGTATGCGGTCAAGGGATTTTCAAACCAGCTGGCCCAGTGGCGGAGGGAAATCCCAGAGGATGCTTATAGCTGTGAGTTGGCTTCTCGCTCGTGATGTCAACTATTATTAACACGCTTCCCAGTGACGTTGGCCCATACTTACCATGTCATCAATCTCTTTGTCCATGAAAGTGCAATGAGCGTTGATTGCAGAGAAAGCTGTCTCCCAAATTCGCCTAATAATGATCTTCCAACCTCGGTGCTTGCCCCACTCATCGATGCAATCAGTACCTGCATTCATTCAATCCACCAATCTCTAGACATTATCTGCAGCATCGAGCCAGAACGTCTGATTTGCTTGCCGACAGTGGCTCTCGCTCGAACGTCTTACCCGGTGGTCAGCTTGATCAAGATTTACTCGCTACTCGTCGCATCAAATACCCACATTGGTCAGGTGATTGATATGAATAGTCTCAAGATTGAATACTACCTGGAAAAGGTCATCACTCACTATCGTGCAGCCGCTGCCCGCGATGGTGGCAGGGCAGCGTCAAAATTCGGAAACATCATCATGATGCTGCGCAATTGGTTCCTCAAAAAAAGAGAAAATGGACCAGCCTTGAGAGAGATATTTGGCACAGAAGTACAATCAGACACACAGGGTGACAAACAAGCAGTAAGCCCACCCTCCATCAACCCCCCACCCCCCCNCCCCACCCCAAAAAGCCTTCTACTCACACCCTTCCAAGATGCAGCAAGGAACGACACCCCTTCACCTACTAAGCGAAGTTGCCATGGGCGATCCAGCCAATCGTGCCCCCTCGTCAGCATCCCAATCTCGCTCCGACCAAGAAAGGGTCTACACACCATCAACATACAGACAAAACGCCTGCCCTACACCCTTCGGGCCAATAAACCCACCAACCTCACTCACCCGCATGCCCTCAAAATCAGATCAAACACCATCAACAACATCCTGGACCCCCACACCCTCCTTCTCTCCTTCTATTCATGGAAACTCGGGTCCGGGGTATTATCCATCGTTCGCAACGCCGGACCTAACGCAGGGGTACAACGGTCTTCAATCGTCCACTGGGCCCAGTCAGCCTGGATACCCGGATATGTCGAGTACGGGCATGTCACTTCCTCAGCCGATGGGCATGGTACCGGAATTGGACATGAATGTTGCGTTTGATTCAGATAATCTGTTTGCGTTGGGGACTATGATGGACGAGGGGTTGTTTACGTTTCCGTTGGCTTTTGATGCCGATTTCCAGATGTAGGGTGATGTGTAGCGAGTCTTTTTGGGGTGTATGGTGGTTAGCCATGTTGATATTTGTTTTTATACCCTGGTGTAGATAATTATTGCTCAAAGACACATCTATTTTTGCCCTTGGACCTTTTGGTAAGATTTTATTTTGCATGGATTTAAAATGACTAATATTTGTCACGTAGCTCAAGTGATTTTGATAGGACAGTGGATTAATCGAGATACTGTCCGATTCAACAATGGCGGATTTTGGTCATCCTTACGTAGTTCGACATCTAGCTACATACCCAGTGGCAAAAATTAGCTCAAAGGGTCTATCTCCAACACAGCCAGGCCAACGAGATTCAACCCAGAGGGTCTAGCGGTTGATTTAAAAAGGAAAACGAGGCACCAAAGACTCCAAAATAAGAGAGAGAGTAATTCCATTCTCGCTCCGTGGTATCATTTTGCAAAGCAATTATCAAAAGGGTATAAAGATCTATTTTTTCTTTTCATCGTGAATTCCCCTGCCACGCATGGAGAATCCGTTGCTCAACATACGCCCACGGCCACCCATTATCTCTCTCCGTCCGACGCAGTAGGTCAAACAACAAGTTCTGCGCGAGGGGGTCATCTATCCAGGCGCTGCAGGCGCAGAGTGCGTGGCACGCCATGATTCGTAGGGATGGTTCGTCGTCTGCGGAAAAGGCTATGCCGAATAGGTAGTTCAGGTTCTCTGAAATTTGTTCCTGCAGGAAATTGTTAACAAATGGACGTTGCTGACTAGAAACATTGAGGGTAGCAGAGTCTCGTACCTTGAGTTTAGTACGCTGCTCGATGGTATAGTCGTATACTTCGTATTCGCGGATTAGCATCAAGGCCTTGGCGAGACAGACGTGTTGCACGGCGGTAGCTGCCCGGGACATCGAATAGATTAGCGCCAAACTCGATACCTCCAAAAAGGGGAGATCACTAGCTCCTTACAATGCCATAACGTCGTATACCAAACGACGGGGAAAGGCTTCCCGGCCCTAGAATCCGGCGGCGAAACGTGCAACGGCGTAAAGGTGTCCGGCCTGCCACCCTCCCAATCCCGAATCCGCTGTTTCAAAGCGGATTCCCCCGCGATCCCCGAATGGCTCTCGTAGTTCCGACCCGAGCCGTTATAACAAAAGTCGATGGTCTCGGCCAGGATCCAGATCGCCCGGTTGACCCAGTCGCTGTCGCTCAGGACCGGCTTGGCGACCCACCACCGTTGCAGGCGGTCGTCGAACGGTGCAAATGCGAGCCGAAGACATTTCTGGTACGTAAGAGCGAACTGGATGTCTTGGATCACGAAGACCCAAAAGGATGCCGATGCGAGGCCCCCGGATATGGCACAGTCGACATGTGAACTGATATAGACCGAGCCTGCGAGGAGATGACGCTGTGGGTCGTTGGAGGGCGTGTGGGCTGGATGGGACGGGGGTTAGCGTTAGCGTTCGTGTTTTTTTGTTGGAGCTTGAAGATGATGAGCGGGGGGCGGGGTTATCATCGTACAGGAGATTTGTTCGAAGAAGCGAAGGATCACGGTCGAGCTGAGAAGGATATCAATGCCGATTTCGAATTCCGGCTTGTCGAGAACCGGGAGCATAATCGAGATACATCGTTCATGATAGCTATCTGCCACATCGGGCGAAATCGTATTTGCCGTTCTGGATAGATGACATGCCGACACGGCTAGACAGGCGTACAAGAGGAGTGGGGAGTCACTGGCTCGCCCGGCTACATCCGCACAAAAGTGTCGCTCGGGATCACCGGCATCAAGCTAAAAATGTTAGCGACGCGCACGGTTCGCGAGCGAGGGCCATTACTTACCCACGGTGCAAGATGTCGTTGGAAATGTCGGAGCAGATAGGCTTCATTGACATTGGCGAGTCGAGGAGTCGAAACGGGCATACTGGATGACTGGGGTGAATGTGCAGAGGTCGAACGAGAACCGCCTCGTGAGTCTGCAATGTAGAAAGGGATCGAGTTACTCGGTCCGGGCAGAGGAGGGTCCATGATGGAGGACGGGGTTGATCGGGCTTCAGATGGTGATCTCGAGGCCGAATGGCCCGTCACCGGTACAACATGATACTCAGCTGCTGTCTGGTCGGTCTCATCTTTGAAGGAATCTGTGAAGGGAAAGTTTAGAATTTGTATTCCTTAGAAGGCTGGAAGAAGAAAAGTGGTCGTAGCGAGACCGCTCCAACCTACATTCGGACGACGATTCCACCCAGATCTGGTCATTGGGGAAGGTCAAATCGCTCTCCCCATACCTCGGGGGCCCCTTTCCTCGGAGAGACGGGTTTTGGCCATGGCGAAAAGAAAGCTCCTCCGACTTTCCAGGCGCGGGCACACATTCGCGGCCGGATCGTTGGCAGCGCAAGCATTTGGCTCCAGTCTTGTCACCTAAACAGACTGGTTAGTTGAATCTATTTCGCTGAGAAAGATAGTCGAGCCTGGATAGGTGTATAGCTGCATACATTTCAAATGGCGCAGCCGACAGGTGAGGCTAAATGGCAAACGTCGTCAGCATTGGCTCGCATATTTCCAGTGTGAGTAGCCACTGGGCACTGGTGAGAGACTAACCATCCCCTCATTACGCAGCAACGGGAGCGAGAACGAGGACCAAATGGGAAAGTTTCCAGAAAGAAAACATACTCGGTATCCCAGACCCGAGGACACTAGGTAAATATAATCCAAGGCCCTGTTTTTCCACTGCACGCAACTTAAAACCTATCAAACATATCTACCATGGGGAGGGGGGGAGCATAATGGATGGAGACTATGAGAGGCTAAAGTCAACAATCTGCGCGGAGAGAGAGTGGGGGTCTCTATTTTTCGATTATTGCCTCCTTTCCTATTCGAGGCGTGATCCCCCCCTCCCCGAAAAAAACTACAGACAACGCTGGTTGGCCTATGGGTCGATCATCATGACATTGTGCAGATAATTTTGGAGTACACCCAGACATGGTGCTGGTCCGTTGGAGATTAGCGACGAGAAAGAGGAGCAAAGTCGCCGGGCGAGTGGGTTTCGAATGGATCTGGACTTGACCCAGGTCGAGATGGAATTGGCTCTTTCTCCAGGTGCTTCATGGTCCGAGTTCCCTGCGCAGACGCGGCCCAGCTTTTGCCGGCACGCCAGGTGCAACGCTCCCCACCGAGCCGCTGTTTTGACAGTCTCCCATTGGGTTTGATTGGTCGGCACTCGTACCTCACGAGGGTTGAACAACGTTGGTTGTGTTTTCTCTGTTCTCCCCCCTCTCCGATGTAAACCGATCTTTGCCCGAATGAGAATTTAAGGTGCAATAATCTGGCCGAAATACCGCGGCTGGCTTCGGGAACCCGGGTGCTGAAGAGGTAAAAACAAGCGAGTTTGCATGGTCCACGTAGATCTTGGAGACGATGATTCTGATGGTCAATGATGTGGTGATGATAGTCAGGAGGGGAGGAGACACCTGGTGGTGAGTCTCTGTCCGTAGGGGAGAGTGGTTGTTGAAAGACACCCTTTCGCATTCGTATAGCTATTATTCTCTTAGCCTGGCGGAAACTATGTGGGCACGAGTCCCTTCCCGTGGTAGTTGCGCGTCAGTCCAGACCTCGTAACCTGCTCTTGCGTCGGTTCATGAACAAGCCGGGCACTAAGTCATCCAATCACAAGGAAGAACGCCACGGCAAAGTCTCCGAAGTGTCGTGTCGGACAATATGGTGATTATCAATCCGAGAGAGAGGCACACGAGTAAGGTGCTCGATCCCAAGCAGTCTAAATGGAGTCATCCCTTGAAGTACCGCTGTCACAAGCTGTTTCTAAGTTAGTGCCGAACCATGAAAATTGATGGTCGGTCCAAGTACAATGTCAGTCCATCCACCCAGACTGGTGGCAGACATCCATCATCAAGCTTTCGGACGGTGGAAACACTAGCGCCGCGACTTCCCTCCACTTTTCCTGTTTTGTCTCTTCACCGAGATGCTTTGTTCAGGACCGACCCAACAGAGGCCGTGGAAGGGTCAGTTCTTGTTCTCGGCCAGATGCTTTCCAAGAGGGGATCCAGTGGCCATGTGGCGGTGTCGAAAATGGTCGCAATCAAAACGAATAGTAACTCCATAGTGTCGATGGAGTTATATGGAGTCATGAGTATACAAACTCAAAAAAAAAGCCGCTAAGCAACCACTGGTCAGTAGCCACGCACGACTCAAGGATGGTACTATTGGATCGGGGACGCCGGGATCTGTCCTGGTGCCTGACAAATCCCGCAAGGGTGTGGGGGCAAATTCCAAAAATGCCAAATGCCAGCCCAAGAAAAGATGATTTCGGCACCGCCTGCGATTTGCTTTTTGGGTTTCAATTTCGTTGGACCCGTGGCACTGGATGGCGTTAACACTCCGGACCCGTCGAACCCTGTCGATCTGGGAGGGGCGCGTTTTGGAAGAGGAGTCCCCGAACACGAGTGGAACGTACGAAGCCGACGATCTGATTCGATCATTTCGTGTGCTTGGAGAGGAGAAGTCGTTGGTGCTAAACCCCGAGGCACGCGGCTGCCGACCAACCAGAAAGTTTAATTAAGGTCTCCGCCGGGCGAGAGTGTATATTACCCAAGACAGGGTGCGTTCGTCCGTGGACGCAGGATGATGTGGGGATCCATGTCGATGCCGAGAATTCGAGCTGCCTCTTTCAGCGATATGTGCCGAAGTCAAGCTCGAAAGGGTATGTGTACAATTGTTCAAGGGATCGACTGCGAGGAGACCGGTGACTGGTCTGGAGCCGGTCAGGATCTGGTCAGGGTGGGGGGAGGGGCGTTGGGGGACAGCAAAGTTTGAGATTCAATCATAGTCAATCCGCGATGTTTCGAAACTTGTCCAGATGCAACCTCCTGCACACTGAGATCATCTCAGATCAAAAGATTCAAGAAGCTCCCCTGATCTCGCGGATGAAAAAGTCAGGTGCAATCAACATGAAACCACGAATGCGGGCAAGATCAGGTGACTGCCACGAGCCTTATGGCCAGCGAAACAAGGAAACCTTGACTAACCACCATCACATCATCGCGCATTCTTTTCCCATTATCCGTCTCTTATCTCTCCCCCTGCCTACTAGCTTCAAAATCCCAATACAATGCTCTCAACGTTATGAGATCCCCCTTCTTTCCTTTTGGCATCATGATCGTATAAACCTTAACTCCTCGTCGCTGCCATGTCCCTCCCCCGTATCTCTTTCCTGGAAGGATGGGAGCGCACTCCAGCCGCAGCCTTCCTGCGGGGTCGAACGGACGATCCCCAGTCAGACACCGAGTCCGACGCTTATCAGGACCTCCCGGACGATGCTTCGATAGCATCATCGTTCCCTTCAACGTATAGCAGACTCAATTTCAATCCCTATGCGGGACCTGGATGGAGTGAGAGCGCGGTGGACGATCGCGACGATCGACCCTCGCTGCTGGGATCGCTGGGTCTCTCCCCCACGACGACACGGGAGACAACTCGGGCGGAACCCGAGCGGGGACTGTCGTCCCCGACGCCTCCCGTGGCAGTGCTGCACAAAGAGCCACCCCGATTGTCCAATACGTTGGGTGCTTTTGAAGTGAGCCCTGCACGACGAATTGGTACGCCGAGTAGAGAGAAAGAGAGAGAGAGAGAGAGAGAGTTGCGTGGAGATATTATGATATGTGCGTGCTGACGTGTTATTAGTCCAGGTTTGTTTGGCTGTGATCTACTGCTTTCTCGCCGCAGGTGTGGTATTCGGCTTTGCGGCGCTGAAGCCAGTCCTTATCAAGGAGCATGTATATGGTAATCTTTGCACCCGGGAGGAGCTTGATAATGATGTTGCGGTCTGTTCAGGGCAAGAAATCAAGTATGAACGTACAGTGCGAACTTCCAAGTATTATGCTAACGGTCTTGCCAGGCTGAACTTGATGTTTACTATTGCCGCCGTCGTCACCAATATCGTAGCTCTGCCGGTAGGAACTATCCTAGATGCATACGGGCCCCGGGTGAGTGGCATCACCGGCAGTGTCTGTTTAGCCAGTGGTGCCACCATGTTTGCTCTGGCTGAGAGATTGCCTTTTGACGGGTACATCCCCGGATACTTGCTGCTATCCCTCGGAGGACCATTCGTCTTCATCTCCTCTTTCCAACTATCAAACACGTTCCCCAAACGGTCAGGATTGATCCTGTCGATGATGACCGGCGCCTTCGACGCCTCAAGCGCACTCTTCCTAATCTTCCGCCTGCTAAACGAAGCAACGGACGGTCTCGTCTCTACCCGGACATTCTTCCTGGCATACCTGATAGTCCCCGTCTTCATCATCGCAGTCCAACTAACGGTCATGCCATCAACATCCTACAAGACCGCCGGCGAACTAGTCCAACAAGCCGGAGCCCAAGTCGTGGACGAAATGCACGACCGCATAGACGATCGCATCCACGACCGCAACGAAGGCGAACGCCAACGAGTCATCCGCCGAGAACACCGCCAAAGCATCGTCCACCGCATCCACGACCTCCTCGACGACGGCACAGCCTCGATAGTCTCTGCCGCAGGAATCAACGATTCAGTCTTCAACTCCCCCCTCCGTCCGTCCAGTCCCTTACAAGAAACCAACTACCCCAACCAACCACCCACCCCCAAACAAAAGCCCATCCAACCCCTGCCCCCAAACCAACCAAACACCCACTCAAGCGGCGTCTGGGGCGTCCTCCACGGCCAAAGCGCCCTCCACCAACTCCAAACCCCCTGGTTCATCCTAATAGCCCTCTTCACAATCCTAATGATGCTCCGCATAAACTACTTCGTCGCCACCCTCCGCTCCCAGTACACCTTCCTGCTCCACTCCCGGGATCAAGCCGCCCAAATCAACGGGCTCTTCGACATCGCCCTCCCCATAGGCGGCCTCCTCTCCATCCCCTTCATCGGCACGTTCCTCGACAAATTCCAAACGCGCACCGTCCTCGCAATCCTCGTCTGCACCGCGACTCTCATCGGGGTCCTGGGCTGTATCCCGGATAGTCTGCCCGCGGCGTATGGCAATATTGCGCTGTTCGTCCTGTACAGACCGTTCTATTATACCGCCGTCTCGGATTATGCGGCCAAGGTGTTTGGCTTTCAGACTTTTGGCAAGGTGTACGGGTTGGTTATTTGTTTGGCTGGGTTGGGCAATTTCGCGCAGGCGGGGCTTGATACGCTTACGCTGAAGCGGTTTAATGGGGATCCGATTCCTGTGAATGCCGTGTTGACGGGGTTGGTTGGGGTCGTGGGTCTTGCGTTGGTTGGGTTTGTGAGTTGGAAGACTGTTTCTATTCGGGCAGAGGGAATTAAGAGTGGTGGTGGTGGTGGTGGTGGTGGTGGTGGAGGAAGGGAGGATACGGCCGAAGCGAGTCGGAGTCAGAATAATGTTGGTGTGACTACGAGAGATTGGGAACGACAGCCCCTGTTGAGTGGTGCAGCCGGTGAGAGTGGTACACAGGGGCAGAGAGGATACGGTTCGTGAGTGGGGAGGTTGGGGAGTAAGGTGTTGTTGTTATCTACAGCATTACAATGATTGTTATACAGTATGACTTGGATGGGGGATAGGGTTCCCAGGAACAAATTTTGCCTCGATTTATTTCGAGTGTATATAGCGGAACTGATGATGATATATTCATGAATGCATTATCTCTAGTGTGAACCGAGTTGGCCTCGCTAGAGCTTGAACTTCCACCAGGAAAGGTCGTGAATCGGCACGCGTAACCGATGTCCACAGAAAATCGGAATGGACGATACTGCGTATGTACTGAATTCGGAATTTTGGAGGTGATGATTGCAGCGCGTGGCGAGAAATAGCGCGATGCAGGGAGACGTAAGCGGTTCTATGATGCAATCCGAGCAGCGGATATGAACCACAGAAGAGGTGATGGCGAGATGCGATGACTATAATATTTGGATTGCGCGTCGCAGCGGCGTGAATGAAATCAAGCCATAGGCATGACGGCATTTCCACAGTCCGAACACGGGACAGTGAGATGTCGAAAGGTCTCAAGTGAGCGACTTAGTCCTCACACGCGATTTAGAGTTCACTCAATCACATGCAAACTCTGAGCTTCGGCGAAGAATGCTTCGCCCGCCTCGTCACAGGCAATATCATACCAAAGCATCACGTTCATGGCGCGTTTCACATCCGTCCACGAAGTCAGCCCAGTGCGATGCGTAACTTCAATCAGCGCAGACCCAAAGAATGCTCGTTCAGCAGGACTATCAAAGGCTGCAATACCACCCAGCGTCAAGACCCACATAAGTAGAATACAATATTCCGTAGACGTGTACATCTCGGCCGCATCCGGGTGACGCAGAACAGCCTGAAGTTGCTTTGCGAAATTGGGCAGGGGGGTGTTATTTGCAGGGATGGGGAAGACGACGCCGACGGCGAAGATGAGCATGGCAAGACGGCAGGCTTCGTAGGCTGCTTCATGGATGGGTTGGGAGAAGGAAGTTCGGATTTCTGCGGCAGGTGGCACAGAGAGGAGGGTGTACTGCGTCAGGTTGCGCTGGTCCGAGAGTAATGAGACGTCGTGGCTGCTTTTCATGCAGTTTTTCATGATTTCGACGTAGGTAGCGGCGGGGGTCATGGCTTCTACGATTTGGGAGGTGAAACCTAGTTGTTCTAGCCAGCGGAAACTGTGGTCGATGTGATAAGCCCCGAAGCCGAGGAGCTCTTGTACGGATAGATTACTGCGGCTGTCATCGATGCCGCAGAATTCGAAGCCCGGGGCGATGCCGAAACAACTTGCCGTCATGATATCCGAGCTGGTGGAAGTCATAGTTAGTCACGAGGCCCTGAGCCAATGCAATCTTGTGCTTGGATACCACTTACAAGCAAATCGTCGGACGCAAGCCATGGAGCTTGATATTCTTGAGACCACCACGCATTTTCAAAAGCTGGACTAATCCGTGAACGTGAATCATATTGGGAGGCAGATGACCATAAACATCGAGCCATTGCAACCGTTGGAACGGCGCAGTAAACGGCGTGGTCCGATACTGATCGGGACTCTCCTCGAGGGCTTGATGATGGGCCATGCAAATCACACTGAGAAGAACGGCATCACTGACAGCACGAGTAGGGTCCTGCACAGCCTGACTAATCAACTTGATCGATTCCATTTCGCAGAGTTGCAGAATGCGCTGCTGCTTGGGTCCGAAGCTCGAATCGGGAACCCAGCCCTTTAACCATTGGACTCGCTGATGGCACAATGAGCCAAACATGAATGCCGTGAAGAGAGCTGGATCGGATAGGGAGAGTGGGAACCACAGTTCGCCGGCTTTCTTCTCATTGCTTGTTGATTTGGGAACCAGTCCCGGCCATATCACCGTTATACCTGATCGATTGGTTAGCTTTTTCTCAACCCTTGACATCGGCTTTTTGGGACGATACATACAATATGATTCGCACAGATTAACGATTTCTGGCGCAAAATTGGATGGGAACTGTGAGAACGGATCCAGAAATCCCGAAATTTGCGGCTCGATACGAGTCACCTCGTTCCACGGTACGACCGTTACCGGATCCGCAAAATTGGTTTTCTCATTTGCATCATCACCGCTACTGCTGTCACTGCTATCACTCTTCTGGGAAGCCGCAAAAGAAGCTCGTGGCCAGTCACGCTGCGGACGCGACATACCCAGACCGACGACGGCCAGTGTCCGCTCCGCATTGAACGGAGGAGGGGGATGCGATACGAAGGCAAAAGATGAGGATGCAGCATGTTCCGCGCCGATGGAAGTGATGGAAGTGATGGAAGTTCGAGACGAGCGAGATGCGGAAATCGAAGACTGTTCACTAGCCGCGGAACGGTCTTTGGTTTGATCGGAAATCCATCTTCCAACGTGGGCGCGGACTAATTTCTGGGCCTTGAGTCGTTCTGTCTCGGATGCCGGTCTGGCATTGACAAAGTGGATCCCATCTCGTTTGCGGGTTGTATTGTTTTGTTTCTTTCGGGAGGCCATTGTTTATCAGCCTTTGATCATCCCTGATCACCGGGACAGGACGTTATGAGAATTGGAGCGCAAGATAAGGCGGGTCGGCATCCTGCGATCAAGGCGCGGTGGGGAGTGTGATGAGGGTGAGGATTGGGGGTGTGGGTTGCGGGAGCGGTCGCGAGGATATCGGAGCTTGGCCGTAGCTGGGTTTTTATGACACTTGACACTGACAGGTCAGGTCAGGCTCGAACGGGTAGTAATGATTGGCGATCGGTGGGCGGACAAGGGAGGTGGAGGGAGTATTTTTAGGCAAAAGGGCGATCGGAATGGATCAGAGAAGAGGATTTCACCTCACAGGCACAGGTATGGGTGAACCATGATGAGTGCCAGTTCAGGAATGACAGAAGTCGGGGGGAGAGGGGGGGAGGGGGAGGTTTGTGTTTATAAGAGTTGATCGACTGGTAGGACCGAATTAGGTCAAAGACCAGAGCGGCTGCAGAAGAGAAGTGGGGAACTGACGAGAGAGAGAGAGAGAGCGAAAGAGGTGTCGATATGATTTGACTCTGGAGGGATCGAGTGATTGGCGAGACGGGAATTTGGAGGAAACAAACTCTGACGGCTGGAGACCCCGTGACCGGGATCGTCTTGACTTGACCAGCAATTTGAACCAACACAATCGACCTGACTATCGACCTCAGTACCTGGCAATTGACCAAATCCGTCCAGCTATCAGTCTCCCAAAAGACCAGCTAAAATGACTTGCAGCCTCTCTCGTTCTGGTCCCTGGTTCGCCTTCTCCCCAGTGGATCCCCCTCAATCCCAGCATCACCCATTTTAGCGCTGCATGGGAGCCACTCGCTCTGACCAACCTTCGCACTGGCCCTGTACGTGACTTTTCCCACGGTTCGCCTCTGATCAGTGTTCAGCTCCCCCCCTCCAATCGTGACCTATAACGCTCGATCCGGAAAAGAACAGCAGTAAATGTGATCATCGGAGACAATCTCCGGCTGGGTGGCAAGCTTCGTCCCGAGAGAGAGCCTCTAGGAAGACACTTGGCTTGCAGCAGCGATATGCTTGGGACCTGAAAATACGAAGTTCGCTAAAGCAGATCTGACACTGTGCTCGCTACGATTGGATCCACGCCGGCCATCGCTAGTGCAGTAAACCCCTCCTTCACCGACCCGCTCCGACGGAACTGCATTTCCACCGTGCTGATGAACAGGAGTTCAAGGTGATCTCTAATCGGGCAGGCCTAGTCTGTCGGTTATATGATTCGCGAGCATGGAAGCGGTCTCGATAATCCGTACTTTTTTTTTTGGATTTCCCTCCGGTCAACTCAGATTCCCGCTGTCAATGTCACGGTCGAAGCGTCAAGAGCCTAGACTCTAACAAGCTCGATCTTCCTCAAAGTTTCAAACACGAGCCAATTCCTTTCCCCGCGGACCCAGTCTTTCAAGTTCCAAATTTCCCGTGTCTAGCTCTCTAGCTCTCTCTCTCTCTCTCTCTCCCTTTCCTTGAAACACGGGGCTACCACCGTGCACCGAGCTTGGGTCCTCGGTTACCAGGGTTCATACTCCCACCGAGCCATCAATCCCATCACTCTAGTCAAAGTGATACATCCAACTATTTCAACACCAACAAAAAACCTTAAAAATCAATCTAGAGCAATCCGAACATCCAGACCGAAAGGACCCAAGACCCAAGAGGGTCCAAAGGTGCTTACCACCGTCCAGCTATCCACACCTTGAACGAACCCGCGATCAGATACCGAGGGACACGACGTCAGTTTCATATTTAGTTAAAGCAGCACACGTAGATCTGCAGATGGACCAAAAAGGTCCATCAGGTCCATCTGGTATTGTACTATACTTTCCTCGACCACAAGCTTATTGACAACTAACGCCGATCCCGGAAAAAAAAAAAAACAAAAGGACCAAAAGGACCAGTCCCGACGTTCCGACCGCGTAAACGAGCTGCACCTACTAAGCTCCCATCGTCCTGGAGAGAAATCAGTCCAATTCCCATCCGGCGACCCTGCCCCCGGAACAGAAATCGCCCGTCGATCTCATGCGCTGCATCGATGCCATGGGTAGTATCTATTCGAGTGGCTTGATGGTGGAATTTTGGATAGATCATACATAGTTCTACGGGCTCGTTTTGTACATCTCTGCCGTACAATACTGTAGTACTGTACTCTGTATTCTCCAGCCGGACTCCTATGGTACTGTACCCCATTTTTTCGAGTAGGCTCTCGGGGAAAAGGAGTCATCTTGCATATTTAATTTCCCATCAGAAGCAAAGACGGCTATGACTGAGTCAGTATCCTAGCTCCGGGAGGAGATAGTTAATAGGTTTGCTTATATGTCCTACGGCAATCTTGATCACGATCACGTCCCCACTGGACCTGGCTGTGAGTCTGTGATACGCCGGGGATGGGGAGCCCCGCCGGGCAAGCTGCGTTGTACCTCGTTGATCGGGTTGCACGGCTGAATCTGCGTGGGGGCCATTTGTGTCTATGACCGTGATAATCGTCGTAGGTGTGATATTGGAGTGTAGCCAGAATGTGAACTGATTATGGAGTAGTCGAGAGAATACGGTTGTAAACGTGTATCTGCAATCGTTGCGATTGAGTTTACCTTCTACCAGCTGTACCTTACTATTTTGTGGACGGATACGCTGGCCAGTTCAAACAGCTCGCACAAGAAGTGAGATAGAATGGATATCACAGCTAAATTTGGAGGGCTATCTCGATACGACCATCTAGTCAATCTCCAAAAGAGTATACTTGCCACCTAGCCCAGTCTTCGGATCCCGATACTCCTCCAAGGCCTTTTCAACAATTGCCATATACCCCAGCACCTGCTCCTCCTGCCACCTCCTCCCCACAACCTGTACGGCAGTCGGCAACCCTGCCATCTTTACTGAATCATAATGTTTCCAAGCACCCCGTGCAATAGCATGATCACAGCCCAGCCTCTTCAAAACGGTCTTATATGGCGCAACGCTCGCATCCCGAACGGCATCAACGTGTCCGACCGGTAAAACACCAGCGGAATAATCCAGCAGATTCCACAGGAACGTATACCCGCAGGACGAGACGGCGTCGTGCATAGCCTTGTGCGGGAGCGCGGGGGTTGCGTTCGCGGGGCAGAGGATGAAATCGAATTGTTGAGGCGCGGCGTCCCACCATGCATGCCAGGTTGCGCGGTAGGATTCGCGCCGAGCGACGAGGGGCCAGAGGGCGGCGGAAGATTTGGGGCCGAAGTCCTTGATTAGTGTGGCCAGGACGGTGTCGCGCTTGATGTAGCGGACGTAGAGATAGTACAGGTAGCGGAGGGGCCGAGGCAGGTGGGCGAGTCGGGAGAGTTGGGTGGCGCCCGGGTCGGAGGGCTCGAAGCTGCGCCGGGGGGCGTTGAAGTGGTGGCAGCCGTCGGAGTTGAGGAGTTGGGAGGCGAGGTTGAGGCCCGTGAAGGGGTCTGCGTTGGAGGGGGGTGTGATTTCGGTGATCGTGTGGCCGGCGGCTGTTAGGGCGGCGACAGTCGTGGAGAGGGCGTTTTCGATGGCGGGGGTGGGAGGGACGACGCCTGAGCTTGTTAGTTCTGGTGATTATAGACGTGTAAGGGAGGAGATGCGCATACCATCAGTGCTCATAAGGCCGATGCGGAGAGACTTGCTCTTCGCTTCGTCTTCCAGCTCATTGCGCCATGAGATGGGGTGAACGGTGTAATCATACTTCCAAGGCTGCATGCCGATGATGGACTTGGTAAAGTAAGTGAGATCATTGAGGGTGCGTGCCATAGGGCTGAAGACACTTGGGATACCCTCCTGCCCGGGCATACTAGTGCTGACCCCGACCTTGGGCCAACGGCCGGTACTGCAGCGGAGAGAGTAGATACCGCTCCAAGCAGCGGGTACTCGCACGGAGCCAGCGACATCAGAGCCGATACCAATGCGGCCACCCTGGGCAAGAAGAGCGGCTTCGCCGCCTGTTGAACCACCGGGGCTGTACTCGGGGACGTGAGGGTTACGGCAGTGGCCCCAGAGACCATTGGCAGACTCAAATGAGAGAAGGGTGATGGGGAGAGCAGTCTTTGCATATGGTACAGCACCTATCAGAATGATTAGAACATAGAGCTCTGCTTGAATGGAACACGTCAAAACATACCGGCATCCTTCAACAACCGAGTCATCGGGCCATCTTCCTGGAATGGCTGATTCGCCAGCGCCGAGTAGCCCAGGGTAGTATCGAAGCCCTTGACTTGGACAGAGTCCTTCAGTGAGACCGGGATACCCGCCAAAGGACCCTTCAAGTTAATCTCCGAATCGAGCCATGATTCTGCCTCTGGCAGCAGCAGCTCGGTGATACAGTTTGTACGTTTCTGAGCCTTGACAGCGACCTTGCCATAGGCCTGCAGGACAGTCAAGGGGGAGGTAGTTGACTCTTGGACATCACGGACCAGCTCTTCAATTGGTTGGTCAATGATCTTCTTATCGGCGTCGGTAAAATTGAGATGGTAGGGGTACGGCAACGAGGCAAAGCGAGCAGCACGCTCAGCTTGCTTTTGGTTGCTGAAGGGCTGTTAGTAAATGCTCTATGGTACAGATGAAGAACGAGGTGAAAGGGAGACTGACCGTACTCGCCGGTATGTAAAGTAGTCGAACGGAGGGAGCATTGCGGCGATAGCTGTGGAACGGAGAGAAGAGCGGCCGCCGGCGCCTTTTATCGCAAAGGGAGCTCCTGCGGGGAAGAAAGTGCGGAGAATGCGATAAGCCGATACGCACGGTCGGTTTGAGTCGGCGGTCGAAAGTCCGCTCGGCGAAAAATGAAGGGTTGAAGTCACGCGTTACGCTGAACCAGGCCAATGACTAGTAGTTACAGTACTGGCAGGATGCTACCTCTGGCCCCGTCCTGATAAGACAGCAGGCTATTCTAAATCCAGCAGGTCGATCCGCCGGTAGATAGCCGATTGACTGGGATCCTAAACAGAGAAGCCGTATTATTCCAATGGTATCTTCATATTCGTTAAAGCTATATAATAGGCACTATCTACTGTACTATAAACCAATCACGCCCAAAAGCCGCCCTGGAGGCGCGGCGGGTATATCTCCAGTTCTTTTTAATTTTCGGCCGCAAAACAAACCCATCACAACGCCGATGAAAGCCGAGGCAACAAGGCACAGAATACACCATATCCTAGCCAAGACCAGATGATTGGTTACTTCCAATGTCTCCAATAAGACCTCCTCGGACATTGGTAATGTGACTCAAGGTTCGACCTTTTGCAACCAGTTGTGCTTGGCCAGCCACCAGACGATCACGCCGCCGGTGACCAACAGGATGACCCCGAAGAAGATGACGAATCCCCAAATTAGCGAGCGCTTGCGCTTGCGGCGTTCACGTTCAAGCCATGAGTCTTTTTCCCTACACGCAAAGGTATATTAGCGGCTTTCCCCAGATTTGGTGATTCTAGGTGCATACTTAATAGGTGAAGCGGCGGATTCGAGATCGCTCTTCGCCTCCTCTTCCTGGTGGACCGCTGTGGAGAAACGTTTCCAGAAATATGGGTCCCGAACCAAAGCCATCGTAGGGTGTGTAAAGTGTTGTGTAGGGCGTAAGGTGTGATTAGCTGAAGTTTAACCCAATGTCGAAAATGCACTAGGTTGTGCACTCGACGGAGTGGTTTGTTTTGATCCTTGGGGTCGAGTCGAAACCGAGTGTTGAAGTGTTGGCAAGAAATGAATTGACGATGATGCCCCTTGACAGGCCGATGACAAGGCTCACAACCACAACAGCACGATTGTTTTCCAAGTGAATCGATGGATGATGGCAGTGACCGCACGATTATCTGTGCTGAGTCTGAGATGAGATTTCAAATAGTAGGAGTCTGGTAAGAGGTGAGATTGTGTACGAGCAAAACGGTTGGGAGGAAGAGAGAGGATTGGATAGGGGTAGGGGACAACCAGGACACTTAACACCCTAGAGAAGAGGGGCAATCGGTCGAGATACCTGGTGTGGAATTCCCAATCTGGCTAATAAAGGCTGGAAAAGGCGAGACAAGCTCATAACTCGCCGTATCTGGTTGCTGTCTCACCAGGCTGGACTATGCGAAAGCCCCTCACAACGCAGCGCTAGGCAACGTCAACAGAGTGGATGAACCGATGGAAGAAATGCCATGGTAACCGCTCATCCAATTGAAGTCAAGGATAGCGGCGTGGAAATGCCATCGCTGGGCATGGCATGTCGTCCGGGAATGTAGGGATGGAAGGTCATCGGTGATGATGGGGGCGGTTGTGGCTGGACTACAGCCAATCTTCGGTGCAAATGGGATATGTGGAATGTTGATCAGCTCGATATGCTTTGTGGTGTGGAATACAGCTCCATAAATCGCTTGATGAAGCGTTGTGGAGGATGATAGGGAGATCAATGCGTGATTTGCATAGTATCAACTGGCGGGTGGCTTGAGATAGATATAGATATTCGCGATCTGCGTGAGCACCGCAAAGATGATCACTGATCATCTTGCATGTCAGCTCCAATCACGGGTGTTAGATTATTGAGCCCACGTCCGTTACTATTGATGATCACAACGGGCGGGCCCTCCTTGCATACGCCGGTTGGCTTTGACAAGGCACCAGCACATGTCCATCAGTAAGGCCAGCTTCTGAATCCAAGGCGTGTGTATGAAATAGCCAATCAGTATTCATAGCATCCATACAGACAGCAAAATGATCTCCAGGGCTGGCGTGCGAATCTCGTGCTGTATTGCATTCAGAGATCAGGAATTGACAAGATACACGTAGCCGCTCTGGGTTGCTTTCGGCAAAAAACCGACTTCCCGACAGCCGGATCTCGACCTAGCATTTAACGACAAGGTCATCGCATATCAGTTGGGACTCATGTTCTTGAGACAGAATCCAGATCTGAGCGTACCTTTAGCTTGCTCTCCGTTCGATCAAAATAGCCTTTTGCTGGGTTTTCTCATGTACTGGGTCGAATAGGCTTCTTGCTTGTTTTGCTGGCGACTGTGCATTTCTCGACCCCAGGCAAGATAGCCTAGAAATTATTATTAGGCTGTAACTATCAAGAGCAAAAACCTGTAGATGAGTCCTTAGCATCCAAATCTTCGGTTTCCCAAATGAGTATACGATTGAGGTAGACCTACGGTGACTCAATGGAAAGCGGTGATCGCCACTCGGCACAATCAAGCTTTGCCGACGCAACCACCCAAGTCGCTGTCTTCCAACCTACGCACATTTTCGCCGACGATACTCTCCAATCCGTAAACGTCGTACATTTGACCACTAATATCGGCCAAGCTAAAACAGTCTCGATCAAAATGCCAACTGACGGAGTCGTCAAAAGGCAAAAGAAGAAGTCAATTGCGTAAGTCCCCAAGAGTTCCCCACCCACCCATCAAGTGGCCCCTTGCTGATGGCTGCACTCCAGATGCCGACGATGCCATGCCCACAAGATTAAATGCTCTGGCGGACAGCCCTGCAATAAGTGTCGGCAAGCCGGGTGTGCCGCCGATTGTCTCTACGTGAATCGAGATCGTCAGGTCAAGGTGCATGAAAGGTATGTGGGTCCGTCAGTGTCTTGACAGCAAATGCTCAAGTATTCTAGCTACTTGGACCAGCTTGCTGCTGAAAATGAACGTCTCCGTGAACAATTATCCCATTCAGCGGGACTCGGGAATCCAGATGAGAACTCCCGCTCTGAAGGTTATACTTTCTCGCCGAATTATCGTAGCCAATCTACCTTGCTGACATGATCCGCAGATGCTCACAATCACGAAACAGATACGCATGTGCAGAATCCCATGCTAGGCGAACGAGCATGGTTTCAGCCATACGACCCCTCAACACCGCCAGTACACATTGGCGAAGCAGCCTGCACGGCCTTTGCTACGCGACTACGCCAAGTGCTCTCCGGAAGCAAGAACACATCTCACATGCCACGGACGCAGTACACGCCCGAGTCGACATTAATGAAGCTTCGCAATCCAGCTGTGCAATGGCCGAGCCTTGCGCAGGCCCGTCTGCTCATTCAAATTGTGTTCAACCAAGTCAGTCGAGTGTATCACCTTGTTCTACGCAAGTCGACGATCGATGAACTCGAGGAAGCTTATCGGAAAGCTGACTTTGATAACCCCGTATTGACGTGCAAGTTCTTTGCATTATTTGCGCTCGGAGAGGTGTACTCGACTCGGTCGAATGTATCGCTTGACTGCGGTGTTCCCGGGGCGGCATATTATGTTCATGCTATGATGCTTATTCCTATTTTGCCGGAGCGGCCGAGTTTGACTCATATTGAATCAATTTTGCTGTTGGTAGGTAGCAATTCGAGGGTATGAATGACTGAGCTCGGCTAACCGTCTGTTTCTAGTCCCTTTATTCATATTTCCTTAACCGTCGCCATTCTGCCTTCCTGCTCGTCGGCAGCGCTATGCGTCTCGGCCTCACCTTGGGACTGAACCACGACATTCCCGAGTGTCAATGCCCCGACCCCGTCGACCGACAACATCGAATTCGCCTGTGGTGGGCGATCTATGTCTTTGACCGGATGTACGGGTCCAAGGTGGGCTGGCCCATCCAGATCGCCGATGACGACATTCATGTCGAAATGCCTTCCACTGTTCTAGGTGATGTCCACGATGAGCAATTCTCCGACACCCAATTTTTGGTTGCTTCTATCCATCTGGCGCGTATCACGGGACAGGTGATTGATAAAGTGTACAGTCGCAAGAAACAGCCCGACTCGTTTCTGCAGCGAGAGCAGAAGCTGCTTATCTCACTTAAGCAATGGTCACAGGCGCTGCCCCCGCATGTTCGATTGAATCGTGATGGGACCGGTCCCAAAAATGTCGTGTCGCTGCATTTGCAATTCAACCAGGTAAGTACTCGTCGTCAACTAGGACCTTCCTGTTTCTCAGAGGAACTCTTATTCACTACTCACCTAGTGTATTATCTTGGCCACTCGACCGATCTTGTTATACACACTCATCCAATCTCGCGATGCCAGCCATGCAGACCAAAATCACGCGCAGACGCACGTCCAGACGCTCAAAACGCTGAGCGACGCATGCATCCACGCTGCAAGGCACAACCACGCACTCATCGTGGCCGAGTGGACCAACGGCTCACTCCCGATCATGGGCTATTTCTACGCTCACTACCTCTTCTCCGCCGCGCTGATCATGGTACTCTCCAGTCAAATCCAATCAGAGAATCGTGGCGACTACGGATTATTCGAGACGGCAGTTGAAATTCTCCGTGCAATGCGCGACCACGGAAACCTAGCCGCGACCGAGTTCTACGATAACCTCCAATGTGTCCAACAATGTCTTGACAAGAATCAGCCGTCTAACCCGAACCCGAATCCAAGCGCGAAACGGGGCTCAACCGCGCGCAACTCCTTGACTGGCGAGTCAGGTCGCGTTCCGGATCAGCACCCAACGGATGCGTTGCCCGAGCTTCCCGACCAGGCTGCCCGACGAGCGAGCGAGGTGGGTCTTTCTGGAAGATCGGCGCTGGCTGACACGAGTGGTGGTCTCGGTGGATTTGGCAATGAGATGGTGTTTCTGGATGAGAGTATGGAACAGTTTCTGGCCCAGCCGGAGGTTGATTTTGGACCGTTGGATCCATCGGGTGTGCCGATCAGCGTGGCGGATGCGGTGTACTCGTGGCCGAATTTCTCGCTGTGGACGGCATGACCTGCAGATAGTCCATACCGGAATAAACATCTGCATGGTATGACGAGACGTCGAATGTGGCTTTGATACATAGTCAAGGCTCGTATGGTGACAGTACCACCTGTTCTCTGGCGAGTGACTGTGCTCCGATGGGCTGATGGCTTATGGCTGAGTGATTAGCTGATGTTCTCGGGGATGACCGCACAAATAAGAAACCGACTTGAGTCACCCATGTCATCTCATCTTGCCATTCCTACAATCATTCATCGAGTCAGAGGGCAAAGTAAATCCTGAGCGTCCCTAAACTTTCAAATATACCTCCTCTGTCCCTAACTCCCTCCGTCATTCCGTCATTCCCTGGATTGTCCCGTGGATCTCTCTCCCCGCAGTGGGTCCATGTGTGTTGTGCCTGACCGCCCCTCGCTGCCTGGGGATGAGCCTCGAGCGTTGTGTCTGTATTCTCCTGCAGACCGTCCCGATGCTCCTCCTCATCTTTCGTCCGAACTGCCTGGCTCCGACTCCGATCGTGCCAGTCCTCGCCCTGCCATGGCCTCTGCGACCAGCCACTGGGGGACGCTGATCAACCCGGATAAAAGCCCGGCACCGCGGTTGGAGCAACTATGTCTCGGCATCGCGCAGTTAATGGTGAGACGAGAACACGCATCGATAAAGACGGAGCGTTTCGGGAGGCGGGGAAAGAATATAATATGATAATGCTAACTGGACGATGCAGCCCTCGTTCGACTCGAACCCAACTAGCGATCTCACGCCAGACCGCCTCGCCGCCTTCTATCGCAAGGTCGGTGGTAATTACGATCCACTCTTCCTCGAGACCAAATCCCAAGCCCTCTCGTTCATCTACCAGTCCCTCGGATGTTTCCACAGTCTGCAACCTTCAAAAAGTCCCTACGAACCCCCCGCGGTACCCTCGCTTTGCCCAAATGGCTTCGTTCGATGGCAGACCATTCAGCTGCTCATGGACCCGGATGAGCACTGGCGCTTTCTCAACAACGCGGTGGGAATGTGGGACATAGTCGATGCCAAGGGCGAGACCTTCCCCAAGAGCATCCCCCGCGATGCGTTTCCCTCAGAACCAGACCCAGAAATGCTACAGTGGCATGAAGGCGTCGCCAAGCGACTGGAATACGATTATGTGAAGAGGAACGCCCATAGGGCGTCGCCCCCAAATTTCGGTGCTTATCACTATCATTTCAGTGGAAAGGATCCGTTGCCTGATGAGGAGGATTACTTTTCACATCCTCCGTCTCGACCAGGACCACGCCGACATAAGACTCATTATGATTCAGATCGGCCGAGTCGACGAAAAAGTCACCGGCGGCGTCTGAGCTCGGATGACCATCACGCGCCTAGCAGTCGCAGACCGGAATCAAAATTCTTTGCCAGGCCAGATGGCGGTCGTTCTGGCGTCTCGTCTCCACGAGTACAGTCTCCAGGAGCTCCACCTTACACCGATCGGCCGCCACGCTCTCGAGGTCGAGACCATCCGGCCTGGTACAGCCATCCTCTGAGCCCGGGGAGGGACGAAGCACCGTCTCATTCGCATCCTCAGTCCCATTCACACTCCCACACCTACGATGCCGAAGCGTCGGACCAATCCCCTCGCAAGGATAACTCCGACGCCCTTCCCAAACACCGTTCCCGACCCAACAACCTATCCCCCCCAGCGGATTCCCGGGGCCGCCGTCATTCACATGATGCATACATGCGCAAACCCTACCGCGATCTCTCGCCCGTAGCGGCCCGACGCTCCCACGGTAGTGGCAGCCACGAGCTACGTTCTTCGCGGTCCAGCAAATCCCGGCGCGAAGGGCGATCACGCTCCCGACCCCCACCGCCACCCGACATTCAATTCCGCAACCCCGTCTTCGACGGACCCGTACCGGCACCTGCACCAGAGCCCCCGCAGTATACGGCAAAACCTCCACCGCGAGCCGTGCCTCGTCACCGGTTTAATCTCGAGCCGGAAGAAAACCGGCGAGGCAGCTACAGCGGCGGCAGCACGGGTGGTAGTCGACCTGGTAGCGGCGGGAGTAGCTCAGAACGGCCGCGCTCATTCAGCAGTGCTGGACTATATCCACGAAATTCTCGCTGGACGAGTCCCGTTCGAAGTTCTGCCGCTAAGCGCTATGTGCCGACTACGTTGGCGGAAGATGCTGCATATGACCCGCCATCGCCGCGCCGAGCGCCGATGTACGACTGATGATTTATGACCTTTGAATGATATATGTTCTTCTGGAATTTCTGGCGACGGTTTCGGTTTTGTCTTTGGTTTGCATTGTCATCTCATCTCATCTCTTATTCCAATCCTTTGCCAACGATGAATCGTTGCCAGTCACGAATTACGACATATATAGGTGCTTCCTGGGCAGTGGTTGGTATTTGAACTTTGGAGCGAGTTTTGATTTTATGCTCTTATTTTCCATATTCTTTTTTCAGGATCAGTCAGCTCCCCTCTACCCCATTCATTGTGGCGTTTACGCATCGATGTCGATCCCAGGATGATCTCGGCATACATGAAGCTAGCATCTACAATGAACACGCATCTCCTCAAGCCTAACCATACATCTATTCTTCATCGCTCGTCCAAGTATGCTTGTACTCATAGTCTAAAAAAAGGTCTCGTCCAACAAATTCTAAATCTCTCCTGGAAGCTCCCGATACGCTCCCAACCCTCCCAACACTCAGACAGTTATCAACCTGTCGATCAATCTCGGGCAAACTTTGGTGGAAAACTTGTGGCGCGCTGCTGTGCTATTCTTGAAGCGTGGTGGCTATTACGGCGGCCGTGATGCGAAGTCCGGAGAGGGCGATGCTGCGATTTTGGAGGGCTCGAATTGGACATGTCGAGAAGAGGGTTGAGTAGGCTTTTGAGACGTATGATTGGGTACTAGTTAATGACTGGGAGGTTACTAATTAGCTTGAGCGAATGGAAGGAGTAGAGAGGAGTGTGGTAGACTTACCAGACGTTTAGAAATTGGTTATTAGGGTCTCTGGCGAATGCAATGCGGTTGTTTACCACGTCAACACCTAGCAATCTATCTATCCCAATAACATGAATATTTAGTTCTGACTGAGATACTCGAGAAAGAGAAAAGGGCAACGGCAAAACATATTCCTCGCATACCCAGTATTCAACCCGGACTCCGCAAAGACAGGCGGCCAAATAACCGTAGTCGCAATGCCCGCTTTCGTTTAGTCGGAGACTAGACCTTGCCAAAGAAGTACAGAAAGTAGACCATTTTCCATCCTTAATGAGGTCGGGGCTTTTGTGAGAGCTGAGATTGTTGTGGTGCCCTTAACTATATCCGGGATATAACGTATCTAGCACCAGAAGCTTCAATCAACAGTGCAACATGGAGCTCTCCGACGCGACTCCTCCCATGATGAAAGTCCCAAGCCAAATCCCACCGAGTACGGACATGAAATAGCCCACATTCATCGTCATCACCCCCAGCATCCTATACCCCTGTTAGTCCTTATATCCAACCCACTCACGTCAAACAAGTGATGAAACAGCAGAAACTTACAATAAATAGGCAATACCTGCAACAACCAATTCATAAGTCGCCCGTCCCGCCGCAGGATTCACACGCCATCTCGACCACCGACGACCAAGCTCCTGCATACTCAACTGCCACCCGGAAATACGCTTCGTCTTCACATCACTTGGAAGATTATGATCTAGCATGCTATGTTGCACACTATCAGTCCACACACGTCCTTCCAAAATGGGTCGGAGGGCGATGAGTATGCGGAGCAGGACGGCGAGAACGATGAGGAAAATGCAAGTACCGGCGTATTGGCCTTGCGAGGAAGGTGTCCAGGTTGTGGAGTAAAGCGGTGTTTTAAAGGAGGTGAAAAATGTCATGGCCATGTCGGACATGTACATCATGGAAGAGGACATGTCCATTGAGCTGGATGTCGAGGTTGTCGTGGACATGGACATGGACATGGACATGGTGGAGGTGGCCGTGGCCGCGGTCATATCAGACATGTCCATCATGGTGACTTCTAACCAGGAGTCGGCTGTTGAGATGGAAGGAGCCAGACTCTGCAGACAAGAGATGGAATCTGAATCTAGAGGCTAGATCTTCCGGGTATCGAAAAGCAGAATCGCTATACAAAGCTCTGAGACTTCCTCGACAGCAATCAGGAGAAGTTTTAAATAGTCGAACAAAAGATCAAACTCGGCAATCAGACAACCGCGCGAATAAACGATTGATTTTATCCAGTCTGTCCGCCAGGCAATAGCCCCAAGACAAGAAAGACAAGACAAGACCCACGCCCAGCATCACCCGGACGGGGCTGCCATATGTGTTCAGTCAAAATAGCGGGACGCCATGCGACTCGCGCCTCGCGAGACCCTCAGTACGGAACACCATTTTTCTCCGAAGGGTGTATAGACAATCCATCTCCATCGAACACAACCAGTCATGCCGCAGCCTTAACAGATCCGACCGCGTGTCTAAACCAGATCAATACCCGAATGTGCACCATCCAAATGGGTGCGATTGGCCAGCGGAAATGGGCGCGGAGTCGTGCTGCGGGAAGATCCACTTGGTGCGATGGAAACGCCCGCAAATGTGCTCATATTAAGACCGACGAAGGAAGCCCGTGAAGTGAATATTATATGCAATCAGATTTTGACTTGGTATACGACGTCGAGTATCGCGGTCAACGATGTGGATGATTTGATTGATGTGGTCATGATTGGTCTACTATCAGATAGCAAATACGCCTCAAATGGAGCGGTGGAGGGTGTCACTGGCACAATGCTCCGAAAGAAGAATCGTCTGCGCGAGATATGAGAATGTTTGCTGGCTTTTGAGAAGGATAGAACATCTCTGTTAGTCAAGGATACTGACCGTGCCCACAATGTTATGATCCGGCATGCCCCTAGTCTTTAGTAGAGCACTTATGAGCACATTCCAAGCCTGCAGCGAGCGGAGATAAAAGTCCTAAACCGAGTACGAGTCGCGTGCAGGATTGACCTAAGAAGTGGAGTGGCGCGCTGGAACGGGAAAAAAAACGAAAGGCAGGCTCCGCCAGGCTTTGAGGCCCCAATGGTACGTACCTGTATGTGTATGCCCTAAGAGACTCTGTGCATGGACGTATTAATAATGCTGTCCTGCTCGATCGAGGTAGCATCGTAGTCTATCATTGTTCTTCTGCTTTCATACTCATCCATACTTGCTCAAACAAAACTATCCACTCTACACATTCACTTTGCTATATTACGAATCAACCCCGACCAAAGCACTCCTAGCAGGTGCAAATCATCCGCTCTGAGCGCTCACGCAGCCATGGACATGGCTATGAGCATGCTTCCCTGGCTGGACCAGCCAGTCCTCCTACACTCTAGTCGCGACGCCGGCAATTGCACAATGACTGATGAGCAATGTGCATTCAAAACCTCTTACTGGCTCTTCTGGTACCAGGCGGACCATCGTTATGCGTTACCCACAGTAGCCTTCTTCCTTGTTGCAATTGGGCTTTTCACAATCGGACATGTGGCGTCCGGGATATTACCCCAACGCATCAAACAGCATTCATTGCTATCGCGTGTCTTTGCCGGATTCCGATTCTTGTCATACAAGGGGTGGAGATTACGTGGGTGGAATACTCAGTCCATTGGCATGTTCTTGCTGGGTGCGGCTGGGCTGGTTTTCTTCCTGGGTATGTGCAAGGATTCGGAGGTTTGATCCTAGCTATCAGATCTGAGGTTTGGGATCGACGAATACTGATCACTGATTATGTGTGCTTCTTAGCGATGACCTTGGGACCACGGCCGTATTATTGGCCCAACACGAAGGAGATCTCCTACGGCAATTCCCCTCCCATTGCTACCCGGACAGGCTTTATGGCTCTAGCTTGCATGCCCTTTCTAATGTACGAAAGCAAAGTCTTCCGCATACCTACTCCATATCTGGTCTTGTAAGGTCTAACCAGATCGCAGTGTTCTCGGCGCAAAAGCCAATCCCATTACCGCACTCACTGGCATCTCTCACGAAAAACTCAACGTCTGGCATAACTGGGTAGCCTGGGCCATGTTCGTACTAGCCCTCACCCATACCTTCCCCTTTATCGTCTTTCATATTTGGAAAGGCGATATTGTTGAGCAATGGAGTAGCGGCGGAGTCTGGGTAACCGGTGTAGTGGCTATCATCGCCCAAGCATGGTTGACTTTTATGTCCATTCCGTGGATTCGGTATGCGCATTCCCTGCTCTTGATTCTTGACATTTAGCACTAATTCAATCTTCTCGTTTAGCAATCGGTACTACGAATTCTTCAAGGCAACGCATCTCTTCATGGCCATGGTCTTTGTAATTTTCTTCTTCTTTCACTGCGACTTCCGCATGTCCTCGTGGGATTATTTTATCGCCACCGCAGTCCTATATACCCTATGCTGGCTTTACTCGCAGTGCAAAACATACTTCGAGCACGGTCTCCGTCACAAGGCACGACTTGTGCCCGAGTCCGAACACACGCTGCGTATCACGATCGACACTCGCATGGAATGGGGACCGGGTCAGCACGTTTTTTTGCGCTTCATCACCTGCGGCGTGCACTCCCTCACTGCCCATCCATTTACTATCTGCTCTGTACCTCAGAGAGACCGTCAAAACCAACTCGTCTTCTATGTCAAGGCACGTGGCGGGCTGACAGGCCGCTTACTGGCTTTGGCTCGGAAGAATCCGAATGTCCAAATCCCCGTTCTGATCGACGGTCCGTATGGTGGTATTACCACTGGTCGAGTAGGTGAATTCGACAGGAATCTTGCTATCGGCGGCGGTGCCGGTGCTGGAACTACTCTTGCTTTAATCGAGGACTTTGTGCGGTTCACTCCAATCCAGGCAGGCCGAGAAATGCAAGTCATTGTCGCAACGCGCGACCCGGGAATGCGGGCTTGGTATCTACAAGCATTGGAAGATCTCGCGGCACGACAGACACAAGGGAAACCAATTATTGGTCTATCCATCCACATCCACGAGACTTTCACAGAGAAAGTGGTGCAGCAGGTCGAAACAAATATCAAAGCGGATACCAAGACGGAGAGTATTCGGTCAAAGGAGTCCAACCCTTCAATGACGGAACTGTTTAACATTCAGTTCTTTACTGGCCGGCCAAATCTTCCTGCTGAGATCCAACAAATGACAGGTCAAGAAGGTGTGTCAGTTGGTGTGGTTGTTTGCGGGCCGTCGTCGATGATCCACGACGTTCGTGAAGCGGTTTCCGTTGCGCAGAGGCCAATCATGTCGGGGAAGCCTGGCTGTGCAAGGGAAGTATGGTTGCACAGTGAGAAGTTTTCGTAAGTTTTTTCTTCATCACGATTATTGAGACTCACAAATATGGTTATTGATACGATACATACAGATATTAAGCATTCTATTGGCCTGGATGGAAGAAGGGGAAACTGTCTTTAGTCGCGTAAGGTCCTTTAGTGCCAGATACCCATTCAATTATTGTCAAATATACTGCATCGATCTCCATTCAACCAATTGAAAGCGAGACCAATTTGAGCTGCATACTCATATCCCTGCACTTTTCATTCCAGATTTCCTCATTCGGCATGATCCACAGGGTTCGTCAGTCGTCCTCGTGGTACCCAAGCATCAGCCGGCGTGAAAATCCATGAAACAATCGCAAAGATAGTCACAATCGCCAAAATAATGGGGGCATCTGCAGAGTTCACATTAGTACGACTCAACCATATTTTGAGCATCATCAAAAACCGCAACCTACAGTTCAAAGTAGATGCCTCCACAGGAAAAGAATAAGGTGAAAACAACACCGCCACAACCCAACCATTCCAGAGCACCGAAACCACCTGGAAAGGCTTGCTCAGTCGACCAAGTGACCACTTTGCCTCAAGAGGCTCATTAGGCGTTAATACCAGTCTTCCAAGACTAATAAGTCCGTAGGCAGCTGCCGAGGGGACTCCTGCGGCCGAAACCAGAGAGGTGAACGCAACTGCTGATGGAAGGATTGTGCAAGTGATGATAGCAGCAACACCCCAGACAACGAGAACGGCATTCTTGGGTTGGCCCTCGGGAGAGACTCGAGATACCCAGCTAGATGCCGGAAGGACGCCATCACGCGCAACCGCGAAGACGAGCCGGGATGCAGCGGTGATTGCAATGGCAGTGTTCTACTCCATTGTTAGGATTCTATTCAAAGTGGCAACACAAGAGCAATAACGTACTAGCCACAGTGCTACCACTGCCAGAACACTCATGACAAGATGACCTCCACGACCGAGGACAGCAGCATAGAGCGGGACAAATGGTTGCGGCGCGTCGTAGGAGAAAAGAACATCAATCGGGGGCTAGTCATCATATCATGTCAGTGTAAGGAAAGTGAAAGGATTATATCAAAAGACTCACTGCGGCGAAAAGAAAGAGGATAACAGCAGTGAATCCTAAAACTCCACTTATGATGGTACTCCAAAAGATTCCCTTGGCCGCATTCACGGAAGCATTCTTAGTTTCTTCCGCAACGTGGCCAGACGCATCGAATCCGATCAGAATGCCTGCTGTGGCAAGATAAGAGAGACACCAATTCCAGCCTGCCGGTGCCCCAGTACCGTTATACGTTGTCATGAAGGCTTCATGTGCGGTTCTGAGACCGTAGGTGTTATGTGCACCAACTGGAAGCCAGATAACGTTCAAGATAAAGTCGAGGAATACAGCTCCGGTAGAGAACCAGAATACGTATTTGAAGATACGGGCTGCAAAAATGTTAGCATTTGTCAAGTTGTGATCTAAACTTGGTCCTTACGAGAGGCGAGATTCATCAATGCAGCGAGTGCAAGAAGTACCTCGGTGCAGATCCACTGGACTGCGCGAAACTTGATATCCGAGGAATCAGTCGGGAAGTCGACATTGAAAACGGTCAGTTCCTGGTGTAATCTTAGATGAGATGAGTTTCAAATGCTGATTGAATTTCAGTCAAGCATACCGATAGCATGTAGTTCACGGCCGACTGAGTGTTGCCTATATTCAAGTACAGTCAGATGGTTGTAGAGGTAAATGATTCCCAAAACACATACTGGCACAAAATGTGGTCCAAGCCGTTGTACTCCACCAAGCAACAATAAAGCCAAAGAAGCGCCCAAACCTTTTCCCACCGGCTTCTGCAGCCCAGAGGTAAATCGAGCCAGAAGTGGGAGATGCAGAACATGCCTCCGCGATCACAGCCGCGGTGATGAAAGTAAAAACACATGTCACGATGTAGCTTGTCCTGTGAATTTGTGAGCACAATCGTGTAGTCTTGCATTGTAATTCAGCCTTGGAATGTCTATCTTACCAGTAGGCTAGTGGTCCTCCCGCTGCGATTCCCGTCGAGAAGGTTACTCTCACACCACCAACGAAGTAGAGAGCGGCTGGCGACTGTTAGCTATCGAACAAAAGTTCTTTATTTCAAAGAGACATATGCGATACCAAATGAGGTAGAAAAGTTCTCGAACAGAGAATAGCTACGGTGAAGTACCTAGCCCGAAAGGATTGTAAGCATCGAATGCACAAATCTGTCAAGGTTAATGAAACAGATCTCAGCATACTTGTTTGTATCCAAGACGCTCCTATTTGAATGGTTGCTTATGTCAGATTCTTCACTTTTTTCCATGTACTGAGCTTTCATACCAAAGTAGACTCATCGTTCGCATTATCCTCCAAAGAGGAAGACACCTCAGGCTCTTTGTCATCCGCCATTGACGGAGTTGACAATTCGATTACCAAGAAATTTTCGTTCAAAAGACAAATAAAGCGGCATAAGGCTCCGACTATAAAGCTATTTGAGAGTATCCCGACAAAGGGGCCAACTCTTGTCGTCCCTCGAAGCCGCAAGACGAGAACGAAGCGAGACTCGATCTTGGCAAATTAGGCGCCACTATGGCGCGAGATGCTATACTATGCCTACTTGAGAGCCTCCTCCGCGGGAAGCGGCTGGTTTCTCCCGTCAGCAGTGGGTGATCGTGGTGAAGCATTATGCCATTTATGACCGGGGTTGCGTTATTTTGCCGGGGAATTGTCTGATCCTCCACCTCGGAACTCTTGGCGATATCAGATTTGGTAGGTTCATGCGACACCTTGTCTTCCTCGACTTTGTAAAATAGAAAAGAATATCGCGAATGACATTATATCGAATACTCTCGGTTTTGCTGTTCTAACGAGTGCCATGAGAACGAAAAACTGAAGCAAAATGTCAATGCTTTGGATCTGGGGCACCGTCCTGGGCGCCAGTGCTCTTGTGATCAAGGTGAAAGGAATTCCTAGCCTTCAAGTAGAGCAAGATAAGTAGTTAATAACTGTGGCAGATTATCTACGAATACTTCTTCTCGTCTCTATCGAACATTCCCAATGCTGGTCTGTTGGCTCCAATCTCACGGCTTTTGTGGGAGTTCCCTCTGGAATACCGGGGGCAGCTCACACTAGAGCTGCCAAAATTACACAAGAGGCTTGGTGAGCTGGAACAAAATTAAAATGCTCGATGGAAATTCTAATGCATGATTAGGCCCTTTGGTGCGCATCGGTCCGAATGAAGTGTCGTTCTACTCCCTAGATATCTACAAAAAAATCCATGCGCCAAACAGTGCTTTCATCAAGGATCCCCGAGTTTACGGTCAATTCGTACAAGATGGACATCCTGCCCTGTTTTCCATAACGTGAGTGTGAGAAAGCACTGGACTACGAAAAAGGCACCTGTTGACTCTACTATTACAGTGACGCCAAAGAGCATGCACAACGGCGCAGGCATATGGGTGTGCTTTTCAATCGCAGTCGGGTGCCGTCGTTGATTCCGATGATGCTAGATCAGATCTCCAGATTCAACGATCTTCTCGCCAAGTTACACCAAAAAGGGCCCATTGATCTTGTACCTACCTGCCGGGCCCTCGAGGCTGATGTTATGTGTGAGTTTTGCGTGACGATCAGGGACACCGGAATTCGCTGATGAAGAAAACATTGAAGCAAGATTCGCATTTGGGAGTCCTATCGGGGCAATTGATTCATTGAGTATCGGCAAGGAGTTGAGTATTGTCAAGGAAAATGATTTGAAATCATCAAAGATGCCACTCGTAAGCACGCCGCCTCATGTCAATGAAGCGAAAGTGTTAATAACTCATTTCTGAAATCTTCAGTACACAAAGTTTCCCTTTGCAACCCAGATATATGACGCTATATCATATTCCATCTTTGATCTTACCGGATGGGATATTTCCTCGGTCGCAAGTTCCAGATTGTTTGATAGGGTAAGACATTTGACGTTTATGGAACTTGCTACGTTGAACAGCTAACAAAATATGCAGTGGGCAAATGATCAGTTGGATAAATCTTTGGACTCGGAGAAGGCTCCCGATACCTCTTTTTTGAAAGTCATGGCGGGGCTTAGACTCTCAACACAGTCTGCATTGTCTGAGGCTAAGGAGATGTTGGGCCCAGGGACAGACACCACTTCAGCCACACTTGCTCATATTTTATGGGCCCTCTCCCTGAATGAAGACTTGCAAAATCAGCTTTTTCTGGAACTGGACGCAGCCCAATGGCCCACAGACATGTCAGCACTGGAGTCACTTCCCCTCCTAGTTGCATATGTCAAAGAGGGGATCAGATGGACTGGGGCGGCGGTTGCCATGCTTCCCAGAATGGTCCCTAAAGGAGGCGCTATACTTGCCGAGAAATATGTTGAAGGAGGAGTAAGTTTTTCGTATCCATAATCCAGGACAGATCAACCAATTAACTTTCAAAGACAATGATCGCAAGCTCTCCAATCTGGTATTTGCACGACGAGGTCGCCTTTCCTGAACCACATAAATATCGGCCGAGTCGGTGGCTGTCAAATAATACGAACGACGCAACCACATTAAGAAACGAATATTACATACCTTTTTCAAAGGGACCAGGCACGTGTGTTGGAGTCCAGTCAGTAATTCTTTGTCCTTCCATTTTCGACAGGCGCTTAGTCTTCAGACTAGCGCGGCTAACAGAGACGGAAAATCTAGTTTGGCTTACTTGGAGCTCTTTCTTTCGGTTTCCCAGGTTCTGAAGAAGTATCTTATTGGGCCATACAGCGATACAACTGCCAGTAGAAACGTTGAAGCCACTTTACCTTCGCGACGAGAGTGGGTTGCTGCTGTGCCCATAGGACCGCTGCAAGTTTCTCTCCACCCTCGTTCGGAAATGCGTACTACAGATACATGCAACTGAGATTAGCTATGTGCCATTTTACAATGCCTGATTGAACTCTGTTAAAGGTGGTTCTTGGGGGGTTAGTCCTTCTAGATATAAATCCTTGAATGTAATTTGACAGAAATATAGTTCAGATAATTCTTATTAAACATCGAAAAAGCCCGATCACAAAATCTCAAGATTTAACCTACTCATTACTCGCCCCCCTCTACCAAGAGTTTTGTAGGCGGAGGCCCGTGGGGACGGGCCCGAATATAATTAGGATGCGAATTAAAATTGTCTAAAGGTTAATACCAGCTCCCATTAGGTAATGCTTCCCATCGATTCCAACCCCTCTTTGAGGAAATGAAGCACACCGTCACTGTTTGAAAAAGTTTGTTTTTATCGCACCTTGCTCTTCATTAGAAATTTAATGAGTCTTCAATGACCGGTTGCGCGTATATCCGTCCTCTTGTAAAGGTGGGGCCTCCCAGGGATTTGGCTTTAGTAGTCGGCAGTATATTTCGGGTACAGGAAGATCACGAGGACAAATCTTCGATGCGGTGTCGACCTCTTCCAACAGTCGTTCAACTGGAATGAATAGACCACTAAATATTCAATCTACTCAGGCGAAGTAACGTGGTTGTGAATATGACTTAATGCGGTATAAAGGCTGCTGCGCCTGTGTCTCGAGTGGACAGACAACCTCGAGCCGGTGGCCAGGACCACGTTCACCGCCTACCCATGTCATTGGTGAGGTCTGGCCTCTTCATGGACCATTCCACCGAAGAAGCAGATGATGTACATACTAATACTCTGCTCTAGAACTCTAAGACCAATCCTCAATCCACGGGTTTGAAAGTCTATGACATATTTCAATGGAAAGTTAACGTACGAAATTTTGTTCTTTCGTCACTCAGATACAGCGGCTCTTTAATACTTCGGCCTCCGCTGCAAGCCAGGATTGAATAGTACTAAGACCGATCAATATGTCTAATCTAGCCTCTCACTTAGATACATCCGCGACCTTGGGGCGCGTAGCCCCTGCGGAGAAGCCAACAAAGCCTCTTATTCTCCTCTGTGACGGCACTTGGTGTGGCCGGGAGGCGGATACTAAAAGTAATATTTATAAACTGGCTGAAAGGGTTGGGTTCAACTTCCAAGATGAGGCTGAGGCGCACCGAGACACTAGCAGAGTCTGCTACATTGAAGGCGTGGGTATTGGGAGCTCTTTTTCAGAGTATGTCCGCATCCTAGCCTTCCATGTGCTTTCAGCATGCTCATGACTTACGTTGTATAGTTACATATTCAATGGTGTCACAGCGCAGGACATTGCGCGCCAGTGCGTTGAAGCTTATGAATTCATCGTCCATAATTATACATATCCAGATCATGAAATCTGGATGTTTGGTCTCTCTCGAGGTGCCTACTTAGTGAGAGCTGTTGCTGGTATGATTAACAACTGCGGAATCATCAAACCAATAACTTTGGACGGGGCAATTGATATACCGCAAACTCGTCTACTTTGCGAAGCTGTATACGATATCTATCGTTCCTCTTATTCTGTTGATGCACCGCACTCTGAACAGTCACATACCTTCAGGCGGCTCAAGTCCTGGCCACTTATCGGCGATGAAGACCGAGCGAATTCCACGGCACCAAGGTTCCTTCCTCCCATAAAATTCATGGGCCTGTTCGACACAGTGGGCGGCCTGGGATTGCCAGAATTTACTGGAGGTGTGGGCTTAGACTGGCCAGCCTTTTATGATCAAAACGTTTCCACTGCAGTCGAGAATGTCTACCACGCTGTGTCGCTACACGACAGGCTCTATGTATTTCAACCTTGTCTAGTGAACCGAAATGCGAAGAGGCATAACAAATATTGGGGAAATTTCGGCGTTACAAAGGAAGAGTGGCTTCCTGGTATGCATTACGACCTCGGTCGTCAGAGATTCAGATTTCTACGGGAGTTTGGGGGTGGAAAGCTGGAACAAGTCCTTGCCCGTTGGAGATTCGCCAGCAAAATCATTGAGCCGAACCATGTGCTTGCAGACTTTGCCCTACGATGGATGCTACTTGCAATTCGCGCTCACAATCCCCAGCAACAAGCTGCGTACCAAGTCATTCCGAGGATTGATCGATTCATTCAAGATCTAACCCGCGATATCCGAGAAAGGGCTCAAGACCCTGGTCGAGTGGGGGACGGTGACGTGTATGGTCGCATACTCTACTATGCGCCCTTCGGGTCTTTTTTGTTGGACATCATGAGAGTGCTGCGAGGCACCAGGTGGAAAGTCTCCGCCATCTACCAGCTTTTCTTTGACCTACGGGATCGACATATACCGGACCAGGGTGCAACCGTCTACGATTTCCGCCATTTTGACCTATATATCGCGGCATCCCTTGAGGAAGTTGGAAATGTTTCCGAGCAACGGTACCCATCGAATTCGTATGCGAAATGGAAATCAAAGCAGTAGGCGTTGTCCGTCAGAAGTGGAGCTAAGTATGGAATACGTGGGTATACGTTAAAATCTCTCATTATTGGCGCATAATTTTATTTATGTTTAACAATGAAAAATACTTTAGGCATTAAAATTTTATTATCTTCAACTAGTTCTTCAAATGCGCTACTCAACAATTTGTGTCTGACGACCTACCACTACGTCGTGGTTACTCAGCATGATCATTTCCACCTAGCCACAAAGCATACCCGTCATTTCTCTGCCCGTTCAGGGTTCTATGTGCTTTCTCATCTCAGGAACTTTCATGAGAAGCTCACTCTAATATAAAAAAATATCAAAGGCGATCGATCTTACCCAACATCCACTGTACATGACGATAAGACACTCGGCCTTGATCCTGAGCCTGTCGGTGGCCTGCCTGGAATGTCTCCGCAAACATCAAGCCCCGTTCATAATGTTGGATACCCATGAGTCCTTGCGGGCCATCCAGACCACCGTATCCATCTTGGGCTTCGAAGATTGCAGACCATTGCAAGTCAGGCATTTCAATATTGATGGGAGTCGCTGGGCGAGTCTGAAAGCCTAGCTCCCCATTCCAAGTCATATTCTGAATTGCCAGAAGCGTTCCATTGGTTATGACCAGGTAGTCCCAGTCTCCATTTGAAATGAGGACCCTGTTGGTTGCCTCAATGAGGCGGGGAAGAACACCCTCGGTAGGATTCAGAGACGTATCGTATTGTTGCTCAGGCCCTGGATCATTACCCACAAAGACACTTTCAGAGCTACATAAGCTCCACTCAAGACTTTCTGGTACATGAAGAGCTTTTTTGACATCGGTTCGATTGAAATAAGTCTCAGGAGCCGGTTCATATGCGAGGTCGGTAGGGAAACCTAAGACATCCCATAGCAGTGGACATGCTTGATTAACCCTGTAGGGATTCCAACATGGGTTTGGATCATAAGCTTCGAAGTATATCATGTTGTAAATATCGCAAACGGAATAATTCATGATTCTGGATGGCTGAACCTCGGAGGCTGGATAAGTGAAATACTTATCGAAGTACTCTTCATAGCCACACTCTTGGTATGTTGACTCTAGTTCCATCATGAAGGAACTGTTAAAGTTGAATAACTCTGAGTGTTGCTGAACAAAGGGATAAGCTGGGAGTTCCGCTTGAATCCAATCCCATTGACCAATGCACGCATCATACATTAAAGCCCCTAAATTATCAATAAGCACCTTTCTAATGCCGGGAAATAGCCCCTGAAAGTAGAACCAATGGCACTCTACTTACCACTGAGATTGAAATGTTCAGTGTCATTTTTATCAAGCATAGCAGCAGATATATAGGGCACATAGCGTCCGGCATAGCTTTCACCAGACATGAAAATTCGAAAGTTTCTTATGTTGTATAATTTTTGAAACTTTGTTAGAAATTGGACGAAATCGACAGCAATATCTTGTTCATCTGTTGCAGTTGGAGTGCCGACTGAGAATCCCGTGCCAACTGGCTGGTCGACCCTGACCACATTAGAAGTTCTCGTTAGCCCACGAAACTTCAATATCAGGACTGTAACTTACCACAACATATTGGTCAAGTTTACCCATGAATATTCATTGATTACTGGCTTGTAAGTACCTGGTTGCCACGTGAACCGTCCGTTCTCTTGTAAAAATCCCTGCATTGAGCTGCAGCCAGGTCCACCGTTGAGCCAGATTGTGAGGTCATCACTTGGCTCTCCAATTTTCGGCTGGAAGATGTAAAATAGAGAAGCATTCTCGCGGACTGGAATAAATCCCGAGTACATCTCGCCTAGGTCAAAATGGACATCAGGCAGGCTTTCCACCAAGTGCGCTGTGGGTTGGTAGATTTATTTAGTTGAAACCAGCAATATATGGTATAGAATATTCCCAAGACATAGTACATACGTTGAGTAACTTCATTCAAAAATCGGTAATCAGGTCTGCTGACGTTGTGGAAATTTCGAGAACGATCTGATTGGGTTGACTCTACGGCTTTTAAAAGTAGCAGAGCCGCTGCAAAAGCTGAAGGGAGAGACCGGCCAAACATTCTCGAAGTCGCTGGGCGCACCTTGGAGAACGACTTGTAAGAGGAAAAATACAACTTTCTCGGATTTCAAAGAAGCACTACTTATACTCCAACATCCTCGATTCCGTTTTCTCGGTTCGACGGGGTTCTCCCTGCAGCTGTAAGTTCGGGTACACCCTGACTCCACTGATTTCGAATTTCTTGGCAGGTAAAATATCTAATCTGATAATCAGTAACATGGCTGGCCATATGTGGGGCGATGGTGTGCTTCTAGTCTGTACACTGTGGGACAAAATTTCTCAGCTCTTACGGTCCGATAATCAACTCAAGCAGCACTCTCATCACAAGCGTGAGCATTAAATATTGCCTTGTGGGTACAAGAAAGTTCTATGATTCTCTAGAATTCAATGGGTACGGTAGAGTCAGATCTCAGGCAGAGAGCTTTGGTCTTAGTAATCGCGAGCGTTTTAACGTTAGTTAGTTAACTATGCTTCATTGTTTCAATTCCAGTTTGTTGTGGCGACTTCTCGTGATTGAATGCTTACGCGTCCTTTTGGTAATTGTGGTAATATTTCAAAAAGATACCATTTTGGATGCGAATGTGCAGTGGGTTAGATTACCGCTAAGACGCAGTTTTGGTAGAGCGATGGTCAATTATGTACGGAGGTAGGTATTGTTAAGTTTACCGGCATTTCATAAAATTAACCCCTGCAAAACCCACCATAGAGGCTAAAATTTGAGGAGCGGGTTCACCGGCTAGTTATGCATAGATCCACCTATTTAAGCCGTCTCTGCAAGCAGGCCGGGAGTGTGTATCTGGCTGGCATCGAGAGTTGAATGATCCACCACCGAGAGTTGGAAAGAATGCGCTAAACCGCTTTAGAAAACCAACTCTCGAGGTCAGCTCCTAGAATTAGTTTGGCGCACTGTATCAAACGGCGGAATACACCAGCAAGATTTTTTTTTGCCGGTCGGTTAACCCACTGAGACCGCACACACACCACTTTTTTACACGACAAATATGGCTTCTAAAGACGGCAAGTTAAATACGCTAGATGAAGGATTTATGGACCGATTAGATCGCGACAAGAGAAGGAAGGGGTGGCTTAAATATATAGATATCTGCCGCTCCTCAGCGCCTACCCATCCAAAGGGAACCAGACGTCTGCAAAACAGTCATCCGATGGATGTGTGATGAAAATTGATGATTTCAGGGGATCGTGGCAGGGGAGGGAAGGGGGGCTGTATGCCAAGGTATTAAGATGGGCCCGCCAGAGTTGGACGCTAGCCCGGTTAGGGTTAGCCGATACCAACTCTTGATGGTAGATCATTCACCTCTCGAACTCAACTATCTAATTCCTGGCCTGGTACCCCAAGATCTAAATATGAAAAAGGATCATAAGTTGGTTTAAAAATATGAAAGGAGCTAAATACAAATCAGGGATTTGTAGAACGCCCCGCCTCACTGCCAAGGAATCCCTGAATCTCCAGGGGATTTAATGCACCAAGGCAGTAAATCTAGATCATATGATAAGCACCACCCACACAATGGATCATTTTTCGGGAGCAAAAACATACAACAGTCAGGATTCGCATGTGGTCACCCACCATACTACTAACTGACCGGCGTGTGGCTTAAGTACGGCTGAGCGGACGGGAAGCCCTGTTCTCCACACCCTATGGTCGTATGTGTTTAACTTCAAGGATTTAGCAAAGATAACTCCTTGGTAAATTCTAACAATTGAATTCACTCACTGGAGTTTAGGTTAGACGACCTTTAGCCTAAGGGGAGCTAGAGACCCGTCAAATGTTGCTGTTCGAAAAGTGAGATATTTTTCCAGCTCAAGCCTCAGCTTGAGCTTGAGCTAGCGGCTTCGGAAAGTCTACTTTGTACGTCAAATTTGAGGTTCTTCTATTTTCCAGTACTTTCGAACTCATATGCTTGGCTTAAATTTAAGAGAAATTAGATCTCAAAATTTCCTTTCGCCTCAAATATTCAACATATCGAACAACAGAAATACCAAGAAAAAGTGATAAATCTTTGCACTCGGCCGGGATATGAGACGAGCATAGAATTATGACCTCTGACGGCGAGTGAATCGGATAGAAACTGCAGTTCATACCATTCTTTAGTATGAGGAGACTTCAGTATCAGAAGAAAAGTCAAAGTCAATGCTTGAGACTGTAATCTTGTCGGTATGCCAGGTGATACCGCCATCAGTGGACTTGAAGGTAGACTCAGTAACCTTATTGAGCCTCATGACACTGGCAAAGTTTGTGTCGGCCTCGCTCAGGGTAACTGTAAGGTTGGTGATAGCTGGGGCAAGATTAGCTATACGGACTGACTACCGACAGGAAAACTAATTGACTGGGAAAAAGTTACTCACAGTAACCAGCGAGTGTACCACAGCCTCCAGATCCAGTATAACATTCGTTGCTGGAGTAGAGGTATTGGAGGGAGGCATCGAGAGCTAACGTTTCGGGTCAGTAACAAGACTATCTGGCGTGAAACAGGAGCACTCACTGTTGCTCTGCTTTGAGATAACCTTATCTTCCATAGTGACAGTCTGGACCACCTTCCCGTTCACGACGGCAACTAAAACTGTTTGTTATCCAGCGTTCCGGTGTTTCATATTTGATAAGAAGCACTCACTCTCGAATTCAACAGTAGTGTTTTGAGGGACAGTCACATATTCCTGTCCAATTTGAAGATCTAGATGTTTGAAATTTGTCAATGTGAGCGTCTTTTTGCCTCATCTCCTAGCCACGCAGTGGGCAACGTTCCTTACCTGGAGTGTAGGTGCTTGCGGCTACACACCATTCGTCCGCACTGGCAGAGCAACCCCTTTGAGTGGTTAATTGCGTCAGCAAAAGATGTAACTATGATTTTCAAATTCTTGAGTTCCACTTACTGTGACTCTTGATTAGGAGACCAGTTGAATAGCGGCTGGTACAGGTTGGCATTTTCGTCTCCTGCGGTTGACGAGGCGCCAACCCAGACGGAGACCCAGACTTCGTCATTCTTGTTGGACACTGTTGTATTCGTCGGGACCGAAGGAGGCAGAATAGAATATGTGGCCTTGGTAATACGCGCGTTACCCGAAGGAGGTCCAAGATAGAAAAAGCTGTTTCCAAAGACCCACGAATCGGAGGGTTGCGAGGCAGCCGCGCGAATAGCGGCAACCACTGGAACAAGGGTATAAATGGGGCGCATTTTGGGTTTAGTTGCTCCGATCCTGTTGTGAAAGCAGTTGGAGAATCAGGTGGAACTATAGAAGTTGAATCGGGCGCCAGATGGGGTTAAATAGGAGATGGGACAAAACAACGATGTTCAAACGTCCGCCAATATGTGAGAAAATAAGGGGCATGAAGGATACTCAATATAGCTCAGCCTTATTAGCTTAAATCAATCGTGGGTCCATGAAGTTTCATGCTTATTATGTCTTGTTTCCTAATACTGAGTCCGAGGGTGGAGACTGAAACACGGAGGTTTCGAATCTGTCTTGAAGACTGGCGGGAATACACTCCCCGTGGGAGCCGCCAGTCATGACAGAAATTCACAGTCAGCTTGTCATATTTTCCCTCATTCGTTGAAATCTCATCCTGGCAATCCAATTCTCATGGTTTGTTAGAAATATTCAGGAACTTACTCACTCGAGGAGATATCAGCTTCCCCTTGACAATCGTAATTCATTCTTCATCAGACTAATTCATTTGAGACAAGCATCCTTCCACTTGTTGTCTTCAGGTTAGCTCCGCCGGATTTGATCTACATATGTTTAGTGCGACCGAGGCACTCATTCAATTTGCGGCGACACAATCCAGGTAAAGACGTATGTACACGTTCAGATCTAAATTGACACAGCTTCCAGGGTACGACAGTGCAATCTCGTCGAGTGCCGCTTTGCGAATGAATTTAAACTGTACTAAGTATATTTGTTCCATATCTAGAAGTAGACTCGTTCTTCTGAACATTCATAATGATGAAACAAGTCGGAGAAATGCTTCATACCCTCCCGGGGTTTCGTCGGCAGCATCACGATCGCCCAATGGTATGATTAGAAGGATAATTGACAAACAGCACATGACAGCTACCCGGGGATTTGTCATGAACGGTTTGTCGTCCTATTCAAACAAGCTTCGGGCAATACCGCACATACACACGCACACACAGAGAGAGAGAGAGAAAGACTCGAAGTTTCAACATAGGTGGAGGGGAGAGCATCTTCACGCGGGTCCCGACATCTTTGCCACAGTGCGCTGGAATCCAGGCTTACGCTCCGGACGCTGGCTGTGTCACAAGACTATCATCGGAAGCAGAAGTCGAGGCCTTCTGGAATTCGACAAAGTGCAGATCGTCAGGCAAATCCAGGTCTTTGAACTCCTCGCGAGGGAACGGTGTGGTCTCTCCTGTCTTCCGGAAGCCGCGTCGCATGTACCACGATATCAGATTCTCTCGGTTTGAAAGAGCATCGAGTCCCAGGACTTTAGAACCCCATTCCCGTTGGCAGTATCCTTCGGCGTAGGTAAGGATTCGTTTTCCAAGTCCACCCCGGTGACAGTCAGGGTCTACAGCGAGCATAAAAAGCCTAGCGCTGTCAGGGCCACGCTTGGAAACCCCGATAGTTCCCAACAGTGTGCCACTTGTATCGCCGGCCATGAGGAACAGGCTTTCGGGGTTGTCGATAATGCTCGCAATGTTCTTTGCTTCGATGGAAAACTGCGCCGCGAGCTGTGAATTCCCGACCCATCCCTCTCTGCAGTCTTCAGCACGAAAGGCTGATTCTATCAGCTGCTTAAGGTCCAGGATGTCATCCTGAGTCGCAGTGCGAAAATGCAGGTTTGTGTCGGCCATTTTTTCCTTTGTGTGAAGCTTTCACTGTGTAAGGTACTGGCTTTTTATGACTTCAGTCTTGAATTCTCGTCATGCCGTTTGTGGTTGCATTTTGTTCAGCACGCCCTATCGCTGACATGCCCTAGTCCTATTTGGGCTGAGGCCTTAGCCCTCATCGATGATAGATCATGTGTCAAGATAGGGCCTTCTTAAACACGCTAGAATTGGTTGTAAATTGAAAGCCAGCATATTGTGCCTTGTCTTGGGACACATACCTGGGACTGATCTAGTCGCGACTCGGGCAGAGTCGAGCTCGGATCATTCTAGATCACTTAAAGATCCCGCCCGATCTCAGTCACCAAGTCGATTTTATGAGAAGAGCCTGCGTAATTCAACTTTTCAATTTTCGGTAAAAGGGCAAACCCCTCTATAGATTAGTCTAAGCGAGCAACAAGTGACAACCTTGTAGGTGCGGGATTCAGAGCGCGTGTGGTCGTTGAAAGCTTCGTGTCTACAAGGAAGGATACGTCCCACTTGTATACACAATTGAAGATGATTTCCGACCAAGATGGGTCCCAGGCGACGAGACGAGAGATAAAGCAATTACTCACCCTTGAAAATTTTCTATGAAAGCACACAACATATAGTTAAACAAAAACAAAGAATGTTGCGCTTATTGAGACAAAAAAGAAACTCTCCCTCGGGGAATCGAACCCCGGTCTCCCGCGCTTATCGGTGTTAATGACAAGCGGAAATCATGACCACTAGACCAAGGAAGACGTGATGATCGAGTTACCGCTCGACCACTTGGTACTGGTTGATGTATAGATAGGCAAATCGTGGCACTATGATGCAGAAAAAATCCAACTCCAAACTTCCGCTCCGAACATAAGGGGGTCTCAAGAATGCATCTTTTTATTTGTTTCATATTTCCAATCATTTCTGGGCATATTAGAAATAGGAATTGTTATGGTTTCACAGTCCGCCTTTTCAATCTGAGGAGGTAAAAATAAACTTCAAATGGAAAATTTGCTGTGCATTGGTAGTCGACCAGAGAAATATATCCTGACGCCAAGCCATGCCAGAGTACCGAACAATCAAAACAACACTCTAAGTTGTCGTGTATTTAGTGCAGAAAAGCCGCAAAAATACCTGCGTGGTGTGGCTATTGAACTTAAACTCTGTGTCTCCTTTAAAAAGCATGTGCGATTGATGCTAGATTTAATTGATGCTAAATCGTCTCAAACTGTGACTGCCATTACTTTCATGCGAGCGAGTGTCTTTCTAATTACCCAGTCTGTTCATTGATCCCGTAAGTCCGAGGAGATCTGGATGATAATTGATGTTTAGGTGAATGCCGACGATATCTTTAATTTCTAGTGAGGTGCTCTATCTGGCCTCGGAGATCACTCTCCAAATGCTTGGCCGTACGCAGTACCAACCCCGTGAATTTCACTTCTCACGTGATATCGCAACCCTCATACAAAGGAGGGCTGTCATGTTCTTTCTGACAATCATTGCACCCGTCAGATTATCTACCGACCGAGCGCAAACAACTATGAACACACCCTTCGACATTCCGTTCTATGCAGCTGACCTGCCTTATCCTCTTCCCACTAGCGCCGAGATTGAGAATGCTCCAGACATCTTTCTTGATTATGGAGAGCGAAGAGTCATTGCAGTGGGCTAGCATTTTGTTGTGAAGTTTAGGCTAGGCGTCAACCTCATCGAGGGAGAGAACATGTTATTTGTTTAAGGGAATATAGATGTTCCTGTCCCACGAGTTTACGCCCTCTATTCGGACCGAGAAATTACATTATTATGGAGCGGATTATCGGTCGAACGCTTCTTTCGGCATAGCCCTAATTCACAACACCGGAGAAACAACTTATTATAGGCGAGTTGCGGAGATATTTTAACGAGTTGCGCTATCTGCCACCGCTAAAGTACTTTAGTAGCTTCGGCAATAGGCCACTTTAGATAGGATATTTTGGACCTAGGAACTAGATCCGCTAGTAAAAGGATCTTAACGAGGCAATAGTACGAAAGTACACCTACAACGGGGGCACTTTCTACAGAGCGGAATATCTCCGGAAATGTTTCCCTCTCGTATTTAAGGGCGACGGTGCGGCGTTCACTCACGGTGATCTTCAACGGAAAAACATCATGATCCGAGAGAAAAACAATCAGGGTAAGGAAGAAGCAAGCCTGATTATAGTTAGCTGGGAAGGAAAAGTCTGGGTGGTATCCGCTGTATTGGGAATATTGTTTGGCTGTTTGTGCTTTGCGATGGGATGATGACTGGGCGCTATGGATCGACAGTATTCTGACGCCATTCGTCTCTGAGTCTGCATGGCTACAAACACTGCGCTTAGAATTATGGTCATAGTTATCGAATACACGGCAACATTTAAGACCATCTAGGACAGTCTTTAACAACAGATACGAGACGTGGCCGCAGCTTGTGTTGTCCATCTACACGTGAGAGAGGCCGGTCACACCTAATGACCTATATTTAATGACGGCATTCTATTAACTACCGTATGCACCGAGATTCTACAGCGATAAAGAAACCCAAGGCTTGACCTTTCGTTTAACAGCAAAGACCAGCGACGACCAGCTAAAGATAAGAACACATGCTGCAGGCTGCTCATGTAAATCACCTATCAACCAGGGCGCTTAGCTTTCGAGCGAACGAAATAGCAGCCCTTACGCTCATCCACGCCGACTACCTATTTTGGTGAAGAGGTAACACTGTTGACATTGTCCAGACGCCTAGTTTCCTTTTCGCGAGATTGAGAATAGAGACGGTGGGTAATACTCCAGTCCAGACGAATGAACGGGGGCCTGACATCTTGCGAGGGCACCGAAGACAAGCAAAGAACCAAGGTGATGAACGAAGGCTGCAAAATTGATAGCAGAGACCGCACTGACTGTGACTGATGTGATTTCACTAGCCCCCCCTCTTGCTCTAGAGAAGATAGGTTGACTCGATAATGATTGAAGATAGAAAACAAAGAGCAGTCATTGGTAGACCTCACCGTAACTAAGAGGCTTGCTCGTTTCTTACATTTACCGTAACGGATGGGAGGTTCCGCGAAGGCCCAAGGGTAGACTTTGAGAAAGGAATGGCAAAATGTAGATTCGCCAAGGCAAACGCCAGCAAATCCTTCTTTGTGAGACTAGTGACAAGCCCCGCCCCGGCCCCTGTTGCGCCGTTGATGATCGGCTCACCCCCCCCCCCCCCCCCTAACAAAGTACTGTAGTCGGCCACGGCTCCTTTCATGAACGTTCGGAAATTGGCCTTTGACACACCAAGATTGGGCATTTGAAATTGCACCTGCCATCCCGGGTACTCTTCGTATATCGTATCCTCCTCGACGGGGGTGGTTGCGAGGTGTTCCTCAGCAATGGGTGATTGATGAATACCGTTCCAGGTATCCAAAATGCATCCGCAATAAACTGGCTCATGGGCGAGAACCAACAATAAAATCGGGAGGTTGAATCCAATTCGTATATTCCTATTCTTGTGGGGATGCTCCTGATCTTAATTGAAACACTTCCCTTTGTCTGAAATCCACGGTCATTGCTTTCACTCTTCGGCGCATGGGAAGGCCGTGGTAGCTCTGAAACATCTTTGTTTGTCATTATGATGCTCAATGAGGCGAGATGTCTCTTCGATGCTCATATAAAGCCAAGTAGATAGCCTTGAGAGATATCAACACACTATCGGAATACATCGTTGACGCATCCATACTTGAAATTTGCTCATCCTCAACCTCCCTCTGGGTCTCTTTGACACATTTTTCATTATGTCCGAGGAGAAAAGAGTTCAAGTAGAGCCAAGCCGCCCTACTAGACGGGGGAAAAGATCAAGGACTGTACCTGCGGACCCCAAGAGGCAATTTCCAGAGCCTTACCAAAGATACCCTCCTTCCGTACCTCCAATCACGGACCCCAAGAACGTGCCTGAGGGCTGGAATGCAGAAGATGACGATATAGATGAAAGGTAATAGTCATTTTCAAATCTTTGAAGCCTTCTTTTCTAATGTAGTATACAGAGATGTTGAAAAATGGATTCAGCGGTGTCACGACAGAATACAGGACGGCATCATGCCACAGTGGTGGGAGAAAAAGCTAGAGGTGTACTAGGAAATCAAAAGAACAATTGATTCGGCCAAGAATTCGGAAGAATCACATCTGAGCTTGGAAGTTGTCATGCGCGTGAAGAATCTCGAGCTCATCAAGGAATCACTCGAATCCGAAGGAGATCCATTTTCCCAACTCGTCAATGTCACCGCGCTTATAAATGGCTATCGAGGTGGCACTCTCACTTGGAAGGACGGAAGGGTCTCTTACTGGTCCGATGGAAAGTGCATGCATGGGCCCGTGGCCTTCAATATGACCTTTGACGATGCCAAAAAATACAACAGGCTCTGTGATAGGAAGTCGTTTTGGGTCGAAGGAGTAAGTTTCTGTTCCCTTAAACTCTACTAGGAGAGAATACAGGCAGGTTGCTGATTCAAAAGCAAGTTAAATGGGCCTGGGGCCATTCCCATGCTTGCGTACAATACCCCTGCTTGGAAAAGCAAAGTCCGCCCCAAAAGAATGCTCCTTCACCAGCACGAAGTACGAACAACCCACGCGATTGATTTAATATCGATATGCTAAGCTGAATGAGTAGATTGATTTCTACTTCCGAGTTCCTGGGGCGGGCAGTCAAGATTCCAATGTCGATTACGGTCACCAAGCTTCCCACCGCAAGTTTCTGGATGACACAGGGTCATCTATGCCAATTATATTCCAGGACGATGTGGAGCGAATTAATTCCTATGCCGGGGGATCCAAGCCTCCGTTCTTGTGCTACATCCACTCAACAAATGCCGATCGGGGCACGACGGTCAGTCCAACCTGTCTAATTGAGTACAACATCAGGTCGACACTTCCGAACCATGACTGGATGCGACCTCCTAATTCCTGGGTGTCGGTACAGACAGTCATGAAGCCTCATTATTTTAATCCTGCGATTGACTATAGACTGAGTGGTCTGTGGATGCGGCGCATTTTGTATACTGCAACGGCCCCTGATAACTTAGGCCTAATATGTCTCGCTGAGGATTTCACCACGCTGATACACTCTCTGCCACAAGCAGATGTTCGAAATGCAGTTCCGCAACCAGCGTATGGGCCATCAGATCCGGAATCCGTCAACACAGCGCCTACAATCTACGTCAGGAGTTTGATGAACGTTCAACCATAGCTGCACCAGCTGGTCACTCACATGCTGGGGGTACTATTTCACCTCGATCACTACTGCTCCTGCGGGCTGAGACTTCTGATTCGAGGCAGCGCGAACCATGGCCAGGCTGACTGTTTCAATGAGGCCAAAGATACTGTGCTTCTGATGCCACAATCAACCTTTTTCGTTTATTTTACTCCCATAGTTGACGTTTTATTGTCATTTTTGGAACCTATTGGTCTGGAACACTTTGGAGCTGCGCCCGATAAGGAATTTCGTAGCACTTTACTTGGATACGCTGTTTGTATTGATTTTGGATTATTTGCTTTGCGTTTGATTAAATATTACTATTAAATTATGAATGAGAGTTCTGCGAATCAGTTTGACAAAACAGCCGCTTAACATCATACAAGCAGGAAGTTTCTCGTATCTACATGGAAAACGTGAAATGCTAGAAGAAAAGACCTAGTTCAGAGAGGTATCACAGTAATAAGTTACTGAATCAAGGCCCTTCAGCCCATTAAGAATAGAAGTAAAAAGAGATCATGGACTTATTGTCCAGCACGAAGAGCAGCGTATCAACATTTAGGAATGATGGATGCAAGTACTAGCCGTCACCAGTAGATGCTGTGTTTGTCCGCTAGACAGACTTAATTGGTTCCTCAGAACTGCATGACAGCAGCGCAGAGAGCGCCGAAGACAACGGCGACACCCGACAGGGTCGCACGGCCGGCGGCGTTGAAGACAGGAGTGGAGCTGGGGGTGCTAGCGCTTCCAGCAGTGGAGCCGGAGCCGGAGCCAGCGGGCCCAGTAGGAGCAGAAGAAGGCACACGGCGGATAGAAGAGGTCTTGACACCGGCAGCGCTGGAGGAGCAGATAGTGGTGGTGCTGTGAACGGTCACGGTAGCAGCGGCAGGGCGCGAGGCAGAGGGGCGACCGGGAGTTTGACCAGAGACGCCAGGGGCACCGGAAGGTCCGGCAGGTCCAGAAGGTCCAGCAGGTCCAGAGGTTCCAGAAGGTCCAGATGGGGCGGGGACGCCGGAGATAGAGGGCAAAGTGCCGACAGCAGTCGTAGAGGTCTCGGAGCCAGTGCCAGTAGCAGTCACGGTGATAGCGCCGGTTGGGACACTGCCAGGGATAGTGGACGAGTCGATGATGGTGAGGGTCTTGGTCGAGCAGTCCTGGCAATCGGCCTCGCCAAGGACAGCAAGGCACAAGTTGATGGGGATGTTGATCAGACCGCTGCCGGAGCCGGAGTTCTGGTGGCAGTGAGCCTCGCCCAGGACAGCCAGGCAGATGTTGACAGGGACGTTAATCAGGGAGCCACCGTTGCTGCTGGAGGAGGAAGCCTGGTCGCACTTGGCCTTTCCGAGGGCGGCAATACAGGCGTTGACAGGGACGTTGATCAAGCCGTTGGAGGTGCTCTGCTGCTTGCACTCAACTTCTCCCAGAATAGCAGCGCAAAGCCCGACAGGCACGCTGATCAAGGAGCCACCGTTGCCGGGGCTACCACCGCTGCTGGAAGAAGAGGCCTGGTCGCAAGTAGCCTTTCCAAGAACAGCAATACAGGCGTTGACGGGGATGTTGATCAGACCGCTGCCAGAGTCGGAGCTCTGGTGGCAGTGAGCCTCGCCGAGGACAGCCGCGCAAATGTTGACGGGGACGTTAATCAGGGAGCCACCGTTGCTGCTGGAGGAGGAGGCCTGGTCGCACTTGGCCTTTCCGAGGACAGCAACGCAGGCATTAACAGGGACGTTGATCAAGCCGTTGCTGGCGCTCTGCTGCTTGCATTCAACCTCTCCAAGGATGGCAGTGCAAAGCCCGACAGGCACACTGATCAGGGAGCCACCTTTGTCAGAGCCACCAGTGCTGGAGCCCCCATTGCTGCTAGAGGAAGACGCCTGGTCACAATCGGCCTTGCCAAGAACAGCAATGCAGGCGTTGACGGGGATGTTGATCAGACCGCTGCCAGAGTCGGAGCTCTGGTGGCAATGAGCCTCGCCGAGGACGGCCAGGCAGACGTTGACGGGGACGTTGATCAGGGAGCCACCATCGCTGCTGGAGGAGGAAGCCTGGTCGCACTTGGCCTTTCCAAGGGCGGCAATACAGGCATTAACAGGGACGTTGATCAGGCCGTTGGAGGTGCTCTGCTGCTTGCACTCAACCTCTCCAAGGACGGCGGTGCAGAGTCCAACAGGCACGCTGATCAGGCTCTCGGTGGCGTACACACCCTGTACATGATCATATTAGCACTGTAGAAATCAGGCATGAAAACAGCATGGACCGATTCCGAGACTCACCGAGGCGGAAGCCGCAAGGGCGACGAGGGACGTAATAATAGACTGCTTCATTGTGTCGAAAGAAATAAATATATAGTTTGTTAAAAGAGTGTATCGTTATGAACGAATGGACGCTGCGAACAGCAAAAACGAGGGACTGAAGACCGAATAGAGAATGAAGCTGCTTGGAGAAACGATTTACAGCTGGGGGAGGGTTCCAATAATGTACTTCTCTGGTAGGTCAGGAGCCTTATGGACAATATTTGCCGAGTTAGCAATCATTATTGCTTCTCGGCTTGAGCCTTTGCAACCTCCGAGAAGCAGGAGAGAGATCCAATACTGTACAGTGCCGATCTGCATTTCCAAATGGTCGGCAAGCAAGGAAAAGGGTGATTGCGGGAGACCAGACCGGTCGAATCAACACCTTGCATGAATTCTAATTGGTAGTTTCTGTCCCTCACGAGCAGTATCTGACAAGTTCACCTTTGATCTCAACCGTGCAGGAGAGGGTCCTGGAAGCTAGCAGTCCTCATACCCCATATAGCCGAACTCAATGTGTACTGTAGGCCCCGCTACCGGTCCACTAGCTTCAAATATACTGGGCCTAACTGCTCGTGATTCTCCACTAGCGCATCTCCCCGGCCCCGTCTTTGACTTTAGCGCTCGTGACATTGTCGATCAGGGGGTGAAAAATCCGAAGGCCTTGGGGTTGCCTCGCTTTTGAGGTACACACATCTTTGATTATAGACCTCGTTTTCAGAACGAATGCCCTGTTTCAGCCTCAAGTCATTCAGAGTTGAGCTCGCTGAAGTATCCGGGCGCCACCCCCTCTCCTTACAGTTACCTCTATACAGTTTTGCCGTTGGCCTTTCTCTTTGCTAATAAGAGAGGTCATATCCTTGGCCATGGCCAGCCAAACAAAGAAAAGCTCCCCACTGCGGCTCGATGCGCTTGCAAAAAGTTCTGCAGCGCAGCTCGCCACTGGTATTCTTGCCCCTTTCTTCCGCGAACGAGGAGCATAAAAGTTCTGGGCTTGCGCCGTGTCCTATCAACAGCAATTCGGGCGCAATTATTGTACCAATATACCTAAATAGTTGAAAGCGAACTATATTCAGGGCCAGACTGTGGCTTGCAAGCCACCGCAATAGACCCTGCGAACTCATCTCATGTGGGCCTCGGCCTCTTGGGCTGAAGAAGGGATGCACATACATATGATAAGACCCCAGGCCCACAGCGACCCTTCACCTGCGCAATCTCGCCGCGGTCCGCACAGTCTGAGTTTTAATCTCACGCCTCATTCCTGGGCCCCTGCTCCAAGGCTTGTTAGTTAACACATGGCTTCGTCTCTCGAGGTTTCGGCGCGTGCATATACCAGCCTCGCCAATTCTTACACCGCACGTCGGCTCGGATGGTAACCGAGCAGGGCTGATAACCATATTTTACGAGCCATGCAGTACAAGACACACATATGTTTAAGAGGCAGATAGATGGATCCGTTTCCAACAGTAGGTGGATGCGACACCTTGGCGCTATGGATATCTTCGTATTATTTATTTACTCCACTGGAAACTAAGATTTAAAGACTAGAGGAATTAAGAGTTCTGGAGATGGTACGAGTCATTTTATCAGTGTTGTCAAATCATTTGCAGGTTCACACTTTTCGAGATACGCAAGGATGGTCAGCGTAGGCAACGTGTGAAAAGTTGTCCCGGAAAGCCGAGTTTTGGCCCATCAACCCCGCGTTCTTTTTTTAGACAACTGATAATTTGGCATCGCAAAATTCCGCCGTATCCGTCTTGAATAGGCTTTTAAAAACTCGTAGAACGGTGGGGTTCTGGTTAAAGGAACATCGAAAGAAATGAACATATCGGTGAGCAATGACTTTAGACCTGTCAAGTCTACGCGACTCGTTAGCTGACGCGTCGCCCGGTCGCAATAACAATATTGGTAACCACATCTGCTGCGAGACTTTTGAAATTGCCCAAAAGCTGGCATCAGATATTTTGCATCCAATATCGGCATGTAACGCAAGCTGGGAACCGATTCGGTGCGCCACAGAGCACATTTCCTGTATTAGCAGTGATGCTAACTCCTTGCATCATGTGGGCGGCCAGGCACATCCAGCCTCGGCTAATATGCACCAGCAAAATTCAATCGCTGGGTAGGCCATGTGGTATGAAAATCATTCGGTTTGACATTATGTCCCCGAAATCAAGGATGTGATTAAAGAAGCAACTTTCTGAAATGAAATAGAGAAGTGAACAACCGGGCTATGTTCCCCTAGTCCGGTCGTGCGCGGCTCACCGGTCTACACGCCCGAGCTTTAGGGGGAAGTTCACCCGCCTGAATGTTCACCTAGACCTACCCCTTTAGACAGATTGACGCAGGAAAAAAGATAAGAAAGCAGACACTAGGTTTTTGCTTACCTTATCCTCCTGCTGGCTACCTCTCAGTGCTACGCTACGTTCACCTCTCTCCAACCTCTATATCGTCAGTAACAATTACGAAAAGCGACCTAATACTAGCGTACACTTGCTATGTGGTAAACTTGAATAACTTCGATAATCTCGAAATATATTATAACTGTCAGCACGGTGTAACTACTACTTATTAAGAGTGCAGTAAAGATCTAACCAACTTTTTGTCTCACCTACATATGAAATGTTGTAACTAGCCACAAGGAAGAATATATGAGATATTTGTGGGTGCCTCCTTCTGAACCTACATACCAGGAGGTGATATATCATCAAACCTGGATTAGCTCAAGTTCTAAGACTCTTTGGAATGGCAGCTTTTATGGCGTAGCCAGACGGTTGAGATACCAAATGTATATTGGACCCTTGGGTATATCCGTTGAAGCGCAGATCTATATATCTACTCACGGCGTCTTACCTCCCCTAGGACCACGACATTCATACAACAGTTATCCCACCAACCAATATATGTGTATATCTGTTAGCAACAGCTGTCTCATAGACACATGACTTTGGACCATGCCAAACAAGAATTTCACTCGCAGAGCTCTTAAATCTCATAGTTCCATTTATTCATGAGTAGCAGCACTAATCAGATAGCTTTAGAGTAAAGCAGCACTGAGGCACTACGATAAGCTGAGATATCCTGAAATTTTCAATTAATGTTCTGCAATACCATCGCCCCGAAGTTTAAGGCCTTTTTTCCACCACTCATCAGCGAGCATGTAGCACAAGAAAGAGAGGTTGAAGACCAAGTTTCAGGTCGCCCATTCTGTTGGCAGGTACTAAAAACTCCGTCGAGTACTCCCTTGTCATATTCGAAACATCTCTCTCGCCAGAACCAATTTTTTCGTATCAAATAACAGCTGAATTTTTTCAGACCTGATTTGGGCCGCTCTGCTGAAACCGGTTATTCATTTACGTGCCAATAACCCAATCGGTATCATCTTTTCGGCCCTGGTTGGATTGCTGCGTTTGCTGGGGCTTATTCTCCTGACGGTGTCCCCAGACCCAATAGCGGTGTTTGGGATGAGCGTCACTGCCTACATGATTTGAGTATCTTCCAGACCTAGATATCCGACAAGAGGATATGAGATCGTACCAGTCGCTCCACCGGCCGGCGCCTCGTTCACGCGAGATTCGGGCTGAGTAGCCCCGACCTGCTGATTGGCCATATCTTGTTCAGGTTGTTTAGCTGCGTTGGGGGACGTGGGTGCATCCGTCGAATCGGCAGAGCCTTGACGCTGCCGATGCTGGAGCGCATCAGATGCTCTGCGGAAGAAGTCCGACATTCTGAAATATTGCCAGTAACTTTAGATCAATGGTGAGGACTGACTCGGGCAATGAGTCCCTCTCAAAGAGGGGCTCTCTTTATGTTTTATCCTACTACCAGCGTATGACATCACGTATCCTAATTGGTCCTGTGTTCTCGTGACCGATTCTCAAGGGGATACCTTAATATAGCTAGAATACCATTCCGACCAATTAAAACTGATGACCTTAAGAGCAGCAGAGTGAACGCATCATGTGCGGGGAACAGCGTGGAAGCCCGTGTGTGTGGGGATCTCCTTCAGTGGCTCATCGCTACTTTGAACCGGGGAACGAATAAAGGCTATTACCACCTCTCTTTTAGCTGTGTCTAGACGGTTGGAGAAAACCTCAACATTAGTGATGATTGATTCGATATTTCTCCAAGGAGCGCGTTGTTGGCCGGTAATCTCAAGGCATTCGTGCTTGTCGTGTAGGTTAAACGAAATTTAGTCCTACCCATCCAGGGGTCCTGTTAGTTAAATCATGAGCGAGCTAGCTATATTTCATTCTTGTAATAATGTAACTCTCAGCAAGTAACTGGAGGATGGTAATAATCAAACCACTTTGGACTACTTTGTCGATGGACTATTTTCAAAATATCTCACTCTGAGTAATCATAGGCCAGAGTAATGAGGCATTAAACCACTAGACCAAAATGCCCTGTGGACTACATTCCTGGCCTGTTTAGTCATTCATTGTTATAAGTTAACCTCATCCTTTTACCAAGAGTTTGACAAATGATTCACCAAAACCAAGCTTTTTAGATATGAATTGTTGTGGTGGATGACCTTGTTGTCGCTGTAGCTAGTCATCCCATCGCAGTAGACATGCGGTACGTTTTAAACCGCTTGATATCTGTGCAGTCAGTCTATCAGCCAATTTTATAAGGACGAGAAGCTCCATCGCCAAGACGTAGTTAGCACAGCATCAGACAGAACAAATAAAAGGCTAGGATTGTACTTTTCAAATGCTTTGAGAAGCCTTAATTTTGAACTTCAAGAAAGACGGAATCACTCTATATTCTAAATACTTTTTATCTGAAACCATGTCAAAGTAAAAATCCACAATAGAACCAGGGCGAGTAAAGGACATTCTTGATGGGCACTGGCGATATTCGAAGCTCGCATCAGTTTCGAAACACCGTCTCCGTATGAATCCTGGCCATATGTGGCGTTGAGTGTGACTGCCGCTGAGGTTGTACCGTCTTCTAACCGAATCCATGTCTCTATCTCGTTCTTCATAGTTTTCTGATTCAAATATATTTGACGTCCCCCGCGAGGAGCATCGCCATAGCCACCATAGCCAGTGTGTCGGCCGTAGCACATATTGATACCGTTCCCCGTTAAATTTTGATCCGCAATACTGCCATTCCATTTGAAGCACCTGTACAGGTTAGAAAAGAAAACCGGAACTCGGAATCTTGCCATACCAATCATTCTCGTGATCATGGCCACTGAAGGTCGCCATCAACCCAGAAGTATTAAGAAGAGCCCGCATGAACTGACTGTCTTGTCCCGAATAGTCCGTGTCGCCAGAGCCTTGCGACACTACGTCTTCGCCATTGATACCAGGTGTGGTATGATGATTGAAATAGTCTTCTTGATATTTGAGCATTGAGTGTGCAGGAATGTGGTAGAAAGCAAGCGATGGAATGGTCTTGCCATATTTCTCGGTCAGATTGGCATTCTTATCTTTAAACCATTCGCTGACCTATTCTCAATTTGTTAGAACTTCAAGATCTGAAAGAAAATATCGGGTGATTGAGAATGTAAAGGTCATACAGTTTTATCAACCCAGTCACCTCTCGCACCAGAAAGATCATCATTACTTCTATTGGTTGCGTAATGACCTCCCTTGGAATCGAAAAACCACAAAATAAGTGCAGGAATCGCATTCGAGCTTGCATGTGGATATATCGGCAAATAATAATTCGTAATACCAGCTTCGGGTGACGATATCATGCTAGTCGTCAGGCTGTTTCGATATTTTATCTCGTGCTTGTATATGTCCTGTTCCGGGTCCAGATTGACTTCGCTGTCATGATTACCATACGTCGATGCCCATGGTATGTCCATGTCCACTAAGGGCTTCACAACTTGGTGAAGATACTGGGCAGGATTGGAGCCATCCAGAGCTTCACCGGATATTAAGTCTCCATTCAAAACTACCAGCTGTGGGCTTTCACTTGCAATCACCTCGGACATGACATGTTGGGTTCTTGAATCGAGTGTCGCATCTAAGAGGAGTCAGTACAATTAGTATCAAGAAGTCTAGCCACATCATGGGACTATAATACTTTCGGCAAAATGTAGATCACTAAATACCGAGATCTGAAAGGTGCCATCCTTGGTAAACCTAAGCTTGGAATTGTCTTGTCGATTGGCCAAGGTAGGCTTCATGATATTCTGAGTCGCGTCTCCAAGTATCATTCCGAGGAAGTTTCAACGAACGTAGTCCCTCGCAATCTGTGCATCTTATAAAGAACATACAATGCACCATAAATTTTCCAAATCGATGCCAAGTCATCCACGTCATGATATTTCGCTGCCTACAAAGTCTGGGCATATTTCTGGGCAATTTTCGATCCTGCAGATTTGACGTATGACATCGCCGGAATTGGACAGGCCGCGATCGCCAAGATCTCCGCTGTCATCGGATTTGGAGATAGCGGTGATAAGAAGCTGGATATCGGGAGAGTCCCGCGGGTCAGCGAATAGCCGGAGCTAATGCACAACGAATAAGCGGACTACTGGACGAACTACCAAGGAGCACAGCCTCTGCTGACCGGAAACCCGGATTTTAAGGTCTGGGCATATTTAAAGCAATTTTCTTTGCATCGATTTTTGAATTTCAATCAATTATGTTCTGTATAATGTACTCCCTGCTGCGGTCGCACATCATAGCAGCGCAATCCGGATTGCTCACTTTCCCCACCATGAAGAATGTTACTGAAATAAAAGCCTCGAGCGCTTTTGCTTCATTTTCGCTGTTTATGAGTTCTTCTTTTGGTTCTTGTTATTTAACCACGAATTTCCTGTTTAGACATCTTACCAAGAACACTAGAACTGTTTTACTTGATTTCTGTGCCCTTTAGATAAGAAGATTTACAGTAGCGGCCAACGGCGAGAAAGACACAGAATGGCATTATTCACAGGAAAACCCCGGCCTATTTCTTCTTCAATGATCTAGGCCCCCTCGAGCACTGGAGACAGTCGCATTCAGGTACAGTAAAGTGAAGGCGCTCCCAAATCTCCCACAATTTTCTTAGTCCATGGTCACTTTCAGCATCCAGCAACGGTTTCCTCGATTTCCACGTCACATTGATTCTCTCTGTCTCTCGATCCATGTGCTCCGCGTATAGATCCACATTCTCCTCTCTACTCAAAGTGAGTCTGCCGATGTGATACGCAGTCATATTTAAAATCTCTGCAACTTCGGGAGGAGAAAAAAGGCACTGTGTTCTAAGTGTATCAATTGCATCCTGTATCGTGTGCGTGATTACCTGGCACTTCAACAAAAAGCAATAATTTGCCCGTTCGGATTCTCCTATAACTCGAAATCGGTCAAAGTCAACCTCAAAGCCATGCAAAAACTTCACAACTTTCTGGATATTCGGGTTAGGGCGAGAAAGCTCCTCACTCCAGAACAAGAGTGAGTTGACAAAGTTCACTCGCTTATCTCCAAACACGGTGATGTTTTGATTTGAAGCCATGATATTTGAGATACCCTATTCGGCAGAAAGAATTTTCGTCTAATTAAGAAAAGACTACTAAGAATCTATCGCTTTTGTAGGGAAGAGCCAGAAGAGTGAAAGGGAACGTCTTTATAAGGATAGTGCAATACAGTCCACTAAAAGCGCCATCTATCCAGAACGATTAACAAGAGGCTTTGTTCTCCGGTATTTGAATGAGCACTTTGTTTCCTACAACGTAGTGTCGATAAAGACAAAGGCAACCTTTTTTGAATTCAGAAACTCTTTTCAAGGCGATTCCAGGTCAACAGTTCTAGTGACGGCTGATCCACAGCTTTAAAGAGTGTGAACCCGTGAGAGGAGCTTCCTTGATCAACAATACAGTGCTATCCGCCCATTCAAGCGCAGGTGTGGTCAAAAAGACAAAGAATGCGTCTTGAAAGGACCTTAAAATGGGTTATGGCTTTGGATATGCACACCGATAATCATAATTTAGCGTATGCCTGATGTCATAGCAACGAGCGCTGGATAAACTCTATGCGGGGGTCTTAGAGCACTTTCTTCTAAAGAGCCTCATGATCACTTGCATCAGACTAAGGGAACGCGGGGATTCAAAAGTCACCTTTTTCTAGTCCCGCCCGGGGCTGGCCCACCCAGATCGATATTGTAAAGACCGACCGCGTAACGGTAAACCTTTGCCACCTTTTGGAAGGGGGTAAGGGGGTCGTTTATAGCCCTTGTAACCGGAATGAACAGCGGGGGCGGCCCAGGCAGATTCAGGCAGCGCCAACCAGGGCATTGATTTTCAAAGCAGAAGTGCTTAACGGGGAATTAAGAGTCCTAGATGTGGGACCCGATTTAGTATCGGATAACACTAACGCTCTTACCCAGATCTATAATATTTCCCGGCGAGAGCTCTCTTGCCACCACTTTGCTCTTATTCCGATTTCCAGTTCAGGTCCAGGCTGGGCTGTATTACCCGTCGGCACTATGCCGATCGCACGCAGCATTTGGTGTAGAGAAGCTCGAGACATGAGACTTGTCATATACGAACAGTTTCAATATTGCTGATGGATGATGTAGGATCATCATTACAATCAGCCCCGATGCGATTTCCAAGGCAACTCAAGAGAAGTCTAAACCATTATCTTATCAAGATTGAGCGCATTATGCCCAATGATCTAATTATTCTCATGCACAGACGCCATTTGTGATAGTTTATTTGACTTATTTTAATGCCAGGGGGCCAGGCACAAGGATCGAGGAGCATGAACTAGCTAACACGCACTCCCAGTTGTTGTGCATCAGGGATGCACAACCCAGCCTCTTTGATATTCAATCCATGAGATACGTAGTTTTGCTACTTTACCATATACACTAGGTTTAAGTAGTTACCAACCACCAAGTATGCAACATGCAGATGGAATCAGATCACAGAGGCGTTGGAAAATTGGTTGATTTGGGGTCCTCAGGTGGCTGTTAGACGATGTTTGTCAAGACCGATAAGCGCCTTTCAAGGCTAAAGCTCCACGAGAGTAGTGCATGATCGAATTGAAAGACATTAATTGGCTAGCCATGTGGCATTCTCCGAAGATGAATACGAGAACGTGCGCAGTTGAAGGGAGCTCTGGAGAGGTGTAATATGTACAGTTTCATCAAAACATGTTGGTCGGGAAGAGATCAAAATAGATCATACTTCAAAGATTGACAGTGGAAGAACAGTTGACTTTGAAGAGTATTTCTCTCATTTCAACAGAAAATCCTCCGATGACCTTAAGAGCGACTATGTAGTTTGCGGCTTGAAATTCCGAGATCGAGGCTGGGGCTCAGGCTGACAGGCTCTTCTCCGCCCCGCCCTGCTTTAGTGTGTTCGCAGCCTGAGAGACTCTCTCCTTGATTCCTCACCAGTCACTCCTACCACGTGCTCTCAGTACACGTGCGCTTTATCCGGAGAGGGCGCACGCTATCGCGTTGCTGAGCCTCTTCTTGTGCAGTCTAGCTCATGGCACAGACTCGCCCGCTGGCAGTGCCTGGGTCCCTGCCGCGGACTCACGGTCGCTGGCTGGCGCTTCTTGATCCTGGCGCCCTTGGACGCTGACACCATGTCGTCGCGACAGCTATCTGCCACTTCTCATCTCTACCATCTCTCGGTACCACCATCACAACCCAGTGCAGTCGATCATGCAGCCCTCCAAGGCCAACGTCGCGGACTTCCTGGCCTTTGTGCCTGGGGTGGATGCGGGGACTGCCTTCTTGTTCCTCGAGGTACCCACCACGAAGCCCGTGCTCGTTTGAAGATCCCCCCTTTGCTAATAATCCGTGTCTGTCAAGCATGCAAACTCCGTCAATGACGCCGTGAATCAGTACTATGACAATCCGCAAAAATATGCCCGTCGTCCGCCGTCCTCGATGTCATCGTTGCGAAGTCCTATTAGCCCAGTGAGCTCGACGTTTATGGCAACGACCCGCAACTCGAGCAGTCCCACGGCGGAGCCGACCAGACTGGCCAGTTCCCCACCAATATACCCGTCGCCACCTTCATCCACGATAAGTGGAAGTGCGAGTGGCTCGCAGCCCAAGGCACACACAAATGCAGTGATCGAGGCTGCGAGGCTTCGAGCTCGGGATGAGCAAGAGATGCAGAACATGCTACAGTCGGTTCAGCTGTCTCTTCAGATTTACAATCCCGAGATTGAGCCGGAGCGGGAGTGTGGGTACCCATGCAACTGCCTCATTCACAAGTATATTCAACGGAAGATGGATCGCCTCCATGTTCAAGAGGTGTGGTCGAAAGCAGTCATGTACCCGGGCGAGAAGCACTACCATGACTGCACTCAGGTACGCTTGTTCAACAACAATCCGTACCAGGGTGTGGGCTCTCCGTACGGATTTAGTGGTTCGTCTTTCTATGGAATACAACGACCCGACCCACAATACCACGCCAACTTCGTTCGCCAAATCCTCCGTTTGAATGACTCGCTTAATACCAAAGCGCGCGCGGCCATTGACGCGATGGAGCCGTCTTTTAATATCTGGGAAGTCGATCAACTTCAATCTTCAATGTCGAACATCAGCATCGGGCCATCAAGAAAAGGCGACCATCCCGGCGAGAAATCCAGACGTTCGACCTTGAAGAAGGCGCTTTCCATTCGATCTTCCGAGGAAAAGGTCGCCTCCAAGACATCAAAGATCTTCTCCGAGGCACGCGAGCTTCGCGACTCTATTCTGAGAGAGGAGAACGGCAGGTGGCCAGAGCTAGAAGACCGACAAATTGTCATGACATACCAGAACCAGGTCGGATTGACACAGAAAGTTGCCGAACTTCGGAGTCGATGTCCTCTTCAATATCTTCACTTACTCAAGGCCGGTTACCTCGAGCCTATTCCAGTAGCCTGGGCTAAGCAAGCTTCCAATCCCCTCAAGTTCACCATTGACGCCGCCGCTGGGTGGCGGGGTATCACACCGGCTTGGAGAGGGTACGAGGACACTGCCGAGGAACGTCTATATTGGGTGTTGAACCATAGATCCGGAGATACCCCCACCAGGCTGAAACCCGATTCAATATCTGCGCTGGAATTAGCCCTCGCAAGAATGGCACTGGCAGTCGAGCCGCCGCCAATATACTATGCGGCTGACGATACTTGTCATGTTCGACATACTTCGAAGAGATACTCGAAACAAGTCATGCCTCCTCCTTTCCGATCGTTTGATGCCCCCCAACAGCCGACAGATGACACCATGATTCTGCTGGATGTGTCGGGCTCTATGGATTTCCAACCGCGACGACCAGAGTATAACCAATTTTTAATTACAGGCTTCACGAGGTCTACTCAGCCAAAGAATAAGGGTAATATCTTGAAACGCGCTCAAAATTGAATATCGAGATACTGACCATTCCACTAGACCTGGCTCAAGCAATCATCCGTCGCTTTACCGACGCAATGTCTAACCACGATCACAACTGGTCCGGCTACGAACTCACCACATTCTCCAGTCAAGCCGAATACATCGGCGTAATAAACCACTGGAACTTCGAAGAAACGTGGCGGACCATAAAATTCGGTGGCCGAACGCGAGTAATGACAGGCTGGCAAAGCATCAAAGAGCAACATTTCCAGAAACACGCCGCCACAGCAACCCACCACCCCATCTACGGCTGGCAAGCCGGCCCTCAGACCCCGATCCTCCGGCTCCTCCTTCTCCTTGACGGCGAAGCCTCAGACATGGACGAGTTCGAACTCGACCTCCTCAGTTTATCCTGGGTCCACGTCACCATCTTCCTCATCGGAGTAGACGGGTGTCCGCACCACCATCGACACGCCAACGAACTCCAACGCATTAGCGAAGTCAACCCGCACGTCTCATTCGTGGATGCGCAGGGTAATACCCCGGAGCGATTCATCACCCATGAGTTACTTAAGCGTCATCTGGGGTATGAGCTCTCAATGACTGAGTTCGAGGGACTTGAGCATGTGCCTGGTGAACCGCAACGGGTGGAGTTACCGGCGAGGGAGCCGCCTCCACCGAATATGCCAGAGCTTGAGCAACCGCCGCCGCCGTTGCCGGTGGAGTTACCGGCTGGTGAGGTTGTGTTGCCGTCGAGGTTATCTATGGACCAGCCGCCTCCTTATTCTGTGACTGCGTAATGGGGGTAGATATCTATGTACCAATGAACGTGTGATGATTCTAATGGTATACTGATTCTTGTGCTTGCAATATTTATGTTTTTCTTTTCCTGGAGATGTCACACTTTAGATGGGCTGGTTCGTTCCAGCCTGAGAAGGAACGCGTAAGACCAGGCATTCAAATCGGGATGTTTTGACATCCTAGCTGGAAGATCCCACCTATTCTACTCATCTGACCACTCCACCCGCTCCTATGGTTGGCTCTTCAAGCGATTGGCATCAAGGGTCTCATGGGCCCCTGCTTGTCTGGGACTTCGGCATTGCATCCAGAAGGCTTGCTTGGCACAAACTGTTTCCTCGTTCCACAGCAATCTCGAGCGCAGTTTTCCCTTCTTTATTCCGAGCTTGCAGGTTGGCCCCGTTATCAGCCAGAACCCCAACCAGACGAGATGTCCACGAAGGGGGGACCGGTTGCGAGGCGATGCAGTGGAGAGTCGTATTGCCTTCTGGGCTCGCAAAATTGATATCTGCACCGCGCCGAACAAGTAACTCAATCATGTGCGGCGGTTGCGTGATTGCTTGGTCGAGAGCGGCGATAACCAAATCCCCACAATTGATATCTGCACCATAGTCGAGCAATAGCATGACAATCTCTGGAAGATTGTTATCTATGGCCGTTGCCAAAGGATATTCCCCCAAGTAATCTGGCTCGTTGGCGTCACACCCGAATTCGAGTAGTAACCGAACCATCTCGATAGTTCCTCCTTTGATAAAGGTGTCAAGAAGCAAGCCCTTCAATCGATGTTCCATGCCTGATACTCCCCAATGTTCAGGTACTAGCCTAATGATTCCCGGATCCTTATTTTTGAGGACTGCTTTGCCAAGCGACCATGCCCTGCACTGGTTGGCGGGCACCCTTGGGGTCCACTTCAGTAAGCGCACGACGGAGCTTTCCAGGCCCCAACGAATACTGTAGATGAGAGCCGGCGAGGGAAAATAGCCAGGCTGGATGTCGCGGGCTGCTCTTCGATAGAGGTAATCCGTAAGGAGGGCGTGAACGGATCGGCTCGTGAGTGTGAATCGTGAAAGGTCGTCAAAGTAGGACAAATTGTCTGCCACGAGATAGAGTATTTCGTTGGGTAAGTCGAGGAGTCTCATATTGAGAGCGAAAAGAGGAGGAATGACTGAGGCGAGGCGAGGAGGGAAGTCACCAAGAGGCAGGAACTTGAAGGGCGTGATATCGCGTCGAGAATGGAACGATTGGGATGTGCTGGAACGGACCTTTCCAAGAATCGTAGGGCGAAAAATCTCAAGGTATGGATAAATGATATCTTCAATTCTTTCTGATCTCTGCTGAATGTCTGCCAACAAGTCTACCACATGTGTTGACCATATTCGCAAACAGAATTCAATCTCTTGACACTTGGTCCAACAAAAGCGGAAAGTGCCATGAACAAATAACGCAACCTGTCGACGCTTGGCTCATGCCAAAATTGTTTGATTGCTCTAATGCTGTAGGCTCATTCTTTGTGAAGATGTGTCCCCTTACAAGCCTTGTAATCACTCCGGGAGACAGGAGAAACGTGTACCATTTATAGACCCCGAATCTGCAGTCCCCACAGAATCCTGTTCAAGTCATTTATACAAAAAGGGACATTCCACTCACCATTCTAAGCCTGTCATTCCCGGTCTTTTGATGTTTCAGCAAGAGTACGCAGCAGTTAGCCTGATGCCGCGGTTGAAGGCGAGTCTAATGATCTTAATTTTACCTTCGTGAACCATAATCTGCCGTGGAAAATAATTGTCTCACAGTGTCTTGGCGTGCCGAAACCCAGGATGACGCAGAAAAAGCTTGCTCCGTATGTGCTCCTTTACATCCTTTTGGGAGCGCAAACATCCAAAAGAATGATGCCTATGGTCGACGGTTCCATCAATCAATAGAAAACAAATATCATCAGCCGGAATTTAACGTTCATGAAATCAGCAGTTGTATTACATGGACAAATTAGAGGTACAAATATTCCAGCATCAAAGGGCTTTGTACCGGCTGCATACCAGCGTAAATTCAGAATTTCATTGACTCATATGTTTCAAAAAAATCCCAAGAAAAAATCAACCTCTAGCCTAATAATCTCGCTTGCATCCGAACCACGATCAACGGGTTCCTCGTCACATTCATATATGCCCAATCCCTCCGTGGCCTCCCTCTAATGAGCATGTCTGGCAGATCCGCAGCAATCGCCTCCCATAGCATCTCTAGCCAACTGAGCACGGCTCAACGGGCCAGGTGCAGGGAGCAGATCCCGACCCATAAGATCTGGGCCCTCGCTCCGAGCCTTGTTGACAAACCCTTCAAGGTCCCGCTTAGCGATATCATTCCTATAGATCAAGTTGAGCCAGTTAGCCAGCCGGTATCCACCCTTGGCAATCTGAAGCTCGATAGTTCCAATAGCAGAGTTGTAGTAGGTGGGGTAGAGATCGCCAGTTTGCAAAGCAGCAGCTCCATTGGGCATGACCACAGTGCAGACGTAGGCATTCGCATCCGATGCCCATCGAGTAGCGGTAGTGATGGGATCACTAATGCTATCCCCTTGAATCCAGCTAGCAGCCACGGACTTGTAGCTACCCGAGTCGATCTCACTGATCAGTGTCTTGGCCCAAGTCTGCGCATAGGTGAGCGAGCTGCCGCCAACCAGCTTCTGGGGCATATATGTGTCCCAGTCCGAGTGGAGGTTATCGCTGTAACCCTCGAAGGTGACTGCGATGTCATTACCACCAACCTCATAGGCCTCATCGTGCAGTGGCTGAGTGACATCGCCCAGGAAGTGGACTAGGAATTTGAGGGCTTCGGCAACATTGGCAGTGGTAAGCCCGCTATCCCCTGCACGCTGAGTGTAGTTTGCAATTGCAGAAATCGAACAGCCTGAGCTGCCACAATCCCTAGTGTAGTTCACATTGCAGCTGGTTGGAGGGCTATCCTCAGCATCAATAAAGTGAAGAGGCGCGGACCATTTGCCGGCGGTGGTTGTACGGTACGTGTCAGCCCAGGAGGCAATGTTGGCTAGGTATGAGGTAGACGTGTCTCCGAGCACACCTTGCGCCCTTGAAGCTGATCAGTACGAATATTGGTCCCAAGATATATGCTCTTACCATGATGCAGTGCTGGACGAAACGTAGTTCTGGGCAATGTAGGCAACAGTTGCATGACCCAACGAACCCCAAGCATTCACCCCGCTCAGTGAGCCAAGGGTAACGAGAGCAACCTTCGATAGACGTGCCATTATTGGACAACGATAAGGGCAACTTTCTAGGATGTCTCAGGTATGAGGGTGTTCAGGAACACGGCGGCAGATTTGAAAAGATTTTTAAGTTGATCATGCTGCCAAGGTTGTCGATCAGCCGTATTTATAGGTGTCCACCTCTTGCCCTGAATACTCCGACCGGGCCCTCTTCTGTATGTTGAGATCCGCGATATCCCCTAAGATTGCCCCCTCGACCCCTCTCCCGGGATAGCAACTCGCTTGTCAAAGTTACAGAAGAAATATCATGGGTTCAAGAGGGCGGGCGAGGCGGAGATAAGATCATATTAGTGGTGGACGAGTGGTGGAAGATTTTCGCGCGAGATTGCTTGATTCATGTCCCCCAGTTATTCTTCAGAATATGCGATCGGCAATGCAGGGCACCGGACTTCACGGGGCACGACATCCACAGAGGAAACGATCGACGCAACTAGAATTCAAGTATACAAGCGCACCATCCTTCGACTGTTTACATCCAGCTGCCAGATCACATGTCCCTCAAGCTCTAACCGCAAGGAGATGAAGTTTTTGTCTTTGTTAGCACGTGGGGATGACCTCGCATGCTTCTGGAATGTTTATCAAGTCAAATCTATCAGTGACGACTCAGTTGTGCAGAATTAGCGGAAGAGGCGGAGTTCCGGTCGTTGATAGGTTAAAAGATACACAGGGTTACATTCCTCCAAGTTGGGTCACTTAGAGTATCGAACTAAGGAGCCTGACGAAGATTACTGGCAAGTGAACGTTTTTTGCTGAAACGGTGTGTAGAAGCGGCTCGATACACCGTTGCTTCATATCTCTCGCTGCTTCCTCGTAGATTCAAATCGGGGTGATTTCGCAAGACCTTTTTCTCTGAGCTCGCAGTGGAGGGGTGAGGGGGAGACAAATCATTGAGCCAAGGGGTAACGATTCCGCGGGCTCTTGGCGCAACATCAAAGGTACGAGAAAGGACGAGAAGCTCTTTGGCTACGAGTGAGTTGTTTCACTAGTCGTCAAAGCCACTGCACAAGCCTTGGGCAAAATCTCCCAACCCACGATTAGAAACCGGCTCCGAAGCGCATAAATGCCATCACCGTCGGAGCCCCGCCAGAAGTACACGAGTTTGAAATAAGGAATGCCCTTATCGAGCCCGAGCGCTGTTAGACCAGAATTTTCTTGGCAGTCTTGTTTTCCGGCCCGAAATAACACACGGATAACACACTTGCCATTTGATTACCCCAAGTTCCTCATAGCACTAGTCAGATTACCCGAATTGATACAAGCTGACTGCATCCATTCGACCTTTTACATATTAAAGCCTGCCGCTCGCTAAACTTTTAATTCCCCAGGATTCGTGGTAGTCCAAAACTCAATTCTTGCAGGTGCTAGTTGGGATAAATCATGAATTCAACCCTTATTCCCATCCCCGAAAATAGCCATTTTGCTCTAATTATTTCGTAGACCCGTTTTGGATTCTTGCATTTAGGCCTCATGTTCATTCTCAAAATCAGTGTATTTGACATGGAATTCCAACCTGTCTTCTTGATCCCTTTTCTTTTACTTATCTTCTACGTCCTTCACAATTTATTTTCGTCCTCGTCCTCGTCCATAGCGTCAATAATTTCTTGAGGAAAATTTTTGTTCCTTCCCCTCGTAGAGTCAACTATTCGTCATACATAGAAAATATATCAGAACCAGTCAAATATCCTTTACCGAAGCGTCATATACAGTTTCGAAAAAAAGGATAGAAAACCCTACCTAATGCATCTCTCACAAACTGACCATTGATATAGAAAACGCTTGTTTCGAGTGCATATGTTAGGACTTAGGCATTGGTCCTCCTAAGCCCAACCCGGTAGACGCACTACTAATATCGGCCCCACGCATACTAGAACATCCATTAGCGTTCTAGTATATTCAGTCTTTTTGGCTTGTTTGGCTAGTACGCCTGGGCACGTGTCGTGACAGCATAGCTCCGGAACTGACTAGATAGATTCTGAACCAACTTAATTCTTGTCTAGCGATTCGCGAGGACCAACCGAGTCGAGAATGACGAGAATAGGATCATCTCCAGTTGCTTTGTTATTTAATCGAGCCTGTGAGAGTTGGTGTTACATGAGAGCCCATAAATCCCGGCATCTGATTTATTCCAACCTTTTCACGACAAATTGTCCGTGGGTTGCGAAAACCGAGTCTGGATTCCTACCGATCGAACCCCCGCATAGAACTGTCTAGGCCATCAACGCTGCTCGGTAGATACCTCCTATCTCACCGTCTGCGGCTACCGCAAGCCCTACCTGAGCAAAGAATCCTACCAACACCAAAAGATGCAGATCTCGGCACCCATGCCCAAATATCCGATGGTCAAGTACGGCATCGATCGGCGAACAGGTAATTCACAATACCACTGCCCCACGTGAGCTTATGACCAATCTATGACTCGCAGATGGCGAACTTGGCCAATGTTGACTGCTTTAGCTAAGTGGTATCTAAAAGCCTGGAAGACTACAAGCGGATGAAAGAAAATCCATAGTGTGAGGAATGTTCCAAGACCATGAAGAGTTCGTGCGCGACGCAACTGAGTGACTGTACTTCTCAGCGGTTAGTTACCATGTAGCCAACTATTACTAAGAAACGATTCAAAAGGATAACCATGGTGTGAATCGAAGAATCAGTTCGAATTTGTGTTGCTGTAAAGGGATTGAAATATCGAAGAAACAACTCACTTTCCTCGGGTTCAGTATCCGTCACCTATAATACACGTGTCATTCGGCCGAAACTTGGAATGATCTCCGAAGCCAAGCAATCTGCGATTGTCCTCGGTGGCCTGGGAGACCGCAACGTGGGTGGAGTTTTCATAATCCAATCTCTTTGGGAGTCCTCCACATAAAAGTCCCTGCAGATTTAGAATCTTGTCAGCCCAAATTAAGGCAAGGATAGGCGATCTCAGTTTCCATGACGATTGGTGGTTGTCATGCTTGGCTCGGGATTTGTGGAGCATCTTAGAATCCCGCTTACGAGAAGCTATACCAATACCGTTATGTGCCTTTTGTAGCCCCTAACGCTTATTTTTGACTTGCCGTCCTGCCTTCGTTTTACAGAATATGACACGACGTAATAAAATGCCCAGCGACTGCCAAGACCAATATTTTGCGGTCTCACTACGAAATGCTTCTTTCTCCCAGACTCGTTGCCAATGAACGATTCCCCTTCATCTGCAGGGCTGAATTCAGCTGAGCTCATTTCTGCTCTTCTATATTACTTCGGCAGCCCCGGTCGCTTTATAGGGAAACATCGACAGCCACGCTGAATGTTTGGATCTTGGCATCACTTTCAATTGAACAGAAATGCCTTCGAATAGAGTTGAAGAGATGCGTCTGCCTGCCTACATGTGTATATAAGTCGACGTTCTCGAGCTTCTCAGAGATAGAAATCAAATTTAGGTCTCTTGAATTTAACATTGAAAATCATCAATAATATGCTTCTCATCAAGTATATACCGACGGTATTCACTGTAGTGCTACTGCTGGATGTTGTGGTATCCCGTGAGCCACTGTTTAATGAAAATGGAAGGTAGTTACTCAGTCCTTTCTTTTTTGAAATCTTGTCACACCTCGTGACTAAAGTTTCTGCTAGGTTCAAATTTGTCGACAATATTCATACGATTACCGTCAATCAATCAATTTACCATGAGACGTGAGTCGAGCCCACCGGTATCACCTAAGAACATGTACTAAGGGGGGCCAACAGTCCAAAGCGTCAACTCATCCAGCGTGATGCTACTAGCTTCCACTATTGTCGTGGAAGATGTAGTGGGGCCGCCGTACGCACAGGTGCAGCCATTCGAAAGCGATCTCTCGAGAAAACCGGGTTTCTTCGATCGACGTGGCATTCCGTTAAAAGATACGTTCAAAAGAGGGCTTTTGAACCACCTTCCTTCATTACACTCAACCAAGAAGCAATGGATGAGTGGATGGTGAATCAATTCAACGGCGAAAATGGACTGATCTACGTTTTTGATCCGCGACCCGGCGTCATTAATGGGGTATTGCGAGACGAGAATACTGCAAGATTTCGCAAACTCGAAAATACCGCAATCAATATGGGAGTAGAATATCTCTGTGGATGTACGATTCTGGTGATTGTATCCTCACGGGCAGTCTACTTTGCGCATTTTTTGTCAGTCCGATTGCTTCTCTACTACCTATGTCATGACCGTGGATCTTTTTCTAACATCTCCTACAGCGAGAGTCTCTCTTGGAATCCTGATAGGGACATCCTACTAGAACGCGGAAACCCCAGCATTGACAGAAATTTTAGGCTCTCGGTCCTTGACTTCTTAACCACCGGCAGAGACTGGCCCGAGGGTCTTGTCAATGAAAATGTGAGGCTAGCTGGGAAGATAGACTCCTTTACGACAGAATTCAACACTCGGGCATTTATCCTCACTCCGCAAAACCAGAGGGATCCGGCAGAGGCCGCTGGTGCTGCTACGAGTGGGAGAGATGTATATATCGATGGGCTCCTTTACAAGCCCTTGGTCGATCAGCTCATTGCGGAAGTCGAGAGGATCCTGCGGGTCTCAGTGAATACTTTCACGTACCAAGCCTTGGACGGTACAAACAGAGCACTTGATGTGACGGGCAGGGGAAAGGCCTTGTTCCAATATGATCCAGCAGCGCGTCCGGGTCGGAAAGGTGTAAGGCTCATCTTCCAGGGAAGGACCATCCGAGTTACAGAGCCACGCCGGGCGATTTTTCCGAATGGCGTTGTTTACGAGGATTACTGGAATCCTAATGAGAATAGACTGTTATCCGAACCTGAGTCACAGGATTCAAATCCTGATCAACAAGCCTCAGCGTCGAGCTGCGGGGGTCAGATCTATGAGCTCGGTGACTATTCGTGTTACGGTGATACCCTGTGTCCAGTGTTGGATGGCGTGGCAACTCTGCTTTGCGGGACACAATGCTATTTGGAATCACTTTACACGTGCTACGACTCTGTGCTGTGCCCAGTGCTTGGTGGCGTCCCTACCTTGCGTTGTGGGGGGGACTGTTATCTTCCGTCGCAGTACAAGTAAGTTGCTCTCCTCGCTTTATTTTACATGTGGCAGGCATAATAAATATTCTCGCAGATGTGAATCTTCGCATCTCATACAGCTACTACTTCCCGATGAAGACCCAAAGCAGTCTGCAAGCCATACCTGGGCAACTAGTCCAACTCCAACCTCAACGGGAGCTCAAGGTATCGAAGTGGTCTTCAATGGAACCATCTACACTATTGTCAGTCAACCCACCACACTCACCAACGACGGAACAATTTTAGTCCTTGGGCCGGGAGGCTTCACAATTGGATCGACTACCATTCCCTTCCCAACAGGAACAGAGGGGCCTACAGCTATCACCACTGACGGTGTCACATTTACCGTCTGGCCTCCTGGGCATCACGCATCCTCCTCGTCCTCGCCATCCTCTACCTCTGTCGAACCTTCAACAACTCTAGCACCAGGCCCAACTCCCACTAATGAAACACCCACCCCAACTGCAACCCAAACCTTTAGTCAAGCATCTTCAAGTACAGTAATCACAATCACTGCCAATGACGGTTCCAGTACGACCGAAGTCACTTTCACTGCTTCTACGCTTACCCCATTTACAACTTTCACGGGAACATCCACGATCACCACTGCTATCGATGCCATATCAACGATAGTGGTAGTCGGCCCAGGAGGTGTCGCATGGATTCCTACGCACCCCAGTACGGCCGCCTCGGGCTTCCCTCCGTTGCCTTTCCCTTCACAGCCCCCAACCCCGGGGGCCACGGGCACAGCAATCATTCCGCCCGCGACTTCGGGCCTTACTTCGTCTGTTTCCACGAGCACCTACAATCCATTTCCTTCTTCGCGATTCACAATACCCCCGCTAATCACAACCACGATCACCGAGGATGGGTCGGGTGGCCCGACTACCTCGACCATCACTGGGACAACTGACACAAATGGCTTTGTGAGACCTATTACTATCATGTCGACCCCAGCTGCTATAGCATCGGCAAAATCATTGTCCTCTCGCCTCATGAGTGCTTCAGGCGTCATAGCGGTGTTCTCCTCGAGCCCGGAAAATCCTGCTAGCGCAAGTTCGGCTGTGGCTGCCATTGAGACCGCGAAAGCTGGTAAGTATATCAAACTTTGCACATCTTTAACACTTGGACTCACATTTTAAATAGGTGGGAACGACTTTGGAATTGGTCTGGGTATTTCTCTGCCAGGCCTGTGTCTGTTGTTTTGTGGCTCAGCGGGCAGTGCTGTCGCAAGGCTGGAGGACCTGCTTAATGCTATAACCGGCATTGTCAGCGGATCGTCCGCGTCATCGTCATTGACGGGGCCACTTGCGGGCCTTGCCAGCATTGCTAACAACCTTGGGGAAGAAGCCGAAAATGCAGACCTTAGCGTAACGACCACCACATCATCTGATTGCATAGGGACCTTTCTCACCAACTGTGATTTGTTCTGTGTGGTTACAACAATGCCAGGAGGCACGGCCACCACAAACTTCTGTTATTCGACGACATGCAGTGTTGAAACTAACTGTGGAGGCTCGCCTACAACGTTCACATCATATGATAATCTCTACTGTCCAATGACCTACGGTGACGAGACGATGTCGCTTTATTCTTATCCGGGCTACACATTGGACCCAATCACAACGGGCGCTGGGGACGACGACTCCTCCACGAGCACGCCTGCAAGTACGGATATCACGACAGCTCAGACCACGACGACAGAATTCACAACAAGTACGGAGACTCCATCTACGTCGACCGTGACTCCATCCTCCTCGAGTATTCAGTCTACTTCGACCACAACCCAGCTATCAACTACGACCACTGTATCCAGTACGACAAGCTACACCACCAAAACTAGCTCACCGGTTCCGAGCCCTACCCAGCCCTCCGCAGAATACGTGTCCAACTGTTATGCATTTACATTTGAGAACCCTTCTGATACGGAGACATGCGCTTCCTTCGCAGAAAGATTTGAGGTTACAGTCCAACAGCTCTTTGACTGGAACTACTCCCTCCAGCCAGCTGATGGCAGCAAAACATGCGATATGCACACAGCTTGGTCTCGAGGAACACGCATGTTCTGTATTGGCGTCAGGGAAAGTTCAACCACATCCACGACCAGTACCACCGATGGCCCCGCGCCAACTTTGACAAGATGCAGCACGTACAATGATTGCCCGCGCTGTCCTCAAGGGGAGTGGCGGTGTTGCTTTTCTGGGTGTAATGGGATGCTGGTGCCTGGGTCGAACTATTGCGCCTGCTTCAAGGATGGGTCAACGCCTGGAGCTACGTGTGGGTGTACATGAGATCTCTACGAGGAAGGAGCCCTGAGCAATTATGGTGCATACTCGTAAATTAACATACAGGGACGTTCTGTGCTAGGATTGGCCGATCGTCAGGGTTTGAAAAAAGAAAAAACTATCTTGCGGAATGGTTGGCCAATAGCTGTCGATATGGGGGTGGCTGGCTTGTGGTGGCTGGCTGCGGTATCTCAGTTCAGCCCAATACAACATCCACATGGTGTTGCGATCGCCTTATGCAGGGGCTGTCAGATAGCTAAAATATATCAACAGATCAACAGCGTTAATTCTAAGATCATCTATTGGGCTGATTTTTGCAGATCAAATCCTAGTCGAGTTCGCATGCAGGGGTTCGGGCTACCATGTTCTGCCGAGATCGCCAGGGTACATCAGACTCAAAAGCAATTGGACCGATGGAATCAAAACTTGACTTGGCACACTCAATGTCATGAACCATGAAACCTCGCTGGAAAGAACAAGGTATCTATTTCCGCACCTATCGACAGGGTTTATCTATCGATTCCACCGTATGAGGTCGTAGGTCGACCGTGGACAGTCACCAACAGGTAATATGAAAGCGCACATTCAAGTCCATACCACGACCATCAGATATAGTAGGTTTGCGCACTCGTGATGGATCCGCACGAGCCTAGTCCCGTGCATACAATTTAAGGTATCTCGCCGAGCTAGAGAATTGGATTTGCATATATCGTATGTGCTAACCAATAGTCTCTGCGTGTTGTCACCAGGTAAATGTTGTGACTTACCAGTCTCAACAATAGCTGCTACATGTCGCAGGCTGAACGGCACCTGCCGAAGGGGTAATCAACCAATACGTTGGGCCCTACGAGTCCGATACACGCAGTAGGTAAACACAATGAATTTGCGACAGGTGCTTGCAGGGTCTTTTTACTAATTTCACCTTCACTAAAAAAACAAAAATGACGATGAGAAGCTATAAGTATCCCAGCATCCTTCGATTGAGGACATCACCCCCTGCAAACAGGAGTACCATTTGTTGATTACTCCAGGATCACGTTCAAAGGCACTATGAAGACCCTCTACGCTCTCGGGGCTTTCGCCCTGTTCCACTCAGCTCACGCGCTTGAACGAGGAAGATACAGCATTGGCTCTGCAGCCCTCGCTCAGGACCAAGTTTTGACCGACGACAGCCATGGTTTGATTTTCTCTGACCAACAAAATCGGGTGAGTCAGATCTGGGAGTTCATCCCAAAAGATGATGGCTATTCAAATATTCGGAATGATCTTGGGGAGAACATCAATTGCGGCAACGACGAAGGTTCCGTTTGTTTTGTCGGAGATGGGCTCCAAGGCTTCCTGCCCGAGTTCCAGGGCGGAAACAACTACGAGCTTGTCGCCCAGGGTTCTGGAATCTTCTTGCAGGTCGACCAGAGTCAACAATTATACCTGGGTGCCTATGACCAGAGCACAAATGAGCAATTTATCTTGACTAGTGTTTAAAGATCAGCTGAGTATGTTGAAGCTACCCCATCAACCCATTCCTGTGTCTTGATTACTTATGATTCCAAGACAAAAGCCGCAACATCAATCGAATCACCTCTGTGAACCGATACCGACTTGACAGATGGAATCTCTTCTTGAGAGAGTGTATAGCGGTCCCCGATAAAGTTGCTATGGACTCATGACTTCAAAGTAGGGCGCTCAACTGGACACTATAACGCCCACAATGTCCTTCGCTACGTGCTGTGCTTTCTGCGCTGTCAATACTGTGGATATTAGACAAATAGGCATTCGAAGCATTGTATTTAGTCGGAATACCAAAATGAGGTACCATGTCTTTCAAGCCTTCCTGCTGAAATATGTCTCCTCACACCTTCTTAATCTATCGGAAAGACTTAGAGCTGGAAGAATTCTTAGGCCCCTCGACTAATTTCAAGTAGGGCGAAACCGCCCTTGCTCTTCTTGAGAGCTTTCATTATGATTCAATTAGTACATTCGTTGAAAAAACCGGAATTAATCCCCATTTCAAATGATAAAAGCGCCTTGCGACATTTTCTAGTATGTGATACAAGATTATTTCTAAGTTACTTTGGAAGTGTTGAAGACGGCCACCCGAATATTTTCATACTGCAAAATGATATTATTATGGTAGAAATGCAATCACCCTGGCTGGAGATATTTTGATCCCTTTATGCCTTAATCATACCTCGGTAATCCAGCATCATGATCGCTTTGTGAAGACCAATTGACAGCCGTCCTATTTAAATGATTAGTACTTTCATATACCATAAATGAAGCAAAGCAGATAGTGGTAGCTCACCATTGGAAATAGTGTAGCAAATACGCGAATCTCTTCCGATCTCTCCGTGGCGTGGTGCGTCCAATCGAGCTCCAGCGCAGCCTTGCCAATCATTGCGGCCATCGACAGCGGAACATACCTTCTTGCGAGGCAGTCGTGAGCCCCGGCTCCAAACACGAGCCAATTCTTGGTCTTAGACTCCGCATCGCCTGAGATCCAGCGGTCCGGATTGAACACATTAGGGTCAACGTATGCATCTGGGTCGTGCAAAGCAGGGTAGCACGAGGGAATGATCATTGACCCCCTTGGAACTGTATAATCTGCCGTTACGGGGAAATTCTTGGTCGCCAGGTAGGGAACGAAAATGACAGGTGGTCGGTAGCGGAGAAGCTCCTTGATGACGGCGTTGGTATATGTGAGCGATTCCAACATGGGCAAGTCGAAGGGTTTATTCCTATCGCCTCCTCTTGCGGCCAAATTCTCCTCGCGCAGACGACTGAGTACATCTGGCCGCTGAGCGAGTATCTGGAACAGCCAAGTTGTGGCACTGCTGGATGCATCTTGAGAGGCGAAGAGGAAGGTAAACAGAGTCTCACTGATTTCCTCATTTGTAAATTCGCGAATCAGGTTTGAGGGCTTTTCCACGTCTGTCTCTCCCGCCGCAATTCTCTCGCGGTATCGAGTAGATTCCATCATGTGCGCCACCCAGTGATCGATGATGCTTGTGGGCTTCGCCCCTGTTGCCATGTGGGCCTTCGCTGCAGCCGCACATTTCGCAAACTCGGCATGTACAGCGCGTACCGTTCTTCTGCCTAGCCAAGGCTTGGTGAATGGGATATGGATCGAAAATGGGACATTGACGAGCTCGAGGGCGGCAGTAGCAAGGTAGAAGTCGTCGGCGATCTGCTTGACAGCACTTTGAGAGATATAATCACCGAAAAACGTCCGGCATGAAAGAGCGCAGTTAATTTCCCGGAAAAGGGCCATAAATGCCATCGGCTGTCCTTGATTTTCTTTGCTAGCAGCAACGAACTTGCCAAAGTAGTCGGCAAATACCCGCTCCTGGGCAGGGAAATACGTGGCGATGGCTTTGTTTGTAAACAGGGGAATCAAACCCCTGCGGTACTCTGCGTGTGCTTTTCCCTGAAGGAAAACCCATGCTTTATGGCCCAGAATATCTTTTGCGACTGGGACTAGACATGGCTCAGCAAATGTAGGTGACTTGAATACTTTGTGGGCAATGTCACGATCAGATGCTAGCACAACGAATCTGAGCGGGTTTTAGCACATATGATTATAGGACTAAGATAATGCGACGTACTTATGAAACACAGATACACATGACAGAGGACCACTCGCCCACTGTGCCAGATACGATTCAAACTTTGGATGAAGGGCTTGCACGAATGGTCCCATAAGCGGGATTTTGAATGCAGGTCCGGCAATAGAGCCCTTTCGCTTGATGTACATCACTAGGCATCTCGTTAGCTCATGTAAAAGAGCCATTTAGTGTCATCCGCACTTACCTTGGTCATAGATAATCACTCCCAGCACAAATGTAAGTAGGTATTGCCAGTTGGACCAGCCCACGAAAAGTTCAGGTATGACTCTGTGCAAGAATGACTGTGAGGTGATGGGAGCTACCCATGTTTTCGATCGCTCCAGTATTCCACCGGAGGCGTTGAATATCTGTGTTTCCATATCTAGTATTTCAACAGTGAAATCGACGATTCGGAGAGAAATGTTTGAACCTTCCGCGTCGCCAACGGGGACAGATATATAAAGTGGAACGCCCCCCTGAGCCCGACGGGATATCTCTCCTTACTTCAGACAGCATGATGTTTTAAGAAGCCAATGATGAAAGGTAGAGACGAATCGGTCGCTCACTACAATATTTGGACTGAAAAAGAACGGATATTGGTCTCGCCAATCAAGTCTAATCAAACTTTCTATTTGTACCCTGAAATCGGATCGTACGACAGTCTCATTTCCAAAATGGGACTAGACTCCGAAGTAAAAGCCAATAGAAGCCATTAAAAATGTGGACCGGAGTTGTCAGCAGAGTTGGGGAGAATGTCCAAATATCGGGGTCTAGTCCTCTTTAGGAAAAGCCTCGACTTCGCATCCGACGCGTTCCATCCACGTGCCTGGACGAGGAATTGAAGCTACTGGCGGCTCGCAAGTTGCTGAAGCTATCCACTGCCATATCACCGATTGCTTGAGTCATTAGGCGACACCCAGATCTCTGCTGGGCTCCTCTCCCTCAGAATGCGACAGACCCTTCGCCGATCCTGTTCTGCCTGTGCAAGGTCTAAATTAAGTTGCGACCTCCGCACGCCTCATTGTTCGCGGTGCATCAAGCGCAAGGTCTTGTGTGTATACGCAAACCAACCTTGGACGGTGCAATCTGCATCTTCTGGGACCGAAGGTGGCAAAGCAGTAGAATCTCTTGAGCCATACGGCGCACTATCAACCTACCAATTTGGCTCTATTGATCCTTTTGATTCGTATCCTCAAACGAGGCTTCCTCGAGAACATGTCAGACGCCTCATCCACAACTGTACGTTCGTCTTGAATTGAATTTGTAGGCCAAGGAAGGCTCAGCTGAGACCCAACCTAGTTCTCCACAAAATTGCTTTCCAATATTATCCCCTTGACCTCAACGAAACCTCGAATCCTTTTCTCATTTCTTGGTGGCCACTCGCATTGGGAGATCCTGCACTCTTTCATGTCTCGCTGCAGACTGCGTGCCTTGATGAAGAGCTAATGGCCCAAAGGGGGTTTCAAGCGTCGGAAATGTTGATGGCCGACTCGGTCTCGTTACTTCGACGAAAAATTCAGGATCTTTCACTAGCTGTGCAAGACGGCACGATGAACTCCGTCATCACCTTGGCGGCAATTGAAGTGAGTGACTCCCAAGTATTACTTGTGTTTGACCCCCATTTATTGGCAAAATCGGTGCTGATGCCTCGTACTTGGCAGTTTGGCAAGGGAAACTTCGAGGCCAGCAAAACACATGTTGAAGGTGTGAAACGACTTGTGAGCTTGCGAGGCGGTATCAGCTCTGTGAGGCAGACTAGTCCACTGACTGCAAGAATGATAACCTGGTGAGTGTTCATGCGATGAAAACGAGGACACGCTAATTCCTATATCTCTCAGGGCATCAATGCTCATCCTTGGCTATCCACAATTCCCTGTTCAAGATGACGGCGGCGTCGGAGATGGCATACCACCAATCCCGGAATGGCTTTTATGCTCGATAGCCCCGGAGGACGACACACTTCCCGAGCTCAACTGGGTCATTGATGACAAAATAGTTGAAACCGCACTGATTCGTCTCCGCTATATTTTCAAACGCGTGGAAGGTGAACCACTCTCCGGGACAAGACTTCACGATCTCGCACTGTTTGTCACGCACCGTCTTCTACTCTCGGTCCCGGATATCCAGGACACAAATACATCGCCGGTCACTGAATGCATTCGTTACGCACTCATACTCTACATGTTCACTATCCAAGGCCCGATATATTACTCTCACGCAGTCATCTTAAGCTCCCTCGTGACCAAATTCATCGAGCACCTGAAAATTTTAGAATCTTTTTCTCACGTGTATGATGCATTGGATCTCTGGCTGTTGACAATGGGAATGGTGGCATCCGTGGGGACCCCGGGCTATTCTTTCTTCACGGAGATGATCCGACGCGTTTGTTTCCATCTTCAAATCACTGAATTCCACGATGCTCTCAAGTGTATCAAAGGCATCTGCTGGCTAGGGGGCTTGCAAGGGGAAGCTCTTCTTCGACCACATTGGGATGTCGTTTTGGCTGATGATATCCAACTAAACCTGGTGGAGTCGACAGCCGATTTACCACCAAACAGCCTCGGCGTGAAACCTTGATGAACCAAGCTACGAAAGAGAATCAAGCATCTGGAGGGATTGCGCGGACTGAATAAAGCTGGCCGATCCTCGTCGATGAGATCGATCAAGTCAACGAAGTAGCATCTTTGGAAACCCAAATTCGAAACCCAAAATCGAGAAATCTGGGATCGATCTCGGTTGTTAGCTGCCCTCACTGCATGGTTGACCGTGGCCCAATCCGTCAGCTGACGCAGGAAAAAAAACCTCGATCTGAAGCGTCGTCCCAGCTGTGGTCCGATATTGACCTCCCGAAATTATAAGCAAGGGTTGCAACATCGCTGCGTTATATTCTACCGATTTACGTGGAATTTCAAACCTCGCAACCATTTTGGGCTTCAAGCAACCTATCCCAGATAGCCATGTGCAGACCACATAACTCCAAACGAAAAAAGCGGGCTGACTTCGTCGAGCTACATCCGTTGAAGGCTGTGACCAAGACCAGCCACGCCATCTTCGGGGCCCATCACTTCAGAACGAAGTTTCCTGTTATGGAGAGGTGCAGAAGGCCTCCATCTGGTCCAATATGCCTTAAATCGAAATTCGCTCAACAGGAAAGCCGCTAATGCAGCCTGCACATCTGCTCATGAAGTGATATTGAGCCACTAACCATCAGTCATCTCAATCTTGCTCCAATACTACGGGCTACCCTCTCGGCAATGCGAGTGGCTTTCCGTGACTACTGTTATCGCTGCTATTCGACACAACTGGTCACGCAATATTCAGCTTATCTGCATCTTCAATCCTTCGCCCCACCAGGACCGTGAGTAAAGAGGATTCTGGGGCCCCAGACGATCGATTGCTATCGTATATCGTCGCTTGGATGAATGTGGAAAGTGTAACCACAAGCGGTGATCGACCGGTTAAAGGCTATCCGTGATTGGTGCTTCATCACAAGGCCAAGCCTACAGCACTTCTAGGTTTGGATATTTCCTATGGCACCCCTTGCATCGCGCGATCAGTCGGCTTTCTTCACTCGATGTATTCGGGCCACTCCCTCTAGACTGCAGCTCTGGCCCTTTATGCGCCCACCGCGCCAGACTTCACCTAGTGATTATTGGTTTATTCGGTAACTTGGAGGGGGACGGGGGACCAGGGTGTCGTTCCAAATTCAATCTACATGGGTGATGCAAGATGATGCTTGGAACCAGCGCTTGGAATCAGCACTCCTGGGGTCAATTTGGAATTTTCTTTACTTATCTCTGCGATGGCGCCGTTGATTGCCATGCATCCACAAAGTACGCACATGTGTCCTTATGGCGGGGTATTAACCGGCTGCTCCCGACTGGGTGACAGCTCTACGGGCCCCCCAGATAGTATCCTTGCTGTGACCTAAGGCCCTTAGGTTGATGAAGCTCTATCGCGAAGCGGCCTTCTATGATATGTGCCTGTCTTCATTCTACTTTTTGGGACCCCCGAAGTAGGAATCTCGCGCGGCTGACTTTTGAAAAAGTCGAACAGTTGTTCGCCTTGATATTCAGAGGCCTGGCCCGTCTGACTAGTCACCCCGTAATGCAGTTCCCCGGTTTGAGCGTATTGAGGACCACTGCTGCGATGCCCTTGTACCACTTGAAGCGGGTCTGTAAGCTTCGAATGCTCAGGAAATGGAGCAACTGCGGGAAGGCTGCATATATGTATGCATGGCGTGAGAACCATTCCCCCTTTAGCGTTCATGCATGGCTTCACACCACAAGCAAGTTTGAGAAGGGATATAGAACAGATGCGGAGGTAGGCCTGTGGTCTAGTCAGCTCTACTACTATCTGTTCTTTCTACCTACTGCTAGAAAAGTAAAATATTAAACCAGCAAGTCAGCTCAGGTTCATGAATCAATTGAAACCAATGCATCATTGCACACGAGTGAGGCGTAAGAAGAATTGATTGACTGGAATTGGTATCTCCTGGTGAAGGAAGAAAAGACAAGTCTTCAACATCTTACCAAGTACAACCCGGCATAAGTTGGCTCCGTAAAGGGTGCCTGTGACTTTTTCCCAGGTAATAACTAACCCAATAGTACGGAATGCAGATCTCCAAATCTCGATTATCAGTTCGTCAAGGTGGAGTCGGCCGATCGCACTTGGTTGACCCGCCAGAAGGGATAGAATGGCGGTCAGAGAAACGTTTCCACGGCACCACTTTCCTACCACATTAAGCTTTGGTCAGACCAAATAGTTTCAAGTAGCTCGAAGTGCATTCCCGATGCTGGAAATCAGGCTCATCGTCTTCCATTGAGATCCCGCAAAGAGTTTACATGTCCCATCTTCAGGCTTTGACCCCTGACTCGAAGCACGAGGGTGGCTGGGCACTTGCTGTCAACCGAGATGCGTAAGCTCCCGCTGGTGCATATGATTACGTGAACTTAGGTCGAAGATCGGCACTATATTGAACTCTCATTCAAACACAGCTTAAACAGTGTCTTGTGCTTCTCTCAATGAAAAGGAGAGCTATCTCATTACATGCCTTTTAGACCTCCTCGACTTGGTACACCAGCTTACTGGCACGTACCTTGCCTTCCCGTAGTAGCTGGAGACCAGTCAACACTCCAGCCAAGCCGCCTGGCTTGACTTGATAGGGATGGGGAAGAATCCGCCGCTCGTCGAGTAGCTCTTGCACCAAATTCCACCACTTGATGCCAAAGTCAGGATTGCTCTCATCGGGTAAGATTTCCTGTGCACTCATTTGGTAAGGTTCCCCTAACACGTCATAAGCCATTGAGACGTTTGAATCAACATCATCTCTAGCTGATCGGACATCCAATAAGGCATTATAAGCCCCGCCCGCGGATGAAATGGCGGCACTGCAGATGGCAGCCGATTGGGGGGTAGAAATGGTGTCTAGAACAAATTCCAGCGCGTCATCGGTATCCTCCCTGATCTGCTCGCCCACATTTGTATCGTGATAGTCAAAGACGGCATCTGCTCCAAGCTGGAACATCAAATTGCGATTGCTATCAGAACAAGTTGTCACGACTCGAAGCCCCGAGAGCTTTGCACATTGAATTGCCAGAGTGCCAGTAGCCGTTGCGCCTCCGTAGATCAAGATGCTCATATCACTTTCATCGCTCTCTGCTTCACCTGGAAGAGGCAGCTCCAAACTCTGGTAAAGGTTCTGGCCAACAGTGGTCAAGCCTACGCCCAAGGTGGCCGCAGCTTCGAAGCTCATGGAGTCGGGTATGCGAATTTGGAGGTCGCCTTTCGCAATCACGTACTCTGCAAATGCACCGCCGTTAGGACGCACGGCGTTGCTACCGTGCACAAAGCCCGCTACACGGTCACCTTTCCGAAAGGTCTTTTTGACACCTGGGCCAATGGCTTCAACTATTCCAGCGTAGTCACAGCCGACCGTAGCGCCATTGCAAGAGACAAAGTCGATGTGACGCCAATCTGTGGGATTTAACGCAACTAGAGTATATTTCAGTCTAAGTCAGGAACGGAAAAACCCGCGAGACGAGGTACCAGCTTTTGTTTTGACTAGTATATAGTCATCCGGCAGCTCAGGAACGGGGGCATCGTGCACCAAGGTCGCGCGGCCCGCTTCCTGGACAATGATAGCCTTTTGTGTTGTCATTCGGAATGTCTGCTGTTGCGTGGGGAAAGAACAGATGGCAGGAGGTAGGCTAAGACAGCTGAAGTGTGCCGAGGTAAAATATCTACCTGGCAAAGGAGCGCAGCTTGGAAGTGTTGTGCGAGCCAAATCTGTCTAAGGAGGACCTGCCATCTAGACGCTATGACAAACTGGACTTTCGATAGTTGGTTAGTTATCCACTATTGGCGGGGTCCAAAATAGGCGCTGGGTCAGTAACAGCTCTTAAAAAAAGTTGGCCAGAGAGTGGGCAACACCAGCTCTATTCGGGAGATCAAAATGCAATGCCAATGGGTGATCTACGTGGTGGGGAAAGGGGGCGAGGTGCACGCCTCATGATTCGACGGACTTGTATGCCTTTGTGTATTCGTGTATCTAGACTCCACTGAAATCAGAGAATGGGAAAACATGGGAGATCGCAATCGTCGTGGTGTGGGTGATCCGTTGGCCCGAGTTCAACCGATATTATTTTTATTTACAGCCACCAGAGACGCCAGGATCAGACTAAGTCTGACATTAATTGCTATCAGACTCAAATTGGCACGCGGTGGAAATGAAGTCTCACAAAAGTACTATGCGCATGCACGTTAAGGACCCCTGTCGAAAAGAAGCATAGTCCCCGGCTGATGTTTTCAGTTCTCGGTTTCGAGATCTTGTTCCAGCGTTTCCAATCCAAAAGTTTCCTGGGTTCCATCTCGTGGAGAATAGCGCATTGTCCTTCCAAGGCATTCGGGGAATAGGGGAAGTATTTACGGGGTAACTTTGTTTAGCTTAGGGGCTGGAAGAATTTCGATTCGGGGTCTGGCACCCACTATGAGGATCGCAATCCACATCGAGACACCATCTACCGCCAAGAGGAACCAGGGTATTTCCGGCTCCAATAGTGGTTGACGCCTCTGCGGGCCGATGGAGAAACCTGAAGATCCTTGCCTGAGGCTTGGAGCCGTCGTGGAGCCGTCGTGGAGCCGTCGGGAAACCGTCGTGCCGCGTCATATACAGGACAACAGTACTGAAATACCATTACAGCAATTGGTAATGTTTTCGTATCATTACCGCCATATCTATGAGTTCGGAATAGTCCTCGTCAAGCTCATCCCGTGAAGCAGGATGCACTCCAGTGTGGGTCATTAGTAACGTATCCATAATCATAATACATGCGTTGAAGCAACTTCTTAGTCTCCTTCCACTTTGGCCTCCACTGTATGGAGTACAACATGGCATATGGCCGATCAGGTTCGTTGATCAACGTCCCCACCAGAACTCGAGGTGTCTGTATGCTTACTCGATGTATGGTGCCTTCGCTTGGCCCAGCCGTCCATGTACGGTCGATCATGTATGTTGTGGAGAGTTTCTGCCATCCAGACTGCATGCATGAGTCTGCGTTGGATGTACTGTACAACGAATTTTTGAAATCCTCAGTTACTGACTACCTCAGATGACCGGGAAATATCCTTGTTAGTTATGGTAGAGTTGCTCCGGAAAGAAAGAGGCCTGACACCCCAATTATGCCTTGACCCACATCTTCCGCCTTGTTTATCGCTCTGGACAAGATCAATGTTACATGGAAACACCGAAGCGTATTTTGTAAGGTAAAAATGGCGACTTGTGATCTGGACGAGCGCCTCTAGCGTATAGGGGAGTGTCGGAGACCGACTTCCAAAGTAGCGACTTATCAAGGATTATGAGTGATTACCGCTAATCAGATAGTGAGTAAAATACATATGCAAGTCACCCATGCGAGGCCACCACCCCTCATGGCACGAGCTTTCTAAGATTCATGACCCACTCCTAGAGTGATTGCGACTCGCCGAACTTGGAAAGCTCAACACCAGCTATAATAACACCCGACAGTCGCCTTCCTCTTCCGCAATCTTCACAGCAACATTTTGTCTGCACACTCCTATACCTACAAGATGCCCGGCCGACCAACCGTCAGTGCTTCCGACCCAGTGTTGGACGCAATCGCGGTCATCGGAATCGGATGTCGCTTCTCCGGAGGAGCTAGCTCGGTGGAAGATTTCTGGCAGATGTTATGTGATGGACGTACTGGACACGGAAAGATCCCTCCCAGTCGATATGAATCTTCAGCGTGGCACCACCCAAGCCATGACCGGAAGGGCGCGGTATGATAAAACTTCATTATACTTGATTAATATTAACGCAGAACTGATGGGAAACCAGATCAACCATGATAGCGGGTTCTTTCTGAAAGAAGATCCAGCATGTTTCGATGCGCCGTTTTTCTCAATTACGGCTAAGGAGGCGGCGGGAATGGATCCAGCACAGCGATTATTGCTTGAGGTCGCCTATGAGACCTTTGAAAATAGTGCGTTTGATTTCTTTACTTCGCGTGAGACGAAGACTCGCGCCCTGCTAAACTGGCCATCGCAGGTGGAATCCCAATCGACACACTACCAGGGAGTAATACGGCTGTATATTCCGGTTCAATGACCAATGATTATGAGTTACTATCCACGAGAGATATTTATGACATGCCTCATAACGCTGCTACGGGAAATGGAAGGACAATGCTAGCAAATCGCCTGTCATGGTTCTTTGATCTTCAAGGCCCGAGTATAATGATGGACACAGCATGTTCTTCCAGCCTAACAGCGGTTCACCTGGCAGCTCAAGCTTTACGCTCTGGCGAATGTGGAATGGTGAATACTTGATATAATCACTATAATTGCCCTTGAGTACGAACTAATGAGCATTATAGGCGCTGGTGACTGGTGCCAGTTTGATTTTGCATCCGAATTTCACGCAGAGGCTCTCTTACATGCATATGATGAGCCCTGACGGTACGAGTCATTCTTTTGATGAGTCCGCTAATGGCTACGGGCGAGGTGAAGGCATTGGTGCTGTGCTGCTGAAGCCTGTTTCCGCCGCTCTGGCCGATGGAGACCACATTCGTGCCATCATTCGGGGCACCGGGATCAACCAGGATGGAAGAACTCCTGGAATTACCTTACCAAGCCCAACATCTCAGGCCAACTTGATTCGATCAACTTATGAGAGACATGGGCTTTCAATGAGGGACACCGCCTACTTTGAGGCTCATGGAACAGGCACACCGGTCGGAGTGAGTCAGATCGTACAAGGAATACCTACATGTATAACAGTGCTGAAGTATATGCGTTTAGGACCCCATAGAATTATCAGCGGTTGGACTGACTTTGGGCCAAGCCCGAACACCAACTGATGAGCCGATATATGTAGGCTCGGTGAAAACAAATCTTGGTCACACGGAAGGAGCGGCGGGAGTTGCCAGTTTAATTAAAGTCGTCCTCTGTCTGGAGAAGGGCATGCTGGTACCAAATGCCGGCTTCAAGAGCATCAACCCCAAGATCCGACTTGATGATTGGAGGATTCGCCTAAGCAACGATATGATACCATGGCCGGAGCATCTTCCACAGAGGGCTAGTATCAACTCTTTTGGATTCGGTGGATCGAACGCTCATATCATTGTTGAAAGCACCAAGAACGCCTTCAGGCTTTACGAGGAGGAAGAAGAGGCAACCCCTCACGTGGTGGTCTTCTCAACTTTTGATCAACCTGGAATTGAACGAATCGGCCAAAGCTGGAGTGACTTTATCAAGCGGCAACAATCCCTCGAACGTGACATCCCGTTGAAAGACCTCTCACACACAATGCTTGCACGCCGATCGCACTTGGGATTCCGCAGCTTTGCAGTCGCCAACTCTCTGGACCAGTTGCGCAGTACTCTGGAGAAGGGTCTCCCCAAATTCTCTCGGGCAAGTCGCAAAGCCCAAACGAGACTCGCCTTTATTTTCACCGGCCAGGGTGGCCAGTGGGCCGGAATGGGCAAGGAGCTTCTCAGAATCCCAACTTTCAAAGAAAGCATGGCTCGGTCCCAAGAGATTCTTGCATCACTCGGTTGTCCATTCGATATTGTTCAGGAGCTTCGAGCAAGCGCAAAGGGCAGCCAGATCAACCGACCCGATCGCAGTCAACCCATAACATGTGCCCTGCAGATTGCCCTTGTTGATCTATTGGCAAGCTGGTCCATTTTTCCAAATGCGGTGGCCGGTCATTCCAGTGGTGAAATTGGTAAGATCTCCTTGGCTTTGTTAAGGAATAGATAGCTAACCAGCTCCCGCTTTATAGCCGCTGCTTACGCTGCTGGATTTCTCTCTCAAGCTGATGCCATGCGTGTGTCATGGGTTCGCGGCTTTTACTCTCAGCAAATCTCCGAGAGTGACAAAAGGGGAGGAATGCTGGCCACGGGTATATCCTCAGAGGATGCCCAAAAATACCTTGATGAGCTTCCTCCTCGCTCGGTGGTCGTTGCATGCGTGAACAGTCCTTCGAGCACAACTCTGTCGGGTAATGTGGACTTGATCGATCAACTTGAGAAGAAACTCCAACAAGACGGACATTTCGCCCGCAAGCTACGAATCGACACTGCTTACCATTCTCCACATATGGAAGACTTAGTCGAGGTTGTCGGCAACGCAATTGCATGCATCAAACCTGAAGACAGATACGATGGGACAATTCCCATGCTGTCTTCCGTCACCAAGAAACGAGTTCATTCTGCCGATGTGGGTGGACCGTACTGGGTGCGCAATATGGTCAGTTCGGTCGAATTTACTGCCGCTGTCACGGAGCTGGCAAACTTGAGCGAATCTAGCAAGACTCGCCGACGCCCAGTTCCCGTCAAATGGACGACTCTGTTTGAAATTGGTCCCCACTCGGTGTTGAAGGGCCCCGTCACACAGATCCTGCAAAAGGTCAATCCCAGCATGACGACACTCCCATACTATACTTTAGTTGCACGCAATAAAAATGCTTTGCGAACATCGATGGATGTTGCGGGATCTCTGTGGAGCACAGGGCATTCCATTGATCTTGCTGCGGTGAATGACTGCGTGAATCCTACGGCACCCAAGATGGTCATTGATTTGCCTTCCTACCCCTGGAACCATCAGAATTCATTCTGGCACGAGCCTTTAGAGACAGCTCAATTGAGACAGCGCAAACACCCACGTCACGATATTCTTGGAGCTCCTTTGGACTACCAGAATGCCCTTGAGCCTCGATGGAGAAATTTCCTACGACTTTCAGAGAATCCCTGGATGTCTGATCATGTCGTCGCCGGAACAATTGTCTTCCCAGCCGCCGGCATGATGGTGATGGCCATCGAGGCCGCACGTCAGCTAGCGCATGGTCAAGGCAAAGTCCAGGGAATTGAGTTCCAAGATCTGCACTTCATGCGAGGAGTTGTTGTGCCCAATGAGGAACGTGGCTTGGAAACTCTTCTCCAAGTTTCACCCCATCCCGGGATGGCAGGCTGGTATGAATTTGGGATTTTCTCGCTCCCCTCCGGTGGTAGTTGGATCCAGCATGCAAAAGGTGCATTCATCCCCCGGTTTGAGAACCCCAAGCACAGCGAGCATGCTGCAAACTGGGCGGCAACCCTGGCACGTATCAAGGATACACAGTCGATTGCTCAGAAGGGGGATCTTGAACAGGCATACTCATGGCTGTCTCAAACTGGAGGACTCACCGTGGGCCCATGCTTCAAGACCACGGCGGAGGTTTTCTTCTGCGAATCCGAACCCCGTATTTGGTTGTCGGGAGTTGTGACTGATACTAGGCAAGGCATGCCGTATGAGCGGGAGACGCCCAATTTCATTCACCCGACTACTCTCGATTGTCTTTTCCAATCCGCACTGCTGTCATGCTCAGAAGCTCTCTCTAGCACTAGCGCCAATATTCCCATTGGTGTGGATCATGCCTATATCTCGGACTGCTTCCAGCCTCAAACGGGTGAAGAATTTATCGTCCACACAGAGACACAGTGGCGGGATGGAAAATCCCAATCTCAGTGCATTGCTTCAGACCCCTCGTTATCTCAGCCTTGGATTACCTTCGACGGTGTCCATCTTGGTCGCCTTCCCTTCAACCCGAACTCGCCAAAGCAAGAAGAAACTGGCTCCCAGAGTCGGTTTTCGTCTATTATCTGGGATGAACATTTGGAGTCACCGATCATCACTAGTCGAATCTGTCCCGATGGAACCAAGAGCAGCGCTGTTAAAGTCAGCGAGCTCCTGCTAAAAGATTGGGTCGACCGTCTCTGCCATACTAACGGTGATGGAAATGCGTTGATTGCTACTTCCGACACGTCAAGTGCTTGGATTCAAAGTCTCGCAAAGTACGGGCCGAACAGTGGAAAGCGTCCTTGCCTGAGAAAGGTGACCGCGGCTTTATGCGGTGTAACAGAAGACAAACAAGCCACGAATGACGTGTTGGGAGCCCAAATTGTCCCAGCTGTCACAATCGCTGATCTTGCATCTGCTGTCCCTCCGGAGGAAGCGTATGACGTTATCCTCATCGATGAGCTTGATCTTTGGAATGACAATGCCTCTCAGCCCCTTCTGCCGTTCCTGAGCAGTGCTCTCGATCGCGGAGGGTTTGCCGCTTTGAAGGTCTCCGAATCGACCGTGGCTTTAGCAGCAGAAGCCCTGAATGGATTTGATGGTCTTGAAATTCACAGTCTTACTTCAGACCGTACCTTCATTGTAGTTCGCAAGAAGCCGGCCTCGTGGACCACGGATTCAGAGATTTATGTTTTGAGCAATGACGACAAGTCAAATTCCTCATCTGTCTTTGTCCATCTCGAGAAGGTGTTTGCGACTCACAATGTCCGCGTGGTGCCTATTGGTTTGGATCAGGTATCTGAGCATGAAGGAAAGACGGTCATCTCATTGCTGGATCTTTCTGGACCCTGGGTTACCAACTGGACACCAAAGGGTCTCCAGCAACTGCAGCAACTGGTTCGGGCCCAGTACGTGCTTTGGATCTCGCCTTTCTGGGCTCAAGGAAACGTGCAAAATGCTGCTCACGGCGCTACAGCCGGACTTTTGCGAACTCTCCGCAATGAGCACTTCAGCACTACAATTCCTCAACTACTGGTGGATGTTGATGATCTGCAAGATGAATTCGGTCTGGCCTGTGGCATTTTGCAGGTCATGCAATTGACTATGCAGGAAAGCTCGCGTCGCGCTGACCTCGAATACCGGCTGACAAAGAGCCGACTCTTGGTCCCCCGAGTTCTTCAGACTGCGGCGGTGGATGAAGCAATGTATACTCTATTGAAGGGGCCTAAGCCTGTCCCTGCCGATCTCAAGCATGATGCAAGACCGCTTGATCTGAAGTTCCAAGATGGGAAGGAAGCATACTGGGAGGAGAAGCAGGGCTTCAAAGAACTACAAGCAGATCACGTTGAGCTAAAGGTAGAGATGGCCACTGTCTTTGATATCAATGGGGATTCTGGAAAGACGCCTGAGTCAGCTCTTCCAATGTTTGAGGTTGTTGGAAGAGTCAACCAAGTCGGATCAGGCGTCCGTGACTTGGCCATTGGTGATAAAGTGTTGACCCTAACCTCCGCGGAATTGGGACTTTCAACAACCTTGCGTGTTCCCGAAAGTGACACGATCAATATGCCGGCTCTTGCGGATCCAACGCAAGCTATCTCGGCTCCTCTTGCATATCTGAACGCCCACCAAATCTTGACTGAAGTTGGACGCCTGGGCGCTGGAGCCTCAGTTCTCTTGGTTGGCTCAATCAGCCAGACCCTTCGAGCCATGATTGACTTTGCCCTCAGCATGGACATGGTGGTCATCGTTGCGACTGACTGTCAAAACACCGCGGACGTCCTTTCCTCTCGCTACCCAAGCTTGAAGGATAGGATTCTTGGTATTCACAGCGGACTGGAGGCGAGCGTGTCTAGACTGACCAAGGGTTGTGGAGTTGAGGCTACGATCTCATTCCTCGGTGGGTATTCTGGCCGAGTTGCTGCCAAATGCCTTGTTGGAGGAGGACAGTACATCAACCTGTCCAATGAGATGAAGCTAAGCGCTCTTCCCGAAGGCTTCATCGACAGCGGCTGCACTTTCTCCTCTCCACAGCTGCGAAGAGCCTTCTCTGAGAAGCCAGGCAGCCTTCATGCTTCAGTTCGGAAGGTGATGAGCTTCATGAAGGACCAGCAACTGCTGCATCGTGTGGAAGCGTATCAGCTATTCCCCGTTTCTGATATCCAGCAGGCTTTCCAATGTTGCAAGGAGACCAATGGCAGAGTCATCGTTGACCTTCAAGCTCCAGGCCAAGTTCCTATCATTCTTCCATTGCCGGAGTTTACAGAATTGCCATCTGAAAAGACCTACATCTTGGCAGGTGGGCTAGGCACTCTCGGCCTCGCACTAGCCGAGACCTTGGTAGAGTCTGGAGCCCGTCATTTGGTTTTCCTTGGCCGATCAGGAGTTGCTCAAAAAGAGCAGAAGACTGCCCTTGATTTGCTTCGGGGTCGTGGATGCCGTGTAGATGTCCTTCGCTGCGATATCTCCAAGGCGGAAGATATGGAGAATCTCTCTTCGGAAATCACCAAAAAAGACTGGAATGTTGCCGGTGTCATTCAATGCACCACAGTTCTGAAGGTAATGCATCCCAAGAGAAGACCATTTTATAAAATATCTGCTAACTCAATTCTACTTTGGCAGGATGCCATGTTTGAGAATATGACTTTCGAGGAGTGGTCACAGTCAACAGATCCCAAGGTTCAGGGAACATTGAGATTGCACCAGCTGTTCTCTGAGCGAGAAGGGCTTGAATTCTTTGTGACGCTCTCCTCTGTTTCCAGTGTCATGGGTAACATGGGGCAAGCTAACTATTGCGCTGGTAACGGGTTCATGGACGCGCTCATGGAGTGGCGCCGAAACCATGGCCTGGCCGGCATTTCTATCAACGCCGGTCTTGTCCCAGATGCTAGCGGAGTCAGTGATATCGTGAAAGATCAAGAGGAACGCCTTCGTCGATATAACAATTTTAGAGGCACTGAGATTTTAACCCACGAGCTTCAGACTCTGCTTCGAGTTATCATCAACAGCAAGCTCTCCCTTCCGCACCAGATTATTGCTGGTATGGCGGACTCTCTGTCACGCAAGAATGCACCCACCTCCTGGCTACTTGACCGCAAGTTTGATCATCGTCTCTCACTCGCGACTGAAGAAGATACCTCCTCTGCCGCTTCTACGGCCACTTTGCTCAAGAAAGCCGATTCTGTTGAAACGGCAGCTCAGATTGTTCTCGATGCTCTGAGCGAGTACTTGGCAACGGCCATGGCTACAACGGCCGACTCTATCGACGCTGATTTACCCTTGTCAGCCTTGGGTGGTAAGTTTGATACTACAAGCTTTCCCCCTTCCCAATCCGCCGAGTGATATTTATCATACTAACTATTTCTTTAGTGGATTCACTCAAAGCAACTGACGTTCAAAACTGGGTCTCTCGTGACCTGGGCGCTGAACTGTCCTCATTTGAATTCCTCGGCTCGCAACCGACTAAGACGCTAGCCAAGAAAATTGCCTCGGCCAGTTCGTTCGTCTCGGTGTCCAGCTGAGGGTCCCATCGTGGACTTAGTGGTAACGAGTACGCAAGCAATGTGACATCCAGGAATATTGTAAGTGGTGGGGATTGATTTCTTCCTTGCTTTTGGCGTTTTGAGTGAATTTTTGGGGCGTTCGCAGACTCTCGCATCCCAACCGTTTTCCAAGAATGTTATGTCATGCTCTAGTTTTAAAGGTATCGCATAATTTCACGAATTTTGTTTGAACAATTAGGGGCCATTGCTACATATCTTCAACGTTTCATTACATACGATACACTGTATCTCGACGTTCGGGAACTTCGTAAGATACGTAAATACAAAACATTCATAAGCGTAGACGCCGATCACAGACCTCCACGATGGCGCTTCTCGAGGCAAGTGGGTCTCGGCCGGCGCCCAGTTGGTTAAAGCAGTTCACATGCAGTAGTATTATTTTCGTATTTATTCTAACATTATTTTGACTTCCCCCTCCTGGGTTTTCCCGAAAGGAGTCCCCCATCCGTGTTAGGGGGAATGAACACCGACCAAAAGACACGATCCCGCGCAGCCCCGGGGGCCGCTGTATGTACGTGCAATCCTTCTGGGGCCACTCCCCCTGCCATCGTTGAGGGTGGGGCGCTAATTGTCCAGAAGGGGCAAAGAACGATTGGTGATAGAAGTGGGGGTGTGTGAGAACCTGTTCGCATACGCCCCGACACTCAATAGCTCGGTTTAATCGCCGGATATCCTTTACGACATTCGACGAGACCTAGACCCGCATCGCTAATCTTCTCGCGATCGCGGCGCTGGAAACGCAAATCCCCCCTGTGGAATGTCGATCTGTCCACGCCATGGTGTCCACCCACGACTCGGCAGGAAGATGAACATAGTCCAAGCTCCCTAAGGAAACTCCACCTCGTGGAAGTTTTTTAGGACTGCCAACAACCTCCACAATTCTAATTGTTCTGGGTTTCATGCATGAAGCTCGGGGTCTATCGGGCCTCCGAGATGACGGAGGAGTAGACTCCGGATTTCGCCTCAATCCCAGTCAGTCTCTTGCACTAGGGGGAAATTCCGCTGTAACAATAATTAATAGTGGATCCATGGCCTGGATACTGCTCAAAAGTCCGGCATGGATGTGCTGCGATCAGCGAGGCGGGCGACTTGTGGGTGGCACGACGGCCTTTGGCTACTGGAAAGGTCTATCGGTAACTAGCTAATGCGTATCTAATGCCTCTAAGTTGCATGGCTGTAAACTTGTCTCGGCCACGGATCCAAGTGGCCCCGCTTGTGGTGCAAGACGGGAACGGTGGGCTCGCGCGAATAATGCACTGGCTTGCAGGGAAAGTCTTTGCTCGCAACCGCATTTCAACCTTTGCCGTCCAGTCGCGTTGTAGCTTGCGCAGGGCTTCCTCTGGTCTCCCATAATAAAGGCTTGCCGGACCGCGTTCTCAATCTTGATTGTCCGCTTTTCCTTTGCTCCTCTTTCCTCATACGCCGTCCGATATGTCGGACCCTGAGAAGAGTGAGAAGAGTGAGGCATACTTGCCCACGGCCCCAGAGCAGGCAGTTTGTCATCAAACTGGCTCGGATGATAGCAATGGTGCCAGTTCGTCGGACTCGGAGAAAGTGGTGAAGCCAGAGATCTCCAAGAAGCCGACTCATAATCGGCATATATCCATTACCCTGGATGACTTGGAGGCTCAAACCAAATCCGAGCTCCCGCTAAAGCGATTCGCATATTTGAGGTATGCGGTGTTTACCATGTACCGACGGCTTTTCACGGTGGTGTTCCTGGTAAATTTGGCATGCTTCATTTACGTGATGGTTGCTGATCGCCAGATCTTGGCTCTGGTGAATGCGACGGCCGTGAACTTGGTAGCCTGTGGTCTAGCTCGCCATCCAATGGTGGTGAACGGCATCTACCGGGTGGTGTGTTCACTTCCTAGGTCGGCACCACTTTTCCTGCGCCGCATGGCCGCCAAGGCCGCCCATTATGGTGGTGTGCACAGTGGTTGTGGTACTGCATCTTTGATTTGGTATGCGGGATTCGTCGGTGTTGCATCGAAGATGTATTGGACGTCAACCCCGATCAGTTCTTTGACAGACCGCACATTCTCGACGGCCCCGATTGCGGTTTCGTACGTGATCCTTGTTCTTCTCATGGTCATGATTGTGGTGGCATACCCAGTTTTCCGCAGAAAGATGCATGACTACTTCGAGCTCACACATCGGTTCACATCATGGCTTATCCTTGCTCTATTCATTGTCCTGGTGATGCTCTTCGCCAACGACATGGGCAAAGCAGAGAAGAAGTCCCTTGGATACGCTCTCATCACGCTCCCCGCATTCTGGCTCTTGATTGGAGCTGTGCTCGCAATTGCTCATCCCTGGCTCCTCCTAAGGAAAATCCCGGTGCAGACAGACCCTCTGTCTCCGCATGCTATTCGACTACACTTTAGTCACACGCCAATTAGCTTTGCCAAGGGTATCCAGGTGTCCAAGCATCCCCTTCGGGACTGGCACAGTTTTGCCGGCTTCCCAGATCCTTCGGAGTCTCTTGAGAATATCAGGAGAATCCCATCCGAAGAGAGAAGTCCCGCGAAGCCACCTGCAGCCTACAAGAAGGGACACAAGCGCAACCAAGAGAGTTGGTCGATTGTGGTCTCCAAGGCCGGAGACTGGACAACGGACACAATTAAGAGCCCGCCTACCCACGTCTGGAAACGTGGTGCCTTGATGCGCGGCGTCGGTTACGGTCTACGACTTTTCAACCGCATCATCGTCGTCACTACTGGATCTGGAATCGGGCCTTGCCTTGGATTTTTGGGCGATGAATACCGGCCAATGATCAAAGTCGTCTGGCAGACTCGAAACCCGCTTAGAACGTACGGCCAGGGAGTAATTGACCTGGTCCACCAGATGGGCCCAGACCCAATTATCCTGGACACTTCTCAGGGTGGTCGCATTGACATGCTTCCCATTATCCACCAACAGGTCCAGGAATTCAAAGCGGAGGCCGTTTTTGTCATCAGCAACCCACCCATCACCCGCAGGATCGTCTACGAGTTTGAATCTCACGGGATTCCGGCCTATGGACCTATCTTCGATTCTTGATCTGTGTTTCGTTTCGATTCAGTGAATCGTCTTATCTCGGGTTCTGCAGTGCAGAAGTATTATTTGTCGCCAACATTGAGGAGGGAAATGATAATTTGACCCTGGTGGGCAAAGAGAATGAGTTATTGATGGGATTATGATGTCTTGAGAGAACTCGCTGGCGTCCTGGTGAACCGATGGGATATGAGAGGAAACGATATATATGATAGTCTACGATTCGAAAGAAAGCTATAATACAACTTGCAGTCTTTTCTGTTTTAACTCCGTCTCTGGTATGGCTAGTGTAGGTATCCGAACTACCTCGAGACACTGTAGACCAGCAACCTTGGAGCTCTATCCATAGATACATGGTGTACCCACTATGTGATGAGAATTTCTGTTCTTGCGTAAGACACTGCGGGGGTGCCCCGGAGCGCCAGCTGACCCCTCCCTACGTGGGGAAAGCGATATCTTGGTAGAAACAGCTTATCCATCCCCAACGCTGCAACCAAAGTACAGTAGTGGACGCAATGGAATTTCCTTTCTTATCAGATCTGCATGTCCACCGCTAGGCCTTCCGTACATGTGTTCTGTCCTACATACCCCCACAGGTTCATGCACACACACATCCCGCAGATCATGGGTGATCATCGGTGAAAGTCAAAAGGCTTCCATGGCGTAAAATATATGCATCAAAATGGGGCAGGAGACCCAGGATTCTTGCTGCATAGGTGATCAACCGCTTTGGTACTGCAGTTCCCGGACCGCCATGCACTTCGTCTATTAGATGCCGACAACATAGACAGGCCTCTCACTGCCTGGTCCCACATGGACGGGGCAGCCAGAAATTCTCTCTTCGGTCGCCCAGGTGAGATTGTGAAACTCTAATTCTTGGAGTCATGCTAATTTTCTGCCTAGGTATTTCTTGGGATCTGCTTACAATTTTAGGCTTCGATCCACCGATGAGTTCAATCAGTGTGACTGATGACCCAGTCTCAACTCTCCTCACATGATCTGATCATACTGTATGGTTGCCGGTTGTGTAACCTAAAGGATTGATAACATCGAGAACCCTACCGACTAATTTGGTAAGGCCACCTGCTTTTCAGGCTGTTCTTAGGTAGGGGCAAACAAAGACGGGGATACACCGATATATTGTCTGTCGACAATATACTTGTTTCGAGACTAGACGTCATATATTTCGGGTGAGTATCAATACCACCGCATTTCGACCTTGTTGATATTTTCCATCCAGGATATGATCGCAAAAATGTTTTATTTGATTTAATTGGATGTCTTGAAGAATGGACGAAAGTGTGCCACCCTGCCCAGGGGCTTGGCAAAGTGGCACTTTTCCAGACTCTTCATGACTGTCAACTATAGAACTAACCCGTAATCAAGGTTTCCCTCCTCCACCCTTCCTGTTCTGGTAATTTGTGCCCTGGAAGTCCTCGAATGGGCTAGCGAAGACATCCATGCACACCCGGTCTCTGCCTTTTGACCAGGAGCCCAAAATTGGCTAGTGTTTAAAACGATAGTCAGCTAAGTAGCACTGTATCAGCAAAAAATGTGGAAGAAATCTTCAATATTAATCATAACATTGAGCAAGCTAGTAGCATAGGTAAGTCACAGATTGTGTTAAAGCAAAGGCTTAGCATTTCACGTATCTGCGTCACTCTGAGAATCTAATATCAACACCGACTACAAGGTGATGTCTCGTTATTAAGTATTTCGTTACTCATTAGTTCCTATACCAAATAGCTCCAGCCCGAGCTGAGCGGGTCTTGTCACACTAGTATGCTGACGGAGAAAAAGCTGTTCACCCGATGCAGGGTTTGATCTGTTTGGATTAAAGATCTATACTCATCCTCCGCGAGTCAATGTCTTGCTGCCAAAACGAGTCTCGGTAAAACGAGTCTCGGCTGTCTGGCAGTGGTCAACAGAAATATCCGCATGTCAGTAATTGTAGAACCCAGAAAATTACTACTTTACTCGGGAGACATCCAGGTTCATATCGAAAAGACTATATTGATGGCTTGGTATCTTTTTGGGAGGGAGCCGACATCCCCCCAGTGAGCTAATATTCGTAAGCTAGGTATACATTTTCAATAGGCGACTAGTCATTAGAGTTTAAGCCTCCTCTTGGTCCATTTCATCTCTGCCGCGCTTTTTGAACCGACTGCCACCAGGGCCCCTCTTGCCCCTACCATCTTGAGTCTGCTCTTTCAATGTGGCGATCGCTATCCTTTGGGCTTCATGCACTCGGTTTGCGAAGACCATCACCTCATCTTTCTCCGGTTTGTATTCTTCCACTTTCTTTCCAAGAGCATTTTCAATCCGCAGCCAGATTTCCACATCATATTGAGTGACCATAGAAAAAGCCTTTCCACTCTTTCCTGCACGTGCAGTTCTTCCCACGCGATGAATGTACGTCTTGCTATCTTGGGGAAGATCGCAATTGACAACGAAATCGACTGCTGGAATATCTAATCCACGAGCCGCGACATCGGTCGCAATGAGCAGGGTCCGAGACTTGGAGCGGAATTTGTTCAACGATCCAAGACGGGCACTTTGAGATAGTTGACCATGAATTGGGATGGCAGGGAAGCCGAGGCTGCGTAGCAGAAGGGCCAACCGCTGGGTTTCCAGGATGGTGCGAGTGAAGAGAATACCCATTTGACCCGTGCGCTCGTTCAACAAGTGAACAAGATAGAGATCCTTCAACTTATGCGGGATAAACAAGAAGGACTGTAGTAGATTCGTGGCGGTCTGATTCTTGGACGAGACTGAGATTTTGGCGGGATTGGACAATGACGCCCGTTGAAGAGATTCGACTTTGCTGGAGATGGTGGCGGAGAAAAGATAAGTTTTACGACTTGGGAGAAGTCGTAGAAGCTTGTCCAAAATGGGGCCGAAGTCCAGGTCAAGCAATCGATCAGCCTCGTCAAGCACAAGATATTTCAGATTCCTGAGAGAGAATCCTTTGGTATTTTCGAGGTGATCAAGGAGACGTCCTGGGGTTGCGACAATGACGTGAGGCTTCTTCCCCAATGAGATGGCCTGTGGGACCATGTCCATTCCACCAATCAACAATGTGCATCGTACGGAGATGAAAGCTCCCAAGGCTTCAACGGTCTGAGCGATCTGCTGAGCAAGTTCACGAGTGGGTGCAATGATAAGCGAATGGTATGGCTGGGGACTTTCCATGAGTCCTTGGAGTAGGGGAATGGTGAATGCAGCGGTCTTTCCACTTCCAGTTTCGGCCAGACCAATAATATCTCTTCCTTGTAGAGCGACAGGAATACAGGACGCTTGAATGGGTGTCGGCGTTTTGTAACCGAGGGAGTCACACGCTTCACATAGTGAGTCGATCACACCCAGTTCCTTGAATGTTTCGGCTAGTTTGGTGGTGGTGGAAACTTCCGTGGCAGAGGCGTCAGAACTGACAACCTCGACCGAGGGTGTCGCATGCGCAGGGCTCTCCATTGCCAAAACACAAGATCGGGCTGTTGTGAGATAGTTTCAGACCGAAGCACAACTTCAGTCGATAGGTGCACGCGGTGAGCCAGCCGGCCAAATGTGTTGGACCTGTTTGTTGAGATGGTGACCAGAGGAGGAATCGCAAAATTTTTGTGATCTGCCAGAATCTTATCTCGGGCGGGAGCTCGATAGGGTGATGAGTAAGCATATTCCTTACCGCCCTGCTGACCGCCCCACTACTCCATATTTGCCTTAAGAATATGGCATCAATCAAGAACAACAAATTTCCCGTGACCGGGCCAAAATTAGCGACAAATACGCCAGCACCGAGCCCCAGTTTAGAAATGGGCTTCCGAGTAGCAAGGCATTTGTGATATCAAGCCAATTCCTTTATTTTTGAGCATTCATTGAACCGAAATTTATGACATGATAGTTCTTGCAAGCCTGCACCCTCAGCAATGGGATTGAGTACGCCCCCCTGAGTCGTCAGAATATATGTCCGATGCTCAACAGCCTCATGCAAGAAAAAGGCAAGTCATATTGTATCTGTAAATGGATACCGGCGGACGAGGTGGATCCCGTCAGTTGCAGTGGGCGCGATTTTTATTGTGACAATATTGGGCTACCGTCTCCCCTTCAACAATGTCTTCCCCACAGCAGGCAGAAACCGCAAGTACCTGTTACGTTGAAGACTTTGTTCCCTGGCATTGTCTGGAGAACACCCGCTCTCCAATCATTCTGGTAGCTTTCCTGGAAGGGAACTCTATTCTCCACAGGAACGATACTTTATGATAGTTGATGAGGAGGGTTCGAGAACCAGTCGTTTCGTTGGCAATGTCCCTGTCGTCGTTTAATCTAAGCATTGAGCAAACAATTCAATCAACTTAAAAATATTGCCTGAATTTGGCTGGTTTGAATCAAGGTCATTCAGGCATTGCCCCTTCCTTGCCCAATATTTGGCCGCTATATTTTGTCAATCTGGTTTGGGGTTCGTGGTGAAGAACGTGATTGTGATTTGCCTTGGCTTCTATTCTTGAGTTTTCGCAGTCTTCGTCTAAGCTGGATACGGCAAGATAAAGTATTTTGTTCAAAGAGAGTTTATTTTTGTTTACATTGATAATCAGTGCACTCGCTGGTGTTCTTTGTTAACCAGGCGAGTATAATCCTTGAGAACAAAGCCAAGCGTCGACATTCTCCGCGACGACAATGCCATTGCTGTCTCATATCGCATGAATACCTTTGTCTTTTCTCATCCATCCAGTTTCTATTTTCTGACCTCCTGGGTGGCACCGAGAAACCCAGCACTGCGATGCAGAAGTTATATAAACCCTTAGTGTCCTCAATGTAGGGTACATCATTTCAAATCCTCAGGATCTCGTATACAGCCTACATATAACCAGAGAGAGAAGCTATCGAACCAGTTCCGAGTGGTTGCGAAATCGTTCATCATGGAATCAAGTGATCCTCCTCCTTATTATGGCGAATTCCAACAACGTGGAAGAAAGATACTGGATTGGATCGACAACCCGGCAGCTGAATGCCATATCAAACCTAACACTTTGACTTACGACCTATTGAATGCCTGGGCCCGGGTTGTGGAGACTTTTCATGACCGCCCCGAGATCTCAAACGTGATGTCTGCAGAAGGGGATGAGGGGCCCACCATCCCAGGTCCCTGGACTGCCCACAGCTTCGAACATGGTGTTCTCGCGCCGGATGGCACATGCAAGGGCGTTGATAGTTGGGAGTCGCAGGTTACGGCTGGTATTATTCTCATTCTGGTAACGTTTAGAGAATCAGGACCCTACGTTTCGCAAATTGCTCAGGCCTGCTACGAGAGACAATATCCTATCTCCACCCTCAAGCATGTCGTTGTATCCGACGTTATAAATGATAACACGCTGGACTTTCTCACATCGTCTATTTTCACCGGGGTAGGAAGTATGATGGATTCTTTACCCAGAACTTTTACTTACCGTACAGCAGAATATGAAGCCATTTTGGGCACCAGGTGCGGTTCAGTGATGGGATATTTAGTTCTCGGAGCATTTGAACGAGGAACCCGTCGAATTTCTCGTATCACGATCTTTTGTCCAAAAGGAGCGGGCATCTTTCTGCAGTTTGATATTGAGGAAGTCAACCCCGTGTCTTCACCTTCAACGAGGGGTAGCAAACGCCGCAGAGGAAACGGCGAGGAAAGTGATGACGAAGAAGAAGAAGAAGAAGAAGCAGAAGAAGAAGAAAAACAACGAAAGAAACAGCGCCGGTCCCCACAAAGGCCCCCGCAGTCTTACGACGGTCCGGCGAAACGTACGAGACAAACAACTGGAGCGGTTAATTACACGATTACCCCTCAAGGGCGGCTTAGAAAGCCCTAACAAAAGGTAGACGAGTGAATTTCCTTTTTTATTTCCTTTCCATAGAAATTGATGAATTTTGTTCCTTTGAACTCGAGAGGATCTAGAGTTACTAGATATTTCCATCCTGTAGCAAATCTGAGATTGTATAAAATCACTCGATATCAAGGAAACTGGAAGCTTATCGAGCAGATTTCAGACAGTTAGATTTTCATTTCTACAAATTGCAATTGTTGACTTGAGTTTTTTGGGACATCACCGACGGGGTTGTGGGACACTTGAAGGACCCGGCGGATTTGATGAAGGTTGAAAAGTACCGATACCGTGAGCTTTGAGTCTTTTCCACAAAGGGCAGGATCGAACTCAGGAAAAATCTTATTTGACAGACTTCGAGCGTTCCCAGAACTTCCGTCCGTTCATTCAATGATCTGGGCGACTCGCGGTTCAGACAGCTTTGGATGCCGTCCCAAATTATCTAAGGGTGGATGTGTCATTCAATATAGCTGTAAGTCAGTTTGCATACTTGTATCTAAAGATCTACACCGAGGGAGATGGTGATGACGGTTTGTTTATAAATGACGTCACCGTAACCTGTGCAAGGAAGGCGGAATCACCAGGAGGTGGCAGAACCGAAGCTCACCGCCCGCGGTCAACGCGGAATCTCCGCGTTTGGACGCTCGCTCGTCTGGGAATTTTATCATGCAGTGCGCGAAGTTAAGGGAGTCTTTGTCCTCAATGTGACTCTTCGGTGGTAGTTCTGGATTTTGCATCTTATTATTGATATCCACAACCGACAAAAGGGTCATTGACACTCATGGCATAGGTGGCCCCCGATCCGGACAAAGAGCGATCCCCTCAAATAGATTTTGTTGAGACGTGAAATAATGGAACAATCGACAAGTTTCATTTAAGTCTGATTTCCTGGGGATTCGGGCGAAATCCTTGAGTTCTCTTTGGCTTGACGCTTTGGAGCGATGACCAGCCCCAACTAACATCCCCTCTTGTGCCCGACCGCATCCCTTGCAATACTCTCACTTACCACCAGTTCGGTGGCAACTTGTCACTATGTTACGATCTATTGGGTAGCAGTCAATAATTTGGTAACAAATCACACTGGGGCGTTTCTCGACGATTGTAAGTTCAATTTTAATTAACAATCCACGTCCTGCAGGATCAATCAATATACCATGTACAAATCGAGCGCTATCCTACATAGGTCATCTCAAAAGTAACCCAGATCCCCTCTAAAGCGCATCATAAATCTGTTGCACGCTGTCACCTCCATCAAAAACATGAGTACCGTGGCCCGAGCAGCTAATGGACGGTCCACCAGCAGACTTGACAGCTCTCTCCACACAGCCACTCTTCATCAAGGTCGGAAGATTGAATTTGGCTCCAGCAGACCCATTCACTGCTGTGTTGAAGTCCCAAGCAGTAATAGCACCGCATCCAGACTCCTCGCTCTTCAGCTTGCTCTGCAAGTCATCTTCATCAACGTCCCAGTGATCAATGTCATAGATGAGGAACATGTAAGCCGCAATCTCGGACCACATGGCGCAAGATGCAGTTGGTGCCGGGGTGGAAACGACCGTTGATGAACCCGCGCCGTAGGTCAATGTCAACTTATATCCAGCAACGTCCATGTACGAGATTGTCGATGTGGCGTATGCAATGACCGTGTCGTCGGAAGTTGTCGTGTAGGGGAATCCCGTGGGAGCAGGGGTTTCAAGGACCGTGCTGCTGCCGGACCCATATGTTTCGGTCAATGTATAGCCCGCGACGTGGAGTATTGACACGGTAGACGTGGCGTACGCAATCACTGAGCCCTCCGCAGTCTTCGTGTATGGGTAAGGGTTGGTGCTGCTCGGGAAAGTTGTGTACGAACAATAGCCATCGCTCATCAGGGGCAGTGATGTGTAGTATACAGACTTTCCGGAAGTTGATGAGCATGTGCAATAGTCAACATTACTGTGAGGATTCGCATAGTTGAGGCAGTAAGTCGTCGTTGCTGTCGGTGCAGCAGTGATCGTTGTCGGTGTGGAGGTCGAATGCGTTGTGGTGGTTGGAGCTGGGAACGTGGTGTACTTGCAGTATCCATCTGTCATCAAAGGCAGGGAGGTGTACAGTACTGAACCGGAGCTTGTCGAGGAACAGGTACAGTAGTCGGTGGTATGATCTGCATAATTGAGACAATACCGTATAGCCGACGTGGTCACAGTCGATGAGGCACGGGTAGTGAAGGACGAAAGGGAGAACGTGGATCCAGAAGGTGTAGTGGAATGAGTAGTTGATATCACTGAAGTTGCAGATCCCGAAGGTTTGGCTGAGATGGTTGTAGATGTCAAGGTCGTAGACGACTTGGTAGTACTCGACTTTGTGGATGACGTCGTGCTTGGGGTTGAAGCTCGGACCGAGCTTGAAGGAGTCACACTTGTAATATCAACAGTAGCAGTCCTAGACCGAATGGCACAGGATTTGATCTTCGTGCTACTCGAGACCGGAGTCGATGACGAGGGAGAAGCACTCGAGCTCGACCCACACGGGTTGGCGTAGCCAATCTCTCGTTTTGTAAGAGGGATGGTTCTTGGAGTCCAGAAGTCTTGTGTGGTAATCAACTGGTCTTCTACCCAGAGTCTCCATTGACCAACTTGCAGACCCGGGCTGTCAACGACATCAGGTGTGGTCAGCCAGTATTGGAAGGGATCAACTTCGAGAATTGCCCGACCAGCTGTACCACCTTCCGCAGTGGAATCTTGCCGACTCGTTCGTTGATACCCAAGAGTCATCGCACTGCCCCCGGATCCTGGGACAACACTAGCAATCCATTGTCCAAGTTGACGAGCACGACTGTCATATCGTAATGTGGTGGTGACCTTGAGCACATCCCTGTCCCAGTCGCTGGTCTTTGGGGTGAGAACGAAAACCTTTGGGGCATAGATAGCGTGAAGAACTCCAGGATTTTCATCCGTTCCCACGAGCGCGGTAATACTCTGCGCAGTGGATGTCCCATCTCGAAGCTGTTCAAAAGCAATCGCTTTAAATGAACTGTCATCCGTATCTTTATAATCAGTGTCGATAAAGACCGGGACCTCCCAGATGTGAGATACGTAGACACCTTTCTCAGACACGATAATGACCGAAGTGCATCCATAAATACCATTTACTCCGGCAGCAACATGGCCATATATAGGGAAACCAAACCATTGCCCAGATGCATCGCCGTTCTGGGACACCCATGATGGTTTTAATGCAGAAACGTAAGATGAGTATGGTGGAGCCACGCTGGGCAGCGCTCGCTTACCTACGGCCTTTGCTGGCAAGCCATGGCCCCGCGGTCGGGCGCTTCGCTTCTTGGACGATGCGGAGGTAGGTGTGTCGGTAGCAAACACATCAGTGTCCACCACTCCATAGCTAGCGGTTGGGAGAGCTGAGGTGTAGGATGTCGCGAGAGATGCACAGTAATTGGTTGATGAAGCACTAATTGTCCCACTCAATACCCCTTTACTCATGGGGCACGAATCACCACAGGTGTCAGATGCACATGGTACTTGACTTGAAGTTGTTGTCGCTGTCGAAATGGTAGTCGTGAGCCCAGTCACGGCACAACCAGTTGTTGTTATAGTAACAGTTGAAGGAGAACAGGTCTCTGTCGTCGACGTGGAACCGTCTGCAGTGATTGAAGTTGTCTCGCAGAGAACAGTCACACGGAGAGCAGTGGTAGTGGTTGATGCAGTACAAGTTGAAGAGGTGGAGGTGGACGAGGTTGAATCTGTCTTCGATGACTCGCTATCGTCCTCATCATTCAACTCATCCGTTGAGGTGGTGAGAGAATTAATAAGCCCCTCAACGCCTTCAATATCATTGAGATTGATATCATCCGTTACGTGGGTCAAGTCTTCGCCAATGCACGCCAATGCGCTGATGGCATTGCTGATGAAATCAAAAAGACCCCTCTTTCTTCGCTTCTTGGAACTGCAAGGTGATGACGATGAAGTGCTACCTCCAAGGTTAGAGATGATGTTCTCCACATCACTCTTGACATTCTCCACCGATTTTAATGTGCTTTCCTTCAGAGAATCGGGCTCAGACTTCCAAGAGTTCAGGATTGGGATGAGGGCCATGATCTCAGAAGAGACGGATGAGACACTGGATGTAGCTAGAGCGCCAGTGACGGTTGTGGTGACTGGTGGAAGAGTGATCGGGGTTTCTGATCCCCCAACAATAACGGGAACAGTCTTGGTGACGCCATTTTGAACGATGGTAGATGTGATAATAACAGGCGTAACGGATACCAGTGGAGTACTGGCAGATCCGCCAATTCTGGTGCTGGAGCTGGCGGCCGTGGGGACATCGTTGCTAGAAGTTGCTCCTCCAGCAGCAACAGATGGCTTTGTGCTTGAAGCAACAGAGCTATCGGTACTTTGAATCTTTGAGCGGGAAGTTCCCGAGGCTGTACTTGTGCTTCCAGGTAGCGGTAACGTGCTTGAGGAGGGTGCGACGATATGTGAAGAGGGTGAAGCGACACTTAAGGAGCTCGGAACAAGAATGCTAGAGGCTTGGTTCACGGTGGTGGTTCGACTGGTCTTGCTAGAAAGTCCAAGGGAGGAACTTCTTGACAGGACCAATGGGGTTGAAATGATTCCGGACGTTGAAGGGGTAGAAGTACTGCTCGTGCGGCGAGAAGTGCTCGATGAGAACCTTGAGGTGTTATAGTCAGCATCAGTAGAACAAACAAGTTTTGAAAAGTAGCTGATATTTCCCATACCGTGTTCGTGAGCTCGCATTAGGTGTTGAGCTTGGCTGAATGCTACTTCTCGATATGTCTCCCGCAAATGCATACTGGGTCAAAAATAACAGTATCAGCAGTGCCCTGCCGACTGGCAGAAGCCAGCCCCGACGAGCCTGCATATTTGTCATACTGAGCTTTGGATTAGATAGGACAGTTGGGCAGACAATTATATTCTTCAGACTCAATGGCATATTTATATATCTTTGAAAATCTTTGGCCTTTTCCCCGCCCCCAATCAGCCAATTTAGTTGTAACTATTCATATTTCCTTAGGTTCACGATCGTCATTCTAATTCTAAAGGATCCAAAGTCAGATTTTAGGCTTTCTAATGTGCCGGTGCTTTCTGGTTCTTACCTCGTGCGAGGTTAAAGTCATACTGTATCGTATCAAAACACAAATTACGGGAGTAGATAAGTGAACCTTCCAGGGCCACGTTCTTTAGAATCCCAAGCTCTTCAGAGAACTTGTTGAACTTTTGGCCTTAGATACAGCACCAATAGAGGATCCTTCCTACCTTGCTTGCTCTGGCTTCATCAACAAGTAAAAAGCAACAATTTAGAAAAATAAATTACCATGTCAAGGCTCTTTGAATGCTTGAATTTTTCTGTGAAACAGTCCTTTCTATTTTTTGGACCGAAATTCCCGGCTAGTGCTGACAGCCCCACCTCACGGCATAGGCGGTTCCATATTGCTCAGCATCAGCGGGAGCAAGCTGTAAGGTACGCACGCTATTTCAAGGTCTTTCTCGCCGCACACTACGATCAAAACAACATCAAAATGAGGAACCAAAAAGTGGTATCTCATCACATTGAATCTAATTGATATATATCAATAACATTGCGGAAAACTAATATCTTCTCCTGGAGTGGGAGATTTCAGTGTATTACGACTAGATTACTTCCTCCTTCCTCGCCGCAACTCCTTCCTCAATAACCTTCTCCATTTCTTCGCCCCATATGGAAGCGTAAGTCACCGCGCTCCCAAAGTTGCCTTTTGCAAAGGGGTCTGCTCCTTGTTCTAAAAGCCACTTGACACGCTCGATGGCTCCAGCCATGACCGCGTGAACAATCGCATATAGAGGCTCCATATGCCGTGTTTCAACCTTGTGGTTCACATCCGCCCCATTCTCCACAAGTAAGCGCATTACAGGGATTCTATCAGCATCAAATTCCTTGGTTGGCTTGACACGGCCGGCATGTGGATTTGTCCCTGGAGGACAAACACCAGCAGCACAATGCAATGGTGCTCCATTACGGATCCGAGCACCTGCTGCCAGTAGCATTCTTACAGCTTCAACGCTGCCATGCGCTGCGGCTGTCTCGAGAGCACGGCAAGAGTCCGTATCCGAATTACCATGCCGCTCACGAAAGTCTTTCTGTTGCCCCACATTTGGATTCGCACCGTGTGCCAGAAACCAAGACAGTAAAGGCAAGTCGTTGACCAATCTTGGAAGTAGTACAGCACCATATAGACCCGGGGTATTCGGAGTCCAGCCGTGGGCAGCGAAGAGCTCGAACAAGGCGATTTGCTGATTGGCTGGCGCCTTCAGAATAAATTCTGGGGTTTGTCGGACGATGGGTGCGCCGTTGGAAAGTAAATAGCTGGCAGCCTGGACGTTTCCAGCTCGTAGAGCGGCCAGAAGACCTCGATGGAGAAATGCAGGTGTCCGAGGCTCTGAGGTGACAATTTCCGCAATCATAGATACCGGACCATTTTCGCAAGCGGAATCGAACGACGAAAAGGAAGATGGATGGGGCCGTTTATGGTCCAGGTCATTTGCCTCGAGGATTGGTAAATCTTCGAAATCAGAACCCATGGTCATAGAGCGAGGCTGGATGCTCTGGCTTGGTTGGGATCCGACGTTCTGCCGGCCTGCGATAGCGGCTGCTTGTTGCTGCGCCATAATCTGCATCTGCTGTTGACGTGCCTTCATCGCCCACTGGTGCTGAAGCTGCTCTTGAGACGCCATATTATTTCGCTTTCCTAATGTGTGCTTCTCTGAGACCAGAGCTTTGCTAATGGCTGAGGTATATATCCGGGCAATGATGATACCGGCTTGTCACAGACTGGGCAAAGTGAGCGATGACGAACAGATAAGCCCTTTTCGCTAGACGGGGGATCGTCAGGGGCCAACCAGATCTGAGGGGCTAGCGCGACTTGTATTCGTATAAATGGTACTTTTCTAGCCCGTATAAGCTACTCAACCAAGCAAGATTCTTCAAGGAGTGGGAAGGAGAGAATTCATGAAGCGACCGCTAGCGCTGATGTGTTGCCTAAGTTGGGAGTTGGGGGCGAGGATCCACTGATGGATCGTTTCACTGCCGTGCCCCAGGCTGGATCCGAAGCCACGTCAGTGCGATTGGGGCCAATTTCCAAACTTTTGGGGCGAAAGGAGTCAAATGATTCCTTGACTCGTGGTTGAGCACATGGCCAAATACGTTGGGCAAAGCTTCGTCTCCAAGCTCATTTATTAATCTTGTCTTCCTTGGTCGATGAGCAGTTGGCCAACATTTCACTCCTGCCTTACCCCGAGCATAGGTCTGTCGATCTCACTAGCCTAGACAGTAACATCTAATAATAGTATCCGGTAACTGGACTGAACGGATGACATTTATTCTCGAATTGACTGTCCGGATAGCCTTGTTTTGATCGAATGATCACCGAAATTGGGGGCTGCTGGCAAGGGGTGAAATTATAACCGACAATTCTATGAACATCAAATCACCAAAAAAGCAAGCTGGAGACCTTGACTATTGATGACCCCGCAGGTGGAAGCACCCTTAGCCGCCGCTCATGTGTTCCACTTTCATATTGCGGGCATCGCTGTTACACTTTGAACTGGGCCCTGGCTTTTCGGTCGCAAACATGCCAAGAGTTCCAGCAAAAGCCGTAGCCATGTCTCCCACTCTGTTGTATTTTGTATACTTATAGTTCAGTAAGTACAAGATTTCTCCGATAGGTTTTCGAGAAGATAGAAACCCAAGAGCAGTATGGCATTCTCCGACACGATAATGACGTGCTATGGGATGATTGATAAGTGCGCCAAAAGTCCCCTCATCCCAAACATATATAATTCCGCTCTCCGATGCTATCAAGCAACAAATCTTCATAGACTCAAAAGCCTGCAGTCAACAAAGTAGAATAAATATGGTTGGACGGACACTGATCAATGTTGCGATTATTGGCGGAGGACCAGGGGGACTGGGAACGGCCATCGCCCTATCTCAACTCCCCTTCGTTCAGGTCACTCTTTATGAGAAAAATCCGGAGCCTCGCGAAGCTGGTGCAGGAATTAGTCTGAGTACGAATGCATGGAAAGTCCTGGACTTACTTGGAGCCAGCGATGGGGTCAGGGGAGGCTCCAAGTCAAACACGCACCAACGGTATGTTGAAACATCCGGAGCGTGACAACTCTCAACGTTGATGGGCTCTAATCAGAGCTTTGAATAGGAATGCCCATAAAGGCACGATTCTCAGCGTGGTAGAATCGCCAGAAAGTTCCGAGGCAGACTCTCGTGGAGCGATTCGCGCTCGGAGAACGCGTCTCCAATCAGCACTCCTTTCTCGAGTCCCGAAGGAAATTATCCGATATGACAAGAAGCTCATCCATCTGGAAAATCTACCGAGTAAAGGGGTGCGATTGTTGTTTCATGACCGGACAGAAGCGGTTGCAGATCTTGTCGTTGGAGCGGATGGAATACAATCTGTTTGTCCCACCCCCAGATTCAGAATCAGAACATTACAGCTTACGAGAGCGAACGTCACAGATTGTTCGCCGGACACTACTCCCGGATCATCAACTCTCTTTTACTGGAACAATTGCATGGCGGGTGATTGTCCCCAAAGCAAGTCTGGCTAATATTCCCGACATCACATCCTTCACGAGCTGGTGGTGGGGTGAAAAGGGTCATGTTTATTTCTCAGATGTTGATGATGAGAGCGAGGAAACCCCGCATTTTGAAATCACCGTGCGTGGATATCGTGAGCCTGAGATCCCTGGGAAAACTGTCGTCTGGGGAATTCCTGCTAGCAACGACCGCGTAGCATCTCGTGTTGAGGTATGAGACCGAAAGCTAGCCTGGAAAGTACGGTTCCAATACTCAAGCTAACTCTTCGACAAGAATTATGACCATCGAATCAAAGACGCTGTGAATGTTGTGCCAGAAGGCGCATGGAGAGAATTCGCAATGTTTGCAGGTCCACGACTTGACAGGATTATTGGCTGGGATAACAAAGTCGCATTGATTGGAGATGCCAGTCATCCCCTCTCTGGTGAGATCTCCCTCTTGAAGAATTACAGTCACGCATTCGATAACTTAATTTTCATTTAGGTGCTTTCGGTTCCGGGGCAACATTCGCGATGGAAGATGGCTGGATTCTTGCCCGGGCTCTGGAATATACTCATTCACTTGCGCTTCCGGTAGAAGACGCCCTCGAAATCTTCAACACGATCCGATCACCATACTATGCGAGAATGTACGAGCATTTGGATCAATCGGAAGAAAGGCTGCGAAAAGCTCGACAAGAAACTAAAAGCTTCGACGATTTCCTACGGATGAAGCTTGAATACTTCCTTTATGGAGACAAGGATTTCATTTACAAAAATGACATCCAAAAGGTCTGGGAAGACTATACATTAGCAGTGGAAAGACAGGAAGAAGGCCGGGGATCTTGAAGATTGAGTTATCAAGATTTACTCGCAATTAAAATAAATACGTTCTCTTAGACCGCTAAAATAATTCAGTCTCGAGTGTGTTCAACTGATGCCAACGCCAAAGCTGGTGGCAAGATGGGGTAGTCAGTGCTCACCTATGAATCATAGGAACCCCGCTCCGTCAAGCGAAACCCATGATATACATTTGCCCAATTGTGTCACCAGCTGCTCTTATCATCTAGTAAATATTTATTATCACCCAAGAACTCCCCATCTCCATGCATTAGCTCGGCTGGTCGCGGTCGCAACGAATTCACTTTGCATCCGCCAATCGTCCTCCTGGCTCGCATCGCCTAGGGTATGACGAAATCCCGACCATTGAAAAAGCCAAACGCGCGAGTGAACCTCGCACTACCACTACACTCAGAAAGAGATGATCAATATGAAAACTCAGCCCATTTACCTCTCTTTGGTCATCGCCTCGTTCATAGGGTCTGGGGCAACAAAACTCGCTGAGCAGACATTAACATTCGATAGTGTCTCCTTTGAGACCCGAGCTCGTTGGATGCGCTTAGCAAACCAAGCATTGAGTGATATAAGCGGATCACCATGTCCGTTTGCGGCATTCGGAACCGTTATCGTAAATCATACCGACTCTCCTGTTGGCAAGCTGATATGTATGGGCGTCAATGAGAATCGCAAGACGGGGAACCCGGCTCTCCACGGTGAGGGCAAACGAATGCCAATCCTCAAATTTGGATGTTGCAAATCTGATAGCAGATCTAGGTGAAATTGCAGCAATTACTAATTGCACCGATATTCTTACCGATTCTCAAGGCGACTTTCGATTGTCAACATCCGAGGCACAGAGTGCGTTCTCCGATCTGAGCTTGTACACAAATGCTGAGAGCTGTCCGATGGTAAGTCCTCTTTTTCAGAAAGAAAAAAAAGTGTCTGTTTGAGTCAACTTGATATTATTCAGTGTGCCTCTGCAATTCGCTGGGCGGGTTTTAGAGAATACATCTATGGAACGTCTATTGCCAGACTCACAGAAGTAGGATGGCATCAGATTCAAATCTCGTCAATGGAGGTCTTCGCCGCGTCTTATGACCTACCGACTCGGTCACGCCTCATAGGCAATTTTTTGGCCAACGAGACCGACCCTTATTTCTTGTGGCAATTCAATCCAGCTTATCCGTGCCCAAAGGGTTGTTCACGTACGAGAACAGGAGCTAGCTGTAAAGCTTCTTGGTATACTTAAAGTATCTGAGGATAAAATGCAAGCACGCATATTCCACCGAATCTGAGCGATTCACTCAAGAAGTTTGATTACAACCTTCCTTCGGTACATAAACACTTACGGAGTACTGTTGTAGCCCGTTCCAGCTCTCATAGCACGTGCTGTAAGCTCCTATTTGCTCCCACCTCTATGCGAAGCCCCTAGATACCGGATATATTTACATATATGTGTCTGATTTTCAATCAGGCTGTCAGCAATATGGGGATTCATTGCTTGCGTTATCCGTCAAGACCAAAGATCTTCTCTCTATCAAGACACCGTAGCCAAGTGACTCCGAACAGGTACGTTCTCCTCTCTTCCTGGCTCTGGGAACCCGGACACGTTGACACCCTTCCGGAACAGCAAACAATGAGTAGATCCACCAAAGTGGAACATGCCAATTTCATCACCCTTCTTGAGGTGATCACCTTCATTGACCGTGATCTCACAAGTAGAGACCTCTGCCATTCCCACGCCGATAAAAGCCATCAATCCAATCGAAGGCTCATCAGCCTCGATGAAGATAAGAGCACGGGTGGCGGTTGCGGTAATGTACGACTGTGAGATGACCTGTCCCTCCATATCGATTTTTGCGGTCTGAGCATGCGGATTACCAACACCCTCAAAGAGCGGTTCAGAATAGTAAGTGCCATCGATGACATAGGCCTTCACGACCTTTCCGGCGACGGGCGCATGCCAACGGTGGTAGCTGAGCGCGCTCAAGAATGCCTGGTAGACCGTTCCACCAACGAATTGCGAGGCAAGCTCATCATGACCCAACATGTCAAGCACAGAATACGGTTGGCTCTTAATCCAGAAATGGTCACGGGCGCGGACATTGTGAGCCAGTCGGTATGGCTTGGACTCACATGCGTTGGCAATCACGCGACCATTGTCAGGCTCGGCAACCGGGCGCATTCCTTCGGAAAATTGTCTCGTGAAGAAATCGTCCCAGGATTTGAAGCCAAAGCTCGGTGCAGAAGCGTCGCACTGGAACATGTCCTGGAATTGCAAATTCTCTGCCGCGCTGGGACCAACTCTTGCTGCGAGTGTTAGGTCGCGGTGGCCCGTCTCGCCGAACCAGCCATGAGAGGTGTTGTTCAAAACTTCGGCTGAAGCGGGAGACCGCAAGAATTCTCCCCACGCATTGAGAACTTTCTTTAGCATGGCATTGATTTCCGGGTCCAAGAATGCGGCATATCCACTGGGAGTCCCCATAGCCCAGTCGAGAACGGCATTGATGGGTAGCCCGACCAGTCCGACTCTATGGGCTTTGTCGGTCCATGACGGAGCCGAGGTGAGGAGATGATTAAGAACTCGTAGAAAATGGTCATAGTCACGGATCTGTGCGGTACCAGTAGGATCTTTGCTGTATGGTTTCTTGTGCGGGACTTCTCTAAACATGCCGGTTAGGAGCATGTACACCCTCGTGTTGCTCTCAATCAACTGCTTGAATTCTTCAAGCACCGGATGGAGGGATTTGTCGCTCTGGTCGACCTTTTGAATTACTCCTCCGAGCCACTCCCGATGAGCGGCATGATCTGCTGGCATCCACTGGCCAACCCTAGTAGATTATCGAGTCAGATGAAATGGGGGTCTAGCCCTGGGTAGCGGAATAAACATACTTATGCAGATGATGAGCATCATTCTTCGAGGGCATTGTGAATAGTGTGATAAAATGCAGTGATTTTGGACAGGTATAATGGCTCCGATCTTCTGTCAAGCTATCGAAAGAGGTGAAGTTGACGGAACGACGAAAGCTTGGCTATGGAAAATCTTCTTGGCAGGAGATCGATCTATTTAAAGGCTTAGGGCTTTGCTGCTGGTTGCATCATGGTGACGGCCGTGGACGAATCAAAGACATCCAAAGCGTCGCTATTATTACTACTTGGGCCCATTTAGGTTAGCAAACTCCACGTGTCGGTCGTTTTGTAGGAAAACCTGGAGGCCATCCGAGTATCCGGGGAGGTGACGTCATTGCCAGCCATGGTATGACTGGTGTACTTTTGCTGACCAGGAGATGTCCAGCGACCTAGACATGGCCTAATTTACAAAGCACCCTGTTCTTTGAACTTTTCTAGTGCGGAACCTATCATGGAATGCATTTTATGTCTCAATGCAATGGAGTTGTCGGAATACTCATCAACCAGGTTCAGGGTCCTTCCGGGGCTGGGTTACGAGGTCGCGGTTAAGCTTAATTTCAGGTCTTCCATATCTCCGTGTGTCATCAGTCTCCTGGCTGGTATTCATAGTATCCATGTCCATTCGCAGCTTTTGCCTACCTCGTCCTAATCACACGTCAATCCCGCTTACTGGCAACTGTTATATTGAGGAATCGTAGAAGGCAGTGTCATCAGTTTAACGACGTCACCTCAATTCCAGTTCTGAATAAACTCAATTGTCTGTGAGGTGACTCTGGAGTGTTGATTTAGCTGTCACCTTTGGGTCCGCCGTTGTGCTCTGGAAGCCTTCCTGAAATTCCATCACCGTGTCAACATGACCGTTCGCAGCAATACCCCCCTTGAAATAGTATCAATCAGCCGTCAATATTCACTCCCACCCCTGATCACGACATTATGACTAATACCTGAGCTCTCGCCATTACTTGCCCTGATATCCATGAGAATATCTTCGGTCCTCTTATCACATCACTGATTAATGGTGATGAAATTTCATTCTAGAAGTGCCGGACGTACGGCTACTCCTACATCCTCACAACTCGGCTTCAACCTCATTCAAGTGCCCCTGTATCTGGTCCCTTCAAGAGGCTGTGGGAGTACATGTCGGGCCGGGCATCACACGCCTCCGTACGCAAATTTCGAGGGCTAGCACAAGCAACCGCCTCAAATGTGGGGCAACCGGCAGATAAAAAACTGCGACAGGCCCTCGTGATACTGGATACTGGATGGAATCTCAGCCACGGTCCGGGATTATAACGGCATTTTGGGGACTTCGCGTCGGAGATCGTATCAGCGGATGACGAAAACCAGGCTCAAAGAGACGTCGGTTCTACCGGGACGGCTCGCGACTCGAAACACATACACCCTCCCCCATGCCTTGGTATGGTTGAGGTGAGTTATTATTCTACTTTGGGAAATCACTACGCGAGGATGCTGTTTCAGACGTGGAAAAGTGCGTAGGGGTGCATTGGCAGGCGATGAATTCGGTTCGATCGCCTAGTGTCTTACCGTTGTAGAAATTGGGGTATATAGCCAGCAAAACAGTATTTCATGGGCACTTGGATGCAAATGCGTTGCTTAAGATGCGGCGTGGGTCCATGGGGGCATGAACAACCCGCGATCTTCTCGTCTCGGGAGATTCCATCTCGGTTGACTTCGGTATCTACTCGTTTGTTAGGGCGGGGGAGTTGAGAACTCATTGATGGAAAGGCTGTGGAGATTCGTGAAGGGTGGTGAGACCCCATAGAAAGATACACGATCAAAAGGTACATCATGAGAAATAGCTTTCAATGGCGTGATCCAAGTCGTTTTCTAAAATTATTAGATATGCTTAACAAGATTCATCGAAGATTAGACATACAAGAATCGTTTGATCCTAGCTTGAAAAGTCCTTCAATGATATCTCGTCGATTGTCATTAGAGCTTGATTCACTGTAGAAAAGCAGTGCATCGCGATAAAGTTCAGGGGAGCCTTGCGCATATCCTCGAGCTTCTTCCATAATCATGTCGTAGACACTGGTTTCGTGAAATACATATGGCCCATCGCTAATGTTGCGTAGATCTGTGTATATACCGTCTTTGGCTTATCCATATATATGGTATCGCGCGTAGATAGCATCTCCATAGCGCTTCTCAGAAATTGCTATACAGAGCGAGATGCCCATGGTTCGACCATTCAAATTCTTGCCGTTGTATTGATGACGTTTGCGACGGAGAGACCGAGAAACAGCTGTTCAGGCAGGGAAGATTCCATGTTTGCAATATCGCACTTATAGTCGCTGGTAGGCTTTGCGAAAGGGATTCTTACGCCGAAATCTCGCTGTGTGGCAGACAGAGCAAGTATTTGGGGGAAGGGTGGGGGAAAGGGGGTGGGGTTTATTTAGGGCGAGGCTGTTGGCACTACCTCAAAATTCTGCTGGCACTATCTGGGGCCTCATTGTGGCCTGGATGACCCGGAAAATCCGAGTGATACATGCATTACCGGGCGAATCCCCGACTGCTCGACTCTTCCGTATTACACTGATGAGGACCAATCTTGACTGCGGCTGTGATATTGGAGATATCCAGAGCAAGCGAAACTTGGTGAGGCATTTATCAAAAGTGAAGCGATCGAAACTCGAAATTCCGTCTTTTCCAGCACAACGGAACCCGAGACACTACGAGCTGCCTCGAGAGTTGATCATTGGATGTTACGAACCTAGTTCCACTGCAATACGGCGGTCCTATCAGGGCTATCATGCGGTGACCAGGTACAGGTACAAAGCTTGAGTCGATCGTCATTCAACAAATCTTAATGTGGGGCTCCGAGGATCTCCCGACCGGTCGATCTGCCTCGGTCAACGAACGAGGAAACATGGCCTTTGGGCCGCATACTTGTTGCGAACAACTCACGCAAAACGCCAATGCTAATGTCATAAGATTTACGTTGGGCATCTTTATCACTGTGAGTTGAAAATTAGAAAAATGAAAAAAACATTGACTCGAACTTACAGCCGAACCGAAGACCCCCGATAAATAACTCGGCTTGCCGGTCTCCTCGAGTCGGTGGGGCAAGTCCAAGGCATGCCGATACCGATACCGTTTGGAGAGAGCAGGGTCGGGACGATGTCGGTCTCTCTTCGGTGGTATCATCACCCTCGCAGATGCCCAGTGGAGCGGGCATTGTCCGAGAGAGGTCATGGCTCTTACCAGGTGGCGCTTTCGGAATCTTTGCATGCAATTCGTCCGTCAATCTCGTGGTCCACAAGTCTCATGCAACAAGGCTGGTTTGTATCGGGCCACTGCCAATTCTGGATGGACTACGAAAGATAACAGAAGAATCAGAGGCCTTGAAACGACCATTCCCAAAGTAATTCGGCAATTTCATTCTGGGGGGCGAGGGCAGCAAAGTCAGAAATTATCTTATGGCAAAGGCAAGGTCAGATAATAAGTCAAAAGGCACCCCGTCCTCGCTGTACAACGAGCGTATGTAATAGTCCACCTGAACCTCCACTTGAAAAATTCAATTGCCCCAATGAACAGCCTGAGAACACGTTCGAGCATTTTGGAGCATTTTGGAGCCTATCCAGACTAAATCCCCCCCCACGCCTGAGCGCCGTAGTCCCGAGCCCCCATACTTACGAACCCGGAATCTTGCGGATGACGACAGGTACTACCTCTACCAAACGGGGCTTTAAATGGGGAACTGCTTCTCCCATATTCTTCGCTGTTACTCTTTCAGGCCACTATTTTTCCACTTTCAAGCCCACGGTCAGCCCATATCATGAAGTCAAAGCAACAACAACAACAGCAGCCTATCACGGCTTCCCACAATGAGACCGTACCTACTACCGAGACGACTATCGCCCATCAAGAAATCTCTCAAAAGGGATGGATCGTTGGAGGAAAATATCGGGAGACAGTTTGCGAGGAGGATTCACAAGAGTTTGAGAGCCAGCTATTACAGGAGGTAGACATTGATCTTCCTCTTACCGTGACCAAGCCTACAGAACATAATGGCCAGCACTTTATTGTTTTAGAGTTTTCTGAGGGGGATAATGAAAATCCCTTCAATTGGAGTGGGAGGAGAAAAGCTTTTATCAGTCTTCTTCTTTGTTTGATGACTCTCTTTATCGGCCTTGCCACGACAGCATACAGCTCGGGTATTTCTCGAATGACTGAAGATTTGGGTGTTTCATCAGAACTGGGACAATTGGGACTCTTTACTTTCAACTTCACCTGTGCCCTCGCACCGCTCTTCCTGGCCCCATTCTGTGAGCTGGCAGGTCGACGAGTCATTTACGTCGGTGCTTATGTCTGCTTCGCTCTCATGTTCATTGGCCTCTCATTAGGCAAGAACATTGCCACCATCCTGGTCTGCCGCGCCCTTCTGGGTCTCTTTGGCTGTGTTGGCACCATCCTCGTCGGTGGCACATTTGGAGATATGTATACTCCTGCCCACCGTGCCATCCCTATGGCCTCCTTCGCCTTCGTCGCTATCTTCGGTACCGTCGCCGCTCCCATCTACGCTGGTTTCATCGACCAAGCTCTCGGCTGGCGATGGGTTGAGGGTATCCAAGGTCTGGCTAATATCCCCTTGGTTATTGTCATTACACTCTGTCTCCCCGAGACCCGTGGTGGCGTAACCCTCAGCAAGCGGGCCAAGATGATTCGCCAATCTACTGGCGATGAGCGCTTCGTCACCCACAACGATCTCGAAGCACCCGGTATCAAGGAGATGCTGCATAACTCCTCTGTCAAAGCCATTCAGATGCTCTTCTCTGAGCCTGTTGTCTTTGCCTTCGGTCTTTGGATCAGCTTTGCTTGGTTCCTGACCTTCCTATTCCTCTCTGCTATTCCCATCACCTATCAGGAGAAGCGTGGCTGGAATGAGGGTATATCAGGCCTGCCCTACATCGCTCTTTGTGTCGGCACTACCATCGGTTTCGGTCTCAATTTCTTCCAAATTCGAAAGTATGAATCTATCATTGCCGACCCCAACAGAGAGGCTCAGCCCGAGGCTCGACTCTACGGAGCTTTGTGCGGTGCAGCTTGGCTCCCCATTGGTCTCTTCATCTACAGCTTCACCCAGTATAAGGAGCTCTTCTGGTTTGGCCCCATCGTCGGCCTGGTGCTGATTGCCATTGGCATCTTCTTCATTTTCGAATCCTGCTACAGCTACACCTCGGACTGCTATGGCGAGAACTCGTCTTCTGCCATTGCTGGTCAGGGCTTTATGCGTAATACTCTCGGTGCTGTGTCACCATTGTTTGCTTCTCAATTCTTCCACAATCTTGGTAGCCAGTATGCCGGTCTTTTGCTGGCTCTTGTTGCTGCATTCCTCACATTGATTCCGTTCGTGTTGTTTAAGTTTGGACCTGATTTGCGGGCACGATCCAAGCTAGCAAGTACTACTGTCAGCCTCGGTACGGGCAGTCTGTAGGTCTAGAAGACAAAGTGAGGGAGTTATTTACGTCACAAAAGAGAATAAATAGGCACCAGAAAAAGCGATGAATCAGATGGTTAGGTAACTGTGACTCATGTACATACAAGAAATGAACTCACAATTCTTAAATTCCCACGCCAAACAGCTTCTTTCTCTCAGTCGATGCAGGGGTCAGCCGGACTACAACCACTTCCTGTGAAGCCCATCAATCACCTGGATTATTGGGGGCCGAACGTCTGCCCTAATCCAGGATGGGCTTTTACGTTCCCGTTTATGCACACCAGGGCCCCCGCCTTGAATTTGTCTGCCTCCTTCCATCTTCTTACACGAGATTTTCGGCACAAACACCATATGCCCAGTCTGAGCACCTAAGCCATGAGAAAGGACACTCAAAATGGCTAAGGCGAGGTAAAAATCGGGTCGATGATTACTGGTGTTGACCTTCCAGAGACGGTCGGCAAGAAACGAAAGACTGTTTGTGACAAGCTGAAAGGAAAGCTTTGCGATGGCACATGCTTCTTGACCACTTCGGCAATAAAGGAGGATGAATTCACCTCCCAATTCAAAAAGGCGTGTGCTGAACAGCAAGACTCGCCAGGGGGATCATACTATGCGATAGTCCGCATGTATCCTACCAAGGAGCTGGCTGTGAAGAACACTGGTGGCAAATGCGACGCCTCCGTCTTTCCCTAGCGTTGGGGGGTCATCGTAGGGTTTAAGAGATCTATCGAGCTGATAGGTGGTGTTGGACCGCTAAGTACGAGCTAATTCCGCGAATGACAATTGCTGCATTTCTTTTTGGTGCGTCAAGTCCACGAGCTATGGGAGGCTTTCAGCAGCGGTCTTCGGATAGTCCTTTGCTTAGATCGCTAAATTAATTTTTTCGGTACTGTTCATGGACCACCCGTACAGCCAGCCGCTACCCAAAATCGTTGGTATTCCCCTCTTTACACACACCTTCGTATGACGCTCAATCAGCGTTGAATGACATTCAGGACTGATAGAGAGGTTACATTTCTTGTTAACTTGTGATCCAGTACATCCGACCGTAGGGTATGTAGAACAGGGCTGCCCGTCCGCTCAGCTGTACTTAGGCCTCTTATAGTAGTCAACTCATTTCCAATGCGCCCTAAGCTCTAAAATGGCGTCGGATTTGATCTTGGGTGAGTTTGAGTGATATAGGTGAGAACGGGGTGAGAGTAGGTGAGAACGGGGTGAGAGTAGGTAAGAACGGAGTAAGGATTCTTACCAAGATCACCCCATTCTCACCTACTTTCCCTTTTTCGCCTAACTCTATGCTATAATGTAAGTTTAGGGCGCTAGTACGATCTACTGTTCTTTTCCCCTAATACTTGGATACTCTACTACATAGATCTAACCGCCGATTTTCTATAATGACTATACCTTACACACCTTACAATCTCTCTTTAATGATCTAGAACAAGACCAGACTATTAAATTAGAGCTCCTAATAAAGCGTTCAAGAATCCCTTTACGCGCTCTGTACTTACTACACTATAATTAGAACGCTTTTATGCAATAGTGCAGGATCACGCTAATGCACCTTAAGCACGTCATGGCACTCTTAACCCGCATTTAAAGGCACCGGATATCTTCGGCCAAGTCTTAAGTAGTCTGTCCGCCTAAGCGTCAGGATGTATATGTTCCAATTGTCAAGTATCGCCGATTGTTACCGGCATTGACCACTCTAGGAGAATATAAGAGATCGAAATAAGCAGTTATTGGAATAATAGCCGTGTGAGCATTATAATTATAGCATCTATGTGAGCTGATCGGATCATCTGTTCAATACAAGCTGGGCTCGGCCATGACTGAACCAGAACATGACTTGACCTATAACGTGCGTGCTGCTGGTAAGTAATCGATTTTATGTGTATGTCTTCCACAAGGACCATCTGATAAATGTGCAGGACCTTTGGGGATGCAATCTTTCTACTAGCCACCAGGGGGTTAGGGTCGTAAGTACTACCATATTGACGGAGCCCTACACGCTGGCAAACCTTGCAGGAGGCCCGATCCTTTACGGGCAGTTTTTTCAGCTATCCGGGGGTCAACCTAGAGTGTTCGTTGGTTAGAACAACTAGCCACTAAATATAGCTTGATTTTAAAATGTGGTCCGCAGAGTCTTTCGCAGCAAAAATACCGGTATTTCAGTTGGCGCTATAACTACATTCGACCTAGCAGCGTGTCTAAATGTACTTCATTTATCAGAACCCGAATTCCTGACTGTAATTCTAAATCCTTGAGCCCCTGTATCATCACGGAGTCCCAATCCCGCAGTGGCATCACCCTCGCTAATAAACAAAATCCTTGAAGTTGAGGTGTGTACTTCTTCCAGTCTTGTAGCCATTTTCTAACAGCTCCCAATAGGTATTCGGTTTCCCACATCCACTCCCATTCTTCCTGAAAACCAAGATCGTCAGTCAACGTCAGCCATTGGATGGATTTTGGGAGTGCTTCCTGAAGCCCCACCACATTTGGCGCCCGTGGAGAAAATCCAAGCAGGAATGGAATCGGAACTTCCAACTTTTTTAGTATATGGAGTCCACAGAAGGTTTTGAAAGAGCCCCGGAATTCGAGTGGCAGAAGTTCGAGGTCCGCTTCAAGGCCGTTCGATCCTGCCGTAATAGTCAAGTCCGTCAAAGTCTCTTGAACGTGAGATAAATCCGAGGCAATTTGGTCTAAATCTATAATGTCCGTGACAAACTGATCCCGAAGATCTGGGCGGTAGTACCAATCCCATTGAAGTTTCTTAAGTCCTTGAGTGGCTGATAACACGTGTCCGAGATTCCCTTCGCGAAGCATCGTCAAATCGAGTGATGTGAGTGTCGATGGATTTGGTGGATGATTCCCAGGCCATATGAAAGTGGCCGGGTTATCGACCAAAGTTCTTATGTGTTTAACGGACGGCATATAGAAGAGAGGTAGGACGTCTGTCGTGTTCTTCACGTCGGTATAACGGCGAATATGGAAGCCGAGGTCGGGATATATAACCGACACATCTTGGAGATATGTGAAAGATGGGAGATTGCTATCTTGGAGCTCCTCACAGAGGGCTGAACGGAGCATCATGCCCATGAGGTGGCTCTCCCGGGCGAAATTATTGTCTAGGTACAGATATCTCAGACTGGGGAGTTGTGACACTAGAAGTGTGACAAACGCGTCCATTGTTCCGGCGCATAACTCTTGGATCCATTGTTTAGCATATGGAATTTGGACCCTTTCGATGCATTTCACTAAATTTTCTAAGACATCTTCAGTGACTGGGAGTTTGGGACTCTTCTGATTATAGTCACGTCGGCCTCGATCGAAACTGTCACCAATGAGGATCACAACATTGACTAAACTGGCGAGCTCAGGCCTATCCATAATGCTGCGCAAAAACTGAACGATCGGGGGATTCTGAGAGCTTGTCCATGTCCATTGAATTTGGGCGTAGAGAAGTGGCTCCGCAAGAGTACGAAAGTACCTATGCGTGAGACCAACCGCCCAAAGGTCGCTGCGCGATAAGGATGCAAAAACCATGCGCAAAACCTCTGGGGGGTACTGAGAATGGGGGAAGCCATTAGATCTTGACAGCTTCGAAGATGCTGGCATATCGGAAGTAGGAAACGATGAAAAAAGAGCGACATTAACTTAGTGTGTAAGGTGGCTTCCCGGCAAAATTTGATCTCAAGGTAATTTGGGCGGGGAGCAAATGAGGAAGCTGAAGGGGCAAATAATGCACTAGCGCCTCGCTTGCTCGGACTGGACGTCTAGATCGAGAAGGCAAGTCACCACTAGTCACGTCGCGACATAGGGAGCGGTGGGGGCGATTGTTTTAGGGTGGTGGATCTTGCGGAGAACCCCTAACGGCCGCGCATTATTTCAGGGTCGACAGGGTCTACTCCGTATTGGGGGCTCAAAGAAGGGGAAGCGATTTTGACTGATCTCGGTGTACGGAGTAGTTACAGGTGCGCGTAGATGCGCGGAATGTAGCCACGGCAGAAAAGGCATTGGAGACCTAGACACGTCTAACACGTGTGACCCAGCTTCACGACTCCTCGAAGTTCGCAACATGCACGGAGTCACCGTCGTCCCTTTCTTGTTGAATAGCCCCCTCCCCGTGGTACGTGCTAGCATTACTAGTCAATAGTCCGGATCCCGAGTCTACCGGCTCGCTTCGCTTCTGCCAACGCCACTTCCAGACTAGTAGTACCATATTCGGAGGTGACGTCGGCACCCTCGGAACTGCATCAGGATTCAAGTCCACTGCATAATTGCCTGTCCAAGAAACAACTTAATTGCTGCCAATTACATATAAAACGGGAATCTCCCCTCAGCTTTCACCAAAAGTTTTAAGGGGAGCTCGGCAGTGAGACAGGACGAGAAGCTAGCTTCCATGGCATTGGCTTTCCTACTGGCATTTATTGCAATGTAGTTGTACGGAGCTAATAGAGGTGTGTATGAGAAGGGCAGACTTTGCTTGCCCAATCACGTTATTGTGCGATGTTTTGAAATAAGGGTAAAGGGATTTAGATAAATCTACTAGTGTCCTGTAGTAAGCGAATTGAGTTTTACGCCTTACCTTTTTCATTTAGAGAATATTATACATTAAATTGCTTCTATTGTCCTTTCTGGCGGCTAGTCACCTACCACCTATGGGACACTGGGCGAGTACCTTGAGAGAGTATTACTATGCTTAACTATCTCCTAGATCAGGTCCAATTATATTATGTCCCCATCTCATCACTAATTGTGCTTACATCCCCCCATAAACTGCAATATACATATTTAGACAACCTTCAACCGAGCAGAGATGATATGACTTGATCAAATAGCCCAGCAAAATCAAAGGGCTATCAACAATCCAAGCCCATTTAGTGGGTGATGCGGCGGTCTTTGATTGGTCTGTGGGCGGCTCTTGAACATCGGTCGATATACCTTCTGCATTGGGAGATAATGGTGCTGGAGTTGATGGAGGCGGTATTTCAGTCGCAGGAATATATAAACAGTTCAAGTATTTCGCAGTCAGAGAGCCCTGCACAGAAATGGCTTCCTTAGCATGGCAAAATTGCTTATTCGGGAACCCATAGGTACCTGGGTAGATATGCCAAGGACTCGTGAGGCTACAAGTTAAATAGAACTTACATAGTTATAGATGAAACAAACAGAACTACTCAAATGAATCTATAAAATGCTGTATATACAACCTTAATAAGAGCAGGATTTTTGCCATCCTCACAGCCCCTCACTCGTGCTCTTTGCATATAACATTGATTGCCTCTCCCAGCTCAATATCCCCAACAGCAAACTCCGGCTGCACAATCGCAAAAGCATCGACCAAACCTGTCAGGAGGTCACATGCAAAGTCGCCTCCACCGCCAGAGTCGAATGAATATTCAACGTCAATGTAGTCCGAAGGTCCAGGCGGGCCGAGTCTCCACCAAGGATCGTAATACTGAACTCCTGCAAATCCGGCCATGTTGCAGAATGTTCCATGATGACTTTCAGGGTAAGGATGATCGCGTTTGAGTATGGAAGGTACCATTCCCGATAACCAAGACTCATCGTCTCGCTTCCTGTATACCTCGGTATCGTATTGGACGCTGTAGCAATTCTTTCCAGAAGCCGAGTGCATCGCTGCCAGTGCCGCACTGCGGATCATAGCGTCTCGCAATGAAGTGACGTTGTACGCGCTAGAGCCGACCTTGACGTCAATAGTTCCTTCGGCAAGGAATCCGGCATCCACGAAGGGGACGTTCTTGACTTTCGCGGTGTCTGTCGAGCACCCCGTCATGCTCTTTGTCTGTGTGACGGAGGGACACAATGATTCCAGTGCCTTTGAAATTCCAGTGTAGAGCGCAGAGCCAGTCATGGTACCGACATGCACTGAAGAGCTACCGGCTTCGATAGTCACCGCTCCCGTCTGGACAACGCAGTTCTTGATGGAAGAACATTCATCCTCATTGTTGACCACAGGAGTACACACCTGGCACATCTTTTTGTCTGTGGTAGCAGGGCCTAAATGGGGCTTGGTTGTGATGTGCCCACTCGTTGGAATAGCGGTGTATTCACAGCTTTGGGTTGCAATAGTGACGTGGGTTGGGGTCAACAGTGGCAGAGTGACTCCATTGCAGACACAATACGCGGAGTTGATTCCTTCGTCGGGATCCTGGTTCCGCATTGAGCACGACGGCATGGATGTGGTCTTAGGCTTGCAAGCCTTGCTTGTTCTTTTGGCCAGGGCCGTGTTGACTGGACCATCCGCCATGAAGGCTGTGATGGTAGTGGTGGGCTCACTATCTATGAGGTTCACATTGAGATAGTCACGCTTTCCAGCCGGAGGCATCCAAGAATCATGGCCATTGGTATCGACAAGCTGAGTAGCTGTTTCATCAATCATGATTGGACTCCGCTGAGATGGTGGATCTGCTGGTGCAGCAGAAGCAGCGAGTAGGAATGGGATGAGGGACGCAAGTGGACGCATGACGGTCCACATTGTGCTTTGATTTGGAATGAGATTATTTTGTTTCGAACGATCAAGAAACAACTCAAGCTATATGTACTCCTCTTCTACGAAATCTTCGCGTTACAGATCAGTTGTTCATCTAGATTCTCCTTCGGGGCCAGACACAAGGGGGCCAATGGTGCAAAGCGGCCCCTTGGAGGCCTCAAATGAATGGGGTAGCAAAAGCTTAGTTACGGCAGGGGCCAGAATGAGCGATGAAGTTATTTGAACGACTAATTACTTAAGCTGTTGTATCTTCGAATATTCACCGAAATTTATGGACTAATTTTATCTTTCTTGGGGCCGGTAGATCTATCGGAAGGGGCACTTTGTGAGGCTATCCAATTAAGTTGGGGGCTCTCGTCCCGTTAAGCTGGGGGCTCCCATCTCATTGAGTTGGGGGCTATTGAACGAAAGCATGAGGACTAGGGATTAAATCTAGATTTCATTGTCATTTTATGGCATTTTCCTATATACTAGTAACGTTACTAGTGTGCTGCACAGCTCACACCGGCACGACTACGGGATCAGAAATCGCTATCTCAAGGCATGGTCTATCGGGAATTTCGGGGAACAAAGGAGGAGGAAAATAAGCAAGAATAAAAAGAAAAGAAAAGAACCCACATGAAACGACTGAAAATGGTGTTACAATTTTAGACAGAAATAGAGAGCCCGTAAGATTGAGAATCCTTCTTGCCGATCCAAGGGTAGATCAGCTTTCAGCCTGGTGGATACCGATATACAGAAGCCATAGGTGGAAGGCTTAGTTGGATAGAAGACTTGTGTGAAAAGCTTAGTTTGGGGAGAAGACTTGTGTAGTAGGTTCAGCTAGAAGGCATAAGTAGAGTATCGTGGGGGCGGTTGGCATGAAGGTTTTCCAACCTCCATCTTTGCCCTTGTTCCATACTACCATTATCAGCAGTATTCTCGAGCGTAATAGATACTCTGTATCCTGTCTCAAGTGGATATAGTCTAACGAATGGGGCCAAGAGCAAGGTTACTATTCAAGGAGGCTGAGTAACAGGTTGCTTTGCATGGTTGAGAAATACCCTTTCTCTAATGTACCTGAGTGAAACTCGCCTAGCTCTACCTTTGCATATTGTTCTTCGCTATTAGATGTAGGCTCTATGGTGACCCGTTGCCCTCGCCCCAACCTCTGGTCTCCGTGGTGAGGACCGCCTGCCATTTCACTTTGTGCTGTCTTTCTATTACCTTTTACCTTGTCCTTTCTCTACAGTAAGGAAATCATCGAACACTAAAAGTTTCCCTTCATATATTTGAATAAAACAAAATCATCAATGAAATGTACTGTGGAAAAATCAGGATCGCAGAAAAGAAAAGAAGCTACACACTTCTACAAGTCTACGAGGGCTTAGGTCACTTTGCCATTGACCGAGACTTTCCATCGAGGAGCTAGCGATATACCATCTCCTCCTCATCACCTATAAAATTCAACAAAACCAATCGTCAACAATCCCTCTCAAATCTCTGTACATGGGTTCCTGTCTTTATCGAAATCGCGCACGTAGACAGGCTCCTCATTCTGAACATAGAGCTTAAGTCTAGCCCCTCCATCTTCTTTCAGTTCCCATTGTACGACAATTTTGCCCCTGTGTCCCACTGTAGACAGACCGGCAGTGTATGGCATAGAGTGGATATTGGTTTTGGGCATGTCATTTTCAGTCAGTGCCTGAACAATAGCGTTGTATCCGGTGGACTTTTCAGTCGAGGAGTGCACGATATAGGCCTGCGTCTGAGTTGTGAAGTCAATTAGATCAAGAGCCGCCTCCAAAGGCGTGATGATCTTCTTTTGTGTTGCTGCTGCGTCGTTCATCGTTATGACATTTCCATATTCCTGCGGGTAATGCCCGATGACAGCTCCCTGACCATCGAGCACGATAACGACGGTACACCCATAGATCTCACTTGCGCCGTATAAAGCTGCAGTTTTTGGATCGAACGAGACGTGGACAGTCCCGCCTGTTTTGACCAAGTTGACTCCTTTGATAGTCCGGTAAAGGCTTTCAAGAGCGCTTGAAGTTTGGTCGGAGACCGTTTGGGAGCCCCCTTGAACACCTTGCGGCTCTGCTAGATCGCACTCATCGCATGTTCCTTTCTTTGACTTCTTGAACTTCTTAAAAATTCCGGACAATCCACGGGTGTCCAAACTTTGACCTGGCGCTAGAGCAATATCTCTTCTATCAAGATTATCTCGGAATGTCAGAAATCGAACCTCTTTTTCTTGTTTTGAAACCGGACTGGCAAGGACATACTGCTCTGCGGGTGCAGACTGCACTTGCACTGCAACCAGCAGCACAAGGAGCAGGGCCCCGAGAATAAAATTCAATAAACCTCTGGCCCTCATGACGATTTGATGTTAAAAATATTTGTGACGCAGAGTGAAGGAAGAAAATGATATATGAAGTCAAGTTGTGAATAACTGGGCCGCGAGTGCCTCTTCAAGATGACTCTACGAGAAGATCTATCAGTTTTGCATTTAGATATATATGATTTTCTCTTCCAGCAAATTTTTGTATACACCTCAGTCATGGACCCCAAAGTAGGTTTGATGGGAAGGGACCACTCAGACTGATCCTTGAGAATTGGGCCCCTCGGCTCCATCACAGCCCCCAGCCCCCAGCCCCTATTTGTTTTACATAGGGGGGCCGATCCTGAATCCGGTCATCTGCGATGCATAGCTACCATGATAATATATAGAGACCGCTGATCATGTTTGAGACAAAACAAACATTATCGTCTATATTTGTTCAGGGCAAGAGGTGGTTCTGACGAATAATTACTTGCGGTTCACCTTCAGTCCATGCAAACGAAGTGCATTACGTAAGGCTCCATGGCAGGTAGATTAGTTGCCTAACTTCCATTTTCAAGGGGCTTACAGCTGAGAGGTCTTCAATCCTTCTTCCTAGTCGAACTGAGACTTTCAAACTTCTATTGTCTTTTATCAGTCACCGATAACATGAGCTATCCGAAAGGCAACACCTTTTTCCATAAGCTGAAAAGCCGTTGGATTTTGCGGACTTCTCAGAAATACCCACCTTCGTTGATTTGCATGATGCCCGTCGAAATTCTCGAGGCCATTGCCATTTCACTAAGACCAACCGATTTTTGCGCCCTTCGACTTACTTGTAGAGATATCTACGAGAGGACAGCTCACTTCTTTGGGCGGAAATTTCTGAAAACAGTGCACATTGATCTTTCTCGGAATGCATTGGAGCGTCTGTCAAAGGTTGCAGAACACCCTCATCTAAGGCAGCACGTTCAGCTGCTGGTCATCGAGGAACCTCAAGACAACTTGTTTGGACGTGAAATTTCATGGGCAAGACATCCTTCTGGTCATCTTGCTGTACCTCAAAAAGCAATTCAGCAGTGGCAAACGGTGCTAAGTCGCCTAGTGAATTGTAGAGGATTTGAAATACGCCGCGAGCATTCCTTTGAATCTTCCGATCTTTCCGGTCTGAGGTCCAGCGATGCTATTACAGTTGTCCTCAGTATCATTTCCGTGGCATCTATTCCCGTGTCAGCTTTTGCCGTTCATTTCAAACCTAAGGGCACGATAGGCAACAACCACGTCGAAATGGAGTGCATTAGCCCTCTAGATTTTCGAAAGCCAGGATTTACCGCCGCCTGGGCCCATATGCAAGACCTCAGCCTTCAGTACACGATGGGATCAGATGATGCGAGTGCAGCTTCGAAGAACGCCGACTGGACCGTAGAATTGGTACAATATGCCACAAGGCTTATTAAGTTGGATCTCAACTTCGACCTTGGGGACCAAGCAGATTTGATTATCCACCGGCTATCCACTCTCAGTTCATTGTGTCAGCTGCAAGAATTGACTTTGGAAAGCTTCAGCCTAGTATCCGAGGGAGCACTTCCAGACCTCCTGCACACGGTTCGCAAAAGTCTACAAACCGTATCATTCTCCTTTTCTACACTGCCTGATGAATGCTGGATTTCGATTCTTAAAAGTTTGGGTAGCGAATTCCCGTCGCTGAATAGCATCAACTTACAATTCCTGAGAGGAACAAACAAAGGTCTGCTTCATTTCCCCAGACTCTCGGAAAGCCTACATGTCGACGAGGACACAAGCTTTACTGTTGTCCAAAAAAAGCGCCGAGGGGGGCTTTTGAACACGACTGTTGGCTACTCGGGCCCGAGTGTGGGTAAAGCGATCTTGATACTTGTGGAATGTGCTACCTTCGACTAATGGTGTGACTATAATCTCATTCCTATACGGAAAGCATCATAAAAGATTTATCCCAATAAAGACTTTATGACATTCATCAAACGGCTGCTTGCTATTGTTCAGTTACAAAAAGACTATAAACGGCGAAATTGCGATCTCTGCTTCTTTCCGCTACTGTGGAGAAAATTTCCGACATCCTCCACCATCAACTTAAAGGTCAGCGATCGATAGATTGTCGTGATATGTGGGAAGTCGACACTCATTTTGTAGATTCCTGAATACGGCTCGCTGCATATTGTGAAGACTCACCGGAGTGAGGAAGAAATTTCAATATTATGCAATCAATACATTACAAAGTCAGCAGCAGCACACCATTGGTGTAACTGGTGTACGCCAATATGGCTTAGGCAAAACTCCATGACTACGGAAAATTCTCATAAGATACAACCACTACGACGTAGATTCGACATGAAGAATGGAACTAACGCCATAGTATTAGGATTATGGTACATGTATGCAGCTGACTATTGTCTAGTAAACCACTTACTAATCCTTTTTGCCATCTCCACACAACGTTCATCGACATACTTCGTCTATAGATGTTCCGCGTATAGGTTGAACACTGCCATGATGAGACACCCCACTAGCCATGTAAATGCAAAAGGTATCGTGAACTAGCTGGCGGTCTCTATCCTAGGATACTGCTCCCTGGTTGCAATGTGCCACAAAAAATGCCTTATAGGGTAATGCACAAGGTGACGAACTTGACTGGTGAACGAGGTAGAGTGAAAATGGGATCTTGCCTAGATACTACATAGGTGTCGAAATTGAAGGTCGTTGCGGACACGGTGACTGGCTCTTGGCGTTGGCCATGAGTATGAGTTCGGCTATCTTCCAGCATTTACAGGGCACTGTCTTAGCATGATAACTCGATAAGTTTGAGGAATAGGTAGCAGAGGGGCAAATCACCATCGTCACTTTGACAGAGAAAGTAGACTCCGAAGTTGAAGCAGGAGTAGCTCCGGAATCTCGACAAGTCGAGAGACTTAATAATTAACTTCTATGTTATAACACATGCCTGAGTCACATCATCGTATACTTTGGCCAAACAGACCACTATGTCAGGCAAATTGCACGCCAGTAGACTTTTTGATTCTCGGGAGAACGGCACGTGATATGTCTGAGGTATTACGGTCATCAGATTCCACGATCAAGGTAATAAACTTGCGGTTTGATCCCTTATTCTTGTTCATCGTGAGGGTAGGTATCGATCGTTGGGCCAGCGACGAGTCGCCGCACCGGACGATGGGCGCTAGGTCAGATCGGCCATACTTTTGTCTATTGTGTTTTCTTCTTTTTTTCGGTGCTTATTTATGCTCGTTTCGCCGGAGAATTCTATGATGGTGGCATTCGGATTTTTCCAAAAAAAAAAAAAAAAAAATAAGCATTTTTAAGAAAGCAGATATTCCCAAAACGGTGAATCTCCACAGGCGGTCAGTAATATCACGTGATTATTTCGCCCTTGATCGGCGGAAGTCCGGCAGAACTCAGAGGCGGTGAATGAAATCTTTTGCTTTCCGAGTTTTTTCAACATCACGATCTCGATCTTCACTCCACCCACTTTCCACCCGCTTATCCCCTGTGTTTACACGGCAGTGATCCTTTGCGTGAGCCATTTCTCAAAAGATTTGGTTTCTGAACTCCGTTTCATCTCCCTTCACCTCCATCTACCAAAACCGTCGCAATGGCTGAGGAAACCGGTGTCGCCTGGCCCATCGCCGATGAGGCCCTGAGCCAGCAGCTCCTGGATCTCGTCCAGCAGGCTACCAACTACCGTCAGGTCAAGAAGGGTGCTAACGAGTATGTTCATATCGTGTGCCCGTCACTCCCAGATTCATGCTTCATGGACCATGTGACTCTTCATGTCAGAGAAATGTCTGCTAACCTTCATTTCTCTCCAGGACCACCAAGACCCTGAACCGTGGTACCTCCGAGCTCGTCGTCCTCGCTGCCGAGTAAGTCTCTCGTTGAATCTGGCTTCGAAATATTGAATCAAATCCCCATGCTAACATTGTGCGTTAGCACCACCCCTCTGCCCATCATTCTCCACCTGCCCCTTCTGTGCGAGGACAAGAACGTCCCCTACGTCTACGTTCCCTCCAAGATGGCTCTTGGCCGTGCTTGCGGTGTCAGCCGTCCCGTGATCGCTGTCTCCATCACCACCAACGATGCCAGTGAGCTCGCCAACCAGATCCGCGCCATCAAGATCCAGGTCGAGCGCCTGATGATCTAAGCAGTCGGTCGAGGCTGGAGATTCGTGGAAGAATATCTCAGGATGGGGTGGGTTTCGAGGTTTGCATTTTGCTATGATGGTGGATGCAAGATATGTTTCGGAAAGAAAACGTTGGCTTTCGTTGCTAGCCCCGCCCCTTGCGAGTGAAGTCTTTAGCTAGATTTTTCTTCGGCTGGAGGTATAAATTCAGAATCCTTTTTGAGAATTTGTCGTTCGCTTGACCTGGGTAGTCGAGATTGCCGGGCCGCTAGTTGACGTAGTGAAAATCACGTAGTTGAAGGGATAACACCCGGCAGATCTATGGCGTAGAATTCTCTGGCTCAACATATTGAGTTTAATGGGATGCTGCCCCGGAAAAATCGATTCCGTGGGGGAGGGTCCATGTTTGGTATGAGGTGCACTTCTGTCGAAGAATTCGAGTCGACATGATCTGACAAAGCCCTTCCTGGAAGGTCCCAAGGTTGTCCCGTCGAACGGCCCGTTCACCACCACCTACCACGAGCAATATCGACGCATTTGGGGGCAATTTGGATCAAAATAGACAGCAGAGTGAGCACACAGCCATCTTAATCAAACCCCGCCAAACCGATTATGCGAAAAAGGGCTCCCCTGAGCCAGTATTTACCCGAACACATCGGCCACCCATTGCCGGTCCCCATCAACCCGCAATCAAACGTGAGACAAGCTAAAAGGAGGCTAAACTATCCCCAAACACGACCCTGCTTGGCTCTGTCACAGACAAAACAACGTGAATGTTTCATGCCCCATAAAAGGAGACCGGACTCGTAAGCAGCGGGCCACCAACTCGCCGATCAAACAATGTCAGTCTGGTGGCTCGGCTCCGTCTCGGATCCTCGATTAACCCTCCAATCTCAAAGCTATCGTTATAATCCAACATGAGGCGCTTAAAACTCGCATTGGTCGGCAAATGCAGATAGCGTACCTCCAAACGTGAGCTCCACGCTCTAGCTATCAATCAACTACTCTACCCCGTCCGACGCTATCTACATAGCATTCTGCTCTGGTGGGTCACCCTTTGCAAGGACAACGACCAAGCGAAGGGGTCCATATCTCGTCATGTACCTCCCTGGTTCGGGGCCTTGGGATTTAGCGTGTAGAATAGTGCCCAAGTGGACCGACTAAGAGGTATCTGGAAGAATTTGCTCCGGTTGTGATCATGGCCGTCTGCGGGTTCAAGATATAACCTGCAACATCTGCTCGGCGCTTACTCGACTCCCAGGCGCCTTCTTCCTTGGTTCTTCCCTCCTTTGCGTTCATTTTCACTATTGCATTCCTTACTGCATCTTTCCTTTGTTTCAATATATAGTCACTCTTTTAGACCCAAACCCCCAGATCTCAATATGATCTTCAACACTGCCCTCCTCGCAATCGGCCTGGCGCCATTGCTGGCATCCGCCCAACTATCCGGCTCCGTGGGCCCGACAACCTCCTACGCAACCAAGGCAAGCCACAAGATTTGCAACATCCTCGACTACGGTGCCGTTGCCGACAAGAAGACCGACATCAGTTCCGCCATTAGCTCGGCCTGGAGCGAGTGCAAGAGCGGCGGTGTGGTCTACATTCCGTCCGGCAACTATGCGCTCGAATCATGGGTTACCCTGACCGGGGGTAATAGCACTGCCATTTGCATGGACGGAATCATCTACCGAACTGGTACTGACGGAGGCAACATGATTTTCATCGAGCACACCTCTGACTTTGAGCTGTTCAGCTCAACTTCCGAGGGTGCGGTGCAGGGCTTGGGCTATGAGTTCCATAAAAAGGGATCTTCGAGCGGGCCTCGAATTCTCCGTTTGTATGAGGTGACGGACTTTTCGGTCCATGACCTTGCTCTGGTTGACTCCCCATTATTCCACTTCTCCTTAGATACGTGTGAGAACGGTGAAGTATACAACATGGCTATTCGTGGTGGTAATTCTGGTGGTCTGGACGGCATTGATGTGTGGTCTACTAACATCTGGGTTCACGATGTATGTATCGTATAGTCTATCAGCCAGTGTGTTTCTATTTTCGATCTGGCTAACCCCTTCTCTAGGTCGAGGTCACCAACAAGGATGAGTGCGTTACTGTCAAGGTGAGATTTCCAGGGAGCTGACGTGTTTCCATCGCCCGAATCATATCTAATCTCCGTACAGAGTCCTGCCAAGAACATCCTCGTCGAGAACATCTACTGTAACTGGAGCGGTGGCTGCGCCATGGGTTCCCTGTCGACCGACGTCGACATTTCCGATGTCCTTTACCGCAACGTCTACACCTGGTCGTCCAACCAAATGTTCATGATCAAGAGCAACGGCGGCAGCGGCACCGTCTCCAACCTGGTCCTGGAGAACTTCATCGGTACGCCCGACTGCCTTCCCACACCCCTACCGACCCAACTCAACACTAACCACCTTTTAGGCCACGGCAACGCCTACTCCCTCGACATCGACCAGCAATGGAGTAGCATGTCCACCGCCGACGGCGACGGTGTGCAACTAAAAAACATCACCATCAAGAACTGGAAGGGCACCGAGGCCGATGGCGCCCAGCGCGGCCCGATCAAGGTGAACTGCGCCGCCGATGCCCCCTGCACCGACGTCACGATCGAGGACTTTGCTATGTGGACCGAGTCCGGCAGCTACCAGAATGAAATCTGCAAGAACGCGTACGGTTCGGGTTCCTGCCTTAAGTCCGGCAGTGGCGGCTCGTATAGCTCCACCGTTACTGTGACAGCTGCACCAACTGGTTACTCTGCGGCTACGATGGCGGCGAACTTGAAGACTGCGTTTGGTACTGTTTCTTCTATCCCGATTCCTACGATCCCTACCTCTTTCTACCCCGGTGCCACTCCTATTAGTGCTCTGGCTGGTGCGCAGGCAACATCTTCTTCAGAGGTTAAGGCGCAGGCAATTTCTGCTTCTTCTTCCCCTCCTTTTTCTTCAAAGGTTAAGGGGCAGACAACTTTTTCTTCGAAGATTAAGGCGCAGGCAACTTCTACTTCTTCGGGGTCTGAGACGCAGGCACATTCTTCTTTAGAGTTTAGGGCGCACGAACATCCTTTTTCAGAGTTTGAGGCGCATGCAAAAACTTCTTCAGAGGTTGAAGCGTGCGTATTCAGAGGTTGAGGGTTGCTAGTTGGCTATGGTGGCGACGTTTTTGCATATTCTGCGGATTCTCGCATTAATGTGCTGATTCTGGTCTCTCTGATATTGTGACAATCGATAGACTTGTTTGTCGGTCAGAAGCATTGTGAATGTCTTCCTATCCCTGAGGAATATGCAACTTCTACAGAGAGTGTAAAACCATAATTAGCCCACTTCTACAAGAAATTTATATTGCTAAACCCAAATGTTCTATAATCTCATTAAGCTATCAACAAACCCCAACAAGGTGGAATGGCAATTAAAATCCATGGCTCTCATCCTTCCAACCCGGGCAGATCTAGATCTGCCCAAAATGTGGGGGAAAGAACGCGCCCAAACACCCTGACACTCTGACGGAAACACCTGCGTCGATCACGCCATTGAAGACCCCAATCGAACACGAGCTCCCTCGCAAATCGGGTTGCAGCCCAATAAGAATCGAAGCAAGGACTACGCCTTGATAGAGTTTACGACGTGCCCTCGAGAGACCTTGATTCGAGAGTCCGCCCTTAATGCAGATCCCACGCCGCTCGCGCAAGGGTCGACGTTACAATGGGGATCTGAGATCCCGACGATGAGCGGAGCCTCCCATCAATATAAACATAACCCAAGGCGATAAGACCGCTGATGTACTTGGTTTTTTACTATTCACATCTGGCACTGACGAGCATCCGAGCTACCATGTCCACGAAATCACCAGCCAGCGAGCCGACCGCGCGTGGGTCTACACCCGCAGACGCGACCCCGCCTGACTCAAGCCTGGATGCGGCATACAAGGCCAAGGCAGAGACGCTGAATCGTGCCATTCAAGATATCGGGATGGGAAAATACCAGTGGCAGCTTTTCGTGGTGATCGGGTTCGGCTGGGCCAGTGATAACCTCTGGCCGATCGTGACATCGCTTATCCTCCCACCGATATCATACGAGTTCCACGCGTCAAAGCCACCACTACTCACGCTCGCCCAGAACATCGGGCTCCTCGTCGGCGCCGTATTCTGGGGGTTCGGGTGCGACGTGTTTGGGCGAAAATGGGCATTTAATTTGACCATCGGTATCACAGCGGTATTTGGACTTATCGCAGCGGGCTCACCAAATTTTGGTGCTGCGTGTGCCTTTGCAGCACTGTGGTCGGTTGGTGTCGGAGGGAATTTGCCCGTCGATTCGGCTATTTTCTTGGAATTCCTGCCCGGGTCGCATCAGTGGCTGTTGACCGTTTTGTCGGTTGATTGGGCATTCGCGCAGTTGCTAGCCACTTTGGTTGCTTGGCCACTTCTGGGTAACATGAGCTGCGGCTCGGAGGAAGGTTGTACGAAATCGAAGAATATGGGCTGGCGGTATTTTCTGATTGCCATGGGCGGATTAGCGATGATCATGTTTGTCGTGCGCTTCGTGTTTTTCACCATCTTCGAGTCGCCCAAGTACTTGATGGGCAAGGGGAGGAATGCGCAGGCAGTCGATGTCGTGCACGAAGTCGCCCGCAGGAACGGTCGGACATCTTCATTGACTCAGAATGATCTTGATGAGCTCGACGAGGGCGAGTCGCGTGGTCTCACGGCGAGTAACATCGTTCGTCAACGCCTAGACAAGCTTCGGTTCGAGCATATTCGCGCGCTATTCGATACGCCCAAAAGAGCGTACTCGACCACTTTGATCATTCTCGTCTGGGCTTTCATCGGCCTTGGGTTCCCTCTATACAACGCCTTCCTGCCATACATCCAGCAGTCACGGGGTGTAGAGTTCGGTGACGGCTCAACATACATCACATACCGAAACTCTTTAATCATCGCAGCGATGGGGATCCCCGGCTGTCTTCTCGGCGGCCTCCTAGTCGAGCTTCCACGTTTCGGACGGAAAGGTGCACTATCAAGCTCGACGGCATTGACGGGTGTGTTCCTCCTCGTGTCGACAACGGCAACGTCCTCGAATGCTTTGCTGGGATGGAACTGTGCCTATAACTTCATGAGTACTCTCATGTACGCCGTGCTTTACGCGTATACTCCGGAGATTTTCTTGACGAAAGATCGTGGCACTGGTAATGCGTTGACAGCCAGTGCCAACCGTATCTTCGGCATTATGGCTCCTATCGTGGCCATGTTTGCGAATTTAAACTCTGCGGTGCCGGTTTATGTGAGCGGGGCATTGTTCATTGCAGCGGGTATTTTGGTCGTTTTGTTACCTTATGAGTCCCGGGGCAAGGCGAGTCTGTAGATATTTGGCATGTCTAGAATCATAGACAAAGACAGAAAGTATCTGAGGCAATCCGGCAGATACAACCACTCAACAAACCTATGGAACACCAACCAATAATGTCCCAAACACAGATATAGCAAGTATTATTGGGACATCAATTTAAGACTACAACCCATTCAACCCTCTCGACGCTACACCAACGCCTCCGCCCCACTACATTTAATATAAAATACTTTGACCAAGCCACGCATGCCAAACTCGGTATGACATCATCTCTCCGACATTCACCCCCAATAGAAATAGATACACAAAATACCACAATTCATCACCAATGAAATCATCCACTACTTCATTTCCCTCCTGCTGACAGTAAAGAATCCCACGTAGCCACAACACCAACACAACAAGAAACTTCGTCTGACACCACTAAACCCCCCACCTCCCCAACGTCCCCGGGGAATTTCAACCAATAGATACTGGATCCAGATCTCCACGGCGAAAAGATCAACATTCTGTGGATACCATAAGGTCCTGTCTACGTCAGTTTCGCTTGACAGGATCCGATCGAGTGGCAGTCAAATCACGACGATGATGTTGGGAGGGGTCGACTGTGCGTGGACCATCGAACCAGAGACGGTCATTAACTGGTCCATCGCGCGTGGTCCACATGACAGTGTGGCTTGTGTTGTAATCATTTCTTGCATGTGGGGTGGTTGCACGTTGTACCCATTATATCATTTGGTCATGTCAAGATCCTGTTTGCAATCCGGGTACGGGATATATAAAGGTCATCAAGATAGAGAACGTAATACCTGATCATCATCAAATCCAAGGCTAAATCCAAACCACATATTCCCGCTCAATCAACCCATCTACCTTTATAAAATATATATCTTGATTCTTCCAAGATGTCCCAGCAAAACAGCAAGTCCCCTATCCCCATCCCCAGTCCCAACTCTAACATCCATCCATTCAATCTAACCATTCCTCCTACAGACGGCGGACTCCTCGGTGGCCTCGGCGACACCCTCGGTAAGACCGTCGGCGGCGTAACCAACACCCTCGGTGATACTGTCGGAGGACTAGGCAACACCGTCGGAGGCGTCACCTCCGGCCTGGGCAACACCGTCTCGGGTGCGACTGAGGGTCTGGGAAATACCACAAAGGGAGTTGGCCAGGGTATCTCTGGTGGAACTCAGAGTATTGGGGGTCAGAAGCAGACTGCTGAGAACCCTCTTGGCTTGAGCCAATAAATAAGTGGATATGTCGACTCAGGAAGGTGTTCCGGTTGGGAACATATATTGAACATACGATGGACCCACACTAATATTGAAAGTTGAGATATTATCAGTTTCTGTTGATGTATTACCATGTGATTATTATTCTATCTGTTGAATGAAATAAATTACTGGAAATCGTGTATTGGAGCTCGCCCAGACGATACTTACTACGATGCTGGTCGAAGCTACGTATCCAAAATACTATAGCCAAACTCTACGTCGGCTCTATATTGATGATATCCGGCGCTTGCAGCGAAGGATCTTGTCTTTGTAGATGAACATATAATAAATAAGAAGACTGCCTGGAGGCACCATGCATCTGCAGCTGGTGTTGAAGACAAATATCCCGGAGACCTCTCGAGAAGAGATACGGGTATATCTGCACAGCCATGACATTAGATGGCTGAGCATTCTGGATCGAGGTTAAGAGAGAGTATTGTTCCGCCGATGACCTCATTTGATGGCTACAGCATCACCTCTGCTCGTGCTGATCGAGCACAAGCATTCACCTGGCGTGATTGTCAGGGACAATATCTCTACACATGTCAATCTGGAGGTCGAGCAGATTATTGAAGCATACGGCCATCTTGTCCGCTAAACAAATATGTGACTCACACAGTGATGTTTCAAATCCATCATACAACAGAGCTGGGCAGATCAATCTGAGAAAGAGTAATGGAGACACGGGGCCGGCGGAGCGAAGATTTGACACAGATAATATTTGATGCGCTCTCTAAAGGGTAGTCTTTCATGAACGAAGGGTAGCATAAGGGGGTAGCATAATGGTGAGTTTGGTAAATAGAGTGTCCTACATATTATTCCGCCAATGTGACATTAATGGAATCTTAACTACTCCGTAGTTATTGTAGTTGACTATATTGGTTAATCAGGTTAACAACGGTAGTTTCCAGGGTCAGTTGAACAGATGGGCCTTCAATCTCCTGTATAGAGCAAAATATAGAAGCTCCTATCACAACAACTAGACAGTTTGGCCGAGTGGTCTAAGGCGCTTGACTAGAAATCAAGTCTCTTCGGAGGCGGCGGTTCAAATCCGCCAGCTGTCGTTTTTTGGGTCGTTTGGATCAATTGTCATTTTTGGTGGCTGGCAAGAATTTTGGTGCGGCCACTAAGCGAGTGGGGGTGTGGGTCGAGGGGTGTGGATGGTTGGGGTGGCACCCAAAGCACCCTGGGCTCAGTGCTCTCTCCCTTGGTTGATGAGGAAATGTCAAAGGCTAAGGCCACAATTGAATGACTTGGGCTCCCAACTGAAGGTTTTCGACAGCAGCGGGAAGACTGATTCGATCATTGTGTGGGAAGCAAAGCCACTCAATTTGTTACTTCAAGGGGGGATGTGGCTTTTATCTTCATATTCTACATCCGAAGCCCTTGTTTCTGGATGCGCTTATGATTAAATCATTGCTGGAAGCCAGAATACAGATAGATTAAATTGTCAATGTGGTCCATGAGACTACTACTTTGCTCTTTCCTTTGGATTTCGTGAGTTTTAGATCTGTAACTACCACGGGAGCTACTAGCTATGCTTGATAGCCCTACCCATCGACAGAACAGCTTCATTCTATATATTGCTGGCTTGTCAATCACAACGTACCATGAACTGCCTCTGGTCAGACCAGTCTCTCCCTTGATGATGCCGTATGATCTTATTGGCTCGGTTGGGGTCTGCAGTAGATCAGCAACACCAGCAAGCCATGATATTGATTGATAAGAGAGACCAAATTTTATCCATACGATATAAACTAGCAATGTACTCTGAACTTTGTGGGATGTGGGGAATTGGAAGGGCGACATGTGCGCTGCAAATTAAAATTGTCGTTCCGACGGAGCCGGGTATACCGGCCGAATCTTCCATGGAGTCGTGCCGTGGCATCTCTTTATCGAGGCTCGATGTATATCCTATTCAGATAACAAGCATCAAAGAGAATCATTTGGGTTCAAGCGCAATTCAATCTCCGGTTGACATACCCGCCCTAAAGGACGTTGCGTGGTAAATATACGCGCAACAGAGAATACGTCACACTAGCTACAGTCTTCAACTATGAACGATCCACCTCAAGAGTTCAAGAGAACTTCGAAAATGAACCAAAATATCCCCTCGCCTCGAGAACCTCTAACAAAACAGGATCGAGGATGGTGACGCGTTGTTTGCAACTTCACTCCCTTGTTCGTCCTGCATTGCCTTATCTCAGCAGCCCAAGCTAACGTAATCTTTTCTTAGATGGTTCTCAGTAACGATGAGAACAGGCATCGTGTCTATCCTACTATATCATCTCCCCTATAACGGGGTCTGGCTCTATTGGATCTCCATTATTATCTTCGCGCTCAACGCATTCCTATTCAGCATAGGATGTATCATGAGAATCCTGCGGTACACGCTGGAGCCCGAAATTTTTCGGGTGGTGGTCACACATCCGGTGCAATATATGTTCATTGGCACATCTCTAATGGCTAGTCACGATAGTCAACATGTTTTGTTTTCGTGTGTATCCCAGTTTGGGGGCAGTGGGCGTGGTATTTCGTGTAGGTGTTTTAGATCTTTGACACTGTGATTTCGGTGATGACTGCATTATCTTTGTCATTCGTCCTGTCAGTTCATGCCTGGCTTTATATGAATATTTGCTGATCATAGAATAGGATGGCTCATGGAGGTGAAACTGATCTATCCTCGAGGACAGCTGTCTGGCTTCTTCCTATCGTCAGCTGCATTGTGGCTGCATCTTTCAGAGCCATAGTAGCCGGAGTGTTACCCAACGATCAGTATGCACTGGGGGCTGTACTGGCTAGCTGTGTGCTATGGGGAGTTGGTTTTCCACTTGCCTTGGTGGTCATTGTGATATACCTCCACCGCCTGACCCTGCACAAGTTGCCTTCAAGAGCTGTCATAGTATCTGTCTCCTGTCTAGGCCCACTGGGGTAAGGTGGGTATGGGAATGTATTGTTTTTCTGTGGCTTGTGTGATATTGTTCTACTTTGTTCTTGACAGAGCGATAAAATTGGGCCAATGCGCCGGGAATATCCTCCCCAGGACGCAGACCCTCGAGCAAGCTTCTGGTCCGACGTTCTACACGCTCGGGTTCTTGATCGCTTTGATTTTTTGGTCCTTTGGATCAGTCCGGTTACTCTTCGCCTTAGCCTTTATAGTGCGATCTAAGAATTTTCCTTTTAACATTGGGTGGTGGGACTTTACATTCCCGCTGGGGGTCTTTGCGTCCAGCACTGTTTAGACGGGAATTAAGCTGCCCTCGAGGTATTTTGATGTCCTTGGAACGGTAGGCCTATGTTAAGATTGGAAATATGCGGAGTTTTTTTGGTTGACCGGATTATAGGCCATCTCATCTTTCTTGGTTATTCTTTGGATCATGGTTGAGTATTGGTACCCTTCGAGGAGTCGCGTCAGGGAAGCTCTTTGTTGCTCCCTGTCTGGGAGATCTTCAAGTCGCGGAGGAAGACAAGGATGTCGGAAATGCAGCATGAATTTTCCAACTCTTCCAACTCAAAAGTTAGCCTCGATAGAAATTTCCGCGATTTATCTTAAACATCATGGTAATATCACTCCGGAATATTCTATTATCTTGGTAGGATACCCCAGACAACATCACGTGATGCGGAGAACCGCTCGAAATTTGAATTTATTTTTCGGATTTTATTTTATTATTTTATTATTATTTTCCCTTTCGCCCATCGAGAAGATCGAGCCAGCGTCATCCACTTGGTTCCCCGATCGTCCCATATTGTCAGTGTCCGCTTTTCTCGCCAGGGCACGCCAGCCAGGGACATCGGTCTCGGTCAGCGCGCGTTGTCCAGCTCTGCCCACGCGGTCCTCTTCACCCCCTGAATCGCCCTTTCGTGTGCGCCTGGCGATTTTTCATTCTTGCGCTGACTGGCGCAACTCGGCCCCCGTAGCCGCTAGTCCTATTTAGGCAAGAACTGCTTATTTTCTGCCTTGGCCATCTGGCAACAACGCCACTTTGATACCGTGACACCTTACTGCCTTGGTGCCTGGGTGACTCGGGCGGTCGGAACAACAAAACACGCGGCGCGACTTCAGCTGGACGTGCTTGAAACCGCAGTTGTTGGCTGGCCGCGCGACCATTGCTCAGAGTTTGCTATATATTGCATTTTTAATAGATCGGTAATTCTTTCCGTGACTTGGAATAGCGGTGGTCCCTTGTGCCGCGCGTGAACAGGGGCAAAGCCGAGCCCATTCCACAGTTCTTATCAAGGCGCCGCTTGCCGCTAAGGCTTGAGGCACCACTTCCTTGAAAATGATGGGATACGGGGGTCAGCCCTTTCACCATCAACAGGCGCAGCAGCAGCATCAGCAACAGGCACAGCAGCAGCAGCAGCCACAACAACCTCATCAGGCATCGCATGTCCAGCACCCGCTTGGACCGCATCGCCAGCCTATCCCATCGCCTTCACTGGGCGCGGCCCCAAATTTACCGCAACATGGAAGCAGTCCTTTCCCCAGTAACAAGCCTCTGTATCGTGCGGGCCCATCTCAGCAGCAGGCATTCTCAACAGGGCAATCGCCCGATATGCGCAAAATGGCTCCCGCATCTTCAAGTCCGTTGACGGGCTACCCCACGGCGACTAGCTATGGGCAATTTCCCGGTCAATTTGCGCCACAGGCCTCTCCCGACTTCATGTCTCGTCCAGACTTTATGACCCGTAACTCCGACTCTATGGCTCTGCAAAACTTACAGCGTGGATTTCAAAATCCCATGGCCCATGTTCGTGGGGGGCCGGGAATGAGTACCTCGACGGGGATGGCCCAAGGTCACGGTATGGGTATTCCATCACCTCAGCAGTCATTGAACCGGCTGCCCCACTCAGGCATTCAGCAAAGAGAGAATCATCCCTCCGCCAGTCCTTCCATGGCCAGTCCTTCCATGTTTGCCATGAATCAGCAGCGCCAGCAACCGCAGTCTCAACCACAGTCGCCTCAACAGGCTCAGCAGCAATTGCAACAATTCCAGCAACAGAGACAGCACCAACAGCAGCAATATCAGCAGCAGCAGTACCAGCAGCAGCAGTACCAACAGCAACAAGAGCGTCTTCAGCAGCAAAGGATCGAACAGCAAAGGTTAGAGCAGCAACGGCTCGAGCAACAAAAGCAGCTTCAACAGCAGCGTCTGGAGGAGCAGCAGCGTCTTGAGCAACAGAAACAGCAGGAGCAGCAAAAATTAGAGCAACAGAAGCGTCTTGAACAGCAACGTTTGGAACAACAGCGCCTTGAGCAACAACGTCTGGAACAGCAACGCCAGGAGCAACAGCGCCTGGAACAACAGCGTCTTGAGCAACAGCGCCTAGAACAGCAACGCCAGGAGCAACAACGCCTCGAGAAGCAACGTCTAGAACAGCAGCGCCTAGAGCAACAGCGCCTAGAGCAGCAGAAGCAAGCGGAACAGCAACGACTCGAACAGCAGAGGCAGCAGCGGCTTGAGCAACAGCGTCTGGAACAAGAGCAAAAACAACAATTGGAACAGCAACAAAAGCAGCAGCTGGAGCAACAGAGATTACAAAAGTTGCAGCAGCAAAACATGGCCCACAATCCGTATCAGCAGCAGCAACAATCTCCTTTCGCACAACACTCCCAGATTCCATTCCATCAATATCAGCCGCATGCTCAAGCTCAAAATCAATACTCGCAACAGCAGCATCAGTTTTCTCAGGCTCCTCAGCAAACTCATTTCGCCCAATCCCAACAAACGCAATTCCAACACTATAAACCTCCGTCGCAGTCAGGTGTAGAAAAGCCTGCCCGGCCCGCTGCGGCCACCGCTTCAACTGCGCATGCGCCTGCGTCTGCTGGAAACTTGATCATCAAGCCTGAACATCCGAGTCCCGCTCCGAAGAAAAAGTCGAAACCTAGGCAATCTGCTGCTGCTCAGGCCGCCACTCAACCCCATGCTTCCCCTCGGGCCCCGCCTCAGGCACACCCTCAGGTCCACCCCCAGGCCCAGAATCAGGCCCAGCATCAGGCCCAGAATCAGGCAATACCAAACCCTCCTGCACCGATGGGCGTACATACCAGCACACCAATGCAAGCAAATGGCCAAGTACAGAGACAACAGGGACAAGCAGCCGCCGCCCCAGCACCAGGCGGTGTACCCCCAGTTGCAGGGGTTCCCGTAAAACGCAAGCGCGGACGTCCACGGAAAGAGGAAGTTGCGGCTCGACAAGCCGCTGCGGCAGCTGCGGCTGCGGCGGCCGGTCTTCCATTCCCACAACCTGGCCAACCTTTCGATCCAAACATGGCCTCTGCATCAGGCTCTGCTGGAGCGCCTGGTTCAATTACTCAAATGACACTTGGCCCGGATGGAAAACTTCCCAAGCGGAAACGTGGTCGCCCCCGCAAGGCAGACCAGATCGCCTGGGCGAAATTAACTGGCCAACCCCTGCCACCGCCAAAACCAAAGAAACCCTCCGCTGCCAAGAAGCCCGGTACTGGCCGACCTCGTGGCAGGCCTCGTAAAGCAGATGTTGCGGCGGCCGCGGCGGCCGCGGCTGCTGCTGCCGCCGCCGCAGCAGGCGATGGTGACGGTGGCCAGGCGCAGGGGGAGAACAAGCCTCAAGCGGTTGATAAGGCGGACGCAAATGGTGTCCAGAGGCGCTCAGCGCCTGCTGACGATGACCCACGCAAGCGACCTTGCCCAACACCTCCATATCCTCAACAAGGCCAGCCTCCGCCTCCAGCTCAGCAACAGGGACAGCAATTACCTGCTCATAGTCAAGCCCATTCGCAACACAACCAGGCTCTACCGATGCAACAGCAACACCATGGACTTACGCATATGCCGCAGCCAGGACAGCACATGGGGCAACAGCCCGGTCAGCACCTGCAACAACAGCAGAGCCAGCAACATGCACAGAGCCAGCAACATGCACAGAGCCAGCAATTGGCCATGCAAGGTGGTCATTCAATGTCCCTGCCGCCACATATGCAGATGCACCAGCAGACTGGAGTTCATCCTTCTCGACAGACGACAGCTCATTCGTACATGCAAAATCAAATGCCGTCGATGCAGTCTCCTATGCAACAGTCGCCAATGCAGCTTCCGCAGCCAGTTCACGGACACCAATCACACCTAGGCCAGCAGCAGCAGCAGCCGGTACAGGGCCATCATTTTGCCCAAAGTCGAGCCCCCGCGCAACAGCAGAGCCGAGCCCCGCCGGCGCCAGCACCACAGCATCAACACCAACATACCTTCCAGGTTCAGCTCCAGCCTCAGACAACCTAGAGCAGATGCTGTCAGTGATCTGAGATGTGCTCGGTCCTTAATGTCGTCATGATGGCTCATGCTGTCTGACCCTCTCACGTTTTCGATTACATTCTATACAATTGGTTCTACTGCTTTTGTTCGACACCCCTCTACCCCTCTGTCATGGTATGGCACTGAGGCACGCATTATCATGTTACCTGCATTGATTCCCGGATTTTCAGTTGCAACGACTTCTTGTTTTCTATTTTACCTGATATCTGATTCCTGATATCACGGGCATGGTCAAATCCCCCTTCATGAATATAGTATTATTCGGCTGACTTAGTATAGTTAGAGCGAGGTCTCTTACTACTAGTTGATTTGGATGTCGAATTCGCTGGTTACTTCATCCTGTATCCTGCGGCGTTTTTTGCGTTTTCGCGAGCTCTTGTCCTCTTTTCGATTCATGCTGTTTTTCGTTTCATCTTATGCGATGCCCTGTTCTGTATCAATTCCTGGCATGATAGGCATTTTGATCTATAATGTGGGTTGTTTTTTGTTTAGTGGGTCCCCGGGCTCGTGAGGGACTTTTCGTTCTGAGTTTTGGTTTTCTATTGGATGGATATTTGAGATACATATTTAATGTTGTAGTACATATTCATAATTCGTGGTTATTATCATCTCCAATCTTAAGATTAAGTCATTCTCGGCGAAGCTACGCCAGTCGTAATTCTCATTTTATTCTTCTGAATGTATGAGGGTTAGGACTCCCGCGGTGGTTCCCCAGCGTTGAGTTGTTGGCATTCTTTGGTCGGTCAGGGTAGAGAGCTAGTCATGTATATGAACTACAGGCGGCTTCATGAGTCGGCTTTTGGGCATGTCCTCTATACGGGTGTCTCCTGATCTGTTCTAATTCATTCGTAAAAGGACCTGAAAATGTGCCCTTGACATAAGGCATGGCAACTGTCTTGAGTATAAAAAAGAGAGAGCTACCCATTCTCACTTGAGAACCGGAGAAATCAATCAACTGGTTATGACTTACACTGGTCCGAAAAGAGGAGGACAATTCATTCAGTATCGTCGGTATTGGACGTCCACATTCCCCATAAGTCATGATCATAAAATCATCCAACAGTTGAGCACCTACCTACTCATACACTTAACTTAAAAGGCTCTCTTACCCTCCACCATCAAAATCAACCAATTCCTCCAACCCCTCCATTCGACTCCCATAATCCGCAACCCCTCCACCGTGGTCTTCACTCTCGCCCTGCTCTCTACTACTATGACCATCACTACCACCAGCGCCACCAACCAACGACTCCGCGTTCGGCCAATCCGTCAAATCAAGCTTCAAGGCCGGCGCAAGCTTCCTGACTACTCCATCACAAAGCAAAAACGCTCGTCTGGCAGCAGGATCCACGCGAGCCATAGTATGAATCAAGCGTAGCGCCTTCTTAGACTGCGCAATGACAGTCTCAATATCCGTATCCAAAAGGACGAAGGCATTTGGGGTTGAAAAGTCCGAACCGGACCCCGAGGCCCACCCGGTGTTAGACTTAAATCCCGGGGTTGAAGTCGAGGTCGAGGTCGAGGTCGAGCTTGAAGGGTTCGATTCCGGGAAACAAACGAACGATAGGGCCAGGAGAAGGGCCGTTGTCGCCTGCATGGTGAAGTGTAGGACGCTCCACCAGGGTGTCATGCGGACTAACCATGGGATTTCCGGGTCATCGGGGAGAATGGAGATAAGAGAGCATGCAGCCTGGAGACAGTCCGTTGCCAGATTCGTTCTCAATTTTGCTCGATGATTGGCGTCCTGCACGGGTGGTCCATTTGAAGGCTGTGGGGTGTGTGTTTGCGAGAGACACGGTCTGCACAGCATGACACGGGCTGAGTAGTAGTTCATTGCTAGACAGACTCGTTCACGCGCGAGGGGGACGTTTTCGTTGTCGAGCTGGGCGTGGTTTATACTCCAGGGTCCGGCTTCGGGGACTGTGAATTGATAAGGAGGCGGGACTTTGGCCAGCCATCGATCCATGCGAAGACTGTATTTTTGTAAACGGTACTCCGTCGCGCTCGCTCCCTCGCGAACACCCTCGATACTGTATATTTTGTTCAAGACAGCCTGCGATATCAAAGCGAGATCCGTGAGGTGGTAGAAGAATAGTGCCGGGCAGGGCTTGCAATCTACCATCCAGGTCGGACCACTCTGTAGTTGAGACGGTGTTTCGAAGAGGGTTGGCCGAAGCTGGGCTTCGCGGAATGCCCTATCCTGCAAGAGGCGGGAGATGTCTGGTTGTTCGAAAAATTCTTCTTCAAAGGGGAGGGGAGGTGGGACCGAGCAGAGACCTTCTCCGACGCAGGAGGCTCGACCGTGCATGGAGGTTAGGAGGTGTTCAAGGGAGTAGATAGACCACCAAAGTCTACAACGGGCTTCTTTTGAGGCGTCGTGCGTTCGACCATCCGTGAGGTGGAGGTTGAGACCAAGTGATAAGGCTGAGCGAAGAGCCATGCTAGAAAATTTAGATGCCCTGGACATATGTTAGCGGAGTCCGAGGTAGAGGACTCCAGACATGCTGGTGCAAACTTAAATTTAAGGGTATACCATACCTGTTAATTTGACCCAAACAGAGCAGATACACCGCCACCAAGAACTCCAGTTGAATCTGCTGTAGATCGGTATGCTCGAAAAGCACATTATCGTTAAGACTCAAATGCCGAGCCCGAGTCAAATAGACGAGCCCATCTTCCCAAGCGCTACCCTCACTGGGGTCCATAAGCTTGCAGTATCGACAACCAATGGCAAAGATCATATTGAGAATACCAAGCCATTTCGGTGGCGGCTTGGTAGGCCTGTTAAAGAACTGCATATACTGCGCCGTGAACGTCGACTTGCGTAGGACGCTAAACGTCGGATGGACAAAGGTCATATACGCATCGAAGTATTGATCCGCAAGTTCACGCGGCGGCACGGTCATTGGATCGGAATCATCATCGAGAACGGGAATATCTAGATCATCGAGATGATAATTCATCATCGCGATGGGTAAATCACGGCCCTTTTTCACTTGAGAGGGCAGTAAAGCCGGGAGAACGAGTGGACTCTGTGCTTGCGAGACCACTGCCGATGATTCCGAGGTTGACTGGAGGCGACTACTAGGCCCGGAAGTCTTTTGCTCGACATCATCCTCCAAGCGTTGTATCCAAGTGACCTCTGAGTTTTTACCGAAAAACCCCGCGGCACGAGTCGTCTCATTGCGATTTAGATCTTCTTCCACCAGATCAACCGCTTCCAGCGAGCCGACCGAGGAATCCGAATCCGAATCCGAATCATCGGGGTCGTCCTTGTTGCGAGCCGTTTTTTTATCCTTGACCTGGAACAGTGAAGTATCATGTTAAAAGCCCTGTACACATAACGGAGACCCAGAAAGAGATGTGCCTGGTATATAGTAACGTGGTGTAAGGTCGACAGATGCGGTTGTGTTTCTTATACCGGCGACATGTAAAAGCTTACCTTCAGCGCTTTCCTAATCCTTCGCGCTGTGGGTGCATCAACATCCCCCTCCAGATCGCGAAGCAAAGATTCATACCGTTCAGTCCGTTTCGCAAGCAACTCGAGCATCTTCTGATCGCGCACGCGTTTCACATCCTCGTACTGGCATCGGTCATTGTGATAGGTGCACTGACCACAGGTAGGTCGCACACCATCGCATTTGATTTTACGCTGTCGACAGGACTCGCATGCCCGCACCGAGCGTCGTCTACCTCTGGAAGTCGTTGGAGCTGCCAAGCGAGGTATTGCAACCTTGTTGTTGACGACATTGCCGCGAGGGGGAGCTACACGTTGGTCTGGGTTCGAAAAGCCTGACGGGCCCATTGCTGGTGGATAGGATAGGTGTGGGAGGTGCGCACTTGGATTGCGCACATGAGAATTCAATGGGAAATTCGCATGCGGTTCAATGAATGCCTGTGTCGTTGAAGCCGACATGTCCGGGCTCAATGAGGCACCTGTATGCCAGTACGAGCCAACGACGGAGGAAGGATGGTATTCAGGGCTGTCCTGATCGGATGTATGATTGGGATAATGCATGGGCGGGGGTGAATCAATTGCATTGAGAGACGAGTAGATTGAGATTGAGAGATAAGAGGATTCCTCTGCACGATGAACCTCTGTAATTGTGAAGACCGATCTGAAGTCATTTCGCGCAAGACTGTGGCGATCGGTTAAAACAGGTTTAGTTTGAAGGAACGGCCCAAGCTGTCGGTATCGTTGACCCGTGTGTGAGCAAAGGAGGTCCCATAATAAGTGATTAGTTGATTGTGAACCAGTATGAAGAATGCAAATAACCCCTGGAGGAGCCAATGGAATTGCAAAAAGTGGATTTTATGGTTACTGGTTGAGGTGGAGAGCAGGTGGCGGGGGTCACCCGCGAAGCCGCTGAGAGGCCGACGCTAAACCCGTTTGACGTCAGAAGCTCCTCGTTAGTCCTCCTGGCGGGGTCCGACAGATCAATCAATTGAAAGGATACTCAAAATGGTCATTGATCGTCTGGATAATATACACTTCGCGACAGAACACCAGTGCAAGGTGATATCATAGCTGAGGGGTCAAACAAGGACTATACCACAAGGTTATACATGTTTGCCTTCATCCCCGATCAGGGAGCGTCTATGCTGTATATGATAGTGCTGTTGTGCTCACTCATTAGAATCTTCCCTACACCCATCTTCCTCTCGCCAAAAAACGTCATCCTTGCCCAAACTCAAACTCTCGTACCGATCCAACATGTCCGACAATCCCAACCCAGGATACTCCTGCAAGCTCTGTCCCTCACCACCCGTAATTCCATGATACCTTTTGTCCTCATTGAGCTTCTCTAAACCATCCGCATACTCGTCAAACCGACTATACCCCTTAGCCGAGGAGTTTTCATCAAATAAATCCTTCAACTCCTCCGGGATTGAAATCGCATCGCGAATACGACTGCCCTGCGCCTTGGCCCGTACAGACTGACGGAAGATATGAAACAGATTCCTACCGAGTGCCGAGCGGCTCGCCACGATGGAGAACGCACTGGCAAGTGACAAGAAATCCGGGTCGAGTACATCGAAGGAATCTTGTTCCAGCATCGTGAAGAGGGCGAGGTTGATAGCATACATGGCGAAATGATGCGCGCGACCAACGCCAAACTCGCGACGATGGAGGCGAGCGAGTGCGGCAATGTTCCGGGCTGCCGTTTGGGCGAGTTCCCAAGCGTTGTACTTTGAGGCCGGCTCGGGTGTTTGTCTGGGAGGACTTTCTGGTGTTTTAGGGCCTTCTGTCGTAGTTCGCGGATGTCCATTCCCGGAGATACAACTGAACAGGTTGATGATCAAGGCATTATACCGCATTCTGCAATCAGTTAGCATGAATTTTCCGAGCTGGTGGATGATATAGTACTGGCTTCAGAAGAATAACGTGCGGCGCCACCTTTTCCCAATCGAAAATCTCCGGTAGAAGCTCGTCCCATCGTTTCAATCGCTCATACAACGCATCGCGACTCTGTCGTTGCAGCGGCTCCAATAAAGTTTTCTCGCTGGCAAACACACTCCGTGAGATATCTCGGGAGATCGTCGACAAATTACACGCCTCGTCAAAGTATAAACTCAAATATGAAGGTCTCGTATCTCGATGCGAGGGGTACGGCATCCACAAAGACTGATCTTCGAGATGATCACGGTCGATGCGCGGCATATTGACGTGGTTGATGAGACTGCATCGGAGGAAGCTCGTATGAACCATTCTGGGAAGGTATCAGTATCCTGGTGTAATTTCTTGTAACTCTGGGTAGCCTTACGTATCCACATTAAACAGCCCCCAGGCTGTACGTCTGCACGAAGAATCCATATCCTCTGAGAATTGCTCCGAGGTCATTCTCGGGCCCGTATTTCCCACAAGGCCAAGCGATTCGCCTATGCGAATAGCTTCATGGAGCATCAAGTAGCCCAGATCATCTGTGCGGGACATCGAGTATCTGCCGCGACTATTAAACCAACGTCCGCAATCCAATTCCAAGGGTATCTCAACATACCTTTCATACATAAGCAACGTCCCCTGCAACGAGGCCAGACTCGGCTGCATAGGCAACTCACCTTGCAACCTCTCCGCCTCAGCGAGGAAATCACATCCCTTGGACGAGATATCTCCAGGAACAACGTAAGCCTCGGAGAATTCAGAAAAATACTGCAAAACAACGTACCGTTAGCGAACTTCACGTCGCACACAAAAAAGGTGTAGGGTGCAAGTCAACGGTCAATACCCACACAAGCATTACTCAACAAGGCATTCACCAGAAACGGACTACAAAACTGACTCCCCAAGTCCGCAGTGGTCATATGTTTCAAAAACACACCCTCGTCCAAAAACGAATTGAACGGATAGTCCCACGTGAAATAAAGCGACACCAAATGCGAAACAAGATCACTGTCCCTGGTAACTTCCGTCCACGGCTGCGCTGGCACATTAATCGGCGCCTCGTCACAAAGATAATGAATGTCCATAACCTTCCGCCTGAACGCCGGCGTCGTCCCTTCCACATTAATCAAATTCTTCATATCCTCCAATTTAGCGGCAGCTTGGGCCGAGGAAAGGCTGGCGGTAGTGTCGAGCGTGGAGAGGGTATTGTTAATGAAGGCGCGGACTTCGTCGGGCGAAGCGTTGTGGCGGATTATTTCGAGGAGGTCGAGGGCTTTATGTTCGTCCGCTTCACGGACGAGTTTGAAGATATCGTTTAAGAGGTCACGATGATAGGAGAGTTCGTCCGCGGTGCGTTTTGCGGCGACGCGGCGACGTTGGTCGAGTGATTCGTCGAATATGCAGACTCGATGGAAGGTGCGACAATTATCGCAGGGTGCAGTGCCGGAGCACTATTCAAGGAGAGACTGTTAGCATGATTTAATGACTGTGTATATTCAATGCAGGGGCATGTAGATATTTGTAGATGGGACTCGCTTTACCTTTCGCTTGGACTTCTTGCAGGCAAGACAAGCAGTAGAAACCTTCCTCTTCCACGAAGAACTTGAAGTCGAAGTGGACGTTGCCGAAGACGAAGGCTTCGCCTCTTCATGATGTGGACCATTATTATTAGAGGTTGGCGATGGACCTGGAACGATTTGGCGTTGATCGGTCATGGCGGGATATTTAAGATCCCCCGTAATCGTAGACGTATATGCGTATGCGTGTGTGTGTGTGCAAAAAAGAATATACCTCGCCCTAGCCCTAGCACAGTACTGTACAGTAGTTCGAAAAGCAACTTCGAAAAGCAACCTGCGCCTTCGAATTTTTCAATTTACAAGATCCCCGCCGCAGCGACAACGGCAATCATAACCGCAGATATAAATCGGCTTTGAAAACAGGGTGGATATCGCAGGCGGACGCATTACACCCAGGCCAATGACGACGGAGGCAAGAGGCGTTGAGTAGTCGAGTAGCCACAGGATAGACGAGGCGACATGATCACCTCCAGGGCGTATTGGGGTGGTGCGTAGATCAAGAGGCCGAAGGGGGGAGGTATTGGCGTAGTAATAGAAATTGAGAAAACCAGAAAAGCAGTAGTACTGTACTTAACCAGCCAGGTTAAGCAGCCAAGTAATGCAGACATCAGGCCTGCCCCAAAGCCAAGTTAATTCAACTTGTCTGAGGATGAAAAACAAGGTCCAAGCATATCCGTCCCACCCACTACGACAACTACAGTAAAGTAAAGTAGGTCCTCAGTTCCTTGTAAAAGAACAAATTCGCCTCAACAAAGAGATCACCAGCCTCCAAGACAAAATAGTTACATTATAGTGGCAGATATCCAAGATTTAGTGCCCCTTACAAGCCATTACAACAAGACCTGAACAGATCGACGTGGAATTGAAGTCATCGGGAACTTATACCCGCCTATCCAATCAAGGACCAACAAAAGCCACCCATAAACCGGAACGTAGCCCATTTCTAAACCAGGCGTCAAGCACGGGCCCAGCCAAGTACTGTAGATTATCCTCGGAGCAAAAAGATGTGCAATGTACATATCTACTGTACATATCAAGGCTCTTGTCTACATTCCGACTTTGCTGACTTTGCTGAATTTTCTGGCTGAGCTTGATAGCTTTGTAGCTAAATTCCTCCAAAGCTAGCTAGCTAGGAAACCGGGCGGATGACAGCTGTGGCGTGTCGGTGATCAGGATCAACTACCGGGATGGCACGTGATAAACCACATATCCAAAAGGTACATAGATGGGGTATTCGAGGACAGTAAATAGAAGAACCATAGTAGAACTCTCAAGTCAAATTAATCAGTACTAATTAACACGATAGTCTATGAGCCGGGGTGGGAATGGTCGGAAGTTGCTGTCAAAAGCGGATTGGAAAGCTCGTAGAGACAGCAATCCTACCCCGCTACTAACTACGATTGGTAGTACGAACTACAGAGCCCGCACAAAGGGTCTAGCCAAAATAGGGCTGAAACAAGTGCCTCTAGCCAGTAGTCCAGACTCGGATAGTACAACGATGTGCGGAGTACTTCGTACTGCATACATCCCAAGAATAACCAACCACTCCATAAATAGACCTTACCCTGTCCACAATTACGACCCACACTGAGACCAGTCTCGGACACCGTCCATGGACACTATCCACACGGCCCTAGAGTCGCAAGTCAAAAGTTACTATTTCAAGACACGAAGAATATAATTATTTCACCGGAGAATAGCTCGATGGTAGGATAGCATTGACTCGGAGAAACCAGGGCAAAACAGGTAGCACTTGGGTGGAGAACCAGAAAAGAAAAATAAGACCGCAGTCCCGACCCGATGCAGCCGATTAAAAAGGACAGAAGAAAACGAACAAGACGCTGGATTATTGTAATGTAATACAAGCACACATCATTTTGCATACTCCAAGGAATTCCGTAGCCACGAATGCACCTCCTAGGAAGCAGGAAGACAGTTTAAGAAAAAGCGATTTCCCAGTGTTGCACGCATCGCCACCAACAACGTCACTTCCACCATAGATGTGGTCGAATTGGTCGATGTATCGGGAGAAAGACATACACTGTAACTGAGACGATTAAGAATAGAGTATTAATCGCACACCGTTTAGTGCTCCAGAATGCGGAGACTGCCCTGCACGACGCAGTTCTCCAGAACGGAGCCCGGGGGAATATCGATAGTGCTGCCCTCGGTAGCGACGATGATGACTGTGCCCTTCAGGGTAACGTTGCGACCCAAGTTGACGGCACCGGTAATGGTCAAGTGATCCAACTCGACAATGCGGGGAATCGAGGCAATGCGCTTCTGGAAGTCAGAGACCTTCTTGAAGTCCGAGCCGAGCTTGATGACGGGGACACCACCGAAGCGGTTGGGGTCCATGACCAGCTGGCCGTGCTCCAGACGGTACAGATCAGACTTGACGACCATGAGATCGGAGCAGGTCTTGACGGGCAGGAAGCGGCGACGGGGCACGTTGACACCGTGGGCGTTCTTGAAGTGACGGATAGCGGCACCGACGGCGGTCTCCAGCTGGTAGATAGCCTGGTCGGCCTCACCCTTCTTGTCAGCGGGGATGGACTTCTCGTTGGCAATAATCTCCATCTCGAGCTCGTTCTCCTCGACGACACGCTTGACAGCGCGAACGTTCATCCAAATGTTGTTGGTGTTGAAGTACTTGAACTTCTTGATGGACTTGAACTCGTTGACGTGCTCCTTGGGGACCTGAGCAATCTCGAGCAGACGGACCTTGCCGTCGTAGTCGATGATGGTACCACCCTTGACGTCAGCCTTGGTCTTGTCAGTCAACTCCATGATGTACTCAGCGTTGGAGTCAACCATGTGCTGCAGGATGCGGAGATCGACAACGGCACCCAAGTTGTCGGCGTTGGACAGGAAGATGTACTCGATGCCACGCTCGATCAGCTTGTCGAGGGTGCCGGAGTTGTACAGAGACTCGAAGACGTCACCGTGACCGGGAGGGTACCAGTCCTGGAGGGGAGCATCGAAGCTCTTGGGGGCAGGCAGAAGCGAGTCCTTGATGATACGGGGGTAGCGGGACTGGTTGAAGGTAATGATATCGACATTGTGGCCCTCGTACTTCTTGATGATGGACTGAGTGTCCTGGTCGGTGTTGAAGGAGTTCATGAGAACGAAGGGGACATTGACGTTGAAGGTACGGTTGAGGTGCTCGATCTGACGAACGGACAGATCCAGGAAGGACATGCCCTCACGGACCTCAATGACGGACTTGGGACCAACGCAACCCATGGAGGTACCCAGACCACCGTTCAGCTTGACGACGGCCAGCTTGTTCAGGAACTCGACCGAGGCATCGGCACCGAGCTCGTCGTAGCCCACGACCTGCGAGGGCTGGGGAGGGGCAATGCGATCCCAGTTGACAACGTTGTGCTTGGCCTTGTCGTTGAGGAAACGACGGAAGAGAGCGAAGAAGTTGTCCATCTCGGCCTCGAAACGCTTCTTCTCACTAGGCTCAGTAACAGAGTCGGCGAGCGCGTTCAGCGCATTGCGCATCTGTGAGGCAGCGACACTGGTGGAGGCATTTTCGAAGGCCTGGTTGGAAGAGACTTTGATCAGTGTTCGTCCTTGTGTAGGAGCCCCCGCCATCTGGTCAGGGTAAACGATGCGGGGAGCCACGAGAGGGGGTGTCAGGGGCGCGGAGTGCATATTTTCGACAAGGGGAGAGCTAATCAGATAGGGCAAAGGGAAGGGACAAGAAAGACGAAGTTGGTCTCAGCACAAGAGAATGGGAGAGAGATAAAATGATGGAAGTGGAAGAAAGGGGGAAGAGCCAAATAACTGGTACAAGTCATGAGGTCAAAGTAGCCCACAAGGTTGGGAGGGCTTTCCGAAAGGTAAACAAGCGGGCAAGCTGGTGCTGATCACGAAGAGCAAGAGCGACCCAGACAGTCTTTCTCTTGCACGAGGAAAAGGCAAGAACGAAAAAAAGATCAAATCAAAAGCATGGCCAACGGTGCTCCTCCGGCGATCGGTTCCCCGTAGACACGGTCTCGACTTACCATGTGCGACTGGGACTTTCCATGGTGCTTACCACCGAAGTCAGAAGCGGCGTCGTTCGCAGGAGCGCGAAGGTGGGTAGGGAGTGCCTTGGCGGCCATTGTATGTTATAGAGGAGGAAGTCGGTCGGCGGGGGACAGAGAATAGGAGGTAGAAGGGTATCGCTTGGGATCGAGAGAGCTGTCTCTGACAGGGGTGGCACACTGTTAGCTTTGGGGGGAAGGCGGAGACAAGTAGCGATGACAGGGTAAACAAGGTAGACAAGAGAACGCTTTGCCCGGTGGGGAGGGGAGAGGGGGGGGGCTATCTTATATAACAGCAACTCCGTCGCAGGCAAAAAAAAAGTCAAATAGAAGGAGGGGTTGACCGAATTGCCACAGGAGTTGGTGTCGATCAGTCGGGTAAAAAGGCGGCTTGCAGGATGTCGACAAGCTGCCGTCATTGGCAACGGGGCGGGCAGGGGATTGGGTGGATGGACAATGCAACTGGAGTGGGGGTAGAGAAGGAGGGGAAGACTCACCAGAGGGGGTTTGGATCAATTGATACAAAGAATATCAATTGAGCAGGAGGAGAGGAAAAGGAGGAGCGTAGTCAGGAGGAAGGAGGAGGAGGAGGAGGAGGAGAGTTGAGACGGTGAAGAAGTGGTGGGGGAAAGTAACGTGATATTTATTTGTTGCGATCATTCCTATACGAACATCCAGAACTTCTCCGTACTCCCTTTAGTATGGAGCCAGCTACTCCGTACTACGAATACTAACACTCCATCAACGCTACCATGATTAGTCCAGCTCTTCAAAGCCCCATCCATAATGCCCCAAGTTGCAACTCCTATTAATCCTCGTTTCCGCAATCGTTCTCTGTCTTGCCTCCTTACTTCCCGCTGTCGTCAGCGTCCAGCCACTGGCACTCGTAGTTCCGTCCACGGGTCGGACCTTAAACCCAACGGCCGTGCAACGAAAGATGTTATTAGTGACCCGTGAGCTCTCGGATTCTACTCCCGGAGCCCTGTGATTAAGATCGAGATCCTCACTAAGCTTACTACAGGACTACTACGGGACTACTCTAGTTCTCCTCAGCTGAGACATGGCCCGTATAGTCAACTCCCCTATCTCAGCTTGATAGGCTTCTCCTATTATCCGATCACGAATAACCTCACCGGACTCGATAATGCCTCAATTATGCCACATTTAGACAAACACCGTGCACTCCGTAGCTTGTCATAAAAAAAAATTGACCTGCCAACTTTCCTAGAAAAGAACCAAAAAGGGGGGGGGGGGGAGGGTTCCAGCCCAGAAAAAAGACTGTCCCAAATAAAACACATCAAGAGAGGGGGGGGGGCAGAAAGCTCTCCCGTGGGGGTTCGACGGTATAAACATGGACAAGGAGAAACCAGACCAACCTGGAGCCTATAAAGAAATGATTATTAGTCGCTCGACTCCATCTTCATCTCCATCTCCAATTCCAAAGTCCACGTTCCACGTTCCATCCAAGTTCCAGAATGACGGGCAATCAATCCAAAGATTCCAGACTTGTCCCCTAACCTCCTAGTCTACTCTACTCCGTTCCATAGCCAGCCCCGTGGCTAATTGCCGCTACAGTAACACCAATGCTGTCACCTACACACCCCCCTATTCTAGATTCAGTCTATTATTCATTTTCGCCAGGCCAGCTCGTGCATCTCCACCGGGTAGTGGATCCAGGCGCACAGCGAGAGTGCAGAGCACGCCCCCTCCGTTTCTCGGCCCCACCGTCACTGTCCGCTTGCACGGTGCTCTGGTGGCTCTGGTGGCTCTGGTGGTTTTGGTGGCTCTGGTGGCTCCTTGGGCTTTTTCTGGGTGGGTAGCCAGTTGCGATCCTCGCTCGGACAAGGTGTCCTCTTTGTAACCTTGTTTTTTCTCTTTTCTTTTTTTGGCCTCAGAGAGACACCGGAAATCTGAGACCTCTGAGACTCTTTTGCGCGCGCTTGCCGATTCGCTATCGTCCCTTCGTCTACGGAGTACATATCCTCGGTAGAGCGATCTACCAGAAATTTGCGATATATCTGTCGGGAACATTGATCCTGTGGACTAAAACTCTAGGCTTGACAGTTGACACCTCGTCCAAAAAAGCCATCAAGGATCAAAACGAGTCCTTATCGCCACCGTCCCTGTCGCCGTCTCTTTATCTTGTACTAAGAATATCCTCCAGCTGCGGGATATACATGTATGCACTGCACCGTACTCCCTACGGTAGTCAGAATGCAGTGTCCGTCGGAATTTGATTGGGTTTGATTTTCCGTTTCTCCATCGATAAGGCGACCGAGTCCGTCCATCTGACCTGACGGCTTCTTCAAATCTGAGCGAAATTTGCAGGGCGACACGAATCTCACATATACAACTAGCATGAGAAGCACTGACCTGACTGCGCCTACGGAGTACTGTAATTGCCGATGCGAATTACATTCGGAGATATTACGGGATATTCGGGATGGTTACTCTAACATCCTACGGTAGTGGCCAACGGTACTACATACAACCCAGACCTTGAAAAAACCCTACAAAAAGGCATCCAACACTAAGCCTACACCAGTTAAAACCCAAGTCAAACCCAGCTTCTGCTGCTTGACAGTAACACTACCGGGCAAGCCCATGTGGGCCAGCCAGCAAATTAGCCTCCACCAACCCAGACAAGCCAGAAATAACCTGGTTTCTTGTCCTACGTAATTTGCCAAGAGAACCGGGCGCTTGGAAGTGAATCTGGGAGTGAAACAACCATAACTTCAGTCCAGCATCGAAAGATCATTCCTTAAGATACAGTTTGCTATGGCGGATATCGTACAACAAATGGCGATGAAAACCTCGAATTAAGAAGGATCTCAAACAATTGCCTGCTGTACTGTACTCATCCAATGCTATCTGTTTGACATAGATAAAGCATGGCTGCACAAGTTTCACATCCAGTCTACGGCTGTGAATGCCGCAAAACTCGGGTACAAATCCACCACATCCCATGACCCTCAAGCTTCCAATTGGAGGAATATATATCTATGCTCTCCCAATACTTCGTACGGAGTATATATCAACACTTAGCGCCTTCAGACTACTCTTCCAATTACTCCGTATACCTACACAGAATCCCAAAGCCTCTATCCACCCCCGGTCAACGCTCAACCAAAATCTTGAAATCGGAACTAGTGTACGGAGTACACACCCCCGGAAATCTCTGCACTCCCCAAACGCCCCAAACTACAACTACAACTTCAACCTCAACCTCAACCTCAATAAGTACTATACGGCGGGAGTCCGACACCTACCCCATCGATCCGAGGCGGAATTGTAAATCCGCCTCCTCTCGTCGCACGGCACAACTTCCCAAACCACGGGCAGTCCACGACTACATACTACATACTACATACCGCTGTCCTCCGTACTCCTACTAGCAAGCCATGTAAAAAGAATGGATAGATTATAAATTGACCATCATAATCCCAATGAAAATCACCGCAGATCATCCAAACACCAGACAACAAAGAGACTGTCAAGACTACTTACTGTAGGTAAAGCAAATTTGAATATTGAAAAAGGGGGGCGAGCGGCTCCGGGGGCTGTGCAGACAACCAGGGTTTTTTTGGATCTGAAATCTGGAATCTGGAATCTGGATCGTCTGGCTCCAGCTCGAGCCCCGGCTCGGGCTCGGAGCCGCTCCAGGCAATCGATGAGCCAGGGGGGACCCATGTGCCTGGAAGGACAGGGGCGCTGGGCCACTACTCTGTACGGAGGACAGGACGTACTGTAAGTACAGTAGACACTGACAGGTCGAGTGGGCGCCAAGCTGAGTTAAAGATTGTGGTTGGACCCTCATTTTTATTTTTCGATTTCTTTTATCGATTACTTAGTTGCAGATTTGCGGGCAGGGTGGCGAGTGGTAGTTGTACTTTAGCAGTGTAAATAGGCCATACTATATTTGACGAAAAGAGAAAACTAAACAGCACAGCTGAAAGTCAGGAATTATATCTACAGTGCATACAGTATCTAGACATGTCAAGTACGGAGTACAGTAACACACTACATATAATCCCAGATCCCCTGTAACAAGATACAACAGACGGTGGTTCATAACTCAGTATCGCTATCGCCAGGATCCGTAATCGCAGCGCCACTATCTACGTCCAAGTACAAAGTCCATTCAATCACAACAGCTCGATCTTACCTGAAAGATTAGGTACAGTGCCGAAAATACATACCGACCAATCGGCATGGACGTCGTCCACGCTTATGTCTGCCTAGCCAGGTAGTCTCTATACGAATTTCTCATCTCCCTAAGGCGCTCTCTACGTTTCTAGCTACGCTACGTACACGCGAGACGGGTCTTCGATTCGATAGAAATCACGAATGCCCATTGATTCTACCCTTTGGAAAGCCATAAGCAGGCTTACAGAGGCGCGCCCTCTATATTTTTCCCCCGTTCAGAATGTCAGAAGAGGATCTTACTGCGTTCGTTCGTACACAGTAAGATAAGCAGAGTGAATATACATCTTCAAATCCATTGACATATCCATGGGTTATGAAAAGTACCCGGAAACTAGGGCTAGTAGCAACAAGCCGAGTTACGTCTCATATCGTATCCAACTCGTCAAATCTAGATAAGGCAAAACGAGGGATAAGCAGAGGCGAAGACTAAAGCAAAAAAAGAGAAGGTGGAAAAAAAAAGGAAAAGGATATCACATAACAACACTATTCCAAACAGGGTAGACGAGCACAATCACAATCGTTGGTTTCTTTTCATAGACTTCTCCCATTCAACACACCCAATCACGCCCCGCTAACACTCCTCTTACTCAAAAAGCTCCTCCTCGGCATCTTCCCCGCAGGACTATCCCCCTCATCCCCACCCGCCGTAGAGTGCGACGTGGAAGGCCTCAACCCAGCATCGGGCGCATCAAAACTCGACCGAATAACCACAGACCCGGATCCCACAACAACGGCCTTATCCTGACCGGCCTCGGAGCCCTGATCGGCGACAAGGAAGAATCCCTCGCCGAGGACATCATCCGAACCAAAGGTTGAATGATCCACAACGCGAATTTGATACTGCGAGCCGGCTGTGACTTTGGGAACCTTGAAAGATTCATCATAGGTCACGGCTTCGTCGCCCGCTTTATGCGCTTTGGTCTTGTGGACTTCCTTGCTTCCCTTGCTACCCTGTAGGCGGACGATGACGCGTAGGTTTGCCGAGGAGGGAAAGCCGGATGCGGAGACGACGGTGATATGGGCGATTCCCGTGTCGCCGCGGGCACCGCCGCCGAAGACGGAGAGGCGGTCGCCGTAGTTAGATGCCGTGCTGCGGTTGCGGGCGTGTTCCTTCTGGGGGGTTGACGGGGTGGGAGGGGTGTTTGAGCCATCGACGAGGGCTACGGCGGGGGTATTGCGTGTAGCATCGACGAGGGGTGCACCGGAGACGAGACCGCCGCCGTTGGTGGTGGGCTCCTCGACGGCACTGTTGGCGATGGAAGCTGCGTCGTCGTCAACGTGCTTGTCTTTGTGGAAGCGGCCGAAGATCTTGCCACCGATGGAGGTGGCTCCGTGAGCGGCGCCGCCGACGACGACTCCTCCAACCTTGAGAGGGACGCCGCCGATGGTCTTGGCTGTGCCGCCGACCTTGCCGCCGATACCACCGACGAAGGTGGTTGAGCCTTGACTCAGACGCATCACGTAGTCGGGCTTGAAGAGGAGGTGTAGATGGATGGTGCTTGGCTGGCCGTTGGTAGGGGGTTTGGCGTCCTTAGATGGGTTGATGAGGGTGACGACGACATCCTTCGGCTGGAAGGGCTCCAAGGGCTCAAGATCAATAATGGCTTCGCCGAGACGATCGTCACCAACGCCACGATCATAGTCATACACCTCGACACGGAATTTAGCGTCGATCCGCGTCTTGACCTCGACTTCGAAACTCTCATTCCAGACTGGATTCAGGTTCTTCTTGATGATTTCAGTCTTGTAAATGGGGCGTTTGTCGTCATTGCCGATGTAGAATCGGCAGTAAGGGTCACTCTTGCCGTTGCTGTCGGCAATGGGCAGGTTGACACCCTTGTTGATCTTGACTTGCAATTTACCCATATTGTTGATGCTCTCCCTGGGGTCCAGCTTCATCTGGACGGGGATGTAGCGAGCGCTGACAGTGATCTTGCTAAGCTCACCGGTGTTAGACCGAAGAACCAGCTCCTTGGGCTCGTACAGGATGTGTTGCAGGGTGGTGAGAGTGTTTCCAGTAAGCTTAGCGACGGTGTTCTCCTCGCTGGAATCGTGGGGGTCATTCTTGTGAACCAGGCGAAGCGTCATCTTGGAGAACTCAAGTTCACGCACAAACGCCTCGCCAATGTCAGAGGAGTTGAGAGTCTTGGAGTGAATCTTGGGCGAGGTAAAGGCCGGGAACATGTAGTCGTCGATGACGACCTCGAGCTGAACGTTAGTGTGAGCCAATTCGCCATGGTGGAACTTGAACACGACGAATCCGGATTCTGTATAAATGGTTAGCATCTTGACGTTTTAATGGAGGCCACACAAAGGTCAATTTCAAGTATGAAGACCCGAGGCGATTGTCTTACCATATTTGGGAAGGTCCTCCTTGCTGAGTTCCATCTTGGGAATCGATTTAATCGACCGCACAGAGGCGACATCCGAGTCCCGGGTCAACGGACGAGAAGCATTAGTCTCCAGGCTAGCCCGACCATTAGTAGTCGTCGACTCGCCATTGGTAACACCATTAATCGCAGCACCATTCGACAAAGCCTTTGAAGTCTTTGAAGACTTGGAATCAATGCTCGCAGTCTTCGAATGTCCAGGCCGAACCTTAGAGTCGGTGCTTTTGCGAGGCGCATCCGCTCCGGTAAGCTCATCCTCTTGCTCCTCCTGCTCAGCCTCATCCTCAGGGTTGGACACGGGAATAGTCGGGTAGAAAGAAACGGTGTAGTTAAGGTGACCCTTGAAGGCACCCTGGCCATAACGCAGAGGCGAGGTAGTAAGTTGCTTGTCATCGTCAATCTCATACTCGCCGGTCTCGGTCTCGCGAACGAAATCAGCGGCCTTGAGCTCGACCCAGCCGAGGGAGCGGTCTTTGTTGATCTTCTCTTCGTCCATGACCTCGACGACCAGTTTCTCGCGGGCACTACGAATGGGCACATAGACGACCTCGTCCCAGACAGGGTTGAGGTTATTCCGGAAAGTGACGGTACGACCGCGGGTCACACCGGAGAGCATAACACGAGCGTAGGGGTCGGATTTACCCATAGCCTCGAGGTTACGCAAATCCGTGGCACCCTTGAAGTGGAAGCGCATCACACCAATGGGATCAATGTAGCCAGCGCTACCGGCAACACCGCTCAGAGCGACGGGCTTCCATTGCAACTTGAGCTTGGCACGACCTTCCTTGACACCGTGTAGGTGGAACCAATCCTTGCCCTGCTCCATCATCTTCATCAGATCGTTCATCTTGATCTGGTAGCGTCCGATAATAGGATCGCCCAAGAGGTCGCGGTCGTCCTTGATGATCAGACCCAGACGGGCGTTCTTGCGGTCCGTGACGAGGAATTCCTTGGAGGCATTCTGGAAGATGGGATTGTTGGTGCGCTTCAGTTTCTTCGTGACGTGAATTTCCTTGCCGTTCAGCAGTAGCACGGCGTACGGGTTCAGCTTGCCGACGAAACTCTTGCTGCCGTCCAGATCCTTGGCTTGCTCCACGGTGAATTGTGCAATACCGGTGTTCATCTCTGGTGGGGGTTCGGTCTCGCCGGATTCCGTCTTGCTGCCTTCAAGAACGGGGAAGAAGCGAATGTCGGCTTGGACGGCACCACGGTGACGGCCGCTAGCCGTGACCTCCAGGAAGAGACCCTCGTGCGAGGGTTCTTCCTCGAGCTTGCTGAGGGCAAACGTAGCGGTACCCAGTTCCTTATCCTTGCGGTACTCGTTCCAATCGTAGGGAGCAATAGTCAAGGCGTCCGCGAAAGAGGTAATAATAACGTAAATAGTCTCGTTCCAGCGCGGACTGTCGGTATCGTGCACAATCTTGGTACGGCCCAGCTCGGTACGGCCATTCAGCGACACGACCGCATACGGGTCGGGGGTACCAGAGAACGCGTCCGGGTTCTTGAGCTGTTGAGCACCGTGCAGAGTCACGGCAACCACACCGATAGCCTGGTCGACGGGGTTGCCAGCAAGCATCTTGGCAATCTCGATGGGGAAGACGTTCGGGTCGTACATCATGGGCTGCAGGTTATTGTGAATCTGCTCCTTGATGAAGTTCTCCAGACCGGGGATAAAGTTAATATCGAAGCCGAGGTGGTCACCACCAAGAGGCTTGCAGACGTAATCGATCTCGGGCTTGCTCAAGAAGCAGACATCCACGCGCTCGATGTGCGGGAACGGCAGTTGAAGCTTGACCTTGACGCGCATGAGCCCCGAGCAGGCCATGTCCTCGACAATGACGTCCAGACCTTTACTGACCATACCCTTACCAACACGGACTTCTAGCACAATCTTGGGGTTGATCTTGTCCTTCAGCTGGCGCGCAGTCAGATCCATGGTATCATTAGGCGTGAAACTGAACTTCCAGTCCATGATCACAGTGTCCGGCTCGGTCTTGGGGTAGGTCTTGACATGCTCGAGACGGGGCGGCTTAGTACCGAGAATGAAAGTCTTCAGACGCAGGCTATCCAGGAACGCCGGAGTCGAGGTGCTCAGAACCTGGTCGACGGAGCTGATAATCGTGTCGCACAGAACGGGAGCATAAATCGGCCAGAACTTGACGAGGAAGCTGTTGATCCACTCGAGACTCTCAGTATCGGTCTCCAAGCGCTGCTTGGACATTTCACGGTTAATATCGTCCCGGAAATTCCGGCGCACTCGGCGAATAGAGGTACGGTAGTACGTGCTGCACGCAGCCATCACCAGCAACACCCAGCCCACACCACCACCCAGAGCCGCAATGAGCCAGGAACTCAAGCAGGCAAACACGATAATCGCGGCATTGTGGTACCAATCGCCAAAGAACTTATCGGGTATCCGACCCTCCAAAAAGTCCTGGTGATCGAGCAGCGTGCCCTCGGCATCGTCCTCCGCAGTCTTCTCGACGTGAAACTTGGGCGCCCACCCGGTGCGGTCGCGAGCCCAGCGCAGATCCTCGTCTACATTGGTCCCGCCCTTCGCATCGGTCGCATTGGCCTCCTCGGCCAGGATGGCGGTGGCCGAGCGTGGAGGAGGAAGATCATAGTCTGCTTTGCCGTCATTCTAGATACGACCGGTGAGCTTCGAAAAAATTCCTGCTGCAGGCAGTTTGCGCAAAAGGGAACCTGAAATGCAGCTCTTACCTTATCCGTAATCACAGCCATGCCCGTTGGCTTATTATCTCGATGTAATCCCGGCGGCAGTCGCTAGATCAGAAGCTGCAATCAGCATATGCGCATTTCTCTCCAATGGGCAGCACCGATCGCTCATTTCGCGCTCTCGCGTTGGACAGCTCGTGGGAGACCTTACCGCTTCGGCAGCTGCTGCCTTGTCCGCGGGCGAAGCATTGGGATCGAATTGGTATGCGACACCACCAGCTTCGCGAGTTTCTTTGACGAGGGTCTCCTCGACCTTTTCCGGGTTGACCTTGGATTGGGGGTCCTCGGCCAGCTCGGTCGCGGCCTCAATGATGCCTTCCTCCTTCAGCTCCGTCCTCTCCGCGGCGACGGACGCCATGTCGGCGGTCGGGGTATGTCAAATATGGCCTCACAAGGGCACGGGAATTCGTAAATTGAAAGTAGGACACTCTGGGGGAGTCTGTGATTGAAAGGGTGGAATCGTTAGTTTTGCGCAACTTGAGGGTTGAAGAGTGATTATGGTATGGTGTGATGTGGTGGGAGGGGAATCCGGGGATTTCCAGGTCTTGGTAAGTTGGTGAGAGAGGGGGGATGGGGCCCGAGGGCGCTTACTACTCAGAGGGCTGGGGAGCTATCGAGGTACTCGATGTCGATGAAGGATGAATTGAGGAAGGAAGGGAGGGGAGGGCGGAAGAGTAGAAGATGAGAAGAATGGATAGTTGAGAGGTGGGACGAGAAGAGGGAAAAGTTGAAGAGAGAGAGAGCACAGTCCGGCCGAAAAAGCAAACAGGCAGGGAAAAGTAGAGCGACAGCAGGAGAGGAGCCCGAAGCCAATTGGGGATGCCTTCGGGGGGAACTCGCAAGCCCAGCCGCTTGCGTCAAGCATCGCACGCTTGTGGCTGGTTATCGCCCAGACCAGATTACGTTACGGGCTGTTACTGTACATTCCCGGACAGGGTACCGTGCTAAGTTCTGATGTCAAAAGATGGTAGGAAGCTGGTATAATAATTCCGAGAATACAGTATTTCCAGTGTACGATAGCTGAGCCTACGCAATCGCCTTTGCAGTCGGGAACCCTAATTATTTCAATAATCCCAGCGTCAGAGCGCAACGCGAAAAAAGGGCAGCGATCGTCCCGGGGCGATCGAAGATCAGTGACGTCTGTTGGTGGATTATTGCATTGACTCTGGGGACTAACGACTATTGGAAACTAGAATAGTTGATCACTACTTTATCGTCACCGGTAGCACAATAAGTGAGAAAGATATTTCAAGTGCTATAAAGGAGTGCTATTCGAAGTTACTAGCTTTGGAGAGGATAGAGACGAAGGAAGAAAGCTCGAACCCCATCTGGAGCTATAGCTGGGGCACGGCGATCTTACGAAGGTTCCTCGGCTCTTCCAGCGGCCCAAGTGGGCTGGCGTAACAACCTAGTGACGGTCCTGTCCCATGGTTGATGGTTGACACTTCCTTCGGTGATATCCCCTGCCAAGACGAGCAATTCAATCTTCGAATTGCATTCAACATCTGAGCTCAGTAATTTATTCCATGTGATTGGGGGGGAGGGGGGGTTTATTTCTCCTCTTTCCCCTCCACTAGCAGTGATAGGGGGCTCAGCCACTAAACTAAGAACTATTCGATTAGCACCGCCACACCATCGAGAACTGACTAGCCAATGAGGAATACTCAATGCCCCTCTGTCGCGCGGGCAAGTCACGGTGTCGGCCACTCCTTTCGTCTCGGTGGAGTCGCTGTGGCTGGGCAAGCGGAGGCACCAGCCCTACCTACCGGAGTGCATTCAGCCAGGCATCAACGTATGCTCGGGTATACGGGAGGAGATTTGGAAGACCAGGTATAGGGGGCAGGGGGTAGCGGCGGCACTGTACTTATATCCTCCTGTTTTCACCCCTTTTACAGTGTTTACGCAGTTATCCAAATCCCCTAGAGTCCTATTCATCCCCTGCCCACGTCCCCAGCCACGTCCACAGTCAAGACGGAAAGAAAACCACTACTCTCTTCAATAGTTCCCCCTCCCCATTCCCACTTGCCCCTTCCCATTGGGAGCTCACACCGATCGCCCTAATCCACAAATTCTCGCAAACCCAGGAAACCCACCTTTTCACTTTTGACCTGCGAGAAAGGAAAAGAAAAAGAAAAAAAAGAAAAGGCGCGTTTCCGAGTATTGCATCCAATAAGAAGAGTCCAGAATGTCGTGGGGGGTGGTTCACCGGAGTAAAATTCCCTATCTTCTCTAGGGCCATCCAATCTCTCTATCTTAGTATCCACAATTTTTCTTCAATTCAGCTACAGTACATACGGTACGAAGAGTGGGAGAAATCATGCATGTCGAGTATGACAATGGGGCAATTGCGTCGCAATTGATGCTCTTGACTGCATGCAATCCAGTGCACTGCGTCAAATATCCATTTTTCCACGACATATCCTGTGCACAGTGAACCCGGCACACACAGACCGCAACCTCGGGATTTCGATCTATCACTTTGCAGCCACATGGATCGTGAGAAATTGTCAGATGGCAGACAATGTCCACGGAAATATCTTGATGGTGGCTGGAAAAGGTTTCCTCGTGCTTGGACTTGGGATTTGGTATGGCGTGGCTCGGCCATCCAACCCCCCCGGGTCCGGCTCTAGTAGAAGTCTAATTGTACTAAATCATGCGTGATTGTGTTGTCGTTGCTGCAGGTTGATAATGTGTAAAGTCAAAATAATACTTAACTATTTATATTCCAGGGAATCGCTATAGAGCTCCGTAGACTGCGTAGGTAGGAACGTACAACAGGTACGGTATGTAATCGTACAAAGTACAGTACCTAATCCCAGCCATCTATTCCTGTCTTCCCCCACTTAAGATTGCGCTGTCATTCTCTTTCCTTCTCTTTTCCTCCTACCGATGCGGGGTTCTCCTAAGTACGCTCGGCTTGTTTTGGAATTCTTACGGTCAAGTTCGAGTCCAACTGCAGAGTTTAATATATGTCAATTCTGAGCACGAAGTAGCGTAGCTGGAGCCTGGTGACTTAAATTGAACATCATAGTTACACTCTGCTGAATCCAGCCATACCAATCAACAAGAAGAAATACAATCCATACTTAGCAAAAGGATAGCACAAACTGGATTTTAGCATAAAGTGGAACTAAGTACGGATATCCGCAGCACAACTCGTCACATCTTGAAATTCGTGGCAATAAATTACGCAGGTAGACCAGCTGCCCCCAAAATCAAGGTCCGTAAAGAACTACAAAACCTTAACTGAACGGCTAGTCTGCCATGAAATAAAGAATATTCTCGGCATTTTGTGTTCTCTCCAGTCTACCGGCCCATGCGGATCACACCGGCGGCCATGAGCTTTTGGATCTTGATGCGCACGGACGAGTTCTTCATGTGCTCTTGAAGAGCGGCGGGGTCGCTCTTGGCCTGGTTGAGGATGCTTTGCATGACCGGGTCGTTGAGGATTGCCATGATCTGTATGACATATTAGTACCATCCTAACTAAAATAGATCCAATCTTCGGTCTCGAAGACGGTGCGACATACCTCGGGGTCATTCTGAATACGCTCCATCGTCTGCTGCTCAGTCTCGCCAGCACGAGCACTAAACTGCGCCTCCAGGCACTTCTGCTGCTGCTGCTCGATCTCACGGGCGTGAGTACCGTCATCCTGCTCAGCAGCCTCGGTAAAGGTATCAATAGCACGGTTATACTCCTTCATGGCAACGAGAGCCTGACCCTTGCGCATGTACGCACGGATGAACTTGGGGTCGCGGGCAATAGCCTCGTCGCAGTCCTGCACGGCCTGAGGGAATGCCATCAGTTTGATCAGAGCGGCGGCACGGTTAGAGAAGCCGCGGGGGTCCTTGGGCGCGCGCTTGGTCATCTCGGTGAAGGCGTCGACGGCACCGGGCCAGTCGGCTTCCTGGAACTTTTGCTGGCCGAGCTCGCGGGCCTTTTCAGCAAGGGCGGGATCGACGTAGGCGTCCTTCTCGGCGGTAATCTTGGTCTTCTCGGCGGCGCGGAGCTTCGCCAGGGTTTCGGGCGTGCGGTGCTCCATGAGGGACCTGTTGTAGTATTCGATGGCCTGGGTGAGGTCACCCATCTTCTCGTACGCAGAGCCAATACGGGTGAAAGCCCTATCCAAAGTTGTCAGTCAAGACGGAAACCTTTCTTACCCAGCTCCAGGGGGATCTTACTTGGCAAAGGTCTTGAAATCGGCGCGCAGATCGCGACCCTCCTCAACGGCCTTCTGGCAGGTCTCGACGGTACCCTGATAATCGCCCTTCTCGAACTTAGCAGCACCAATGTTGTTCAGATAGGTGATATCCTTGTTCAACTCCCAGGCCTTCTCGTAGTGCTCAATGGCCGCGTCGAATTCCTTCTTCTTGTAGAACTCGTTACCAATCTTCTTCTCAGCATCACCAGCCTCTTGGGCCTTCTTCTTGGCAATCGCCTCCTCATCCTCGGGCTCTGGGGTAGGCTCCTTTTTGGGCTGTGGGGGAGCGGGCTTGGCCTCTGGCGTGGGCTCAGCCTGGGCACCACCAGGGCCACCCTCAGGAGCACCGAAGTTCATGTCAATGCCCAGAAGAACACTCATCACCTGCAGGAAGCGAGGGTCCCGAATCTCCTCGCCAACGCTGTTGGGGTTTTGTTGAATCTTCTTCAGCTTCGCCATGAACTCGGCATCGCCCAACAGGCTCGCGGTCTTGGGGTTGTTGGCGAGCTTCTGGAACAGCGCAGGGTCGTTGAACATGCCACCCAGACCACCGGTAGGGTCACCCTCGACGCCGTCGGCTGTAGCCTCGGCGTTGATGGCGCGCTGAACGGCGTTCAGTCCGGACTTGGCCTGCTCATTGCCGGGCTCGAGTTTCAATGCCTCCTCGTATGCGTCATAGGCCGCCACTACCGACCACATGTCAGCGGGTACAGCTTCCTCCAGGATCAACCGTATGTATCACTTACGCAGGTCACCCAAGCCCCGGTAGGCAGCACCCTTGCGGAGCTGACCTTTAGACCAGTCGGGCTTGATGGTAATGGCCTTCTCAGCATCCTCGAGGGCTTTTTGGTACTCATGTTGGGCAGAGTAGACGGCGGAACGGTTGGAATAGAGGATGTGATTCTCGGGTTCAAGAGCAATAGCTTGTGTAAACTTCTCACTAGTGAAGTCAAGTCTCATGTAAGTGACTGCCCTTCCAGCCATCCTGGGCCCCATTTAAAGGCGGGGTAGCAAACATACATGGCAGTTGGATAGTCCTTGGCCGAAAAGGCCTTGTTGCCTTCAGCCTTCAAAGCGTCAGCCATGGTGGTAGTAGGAGGGGGGAGAATGAGCGGGATGTGTAAGAGGAAGGATGAAGGTCAATGAGGTATCCGGGGCCGTTGGTTATGAGCTCGCTCTGCTGGCCGAGCTTCTCGAAATTTCCGGAAGATCACTGATGCCTGAGGCCTACGGGCGGCGTGACAGTCTTAAGCTCCGGACGCACTAAACCCAATTGGGCGTACCCGACATCCCCGCTGCGAAAAAGTCGCCAAATGGTGGTTTTTGTGATTCACACTTCTCTTGATTGAATCCAATTACCTGACTCATTACACCCTCTCTACCGCCAAGCTAGTCACTATGATCCTCTAGCTGGCTTCTCCCTGCTTCTGCAGATGCTTGAGTGGAATATGACCTCTCCCCTCAACCCTTAATTGTGTCTCTTTTACCCTCTCACTCTCACCAGCTGAGCCTCCTCCCAGCCTCTCTCGCTCTCCCCCACAGCCATGGCGTCTCGTGTGACCGAGGTCGCCTCGCGGCTCTACGACGCCTGCCTCGAGAGGTTCGAAGCCGATCACCTCTTCTATCAGCAAGATCTACTCGCCCTCGATGTCATTCCCAAGGGAGAAATTGACCTACTACTGAAGTGCGCCCAGTCACTGGTCGATCAAAAATTGTTCCGACTCCACCAAGGTGCCAATAACCGCCTCGCATGGAAGATTATTTCTCGTGACGATGCCGAGAAGTAAGTCATTTCCCTTTTCCTCATTTTGTAGCTTCGAGCGCTGTGAAATTGTTCGGTGAGGACTGCATTGCTAATTCATTTATCTTTTTCTTTCAGACTTCAGAGTCTTAGCCCCGACGAGAGCTTGGTGTACAATGTCATTCACTCCAGCGGACGCTCAGGCGTCTGGGTGCGCAACATTCAGACCCGTACGAACCTTCACAAATCCATTCTCGATCGCTGCGTGAAATCTCTCGAGAGCAAAAACTACATCAAGAGTGTTCACAATGTCAAGTACCCGACTCGGAAGATGTACATGCTCGCGGGCTTGGCCCCAAGTGAGGACATCACCGGAGGTGCCTGGTTTACCGACGGCGTCCTAGACACCAACTTTATCAATACCGTCGGTGGTTTCATCGAATTCACCGTGAGCAAGCGCAGCTGGTACGAAGTGCCAGCCGCCGACCGTGGCCGCAGCAAGCGAATCAAGACCGCCACCGGCATGGCCGAAGTCAAGTCCGAGTCCGAGAAGACGTACCTCCCCTACCCAGCCAACTATTCTGGTTACCCGACCGTCGAAACTATCACAAATGAAGTCAACCAGAGCGGTATCACTCCCGTGCGTCTGCCCGAAGACAGCATTATCCACCTGCTGCAAATGCTGTGCTTCGACAAGAAACTCGTCGCGCTCAACAACGGCGGCAACTACAAGTCGCTTAAGAACCCCGCGGTGGTCAAGGCCAGCCAGTCCCGCAAACCCGCCGCCGAAGAGGGAGCCGGCTCACCTATTCTGGGTCTGGGCAAGAATGGAATGACCGAGTCGCCCTGCGGATCTTGCCCTAACATCCGCCTTTGCTCACCCGGCGCTGCCATCAGCCCCGAGACTTGCGAATACTTTGACCCGTGGTATGAGAAGGTGCTCGGGTTCTGAGTCTTGAACAAGATATTTAGGTTTGCAAGCTTTTCCATCGTGGTGGCATAAGAGTGGGTCCACTTCACCCGCAAAATGATTGTTGCCCGAAATGGGCATTCTTGCAACCGAATCTTATCAAATACTCCAGAGGAAGAGAGCCCTTCCCACTCTCATTCCTCATCGACCATCCAGACACCGTGACGCACACCGTGTCTCCCTTTTGCATGCAAGATGGAAGGTTAAAAAAAAAGGATTTGTGCATAGCGATGGCGTTGTTTTACTGTGATTATTTCCCTGGCACCGGCTGTCCTTCGAACTGGGCAGCGACTGCTCGTATGTATCTTTAGGACAAGTCAGGGGTTACGCTTGATGGCTTTGGCACGAAACTGCCTACACGAATAGAGAGCAGCGGCTAGAAAAGAAATTAACGTTTCTACCGGCGCATTGATGTTGAATTTACCCGTAGATTAGGCGCAGCGATCCAAGCTATTAAAGTTGTAGATTTGGCGACTTGCCACAGGGGTATAGGTCATCCTCTGAGCAAAAAGGTTCCATTGAGTCAAGAAACCTTTCGCTGATGGATATAAGCTGTCTCACTCATCACCGACACGTCGTGGTGACTGCAGATTCTCACTCTATTTGAAGTTTTTTTCATGTCTTCCGTCCCTCACGCCTTCCTCTCTGTGATAGAGGTCTTGTCTAGACGAACTTTTTCTTGATTATACTCAAGATATCGGTTTCGCTCAATTTGGACCAACCTACGAACGTACGAGTCTATTGGAAGTTCAAACATTGATTGCCTTTTTGAAAATCACTCGCATCTCTTGTTGTAACGCATACACCTTCACCCGGTATTCCGTCGTATTCAAAGTATCAGAAGGTTGCCCCACAAAAGAAACCCCACACAAATGCCCCGGTTCCCGAACACCGCCTTTGAATGCCGGGGCGAAAGCGGGCTCTCGCCTGACCAACCTTCTTTTCGCCGAGATCTGCAATGTCAATTTTCAGATAATCCCCGAACCTGATGTGGACGACCTTTGCTTGAGTGGCCATGCCTCGATCCCCGGACAGCAACGCGCTGGCCCTCAAGCGCAAGCTACAACAAGCTGACTCCCACTCCGAACCCACCTCCAAACGCCACCACCTTCAAGGGTACGACCCCAAGGCACCATGGCTACACGAGACGAAGCCGATCAACGGCTGGCGCACCCTGGGCAACCCGGCCGTCTACAACTCGCTACCGCTAGCGAACATGGTCTCTGCGGTGCAGGACCTGATCGACCCGGATTTTGATCCGCTGACGGCGATTCTGGACGACGAGCCTCGCTTCCTGAAACCTCTGCCTGACCGCATTGCGCCCGAGGATTTGGAGTTTTTACGTTTTCGTGGGGCGTTGTCGATTCCCGAGACTGGATTACGGAATGAGCTGTTGAGGTCGTATATTCAGTGGGTGCATAGTTTTATGCCCGTGCTCAACTTGCAGGAGTTTTTGAGATGTGTCGCGGAGAACGATCCCGGGGGAAATGTGAGCGTGCTGCTTTTTCAGGCGGTCATGTTTGTTGGCACGGCTTTTATCGATATTAAACACTTGCGGGATGCGGGTTACTCGACCAGGAAGAGTGCGCGCAATGCGTTTTATACCCGGTTAAGGGTAATCGAACGGTCTCATTTCTCGAACAGCTTTGGGGCTTCCACTGACCATAATATAGTTGCTCTACTCTCTTGACTGCGAGGAGGATCGTATCGTCATTCTGCAAACATTACTGTTGATGACATACTGGTCTGACCCTGAGAACTGCCTGCATCGAGATATTTGGGACTGGATAGGTATCTGCAACACTCAAGCACATTCGATTGGACTCAACAAGGACCCGTCAACCGGCGACATGGACCCAAAGATGCGCCGACTGCGTATGCGAATTTGGTGGTGCATATACTCACGCGACCGACTCATCGCCATGGGCATGCGACGTCCACTGCAGGTGAACGAGGGTACTAGTAACGTACCGATGCTTAAACTGGAAGATTTCGATTTCGAGCCATACTCGCCATCTGTAGTGGCTCTGTTTCACTGTCGGCAGCTCGAGGATTTGTCACACCAAAAGCGTCTTGCGACCATGTTTATTGAAAAAGCGAAGCTCTGCCAGTGTATTGGCAGGGTCCTTTTCGCGCAATATGCTCCTTCCCAACGTCAATTTGGAGCCACAGACCGCACTACGGTCACTTTGATTCCTCGGCAGGCCTCGGAGTCGGAGTTCACGCGGTGTAGCCAAAAGCTTGATTCTTGGTTGAGTGCACTTCCCAAGGACGCTCAGTTCATACCAGCATCGCGAAACAACTTCCGTGATGGCGAGGATGTCTTGCTTTTGCATGGAGCTATGCTGCGCTTGCTCTATCACGCGACCACCAGTGCCCTTCATCGGCCTTGGGCTATGGACTCGAAAGACCAGTCCAAGTCACGCCTTGAATGGCGAAATGTGGCCCGAACCAAGATGCAAGATGCAGCTACGGGCATCACACATATTCTCCAGGGCCTCAACCAGCTCAATCTCACGCGTTTCCTACCGCAATCAGGCGTCACGGTCATACTCCCAGCTGCAGTAGCGCATCTATCCAACTCCATGTCCGACAACCCAGCCGTCCGCGAAAACAGCATCTCTAACTTCCACCGTTGTATACAAGTCCTCCACTGCCTGAAGGACATCTATCCAGCTGCCGCAGTTGAGTTTGCGAATCTCGAAGCTGCAATCAAGATGCAGACGGGTAGTTGCAACTCCAATACATTCTTCCAGATTATGCAATACGACTTTGACACCGCCACGGCCCCAGCGTACATCGATGTTGGGAAACCGAGTAGCGCGGACTCGATCACGACCACCCATTCCCTCCGCCATATGGAAGACAAACCCGCGGGTGATTCCGATACTCCTTCCTCTCGTGCACGAGCTGCATCTACCAATATCAACAGCAATGCCAACGGGTCACACCACAACCATCAACACAACCTTAATACCACATCTCCCTCACACAACAAGAACACCTCACAAAACACGCGCCGCCCCTTTCCGAACGACTTTGACGACCACTTCGCCGTCTCCAACAATCCAATCCCCGCCTCAGACGAGAACCCACTTTCATTCCTCACATTCGACTTTGACTCCTTCCCTGGCCTCTCCTCCCCTCCCTCAAACACATCCCCCTTCGCAAACCCTAACTCCAACTCCAAAGGCCATTCTCATCACATCCCAAGCGCAAAAGAAATCACCACAGACCTCGATGCCATAGACTGGACCCAAGCTCTCTTCCGAAACACATCCCTCCCAGACCTCGATAAGCCCTCCGCAAATATTTTCACCACCAGCGGTCCTAGCCCTGGCTCTGGCTCTGGTCCGCACCGCACGCAAAGCCTAGCAGAGCAGATCGGCGAGTCGGAGGCGGAACATGATCCTTTTGCATTTACTTTGAAGGATGGTGATGATTCGGGGCCGCAGTTTAGGCATCATTCTACTGGGCATGGGCACGGGCACGGGCATGGGCATGGGGATATTACGGGGGATTTGGATAGGGATCTTGGGTTTCAGACTGGAGATGAGGAGTTTTAGGAGGAATTATTAGGAGGCATGTTTTCTCATTTTGATCTTGCGATCTTGATTTCGTGTATTTATTTGGAAGGGACTTGAGAGGATATATAGGATATGATGTGTATATAATTTGGGAATATGGATTGGATATGGGACGCAGCCTTATGGGCATGAAACTGAAAGTATTCGCGTTACTGATTGGAAAGGTTCTTTTGCATATTTACACACTCCCAGTGGAAGATAAAAATGTATCACATTGCCACACCGTAATTTCTACTCTATTAAATGGATATCATTGCCAGTTGCCCGACAGTTCTTCTCTATCGGATTGAATGTCTTCGCAGATTGCAAACGATCAACCTTCTAACCCCCCATCGTCCATCTGACAATCGTGCATATGTTGGCAGCGCAAACACTGACTATGACTTTCCAGCCCAGCGATTGCTCTCATCGCCCTCGATCCACGATTGCTCGGTGTAGCCAAGCTTCTTCTTCACCTCCTGCACCGTGGCGCTATCACCGGTGTTCTTGCCCATGTTATCGCTCAGTTTAACAGCCGGACGGCCGTTGGCAGTGGCGATTTTGATGACGATGTTGAGGGGCTTGGACTTTTCGCCGTTGGACTTGTTTTTGAAGTCATCTGGAATATGTTAGATAATCTAGTTCCTACACAATATGCAGTATGCGGTATGCGGTATACGGCACTACTTACTCGTGAAGAATGTGCCCACACCGAACGTAGGGTTAAAGTTGGCTTCCTCGGCGATCGCCTTGTACTCCAGGCAGTTCTCGATATTGAGCGAGTCCGAGAAAACGACAGTCTTCTTATCGGTAATACCCTCGCGGTCATAGAATTCGCGCACCATCTTGACAAAGTAGGCTGGGTCGCCCGAGTCCTGTCGGACACCGGTGTAGACCTGGGCGTAGGTACTAGTGGAGGTGGAGTGGTCAACGTGGACATCGTCTATGACGGGGGGATTCACGGAAGCATCGCTTTGCACGGGGGCTTCACGGATCGGCTTGCGGAAGGCCTCTAGGAAGGCCGGTGTACCGAAGGTATCGGTGAGAGCAATGCCGAGGACCTGTATGATTCTTTGTTAGCCGATGTCTCCCCAAATATTTTGAATGATAGGAAAAAACCTTACACCCTCGCCAAAGCAGCCAAGCCAATACCGCAGCGCCAGTTCGTTGGCATTCTCGTAGTCCTGCGTAATAGCCGCAATGGTCATATACCACTCATGCGCCACGGTACCGACAGCGCCAACATCGTACTTCATAGCAAAATGCACATTGCTGGTACCGGTTAGCTTACCCTTCCAGCCACGCTTCTTTCCTTCCTCCGCAGCCCGACAAAGACCCTTCATAACCAAATCATGGGTATGATAATCTCTGCGCCGCCGCGATCCAAACTCCGAGAACACACAGCCGTTCTCCAAAAGCTCACAGCCCTTGCGGAATGCCTTCTCCTCCTGGTTATCGTGGTCCCAGTCCTTATCGCTGAACATGAAATACGCCTGACTGGTCAGTGCCAGCAGTGGGATCTCGTACAAGATCGTATCCACCCAGAGACCCTTGATGATGTATTCGACGACACCCTCATCCTCGTCGCTGCCGGTGTCTTGCGTGGGGGTGAACTTGATATCGATTTGCTCGTCGGGTCGGAGCTGGAAGGACTCGAGGAAGGTGAGGTAGGTATCGTTGAGGTATGGGCATTTTTCCTTCAGCCAGGCGCGCTCTTCGGCGGTAACGCGGACATTTGCAAGCTCTAAGTAACAGGCATATTAGATGGATGACTTTATGGTAGAGCTCCCGGGCATTTAGAGGGGGTAAAGCTTACTGGCCATTTGCTCCAGAAGCCATTTGTGTGCCCCGCGCCGCAACTTCATGTGCGGAGTCCGATTCGTGAAGCCGTAGGTCACGTCTATGCCGAATTAGAGGCTTGGTACTTCAACGATAAGGATCTGGCGACTCACAAACATCAGGGAAGTACTTGAGAATAGCGCATTGCATCGTCAACTTGTACAAATCCGTATCCAGAAGGGAGAAGATGCCCTCCGGCAAGGGAGGGGTTGCTTCCTGGCCCATTCTGCTGGTTGATCGGATGCGCCGATCTCGAAATTAGGGGGTCAATTAGAGGGATATGCTTCAGAAATCCTGATGTTGAAAGGCTGGAGGTGTACGGATGACTCGGATCAAGAAGAGTGGGCGAGGCGGGCGTCCTTAAGCTGCCCCTCTTGAAAGTTGACGCAAGCAAGCGCCTCATCGCGGGGAAAATCCGATATCATACGTGTTTGCTTTGTTTGCACGGACTGATACATGTAGATGCAAGCACTGAATAAAGAGATAGAAGCATAGAAGCCTTTCTCTGCAGAATAACTCCATGTAGTAAAAAGGTATATAATCATATGGTACTTGTGCGGTAGTTAGTTTGACCAATAAAATTTGGATAGTACTCTACTATCATAGGAGCCCTCGACTCCACAAGGTATACCTCGAATAGACGGATAAGCTACCATCAGAGTCAAATAAATCATTCTTGAATCATTTGAATAGGAAGGCACGTAGGTCCCGGCCAGTGTAACGTATAATGATTATCAAACTAAGGCAATTCCCGGTTTGTCCATTACTACCAGTCATCAAAACGCGTCGCGCTGTTCGTCCTCGTTCAAACAAATCAGAGGTAGTTCTCCAACACGTCTTCTCTCCACAAAATCCGAACTTCTTCACATACCCTTCCCACTCTTGAAATTCATTCACACTGCGAAAGCCATCGAAATCATGCTGTTGCTTGAAACATCCGCATGTTAAAAACCGCCTAGATCTGGTTAAGCGATGGCTGCCAATCAGAAGCCCCCGTCCCCGCCTGCGGGTCCACCCCCAGCCACGTATGACTCAGCAAGAATCGAGGCTGGTGTCCTTCCTGTGGCTAATGTTTCTCATGTGGCTGGTGCTCTTCCTGCTATCGCTGAGTCAGCTTTCCAGCCGCAGATGGTGCCTCGCCTGCGGCTCATCGTCAAGGAACCGGGACCAGAAGGCGCTGTTGAGAACCTACCTCCACCCTCTCCTCCTCAACCGCCCCGTCGATCTCGTGGAAGGCTGAGAAAAAGCAGCCCTTTTACACCTCCGAAGAACGCAACTCGCAAGGCTGCTCCCCAGAAACCTCCTCAGAAAGCCCCTCAGCAGCGGCCTGCAGCCGCTACCCGAAATCCGCCCATGGCACACGGCGCGGAGGACTGCGCAACAGTCCTAGAACAATTTGTGCACGATGCGGCCAACTTGCCCCTTGAGATCAACCATCTGATGGAGGAGATCCAAGCCAAAGACAAGTCCATGCAAGATTACCGAGCCACAATCAACTCTAAGGATGGCAGCATCCAGAAATTCATCAAGGCGAATGGCAGTCTCGCACCAAACCCCAAGGAGGAGCAGTACAATAAGGCGGTGCTTGAGAGCTATGACCGGGCCATACAGCTCCAAGATGAGAAGATCCAGTTGAGCGACAAGGCTTGCGTGCTGTTGGATCGCCAAATCAAACGCTTGGATATGCGCATCCGCGATCTTGTCAACGACGGCCTGCTCTCCAATGATCCGCCTCTCCCTTCACTCTTTGACAACAAAAACCAATACCGTGACCCACCAAAGGTGTTCTTCCCGGACTCTACGCCCTCCGAATCCCCCTCTTACGCCACTCCACTCAACACGACGTCCGGAAACGCGAATATCATCCTTGCTGCAGCCCAGCGTCTGAACCAGGTTAGCGCGCGAGCTCCAGGTCCAACCGCCCTTGCTGCACAAGGCGGCGCACGCAGCTCTGCTCCTGCAACTCCCGCTGCAACTACAGCTGTCCACCTTCAGCAGCGCCAACGCGAGTCTTCTGCCGGTGCAGTGGACTCCAAACGTCGTCGATTGATGAATGCCTCCTTGGGAACACTCCCCGCGGCATCATCCAACCTGCGTCAGTCCTCTCTAGGTCCTGGAACACCCAAGGCTGGTACCCCTGCTGGCAGTCGCGCAGGCAGTGTCGGACCGCGCGCCGCCACCGTTAAAAAGGCCTTGACCAAGAAAGTTGCGCCGCACCAACAAGTCAAGAAGATCAAAGCCTCTGCATCCAGCAAGCACACCAAGCGCTCATCCAGTGCCAGCGGTCGTGTCAAAGCATCCAAGAAGTCCCCCACTGGCGAGGGAGATGAAGACGATGATTCCATGCTCAGTAGTGCTGACATGTCGGATTCGGACAAGAGCGATGTCGCCGACGGCGATGAGGATATGGATGACGACGAGGAAGAAGACGAGGGTGTCGAGGATACCAAGGTGTACTGCACCTGCCGCACTGTCAGCCACGGTGACATGGTAGCATGCGACAACGACAGTTGTCCCTACGAGTGGTTCCACTGGAAGTGTGTGGGACTGACCCGTGAGCCAGTCGGCACGTGGTACTGTGATGAGTGCCGGAAGACGCTTGGAAAGTAAGGCGCTTTCGAGGAACTTCGAATTGCCTTGCTTCTTTGAAGAGTGATGCTTGCTCTTCCTATGTATGATTTCTATGACTGTCAAGTGTTATACCCACGGCGTATTGGGCAAGGGGTGTTACAACGGATTCTAATTGTTAGATTGAATGTCGGTTTTATCTGTGCATATTCTTGGTAGTTCCTACTTATAGATTGTATATTCCATCCGAACAGAGGGTCATAATTCTACTTCGACCACGACACGATACTATCGATGCTTGTCTGGTCAAGGCCAGTGCAATGAATACATAACATTATTCTCTCGATGTTTGGTCAGAATAACAGTCGACAATCATAATTTGTACCTTCCAAAACTAAGTAAACTCCGTCTCAAAGAGCAATTCCCAAGAACAGCACAACCATACAGATCATCACCAATCTCCTTTCCAAAGTACCCACCCCTGAATTCCCCGTAGTTTGAACCGGCGTTGCCGAAGATGATGGCGACGTAGTAGCCCCCGAAGACGAAGACAACCCGACACTACTTCCAGTCGATGAACTCCCACCCACAGCCGAGGAATTAGATCCTATAGTACTCGACGAAGCAAGTGACACCGGTGTATTCGATGCCGCATGCGTAGTCGATGTATATGGCAAGATAGTATACGTCCCATCCCCATTCTCCTCCGACACCGATACCGACGCCGACGAACTCGTCACAACACTTTCCACGATACTCGTCGTGACAATCGTCTCCGCACTCTCACCCCCATACCCCTCCGTAACACAAAAGCTGTTCGCCGAACACTGGAATCCAATATCACAGCACAAATGTCCGCACACCTCGACGCCATTGCAGACTGCATCGCAGCCACGCTGGCCGTTGATGACGGTGCATGGTGCGCCGGAGGTACAACAGGCTCCCCAGCCAACGCAGGATGTATAGCCCGAGTCGCAGGTATAGGTACCTTGACGGGCGTGGAGGGCGTGATATTGAGGTCCGGCCGTGATTTGGGCGTGGGCTGCAAGGTACTTGGCGTTTGTGAGAGTGAGGAGGGCAAGGGTCGATATCCAGAGCTGGATGCACATTTTGGCCGGGTTGTATAGAATTACCGATGGTAGTAGTTGGTACTTTTGGCTGGGGTATGATAGATGAATGGGATATGGCTAGCCCGGGGTTGGGTCGGTCTGAGTTTCTTTATAGCTATATAGCCGGAGTTACCTCGTATTCGAGGTGTCCGTGCAGCCTTGAGGTGGGATGTGGGGTTGATATATATACATCTCCTTCCGGTCGCATTCGCTGAATATTTTCTGGTGATTACTGGAGGAGGCTTGCATAAGCTTATCGACCCGATAGGTTCAACGATTTATATCAGCCCGCATTGGAAGCATAAGAGTAGGCGACGATGCCCGAGCTAGTAACAAATACGATTCAGCGTAAATTTCAAGATTGTCATCAAAAAGGATATTTGGCTGGATCATTTATCTAGGCTCTGAATCCAGACTCTTATATGCCACTCAATGTATATTGATCGCCCCTAAGCTGGCCATGGAGTATAGTCTCGGAGATGTGAAATATGGCCGTGGCTTTGTGTTAGAAAGGGTCTTTTCAAACTTTAGCAATCTCAATGGGTATTGAGATGTATCTGGATAATTTTCACAGGTGTTATAAGCACGTTCAAGTCGTAGGAAGATAGAGCGTCCTTCCAGACCCTATATCTCATCACGTGAGAAATATCTGTCACTTAATCTTGATACTAGTAACTTTGTAGCCGTTTGTAAAGTCAATGGCTCGGTAGCGATCGGACCCCTACTGCGATAGTTTCAAATCTATAGGTCAAGGTGAGAACGCTATTAAGCGTGACCCAAACTGATCTCGGCAGAACTCGAGAACCGCTGAGAGTGGGGCTTTTGTGCTCTAGGATTGGTTAGATCAGGCATTTAGGGTACACTGTTGTGTATGCCTGATGAACCCATATCGAGGAACGTTGAACTGCATACCCAGATTTAGGATGTTTTCTAGGCGTATCGTTATGTAACAAATAGAGTATAATTGCCGGTGCGCGGCGAACGGGGAACCTCATGAGCGAAAGCCTTTTTTATCAAGCGGGCCCACCAGTAGGGTGTCTTCTGTGTAACCCTTTTCTTTGGCGTCTTTGACTAGGCAAGGAAAAAATCCGTCACTTCCGGGGCGATAAGCAGATTTGGCCTCCTCAATCCCACGTCAAAAGTCCCGCGAACAGGGGGCAAAGTGCCCAATCATCGTGCCACGCGATCCGGGGGGCATTTTAGCTCGAAGATCTGGTAGGCGACCCGCAATTTTGCCGCGATTCTTGCGAAAGGGGATGCAATCTACTCGTACCTCTTGCCGAGCCAGTCGAATCCCGCTACAGTCGGGAGGGGTGAATCACGAAAAAGGTGAATCCTGAAGGTTCGGCCTGAGCTTACAAGAGCTGTCAACATGTCCCGGAGACCAGAGAATGAAAAGACAAAAAAGGTCCTGCGATTTGTCACCATAGACCCCTCATCCAGCCGAGGAAGATCAGATGTTCGCCGGATAGTACGATCCCATGCTGGAGGATGGATGTGGCGAAAACTTCGAGCGGCTCAAGGAAATTCAGAGCCCGCCCTTGAGGAGGATTCGCTCGAGCCCGATGCATTCACGACCGAGGAATTTGACGACTTAGATCAGCCGACTCCCTCTACTAGGAAACCCAGCGCTTCGGCAGTGGGGTTGCCATCGGATTCACAGGTGCCGAAGGATTCTGGTCGCGACAGCACACGAAGAAAACGCAGCAAACGAGCTTCTATGGAATTGAGCAGGGTCAGCTGTGACCAACTGGATCCTTTTCAGTGTTACATATCATCATCCCCATTACCAAGCGGGCTCGTTAGCAACTCCAATAAATACTGTAAGATCCCTAAGGGATTTTCTCACGTCATCAATTGCTAACCTGTCCTACCAGGTCTTTCGGTGCTGTGGCCTGGTCTGATGCCCAAATCCTCAATTGGTGGCGTCGTTCATGCTGGAATTGAAGGCTGGTTCTCGAGCTCGCTGGGTCATCCAGCTCTTCACAGCGCCATGCTGTTTGGATCATACTCCCATCGGCGGATAATGTGGTTGCAAAAAAAGCAGAGCGAGTTCAGTGCCGACGACGAGAAACAAATGTCGATATGCGAAGCGGATTCTATCATGAGGATCAATAGAGCGATTCAGAGTCCATCCGAGGCAATCACGGATGCTATTATCCTGTGCGTTCTTTGTATGGCGAATAACAAGAATGAACCTCCGTTGGGTCCGGATTTCCAGGAGTCGCCATTCCAATCACCACTGCGCAGTTTGCAATGGCTTGATGTTTATGGTCGATTGAAACCGCATCCTATACATCAAGCTGGATTGGTCCAGTTAGTGTATCTCAAGGGGGGCCTTCAAACCATCAAGCTACCAGGACTTGCTGGTGTAATCTCCTTGTAAGTACAAGTTTTGATTCCACAGGGGGGAGGAATAGCAGCTGATCTTGCAAATGATAGCTCCGATGTCTTGGCTGCTAGCAGGTCTTTATCACAGCCACTTTTTCCCTGCATATCCCTTCAGGAAGGAGAATTCCTGACATTAAATCAAATCATCAATTTCCAGCATCCTATGCTAAATATGGATATTGACATCGTCAGCGAATTGCCCATCACCTCTGAGATGCAGGAGATTTTCAGTGCTTCACGTGCATATCTGGCTTTGATCGACAGATACCAAGATGGAGTTTATGTGGCGTTGGAGATGTTGGCCGACTTTCGAAACCTGGTCCAATGGCACATCATGTCTTTATTGCCAGGAAGTAAACTGGGCCCAAATATCACAAATTCATACCCTCTATATGAAGCATGTCGACTGGCACTGGTAATCATGGGGTTGGGGGTGATTTTCCCACTTCCCCCTCAGTCTGCTCCCCTGTTGGAGCTCTCCCAGATGTTGCAAGCCCAGCTCCAATCGGTGGAGGATATCGCCCAGATATATTCATCAGTGAGCATCAAACTTATGTACTGGTGTCTGATTCTCGGCGGTATCGCTGCTGGTGAATCGCAAGAAAGATTGTGGTACGGCGAGGAGCTTCGACGTCTGGCTGGACCCTATGGTCTACCTGTGTGGAATGAGGTCAAACGAGATTTGAAAACGATATTATGGTTGGATAGAGCATGCGACTTTGGTGGGAGGATTTTCTGGGAGGAAGCCTTGTGCCTGCGGTGAGCCGTTCATGGCTTGTTAGTATAGGTATTAGAATAGAGAAGATTCAGTGATTTAAAACTTAGATCTGGGGAGAGCATGCTGTGATTTAAGGAAAGATCTGAATCTAGAGACTAGGCAGCACCGTAGAGTATAAACTAATCCAAATTCAACCGGACGGCCCAATGCTTCCACATCCACGAACACTCATCGCCCCTCGGAGCTAGCCGTTGGGAATCAATATCCAAATCATTATCCTGGGTGGATAGCTGGGCGATCTACCCCTCTGAGTCTGTCTAAATCCGGTATTTGGTCCACAAACTAGATCAAGTTAGTAGTCAGTCAGCACGTGTCCAGTGGCAGCCCTGAACACGAGGCAAAGCGGGGCACGAGCTGAAATGCTCATACCGCATTTAATAGCTTGTTTTCGACGTACGCAATTTAATTGGCTATGTTAATTTGTAGAACTTCGGGACTTAACCGAGTACCATCAACCAACGCGGTGTAACATGTCGTATTCAGAGGACCTTGTAAAGTGAAATGCAATTTGCGCAGCATTTCTAGGTGGAAAAGGAGTACCGGCACTGTCTCTGTTGAGGAAAGAAGCTATATTTTTAGTGGTTGCTATGCTAATTCTTAATTCATTCTATCTTATCTAATGCAGCTGTTGAATAGTTTCTTTCGATACCTCCTACGTAAAACATAGTGCCCCCGTCTCTGAGCACCCCTTTATGGCTCAGATGAATACCCGTTGACATTTTTCACAGAGATCAACTATACCAACAAATGAGAGGCACTACTTCTCATCTTAAATAAATCTCGTCCTCCCTCGACAAGGCCTCTCCCACAAAATCAAATCTACAATTACAAAGCGGAAAAACTTACAGCCTCTTCTTTCTTTTCCTCAGCAAGGACCATGCAATCCAAGATCAAGGCGTGATACTCCCTGCTAAGGCCCTATTCAACACTCCTGCCTCTGTATTCTACAGCGCTCATATCCAGGGACTCCCAAAAATGCTGATGGCTGCAGTTTACTGCATATATCAAAGAAGGTTGAGCGAACAGCTTGCTACCTTTACTATTGGTATTTTTGATTTTAAGCAGACGTGTCATTGTGATTGTTGCCAGCCCGGTAAGTCATGTATTGATTCTTTTGAATTTATTGTCGTCATCCAATATTGTTAGACAAATGGCAGACATCTGTACTCTTAACGGCCTTGCCCTTCGTACCTTCAAGGCGTTCTTCTCTCCTACAACAAGCTTGCTTGCATAGAACCGTTCAATTATTTTTAAAATGAAACTAATTCCATATGAAGCACGTCGACCGGTGCCAGCGCGTAGGATGTCTAGATTCCCCGACGATGGGTATCCCGGTTTGCGCTGGGGAGCAACCAGCAAACAGCAAAGACTGACTGTAAAAAATAGGTATATGAGCCTAAGAACGTGGCCAATGAGAGGACGTACATTTTTAGATTCCCAAAACGAATCAAAGCCGTCATTATGCGCAGACTATACAAGCTGGCCCGGAGAGTGCGACCTGGAAGCCGGGATCTCAGTTCACGGGTGTAGACAACAATAACAACAATGCAGCCTGAACGTGAGCACATAATTGGCATGGCCATTAGACAGAGACCAAGATGATTGTTCTTAGGTATACTAGCCAAACCATTGATCTGGATGATGATCAGTTTGTACGATTACTTCGTGCCAGGTTGGTCCGATTTGGTAGTCATTACGACCAGAGCAGCTGAGTAGACGCCCAGTTTGATGAAGACCTGTATCAGGTTCTATAAGGCGGATGATAATATTGGTATTCAAAACAAATCACGTAGGCCGGACATGCCGATTCATGCCATGCGCCCTTTCCAATGAACTATTGTACAGATAAATTCCCACGTGAACCATCAAGCGTCTATGTCGGCTGTCCTCTCGGTGGACGATATAGCTTCACGAGTCCCGGGGAGAGAGTTTGACTCGAGCGAAAGAAGTTTCAGGTGTAAAATGATTTTACATACTGCGATTATATCAGTAACGATTCTCTAGTCGGGGACGGAACGCGGATCGACTCACGGAGGGAGGAGGAGCTCGCCGAGGCTGCTGTGGAGGAAAGCGACACCGGCCTGGAAAAGGAAGAGAGGTTAGCGTTGATTCGGACTCAATGAGCAGTTATCGAATAAAAGACATACACCGAAGACCAGAAGGCTGCGGACAATGGTGGCGTTCTCCGGGTTGGTGGCCTCGTCGTAGACGGTGCTCAGGAAGCCCTTCTGAGGACGGGCAGAGTTGGAGACGGCGACGCGCTTAGGAGCCATTTTGATGGATGGTGTGAATGGTTATTAGACGGAAATTAATGGGGATATGGATCGAGGGTGATGGAGTGAATCGGAGGATGTCGAGAAATCTGCGGCCGCCGGGACCGCTTGGCGTCACTGCGTCTGTGGTCCATTTAGATCACCGTAGTTATCCTCCGCGGCGCGCGACAGCTGGAAATGCGATTGTCTGTCCAGTCGCAACTTGAGGAGGAGCTATAATTCTCGTGGAAGCCTAGAATCTGCGTTTTTCCGATTGAAATTACCCGTCAAGGATATTTCACAGATTCTGGACAGATTGCAAGCCCTACTCCACCGTGAGACTGATCGTATCCTAGCAACCATGACGAGTGTCGACGAGCTCTTCAAGGTAAGTCTTACAGATGCCTGAATTCTGGGCTGTCATGTAAACTGACACTCCTACAGAAACCACTACCTACAGGGAGCTCCAAGCGCAAGTTTGAGCCCGTTCAGGACCCTAGTACGCCCCCTCTGTTCCCCGCCAACGTGCCTCCAACGGCTTGCTAACAAGACACCCAAGACGAGCTATACAAAGCGGCGAAGTTGGACTCCAATGGCGATGTGAAGTCAAAGGGCAAGGGCGCTATGGTGGAGGACGACTTTGACGATGACGATGGCGAAGCTGGACCCGAACTACCACCGGACTTTGAGGAAGACGTCCCCGATGATGAGGAGGGCCGCTTTTTCGGTGGTGGTATGGAGCAAAAGACTGCCCAGGCCATGCAGTACATTGACCAAAATGAAGAGGACGAAACCGCGGTATGAATCACCGAGGTGTAATTTGGTGAAGTCAATGGCTAACAAGCTGTCCAACCTACAGCCCGAGAAATTCGATGCAGCCTGGGTCCGCCGATTCGCCTTGAACTTTGAGAAGAAGATATCCAAGAATGCCGAGCTCCGTGCGAAATTCGAAAATGACCCTGCAAAGTACGTTGGTTATTCGCTGGAGGCTGAGGCTCACGCTAATGACGATATGGCAGGTTCATGGCCTCCGAGGCCGACCTCGACACCGAGATCAAAGGACTATCGATTCTGTCCGAGAATCCTGAGCTTTATGAGGAATTCGCCAAGATGGGCTGTGTCGCCTCATTGGTCTCATTGCTCTCGCACGAAAATGCGGATATTGCCATCGACGTCATCCAGGTTATAAGTGAACTCACGGATGAGGATGTTGAGGCTGAACAGGAACAGTGGGATAGCCTGGTCAATGCTATGGTAAGCGTGTCATCTTGAAAGTTTGACATTTTGTACGGTCGTGCTGACTTGTTCAAGATGGATGCCGACCTCATCGAACTCTTGGCACAGAACCTCTCTCGCCTAGACGAAGGCGCAGAAACCGACAGGACTGGTGTTTACTACATTCTAAGTAAGTTTGACCAGTGTCTATAACCTGATGTCTCGTAGCCTCCAAAATCTGACACGAAGTAGGCGTTCTGGAAAACCTGTCTTCCCAGTCCGCACTCGCAGACAAGATCGGAGAAGATGCTGCCATTTTGCCTTGGATTCTATCGCGCATACGGCAGAAAGAAAATCCGGTCTCCCAGAACAAGCAATATGCCGCGGAGATTTTGGCAATTCTTTTGCAATCCTCCCCTAAGAACCGAGAGAAGTTTGTTGGTCTTGACGGCGTCGATGCTCTCCTTCAGCTTCTCAGCCAATACCGGAAACGGGACCCAGCTAAGGACTCCGAGGAGGAAGAATATGTGGAGAATCTCTTTGACTCTCTGGCTTGCCTTGTCGATGATGACGCTGGTAAGGAGAAGTTCATCGAGGCAGAGGGCATTGAGCTTGCTCAAATAATGCTCCGAGAGAGCAAGTTCAGCAAGCCTCGAGCTCTTAAGATTCTCGATCACGCTCTTGGCGGTTCGGGTGGAGGCCCAGCGTGCGAGCGACTTGTCGAGGCGGCGGGTCTGAGGACGATCTTTGGAATGTTCATGAAAAAGGCAAGCCATCAGTTTCCCTAAGCCACCTACAATGCGAGGCACTAACATCAACCAGCAAGAGGGCCAGAACATCGAGCATCTGCTCGGTATTTTTGCTTCTCTTCTCCGCCTTCTGCCCGGTGGTTCCGCTCCGCGTATCCGAACACTCGCCAAGTTCATGGAGAAGGAGTATGAGAAGATTGAGAAACTCATCAAATTAAGACGGGAGTATGCTGCACGCGTATCTCCCGTTGAGCAGGCAATTGAAAAGGAACGCAAGGGTCTTTCACAAGATGATCAGGAATTCATGGCTGGCGAGTGGCTGTCACGCCGGTTCGATGCAGGTCTGTTCTCTCTACAGGTAAGTTCTCTCGTTTTGCTTTCTCATTCACTCCTAGAGCCTTACCGGTCACTGATTATTTATCTAGACTATTGATGTTATTCTGGCATGGCTCATCGCTGAAGATGACGGGGCGAAGAAAAAGGTGGTTTCTCTACTGGCAGACCGGGATGAGGACCTTTCCCTAGTTCGGAACACCCTGCAAGGTATGCACTCTTTTTTTTTATTTAAAAGTAATCGCATAGCTGACTGTTGCAGAACAATTGGAAGGACTTGGGGGTGAGGATCAGGGCCAAAAAGATTTTAAGGATATGCTGAGCACATTACTGCAATTTGTTTGAGGCTAGTTTTAAAGACGATGGAATACCCTGTAATACATTTTCTGCTCCTCAGTTCTACTTGTCTATTATGAAATGGATCCTACTAGAACTAAGTTTGATACTCACTGGTTGATCAACTTCTTGAATTGCAATTGGCCCATTTCATACAGCCCGCAGCTTCCAACGTATCACTGAAAGCTACAAGGCAGCTACCAATACTCTGAAATGGGGATCTCTCACTGGTTGCAGCCTTCTCAGCTTAAGAGACAATCCCCCATAATGCCCAGGCTTCCAGGCTACGATTCACGTGATCAACCATACCACGTGATCTGATGTCCATATCGGGCCTAGTTTACTTCCGCCGCGCCGAAGCATCAAGATCCTTGGAGACCTTTCTTCTCGCCACGCTGGGAGATCTTCATCCATCCCACCGAGCTCTCAAGTCGCTCCATCCCTCGTCTGTGACGCTTTGCAGGAAACTTCCTTCTTTGCCAGCCACTGACAGGCGGGTGTCGCAGCGCGTTGGGTGACTCTTAGATCATCATCTTCCCTCCGCCGCCGACGCGCCCTCCCTGCGCCCTCCGCGGCTCACTGCCTCTCACCTCTCTCGACCCGTGGACGACTCAAGGAATCCCGATAAATCGCAACCATGGCCGACTACGACGAAGCTTACGAGGAGCAGTTCTACGACGATGCGGAGGATGGAATCACCTCTGAAGACTGCTGGACGGTGATCTCGTCGTTCTTCGACGTAAAGGGTCTCGTGTCACAGCAGCTGGACTCCTTCGACGAGTTCATTTCCTCGACTATGCAAGAGCTGGTGGAGGAACAAGGACAAGTGGTTCTCGATCAGACCGTGCCCCCCGACGAAGACGAAGCCGAGCCGGTTGTCGTGCGCCGATTCGAGATCAAATTCGGCACCGTCATGCTGACACGGCCATCTGTAACGGAAGACGACGGATCAACCGTGAGCATGTTGCCGCAAGAGGCACGTCTGCGAAACCTCACCTACGCCAGCCCCCTTTACCTCACTATGAAAAAATATGTCACTGAGGCACGCGAGTGCCAGGTCGCTGACCGCGACGACGATGAAGCTGGCGAGGCCGAAGACGAACACAAAGATCGCGGTACATATCTGAAGTGGCAGTCGAGGCCACAAGACGCAGGTTGGCAGGAGGAGGAGACGATCTTCATCGGCAAGATTCCCATTATGCTCAAGTCCAAGTACTGCTGCTTGAAGGAATCGCCGGAAGAACGTCTTTACAGCTGGAATGAGTGCCCTTACGACTCCGGTGGTTATTTCATTATCAACGGTAGTGAGAAGGTGCTTATCGCGCAAGAGCGAAGTGCTGGAAACATTGTGCAAGTTTTCAAAAAGGCCCCTCCCAGCCCGACGCCATACGTTGCCGAAATCCGAAGTGCCGTCGAAAAAGGATCCCGTCTTCTTTCTCAGCTTGCGCTCAAGCTCTTTGCCAAGGGCGACAGTGCCAAGGGTGGATTTGGCCCAACTATCCGATCGACTCTACCATATGTCAAGTCCGACATCCCCATCGTTATCGTCTTCCGAGCCCTGGGCGTTGTTTCTGACGAAGATATCCTCAATCACATTTGCTACGACCGCAATGATACCCCGATGCTGGAGATGCTGAAGCCGTGTATTGAGGAAGGTTTCGTCATTCAGGACCGCGAAGTTGCGCTCGATTTCATTGCCAAGCGTGGCTCTTCCCAGTCTAATTTGAACCACGAGCGCCGTGTGCGCTACGCGAGGGAGATCATGCAGAAGGAGTTGTTGCCGCATATCTCGCAGAGCGAGGGCAGTGAGACCCGCAAGGCCTTTTTCTTGGGTTACATGGTCCACCGTCTGCTGCAGTGCGCTCTCGGCCGCCGCGATGTCGACGATCGTGATCACTTCGGAAAGAAGCGCCTGGACTTGGCTGGTCCGCTTCTTGCCGGCCTTTTCCGTGTTTTGTTCACTCGCGTCACCCGTGACTTGCAACGCTACATGCAACGATGTGTGGAGACCAACAAGGAGCCTAACCTCCGCATTGGTCTGAAGGCTGCCACCCTGACTGGTGGTTTGAAATATGCCCTGGCGACTGGTAACTGGGGTGAGCAGAAGAAGGCTGCAAGCTCCAAGGCTGGTGTGTCCCAGGTGCTGAGTCGATACACCTTCGCTTCTAGCTTGTCCCATCTACGTCGTACCAACACACCCATTGGTCGAGATGGTAAGATCGCTAAACCGCGTCAACTTCACAACACCCACTGGGGTCTCGTCTGTCCAGCCGAGACTCCCGAAGGTCAAGCTTGCGGTCTCGTCAAGAACTTGGCGCTCATGTGCTATATCACCGTTGGTACGCCTAGTGAGCCTATCGTCGACTTCATGATTCAGCGGAACATGGAAGTTCTTGAAGAGTTCGAACCCCAGGTCACGCCTAATGCCACCAAGGTGTTCGTGAACGGTGTCTGGGTCGGTATTCACCGTGACCCCACACATCTAGTCAACACTATGCAATCTCTCCGTCGGCGCAACATGATCTCCCACGAGGTCAGCTTGATTCGCGACATCCGTGATCGGGAGTTCAAGATCTTCACAGATGCTGGACGTGTGTGCCGACCCCTGTTCGTCGTTGACAACGACCCGAAGAGTGAAAACGCTGGGTCCTTGGTCCTCAATAAGGAGCATATTCGCCTGCTGGAGCTGGACAAGGATCTTCAACGAGAACTGCCTCCAGAGCAGCTCCGGGAGCAAGGTTTCGGATGGGAGGGCTTGGTTAGATCGGGCGTTGTGGAATACGTTGATGCCGAGGAAGAAGAGACGATCATGATCGTGATGACCCCTGAAGACTTGGAGATCTCCAAGCACCTCCAAGCTGGTTACGCTCTGCCAGAAGATGACAAGAACGACCCCAACAAGCGAGTGCGCACCGTGACTCAACGCGCTCATACCTGGACGCATTGCGAGATCCACCCTAGTATGATTCTAGGCGTGTGTGCCAGTATCATTCCTTTCCCTGATCACAACCAGTCGCCTCGTAACACCTACCAGTCTGCCATGGGTAAGCAGGCTATGGGTGTATTCCTGACCAACTTTGCACAGCGCATGGAGACCATGGCGAACATTCTCTATTACCCTCAGAAGCCTCTTGCCACCACTCGGTCTATGGAGTTCCTTCGTTTCCGTGAGCTGCCCGCTGGCCAAAATGCCATTGTGGCCATCGCCACATACTCTGGTTACAACCAGGAAGACTCGGTCATCATGAACCAAAGCAGCATTGACCGTGGTCTATTCCGCAGTCTGTTCTACCGTACATATACGGATTCTGAGAAGACTGTGGGCACCTCTTTCGTCGAAAGCTTCGAGAAGCCCATGCGCACAGAGACACTCGGTATGCGCAAGGGTACCTACGACAAGCTCGATGAAGATGGTATCGTTGCTCCTGGTGTGCGTGTCTCTGGAGAGGATATCATCATCGGTAAAGTTGCGCCTCTCGCACCAGATGCGGAGGAACTCGGCCAACGTACCAAGGCGCACACCAAGATTGACGTCTCCACGCCGCTCCGAAGCACTGAGAACGGTATCGTCGATCAGGTAGTCATCTCAACTGCCAATGATGGTCTCAAGTTCGCCAAGGTCCGCATGCGTACCACGAAGGTCCCCCAGATTGGTGACAAGTTTGCCTCTCGTCACGGTCAGAAGGGTACCATCGGTATCACTTACCGACAGGAGGATATGCCCTTCAGTCGCGAGGGTTTGACACCCGACATCATCATCAACCCTCACGCCATTCCATCTCGTATGACCATTGCTCACTTGATCGAGTGTCAGCTGAGTAAAGTGTCTGCTCTCCGTGGCTTCGAAGGTGACGCAACTCCCTTCACAGACGTGACTGTCGACTCCGTCTCGCGCCTGCTCCGCGAGCACGGTTACCAGTCTCGTGGATTCGAGGTCATGTACAATGGCCACACTGGCCGTAAGCTGGTGGCCCAGGTGTTCCTTGGTCCGACTTACTACCAGCGTCTGCGCCACATGGTGGACGACAAGATCCACGCCCGTGCCCGTGGTCCTACTCAGATTCTCACCCGCCAGCCCGTGGAGGGTCGTGCCCGTGATGGTGGTCTGCGTTTCGGAGAAATGGAGCGCGATTGTATGATTGCCCATGGTGCCAGTCACTTCCTCAAGGAGCGTCTCTTCGACGTATCGGATCCCTTCCGTGTCCACATTTGCGACGACTGTGGTCTGATGACTCCTATCGCGTGAGTTTTTTCCATTCTACCCCTTTGACGAACTATAATACTAACATATCCGTGTCTAGCAAACTCAAGAAGGGTCTCTTCGAATGCCGCCTCTGCAACAACAAGCACCGCATCTCGCAAGTCCACATACCTTACGCCGCCAAGCTTCTGTTCCAAGAGCTGGCCTCGATGAACATTGCCGCCCGGATGTTTACAGACCGATCAGGCGTCTCGGTGCGGTAAAGTGCAGGCCTGGTCTTTGTGGCTTTTGCATTGTCTTTTTTTCCCTCCTCCCCGGACTTCCTTTTATCCTGTATTTTAATGATTTGCTCGAAAAAACTCCTGTCCGTTGGGACTTCTGCTGTGGCGTCCGGAAGGGTTATCATGGCCGAAGCATTCTCCTTTTCGTCTGGTCATACATAGTTGAAATCACAAACCTTTGTCTATGCCTTTGCTACGTAGAAATAGTAGGGCTTTTAGTTGCTCGCGTAACATGCTGTTGGCCTTTTTGCCTAAGCAAGCCATATAGATATACATTCAGTTAGTCTAGATTGCGTACACCAGAAGCTGGAAGATCACTCATGCGTATAGAGAAGATAATATATGCGATTTATCACTACTAAAGTGAAAGAGATTGGATTCGAGTACATCATACCAATCTCCTGAGAACATTCCGGCTCCTGCACCGGCCAATACACGGCCGAAACAAAATGTAATGGACAATTTCATTGACTTGCAAGGTTCCATGGGCTCATGGAGGCTAGTTCTTGTCTGGCGAAAGTGATACTTTCTCACACCCCACATGCATAGTAATGTGTAGGATTCGGTCCATCTCGGGCGTTCCCTCCTCAAGCTTGTCACGACTCAATGCTATATGCTTCTATAGACACAGGACTTTGTCCGCCAGGTCGGTATTTCCTGTCTAGGCTGCCGCCACTTTAATTAAGGGCGATCAGGCTCAGCCTCGCTGGGTAAATATCAGCACGGGCTCATGCTCAGTGATCTCGTCTCGGCGTGCATGTACCTGAAACAGGGTAAACAAAAGTCACCCACGACACCGTGGCACTCCCCTACACGGTGTGTCGAATATAAGCCTTGAGCATCCACTTCTTCTTGCGTCAAAATCTGCCATGATGTATGACTCGTTGATGAAACGAGTACTCGAATTCCAGAGGGAGATGGAAGCTGAGAAAGCTAAACCGTCGACCGAGTGTTTTTGTTACATCTGTGGCGGCGCTTCGACCTGGCAAAGAATTGTGAAAGCATCAATCTTTCAGTCAGAGGGCGATCAGTTAGAAAATGTGGTCGATTCACTTTTTGAGGATCGTTGTGATTGCCCTCGTGGAAGATTCCGGGTCTCGGTATGTACCGAGTCGACCTAGGTAAACCTGCCTTTTAACGTTTTATGTATTTCAAGGACCTTTCTCAGGATGACGAGTGTCATGATGATACATGTGAATCGCGAAAAGGGTACGATCAAAGATTGATCCGCCTCCAGGACACCAAAGTTAGTCTATTGTTGTGGGTACCGGAGTTCCTGTTGACGCGAAGGCCTAACAAATGCATGGTTGCTGCTGAGAAGTGGCTTGAAAAGGTTCGAATGCTCTCCCACTATGGGGAGAGTACGCCTGATGCGAACGCGGAAGACTTGCAGAGCGACACACTGCTCACTCCAATTGTGAATCCGTTTACTCCAGCCATAGCTCACGAGCCAAAACGCTCAATCAAGCTGACCTCTTGTGCTATGCCTAGGGACGGGTTCACCATGATAGGGAAGACGGGCCTTGGAAGTTTCATGCCTCTCTGGGTTGCGACTTTGTAAAATCACAAGGATATTTAGTTCATGATGCCTGCTTGCAAGTTCTGAAAAGTGTCCACGAGGCCGTGGTGGGGAAGGCCAGGCCATTGGATATGAGTGAAGTCTTGCTTGTTTTCGAAGTCAAGTGGTAAATAACGTGACTCAAAAGAATACGACTGGGATTTTGGCAATGCATTCGACGGTCCATCTCGCCCGCATCACCGATTGGACAAACAGTACTGGAATTCTGTCAAGAATACAGAGGTATGTTGCAACAGATTTATGTGTTATTCTCGTCTTAGAGATGCTAAAGTCGGTTATAGTGGACGGTAGTGAATCCTCAACGAAAATTTGACATACGGCGATTGGTCATTGCCGCATTGGAGACCTCAAAAGAAGGCCTGTCATTCAATATCAAGTGCGACAAGGGAGTGAGCTCAGGTCTCAACGCAAGGGTCTACTCTGATGCCCTTTCGGCAATTCCAACCGAAGTACGCTTGCTTATCCTGGAGGTGCTTCTCACTAAATCAGTGCTCAATGTGCTCCTGGCAAGTTCGGCATTCAGAGAGCTCTCGATGAACTTGCCTCAAAGTTTTTGGCGATCTCGCATGCTTTCTGATGTCCCTTGGTGTGGAGGTGAAGCCTTAGCAGAAATCTTGCGACAGGAAATCAATGCCTATCCCTTCGATAAACTTCTCCGTCTAATCCGAGAAACCTCGGCGCCAGGCGGTGGGAAGCCTGACGATGATGACAGCCTCGTCGACTTTGTGAAAGACTCGATGACGCTTAGGAACAAACGCCGGATATGGATCAACAGTGAACAGATCATTCGTGATATTGAGGCCCGACATACAGCAGTTCGACCAGTGAACGGCATCGTCTCTACTCAAATTCGCAAGTTAAGTTCTCGCTGCACAGTCTTCGTCACAAGAGACTTAGGCGAGGTGCCCCGAGCTGCGTCGACCGTCTACTTCGTTCGAGATCTTCTCAACAGGAGCCACCTGAATAAGATCATCGCCTACTTCGGAGCTGATAGTCGGCTCGTCGGTGTCGAATTTCAGCTTCTGGACGAGATTTCCGCACAATTGTTTGGAAATCGAAGTGAAACAACAAGCCAGATTACTTTGGACTCGCCAACGGTGATCCTTGGTGTGTGTTTATCTTTTGGTAGCCCAGTACTTAATGAGAAGGAGCGGGGAATCCGTGGTATCAGGCTTATCATTCAAGATAGCTCATCGAAGCCCGATTTTTTTTCTGGGAACCCTCGACGACGGTGATATAGTGCAGATTTTGCGAGTCGATCCTGGACAAGAGGTCGTTGGTATCGCGGGAGAGTTTAGCGTGAGTAACATATCTCCGAAACGAGACTCTCACGGTACAAAGCTCTGATTGATTCTGTTTTCAAGGATCAAACCATCACCACATTTTCAATAATCATAGCAGATCAATACCTTCGCCCTATCCATTCCCATGGACCGCTAAGTATCAATTCTTCGCAACACACCCAGTGGATTGGACGCCATCCACCGCTCGACTGGCCACGGGGAAAGTACCATCTTGAGCATCGCCGGAACGGAGCTCACAATAATTTCCCGCCTCTCCGTAACCCTTTCCCTCGTGTTTTGGAGTCTCCGGCGTACTTCGTGAATCTCTTCGGTCGGCAGCTCTTCCAAATGCAGGCCCACGGCGATTTCGCGAATATTGAAGCATATGGGCGAACCATAAAGGGCCTTGTTTTCAATTTCATTGATGGCTCAACAGAACGCGTCGGTGAAAAGTCTGGTTCCCAAGAGCTCGCCACGTCCGCAACTCATACTACTCAGTTTGAAGTCGGCCAGCGCGAGGAGATTGTTGATATGGTCCTCTTTGCTGCCTATCAGGCGCCCCTGTATGGTTTTAGAGGCAAGCTGTGTGGAATAGAGGTAAGGCGCTTTCTAGGTGTTGCGGGAATAAGCCTTAATACCAACACGTTTCCTCCATTAGTTCAAAACAAGCTTGGGTCGGGTCCTTTCACAAGGCTGTGTAGAGACTAGCGAGTGTGTCCATCGAGAAAGTTTTCCACCAATTTACAGCGACGTTCCTGAATTCGGAGGGATCTGTGGTATACAGGTAGCTTTGAGATCCGGAGCTGTTGAGACCGTTGCATTAGCACTTTCCTAGGCCTGACAAAGCTTTCTTGCATACACACTGAACGTTTGCTCTCTACACTGAAAGCTAGTCCAACATTAACGTGGCACGGTGACAAATCAAGTACGTTGTCTTGTTCGCAATTGCAACGGTATATACTTTCAGAGAAATTCTCTTGATTGTGATAATTAATGGCGGAGATGATTCATCATGATAAGTATCCAGCTTTAGCTATACATGTAGACCTTTCTGTGACCAGCATTCCAACCTGGAATATCAATCTTCTGTCCGAATGTGCTCTTGAGGGATTTAAAGAGTCAATCTGCACATGGGTTAGTGTACCCCTTTTTAAGTTAATGCAAGACCGACACACCTTTCCAATTGCGTAATCAAATCTCCGGACTGAGAGCAATGGCCAGCTTTACATCCCTCGCAGAGATGACGATTGTGTGGGCGTCCGCTTCCATTGGAGAGTATTGGTCTCACCACTGGAATATCGTTCCACTGCTTTATCCAATAAGACACTCTTTCCGCATATGACTGGTCCAAAGTTGGTCGAGCGAGTTTATTGCAAGATTTGCAGCGTTGGTGGTATACTCTCGCATTGTACATTTGTCCTGAATAAAGGCGAATGGTGATGGCAATCATCTTACTTGACCAACCGTTCGCTTTGCACGTTGAATTTCGGCATGCAAATCGACCCATGATGTTGGTATCCCGCATTTTGAGGCATTCAATTTCGTCATCAGCTTGGTGAAAGTTGAAGTGAAGGCCATCCCCAGTCAGAAGAATTGATACCTCATCATGAAGAGCTTGATACATTGACCAAGGAGCGGCGCGCTTTCTTTTGCTATTGAGAACCATCTTCTTGCTTGACATAAAGACTCAATAACGAAAAGCAATTTACTTTGGACGTTCACGGGCCCAGTAGATTAAGCCTTGTTTGAAACCATCAGAAATAAGAGAAAGATAAGAAGGCGTCGAGGGGCATATTTATAGCAATCGTTTGAAGAAAGCAAAGAAAACTCCAAAATGGAAATAAATAGGTTTGGGTTCTATTTTCTTCGGTATATTACAAGACTGCTAGAAAAACACGGATTAAAACATAAAATTTGCATGATGCACTATTTTTACCAAAGCTCATTTGAGGACTTTGGAAAGCCTTCGGTCACCATATACAGGAGTATGTCAGAGGATAGATGTATTTTTACAACTGCCGGTCTGCGTGAAATTTGTCCAAGCTGTATTTTTTGAAGCCAGCGTCCATGTCTTTGACTCCTCTAGTGGTACAACTAGGACGCCATTGTTTCCTTTATCTAAAGAAGCCAATGTCCACAGCCCGGTGGCACTGACTACCCCGAGCTATCTATGTGAATAGCCTCCTGTTGTCTCTCTCTGCTTAGGAAGGTTAGGTGATGTATTAGGAAGGTTGGGTGATGTATTAGGAAGGTTAGGTGATGTATTAGGAAGGTTAGGTGATGTATTAGGAAGGTTAGGTGATGTATTAGGAAGGTTAGGTGATGTATTAGGAAGGTTAGGTGATGTATTAGGAAGGTTAGGTGATGTATTAGGAAGGTTAGGTGATGTACAGAGGGCAGATTTAGCAATGCATTGGATGGGGAATAGAGCCCCATAGAAGGAGAGTGAGTGCGTAAGATTACTTCCTGTGAAAATCCCGATCCAGCGTGCTCCATTGTATTTAATATCAACCCGGGTGCAAGCACAGGGCTCTATCGGGGCTACATAGCATATTTCATACCTCTCGTGCGGGGTATTCTGTGGATTTGCTAATAGATCCCTGCCACCTGACTCGCGCGTGCAGTAGCCAGCATTAGATACTGGAGTGACTAACCAAATCATCGCCAGCGATATTGTTTTGCTCTCTACAAGTAGAACCACGTATCAGCAGGCGTGCAGAGACACCATCTTGCGCCATTCATATGCGCATCGAAACCATAGACGCGTAACGCCTCTAGTCCCATTCTACGGTAGGATGTCTCCTCCCCACAGTTTATTACGACCGTAAAACAGCGCTCACCCTCTTCTCACTATACATGCGCCATGCATCCCAACCCTATGCTAGGGAATGAACCAGTTGATGGTGATCACCTCCTTACTCGCGCAACCTAGCGGGTGTTGTTGCGACAAACTGCATACCCGCCAGGATGAGTACATACTGCTATCCATCTATTTTCGAACACCAGTTGCTCACTACGATTGGTAAACTTAGGGTCTTTAGTCCAAATATCGAGGAGGAATATCTTCACTGCGATCGGTCGCAATCAAAGAGCATATGTCGCTAGTATCTGATGCCACGTAGAAGTGAGCGCTGCAAGTTATCAGAATGGCGCATTGCAGATACCTTAGCGCAATACATAGCTGACTGGGTTACCCTACCCAATGGTTACGCGCTGTGAAGTGGTTGGTGTGACGGAGACGGTCTCGCGGAGGCGTAGGACTGATCGTGGCCTACTGCCCACCCTGAACAGTTCCTTCAAACATGATTACGTGTATCCCTCGGCACAGATGGTAGGAATGGTGTGCGAAGGGGAGGGGGGGGGGTGGATCGGTACGAGGCTGTAGTTCCTACGAGTCGCGGATAGTTCTGCACCGACGTTATCGCAAGGGACGCCTTACGATTTGCGATAACAAGCAGCAGAGCCCAATGAGAATCGGCTTCTTTCTTTTTTCTACAACTTCGACTGGTCCGACTTTTGATATTCGCCTGTGTGTCTCCCTCCTTTCCATGAGCAGCTCAAATAAGTCTCGCGCCCAGCATTCTTGCTTAGGTTGCTCTCATAGCTGATCATTCGCTGTCAATATCTTATCGTATTCCATTGCGCATTCTTTCCTACGCTATACTCACCATTTGTCTCGCAAGATGACCGGATCATTTGACACTGCTGCTATCAATTGTGCAGAGAATGTCGCTCTCAATCATCTACTCCATGAAGTCCCTGAATCACCCCAGCACTGTCCTATTGAACCATCTCGCGTACGCAAAAAGGGCTATTTGCTTCCATTTACAGAAGAAAGAGACCTAGTGGATATTCTCTCCTTTCTTGCAAAAACAAAAGAGGGTCCAGAATATATCCCCGCAATGTGTATTGAGCAAGCTCCCAATGGTAGAGCACTAAAAGCCCTCTTGGCGATCAATAAGAGGACCTTTACTGATGGAAATGGTTTGCTTCAAACACTAAAAACGAGATTCGAGAATGTTTTTGATGTTCTGAGAAGATCGCTCTATGGTTCGTTCTGCTCCTCTATTCGTGGTATCTGCTAATTCGTACTTGGTTAGAGAGAGGGAGCTCTACGGAGATCACGAAACAACTCTTAGAGATGATCATACAGATGTGTTCCTCTCGGATCACTTCTCGATTACGCCTTACTGGGAAGAAAAAGAGAGACTCTAAAGTCTCCATAAAAGAAATCCTGGTCAAGGCGATGGAGGGCACTCAGCAAATAGATTCGCACGAACTCCGCCAGTCTTCCCTAGAAACCAGCTTACTGTTATTCCACGAAGAGTCCAAAAGGGTTATACAATCCGTCAACGAGTGGTCTAACCATCGCGTCCCAGCACGTCTAAATAGCATCGTGGAGCAGGTTTACCGACTAAACAACGTGCAAGGCTTACAGCGACTCCTTCAGTTGATTCCTTTTGGCCCCAAAAAGATAATCAACGAGTCAGATTTCGCAAATAGTCTACTTAATATTATTCAGAAAATATCTAGATACAAAGAAGCCGCCATGGTGCTTCATCGCACTGCGAAGAAGTTCCCTTTCGTCCGAAACATCGAGGTTCAACCAGTGATACTCCCTGCAGAGGCATTCGATAGCATTGACAACCCCGCATACTCGCCCAGTCTCCAAGCCGTCTTGAGCCGTTTAGGAAAAGTAAATGGCAAGAAATACACTATTTCAGAGGTCTCCCGATTGATAAATAAGTCTAAGATTGAGAGCCTGGGCAACAAATTCCGCCAAAAAACGTCTAGTATCCTCCAGGAAGCCAAGATCCATGCAGAGGTCCAGATCATAGCCCACTGCGAAACCAACGCAGGCCCATTGTTCCCACGGGTCATTGGGTCCAGCAAGGATGCCTGCTTTCTATGTCATGCATTAATCCAGACCCATGGCAAGATGCACACATCACGCACGCATGGGAAATTATACCCCAATTGGCGACTACCAAAAGCTTCGTCGTTCAAGGTCCTGGAGCATCGATTCAATGACTTCCTACTGAATTATGCCCGAGAGACCATTAAGGCTCGGGAGAAAGGCCAACCTACGAGACTCCATCCTTGCCCGAATGAAAGCACTTTACTTCCCATGTTAGTCTCTATGTCTACAATAAGTGCTATGCAGCATTCTATCGCTAGTACCACAGAAAAAACAGCCTTGGTTCCTGAAATCCGTCCAGAACTCGAGATTACGAAATCCATGCTTTCAAATACATTTTCAACAAACAGACACGGTCCTTCCATGATTAGCAAGTTATCTCACACTCATTCTCTTGTTTCCAGTGACGCATACACTGGAAATATCAACGTATTGAGTTCTCCTACGCGCTTTTGCGTTGACCGCCTACATATATATGTTGAAGCAGAGGAGAGTTCAGCGTCTGGATACACGCCCCCGTTTCCTAAGTACTCCATTGAACAAATCACTATCGACCAGGAACCCAGGCTATCTAACGAATCTCTTGTGGTGGACGTGTTTGGACTGCTGGGGGAGATGACATATCCACTTCCAGTAGATAGGACGATCCATCTCACAGGAAACGATACCATAGTGAAAATTGTTTTCAAGCAATAAACCTCTTCAGCATTTGGCGCATACTGCTACAAAATCCCCCTCCAGTAATGGGGCTCTGTCTCCGATGGATAATGCAAGTTGATGAAACTAAATGACGAATCACTTCGCACAGCTAATGATCTGGCTGCCTGTGTATATCAATCATATCGAGCTCTGGTGAATTCCGAGTCTGGTTTTGCCTCATCCGTGCGTACTGGCGAATTAGTTCCAAAGGCTCAGCGTGTGTTCTTCCCTCAACCACTCGGCCTTTATGTAATACTTGGATAGAGTCTGCTGCTGTAATTGTGCTAAGCCGATGGGTAATCACCAGTATAGTGCGGCTTTAACAAAGAGCCTTCAAAGATCTCTGAATACACGTTTCGGAATTAGTGTCGAGAGCGGACGTTGCTTGATCCAACAGGATGATACGGGTATCTTTGAGAATTGCGTAAGTAGTAGATTCCGGCTTCCTAGTCCCGAAACCGAAGCAGCGCTAGCTCAGACACCTGGCCATCCGAAGTGACACCGTCCTCTTTGCAGCAACCATGGCCAAGGGGCCCCAATCCAAAGAGACCAATTTGTGATGAAAACGGAATCGAATGAGGGAGGACTTGAGGATGAAGGATTGTATTCATGTTGGATATCCACGGCCATGACGCCTATCTGATAGATACAAGGAGAAAAACGAAAAGTTGTGGGTAATAAAAGAAAGTAGATACAAAGTACTTGCTCTTGATCATCGATCAAAGAGAGACAAGTTAGAAAAAATTCACCGAGAACGGTTCCATTAGTGCCATTTTAAAAAGTCCCCGGGAATCGCTTCTTCTTCTTTTTCTTCAACTTCTTCTGACTCGGCTGAGGGCTCACTATGACCTCTGACATTTCTTGGATATTGCCCATTGATGCGTGGGTCCTTTTACCCAAAGACGAGATATCAGAGCTGCCGCTCGCCTTGGGCGCTGACCCGGCCCGGTTACTCTGCGAAGCGAGCGGTTCCGGGCTAGATTTTGAGAATGGACTCTGAGTGAGATCGATGATTTCAGAGGTTTGTGAGAAACTCGGATGTGAAGCTGAGGTGGGAGCGTGACGCTTGGAGCGGGTCGAGGCCGCGGGCGAGTCGTCGTACTGGAATAGAGAGTCTGCGTTGAGGTTTGGCGAAGAGTGCGGTTCTAGTTGTGCGCTCGTTGGGGGTTTGGGAGACGGTTGTGGGGAGAGATGGCGGCTTTGGTTGCTATGGATCACGCTGTCGTGGTCTTCTGGGTCATAGAGATCATCGTCCACTTCGTCTTTTTCTTGATCTGTGTTGTCTGCGTCTAGCCAGACACTTTCTGAGAGGTTTAGAAAGCCGCCTCCCAGGGAAGACCTCGGTTTTGCCGACTCTTTCTCTTGTGTGTTTTTAGGACTGGCTGAGACCGCGCTGCGAACAGGTGATGACTTTGTCGAGGCGCGTTCGGTTGGATTGTGAACCACGGATAGAAGCGAATCATTGCCTCCAGAGACAAGTGTATCATCCACGACCTGACGATCTTGCAGGGTGGTACTGTCTTGTTGGAAATCGGAAAATGACTGGTTGGCAGACAAAAATGACATTGTCGACATCTCTTGATGTGACTGGTCCACTACCAGCATCGACTGATCATCGATGAGGGTGTGGCCATCCAGATTAGAGTCTCCGCTTTCATGGAAGCGAGGCCCTAGCCTCGCTCCCGGAGAAGACCGCGCAGAATGAAATCCAGAGAAAGACGGCGAAGGAACGGCAGGAGTGTCGCTATGCTCATCATCCGCATCTCCGCTCCGTGTGATCAGAATTCGCGTACCACCGGGAGTCCGAGTAGATAGGATTTCAGAAGCTCTTGCAGGAGACTCATTCGGTGACTGTGGACGACTGGCAGCAGTGACAAGGGTGACGAAGGTAGTTTCATCTAGATCCATGTCGATAGGTGGAGGTGGCGAACTCGGCGGGGGGTTCGGCATAGAGTCCTCGACTACAGAGACACTTTGACGAGGTAAGCGCATGCAACAACAAATCAGAGTCAGTCCACTGACGTGCTACCTTCTCGGGCGTTGTTCTTGTTCTTGTCCTTTGTATCGTTCTCGTCCGCCGCGTCGTGGCTAACCCCGGGTGCAGGCAGAAGCAGCTTGGGATCACTGAGTTCCGTAAATGCGACCTCGCGGTAGCCGTCGTCGTCTTCATCGTCGTCCATGCCGGGCATCTCGAAACCGCTATACTCACGAGGTTCGTCATCGTCGGGGTTAATTTCATCTGCCTTGGGTCGTCGGTCACGCACGGCAAGACGAACATTGAGATTGCCATTGTCGAGAACTTGATGGACCTCGGCAACGCGATACTCCGACATTTGAGGCTGCCAATTTGTCGCTTTGGACATGTCCAGCTGGCGGAAAGCGATGATTGCTCCGACTTTTGCGTCACGTTCAAGTAGATCCGCAACAGAGCTGGGGTCACTCGACATAGGAGGAAGATCGTCGTATGCAGTAGCTTCAGCGTTCTCCTGATGACTTTCCATATTCGTGGCATCATCCTCGGCTGTCGGCCATTCGTTATCGTAATTGAGCTGCATGTTGTCTTCGTAGGCATCGTAGCCATAGCCATTGCCATCCTCATACTCGCCGTCTTCCTCTCCATTGTAGACCTGGATTCTCTGCTTGCGCTTCCGCTTCTTGCCCCAGCCCTTGCGCTGCCGGATGAGCGCGTCTGCATCCTCGTCCCAACGCTGCTCAAAAGGAAATGGCGGGGCACTCAGCTCGATATCATCATATATACACTCGGTAGCTTTGATGACTAGCTTATTTTGCCAGTCATGGTCCTCGTCGCTCTCTTCTTCTATTTCTTCGGCTGGCGTCGGTTCTACCGCTTTCCGAGAATGGGCTGCACCGGCCTTGGCAGCTAGCTTTCTCCGTGTAGCTTCTTCATCCTCTTTGGTCCGTGGCGTGCGGACTCCCAGAGATCCGAACAACAGTCGCCTTGAGCTCGCAATATCGAGAGTGCGCCGAGTGGACAGCTCTGTCTCGGCCCCTTGTTTCGTAACACTCTCTTTAGAGGTCTCTAGTTCCACAACAGCAGGCTGCGAAGGAGGCATGTTTTCCTTCTCAGAGGTCTCGTCAATGTCAACACCGCCACTAGCCAGAGCCCGGAGCAGCTTCTCTCGTTTAACTTGGAACTCGCGCTGTTCCTCCTCCTTCTTTTGTGCCTTGGTAGTCGCAGAAGACATTATGCTTGTCTCGTCAGGTACATGCCAACCTCCATTCTGCTCTTCCCATATGCGAAGGGCGGCAAAATCGGCTTCATCAGGCAGAATCCCTAGCTCTTTCAACTTGGACAATCTGCGCCGGAGCTTGAAGCGCTGGTTGCTTTTCTTTGTCCTGGTAGATCCTTCGCCGGGAGGGTTGACAATAACGGGCTGAATTGTCTTCGGAAGAGGCAGATCGACTTCCTCGTCTTCAGACTCGGACGTATCCTCCTCCGAGCTTGAGCTCGAGCTCGAGTCATCCGAGTCAGAAGATGTAGAAGTAGACGCGTCCTCCTCTGACGAGTCCTCATCATCATCTTCGTCCTCATCCTCATCCTCAGATTCCGAGCTCGAATCGCTGGTCACCGACGAAGGCAATGATTCCCGCAGAAAGTCAGAGTCAGGAAGTCCGGGAATGTCCTCTTTGTTCTGTTCGCTCTTATTGAATCTCACAGCCTTTGATGCCCTGGGCGAAGAGTCCTCTCCGCGAGAGCGTTTACTAGACAAGGAAGATGCCCCCACCACAGAGCTTCGGCCTTGAGTATCCGACGACGACGGTCGTTTAGCCACAGAACTGGCGCGAAGTGTTGGTCCCGTAGATAATGGAACCTGAGAACGAATATCAATGAATTGAGATTCCGGCGGCTGTTCAAAATCCTCTTTGAGGGCCTTGAGCTCATTTTCAAGTTCATCCGCTTCAGCCTCAGAATCAGCGGCTTCATCCTCGGACCCGTCAGATTCTGACTCTGCCTCGTCGTTTGTGTCACCGGAGTAATTAACAGGGTGTCTGATCACGGTTCCCATGTCCGATAGCTCATGCTCCGGGGGCAAAATTGAAAGCTCTTTTCCAAAAGCTGCGTTGTTTGGGGGCAACCATTCTCCATCGCCCGCTTCCTCGGCTTGTGCGCCGACATTCGCATCTTCATACCCAAACGTTGGGCCCTGGTCCCAGCCGGAGAAGACAGTCCGGCGTTTCTTTCGGGGCGGAATGGTGATCGCTGGTCGATTAGAGGTGGTTCTTTTGTAAAACGGCATTCCAAAGGGCACACCATCTATGAGATGCTTTCCATCACCAGTAATTTGGTGACGACCGCACAACCGTCGAGCACGAAGGTCAGCCAGCTGGAGCGCTCGAATACTGCAACGCGCGCAAATGTCAGCAATCCACACGCAAACTATCACCAACAAGGCAAAGATCTTACACAACTTCATCTCCATCCCTCAGCAACCCATCCACCTCCATAAAATGCAAACATTCAGACCCGCCGACCTCAACCACATAGTCCTCAAGGCCCCACTGCCCACTGAACTCCGGGTCGAATATGGTAGGCTCAGTTTCCAGTGGAACAACCTCATTCACATCCTCCAGCAACTGCGCTACCGTATATCCCCCATTGGCAAAGGCAATATTCGGTGTCCTCGATGAGGCAACCATGGACGCCGTGGCCTGGCGGTGAGTGCCATATTCGGGCAACGCAGAAGATGAGGATGTCGTCGTCCACAGAATACGCGTGACCGGGAGGCCATGGCGCGAGATAACAAGGTGGAGGCGCATGGTGCAGCTAGTTTAAGAGCTAGACCATTGAGACGAGGGAACGGAGAGGTATGATCGGGGGCGTTGCGGCTTTATGTGAATGCGCGTGTTGGCCTTAGGCTTCACTTGAGAGCCGGATTGGTATTATTGTGTGGGTTTAGACTGCCGGTACTGGAAATTCGATCGCGAAAGATTTAAACGGTGGAAATTGGTCGAGACCCGGCCAGACGGGCTTGAGGGAAAGAATCGGGGCCTGAGGAAATCGAGCAGCTCCAGGAAGCTCCCGCGGAGGTCCGCTAACCTCATTAGGACTAGTGCCTCAGGTTGCGCGACGAGGGTAAATATCATTTCAAGAGTATGTGATTTTGTTTGAAAATACGTGTACGTTTACATTTCAATTTGAAAACCTAAGGCATCCTCTTGCTACTATGAATTATAGGGTGTAGATCTCCGGCCCTTTGATATCAAGTAAAAGGTGGGACGGTGCGTTGAGCATAGTTTACCCCGGTCAGAATCCAGTCTCTAAGCCTCTCTCTAGGGCGACACGCCAAAATGGAGATCGCTGCTTATTGCAAATTTTCAACGTCGGTACTTACTTTAGCTGCGATTACAACAGCATCCTCAAACCCAGCCATCTCTACATAATAGTTAAGTATTGATGTCTCGATTTCAGCAATTCGCTCCCAGGCTTTAGCCATACCTATACATCTCCGAGTGAGACTCGATCTCAGCGACATAAATTGTACTTCACGTTCAAGTCAAAGGGATCAACGTAGTGTTCTTCAACGACGCGATGTTTCTTAGCATTGGCGATGGCAACTAATGTCCTTTGTTTAACGACGAGAAAGATATTTAATCGGAGGAAGTAATCTTTTGTACTTCAGACGTCTTCTCTGCACCCCTTTCTCTAATCCAGAGGTATATACTTTGGCGAGGAGCATAGCCACAGGGAACGTAATTACCATTAGTAGGAGAGTACATTTCTAAAAACCTTTCCTCCAGTATCTTGATTCAGACAGTTGAATTGCCACTAAATTATGTTAAAAAAAGACCAGTTATCCCTGCCAATGCAGCAAATATCTCCAGTAAACAACCAAAAAGTAAAGTCTCTAAGAATGATCACGATAATGGGTATCAAGTAATGCAGTTGGTGGTAATGGTGTGAGTGACAAGGGTAGTGAGTATGATGAAAGTGGTGATGGGTAAGACTATCAAACATTCAGAGACACAAATGTATCTATCAATGTGGCCTGTTTGAGCCCTGCGGTACAGGTTTCCGGGTTGGCACACCCAAATTCATAGGCCGCAAGTTATTCCGTGAAGGCCGACGCTCAACTGCATTCGGAGGCTGCAGCTGCGTCTCCGTGGCAGGCTGGTACTGTGGGGGACTTTCTTCGCTCGCCTGGTTTCGAGGAACCTTCATCATGCTCTGAGAACGTCTGACGGGCGACGCAGGCGGAGATCCAGAGTGCGACTCGGGCGGGGTGGTGGGTAGCATGTCAAAGGACTCGGAAGAAGAACGGCCCTCACGGCTAGGAGGAGCCCAAGAACCTTCGGCTGCGGGGCCGTCGTCACGGGTATTTCCAGTTCGGACTGGGGATTTGGCATCAGTTCCAGATTCCACTGTTCTTCGGGAAGAAGAGGCGGCTGGTGGGTGATACTCGCGGCGTGGTCCATCTACCGGGCTTAGATTTTCTGCCATTGCGTCCTCGTAGCTGGGTGGTGCGTCGTCGTAGACTGCGCCTGCGTCTGCTGGCACGGGGCCTGTGCTGGGTCGTGGTGGCATTGGAGGTCGGCTGATTTCGTCGGATGTGGACCAGGAAGGTTTTGATGTGGGTTTGGAAGGTGATAGTTGTGGTGCGGCAGCTGCCATGGCATCTAGGAGGGCCTGAGGGGGTGCTATTCCAGAGTAGACCTTGACTGGCATTCTCAAAGGGAGCACGATAAGTTGGGGCTGTAAAATTAAAAGGTCAGTCCCGGGCTTCAGATTAGGAGAGGTCTGATGATCGCAGCCTACCTTCATGTTTCCGTAAGTGCCATGAGTCAACCCAACCCGTACTTCCAACTCGTAGCTTCTCTCGATATTACATGTCTCGAAGGATGGTGCAACCGAATTAGGGAGTGGTAGAGCACTCCACAACTTCGGGTCAATAGTCCATTCGGTGCCAGCACCATCTCCTGGTTGTCCCAGGGCAAGACCCATATTACTGCGACTCATGACAACCCACGAGCCGCTTTCCTGCCGTGTCAAGTCATGTGCAAGAATCTTAGTATATGAGATGAGTTCAATCTGCAGCATTTGCAAGAAAATGGTCTCGGGGGAATCTGACAGCTTTTTAGCCATCAGACGAAGCGGAACCGGTTCGTTGCACGTCAGAATCGAGGGATTGGGAAGTCGAGCGTCGACCGAGACTCGAGGAGGCTCTGTCTCCATTTCGCGGAACGGATTGGTACTTCGGTTGAAGATACTGTTCTTCTTCCTCGGCGCATTCGGTACTTTGGAGAACTGGTGCTGTCTCCGGGCATATGTCTCTTCGTTGGGACTTCCGATTCTTGGTGGCTCAATTGGGAGAAACTTCAGAGGTACGATCTAGTATACCAGTTAGTCGAGCTGACCCATGTGGATATGAAAGGATCTTCTCATTTCGTCCCGTTATGAACTTACAGAGCGAATATTCTCTTTATAAAACTGGGGTCTGATGACAGTGGCCTTGATGAAATACTCGATTTCAGCCATGCCGGGAAACCCACTCAAGGATGGAGGCAGGGTCTTTTTAACATGTCGGGTTGTATCACGGGCCATCTCCATCTTCAGCCCTGTGGTGACGAGGTTGGTTCGCATGCTGTTTGTCGCAGTGCAGGAATTGTTGAAAGGGAACTAATCAAAAGTCAGTGAATGTCTTAAAGATACATATGCACTTATATACCCAAGATAGCTGACCTTGAAGTTAAATGGGTATTCATAGGATCCGGGCGCAAAAGTATACGAGGTTGCTGGTGATCCTGCCTGCATGACAGCCGGCGTAGGAAAGACGGTGGCAACCTTGTACAGAATCTGTATCGCAGTCAGCAAAAACTGCTCAAACCGTATCCTCTCCCAAAGCTGTAGTAGCGCTAAAGCTAACAGCTCCATGGATGTCTCTCACCTTGTGGACCTCTAGCTCCGTCCGTTTCTTATCCGAATTGACATGGTGTGGATGGCGAAGGCCGGACAGCCGGGTACGGCTCACACCCTCCAGCTTAACCTGAATACCTCCAATTGCAGCTTCCGTCGGAAGGTGCAGCACGACCTTTCCCGATAGAAAGTCAAGATTGGTATAATGCGTGTGTCGACTGTCCAGGAAGATTGTTGCGGACATGGCGGCGAGGGCCCGGAGCCCCGGAGTTTCGGTCTCGGGCTCGGTCTCGGCCCAATTTCTGCTGTCGATCTTTGAGAGAGGATTGATCGGTTCGGAAGGCGTGGATCGGGGGATGCGACGAGGATCGAACTTCGTATTTGACGTGAGGAGTGGAGCAGGGAGATTTATTGAATTGTAGTGGGATGTCAAAGGAGGGGAGGAAGGGTTAAAAAGCGAGTGGGAACCGATAATGACGTTGGAGGGTGGGTTCCGGATCAACTGATTCCACCCGCTACTCTTGTAAGGGTACCCAGCAAGGCTGGCTTTATGCCTAGAAGGCCCGGAACTTTGGAACTTTCGATAGCTCCAGTGCCGGAGCTGCGCCCCATCAAAAAGCCACTCCGCCACCTCGGTCTCCGTGGCTCGTTTGCGGAGATACCAAAGGTTCCTATACGTTTGGGATTGTCAAGATGATTATTCAAGGTAGCCTAGCATGTCTGAAATACAGGGTCCAATGCAGTCCAATGAAATCAAAAATAGGCTCGCTGATAGGACTGCGACACGCTGTTTAGGAAAATTCTAGATCCTATACAACGCAGGCCGGAGCTCCAGGCACCAGAGTTTCCGCCCAGTCAAATATCCTGCTGGTACAACATCTCAGCGGCGATGAGGAATTGCGCCTCTCTTGACATAATAAGAATAGATAATCGTGCAGTCAGTCCCATGCGACCTAATTTTACTCAAAAATATCGTTGCCGTCATGCTGTGAGATGTGCCTTGAACATATACACTATTCCGGAGCGTGATTCGCGGACCCCAATTATGTATATCCGGCCATGGGTAGTATCAGTATTCCAAACTAGAAACAGTCCGCTTAGCCGAACGGGCTACGATCGGTATGAATAGGCTAGGGTGATTCGAATAGAATGACAATAGAATTTCAATAAGCATGTTCATGGTAATACACAATTGTACAAAAATAAGAATGAAGGGTATCAATGATCTACGCCTGTGTCGCCTCCATGGCTGCTGCAGAAAACCACCACCCCTAAAGCCCCTCATTCGCCAACATATCTACTCAGAAAACACAAAATTAGTAAACGGTCCCTCAAGGCAGTGGGAAAGCCAAACGTTTTCATACCTGCGATGTCCAAGTAGAATGCAATGGCATTGAACTTTCGCGGCTTGCCCGTCACCTCCGCAGCCAGCCACTTCAGCCGGTTCGTCCAGTTGATCAAATCAAGATGGCTGACGCCTACCAGCGTCCCCTTGTACCCTGCTTCGCCACCCCAAAGACTACTGGCCACGCTGACGAGGCCATCATTGGGACCTTCTGCTTCAGCTAGGATCCGGTGCGAGAGTCGAAACACGGACCATAGACTGGGCTGGTCGCATGCGCCGTAGGAGAAGTACCTGACCGTGGATTAATTATCAATGAAAAATAATGCACAGAATCAAGTGCTGGAGAGCTCACCGAACGCCATCTATGTCTGGCGTGTTTGGGTTGAATGTTTCGGACATGTACTTTCGAGTTAGCTGTGCAAAGGCGCCGGTCTCGATGTTGAGTTTGTTCAGGGTATAGTATATTTGAGGTAGAAGCTCAGCTAGTAGATGGTGAGTTGCAAGTCTCCTTTAGTTTAGAAATGTTGCGCCGACAAACCTCCGATTTGATCAAAACAGAAATCGGCAACGGCAGACCCTGTTGCGGGAAACATCAGCTTCTAGGTAAATCGGTTCTAATCGCTGCATCGGCATACCTCGATGGGGTGTTGCAATGGTAGTGAGGGACAACACCTTGAATTTCTGTGGCCGGAGACGACTAATCATGTATCGAGAGTCGAGCCCCCTTTGCGACCTGAGATTAGATCTTGAATCAAAAATGGTGTCGCAAATTGTATCTCACCCCTAAGTCCATATTAGGCATCGCTCACAACCAGTAAATCCGAAATATAACTCACCATGCTATGACTGAATAGACGCCAGTCCACATGTCAGCCCTCGTATTCTAAGTACCATTGTTGGTTGCATCCACGTACGCGATGATATTGACATCCTTCCCCCGTGCCCCAACCTCAATATCTCGCGCCAATTCTTCCGCACGTTCCTCGATAGAAGCCGATGGCGGTACCGTCGCAGTAATAACCTCCACACCCTGCGCCGTCAACGCTTCTTTGATACCACGCCAGTACTGGACACCCGGAAAGTAGCGACCTGCCAGTCGCAGTTCATCGAAGCCAAGCAGACCGTGGGCAAGGACGACGGGGTGTTTCGGGGCGGCTGCATTGTAAATGCAATTCAAAGTGTCAGCATGGTTTCAGCAGGGCTTTGCGGGTTATATTCAATGCACACCGTAGCTGTTTCGGACTACCGAATACTGGTCGTGGATGACCCGGCCATGGTCTTCTAAGCGCGGTTCGAGGATGGATCCCGAGCTCTTCTGGGACGAGTGATACGTTCGATGTGAGGAATGAGCGACTCTCTGGCGAATGAAACACCGGGCTAGGTGATTGCCGGTCTTTCTTGAGATAGCAGCCGCATATCCCATGGTCGGCTCTGCGCGACGTGGTAGAAGCTGGTGAAGAATGACGCAACGGATAGAGACCGTGCTGGTGCCTAAGGCTACTATCCGGGGTATGTGACGATCGTTCCGCCTGGATTAAAGATGGGATCCGGTCAGCTACAGTATTTGGCATTCAGGATCAAGCTGAGTACTAGACAGGGCCTTAGAGCCCACAGGTGTGTATTGTCTCCCTCTGATTTTTGGACACCATACCCGACTAATGAGAACTGACGTTCCGAGTTTACTCATGGTGCCTGCCAAGGTGAGAAACAACCAAGTAGCGAGTACAGTTGGGCTTATTTTAGCAACAGCGATACTTCCTCCTTTGATCTGATAAGAGTAACTTAGATCCAGAATCTGGTTCTGTAAGATACAATCATATTTCCCGAAGAATGGATATCGATGAACAGCCACGAAAGCGCATCTAACAACGGCCGCAATACAAGAAAACAATGAACCCAAAAATGTCCGACTCTATGCCTGCACGACGATCTTCTCCGGCACCTGGGGCTTCACATCGGTCGTCGCCTTGATCAGGTCTTCGACAACCTTGTCGCCATGCTTCTTGCCGGCAGCCTCAATCTCCTTGAGCTTCTCCTCGGCCTCCTTGTTGGCATCTTCCTCGGCCTTCTTGAATCCGCTCGAGTGCTGCAAAGAACGAAAGTTTCAGTGGGATTGTTCCTTGAGCAAAGTTGCCTCACATCAATTCTGTCTCCCAGCAGGGGATCTCACCTCGGCCTCGAACTTCTTGTATTCTTCCTCCTTCTGGTTGCGGTACTCTTCGATCTCCTTCTGGGCCTCGGCCTTGGCGTCCCTTATCCGCTTGGTGCGATCTGTAGTGGTAATGATGATCAGTCTGACAGCGCATGTCTATCGGGGGAATCCCAATCTCGTACATTCTCGGGCTGTTAATGATCGTGCATGTCAGTACGTAATCAGAGGCAGTGAACAGCGTGAAGAATGCGGAGACAACCTACCTTGCTGCACAATCTTCTGAGCCTCTCTCTCAGCCTGGAGTCGTGATTAGTGTACTGTATCGGTACTCGACGCTCTTGGGAGCACGTACATCGAGGAGGGTCTGAATGCCCGCGGAGTTCTGAGCCGACTGGAATCAACGTCAATCAGCCATGGTCACCCGCAACACAGTTGTTCCTGGCGTCCTATCTCACCATATTAACCCAAAAACCCCTCTTAGTATCCGATGAAAAGAAGTGACAAGGAAATGACAATAAATGCGGGCGACGAGGATGCGGAGCTTGGAGCTTCGATCAGCCACGCATGACCCCCCAAGGCGGTGGGGGGATGTATTGCCAGTAATCTCCGCCTTTTGATAGCACGATACTCCGCCGGGCATTTTTGGCCGATCGAGAGATCCAGGCTCGCCTCAACATCCATTGGAAGATCTACTTTTCTGTTCGTATCGTGCATACTTGGTGTTTCTGCATTCTTTGCTCAGTTCCTCATGTCTCGCGCATCAAAGTTGACCCTTGCCGCAACAGGCTTGGGTACTGCAGGCATTGTCTACTTTGTCCACTGGGCTCAAGAAAACGACAGGGCGGTATGTACTCGATCTGGGTTTTTGTATGATGATATGCTAACGGATCTTCTTGTGGGGATATAGGCTATGCATAGGGGCGTCGAGCGCGATATGGAAAAGCAACGAATTCGTCAAGAGCGACAGGCCGAGTTCGAGCTGCAAAAACGCCTTGAGCAGGAATACCTCAAGCTTCAAACCGTTCACAGTACAACCGATGGCATAGATACAGCCAGCCAGAGTACGAGTACAGGGTCATGACAATGAGATGGAGGCTAGGGCGGAGGAATTGCAGGGAGTTCGATCCTGATGATCCTGGCCTTTAATGTACCATGTTGTCTGTCTTCCACGACTAGGGACAGCATAGTACATTGATCCGGTCCCTCAAGAAGCGCTGGGGGATCTTGGATCTTGCAACTCATGGGGACACTCGAAGTGTAACTTCTCCTGAGGATCGTGTACGATACATCCAACTGTATATTATTTTGACCACGAAAGATCTTGTTTTGTTCATATCGAAGAGAACCTTGACCTCGATTGTTTGGCTACGAACATCACTTTCTGTATAATCCATCATGACTAGTCTTGGCTAGGAATTTTGGAATATTCCCCTGTCGTCAGTCCAAGCGACCTCAATTGTGCCACCAGGACGCAGCACCGTCCAGGATCAAGCTAAATAGATGTCCCGATTTGACCTTCCAAAGCCTCTTACGTCAAGGAATTTCTCCAAACATGGGAGGATGGCCACTGAATGGTTAATCCTAATACTTCCGATCAAATCTTACATTCAAGATGTAATACCCCGTACAAGGCTATCTCATTCAAATCTAGACACGCGCAAAGCTTGCATGCATCTGCATCTTCAGCCCTATATTCCTCAATAAGAGGCTTATATTATGGATTAAGAATAATGTCTTTGCCCGGACAGCTTCCAAGGTTGTATATTCCCTTGCATCTGGAAATGTAGCCAAAACGACAGCTATATTCCAAAGCTGGCCTTGCTAAAAATAGCAAAGATAAGAGGGTCATTGACGGTTATTGGCAATTTTTCTAGCTGAACTACACAGGATATTATAACTCCGACTAGATTGATGGCAGTCAGTCGATCACAATCGCATTCCCTCTGTCATACAACTTGACAGAAGTATATCAAATCGGGCCGGTGCACCCAACCAAGGCCGGCTATTATCGGAGGCCGGCTGAATTCCGGCCTCCGGGCGCTAGGAAAGCCTAAATGGCCCTTATCGGCGAATGAAATCGCGGGATCTGGGTCACCAAGCTTGGCATCGGGTGGAATCTAGAGGTACAAGCATGGCCTGCTTCAGGAGAAATGTCCTATAAGGATCTTGTTTTTCCATATATGTGACGAATATCTAATCCAGGAGCATCCATAGGATCAATACGGACAGGGTTCATCGGAGATTTGAGCGCTAACCCCGCGAACAAACTGTTTGCGCGGCTCCCCAGATATTGCTGAATTAGGCTTAGCGCATTCCCGTGACCATCTGCTGCCCTCCTTCCCTCGTCATTTGTATAGAGCATCTGGATAGACGAGAGGATGGCGAAATATCATAGTTCAGCTTGGGAACATGGTATTAATGCTCCTGAACTATCTCTATGATAATTAGACCCCTTAAACTCAGTTCAACCCGCGATGTCACCGGATCCACCCCAAGTTGCGATCTCTTTCGTAATGGTTATCTTGAGGCCGGAATTGATACCGGCCTCTGAGTATTATAAGAATCGCCTCCTTTCCCGCCAGAAACCCCGTTCTTTTCATTCTTCTTTTCATCTTCCAAGAGGTTTGAACTTTTCTCTCTACTTTTTTAGCCCTTCCTCTTTGGATACTTGGTTCCCGACTTGGTCTTTTTTGCCCTGAGACTTAGCCCTTATACCCCTTTCACATATCAAACCTTCTTCTACTTAGGCAATATTGCCTTTACCTTCCACCCTTGACCTTTGACACCTCTTTTTGTGTTACTTGGTCTTGGTTATTACCTCCCATTATCATCATGACTCGGACTCAAGTTCCTTTCCCTTCCCCTGCCACCTTGAAGCGGTTCCCCCACATCCATGATGACCCTTCCACCCTGTCCCATGCCCTAGACCCCTTCACCATTACCACTTCCACTGGTTTCCTGCCATACCAAACTGCTCCTTCGGAGCTTCCCGAGGCCTTCAAGGCTCTTGCATCCTTGGTTGAGCGTCTTCCTGTCGTCAGGCTTGATGGGAAGCCTGGTCTGCTGGCCACCTATGAGCTGGGCCCTGCTACTGAGGCCGAGCTCACTGACCTAACGGATGAGGTTGAGAAGCTTAAGCTGCCTAATGGAGATTGGGATCGCTTCACCATTGCTGCTGTCTTCCGTGACTACACTTTCCTGGCCTCTTCCTACCTCCTCGAGCCTTGCTGGGAGAACTGGTGCAAGAACCCGGACCAGGGCTATGGGCTTGGCCGCGAGCTCTTGCCCAAGAGTGTCGCTCGCCCCATGTATCGCTGTGCTCAGATGTATGTCACCCTCTTTTAACCTCCTAGCCCTTCGACCTCTATCATTTCCCTGTCATATGCCTGGTTCATCAGTCTACCTTTACTAGACATAGCATAACTCCATATATTATCATACGACACATGCTAACTATTATATAGCTTGGACCTACCTCCATTCATGTCCTATGCTGCTTCTTATGCCCTCTTCAACTATACTCTCGCTGACCACTCCAAGGGTCTGGAGGAGTACTCTAACCTCCGCCTGGTGCGCGCCTTTGAGCGTGGCCTGGACCCCAAGAGCTCAGAGGCTGGCTTCATCCTAACCCACGTTGACATGGTTAAGGAGACTGGTGCACTCATCGGCGGTGCCCTCAAGGTCATTGACACTCTTGAGCAGCACGGTCCTCGTCCTGACATTAACGATGGCTTCCGTGAGATCCTTCAAGCCATGGAGAAGATCGAGGCATCCATGGAAGGTATGATCACTCTCCATTACATCATGCTAGACTACCATCACTATAGCATTGAACTATACTGACATCTGAATAGATATGTGGGGTAACTCCAAGCCTACCGAGTACCTCTCCTTCCGCGTCTTCATCTTCGGCATCACCAACCAGTCCATGTTCCCGAACGGCGTGATCTACGACGGCGTCGAGGACAACAAGCCCCTCTCCTTCCGCGGCGAAAGCGGTGCCAACGACAGCATCGTAAGTTTATCACACGCACTCACTCAGTTCCCGCGAAAAGCATCACTGACAAACTCTCTTCACCCCTAAGATCCCCCTTCTAGACCATCTCTGCCAAATCCCCATGCCTTCAACTCCTCTCACCAAGATCCTCCACGAGTTCCGCGCCTACCGCCCGCTTCCCCACCGCGAGTTCCTCACTTACGTCCGCGAAAAGGCCGAGGAGATCGGTGTGCAGGAGTACTCCGTCCAGGACTCCGAGACGGCCGTGCTCTTCCTCCGTGTTCTGAACCATGTGCGCAGCTTCCGCTGGCGTCACTGGCTGTTTGCTCGCGAGTACATTATTCGCCGCACGCCTCATCCAACTGCTACCGGTGGCAGTCCCATAGTGACGGTAAGTATAGCAAACAAGAAACCGAAATCCATATCATGATGGCTTGAACAGATGCTGATGAGATACTCCTTTGTTGTACAGTGGTTGCCCAACCAACTCTCCGCCGTTATGGAATTGATGATCTCCATCTACGATCGCTATCTCGCTCCGAAAGAGGGTGTCACGATTGTCAACGGACAGGAAGATCTGATTGCTTCGCACCGGAAGCAAGTCGAGCCCATGATGGAGCTTGTACGTGATCAGAAGGAGAAGTTGGCCAAGGAGGTGGAGCGGTGGTGCCAGGAGCGTGGGGTTTAGATTTTAGATGACTTTTTATCATGACTTGTTTCTTCCTTTCATGGACATAAAGAACGTCCAGACTTGCTGGTATAAATATGATATTAAAATTTCCTGAGTTTATCAAGAGCTTGTATAATCAAGAGCGGTAATTATAGGTGAGTGGGTGTTCACTGAGCACTCACTAGATAAAGAAATTAAGAAATTGGAGAGAACGTGATTTAAAGAGACCCGCTTTAACCTTCTCTTCTGGTGAATGACTTTCAATGTCTTTCAGAAGTATGTTTCTGTCCTATATGACTTGGATGATATATCTTGACCTACCTTTGTTAGTTTTAACAATGAGATGGCAACACAGGTTCCAGTCATTTCAAGCTCCTATAAGAGGTATCTAGGCGAAGAAGTGTTAACACAAGTATACCATTTAGACTGTCATAGGATTCAGACGGAGGATTGAAAGCTATTCATATATTGCAATAGATCTTGATGATATGGTTTATGGGAAGAATGTATCTATCCACTATCAAAACTACTACGGTATCTAATGGCATGGATTAGATCAGCTTGATGAACGAAATAATACGTAGAAGGTTAGTCTTACAAAGGACAGAAATGTAGAAAATCATTGCTGTAATCTGTGTACATTTTTGTTTGTCGAAAGATTCTTAATTTTAGTGACCTCAGGGAATCCCTGGAATATTGGGCATAGTATAGACACAATGCTGTGGCCACAAAACAATGTCTTCAAACACAGCTCCCATTCCACGCATAGCATTCGTCCCCTGAACCCTGTTGGCTCGGCCATTAAGGCCTGATGTGATCAGTCACTTCCACTTCAAAGTCATATTTATACCAACGATCCCCTTCCCATTTCACCAATTTCCCAAAGTGGTTATATTCATGGTGACTGTGCTCTGGATGACTCTGGTCGCTAGTGAATTTTCCGTTAAACCGATAGTCACGGCCGTGATCATTGACTAATTTTGATCTATGGCCAACTTGGACACGAGCGGCGTCGGGATTCTCACACAACTCCCGGAACATCTTATCTGTGGCAGTCTCATATCCGAGTAGATCGACCTCAGCCCAATCTTTAGCAAGATCGCCTTCCCAGTGGGCGTGCACGTCTGTTGTGTAGTGCTCAATCCGTGGATTAGCCATCGTGATGATCTCGGATAATTTTGATTATGTTATTGATAGCTGGATGGGCAGCTGTCTTTGGAGAGAAATGAGAATTCTTTTTGTCATGAGTAGGCAAATCTCCACGCGGGTTGGACGGAAGGGCAAAGTTGAAATAAATACGAATTCACCTCCCGTCACGTCGTGACGTCAACGTCCAAACCTTAGCATGTACATCATATGATCCTTAAATTAAACCAATGAAGTGATCTTCAGACCAGCGAAGGTGGTTTTTTAAAGGTATTCGCATTGCATAATCTACGGAGGCACATGAACTTATATGACGCAAGAAGGCGTATACGGGACAGCTCAAGCTTCTAAGCGAAGATCATAGTCATATTTGTTTTTCGTTAACTGAATAGCTATAGCGCTGTGTTATATACGCAGACGTTGTACTCGCTTGATGTCTAACGAACTCTGAGCATCCAGCCAGGCCCTTTGAATCGATTCATCGAAACGTCAAATATCCACGGTGAGATAGCGACGTATCCCTATTGCGGGCACACCACGTGTACGAGCTGCAAAGGAATGGCGCCTACAGAGGATTGTCCAAACGATCATTCCTTATAGCTAGTTCTAGAAATAGCGCGGGAAAAAGGACGGCCTTTTCGTATATGTTCACAATCAGAGCGCCCGGGTCGATAGCGTGTCGAAGTTGGACTATAGGCGAGTAGTGAACAAAGGAGCACCCGCCTACAATATTCCTGCCAAGTGTGCGCTGAGTAGTTATATGCTTTGCCTTTCGTCGACAGTTCTATTCCCATGGGGGCTAGGGTCGGTCAGGAAGTCACCGAACCGCAAGCGTCAGCGACGGCTATCATAACTCAAATACAGAGCGTCCTAAAATTGGGGCAGCTACTTGTACTCCAATCTTGAATCGTTTCTCTATCTTTAAGAGTGATTACTGTGTTATTTCTTACATACAATAAAGGCATGAATAGTTCAGTCCGAAAGTTGAATAAACTGGATTTGAGAGTTGGTCAACACTAAGGCCAGAGATACACTCGACGAGCATCGACACCAGCGAAGCAACCCTCCACCGGCGATCGGGCTGGAAGGGGATGCCACTCAGACGTATGGAAACAAAATTCTAGACTCCATGACGCCGGACCGCGAGCATTGAAGGAGGTAGTGCGACAGGGGTCATGACGGACTTTCGGTCGAGAGGCGCTCTTGGTGGAGACTTCGGCAGGCTCAATGTCGGCGCTGTTGATGGCGAGCTTGAAAGTATCGTCCGCGTCCTCGGTGGCATTATCAGCACACACTCCAGCACGAGTAGCAAAAGATCGGCGACTGCAATGAGCTGCGTAGAAGGAGCGTTGACGCCCCTTTTATAGCCATCAGCGTGACTGCTTATATAGAAAGATAGAAATGAACTCACTGGGATAGAACTTGACCATTTTGCTCGGGTAGTTGTGTGTCAACCCCAATAGTCATGCCAGGCATATTCAGCATACATTTGATCCAGCCACTCAATGTTGCGTTTTTCTTCCTCCCTGGCGTCATGATTCAGGTTTGAAATGGTGTCGCGTGTAGATCAAATAAGGGGTCCTTGCCGATGGAGGGGAAGAGAAGAGATATTGCAGGTATTGAACAGAGTTGAGTAAGTGCATGGTGGAGAAATCACACCGAGCAAGCTGCGCAGGACTTCCACCTTATGATTCTCAGCGTGAGACTAAATTCGTTCAAGTAATCACCTCCAGCCCCCGCTCTCGTCCGTAGACGACAGCATCCGAAGAGACACCCTCACAGCCTCGAACAACCAGTCGATCGAGCTTAGCACCCTCCAGAGAATCAGATCTGCGTGCGTCAGCAAATAAGCGGATAGTCACACCCGTGATTTGCGTGTAGGACAAGTTGAGCACTTTCAACTCGAGAAGCAGTGTGAAAATACGACGCGCCCCGACATCGTCCACACCGCGCATATGCGTAACACTGAGCTCCGTCATCTTCTCCAGCTCACGGTTCGGTACCTCCGTGCTCTGAATCATATCGAAGAGATCGTAGATCTTGAGGTAGAAACATTCATTTAGATACAGCGTTCTGATCGGAGCCTGGGCGTCGTTGATGAAGACGGGAAGTGTTTGGGGTGAGATGAATCCCGTATCTATGAAGATGAGCGTGTGTAGATTTGGGAGTGTCCCATCTCGCAGGTCGAGGTACGTAGGTCGCCTTGCTGATCCGCCTTGGATATGGAGATATTCAATGGTGTTTGGCAAAAGGGTGCAAAAGTCCTGTTCGATAGTTTTCCCTCGGAGCTCTAGTCGGCGGAGGGGGGGTAGATTACGATCTGGGCCATTGGGGAAGGTGTATATTTTGTGAACTTCTGGGTCAAAGTCAAGTCGTAATTCTTCCAAGTTTGGGTAAACGGAAGGTTCGCTGCTCTAGAGTTCTGTTAGCTTTCTGTATTGTAGAGTTGGTTTCATGATTCACTCACTTCCGATAGCCCCGGCACAGTTAACACAGGCATGTGCTGCGCCGTCGGCTGAGGTAAGGTTTGCCGCGAGGCCAACGTGATGCTTTTCAAATTTGGAAGACTCTTGGGCCATTGGCCGGAATCGTAGAATTCCATAGTTGAGCTCCTTATATTCCACAATGCAATGCGCTCAAGTTTTGGTAGATCCGATAGCAATCTACCAAAATAGTCATTGGAGACAGGCAGGTCTGCTGAAAGGACAAGGCTCTTCAGTCTTTTGCTGCCTCTGAATTTCTGATAAAAGTCTTTGCAGTCGTGGGATACCCAGAGCTCGAGATGTTCAAGGCGCGGACAACGGCTGAGAAATTCCAATGTCTTCGGTGTTGAAGCTGCAGATAAATTTTTGATAGTGGCGTGTGTAAGCATTGCTTTAGAGCGCCGGATGTAGGACCTGATTGCAGTCCAAGGGACTTTGCTACGGGCTCCAGTAAGATCGATATTCATCCACAGGTTTGTCATGGATCCAAAGAATCGCTCCCAGTCTTTGCAGACGCGTAGTATTCCCCTGCAGATTCAGGTCAGAAGACGGGATCAAAGCGTTGAGGTACGGCGTCGAAGACTTACACGATCTGCTTGAAGGAAAATTGCTGAATCACTAATACTGCAATCTCCAGTGGTAGCATTGTGAACGGGTCATATCGATTTAAGAGCATGCGATCCTCCAATTTCTTATGTAGTTGTTCCAGCATCTATAATCACATTAGCATAAGAGGACTGACATTGACATTCCTCGACGACGAACCCCCCGTCGTGGATGCTCACTCGGGAGCATCTTCAAGCCATAGGCATAAATCTCTAGAGCCTTCTCTGGCTTGCCTTCGAGGATTAAGACTTTGCCACATCGCAAGTATCCCTGTACAATGATCAGACGACAATCATATGAAATAGAACTAGCAGGACCACTTACTCGTTCGTCATCCTTGGCAGTTTTGATCATTTGCTTTGCATCGCGTCGTGCCTGGTCATACTGCTCCAACTTACAGTATGTAGCCGATCGATTATCCCAAATACCAATGTTATCCACAAGGGGCTGTCTCAATGCCTAGTTCCGATCATTAGCACAAGCTGCCCGTTTAGGTTAGAGTGAAATCGGGCCTACCTCTCCAAAGGCCTCAATCGCGCCCTTAAAGTCCCCCTTTTGATACAACTTCTGGCCTCTTTGCTGTGAGGCCGACACTTGGGTCCGCATAATTTCTGAAATCGGCTTTTGACCCGGCACACAAGTCTCAGCATCGGAGTTGACAAGAACACGTCTCTGATGAAAGCGCGTTTGTGGTAATCGGAACGTGCCCGTGTGGGGACTTGCGTGGTTTGTCGTTCTGCCCCGCCGGAGTGGCTCATGTTTACTTTCTTCCGCTTTGGATCATCGCAAGCTCTACGCAATAGCAACGGCCCGACATGGAGACGCAAAATCTACAGGCAGCGTCGACATATGTCAACAATCTCCTGCTAGCTCGGGGCCTGTTGAAGAGTGGTCAGGCGATTGATTTCGCCGATCCCGACAATCATGAGGGGGGTACCGATGCCACCATGGCGCAGATTATCAACCTGGTCAACGATTTGGTTTTGAGGAGAGACGTAAGTCATGACTCGTTAATCGGTATCGCGTTTGCTCTAACATTCATGATAGCGTGAGGCCGAACACCGCGAGAGCTTGGCGACGACTATTCGAGTATTACGCGCCAGCGAGTCGGAGCAGACATTGGAGATTGTACGTACCACCAGATCAACACAGGAACAAGCAAACTCATTTTCATTCTGTTCAACAGGGAAAACTAAAAACGAAAGCTTCCGAGTTGACGCGATCGCTCGCTCTGGCAGAAGCCTCGGAGCGTGCGCTCAAGTCGAACATGTCGAGTGCCGAAGCCACCATTCGCGGACTCAAGGAACAAGTCCAACGCATGAAGACCACCGTCCAACAAGTCCGGGCGCAATGCTCCAACGATATCCGCAAGCGCGATCTTGAATTGCAAAAACTCAAGTCACATCTGGCCGAGCGACAGCGAGGGAAGCGCGAGGGATTGACGGTCACTACGATCAACATCAACCCTGCTGCAAAGGGGTCACAATTGAGAGCCAGCGGTCGGGAAAGCGTTCACGATCCCGGATACAGTTTACAACAGGAGACGACCGAGTTCTTAACGGAGCTATGCCAGAACCTCAGCGATGAGAACGATACCCTAATTGAACTGGCAAGAAACACCGTGACGACACTGAAGGAACTACAAGGATTACCGGAAACGGAGGAGCGTGATGGCGATGACGAAGTCTCCGGAATGGCTACCAGCGTTGGGCCACAGAAGTCGGCTTCCGCCGTGACTTCGTTGCCTACGTCGTGCGAGGAGCTTTCTTCCCGCATGGATGCGGTTCTAGACCACCTTCGGACTCTCTTGACGAATCCCTCATTCGTGCCACTAGAAGAAGTTGAGGTGCGGGACCAGGAGATTACCAGACTGCGCGAAGGCTGGGAGAAGATGGAGAACCGTTGGAAGCATGCAGTCACCATGATGGATGGGTGGCAGCGACGGGTGGCCGATGGCGGCGACTCGGTGCGTGTGGAAGAGCTTAAGCGTGGGATGACGCTGGATTTGAGCTTCATGTCCACCGAAGATGTCAGCATCCAAAGTCGACTGGAGACGAGCAACATCTCACCTATTCTGGAGGACCAACAAGAGGAGGAGGCCGAGGCAGGGATGAATGACACTGAAGTTAGAAATCAAGAGATTGAGACATCAACCCGCCCAGAGACTCGATCCAAGATCCGCAAGGTGCCTGAAAGATCCGATCGAGCGTTGCGAGAGCGCAGTGACAATGCTGCAGCTAGGCCCAAGCGACTCCGAAAAGTGTCTTTCACGCCTGGCCTACAAGGATCTCCCTGTGAACCCAGCACACAAGATGAGGAAACACTGCAAATCAAAGCGCACAAATCAGAGACTGTGACTCGGAGGGCTTCGCGGCGAAAGACCGAAACCAGCTCAACTCGCCAGGTGAGTGGACCAATTTCCGAGGAACGATCCGGCATCATGTACTAACAGTTATTTCTGCTCATTATAGTCCAACGGCAAAGACTCCCATCTTAGTGTTTCACAAAAACTAGCCGCCGTCGAAGACGAAGCCCGTCTCGCGGAGCAATCACGCAAAGAGCGCGAGTCACGAAAGCGAAGCCGGCCCGAAAAGGCCTCGAGCCGGGCTGGTACTCGGCGGCGGAGTACTCTGACGAGCGACGAGTTGGAAGACCTTATGGGCGTTCCATCGCGATAGGAAAAAGCCGAAGTCGGTTAACGAGAAGTGGAATTTATTTTCCATCTAATATACACCCTTGTACATATAACCTTGGATGAGCGAACGTTGTAAATATGGAGTCGCTGTTTTCGTCTTTGTTCGGTTATGAAAAATATCATCTACGGACACATCCTTAGTAGAGGTATTTTCATTTGGCAATATGGGTAGGATAATGTCTTCGCAAACATGAACGCAAGATTCTCATGACCAGCCTGTGTCAAGGTTGTCGTATCAAGTTACCGCATACAATGCTGGTCCGCCCGCATTGTTCCTCAAACTCAAGATCCCGTTATCTGAACCTCGGCACGTTCTGATAACTCGGTTCTCCGCAATTCTTCACGCGGCCGATTGCGATCGCCCAATTCCTTTTCTACCTACCGGTTCTTGTCCCTGTCCAATTCAAATAGGACCTGGCCTGCCCTTATCCTCCATTCTTCTCTCTCCCAGGACACCTTGCCTGGAATTGCATCTCCGCATACACTCAAGCTTTCTCCGCACCACCTCCACAGCGCCAATACACTGTCCACGAAGGTTCAAATCACAACATACCAACCCTCATCGCCCCAAAATGACCACCTCAGCCCCGGCGAAAGAGTTCACAGGTTGGGTCGCCCACGACGCCACAAACCCTCTCACCTACACAACCTTCACCCCGAAACCCTTCACCTCTACTGATATCGAAATCCGGGTCACCCACTGCGGCATCTGCGGCACGGACGTACACACCCTCCGCTCGGGCTGGGGTCCAACCGACTACCCCTGCGTCGTGGGCCACGAAATCATCGGTATAGTCGAACGCATCGGCACCGACGTTCCTACCCTCCCCACCTCACACGCCTCAGCCTCCATCCGCGTCGGCGACCGGGTCGGCGTCGGCGCGCAAAGCGGTGCCTGTCTCCGCTCCGATTGCGAAGCCTGCGCCGACAGCGAAGAGAGTTACTGTACCCGTATGACGGGTACGTATAACGGGCGATATCCGGATAAGAGCAAGTCTTATGGAGGATTTGCAGCGCGGTGGCGTGGACCGGCGCATTTCGTATTCAAAATCCCCGATGCGCTGCCCAGTGCGGAGGCTGCGCCTTTGCTGTGCGGTGGTGTAACTGTCTTTGCGCCTCTACGAAAGTACGGTGCCGGTCCGGGGAAGACCGTTGGTATCATCGGTATTGGAGGGTTGGGCCATTTGGGTGTTCAGTTTGCGAAAGCGCTCGGTGCCGAGCGGGTCGTTGCGATTTCGCGGTCTTCGAGTAAGAAGGCCGATGCGGTGCAGGGACTCGGTGCAGATGCGTTTATCGCTACGGGGGAGGAGAAGGGGTGGGCGAAGACGTACTCGCGAAGCATTGATATTCTACTCTCAACGGTTTCTGGTCCTGGGATGCCGTTGGGTCAGTATTTGCGATTGCTGAAGCGGAATGGGGTGTTTGTGCAGGTTGGAGCGCCCGAGGATGCGTTGCCGCCCTTGACGGCGTTTTCGTTGATTCAGAAAAGCGTCAAGGTGACTGGGTCGAATATAGGGTCGCCCGAGGATATTCGACAGATGTTGGCTTTGGCGGCTGAGCAGCGGGTGTTGCCGTGGATTCAGAAAAGGCCGATGGAGGATGTTAATGCGGCCTTAAAGGATATGCATGATGGGAAGGCGAGGTATCGGTATGTTCTGGAGAATGTAAATGAAGAGGCGCAAGCGAAGCTGTAAATTTCGAGCACGGTATATGATGGAAGCTGTATATAATTAGTCAATTTTGTATGTATTGAAGCAGTTGTACCAATTACACAGCGAGAAAGCTGGCACCAAGTCCACTCATTCAAAGTGAAGTCTCAGAATAATCTAAAACATGGCTAGAAGCGGCTCTCGTGTGCTGTCCTAACGTCTGATTCGAGCTTTTCTCACTTTACGCGTGTCACAGCCATCTTCACCTCCGTATAGTTCATGCCAAACCCACTTGCACTGCCACACTGCCACACTAACACTATACATTTAGGCAACAACTGGCGCAAGAGGAAAAGCGAAATTTTTGGGCTAGTACTTAAGAGCGCTCTGTCGCTCTTATTGATCTCGGTTTTCCTTTGCTTTATCTTGAATCAAAAGCTGTGGCTTTGCAAGGATGGCTTGGCTGGCACCGCGTTGCCATGCCGCATGGATAACGCAGCCCCCACCGGACAGAGTGCTAATCGCAGGGCAGCTACGGTCGGAGACCGTCCATTTACTTCACACAGAAGCAGTGTAGCTTTCATTTCTGGACTCCGAATCGACGAGTATCCGTTGACAACATACTTCCTAACCAGGCTGCATCCTGGGTCTTTCCATTGGCCGCTGACGCAGCATCGTCTCCTCGAGGACAAGGCATCCATACAAAAAGCTTAATTCCATGCAGCCCACTATCAAAAATCCTCGCTTACTTTCGCCCATCCAGTACTGACTCCTCAGGCCAACGAGCCTTCGGATATCTCTCGGCCTTCGAGAATCCACGAGCAATACAAATCTACAGCCCTCCAGTCCCACACTAATCTTACTCTTCCCAGGCTTCCACTGATTCTGGATCCCACCAAGTACATTCCAATCACAGATTCCAGCCAAACCAAACACTCAAATCAAAGACGTGGCACTTGCACTCACAACAAGCCCAAAACTCTATTAGCCCTGCCAGGCTGCCACGAAACACTGAATACACAGAACCCTGGTGGAGCCCGGGATTTGGCCTCCAACCTTTTCCCCGCGGCAAGCCTCGCTGCTAGGCCATTTATGGACATGCGTACGAATGTTTCAGCGGCTTGAAATACAGTACACTAACATACAGATTGTTGAAGACACCCGGTTCTGAGTCACTACTGAGTCGGTGTATAACTCTTGCCAAGGCATGCCGATTTAACCGGAGACATTTACGTTTCAGGGAGGGCGGAGCTGAAATTGATAATGTCTGAAATTGAATGAGATGGGGGTATTTAACAAAAAAAAAAAAGGAACAAATGCCTCATAAAGTCAAAAGTCACAGGAAGAATAATCTCGATACGCTTCTGATCCGGTTTATATCCACGGACCTTCTAGATGTCCGAACCGTTCACCAGCTGTTTACCGGATCAGACACTCAAGGGATGCGGAAGTCTAATTTACCGCCATCTGTTGCGATTCGGCACTTCATTCCCTTGTTGAATGGATGGTGTAGGGGTGGTGTGATGAGAGTTTTTTGTTGATGGAAAGTGCTGGGAATATGTATTGGCCGGTTCAAACGGCTCTCGGACTGCAGCATATCCGACCAAGGCCCGGCCCGAGGAATCATCGTCGGGCGTCGTCGCCCTAGCCGACGCAACAATTCGGTTTCGCTGCGTATGTCAATATGACGCACCAGCGATTTAATGCCATGGTTAAGTGGTATGTTGGCTCTGAGCATTCTGGTGTTGTCTTGCTGGTTGTGTAGGTTGTCGAGATATGTGGGTATGTCCATCGCGTGGAGAAGACGCTCGCGTGCAGATTGAGTATCCAGATCTCGTTTCGATAGTGTTGATATTTGTGCTGATGATGATTCCCCCAGCAGGATCCGTCGTTTTCTCGGCATGGAATGTGTCAGGTTGGTCAAGGGTGGATTGGTTATGGCCGAGCATTGAAGATGGCGTATCCCTCACGATACAAAGGAGGACGATGGAGATTGTGATCATGGTGATAACTGTGATCACCATTTCGACCTGCTCATATGTCGCCTCTTGCAGACTGGCATGGTTTCCGGGCTCACGTCCCGTGATGTTTCCCCGTAATTGCATATAAAGTTGCGAGAATGGGCTCCTCCCACACTACACCGCGTGATAGCGGTGTAGCACCTACTCGTTCTCACAGAGTATCCAACTTCTCGAGGTAGTTCTCACCCAAAATACCAATCATCGCCCAGTGAACTAGCGGTCTCCACTGATCATCCAGAAGCTTCCACACAGCCTGCGCAACGCGCACACACCACTCATCAAAGCACCAACGGTGCTTAAGATACTGCAGCAGCACGCCGAAATGAGCCAACATGACAAGCGCCATGGGTTCACGCTCACGCAGCAACTCCAAAAACCGCGGGGGCAATTTGATAGCCCACCGACCGGCAACTACACTGGAGGTCATCCCGCCATGCACCCAGCTCAGCATCTCGGCAATATTATCAATAGTGGCCGTGTATACCTCCGTTTCGTGGGATTGATCACGCGCACCACAGACTTCATTCGCCTCGTGCAGATTGTTGATCGTCACGGTAGCGTCATCGGGAAGTCTCGCGTGGACTTCCTCTACTTGCAGGATAGGTGCGAAATTACTATGACTGAGATAATCCGCCGGCGAGCGAATCACCTGCTGCACGCCTCGAGCGAGCACCAGGACCTGGTACAAATCATCCACGCAGGTCCACGGGTCCTGCACGTCCGGGGTGTGCGGGAAACCAAAGGTATAGACGACGACGATACCGGCGAAAGCGAACATGGCCTTGGCATTGGACTCGTTGATATCGCCCAGTAACTCGCGGAACAAAGCGAGGGCCTGATTCTGGTGCGTAACGGCACGATTGAGATATGCCGCGCGCCTCGAAGTCTCGGGGCCCGTTCGGGCAAGATGGAGCGCGGAAAGCGCCAGAATACCGTGCATTAGGAATGGGTGGGCGAGCGCCTCTTCGGGCACCGCATTGCGCCAGACTAGATCTGTGCGTTCATTTCGGGACAGAGTGTGGTGGGTGTCGTTGCACCAATGCATCATGAGTTCTAAATCATGCAGATTCAGAGCCGACGTGGGCGTCGCCGCGGGTAGCCCGTCGCCGCTAAGCCGACCCAGTATGCCGAGTGAGTCGGCTGGCGGGCTACTTAGAATTGAGTCGCTTGGATGGCCGCTGTCCGAGCCTGAAGCTCGAGATGATTGTCGAGCCACGGCTGGTTCTTCATTTGCCCAGAGTAAGGAGCTGGACGAGCCATATTCGCAATCCGAATGGCGCTTGGCGCAATTGGAGCAGGTTGGTCTGACTTCATCGCACTGCAAAAGGGGGGCAATACGAGCATTCGTTAGAACTAACAATTTTCAACATTGCGGAAAACCAATGCGTGTTTGGTTTTTTTTTAAAGATCATCACGCGAGTCCATACCTTGACTCGTCGGCGCTTGCATTCCAGACAGCCGTGGCGAGATTTGCGATGTGGTCGACGGAGCGCCATAGGGTCATGCACAACAAGCCAATGGTCTAATGGTCGCCATGATCTGGGGGGGAGAGAGAGAGGGAGGAGAGGAATTGAAGCTCTTGGGAAGTAATAAAAGGGAAGAGAGAAAGATGTATGAGACAAGGCTTGACTTCTACTAGTTACCAAACGAGAAAATAAAAAGAAAATAAGGAAAAAAAATTAAATTTCTACAGCCTGGTCTACCCCCGTGGTGAAGCGTAGGCAACAGGATTCATCGTGAAAGAACGGGGTCCGCGGCGGGAGGGCGACCTCGTATGGAAAACAAAAACAGTAAGCTTGGAAAGTTATCATCCTTTCAGGTGAGATACGGGCGCACGAACAATCACCTCCGGAAGGATAGTACAGCCTCAGTACAGCTAGGCACTTCAAAGGAGACAAGACTAGGTAAATTAACTAACTGGGGACTAGCACCAGGTACGCTTATCTAAGGGCCGAACCCTGTCGATCAAACAGACGGCGAAAAGGCTTGTCCGGCGTTGTGAAACATTGTCTTGCTTCGCTTCGACAGCACTGCCTCCCTTGGTATTGCTCCATTTTGCTCCATTTTGCTCTATCTGGGCTTAGGGTTGACCTCGACCGGGGCCTTAATTGTGCTGGGCATGCCACTGCAAGTCTATGATTGGACCCGCCCCATGCAAAGGTGAAGAGCGGGGGGGCTTGGTTCGAATGGCAGTATTCAATGGGCTAATTGTCTCGTGGTATCACGCAACACGCCCGGAATTACACTGTGGAATCTGGTTCGGAACAATAGGACTGTGATGGGCTTTCCATATGGAAGAAGCATGCTAGCCAGTGATAGACATTGTACATACTCGTGTAATGTGTACTCTGTACGGAGACAAGAGACTCACAAAATCCGTATGGACAGTACTTCCATAAAATACTACGCTAGATGACCTGACTTAAGGTTATACAAGTATTAAAGACCCTGAGAGACCTTAAAATCTAAAATGTTCCCTATTAACGTTATGGTCCATTATCATCAAATCATCAAGCATCTCGTCATCAAAACAGGATACAGTCGTACATCACGTAATAAAAGGTACAAAGAAATCAAGCACACCCTCCAGACTCCCCGTGTCCCCACTCCGTCGTTCCAGGCGTTCCAGTCGTTCCCATCTCGTATAAACGTGCAGATTTCCACTCCCTCGTGGTCTTGGCTCTTCTGAGGTTCCCCTCCGAGGTAACCATCCCATCCATTCCCCTCGCAAGTTCGGCTCGCTTCCAAGTTCCCAGAAATCCACGACCTCCACCACCGGCCAGCCCACCAGCATTCTAGGCTCCCAGGTCCGAAACCTCAGGTTCAATGCCCTTTTAAGCGCCCCCACCGCCCCCACCAGCACTTGCAGCTGCAGCCTTTCGAGCCCGAGCGAGTTTTTCACGCAAGGCCAGCCCGCTCACCAACACCATAAGCTGAAACCGATCTCCATACTGCGCGTAGATATTCATTTTTCCACTCGTAGAGGTAAAACTCCCGCCCGACGACAGAACCGCTAATATCCGGTCCGAATCGTCCACCAGCTTCAGGTCTCCAGAGTGTCGACTACTGCCTAGCGAACGCGTCCGTTTCCACGTAAACGTACAAGGTTGATGGCCGCTGCCTATACTCATGCGGATCGAGTATCGGACGGACATTCTGCTGTCACGGTTGAGACAGAGCCATTCGATCGCGTGAGCCTGCGCCGGATCGCCGAGCCCGATTTCCGTGTCCGATGAGAAATGTCGGTATTTACTGACCCCCGCGATGGGTCCGGTGGTATTGGGTCCCGCGTGGAAGGTTAGATCGGGCTTGCCCGGTGTCCAGTGTGAGTTGTCTACATGGTAGACCGTTTGTCCGTTGATTGTGATATCCCAGGCTTTGTGGAAGAATCCCCGAGAGATGGTGTACTGAGCAATGGGTTGGGATCCGTAGCCCGACATGGTCGTAGCGAGACGGGTAGTAGATCGATATACTGGTAGTCTAGTTCGAAGGGCCGAATTTATGTAAAGAGTAGACGAGAATATTGCATTGCAGGCACGAGTCTTGCTATGGTGTGCAGGAATTGCCAGAGATAATGTCTAGTTGGTACTCGGTTCTTTATAAAGATGCTCATCCACTCGGTGTTTTTCTGCTGCGGACTACTAAAATAAAACCATGCTCTGGGTCACGGCAAGGCTGAGGTCATCCAGCGGTGTATTGGACCCTGTAGGGTCAAGATCATCGGCTCGTTGGGCGCACTGGCCCCAGCTCGATGACGAAGGGCCCTCAATAACGATTTGGCAGGGCAGTGCTTAACGATGATGTGCCAATCACCTTAACGGCCCCCAAACGAAGGCAACTGGCTACCTAATAGTCACGTGAGGATAATCGGATTGTTTGCCGTAGAAACACATAAGGATGATCAAGACTCGGTCACATGATCTAGATGGCCCGTCGGTCACATGACATGGTATTTCGCGGGCGATTCTCAGGCGCGTCTGGAAGAGGACGAAACGAAGCAGGAAAAAAACATTCCAGCAGATTGCCAGATGATGGATCGCATTTAATCCACCGACCCATCTTTCACCTTCTCCATCATCTGGTGCCACCCACATTTGACTCATTGCGCCATTGCCCCCTTGCTATCCTTTTCTGCTGCAGCTGTTGCGGCCCAAAAAGTGTCTCTCGGAGAGCAAGCTGTTGGATCCATCTTTCGTCTCCGTGATCTTACCCCCCCCCCCCCCGCAAACACACCCACCATGTCCTTCAAAGTCCCCTACGATTCAAGCCCGCCACCTTCTACACCGGACAAGTCCAAAGGTCAGAGCTTCTGGAGCAATGTCTCCACGACACCTGCCGGCCCGCCGCCATCGACGGCAAACTCATTCACACCGCAAGGGCACCCTCCATCGACCACGTTCGGAACGTCGCAGCTAGATTCGCATTCCAAGGTCAATTTTGGACAGTCGAGTAACTCGCTTTTCACCAAGTCTGGAGGTTTCAAGACTGGCGACAGTATCTTCGGATCTTCGTTTGGATCAGACTTTGGTCTTCCCAAACCAAAGGCACCTCCTGCTAGACCGCTCGCACCTACACCGTCGCAGGGTCGATTCGGTGGCGCCACGAATGGCGGCTCATTTGGTCGTTCCGTAACCTTTGGTGAGTCCAATGGTTTCGGTTCCTCTCAGATGGACGAATACGAGGACGAAGGCGAAGAAGAGATGGAGCCCGAGGAGGAGGAAATGGAAGAAGAAGAGTACGAAGACGAACCTGAGGAGGAAGATGCGGAAGGCGATCTGGACCTGAGCACTCGCGAACCCTCCAACCGACTCAGTTTCTTGGATTCCAATTATGGCAACCCATTGCCAGCGCACTCCCCCGGGTTCGGCCAAGTGCGTAAACCGATCTATTCGAATCCTACCGATGCAAAGCGCCCGAAGCTGGACGAACACTGGGCCAACCAGTCACCACTGCGCAAGACGAAATTGTCCCCAAAGAAAGCGTCCGCGATGCCTTCGATTCTGCACAATATGACCTCTAGAACCCGCCTACCCCCCGCCGATGAGCCTGCTGATATGATTCTCAACACGGAGGATACGATTCTCAGAATGTATGATGAGCTTCAAAGCGCAGAGTACCGACATCTCGATCTCGATGGCGTGTATTCCCACATCTCCAACAAGCTTGTCAACACTTGGGATACGTGCGCAGACCGCAGCGGCATTTCTAGACCTTATGGGGCTGGCTCGAGCATTGGCCCTGGAGAGGACGCTCCGCCACTAGTCAAGGCTAGCTTTTTGGCTTCTCTATTGCTCCAAATTCACCATCCCTCTCGAGGCTCTGCTCCGATCGCCAGTGCTTCGAACCCGGCTGCGCGTGTCGCACCTAATAGTCTGGTTAGGGCCATGCAGCGTGCTAGCGCTGCAACTCCAATTCCACAAATTTTGCTCGACTGGCTGAACGGAAACCACGCGTCTCAGACTAATGATCTGCAGGCGCTGCGGTACGTGGAGCCTAACCCGACTGCGTCATCAAACTTTTGGGATATCATCAATGTAGCCGTTCTTCGCGGCCGTTTCGCCGAGGCGGCTGAGATTCTTCGTTCTGCGGATTTCAACTATGCTCGTTCAGCTTTGGAAGATGGGTTGGCCCAGCCCGGCTATCGTGGAATGCAGCTGCAAAACATCCAGCGCTGCGTCAACAAGGCCCTTCAGATTCTCGACTCTTGCCCCGGTTTCCAAGACGATGATTGGGCCATTACCGGGCCTGATTGGACCGATTATCGCAAGAGTGTTCTCTCCGCTGTCACCGACCTTGAAGAGTTTGCGGAAGGTGAAGAGCGGGACCAGGCCGAAGTGCCCGTGCAAAACCACGGGTTCCAGGCTGTCAACTTTGGGTTATCTACCTTTGGCCAGGGTCAGAACCAGGTGAGCTTCACTCAGTCCGCGCGTATGGCCGAGAGTCGCGTGCCGTGGACGATCTACCAGAGCCTGCGATCGCTGTTTCGGATTATTCTGGGCGATACCGCTACTATCAAGGCTTACTCGCAAGACTGGGTCGAGGCGACCATTGGTTTGACCGCATGGTGGGACGGCGAAGACGACGACGGTGCTTTCCGCGCCAGCACGAGGAGTATGGACTTTCAGCGCTCCCGTGGATCTCGGAATCAGCTTCGTGAGGTGGATCGTGACTTGCGGAATGCCTATCTGCGCCGCTTGGACCTGGCGTTCAGCAGCGCGACCAATGAGCCGTCCGACGACGCCGGTTTCCGGGTGAATACCATGAACAGCTTGGAAGTTGGCTTGGCGTCCGTGTTTGAGGGTAATGTACAAGGTGTGCTAGGACTGATACAGTCATGGTCTCTCTGTATCACGGCTGCAATCACGGAAGTGGCCGAGATTGCCGGCTGGCTGGAGGATGGAAGCCAGCAGAAGATGACGGGTCTGAGTGAGAATGACCTAATGGTTCTTTCTTACGGTCAGGGCAACCTGCCTCCGTCTCCGGGACTTACTCGGGACGAGGCGATGCGGAACTATGCACTCGGATTGAATGAGCGTCATTCTATCGAGAATGAGACTTGGTCTCGTGAGGGCTGGGAGTTGGCAATCGAAGTGCTCTCCCGTTTGCACGATTTGGATTTGAGGAAGAAGGCTGTTACGGAGATCGTGGAGAAGCTCCCTCTGGATAATATTGAACAACTTGACAAGTTGGTTGTACTGTGCTCCGATCTGAATTTGGAGGAGCAGGGTCGTAAGATCGCCGAGGTATGTTTTTTATTGTTTCTTTTATTCACACCAGACTCGCATACTGATCACTCTCATAGCGCTTTGGTGATTTGACCACCGACTCCTCGGAGAACTACGGTCTCGCTCTGGTCAGTTATGCGCGCGCCAACAATCGCCGCAAGGTTCGGGCCGTCGTGGAGCTCCTCATTTCCTTCAGTCTTGTGCAATCGCGCGCGTACCCTGCTGCCGCCGATCTGGACGAGCAACTCGGGTCTTTGCTCAGAGAACCCAAGACATGCCTTTCGTCCATTGCTTCCATCAATGAGGAAGCTGCCAGCATTCTTCAGTTCTATCTCAGTGGATACGCCACGCTTCGCCGGTTCTATGAAATTCGCGATGAGGCATTGGGATTGCAGGAGGGCCAGCGCCCGCGATTCAAGCCGCTTGCTCGTCGCCGCGCCGCAGCCAAGGCTCTTACGGCGGTTATCAGTAGTGCCGCCGATAATATCTACGGTGGTTTGTTCGATCCGGAACGTGACTCGGCCGTACAGGTAGATGGGTTGATGGCGTTGTTGGGTGAAGCATTGCCATTCGTCAACCGTGAGTGTACCCCCATTTCTCATGTTCTCCATTCATCAAGATACTGACAACCCACCCTGTAGAACCGTCTCCCATCCTCACCGTCTCGCAACAATTCACCATTCTCTCCGCAATCGAAGACCTCGAAACAGTCACTCCCCGAGTCTACGCCCAATGCGAAGAATGCTTCCGCTCCACCCTCCTCTCCGCAAACCCATCAGCATCTTTCCCCTCCCCGCCATCCCCACGCACCCTCCTTAAGAAATCCGTCTCTGCCCTTTCAGCATCAACCTTCTCCATTATCGGTTCCGACATGCTCGAGTCTGCCCGCACCCGCTCAGCGCCGGGCTCGGGTCCCACTTCCGCCGGTAGTTCGGGAGTGCTTGTCCCGCGACCTAGTCACAAGGACGCCGGTTCGGCTCGTGGTTGGGATTGGAGGGTTGGTCTACCTGAAGGGACGAAGGGGGAGGATGTACTCCGGATGTTGAGATTGGGGCTCGCGCGTGGATTGAGCGTTGGTGCCTTGGGAGTCGTTTAGTGTTTACTAAGGTAGACAAGATCCAGGGCTGGTCTAGGTCTAGCGTATATTATGGCATGGCATGGCCTGGCATGACCAGCTGAGGATTCTGGCGATGAAGGTCTGGAGCATGTATGATTACTTTGGCCTTTGTTTTCAGGTTTACTTATTACTTTATTTTTTTTTCTCGTGTTGGGTGGGAGTCCTGGTAGCATGGATAATAGCATTCATCCGTTTCCCACATGGAATTTTTTTTCTTTTTCTGGAGGTCCTAATTTCTTGTAGTTTTTGCCGAGTGTGGCTGGTGGAGCGGTCAGGTCAGCGCGAGACCGATAGACGGTATCTTTTATATGATTGTTTAACTAGTTGGAGTGATAAGCCCCGCGGGTGTGGATGGTTTTTTTATAGATTAGTGAGTATTGGGTTAGAAAGGGTGTTGGATATTATTTGATTTTGTAGCGATCATGTACAGTGTATGTTGATGGTCGGCATCGTAGGGTTAGTAGGCAATACAGAGGTAGTCTCCAAGGTTGAACCCCAAGTAGAATCTGAAAGAACCTTGTTAGTTAGCTTGGAAATATACCATATTCGAAGGGTGCTTGCAAAGCTCACTAGAGAGAACGCTGTCTGAAGAGAGGCAGTTGAAGCGTATACGGTACTGTGGTCCCGCTCTAGATTCCGAGGAGAGTATTGAACTGCCTGATACATGCTACTATTTTGAACACGTTGATATGTGCTCAAACAATATGCCGTTAAATCCAAACCCAAGTTCGAATTACATTGAATAAAATAATACCTTTCAAAGCTCCTGCAGTAGTGCGACTCTCCTTAGACCATCTCCAGCTGACACACGTTTCATCCTGAGAACAAACCATCCTTCTGTCCTTTTTTCCTTTCAACCGCCAATCACCTCGACCCACCGAGCTTCAGCCCTACAGCATGCCCCTCCATTACTATTCCCTAAAGAGAACGAGCCAGAAGAGTCGACCCGACCGTCAGTTCGCGACAGTCATGACACACCAAAGGAAAGACCATCAGCAGCTGAATGGCGGGAGCCTAATCCACTCTAGCGGGCAGACGGCCCCGCCGAGATCTGGATGGGGATCCCGATGCCGTGATGGCAGTCAGAGATGGAAACAGATGAGTACATCACCGAGGGAGAGACACCGCTGTCCCAGCAATAGTCTCTGGTATACTTGAGGTCTTCAGTATGGGATATCTTGCATCGCGAGACGGTGTACGATGGATGCATATGCAGCAGCGCATCCCGAGGTGGCTAGTGCCCGCCAAACCAAAATGCCCCGGGGAGTATCCACAATGATGCACAACGAGGCGGAGTTCCCAGCGCCCGATGAATCATCGGATCGACTGTAACTACCTCACGACCTGCAAAACAAGGAATCCAAAAGTCCCAAACTAGCTCCATCTGCATCCTAGCGTCCCGACAATTCCAACAAGCCAAGCCTCGTCCCTCCTCGCCGGGGCCCGAGTCTGCCTTCCCTCTCAGCCTCGCGCCATGTGGTCTGGCGCACGACTACTGCAGACTGATGGGACTGAACTGGGTTAGCAGCCACCAAGGACCTGGTCCTCACCGACTCCCCCTGCCAAAACCCGGTCCCCTGCACCCCGGCTTAACGGTGCATTCACCGTCTTTGCGGCTTAGCTCTGGGGATTATTGTCATCATGCTATCATTCTTGCCTGGAAACCTGCCTCAACCGAGGGATTTGCTTTCCACCTTCCCTCTAGCCACAGCTGCTCCCGTCTACTCGGTCCGGCTCTTGGATACTGCACTACGTCTTCCTCTCTGACGTGAACTACTGCACCCGATGGCTCATTCTCTTATCGGAACTAGGAGCCGCAGTCGTGTGGCTCACCCCCCCCGCGGGGCTGACGGGTTGTGGACTCCCTGATTTTTTTGCTTTTGCTTCTGTGTGGTTCCTACGAGGTGTTGATTGTGCAATGGAGCGCTGAAATGTTGCACAGAGTGGCCTGATGATGCCTATTATTATCATCGTTGTCGCGAATTGAACTAATTTTACCAGATTCACCGGCTTATTCTGCCCGTCAGTGACCGTATTTCAAATGCCGACGACGGAGAATCCCAAAGATGTCATGGCGCCTTGTAATTCCCATCTTCAAGCCTCCCCTAGTCACTCCCTAGGTGTTCCCCACTTACTAAATACAGAAACAAGACTAATTCTAATCCTGAATCTCTCTTCCCCCCCTCTCTTCCAAGGCCCCGTTCCTCGGGGCGTCTGGCAGCCAAGAACTGTACTCCATCCACCACGCATGACGCACCAGTCACGAGTAAACACTAACGACAAACCTAACTAAATTGACTCCGACTCCTACTGTGACTCCTTAGACTAGATCCCCATTCAGCTCTCGTTCGTATTTCCCGATTGGCGTTCCCATTGCTCGTCGGTGTTTTCCGAGAAGTGGGCCCCCGCTTGGACTCTTTTGGCTTTATCGTTGCCTGGGGTGTCCACCGTAGGGCTGGCCGTTGGTAAACTTGCGGGATGCCTTGCAGTGGGTAAAACTTGTCAGGGCCTTTGCAGCTGGTGGAGTCACCGTGGAATGTGGATATGGATGTAAATGTGGATGTCAACTAGTCTAATGACTCCATCGGTTTAGGCGACTTGGCCTAGTATAGACCGTTGGATGCTTTGGGGGAGACTTCTGTATATAACGTCCCGGACGGGGCCCGGTGTTTTTCGTCTTCTTGCCCTCGATCATTATTATTATTCTTCTTCTCTTCATTAGACCTACCCCTTCGTTATCCGGTCCTCCTTTTTGCTTTCATTGCTTCGATCGAGTTCCTTTGTTTGTCGTCGATATCTTTATCTGTGTCTGAGGTCCGGATTGCATTCTCTATCTAATTACCTAGGGCTGGTTCCGACACTCGCTCGATTATTTTCGGTTGTACTTCTTGGAACTATTCTCTTTCAAATTCGGTCTATCATTGTTGCATCGGATCAACATCTATTTCTGCATCACCATCTACCTCTATTTCTATATATCCACCACGCATCCGAACCAACTCTTTCAACGCTATACCGCCACGCCTGTGCTACAACCACATCCACATCCCATCAACCGCCAGAATGTGCTACAAAGTCGTCGAACGCTACTCTGTCTGTAAATGCGTCTACTTCCAACACTCTATCGACCCCTGCTCCGCCTACGGTCAACGCGGCCACTCCGTCCAAGAAAAGACCGTCCTAGTCGGGTATGCCTGCTCGCGACATTCTGCGCGCGGCGCATCATCTTCGCCCAATGCTGGCCGTGGGCCTGATTCGGGGTATTCTAGTTCAAAGGGCTCGTATCGGTAGATTTTTCGGGGTCAATCTGTGTCGTGGTCTGCTGGGTGGACTGCGAGATTGATGCTTACGACTGTGGCTGTGACTGTGACTGTGCTTATAATCATGAGAATGACTGCGCTACGAGTATGGGACTGGGACGAGGATACGGCTTTGACCCGAACCGAATCGAACCGAATTGAGCCTGGCTATGGTAGCTCAACTTACGAATCAGGAACGAAAAAAAGAACGGGGATGAGGAAGAACGCAACGTTGTTGTGTACTTTGGAAGACGGGGACACGCGCGAAAGAGGTATACACGACGGGAACGACGAATGAAAACGCAAGCCCTCCAACGAACGATGAAACAACACAGCCGCTCTCTGCGAGAGTCGGCCATGTTTAATTCCACATACGATCAAGACTACTCTGGCCTCTTGCCCCGCGAACCCTTGTGCAAGTCCGCCAGTACCGGCTATCGGCGGATTACGGTAGATTCCTGGCGAACCAATACCGACTGCTGCGCATAATCGTTGACCGATTATCCTTAACGTTTCATGGCGATAAATCGCGGGCGCAATATCGAGATGAATCCTACGGCGCGGGAGAAACGCGAGGCAGAGCTGGGGGTAACTGGGGGATGATGGATAAGACGAATACCTCAAACGACAGGGCACGACTTGATTCTACACCGTGGGGACGGGATGGGACGGACATGTACTCTATACGTACATCGCATCCAATCGACACTCTTCTCTCGTCTCGACTTGACTGGACCAAGTGAAGTTGAAGCTGGCGTTGTCGATGCGGATGATGATGATGATGATGACCTTTTACTTTCGACCTTGGTTCTGCGAACCGTGGCTATCGTCCATTGTTGATTGTGGATGTTTGATCGTGAGGGCTGTTCTTTGTTACTGTCGACTGGATTCGGCGGTGACAATTTGTATGTCTACTGCACTGCAGGTGCATTGGTGTATTGGCTATAGTGGAGCGTGTGTGGTAGTGTGGATATAATTAGAGCGTTGTGTTTTTCTACTGTCGTTTACTTTAGGTGTTTAATACCATGTTTTCTCCTTTTATTAGGTCATTTTGAAGGCAAGTTGCAGAAGTTAGGTCTTGAATTAGGCAGGTTACTCTAATAATTAATTATCCTCTGTAGGACGGGACTCGTTCCTGAGCTGCCGCCGCTTAAGGGCGCTCAGAGTGAAATCATTAACAAAATGCTTGCTAGTCTGATTTCAGACTGAGTGACCAAATTAGTGTACGCGCATGAGTGATCAGAGGGCACTCAGAGAGTTAAATCACTGTTTACTCAGGGACCTACCAGAGCCATATTTTCAGCACTCAGTTTGCGCTCGAATATTGGAACTTCACCGACCCATTTCGAGGTCGACTAAGCATTCATCCAACGGCATAAAGAAAGCGAGTGACCCCACCGGCCTTGCCGGCCTCAATAGGGTAGAGGCCAAGGCAAACAATTTCATCTGTGATTTCATTCAAAATGCCTTTAGTGATTTCAGGTTCCGGAAACCAAGCCACTGATCTCATAAGAATTGACACGAAGGTCTATCAGCATCTTGAACTACTTCATTGTTAAGCGAGGCACATCTTAGGTACGTGAATCCACATGGCGAGTAATAACTCAAGCCTCATTGGCGCATCTGTCTTTTAACTTTCTTAGTGCACAGCAATCCTCTTTAGGTACTTCTCTAGTCGTTCTGCAGATTGACAATACATGCAAGACTGCGCGACAGAGTTAGCCTGAAACAGTGAAGAAAATCAGGAACACAAGTCTCTGACACACGTGTGCACTAGTCGCTGTACGATTTGCAAGCATGTGCGGGAGCTAGCTCTGTACCTGTCGTGCAATGTGAAGAAGCCAAAAGCTTCTAGGGCCTCGTACATATCCCCGCCATACTACCGGGAACCCCGCGCCGCCCGCTAGATACTGCACCCTACCAAACAATTGCCAAAGCTCACTTCTGACTCAAGCTATTAATATCATTATGAAAGTGAGACAGTTTTTTTAGTATACCATGAATCTTCAGAAAAGCTCATTCTTTCCGAAACTGTTAATCCATAGAAAACTTCGTGCGAGGTAAACTCATCATTTTGAAAAGTGGTTTTATGCAAGCTAGTCCCTAGGGTGTTTTAGTGCTCCGGACTCCGCCGCCACACGTGGTCGATTGCCAGGATGTAACGCGATGAAACGATATCGAGATACCACCTCGCTTGCATGTTCGGGAAGTTAGAGCACAACGCGAAGAGATGCACAACAAAGCGTTTAAATGTTATCGGGTTGGGCGAATATATATAGACAGGGAAATGTAGCTACCACTGGTGTGTTGTATCTTTCCGCAACATCTTATTTTTCCCTTCCACCGCCTACTTGAGACACTATGATTTTCTCAAAGACTACTACACTTCTCGCGCTAGCATCGGGGGTCTACTCCCAGTCGCAGTATACTTCCACTGGCACAGCTGCCGTAGCCAAGGCAGCTGCTACCGCTTTGACCCTGTCCCCTACATCGAGTGTCGCTGGTTTGACTTTCGATCGATTTGTTCAGATCTGGCTAGAGAACGAGAATTACAGTGCAGCAATCAAGGATAGTGAGTAACCAATATGTTGGATTCGAATATAAAGCATATTGCTAACCTGGAAATTAGCAAACCTTGCTTATCTCGCGTCTCTGGGCATCACACTCACAAATTATTTCGCCATCACCCATCCGTCTCAGGTAAAATAACCCAGGATTTATGAACTGGTCACTTTGACTCACACTGGCATCGCAGCCTAACTATGTGGCCGCCGTTGGTGGTAACACCTTTGGCATCACCGATGACAGCACCCACTATATCTCTTCGAGCACCAAGACCATCGTCGACCTCTTGGAAGACGCTGGCGTCAGCTGGAGTCTTTATCAAGAGGATATGCCTTATTCTGGCTTCGAGGCAAATTATGTTAACCAAAAAACCGGTGCAAATGACTACGTCCGCAAGCACAAGTGAGTCCCAAAGACAAAAACGGTGCGAGACTACGGGTACACTAACGAACCGTTCTGCCAGTCCCCTGATGAGCTACAACTCGGTAACATCGAGTACCAACCGTCTCGCTAAATCGAAGAACTTCACTATGTTTAATGAAGACCTGAACAACAACAAGCTACCTCAGTGGATGTTCATCACCCCCAACATGAGTATGTGCTTCTCCTGTCTGTTGTCACGGTCCTTTGAAGTTGGAACTAATTCCAATGTAACTTCACAGCCAATGATGGCCACGATAGTTCGCTCGCCGCGGCTGGAACTTGGTCCCGTAACTTTTTGACTCCTCTCCTCTCAAACACGAATTTCAACACTGATCGTACTCTGATCATCTTGACCTTTGACGAGGGTTTGACCACTGGAACTAACCAGGTTTATTCTGTCCTTTTGGGTGGTGCAGTCTCAAGTGCGAAGGTTGGTACCACGGACAACACTGCGTATAACCACTATAGTCTGTTGAAGACCGTGGAGACCAACTGGGCCCTGGGAAACCTCGGAGAAAACGATGTGGATGCCACTGCTTTCTTCTAGAGGATCACAATGATCCCCATGGAGAACAGAGTCCATAGCACGAGGCTACCGAAGTTGTGCATTGGTATCAATCGTGAATTGAGCCTCGTCGGACTGAATGATACTTATCATGCAGGCCCTCAAGATTAGTCTGGCATCTTTATTATAATGAGTTGTCAATGAGAGCACACGATGGATATTGATTATAATGAGTTGTCAATGAGAGCACACGATGGATATTGCGAAGGGTCATCATGCTTCTGAGGGGATTTTCCGTAAGCATCGTTGTTTATCTTGCCCAACGTGTGGGTGCTGTTGATACATTCGAGGTAGTGAAAAACTATTACAGCGCGTTGTTTGACTTACCTCCTACATGATTAGCCGCTTAAAATGCCCCTGAGTGATCACTCTGCCTAAAAGCTAGATGTCGAATAAATGTTAACATGCCTCTTGAAGATTTCACTTTGCTGAAAGCTATGTAGGATACCACAACTTGATCACGCGATGGACAAAGTAATTGGCTGAGGTTGAAAGATGGATTTCATAGATCGCGAAGCATCCCAAGTAATCATCGGTGACCATACCACCAGTGGCCGAAGTTGGCTAAGAATAGTCCCAGTAAAGACACAAATCGCGATATCCCTGGAAGAGACGACAAGTTTCATTAGGTATTCCTTTATGATAGTACTATGGACCACACGTTGAGACCAGGAGTATAGCTCGTATTCCAAAGGTCAGAGAACCGGCAAGAAAGATGCAGGAAATCCCTTTTCGTACGTACAGAAGTAGATATAGAAGACATACTCGAGTGTATCCGTTACACAGATTTTGCGTGGTTCGGCTTTGGAAATATAGCGAACCAAGTAAGGAGTAAAGCAACAATGGATTCTGGTGTCCTATGTCAAAAGGGCATTTAATTTACGACAAAAGAATAGAGGAAGCTATTTTGTCGTTGTAATAAAATTCCCATTCATAAAACCATGTATGATATCTGGAGTTTGTAAAAGAGAATGTTCATAGAATAAGAGTTTGAAGATCAGCTTCTCTACACAGATTAAGACAGCACCGAAGGCAAGAGCCTCTCCGCAGGACACACCCCTCTCCGTAAGATGCAAGTGCAAAGCAACGAAGATCATTGGCACCATCAACAGCAGGTACACTAATCAGTAAGCTGGGATGTGAAGCTATACTTTCGTGCATGTCAGAGTCCGAGTCCGAATCCTCTCCAACCTGGCACCAAGGAGTAGTATATGATACAAATCTGTCTGTATCATTTAGTGGAGTTCGGCGATCATGGGGACATCTTTCGAGTAAAAGTGAGTCTCTCAAAGCAAGAAGGATGTTAAAAGGATCGATTTGGGCGATAACACGGCCACTTGTGCGTATCAAAATCAGTTTAATGTGGAGTTCTCTGCCATCTTGAACACTTAAATCCCAAGATAATTTGAAATCTTTGAAGAGGTTGACAGGTTGAAAAACTTCCGGCCAAGTGGGTAGATCCAGATCCAGTGTCGTTTCATAGCTAACACTCTCAGGCGTTGATACGACATTGAACGTGTCGTTGTCATATCTCAGTGTCCCTGATAAGCAAGAAAGCTTTAGATATCCATGTTTCTCAATCTCGAATGTGTTGAAAATGATAGGATAAATGACCTGGCCTTTCCCCGAGGTCAAAAACAAACTTCGTTCCTCGTCATCAAAGTCATGGCCAATCATACTTCTTGCCCAATCTAGAAGATCCACATCCTCAAATTCACATGTGTCTCCAGTTTTGATAACCCTAGAGATGGTGTCATCCAGCGCTGGTAAGCCTCCACTTCTCTCGAGTGATGCCTTAACCAAGATCGATTTCGAGGGCTGGAAAAGAGAAAGAACAAGGATCTCTGTGGTTATAAAACCTAGTGATCGGAAAAAATCTTCTTTATAGCAGAAGTCACTATTCGAAATTGGGTTGTAGTATCGTTGTGTGCACGTACAGCACTGTTCACATGGACACTTCATTGCCAAAGATTGGAGGTGAAGAGAAATTGGTGGAAGATCACCCACAAGCATCCCTCTATCGAGAGTGGCGAAATTCACTCGGCCATCTAAGGCTAGAGCTTTTGCGTAGGTTTCGCAAATAATTCTGAGTTCGGGAAGTGGAGTAAGATAGCAATTGTTTATTGAGTTGCTGACAGAACCAAGAAATTGTACAGAATTGGTAGTCGGACCAAGGCGAGCGAATCTTTTACACTGCATTGCCGATAAGACTTGGGGAATTGCGTGTTCAAGGGCTAGACGAAGCAACCGGAGCATGTCGACACTCTCGAAGCCAGTTCGTCGAAACAGCCACGGGAAGTAAGATTCAATGGTTACCATCCCACAGATGAGCTCCTGTGTACCAGGCTCTATGAGATGGGTTATGTCCTCCAACTTGTGGTGGATAGTCAATTCAAAGGGCCCGTTTGGTTCTTTGGTCATAACAATGATCTTGACTTGCGACTGGGGCTGTTCGCAAACAGCATCTGGGATACCTTCCAAGTATACAGAAGGAGGAATCTCAAGACACCATTGTGCGAAGGCTAAAATCCAAGCTGCGGCTTCATGGACTTTGATTGTCGCTCCTAATATAGTAGAAGATCCCATTCTTGCTACCTGACGAAAAGCATCAACAATGCCAGCTATAATATCCGAGGAAGGAACTCGTAGAGATTCTTGGACTAGAAGTTGGCGAGCTTCTTCAGAAGCAATACGAGGTAGCACCTCTCTCTCTAGAAGGATTTGCCACCCCAAAACGGAATCGGCAAAGCCACAGCCATATGACCTAGCCTCGAGGCTCACTAATAGATCGTTCAGGTGCCTGACTGTCGGGAGCAACGTTAGATCAGTTGCAGAATGCTTAAGCATAATGTCGAGAGCACTTGCGCCGTTGAAGGGGCCAATTGTGGTCACAAGAGCTGCAGCTAATCCTAGGAAACGGGTGCCAGCCAAACTCGTACCAAGCTGACTTGCGCAGTCGCCTTTGAAGAAGCCTACATAACTCTTCAAGAAACTGATAGGAGTCGGTTCTGGCGATGGGACGATGGTGGACAAGACCTTAGTTGTTGTTTGGGTGCTCATAGCAATTGTAGTACCAAACTTTTCGCAAGCCATGATGGCAAGGACTTGAACATTGTCGCTTGTAGCCGCAGCTAAAACACCTCTGAAGACAGAAAACGCCGATTGGGAACTTTCGCTGAGACTCCATGCCATTTGGACAGCTGGAGTGGACATCTTGAATTTCTGTTGTCTGTATCTAGGTCTTTCAGTCTTTGTGGGTTGAAAGCTGGGCTGGAAAAATAAGATAAACGAGAATCGAACTAAAGTACTTAAATATGTTCGTTCTGCCACGATCCCGGGCGCCCCGAGCCGTGCCTAAATTATGCGCCAATGATGAAACCTGTTTCTTAGAAGACGGATCCACTAACAGTTTCAAGTCATTATACCACCAACCACAGAGCCTGATTATCCGCCGTCGTCTCGCACGACTTGATCCATAGCGACCCGAGCCTTTAGACAAGAATAACATTCAATGACCATTTCAGGGAGGCGAACTGCCGCCTCAAGCCGCCCAAACTTGCTTAAAGGCCAACTGTGTAAAGCGGCGAGCCGTCCAGTACCGGATGATGGGTGCTAGGTGAGCATCGCCATAGTATGGCTGTTGTATGTTTTGATTTTTGATGGATTAATGACGAGCTAGCATTTATGTGGCTCGGCTTTTTTCATGCCTAGACTAACCACCGCGTGTTTAAATCAAAGGGCGAAAAAAGGCTCCTATGGATGGACAATCATGGCTCCCATCTGACTCTAGCGTTCCTTGAGTTTTGTGAAGAGAAGAATTTCCCTCCCTTCCCTTTCCCATCTCATACAACAGATATCCTCCAGCCGCTTAATGGAAATCCATTCCAGATGTGCAAACACTTCTTCCGCAAGGCTAATAGCGAGGTAATGCGATGGGTGCGGAGTAGCCACAGATAAGGCCGACTTTCTAGCATTTATACAGAGATTAGCGAGAAAGCCTTCAAGCGTGAGACAATTATTCATGCACTCCGCGACCGTGGGATATATCCCTGGGATTCCGAGGTTGTCCTTAAGCCCTTACGTGAGAAGGCACCACTATGCCCCGAGACACAATTCGTTAGTGGTGATCCAGTCTCACCGGAGGTGTGATGATTGAAATCTCATGGTAATGGAAGCGGGACATCCCAGTACTTTGATGAGCGGGTTTTGCCAGTTGGCCGGGAGGTTCCTTTTCGGTGGTGAACGAAAGTGCTTTCTGCTTGGTAAATAGCACTTCTCCTTCTTCTCTTTACTCTAGATTTAGTTGCTTCGTTGAATGCACCGGATTGGCCCATTTCTCTCCGACTGGCTGTAACAGGAGCTTATCCGGTCGAGCGATACAGAGATTTTTTTCATCCCGGATCGCACCTACAACAGATCGAGAGGCTCACCGAAGAGGACAAGACTTCTTAATGCTGCTTCGAAATTAGAAGCTATCCAGAGCCATGAGAAGTTCATAGGAAGTCTTCAAGAACTCGTGGATGCGCATATGCGGAAGACCGAGCTATTAAAAGCGAATGAGGCCTATTTACTTAGGAAGAGAGTGGTATTATCTAACCTTACTAACTATAGAAAGAAACAGTTAAGCCATGATGGTCTATGGCAAGGAAAGGATGTAAAACGCTCTTTATTCGATAGAGAGATCAAAGAGGTAGAAGCAGCTCGGCGAAAGGCAGCAAAAACCGCTCCTGTCCTTGTTGATATCCCCTCAGAGAAAGCCTAAAAAAGGTCAAATTGTTTAATGTACATAGAGGCGTATCTAAGAACTCAGAATTGCCTATTTTCTAACGAATTTAGATAGCTTGGTGGTGGTAGGGATTAGAAGTAGTGGTTAGTAGTGGGAAAATGGGCTTTTGGGATGGAAACCCAAACTCCCACAAACAGGGAGGAGTGGGGTGACTAACAGAACCCGGGTAACTAGTTGAAGCTTCCGCTAGATTTCGCTGCTCGTATTCGTGGGTAGACTGGCTGACAAATTCAAAGATCTCTTCGCCAACAAAGAGGGTGAAGATCGCTTATGGGCTCTCTGGATCTAAGCTACTAGGTAGCTGTCGCCATGGGGGTTCGTAGGGGTCAAGGGCTGAAGCCGCCGAGAGAGTTCTTCTTTGATAGGTAGTTCGGCGATAATTTCGTCAAGCTTTCGCTTATGTGTAGCTGTAGTAAATTTTTTTTAGCCCATAGCGAATTGTATGATAGATTTTATGATGGATTGTATGGCGGATTGTGTAGTAGGTTCCAAGGTTGGATAGGGGGCTTCCTACACAGTGAAAACGGACGAGGGGATACTGAGTAGGTGAAGTGATCATGCGCGAGTGAGCTTCTATGAGTGTGGCTAACTATGCAGAATCGCTCTTTGCATGAGAAATCATATTCATATTGTACGTAGATTCACTACGCTATGGCGAACAAATAAGTACAGCATTCATTCAGTCATATGTGAACTCAGTAAGAGTCCTAGGGCAAGCTCTCAGCCAATGGACCTGGGGAAATGAAGCCCAAATTCTCTCGTCGGTCGTCTTGCACACGGGCGTATCTACAATAGCATGGTCAGCATCATAAAAGACATATCACTAAGCACTCTCGAAAGGACATACTCTAACATAAGCCGGAACATATAGACATCCATGTCATCATTCCGCATTGTCTTAGCAGCCCACGACTACCCTTCCTCGCCAATGGTTCGAGCAATCTCCTGGCCGGCAGGATCCTGCTCGAAGAAGTGCACCATCTCAGGGAGTTCGTTAGCATCCTTGTTGAGCGGCACGTAGTGGACCCAAGGGATGAGCACGTTCTGCCAAAAACACACCTCTTCGATTTGTTTCGGTCGCGCTCAATGGGTCGTCCCAGCTCACTGGATTACAAAGAAGACCTTGAGAGATGATTAAAGCCGCAAAGACAGGCTGAAGGAGAGAAACGACAGGCTGAAGAACCAAACATACAGTTGATTCCGAATGGATAGCAATTGTTGTGATCCACTACGCCTCAAGCGCGATGTGTCGCTCCATGTTCTGAATCTTTCAGAGTCGACGTGGCGCGCGTTACTTTGCTCGGCCGAGTCTGCGAATCATCTGCCTCATTCTTACAGCAACATTAAAGCTCTCCTCCATCGAAAACCTTAAATTCCTCATTCTCCAGAAGTATCTCAAGTGCCCGGAGAACGTTCGTTGTATATCGATATAAAGTGGGCTATCCCGGCGGATAATAAATCATCAAGTCATATATATAACACCTCACAGGTAAGAGAGATTTCCCTGGAAGGACCCGTGCGTTGTTGACCTCTAGCCTTACTACACATCGAGAGAGCACTTGTAAATGTACAGTACGTCGCGAAACCGGTGCAACAACTCTACTCTCTCAATGAATTTTCTGTCCCTCACGCCAAGATACACTAATTCATATTTAGAATTATTCCGGTACATACACTACGTCCCGAAACCGGTACGCCCACCTAGACTCTTCTATTGATTCTCCAGCCACAACACCAAGACACGGTAGTCTATTTTAGGCGTTTTTCCGGACACCTCTATCAAGTAGACAAGTATTATTTCTTACTTAGATTATATAGTGTTTGAGATTATATACCGAGTATTCATTTATAGATTAAATACATCTGATACCTCTATACCTGACCTTCAAAAAAGGGTCTCCCGGGCTTTAGAAACCTACCACGAGACTGCCATATGGGCAACCCTACGCCGAGAATGGTAATGTGGGGGGGGGGCTTGAGGCTTTGACTAGCTCTAAGTTCGAATTTAGGAAGTGATAGGCTCTATGTAGATACACATGATGTCGGTGACCTGCATATAGCTTCGGTGGGGGTTCGCAGTAATTGATATCAATTCACCAACAACCCAACCACTGTATTCTTGCAACCGGAGTGGTGCAATACGACTGGGGAACATTTATTGGGCATCTAGGATTTTTATGACCAAGTGCATGAAGTGGTGTCACTTCGAGACCCGATCATCTTCTCAATCGCCGCAGAGCAGTCTTCCATCAGAAACGCCGCGCACAGCATTCCATAGGTATATACAGCTCAGTGTCTATGATATTAACGACTTTATCTGTAATTTCGCCTTCCGGACTGCCGCCGCCGCTGTTACTCAGACGCTCTTCTCTGCTATCGGTCGCGTCGCTGGTAGCTCCACAATTTCCCGCCTTGATTCCAGCTCCATAGGCTGAACCCTATCCGTCGCGAAATTTCCGTACGGGTGCTGCCCCAGACTTGGCTGGATGGAAATAGGATATAACTTCTGTTCCATCCGACTTGATCGTGGCGCGGTCTTTCGGTGAACCCATGCAGTGATTTTTGTTCGGTTCCAAACCAGGGCGACGATGGCAATGAAAGCAACCGCGGCCACTACAATGCCCGCGATCGCTCCTCGGGACAGGCTATTCCCACTATCGGTGGATGAAGATGGACTAGCTATCGCGGTCGCTCCGGTTTTCATGGGTGCAGAGTTACTACTCGTAGATGTCGCTTCGGATTTCGTGGGTGCAGAATTGCTGCTCGTAGATGTCATCTACAGACAAACAGGTTCCACGTTAGCCGTCATCGCGGATGTAGCCAAAAATGTTATTCCGAAAAGCTTTACCTGGACATATTCTAGTCCAAACCCGTTGATCGCATCAAAATCGGGGGTGAAAGTCACTGTTGCTGTTCCCGTTTGACGAGAGTCGCCAAAAACCGAGGTTTGTGTGACTTCTGCGGTGTACGAGCTCGAGAACCTCTCTTCGCAGCTCAAAGTGAGTGAACTGTACACCTTTGCGCTGCTCGCGCAGGTCATAGGGCGCGCGCTAGTTATATCGTCAGTCCAATGGGGTAGAAGCGGCTACAATTGTGAGAGTAGCTAACGTCGGGCAGCACACAGTTGTCGCGTCGTCGAGACCATGGGCACAGGCCGAGGTATAACCAGTCGGACAGGAGACTGCATAGTAAGGTATGGTTGGGGTATAGCCAGAGGGTGCACAATCGGATGTCGCAGTGAGGGGTCCAAGATTGAAAAAGACCGCACTCGTGGTGAGATAAATTTCCCAAAGATCGGTTGAAGCTGGACAGCTTGTTGGAGACCACGTTGAGGCAAGCGTTTGGGTAGGCATTGTTTTGTTGTTGCACCCTGACACAATGATTTAGGGGAAATGGTTCTAATCCGCCCCTAGAAGACCGGCCGGCCATTATGACTTCTTATTCGCACCTTTCCCTTTCTACAACTTAGCGCCTGCATGTGGGGTTGTCAGCAGGAATAGCATCCATTCACAGTCAATTATGCACTGGCAATCACAATGGCCGTCCTTTAGCCGCCAAACTCACCGAGTGACTCGCTTAAGCCCCCAACGCTCTCAAGCCTTAAATGAACACGTGAATTGGTGGTGCTTCATCTTCTAGACCTGATAGTAAGATGCCATCTTCGTTGAAGGGAAAGTAAGTCATCCTTCCAAGGCAGAAGATGCCAAAGGACTCTCGTCACATGTTTGTTGTGCTAAACTCTATCAAGAGCTTGTCAGAGAACGTGAAGTAAAAAAAGTTAGGTGAGGAAGACAGGCTAAATATTTTAATAAGCAGGTAAGTAAGGTAATGTAAATCACTATTCGCAACATCAGGTACCGAGTAAGCTCCGACTCACTTAGGCATAGGAGTGGCAGAGGGAGGCGACACCTCGTCAGAATCTCGCGGCCAACCGGCTCTGGTGTTTAACGTGTTTGCACTAGTGTAGAACTAATACAGTCGTAAGGCACAAGGTCGAATTTTGATTAAAGTAAATCATGAGAGGGGAAGACGGAATCGCGGGCGCGAACTCAATCGCCAGCCTCCTGGGCGGCTCGGTGGGCCTCGAGGGGATCGGCGGGGCGTGCTCGATCATCGTCACAGCAAGGTCGCGAGATACGCCAAGTTTCGTTCGTCCAGCTTCTAAACAAAGCCCTGAACGGCAGCATTGAACGTAACAAGGGACAAGGGCCCGGCGATTTTGTGGAGGTTTCTGAACCGAGGGAATTCTGAGTTGTCTAATATGTAAATGTCAGACCGGTAGAGATTCTAGAGAAGGTGGAAGTCCTCGGCTCGATAATTAAGCCCCCATTGGATGAAAAAGAAAGCCTCTGGCGCGCCTCCATTACTTCTAGTCTCACTTTGAGTTAGCGGTTTACGCTACCGAGACCCACGCATGCAGGACGGGACGGCCAAGATTTCTTTCTCTTGGCTTTGATGACACTTTTTTTTGGTTTGCTTCCTACAGCGTATAAAGCACTCTCATGCATTTCGATACAGAGATAACAATCCTTTCCCAATCAGAAGGGATTCAAATACCTTCAAACCCCATAACCCTGACGTGGCAGCCCAATTCTCGGTCATCTCCATCCACTGATGGATTATAATTTCACTCAATATGCGGAGCATTTGTAAGTACGTTGCTCGACTTAACCTGCGCGATCGCCATGCAGCCCGGCTATCGTTATCTCCACAGATGCAAGAGGCTGACTCGTATCAGCGGCTAATAAGTACCATGACAATCCAGCGCATCCGAAAGTAGACTTCTAAATCGCTGGCATGGCTGCGAATGCGTGGAACTCGTTCGCCGTGGCTCCGGATTTCACGAGAACCAATTAACGGTCTTTATTTTCTACGCGATATATGTGCGGTCTCGTACAGTTGGCTGCCGCGTGGGCGCTTGCACTCCGAAGCCTCCAGCCAATGCCAAGAGATATCGAAAGAATTAGCCAAGAAAATGCGCAATAACGGTGTCCTTGACTGTAGTATCTTCGGGGGCTCCAAGACTCATGGGAAAAGTAATTGATGTGATCAGTCGATGTTAAGTCGATGCTACCTAAAGGTTCCCTTTTGGGGGGAAATTTCTGGGTTGTTCTGGGGCCAACCCCCCCCCCCCCCCCCCCCCCTGGCGGGGTTCTATTGCACTTTGTAAAAGAAGAGAAAGAGAGCGGTTGTGCTGACATATTGCCGCATACGGAAAGAAGAGAAGGCCACGGTCATGTGGCCATATACAGGCATAGGTCAGTTACATTACTCCCTTTCTGCCTCTGCTACGGGTGGGAGCCTCCAGAAGCTCGCGCAGACATCTGACTACTTTCCCTCGTTTCTCTCGGCTCTTTACTCTCTCCTCGCCGCTCTCGATCGCTGGTCCAACTCACTGTTCTCTCATCCTCACGACTCACTCTCTCCTCGCCAGCCCTCCCCCTCCCCCACCACATTTTACTCGGCCATTCCTTCAGTACGTCCGCTTCACTTCTCCTCTCCTCTTCTCCTCTCCTCTTCTCCTCTCCTCTTCTCCTCTCCTCTTCTCCTCTCCTCTTCTCCTCTCTCCTCTTCCTATCCTCGTTCGCCTAGCGCTTAACTCAGTATTCCTCAGATTCCACTGTGCTCCCTCTCGCGCGCTGAGGAACTAGCAAGATGTCAAAGTGAGTCCACCCAGAATACACTCCAAGTCTATGACTAACTAAAGTAGTCGTTGGACAGGACCAAGCATGCCGGCCCAAAACCTTTCTTACGGTCCCCCGGATATCGTGCCCGCGACAACAGGCGGCGCTGTGATAGATCAGCCGCCCGGGCAGATAGCAGCCACGGTCAAGAGACTGCAGTTTTCTGTTGCCCGACGAGGGACCGAATTGAAATCGGAATTACTTCCACGCCTCGATAGTCTGCCAGCACGTCGAGAGCCTGTTTTCCGAGCTTCTGCACCAAACACGTCAAACCAGTTCTACGGAAAGATGACCCGAATGGTCACGAACGTGGAGGCTGCCTTGATGCAAGTAGTTGGGGCCCCACCAGAGAGAGAATGCCTCCATTGTCGACGCTCCAACGGCATTTTCCATCAACGCATCCGTGTCCCGGGGGTAACTACCCACTACGCTAACTGTCACTAGAACGGGAAATCGACACGATGCGATCTCTCTAGGGAGACACCACCCCCTTCGGCATTCGCTCATACCGACGATGCTTTGCTCCTAGCCCTTACTAACGAGAACCCACCCCCGCATCTCGATGACGACGATTCTGTGACCGTCGATCCCCCGACCTCCCAGGCCCCAAACACCGATCCTTCGACCTCCCAGACCCCTGCCCCATCAACCCAGGAGCAGCTGATGGCTCTATAGCGTCATTATGCTGAGCTAAAGGCCTGTATGGAGCGCCAAGAGCGGGTCATAAGACGGCTGGATCGGCATTTAAACCCAGATCGCCGCCACCGTGGACGCCGAGGTTAATGCAGGGAATCAAGAAGAAGGACAAAGTGGCAGGTAGATTCATCATATCTCCTCGATACTCTGTCTCTTCTCTAATACACACTTGCTATTCCACTTTCTCTACCTTTGTAATTCTAGTAGTATCTTATGTCATTGGCGAGATGAAAAGGAGCACCACAATAGGATGATTGATTTCAGGCCATATAATGATCCAGAGAAGGCAAACCTGCTAGATATAAATAAAGGAAACACGGTCTCTCCTGAGTTATTATGTATATATAAGCCTATCTTAGAAAAAAATATAGAAAAGACCATAAAAAAGACCATAAAAAAGACCATAAAAAAGACCATAAAAAAGACCATAAAAAAGAGTGATAGTAGGAGGGAGAGTAGAATAATAACTTAGTCTATTATAGGGATAAGTAGAAAGAGGTCGCGTATACAGTCGCTAAAAATATTAACGAGAAGTATCACGAATTATAATGACTCGGTAGGTATTTTGTGAATTTCGAATGCAGCATTTTGCATTGAAAGGGGGGTTTCCCTCAGTAGGACTAGCCTCGTCGTGCCATGAACTTATCTGTCGTGTCATTAATGTCACCCTAGAAATAATATAAAATCCACAATGGAGACAAACTTGGCGGCGTGGTCCTTGCTTTTGGTCATTGTAAGGGTGAATAACAAGGAACATTCAGGTAAGAGGGAGACAACGATAGGAGGCCGCTGCTGGGTGCTCCTGGCGCATACTCACGAGTCATCCGTCGTTGCTTTACATGTCAGCCGCTCGCAAAATCTTTCCCTGTGCTAAAATGTGCAAATGCGCCTTATGCCAGAGTGCCCTGTACCTTGGGCGGTCTTTGGGCGAAGAATATTCAGGTGGGTAAACTGCCGCTTGCTACGCGCCTGAAGCACGCCTGAGTAAGCGGCGAGTCGCCCGGCACCAAGGTATGGGCGCTAGGTGAGGTCAGCCATACTTTTGGCTGTTGTATGTTTTTGCTCTGAAATTAGGATCTATTGGTGGCGATATAGGTGAGGGTAGTGGGCGAGGGGTCGCACAACGATGTTTTTTTTCCACCCTGGGACCATAAGCACGATGACATCAGACAGCATAAACGCCCCGACTCGTCTTTCTTGCCAAGTCCTTGCTAAGCCCCCAGGATCAGAACAGAAAACCGTACTCCGTTCAGTTTAAATTTTTCTACTCAAGCTGGGTTGCATCTGGAACCTTCTCATAACCCTACGCTTTGCAAGCTCAATAGAATACAAAAGCACACCTAATCAGAACAGGGTTTGATTTAGTAGGGTATACTGTAGATACTGAAAGATGACACCGCAGTGGCCAGGATTCAACTAATTGAAATCGGTTGCCATGAGGACTTCGGGGCGATATTTCAAGGGTCTTCTTGGCATGGCAGGTTCCAGGTACGGCCCCCAATATCGAATGAGATCAGCTACAACCCCGCAGCGCCCCCGAATGACATTGTGTCACAGAAGTCTGGCAAGCAGACTCTACCTCCAGTATTTGCGACCGCTTCATTTGCTATTTGCCAATTTTTGTTCCACTGCGCACTTGTTAGCATTATCTGACACGCCAAACGCTATGGGAACCGAAGTCCCCAAGTACAGCTCACTGCTGACGATCCCACTTGAGATCCGAAATCAAATATACGACCTCATTCTAGGTGGTCAAGTCATTTTGTTCATCTCCACCCAAGGGACGCAGTTACGGCATTGTCTTTGTCCAGCAAAAGATCAGAAGTTCCATTTTATACAATACATCGATGGACATAGCTCATGGTCTCATTGCGGCAGCCATCGTAGAGCGCCCGCTACCTACAAGCGACTTCCCCTTCTATTAACGTGCCGACAAATGTATGCTACTCAATAGATGGTCCCGTATTCCTTGAAATTTTATACTAACTACATGGATCCATAGTTACTCGGAAGCAGCGAATATTTTATGGGCTCATAATACCGTTCATCTCCATGCTGGAACATATCCAAGGTTCCAGATTCTGTCTCATCTAAAAGCTACCTTGCCATCTTACGCATTCAACGGAATTAGATCGCTTGAGGTCTCATGTCTATATGGCATTCATCATGGAGAACAATCCCTCAATAAAGATTGGTTTGATCACTGGGATGGAATGTGGAGCGTTGTCAAGATTATGGAAGGACTCCTCGACCTCCAGGTTTGGGTAAAATTGGACCAAGACGTGAATATTGAACTGGAATCTCGGCTTCTCCAGCCGCTCATGGAGTTGAGAGTCAGAAATTTCAACTTAGAGGTCACATGGCCAGCAAGTGAAGGTTATGAGACCTTATGGCTGGGAGCACCATTTTCGCTGGTGAGGAACAACAGCCCAATCCCGGGAAAGCCAGAGTTAGGCATGGAGATAGTGAATGGTGGCCCACTTTGAGAATCTCGAATACGATGCCTTGAAAGTTAGCAAGAGCTGCCTTTGGATGAGAGCTCTACTAATGGCACTTGACTTTTGATCCTGCTATCACAACTCGAGTATTTCGTAAATTCTATCTAGCAGTTCTTCTCATCTCAAGATATAAAAAGGCACAGGTGAATCGCGTTTTACTGCTTTGTTAATATATGATAAATTCAATTGATAATGAAAGTACGATTCACAGCAGAATGTCCTCATCCTTGGTGATTGAGCGTTACGGAGATGGCTTCGTAGCCCCATTCGATAGAGTGTTTAGCTTTAACTATATGAAATTGAAAAGACTAAGAATGCTTGATAGAAAGTAATCTGAGCACTGAGAAAAAGAACAGTCAATTTCCCTATCACTTGCTCACAAAATCGCGCACGCCTCTTATCTAACCCCACAACCTTTCATTCACTCAAACTCTGTCCAAAACCTTAACCAGTCCAGGGCTGCATGACCATTTGCACATCTCGCTTTCCAGCATTTGGCTTGTTCTTCAATAAGGCCATTTTACCCTCCTTGGTAAAATAAGCCTTTTTGTTGATCATTTGCACACCTAAATGGAAGTTCGTAAGCAGATATATCATTTACCGCAAAGCCGAGAATAGAAAAAGTGATATGCTTACCCATTGCAAAGTACGAGATCGACTCCGCGTTGTTACATCCAACCGGTCCAGCTGACATACAACCTTCCCATCTGTACTCCCAGTCCTTGGTATGGCCCTTGTCCTCAGAAAGGGCGTGCGAAAACTGATATTTATAAATTAGTCAAAAGAGATCTTCACCCTGACGCTGTGCGGATTAGGAGGGACCAATCATACCTCATGCAGTAAAGAAACATCGAGTCGACTACCGAACACATCGGCGTTAGGCTCGCCATCCGTGAGTGGACGCTTGGGGTTATAGTCATTGAGATTCTTGTGATTTGTCACAGCATCAATGGTTGAATAGGCCGAGTGTCCCAGGACAGTGAGATACCAAGGGCAGAGCTGGATGGAGTTCTTGACTAGCTGCCCATTCTTTACCTGTGCTGATCTATAAGCAACTGTGTCGCCAGATTTACATCCATCATATTCTTTCGACTTTGGTAGGATAAGATTGGTGGTTTTGTCCAGGAGATATGTATCCTCTTTGCCGTCGATCTCGACTTTGGTTTCTTCATACCGAGACAAATCACAGTACAGAATCTTGGTACGTTAGTCATGCTCTTCTGTGCTCGCTTGCTCTTAGTCAACACTCACTGGATCGTGGTTGTCATTAAGGTCAACATCTTTCAAGTTCTTGAACTCTTGGACGTTCTTGTAGATACCTGCCAGAATGATCATGGTTAGTAATTTCAATATACACAGAATCCGTGAGACTGTCACCTTTCACAATATCAAGACGATAGTCAGCAAAAAACCATCCTTTTAGCTCATTGACGTTGGGGTCATTCCCATTCAGTGCAGTTTCTGCATCTTCTGCCAACTTCATAGCCTTGCCGACGGCTTCTACCAAAGTTGATTTGATTGCTGCTTGATGCATGAGCACGTGAAAAGACAAGAATAATGACAGGAAACTTACGATCACAGGATGAGTCAATTGAATAGGCATCGACCCAAATAGCCTGTAGCAAGAGAGAAGAAAGAAGAAGTATGACCTTGGACCAGGTCATCGTAGCCGCATTTACCATTGTGAAGTCAATAAAATGTTGTTAGTATCATGTTCTGAGGGCTTCAGACGGGCTTTTAAATATTTGGCATAACTCATACTCTGATTTCAGAATTGCCATTGGTGACATGGAAAGATGAATCGAGTCGGAACAGGTCAGCCTTGCATAGCCCCAAATTTGATCATGAAAGAATGCTGAAACGATTCCTTTCGACTAAAATCTTCAATTCCTTGCAAATACTGACTATTTCGTGTTCACTAGCCTGGGCATCTCACTCAGCTGCAATGGAGTCATGTACAATATGCGCCATTTTTAAACCGAAGTTCGGGGCCGTTTGAATCAGGCATCAGCAGTTCTGTGAAGCTATTAGTTGAATAGGTTCGAATGAGTATTTTTGGAAACGAGTAGCCCCATGTTCAATGGTAAGGAAGATCTACCGCCGTCCATGAAGTTTTCTGGGATACAACGATGGGGCCACAACTAGCGTCACTTTCTGTTCCTCGAGACCTGATTGCATTTCTTGATCTTTATGGGTCCAGCCGTGGAGAGATGAGCTCGTCTGGTCGTAGTTCTCACTTCAGCTCCATCTAAGCATTGTAAATTTCTGAATTCAAAGTTGTGCTTCTGCTAAAATCTTACGATAGTCTGCAAGGGTCCAAAAAAAAGCCGACTTGTCGTATTAGAATTATTGATGGAATCAATTACGCTCCATGCTTCCGTTTGAGCACTGACTGAATAGGCCTGAAGGGGCCGATTTGCGGAGTTGAAGGGTATCTCTATGGGCTGCGCCATGAGCCATGAAAATAAGGGTCCAAATCCATCTAAACTCGGACCAAAGAATCCTGATCCTTAGGGTCCGAATCTAGTTGGCCAAGCCATTATATGAGTGGCTGATGGCCAGAACTCAGGGTCCAAACCCCACTCATGCTCGGGCACCAAGTCATACACTGCAGGGTCCAACCTCAGCCAGGCGTGCCGCCAAGTTTAATTCCACAACTGCGAACGGGGTCAATGTTTAAAATTAGGTAATTCCATGTATCGCATATCAAACTGATCTCTACAACAAATCAGGTAAGGCTAACATTGCCTCTGATGGTCGGAAGAGTTTCATATACGTGCCAAGCCGTAGGGGGGCCGAAACCACCTACTAGCCACCACTGTCGGCTTCCTTTCAAGGGCCAAAAAAGGTTGCATCTTCAACTTGCACTCTTTTTCTGGCGGAATGGGGCGAGAGAAAAGAATGCCTTGTCAGGATGTGACTTCATCTAGTCTGAAGGGTCTGACTGGCGTACTGTCGGGATCTAAATTTGTTCTTGGGGCATAAAGACTCCTGCGAAAGGTATTTATATGTCGAAGCGGTACGCTCTGATAATTCAAGTCATTCTACTCATATATCTTATTCATCTATACACTTCTGCTTTCAAGAGAGATGGTTCAGTTCCTACAGTCTCTGTTAGTCCTAGGACTGACAGCCCATCTCTCATGGGCCAGTCCGCAGGGCTTGCCAGAATCCGAAGCCCTAGTCCAGCAGCGGGCACTAGCACCGGGTGATCAATATGTCTTTGCTTTCTGCCCAAAGTATGTGTTCATCTTACCGTCCTTTGAAGTCCTTTTTGGACATACATATATGGGGGTATCTAACAATATTCGAACAGGAAACTCCAGAAGTGTTCTGAATGCGGTGGAGATACCAAGAAGAAGGGCTTCTGCGATAACGAAAAAGCTCAGGGATCGGCTTTCGAGTACTATCGTTGCAAGCAGTTCCATAACACGGGCTGTGGTCTTATTTGCGAATGTATATCGGAAGAAACAGGAAAACCTGGGTAAGCATGATACCTATCGTCTGCTAATTCTCAATCTATTTCTGATATCCCGCCTTCTAGAACGGGTCTCCCACCTATCATTCCATTCCCACTCCCCCCAGCCGGATTTGTGGTGCCTCCAGCGGGAGTTCCAAATCCCAAGACTCCGTGTCAAGAAGATTACACGAAGACTAGTTGCAAAGATTGCAAAGCTCTGGAAGGCTGGTGCACCGTCGGAGATAACGCTGGATGTCCTTGTAAGGAGGAATGCCCTTCAGACGATAAGAAGCCCAAGTGCTCCGACGACGGGTGCAAAGGAGACGATAAAGGAGCGTGTACCATTGTTTGTTGCCCATATACACTTTTCTTTTCCTGTTCGATGCACTAACACAAAATAGGGCCATTACAAGGACTGCAAGTGCAAGGCTGAATGTCCTGACCCGAAGAAAAAGGCACTCCTCTGTAGCGACAAGGGTTGTGCCGGGAAGGACGGCAAATGTACAACCGTATGATCCCCTCTCTTCAATTTCCTTTGGAGTTCCTGGAAATGATTTTAATTTGGCACAGGGTACAAATGATGGCTGCGCCTGTCACGAACTTGCGAATCTCATCTTTACAATTGGATCCAAGTCGCAGGCAGAAAAGAGCGAGAAGATCATGGCTGAGCTCTCCAAGTACCTTAAGGATCACGAAGGAGAAGGAGACGAACCAACAGAACCGAAGGAGATTAAATGCGCCAGCACTGATTATAGCAAAGCAGTCGATGTGGATATTTCATTCATGCAAAAAGTCGCTGATAAATTCTGCGACGGTGATATGAGCAAGAAGCGCAGTCAAGACTTGACAAACAAGGATGTCTCAAGCTCTGCCTACGACAAGTATAAGTTCCACTTGGAATTCGATCCGGGAAAGAACTGCAAAACCGACTGCAAGGCAACCTTTAAGTCCATGATTAGCAAATGTATGTCTCCGACCCCAGGACCCTCAAAGCGCCGTTACTAATAAATTCAATAGGCGAGGGCTATAACAGCCATTCTATCCAGCTGGAAGGCAATGCTAAGTTTGACTGTGACGCAAGCTACAGCTACAAGATCACTGTACCCGACAAGCCAAAGCCGAAGCCCGACCCTGGCTTTGAACAACACGGTTTGCAGGAGAGAAAGTGCCATACCGCCGATCAGTTCGGAGGCCATGGGGACGTTCGTGGATCTGAGATTAGCATGGCTGCAACAGGCTGTGCTGGCATCTCTGACGACAAAGCCAAGCTGAAGGAAGGCTCTGAGCCTGTAAAGATGCAATCGACGTATGGGAGCACCAAGCTTCAATTCACCATGTCTTGGATTGAAAACTGCAAGGGATCTGAGCAAGACGCCAGGTATCCTTTCGGAGAGCCACACAACCTTGGTAACACCTGCTGGCAGCTTCTTTTGGATGATTGGCAGAAGTGTGAGTCAAGTTTTCAATTTCCTCTCTTCAAATTTATACTGACCTGAAGCACAGGTAACAACGGCGGTGCTGGAGGATCCATCGATTACAGCTGTGTGAGATATGATTTTAGGCCGACATTTGACTAGGATGATACAGAGGACTTGTTGATATGATGATTTCCTATAGCACTTAAGTTTGGTCATTCATTTTGTTTAGCACACTGAGCCTCGACTTAGTAAAGAAATTCGGTTACTCAAGCTGCTCAGTAGCGTTCTGGCCTGTCTTCCTGAACATATAAGTCCCGCACAGTTCTGTCTACTAAACCCTGAACTCCACTGTACACAAATTCTGAAACGCTGGTCGATGGCCATTCGGAACGGACTATGAATAATGGCGAGCTGATGTCTAGTAATACTTGTGATAGTTATTAGGAGGGGGGGATCTATTCTAGAACAAATATTGCAGTCGGAAGCGCTACCTAAGGTGCTGGAAGGGGTCGGAATTCACTCCAAAGTTGTTGATCGCCCTGTTCATTCTCTAGTCTGGATGCATATACACCGGATAATGTCCGCCAATTCTTGGCGCTCTCCTTCCGTTCTAGTGCTCACCCCCTCGCCGCTGTTGCTCACTGAGTAGAATTGAGCACGCCCTAGAGCTACCTGAGCCGCTCAGTGATCATTACGTAATCAGGGTGACCTAGTTAACGTAATTCCCGCCCAACCGGATCACCCGGCCGTGCGGATCACCCCAAAACACCATACGACACGATTTTTCAAGCCCTAATATATCAACAACGAGAACATGATTCTACTTAAGTCTAAGTATACTATAATATTTTAGTATCAGAATTAGTGTAGTATAGCTTATATACAAGAAAAACGATTATTTACCTACGATACCAAAAATTACGCTTAGATCGAGCGACGTAGATATATATATCTAGATCTTATATCCTAAAATATTTTCTTGAGCTTAGGGAATATCTATTAGGTTATGTTGAATGCTGAGTTACTATAAGAATATATAATTAATTAAAAGCGTTGAGATTTGACGATGTGAAATATCGCATTTAGTATGGTGTTTTGGGGTGATCCGGACGACTGGGTGATCCGGACGACTGGGTGATCTGGTCGGGCGGGAATTACGTTACTCACTAAGCCTGATCCGACCATCCTGATTTATCCATGATATAGGGGTACTAAACTAGTTTTGTGAGATCGTTGGATCCGAATACACATCGGTACCCTAGGAGTCTGGAGTGGAAAATTAGGGGAAGGGGGATGATGCTTACAGGAGGATTTTTATTCGGACGAATGAGACGAGGATGGAGAGTGTGCCGCAGGCACAGCGGGATCGATATAAATATTGGATTGGGATTGGAGAAAGTTTGAGACAGTAGTCTAGTCGGTGGTGGTTTAAATGGCTTGTGAATATTTGACTGTTACATATAGGAATGAATCAGTTTGATATGTGATAAAATTCGTATAAACTCGATAGTACATGGTTTGACACTACTTCTTCATCCGCATTATCATCGATCACATCATCCCAAAGCATACCCGTTCCTGCTCTGCACCATATCACGCCTTATACTCAGGCGGCGGAGCTGATACGACCGGCGCTACCGCCGGCAACGTACTCTTTGACTTCGCTCTAGCATGGTTGCGCAATATCATCCTGATCTTTGGATCCCCCGTCATAGTCTCAGGGGTAAACCCACTCTTATCCTTCGCATCAACAACGGCACCATGATCAAGGATCAGCTGAATCAACTCCGTATCCCCCCCAGCAACCGCCAAATGCAACGCCCCCTTCCCGTAGCTATCCCTCATCTCGAGATCCGCACCATGTCGCAAAAATATCCGAACCATATCAATCTGTTTGAACTCAATAGCCCGATGGAAAAGCAGCCATTTATTGAAATTGCCATCGATACTCTTCACCAGTTCCGGGTAATGACGTAGAAACACCTCGACGGTCCGGTTATGATTCTTTTCCACCGCGTATACAAAGGGTGTTTTCCCATCGTACAACTTCGAATCAACTTGTAAACTGGGACCCGTCATTCGCTCCCAAAATGTTCGCGTCAAACTCTTATCGTGTTTCAAGAGTATATCACAGATTTCATCATGGCCCTTCAAAGCCGCCGAATGTAGCGCCGTCCATTGTCCCGATTTACCAAGGGTGATGGCGCTGCAATCCAGGAGATTTTGCACAATCTCTGCATTACCAAAGTGCGCGGCAATGCGAATTGGCGAATATAGTTCATTCTCCTTGAACTCGCACATGGACGGATCACATTCAAGCAGTAGCCGGACAATCTGCTTATGTCCGGCACGGATGGCAAGATGGAGTGGAATTGAATTGTTCCCATCTTGAAGCGTGGGCGATGCATTCTTCTCTAGGAGAAGACGGGCGATATGCCAATGGCCCCTTTTCGCTGCATTGTGAAGTGCCGAGGTTCCGATCTCGTCTACCGTGTTCGGATCGACTCCGCTCTCTAGGAGCTTGGTGACGAGGTCGAGTCGGCCATGATCAGCTGCGATAATGATATTTTCGACGGCTGGGACTTGGTCGTTCTTTGGGTTTCCCGTCATACTGGCAGATTTTTGAAATCGATATAAGAGTCAGTTCAAAGTACGAAGTCAGGAATGAATGGCCTCTCTTATGTTGCATATTGTGATTTGTTGTTAGCGCGCCAAGTCGACTAAGCCACATTTCGGTATAACTAAGCGAACTCCCCCAATTTTCAGTACGCCTTGCGCCTCGCCCTGCCAAGACGGATCTTATCGTGGGGCATGGTTGTTTTGAGTCAGCCTCGGTATTTTCAAGCCAGTAGATTAGGACTAGGTTGGGTTTGCGGTCTTCCATCGAGCCGCATGCTTAGCCAGAGGACCTAACCATGGGTGTCATCGGATTTGCAGGGAGATTCTAGCAGGCGTCCAAATGAGATCCCAGTCCTTGGACCTAGCACAAGGCTGTGAAAAACCGAACGATGGCCCATCGTAACCCACTCGTCCGACCAAGCTATACATCTGACATGAAATATATTTATTGGTTTTTAATGCCAAATAAGTATTAAAAATAGAATATAGTACTGCTACGTGAGTCGTACAGTATGGATGGATGGATGATCTCATGCCCTGAAACGGAGGAACGGAGTGGAAGGGGTTACTAACCCCACGGATGCGTGACGCCGACCTTGACACAGCAAAACCACTGCGAGAAACACACCCCTACTTAGATATATAAAACGCTAATAGAGTAAATATAGCTATATTTGTATAACATCTATCTTTAAGTATTTATCTAGTCGATAGTGTTATAATATTTAATAAGGCTATTCACATATTAATATTAGTGCCTTAGGCACCACGTGCCGAGGGTTCTACTAAGGCGGTCCATGATTGGTCACTAAGCAATCACATGACTACACTGACCAGATCACTGACCATAAGCCCATGCTGACATTTACTCAGTGAGCTTGAGCCTGATCGCCCTCATTAAAGCGGCGGCAGCCCAGACAGGAAAGTCCCACCCGGCGGATATTATCCTGTGTATATCCTTCATGTATCCTTCATGTATACTTGTCTGTTGTCGACTTTGGTATTTTTTAAGGCCTCCAGACCGCTTTCGTGGACTTCCGGCTTTCCTATTCGTCCATATAGTATGGCCCCACTGCGGATAGATTCTGCCGTTTTACCCCATTAAATTTATTTATTTTTATACATGCATATCTCTCTGATTTCGAAAAACAATGGTTATGGGGATTATAAGGCTTCGGCAGCAGATCGAGGCGGTGGATGACAGAATTTTTGGGGTATCATCAAGGATGCCGAGGCGTACCATGATGTTTTATCGAGGCCGTGGAATTGATCGGTGATTTTTGGGATTGGGTCTGTTATCGGGTAAAAATGGCCGGCATTTAGGACGGCTCATGCTCATTAGAATGGCTTGACTATGGCGGCCCCTCACAGTCATTGCCGTCACGTCCATGGGCAAAAAGCTATGGAGCAGATTTCCTCCTGGTTTTCGTGAAGTATGAACTGTTTTCTCTATATCCTTGCCATAATCACAACGAATGAAAAACCGGCGATCGGTCCTGTATCGCCCCGAAGTGCCACGCACATCCGACCGCCCCGCCCGGAAAAGCCGAGCACCCCAGTCCGGGGATTTGCCGATCAACCTTTATATATAGCTTGCCCCTCCACGGCAATGCGCTAAAGGTTTATTCTCGCGGAACATCACAGTCCACATTCGCTCACAGCATCTGCTATAATGTCTCTCGAGAACCCCCTCACAGTCCTCTACAAAGAGGTCGACGGCAGCAAGATCACTACCGACCTGTATCTCCCGTCCAACACCTCGGCTTCTCCGCAGAAATATCCTGTTGGTGGGTCTAACTTTATCCCTGCAAGAGATTATGCCGCTAGATGTATACTGCTATGATTTAATTGCCCAATGAGACTAATTCAAGTCCAGTCATCGACATCCATGGCGGCGCCTTCATGCTTGGCCACTCACGCATGGTCTCTCTACCGCAGGTTAACGACTGCCTCGAGCGCGGCTGGATTGTGCTAGTGCCCAACCACAGATTGTGTCCTGGCGTGAACTTGCTAGAAGGACCTATGCAGGATATTCGCGATCTGCTGTCATGGGTGCACGATGGACACCTAGACGCTATTCTCAAGGAACAGGGGCCGTACCGCGCCGATTTGGAGAACATCGCTGCTTTCGGGACATCTTCTGGCGGAACTCTAGCCCTTGGACTGGTAAGTGAAACGAGATCTACTTCATCCAAAATGACATTCTAGACTCCATCTTGAAGCATATTAATTTGAATTAGGGTTGGAACGTCCCCAATCCTGCCAAGGCCATTCTATCCCTCTACGGCGCCGTGCACTTCACAGACCCTCTCTGGACCAAGCCCCTCCCACACGTCGCAGCCAAACTACCCCAAAATCTGTCAGAATCATTCCTCAATAAGATCTACGACCAGAAGCCAGTCCCGACCGACAGCTCGGTCTCTTTGGAAGGCCAGACCGAATCCGGTGTCTCCAAGGGACCTGATTTTTCAAAGTCCCGTGACGCTTTCGCATTCACGCAAATCGCCTCCGGCACTGTTCTCTCCGCCATCTACCCCGAGTCACGAATTAGCGATCCAGACTTCAAAAAAGTCGATCCAGTGCAGAATGTCTCCGCTAATTTCCCGCCAACGTATATCGTCCACGGACAGGCAGACACTATGGTGCCAATTCAGCTAAGCCGCGAGTTGTTGAAGAGGCTGCAGGAATCCGGTGTGCAATGTGGCATGACAGAAGTTCCTAATGAGGAGCATACTTTTGCAGCGATGATGAAGGTTGGCTCAGAGACTTGGTGGTTGCAGAGGCAGGGCTTCGACTTCTTGGAGGGTATCATTGGGAAAGGCCCGCAATAGATTACCTGATGATATGTAGATGACACTGACGGGTTCTAGATACATTCAGACTCCAATATCAAATATGAGCATTGGCCGAAAGTTTTCCAGGTCTTGAAATCAGGACATTCGATAATAGGCAGTGAAAAAAAAGGCTTTGCTTCCCGTCCATTTGGTTATACTAGCCATGCATCCCCCATGGCTTCAACAGTATTATATTAAATCCTCTAACTTCCTGGCTCATACTCTGTTTCCCCGGTTCCTTCAGCCAGTAGGATATACATATATGCCCCGCACTACAATATGCGTGATATTAACACCGAGCACAATTCTCCGCCCAACGTCAACATAGCGTGCCACCCTTCGACTGACAATCTGCAGCAGTCTCTTGGCGTGTTAGACGGACTAGGGAGGCTGAAAATAGCTATCTCATGTGTCTTTAATTGTTTCAAAGTAATGAATAGTTGCTCGCGACATGATAAAATCATGCTTTCTGCTTCCCATACCCTTGCTTTTTTCTTCATATTATGCTCAATGTCTTCCTTCAGGCCTGGAGATTGTTCCTCTGCTCATCGGGTTCTCAATTTTGAGTGGAAGATAAATCAGGCTTGATCTGAGTATGAAAGGATCCAAATTGCTCCATAGGAACCTGTGCGCCTTGCTTGGATCCCGTTTCATACATTGAAGCCTACGGCAAACATCTGTCAGGCCACTGCAGTATGGAAGTGATTATAGAAATCTTGATTTAGCTGGAAAGAAAAGAATTCTATTGCATAGCTAACTCAATCTCTCATAAGGAGTGTCATTCAACGAGAATTTATTTCTCGTACGAGGAACAGAGAGGATTGTTCAAAATCAAAATCAAAAGGGATCCATGAGGTGAACCAACGAGGGAAATTGAGGTTTGTCAGATGAAACCCACAATCTAGCCATTTCCGGTCCTGCCGGCAACAGAGTAGACAGTAGGAGGATTCGACTCTAATGAGAGGTCCATACACTATCATACCAAGCCTAAATCGCGTGGACTTGCACCCAGAATCGAGTATCATCGGTGCGATACTTTTCATTGCTCTCGATCTGCTGCTTGATCCACGCAACGGCATCCTTGTACGCTTTTATTTTGTCAGCCTCATATTTAGAAATAATACATCTTGTTAGCTTTGACGAACCTTGAATATCCGCCGTATATGGGTTCTGAACACCGCTTGCTCCATTACGGTGCCCGGCAAACCAGACGTCGTAACCAAAATGCTTCTGGCCATCGTGACGGGCTTTGATGTCCTTCTTCAGGTCGGAGCTGTCATTCATTATGTCAGCTCATTCTCAAATGTCGGTTGGGAAGAGTTTCAATTGCTTACTTGAGAATAGCACCATTGGACACCTGACCTTCGGCCTGGCCCTTGAACTCGGATGCAGAAGTTCGCAACATGAACCAATTCTGCTTGAAGATGCCAAAGTTGGTGGAGTCGCCATTTTTTCCGTCACCTGTAAATCAGTCGGTCATAGGTTGTTTAACATTGCGAGAGAAGATTAAGGATACCGTATGTATAATCAGTGGTCATTGTATTCCTGTCAACGTAAGCTAGGCATATAAAGGCAAGATGTAATTGCGTATTACTCACGTCTCTAGCATCGCGATCGCCAGATCTTGGGTATTGCCACCGGCCTTCAGCACGGCTTGCTTGCGAGCTCCGAGACCAGAAATGTTGTAATGGCCTCGATCACCATCACGGGCCCCCAGGCTTTTGCCAGCGATTCCTGTCACTGAAGCTGAAAACACGGAAGGCACAATGGTTAGAGCACTCAGAAAAGTAAGGAAACGCATTTTGAAGGCAATAGCGAATATCTTGATTGAAAATTGACACCGGACGTTGGATGGCTGGAATGCAAGACGAATCCTAGAATATTCTCTCCTCTTATATAGTTGTGCTACATCTGGTCTTGTATAAATGAACCAACAAAATTCCAGTTTCCCAGAAACTCCCGTGTAGGGACTGGAAAGGATCATCATCTTGTTTCGGGTTATATGATGGCATAACTTGGCAAAAACTGTATTAGTCCTATAATTTCCGGGCTCGGTGAGAACTATGTTGCTGCCTTAAATCATCTGAGACATATCAGAACGAGTGATTACAGTGTCTTTAATTCCAACATAGCTTTTGTCTTACATCGAACTCACCAACAGTTCCCGCGGTTAAAGGAGTAAGGAGAATCTTCGGAATATTGACATGACTTGAAACAGGGGTACCAAGGGCAATGGAACTGTAAAGGTCGGGTTCAATGTGGAGAAAATTAAACTTTGTGACATTAACTTCGCGTATTCAAATGGCCAGTTATATCCCGAGGGTGATTTTTTCTTTGTCCCTACGGTGTAGCTGTGGTAAGGAGTCCTAGTGCGCCCAGATTGACAGTGTTACCCCGCAAAATCATGTAAATGCTAGAAGCACGCAAATTGTAATACAATGTACTTCCCCGCAATATTCGAGTTGGAAACCGGTGTACAATTTGGGAAGTAACAAGTTGCACTGCCAAGTCGCTATGAATCTCTCGTTTTGTAAGTCGAGCACTCCGTCTAGAACCCTGGCGGCAAGCCGAGCCGAGAGTGGAGCTCAACTATTTGGCGGGTAATCGATCGAAGCCGAGTGACTTTGTAGCCCGACAAAGACCAGTATCTAGTCTACCACTCATATACATGAATCAGGAAAAAGAGAAGGGTAGCAGTGAGAGAAATTAATTATTCTCCTCCCAGAATTTTGATCAATCAATCCAGAGGCTACAAATTTTGGCAAGATTCCTGGAGTACATGAAGGAACATGTGGGTCTACCGGGGTTTTTCTAAGCACGTGAGCCGAGGCGGGATACTACTACTTTCGGCGAAGAATAGGCGGGGAATATCAAGGGCCTGGAGCCCTGTCTGTCTTCCATTTCGAGAATCTCTCTGGCGGAGGTCAATGTCATACCACCTGAGAAGCGCTAATACAGTGTTCAGATGGTGGCGCATCTTGCATGGTCTGCCTACTATGACAAATTCGGGTTCTATACAATGCAATAGGAGCAGGATCCGATTTCTTCCATCGTTCACTCGCATACTTTTGACACGGTGCGGCAATTCGGCATTGATACGGTCATTCCTGAGTTTTAGTCACGCACCCACACGTGAGTGAAATAAAAGGATATCAGGATAACACGAAAAAAAAATGCGCCATTGCGCGGACTTCGGTTTTACTTGACAACTGACCTACTTATATAATCTTTCCTCTGGTTTCCAAACGGAAAGCCTCTCAAAACCATGGCTGGATCACTCAATCACCTCTCCAAGGAAGAGGGCGCGGTCGAATCATCACACCAAGAAGATCCCGAGGGCGTCAGGGTTGAAATCGTCCAGGGATCTGTGGCGCTGGATATAGCCAGGCGAACCAATCCCCCAAAGCCATGGAGTCGCCAAATGAGAAAGCTATATCTGTTCCTGACGGTAGCTTACCTCTGCTCAGCCTTGAACGGTACGAGAACCTATCCTGATAGCAATTGACACATTGTAATGACTTCTATAGGGTTCGATGGTTCGCTCATGGGTGCTTTACTTCCTATTCCGCAATTTCAGGAAACTTTCGGTGCCGGTCTAGTCGGATCCCAGGCATCTTTGATACAAGGAATGTACACAATCGGAGGCGTTAGTGCGCTACCATTCGTCGGCCCTTTTCTAGACAATTTTGGCCGGCGCTTTGGTATGTTCATTGGGTCTGCTGCTGTCATTCTCGGCACTATACTAGGTGGTACTGCAAATCACATGGACCAACTGCTCGCAAGTCGATTTTTCCTCGGTAAGTTCCGAAATGCCCCTTTTCAGATAACATACTCACCTGAAATGAATTAGGCTGGGGATATTCCTTGGCCTCTTCTGCTGCACCGGCCTACGTTGTTGAGATTAGCCACCCCGCATACCGAGATCTTTTGACGGGACTGTATAATTGCCAATACTTTGTTGGAGCTATCGCTGCTGCAGGTGCCTGTCGTGGATGTCTTCATTTGCCTAGCTCTCTAGCGTGGCGCATTCCAATTTGGTGTCAGTTGATATCATCCAGCATCGTCTGTTTATTTGTTTGGTTTCTTCCCGAATCACCTCGCTGGTTATATAGCCACGGTCGCCGTGAGGAAGCTTGGGAGGTCATAACCGCCTATCATGGCGAGGGGGATCGAGATAATGCCTATGTTATCTTACAGATTCGAGACTATGAGGAAGCAATCGACCTCGAAGGCTCAGACAAACGGGCCTGGGATTTCCGGGAACTGGTAAATTCGAACTCCGCAAGATGGCGCCTTCTCTGTGTGGCAATTGCCGCATTTTTTAGCCAGTGGTCGCAAGCAGGAGTCACAACCTATTATATCGGTGGTCTTCTGGCTACTGCTGGTGTGACTGACACCACGAAAGTACTGGATGTCAACCTTGGCAACACGGTTCTATCAGCCGCGGGTGCCTACTTGGGAAGTTTCTTGGGCCCAAAGATCCGACGAAGACCTATGATGATTGGCGCGTGTCTTGCATGCAGTGTAAGTTTACCACTTGGCTTAAATCACAAATCTCTACTGACACATAACGTTGAAGGTCTGCTTTGCCGGTTTTTCTGCCACGGCTGCAGTCTATACGAGTTCGCAGCAACAAGGGGCCGCTACAGCCTCTATTGTGATTATTTTCCTCATCGGCTTTTGTTTCAGTTTCGGCTGGACACCTCTTCAAGCCATGTATCCTGTGGAATGTCTTTCTTACGAAACTCGCGCGAAAGGTATGGCCACATACTCTGTCTTAACAAACATTGCATTGCTTGTGAACCAGTTCGGGATCGGCAATGCAATCAGCATGATTGGCTGGCATACCTACATAATCTTGGCCGGTTGGAATATTGTACAGGCTTTGATAATCTATTTCTTTGCCGTCGAAACAAACGGACAAACCCTCGAGCAGCTTTCAAATATTTTCGGGGCTTCGAACCCTCGGAAAGCCAGTACGGAAGCACGAAAGATCGTTGTCTCGGAGAGAACGAACCAAGTGACATTGGCAAAAGATGAAGAGATTATCTGAGCATTTCTTTTTTGAGTCCGAAGACTTCATGACAATAACAAGTTTTTCTTACCGCCAACACTCTCACTCTCACGTGTTGGGCAAGTTTTTGTCCTGTTTGGTGTTTGGAATTTCATCGAGTGCAGCTTGAGAGGACCATATCTAGCCAGGGCTCCAATTTCTCTCTGGGCGCTACACTGGGCCTCAGTTTCGCGGCGCATCTCAAAGGTTTTAGAATTGACTGGCCAGCCAATCAATTGCTATATCTCTGGGGAACACGACCTATTCAAGTCTTTGAGCTAGAAACCCGGTTCTTCTTCCTTTCGTAAGGTAAAACCGCTTTGTAGTCAATTCAAGAAAATGATATAATACAATTCCACCTGCAGAAGGTTTCACATCTCAGCGTCGACGGTGTCTAAGAATGGCATCACCTCGTTCTGCCCATTTAGCTTAGAAATCTCTGGCCAGAGATCACTGGATTCCCAACTCAGATATTCCCACATGGACTCTGACCAGCCGTTCCCAAATCCTGCAGTCATCCGATCTGCCAACTGATCCTGACCGAAACTTTGCGAGTTGGTCAAAATGTTCATGAATGGGAAATCCTGCCCACCAATTTGACTTGCACTGGCGTCAAATGACTCCCCATTGGGACTTTGCATGTTGGCTTCCAGGATGCGAGAAATGACTTCTCGTGAGCGTTCTGCTGTATGTCCGTAAGGTTTCAAACGGTCGAGGGTCATTATAGCCGTGTCGACCTGTGCCTTGCAGTCATCAGACAGATCAGAAGAGACATCATGTGTTGGGCCGAGAGAAAGACAGACTAGCGGAACCATCGTGGCCTGGAATAAAAGCCACACTGCATTCCAGCCAATCATATTATTCAACGGCGCTGTTATTGAGATATCCTGGATCAAGGACTTTGCGATTTCGCTGCAGTTTTTTATTGCAGCACGCTCCTCAGCTCGGACAGCCATGAATGGGATTCTTCGTATAGCGTAGTTGAGAAGCGTGGGTCGGTATAATAGCATGCGCTGGTTTTTATATCGCCAGCGCATGACGGTACGCACGGCATACATCGACTCCGGGCAGGGTTCATAATCTTTTAGAATCGCAGGAAGATTGTTCCACCACTGAACGAGCTGCGAGTCTATGTCGAACATTTCGGCGTATTTTGTTGTTGGGAGGGAGGCAAGTAATCCGTGGATTTTCGTAGCGATTCGCACAAATTGGACATTTTCGGTCAAAGCCAGAATCTTTGTATAATTTTCCTATCCGCGTGGATTTTCGAATAAATCATTAATCTTTCGAGAAGGAGTAGAATTGAATGAAAGCATACCTTGTCCAGTAGGTTGGGGAGGTTGACGGTAATGCCAGGACCAAAGCAATCCATGCTCGGTCGGCCGAGTGTCTCAAGACCCCATATTTCCAAGCAACAAAGTGACCACCAGACACGGCGTTTTGATTCTTGCGCTCTCGACCTCGAAGGATTCACGGATATATGGCTGTCGTATGGCTCCCGCTGCAGACCCAACGAGATTGCCATTCGCATAGCAGCGCCCATCAGAGAATATCCCAAGTTTGGCTGGCTGATATAGTGACAATACCACCCACCCATAAGACCCAGTGCCTGGGTGACTTCAAGGCTGGGAGTTCCAAGCGAGCTCAGATTCAATTGACTCATTGCACGCTGGAAATATGCATAATGTATCTGGTTATCTGCACCGGATCCTGACGCTGCAATATTTCCCAACGCGAGAACGATATTCGACAATGATAGCCATCGGTTGTCTCTACGCTGGCCATCGAGATAGGTTTTTCGAAAGTTTTCTTCATCCAATAGTGGTGCGAACGGATGGAAATTGGTAAAGTATGCATCCAGCATCTCCATTTCGGTTGGTGGAGGGCATGAGACGGGTGGAACCAAGGACTGAGGTGACACACTATTTTGCTGGCCGCTTTGCTCCTTGCTCAAGGCGAGAGAAAAGTAGGCTTCGAATTCTGGGTGGAGCCACGCGATCACCTTGAGCGCGGCTTGAATAGATGATACTCCTAGATATGATGTGGGATGGCGGTTTGTTAAGGATAAAGCATTCACGTCATCTGAGATGTGCCCAATCGATTCCGAGGTGCCAGAACTCTGATTTTCTTCGAGCTGTTCTCCTGGTATTGAATGCAAAGATTCCAGGTCGGGTCTTTCCATTGATAAAGTGGAAGCCTTTGTCCCAACTGAAGGAACATTTGCAGGTGAATCTTGGGGCTGAGCATATTGTGATCCATCAATAGACATCAAAGCCAAGAGTTCATCCCTTGATAAGTGGGCGATGTTCTCAGGGGTAGTGTCAGGAAACAGCCTTGCCAATGTGTTCCGGTAGTCAGCTGGAACTGTTGTTGGCTTATCTGAGTGAACATTTGAGTGGCTATTTGTATATTAGTATCGACAGGTTTGATTCGATCAAATTGCATTCTCGCGTTCAGTTCCGGTATTTTTTACCTTGGTGAATTTTGAGAATCATGTCGCTCTGGGTAGGTACACAACTCAGGCTTCCTGTACCATCGACAAGCTTCGCAAGGTTTCTCGCCATCACATTTGATCTTGCGGTGGCGACAAGATGCACAGGCACGCGGTTGAGATCCTCGTCGACTTGAGCGTGTACTTCTCTTTGAATGTTTTGGGTTGCGTGGACTTTTCTCGCTCTTTTGAGATGATTCAAACGTGAGAAACATGGCCGTCAAGATGGGATTTTGGTCACTAGAGATACTAGGAGAATGAAGGAGATAGCGAGATGGGACAAGATTGATTACATCCGATCCACAAGGATGGGATAGAGTCTACCCCGGACTTCAAAGAATGAGGGGCGCTCGGCTCGATGCAGCTTGAAGCGAACAGAGAAGTCAGTTAGCACGGGGTCCACCGCCCGATAATGTCGGTTTGGGTGACTGACTGTATTTAATGGACCCATGGATACGTATCAGAAGGTATTAGAACGTTCCCGTTCCTTTGCAATAACCGCAAACAGCAGAGGATTATGAGGGAAATGGAGAAGAGTCTGTATCGTTCATAACCAGGACTCCTTGGCGGTGGAGCCAATTACAGTGCTCTGCAAATCACAATGAGTTCATCCCGGATGGCTGACGACAAGTCCCAGGCACTAGCTTGTCTGAACTTGCCCATCTCTCCGTGTCATTTTAGGAAGAGAGGCTTCCCCATAAACGCTAAGCCTATTTTGGCGAGTAAGAGGCGGGCAGCCGCTCCGACTCGTGGAAGGCTTACTTACCTTGCAGTTTACACTAGTTTTCTACATTGGGCCTCGCCTGTCGGTCGCTTGCTAATAAAATGGTCTAATAACCAATCTTTCAAGCAAGCTAGTTGTTTACCCCAGGATTGATCAGTTTAGTTGTGCACAAGGACGATCACATAGTACGGTGGAAGCCTGTCGACTCCCGTACGAACAATGATAAGCGTAAGTAATGAGTCTAAATCGCATCCTCAATACCTAGGCTATGCGCACTCAATACCCCCTCCAGCTGGCTTTTGTGCTATGGGATAACGATAATTTGGACAATCGGTAATCTTTGTCCAGCTACTCATGACGTTGTTGACCTCTTGGTGACTCCTCAGCACAATGCTCGCGATCTATCCTCCTCCCATAGACGATGTTAAGCTTTTCCACGTTAGCAATAATACGTATCATGAGAGCCGCCAACCAAATTGAGAATACTTACTCAAAGCATAGACCGAGATATCATTAGTGGGCAATTTGTTGGTTATGTCTTCCTTGGAACTCCCAGTCGTCTCAAGAGGTATACTGCGCCAACTGTCGAATCGCGCACACACATTGATTACTTGGATATTAGCCCGAGCTCCGAAGAAAAAGATTCAGCATATAGAAATGCAAAAAGAAAGACTTCTTGTATGCATCATCCGTGAATCGAACACGGGCCTCGTCGATGGCAACGACGAATTCTACCACTAGACCAATGATGCGATGGAAAAGAAGAGCTGTGCATCATCCGTGAATCGAACACGGGCCTCGTCGATGGCAACGACGAATTCTACCACTAGACCAATGATGCTACAAACCAAAGGCGAGTGGATCGCTGATTGGCTGTTGTTATTATCTCCAGTCATTTTTGACATGATTAACGGGATCCCAAATTCTGCACTGCCGAGTCTAATGTGAGAAGGACCCAGATATTGCGATCAGGTAATTTGACAATAAGTAGGGCAAATTTCATAGGCAAATTCGTTCCATTCGAAATTCTTCGTAAATATTGTATGCGCATAGACTTCTAAGCCATTGTTGAGAATTCTTACTAGTGCCATTGTGGGAGAGGGCAATATGAGTACTACAGGCAAATGACCATGAACAACGGTCTCGAACAATAACGGATCTACTATTCTATCTCGTGGAGTTTCCTATCCCCACCGGCCAGGCTGGATAACTAACTAATTTACATGGATAAAATCACTTTCATACAAACATACAATAGTCTCATGTTGTTGTGTTCCTGTTCCAACTGTTCTACCGCTAGGTGGCAGGCATTCTCATGTGCGGGATCCCGAGCAGATACATGTCAAGCACACACGACTCCATGACGGCCATATAGGCCTAGAGATGTAGGTTCCGAGCTCAAGTCATTCAAAGATCCCTAACATCAAAGACAGTAGGCTAATCTCACAAACCAAGGTGGATCTGCTGAATAAGTCGAGTTTCGTGACAGCTCCAGCCAGGGTCGAGAGTATCATTGAAGTAGACCCAGAAGCGTTAAGCCATAGAGAGACGTCTATACTACCCAGCATACCTGCTTCATTAGTGAAAATGCACTATACTGAGTATTGTTCAAGACACTCGTGAGCTAGTTGGTTTAATCTGGTTTAAGCAGTCGAGATCTCAATTGCAATATGTAGGGCTCGGTAACGCCAACGCCATAGTCTACAAGGATTGACACAGATGGATGCTGCATTAGTCGCCCCCACCATTGTTTCCCTCTCCATCATTCCGATATCATTCTGGAATGCCATATGTTTCGTCGGTCACGCTGCTATTTTACGCAGATTCCGTGCTAATCAACATGCGACATGATGCGGGACACGTCGCCCATCCTTCCCGTGTCACTCGTGGGACTGTCTCAAGATCAACCCGACGTCTCCGGCTTGGAGATTCTCAAATCTCCGCAGACGAGAAATGCGGGCTAGTAGCGGACGAGAAAGCACATGCTCAGACAATTATGTTATGCGCGGGGGATATAATGCGCAATGATACGGCCGCGTGGACGTAATAGGCCAAATCCATCTAGCCCTGCATCTGCTGTCAAGATTTCATGCAGTAGAAGTCCATCCTGATGAGGAATTAGATTGAAGCAGTAATGACTGGCTGGCAATCCCTGGCACTGGCAAACTTTCCCGTGCATGTGGGGAAACAATGTATGCATGTCTCGCACCGATGCGTCAGACGGGAATAGTCATGATAGATTCTGATAACGCCATGAGCAGGACAGGTACCGATATTCGGGCTATGACAGACAGTCCAGATGTACAGAGTCCCGGGATAAGACATCCCCGTCCATAATGGAGGGACAGCTGCAAGTCGGTGAATTTTTCCCGGTTACGAGGGAGCCCGTCCGTCTGGATCATGGACTGTGCGCAGGCTGGGCGCAAGGGCCCTGGCACACTTAACAGGACGTCCGTTATCAAGTCAATTGTGCATCCCGGCGTGATCTCCGACCGTGACACCTCTAAGAATAGTCGTGTTTGCTGAAGATTATTTTAATACCAGAAGAAACCGTACCAAAAGCTGCTGGGTATCTACAATATCGAGCAGGATACCTCTGTGCTCAGATTGTTCCGTAACGAGGCTAGATTCGTGCAGAGAAGTCAGCACGACGTACCGGAACGTTTTGGTAGCGGTCATCCGTCGAGGCGTATTCTTGCAGAAGCATGACGTCCGGGCACATCCCGGGTAGTGGTATCTTTCCTGCACGACTGCCGGTAAGGGTATGAGGATCAGGGCGTCGAAGCTGGCCCTTTACATGAGATGATCCACCGGATGACAGACAATGAGGGGATGCATGCGGCTGATTCGAGGAGGGGGTAAATATGTGACTAGCCACGTCGATACTAGCGTGGACGAAGTCCGTGAAGAGGGGGTGGAGTTGATGTAAGTTGATCGAGGCCAGCGTCAAATCCTGCCACATGATTGGGTAGACAACGGGCGTAAGGTCCATCACCATGCACACAGTGAATTGGCCAATCACGTCGTCAAACTACCCGCTCAACCCACGGCCAGTTCAGCCAAAGTCCAACTGGGAGTCCAGCCGAACAATCCAGTATGTGTTACTGCACCGTGTCTGTGCCGCTGATCCATTCGATTCCCTTAAAAGATCCCCCTGCCGCCCAGGCAGACTCGCTTTCCTTCTTCTCTCCAGCGAGCGTTTGTTGTTAGAGCTGTCCCCATTCGAGTCGAAAATCCTAAGCACTGGCTGCTAGGTGTTTGTTTGTTTCTCTTGCCCACTTTATACTTCTATTCTAATTCTATTCCCTCTTGGTTACTACCAAGCCACCACCAAACCACAAAACCCAACATCACTATCCCCATCAACACAAACGAGCTGTGCTCTTTGTGCTGTGCCCCCTTTTCCAAATCTATCTATCTATTCTGCCTTGTGCTTCGGAGTTTAATCTCGAATCCAATTTTTTACTCGCCAACCACAGCAGGTGCATTCCGCCGTCTCGCAACACTTCGCCGGTCGATCGTGTTGTTGCCTTGCTGTTTCAGCTCTTACAACAAACTCCACTGTTAATTTAATCTCGCTCGGAATTACTCTTTAATTCCTATATCTTCTCTTGTTGTCGTGGGCCGGTTCCACCTCGAACAGAACAAAGCCAGAGTTCCTTGACTCTAGTTTTGCGCCGATACTTCTCTACGACAACGTTTTACGACACGGTTTCCAGCTGTCTACATTTTTATACTTCGACTGATTTTTTTCTGATTTGACCTGATTCGCATCTTTCAAAATGGCCGCCGTTCAACTCAAGTTTTCCCTGCGGACCTCGTCCAACGTCAAAACCGTCCACTTGGTCGGCTCCTGGGACAGCTACGCGCGCCAGCTACCTCTCTCTGCTGAGGAGAAGCCCGGTGCCTGGGTCGGCAAGTTCCGCTTCCAGACCTCCATGCTGCAGCTTGGTAGCCGCTACTGGTACTACTACATCATGGACGGCTACCATGTCTCCCACGACCCAGCTGTCGAGTACACCGTTGAGCCCACCACCGGCCGCAAGCTGAACATCCTCGACGTTCCCGGTGGCAAGTCCAGCAGCGGTGCTCGCAGCGCCCCCAAGGCCCGCCGTGGCTCGAATGTTGCTACTGGCCGTGCTCTCTCGCCCTCCAAGATCCAGCACCCAAAGCCAAGCAAGCCCTACGCCTCCCGTCAGCTCCGCGAGGCAGAGTACGCCCCAACCGTCGACGACTTGACCCGCCGCTTTGCCGGCTCGCGTCTGTCCGATGAGTACTCGTACTCCAACAGCCCGCCCTCCTCGGCTGGTTCCTCGCTGTCATCCCGCTCGTCGGGCTCGACCTCGCCTTCGTCCCTGTCCTCCATGAGTGACCCTCCACTCCAGTGCCGCTGTGAACGCTACGGGATCACACGCAAGGGCGACCGCGTCAAGTTGGACTGCGGCGGTTCTCGCTGTGGCTACGTCACCGAGTCGAGCGAGGCTAGCTGCTCCGAGTCCGAGGATAGCGATGAGGAGTACCGCCGGGCGCGCAGTGGTGTTCGCCGCCAGGGCATCGTTGTCCGCAGGTAGATTGTAGACAAGTTACAGGACTAGCTTCGGCTTGTGTTTCTCTCGAAAGCTGGATTCTAGTCTTTGCCTGTCGCTGCCAACGTCAATACCGAAGCCCTACGCGTGTGTTTTTATGCACCCGCCTGGATCAAGGTATCGAGGGACCTGAAATCGGTCATCGCTTCCTTTTTGAATGCCTTGCTTTTCACCAAGCTGTGAAGAAACGACAATAAGTTAAATTTCAAATCCAAAAAAAAGCCCTGCGCCGCGGGTGAGCCGGTTTCACGCCGCGGCGGGGCGGGGACGATAATGATGTTGTGGAGAAAGAGGAGTGGACTGTCGTGGAGTTAGGTTGAGGAGGAGGAGAGCAGAACAAAGAAAGAAGACATCGATGAACGCACCCCCGATGCCCCCTGACAATGTTCCACCCTGAAACTGGACCGCTCGGGGTCTCAAATCAATCTGATCTCAATCAGACAAGAGCCCAGCTCCAGGCACGTGGACGACCCAGATAAGCTTATCTTGCAACAGTCAAACTCATCTGCAAGCCATAAGAAGTTAACGATCGCTCTGTGAATTTCCTGTTACTTTGGTTTCCTTCAGCATGGATCACAGCCTTGCGAGAACAACTGCATTGGTTTCCCATTGCATTGCATCACTGCATCCTTGCATCTCCGCACCAATGAGCATCCGTGGATGCATTGACTCGATCATTCGTTTCCCATTTTCTTGGAAGTGGGTGACTGGGTTCGAGCTTGGTTCAGGTCTTTTTTTCTGAGATGCGCTACGAAATAATGAGATATGACCACTGGATTCTCTTGGTGCATCTAATTTGAGTACCTATGTCAACGTAGAGTACAGACTGTAAGATAGACGCATGTAGCTCGGAGCGACGTCGTGTAAGTTGATTGGGTAAAGGACTAGTAACCCTTCCTTTGGACAGTTGACTCGTATATTAACTATTATTTTTGGGGGCATATTGGGCCAAAGATCATGTCTACTGTAATTTTTCACATGGACTCTTGTCGCCGCCGCCCTGTGAGTCCTCGCTTCCCCTCAATCAACAACAATTGCTGTTCCAGCACACTCAACTTCCAACAACTCACTAAGCAAAACGACCCACAGCCCCACACACTTATCGCTTATCGCTCCACCAACAAAAATCGATCATTCAAAAAGACATTCGGAAGGTTCCAAAATCCCAAAAAGAAACGACAGCTGGCGGATTTGAACCGCCGCCTCCGAAGAGACTTGATTTCTAGTCAAGCGCCTTAGACCACTCGGCCAAACTGTCTTGTTGGGAGCAAGCTCAAGATTGTTACATAACCCTGCAGCGTGGATTTAGTATAATAATCACAGATCCCAAGTCCAATGACTATTAAAATGAACCCAGGATGATAGGCATTATTATCGGTTGGTCCAACACTACCATTTGAGAGGTAGCAAATATCAATGAAAGTGCTGACAGGGCGCTGGGCTGCCGGTCAATTCTTTCTCTCCTTCGATCGCATGTCGATGCCTGTTATATGCCTTGAGGTTCAGGCATATTATCTTCATCTACCATAACCATAGTAGATCCCTTCTCTTGATCTTACATGCAAAACTCACCTTCTCCCATCAGATTTAATCACTGTTGGCTACAAACATATTGTACAATATCTCAGCTCTCCATGGTTGGGTTGCGACGAACATGTCTCTAATCAACGTTACGGGTATAGAAGCTTGGGTGGCCGGATATATATAGTACAACGCATCGAGAACCCAATGGCAACCCTTTGTCACCGACAACATATTCATGTGACAGAAGACACATTATTTTCTGTCGGGGTTTAGATCATATTACTCGCCATCGGGATAATTTTAGTAGCTACCCACCGAAAGAAAACCCAAGCACCCAGAGAAAGTCGATTTGAAGGTGTTACACCCGACTGGGATCAGCACCACGGCACAGAAATGATCAACCATGCCTGCTAGGGTCAAGGATAGATTTCCATATTACCCTGTGCATAGATTTTATAATAGCTGGCTTTCTAAATTAATTTGTTCACTACTACACTCTTCTCATACCGGTTCATCTATTATTTCCCTCTACGCATGCCATAATGCAGTCACTCGCTAAAATCTAAAGTCACATATTACTTTTACCTCAGCCTTTCTTCTCAGGAAAGTTTTATGCATGTATCGTACAATTAGATTAGCAACTAAAAAAAAAGACCTATACCTAACCCCCAATACATTATACCTTTACAGATGCAAAATTCTACATTTAGAGACAACGAAAATCCAAAAAAAATGACCGACGCAGGGGTCGAACCTGCAATCTCTTGATTCGTAGTCAAGCGCCTTGCCATTGGGCCAGCCGGCCGCTACCGGACTCAATGACCATTAGGCCAAGTGGGTGTCTGGTGTTGAAGAGTTCACTAAAAATTGCACTACCAAGGAAAATCAAAAAATCAGAGACTTCGAGTAATTTCATTGGCGAAAGGATGATGATGTGGGTCTACAGTATAGACCAATCATATTCACCAGTGGCCAAGCAATGTGGGAGCCACAAATGATACAGCGTCATTTTTAAGACGTACAAAATCTGCTAGATGATGTTGATTAAATTACAGAACTCTTTGAAATTTCCATTAGAATTATAAGAATAATGCCGCTGAACCACGGACGTTAAGACGTACACCGAGTTTGGTAGTCTCGGCTCTGACCTTCCATAGAGACCCACTACGATCAACTGCCGTATAGGGTTTAGTGCGTACTCAAATCCTCACCACCACGCCCTTTTATCAACATTGAAACGGCTTTTGGTTCTGACAAGTAGCCTAGTCTCTACCCGCATTAGGAAATTAAGAGGAGTGGGGAGAGAATCTGACCAAATATGTTACTTTGAACATAGAAAAATTCAAATACCATAACAGAATAAGTTGGCTAGAAGGAATTTTCTGGAAAGATTGCTGTACAGCCCTTGTGTGCTTCCTTGAAAGAATTTAGTCAACAAAGCCAGACCTACGCCACCGAGGGATTATATAAAGAAAGTACCTTTCAGCTCTGTACTGGAATTAAAAATTACAACTTCATTCCACTGCGTTTCTAATTCCCACACTACTACTTGCCAACTTCTACTTGTCAACTTCCAGCACAATCAACCACCCACAATGGCCACAAAACGCACCGCTCAAGAGCTCCTGAAAGCTGCTCATGTAGCTCCAGAGATATTCACGCTCCGTCCAGACTACCGCGTCCTCCTGATGGTAGTCGAAGGAATACCTAAAGGCCCTAGCGACACAACCAGCGAAAACATGCTCCAAGAAGCCGAACACCACATCAAAAACCTCCTCTCCAAATCCCCCATCACCGAATTCCCACACATCGCCGCCTGGAGGGAAACGTACAAGAGCTTCGGCGCCAAGCCCCAGAAAACCCGAAACAGCCTGGAAGCCTTATCTCGTCGCGCAGAAGCTGGTCTACCGCGCGTGAACCGGCTAACCGACATCTACAATGCCATTTCGGTGAAACATCAAATCCCACTAGGCGGGGAGGATCTGGATAAATACGATGGTGTGCCGTTCCTTATTCGTGCCACGGGTAAGGAACCCTTCCAGACGTTCTCGGGTGGAGAGCCGCTGGTGGAATATGCGGTTGCTGGGGAGCCTATATGGTGTGATGAGACTGGCGTTACTTGTCGGCGATGGAATTGGCGACAGGGTCCCCGGACGGCGTTGACGGATGATACTACGCGGGTGCTTTTTATTATGGATGCTTTGAAGCCCCTTTCAAATGAGGAGCTGGTTAAGGCTGCTGATGAGCTTGCTTCGGCGTTGAAGTGCTTGTCGCCGGATGTGCGGACGTCGCAGCGTATTATCGATGCTTCTTCTTAACTTTATGACACGGAGAAATAGTGCGATTGTTTATTGACGGTACAAAATTATTGCAGAGAAATAGAAAGAGACTCGGGTGATGTGCTCTACTTAGTGGTGACGGGGGCACCTGAAAGACTCGACGGAAGTGTATTTGTTGAAAAGTGCTGGGTCGTTTCGCCTTTTTCCTTCGTGTGAATCATTTCTTTATCTAATAAATTTAGGCACAATTAGAATCACTCGCTTCCCATGGATCTTGTAGTAGAGTCACCAGGTAACATTTCCCGGCTAACACTATCAGACACTCAACGGCTGTGTGACGGACAACCCCTCGGCCTGTAGCCTCGATGCTTCGGGACTAGTTCGGTACCTCAACCTTTCCCGTCCTTCGGATCTCATAGTAATAAGCAACGATATGTCTTGCGAACTCCTTCATATCCGACGCCTCATCGATGCGGAAAGGACCATACTCCTGCATCTCCATCATCTCAGGGACAGGATTTGGTGTCCCGAGCTTATGCGCGTCGATAATTTTGATATGCTCCGCGTATTCTTTGTTGAGAGTTTCCAACAATCATGAAAATACCAGTCTGGTACTGAGATATCATCAAATAACTATCAAAGTCAGCTCGGAAACTTTATAATCTGACGAAACAGAATGTCTAGGTGTACTGACTGAGGACGAGGGTGTTGGCGGTTCTTCCATAGGTCATGCTGGATCCAAGACACCATTTTGGCAGTCTCTTCCCAGTAGAGACTTCTCAAATCTCTACTGCGATGAACCGTCCTTGCATCCAGGATAGCAAAGACCTCATTTGACCGGCGATCCGCCAAGACACCATCGACGCGCGCTTCCATGACCCCGTGTCGAAACAAAGCAGGCTCAAAGGGGTACTCCTCTGCACGACATTCAAGCGTCGTGTCCGATAGCAAGACTCCGAAACTATCCAGGAGCTGACGCAAAGAATGTCGGATCACCTTCTCACCATTCGTGGACTCCGAGAGGAGGCCTCTCACCTGCGGGTAGGGGAAGCAGTGGTCATAGAGAAGGACCGAGGTACTGGCATGACGATCGAGGTGACTGCTAAGCTTGAGGAGTTGGATCTGAGAAGTACGCGTAGGCGTGAAGGTTGCTAGCTTAGACGGATCTGGATTGGCATTTCGAGTCTCGATGTCGTGCAGGTAAGCCTGGAAGCCAGGCAAATTCTGTAGAGTGATGTCGGCCTGGTGATAACTTTCGCGTGAGGCCAAAATGAGCAGATTCTCGCCTTGACGCTGCGGCCACAGGGCGTGCAAGGAATCAAAAGTGTCCTCGGTGATCGTAGATGTGATGACGGTGGACATGATGAAGAGTGACGATGAGGAACGGAGTGGAAAGGTGAAAAATGCGATGCGAGGTGAGAGTTGACAAAGAAGTGTGTTTACCTTTTTGTGGTTGATACTGCCAGTTTCGACAAGAAAGTGAGGCCCTCCTTCTCCGTAAATTACAGATTCACCGTTTCTCACCGACCCCAGCAGCTTTACGACCAATTTTTCATGTTGCCTTTTAAGGAGGTGTTTCTGGGAAGGCATAGATGGCTCTTGCTATAAAACATAAGCTAAAGACCTGACTAGCAAGCTTATCTCAGAATACCGACTGGTTATACAGAGCGAAAGCCCTCCTTGATAATTCATCTGAGCTCATAGCCTAGTACCTTGGACCCATGTCCTGAATATTGCTGCCATACAGAGATCAAACCATAGCGAGAACCTACAACGACGCTGTTCTCAATGTTAGGAAAGAACGTAAGCGTGAGTTCCCTACTCCCTTACATATTAATAGTCCTTTGGCTCCGAATCTGAGATTATTGCGAGCGACTTTCCTAAGCTGCGTTATGGCTGGGTATGAAGCCAAGGGACAACAATGTCAGTCTTCTAGGGTCTTCCAGTATGCAAGCAACAGATAAATGGAAAAAAAACCAGAGAAAGAATGTGTCAGGTAACATCTACTTGGGATCCATTGTGTGATTGAGAAGAGAGTGTACTAAATGACTGACGTTCGATTCAGATCTAAAACAAAAACTTACAATAGCCAGGATTCGCATGTAGTTACTCACCATACTGCTATACTAAATGGCCGGCGTGGGGGTTAAGTATTAAAGCCGAGTCCTGTTTCGTATGCTTGACTATAGCTCGATCATTCACTTTAACCCTCTCCCCTAATATAAACCGTGGCATCCATTCCCCCTCTCTCAAACATCGACACTCAATAAATCAACCCCATCAACAATAGCCTTCTTCCCAGGCATATGTCCCCTCCTCATCAACTCCGCCGCCTTAGCCATAACCGGATCCATCCCCATAGTGACAACAGCAACGACTGTCTCCCCCTTGGTATAATACCCCACAAACTTGGCCTCCGCCAGCTGTCCCTTAATAACAACATCGTCATACCCATGGACCGTGTTTCCACAGTACCGCATCTGCGCACCAACGGCAGACCAGAAAATCGGGATAAACGATCTAGCAGGCAACGAGGCCAGCGGCGAGCGTCTAGCATGTACAATGGCACGAGCGACTCCACGACCCATATTCTGCGCGACGTTCCAGTGCTCGATGCGAACGGGTTTACCCTCGCCGCCCGGTCCGTTGTAGGGGTACGTTGCGATATCGCCGATGGCAAAGACACCGTCGAGATCTGGGACGGCGAAGTGGACGTTTGTTTCGACGGAGCCGTCCTTTTGGAGGGTGACTGCGGAGTTATCGCGGAGGTAATCGGTTGCTGGGCGGACGCCGACACCCAGGACGACGAGGTCTGCTGGGAGAACGGTGCCGTCTTTCAGATGGACGGCGCCGACGGAGGAATCGTTTGATTCGGAGGGAGTGGCTTTTTCCACGCCGGCGGAGAGTTTGAAAGAGACGCCGTTCTTCTCGAGGTTCTTTTGGAGCACGGAGCCAATTTCTGTACCGAGGACTCGCTCCATGGGCGCGGATTCCATGCCTACGATTGTCACGGAGTGATCTTTGGCTAGCGCGTTGCCGACTTCCATGCCGATGAAGGAGGAGCCGATGACGACGATGTTTTTCTTCGAGCCACTGGCTGCGGCTAGGATGGCCTTGACGTCTGATACATAGCGCAGAGTGAAGATGTTCGAGAGTTCATTGGCGCGGAATCCCGGGAGGGGCAGGCTACGTGGCTGGCCGCCCGTTGCGAGGACGAGGTTTGTGTAGGAGATCGTCGAGCCGGAGGCCGTTTTGACGGATTTACCGGAAAAGTCGACGGAGGTGACTTCGTCATTGACGATGTCGATGCCAGCCTCGGTGAACCACTCGCGGGGACGCCAGAGGATCTTGGCTGGGTCGGCGATCAAAGCTTTGGAAAGCTTGGTACGGTCAATGACGATTTCGGGTTCTTTGGAGATGATTGTGATGCTGCCGGGGTATTTGAGTTCGCGCAGGGCCTGGACGAGACCAATTGTGCCGCTTCCTCTGGAGGGGGCTTAGTATGAGGATTTCTTTGATAGTTGAGAGGGTGTCTACTTACCCGCCGACAACCACGACCTTCTCTTCGGCACTGGAGGCAGAGCATTTAATCACGGGGTTCCGCTGTCCAAATTTGATATCTGCCTCCGTGCCGCGGATGTATACGGCACCATCGCGCTCGAAAACGTCGAATTTCTGGAGTGCATTCAGAGCAGGTGCATCCTCAACATCGCCAGTGCTAATATTGAAGCATGCTATTAGGATAAATGTATTAGTATTGGCCTTTCAAAGATGCTGACACCCTCGCGTTCCCTCTCGATTGTCTTATGCCTTGAACTCCGATACTACCAATTACAACAATAAAGATAATACGTACCACCGTGCCAGGGACATGTAATCCGGCCATCCGGTACAACAACGCCAAGCTTCAGCGGCGCCCCGTAATGTGTACACTTCGGGCTGAGCGCATGGACCTGACCATCGTATTTCACGACAAGGACCTTGCCATCAGGTACGCCCTCGACCTCACACTCGATCTTGTCAAAGGACGCGACATCCGCAAGGGAGGCTAGGCCTTTGAGCTTGTATTCCCGGGCCATGGTTGCAAAGCGGCGAGCTTGGGAGTAATAGAGGGGTGGGGTTGGTATTAAACTCGGTCGTAGTCTTGGTAGATTTGCAGTAGAGAATGCCCGTGTAGATAGGCAGTTGGATAGAAAGCGTGCTGGAGAATGGGTTTGTGATGTTCGGGTCCAGGTAGACGCAGTTACTCTCCAAGTTGAAGTTGAAGCCCGAGCTGGAGCTTGGGTAGGAATTGAATTGCGGGCGGCAGTGGTTGAAAAGGGAGAATGCGCGCAGCAGAAACAGGTACAGTTACGATTGGCGGATGGTTGACAGCCACACCGACACCGATGAGCTGATCGTCTTGGGGAGGTGATTGGTGAGCAGCGGTGACGCAGTCCCGAGCGGGGGAGTCGATTGAGAGGGAGGGGTTTGAGCGATGAGACCATCGGTGGGGGATGAGAGAGCTAGGAGGGATGGGGGATCGAGATTGGGAAGAGATGGGGGCAGGGGAATGAGGTGGTGAGACTAGACAGTATGATTGTTGAACAATAGTTGGTAGGGAATGCTTAAGTAGGATTAGCTATGGGTTTTTTCTAGTCATCGGAGATCTTCCAGGAATGCAATGAGCAAGAATAATGAACGCAGTTGAGATGGTGAAGTATACAATCCCAGTGACATCACCGTGACTTCGGGGATTGACCAATCAGCGGGCTGGATTGGTCACCGTTTCCTGTTCTCCGGTTCGACTTTCAGAGTCTAGCTAGACACACGAGTCTCGGATAGCCAACATGATTTTTTTCCAGAGGCTGAGTCTTTGGGTGCTTGGAACCTTGCTCCGATCTAAAATCAATATTATCGAGCAACCCTGCTTTCTCGCTGAAGAGATTTCTATCAAGCTACTACGGCTCAAACGCTGCACAGCCCAACGTTGGGAGTATAGTATAGTATAAATTGCTCTGCAAATGACATATACACATGAGGTATGAATCTTTTTAAACCGGAACGCCCACCGCGAATGTAAAGTCCAATGTAAATGGCGAATATCAAAACATATCGGCAGTCCTCAACGTAGTACTGCCAATCTCCACTTCCACAGGTCAAGCCCAGCCAGACTTGATCGAGGATAGGCCTATTTCTTGCTCTTCTCCTTCTTCTCCTTCTTGGACTTGGACTTGTCCTTTTTCTCCTTTTCTTTCTTTTCCTTCTTCTCCTTCTTCTCCGCTGGCTCGGACACGCTCACGTCCTCACCGATCGGCGCCTCAATCTCCACAACGGAAACGTCAACCACCGCATCTGCGGCCGGTGAACTCGAGATCGGTACGATGCGCCCATTCTTCTTCCTCGGCGACTCCAAGAACGAAGGGGGCAGGGCCTGACCCTGTCTCTCTGCCGCCAAAAGCGCTTCCTCCTCTTCAGCCGTCAGCATCGTTCCCTCAATACTCAAGAAGCCACGATCACGCTCGGAGCCCGGAATCACATCGATATCCACCACGCGGAACTTGATATTTCCGCGCACCGTGTGACCCGATATAGACTGGAAGTGTCCGCTAGCCGCCTCCTCCTCTTCCGCCTCGCCTTCGATATCGAGCTCGTCGGCCGCCAGCGCAGCGGGCTGGAACATCTCCTTCTCGGCATCGAAGGTCGGGGGTACGGCATTCGCACCGTTCTCATCATCCGTGGTTAGGTCATTGACAGCGTTATCGGGCATTTCACCGTCTTCGCCGGGCGGCACCCAGGTCCACGATGTGGGGAGCCTCTTGCGCTCGATACCGACGGAGAACAGGTTCAGGACGACGGCACCCAGGAAGCCCTCCGATTGAACATTGACCCAGCCCTCAAGGAGTTGGCCGCGCTGCGGACGGAATACCAGGAAGGTAGCTGTCAGGTAAACGTACAGCACGCCATACTCGTCGGCGCTGCGAGCCATGGTGAGCGGCATAGGGTTGGGATCGGAGGAGGAATTGCGAGGTTTGGAGGAAGGTGGTGTCGCGGAGATGGAGGCATGACTGTAGGCCAAAACGATACCCTTCAGCGGCGGGTAGTAGGTGAGAAGCAGTGGGGAGAGATGCTCCGCGAGTAGCGATTGTAGCGCGACGTTCGAAGAGATGGAAATTGGCGCCAGTGGGAGATATAGTGTGGCCGTGGTAAGGGAATAGGGAGACTCGGGGACTCCGGCAGTCGTAGCGCCAGCGCCGGTCGAGCTGGAGCTTTTATTTTCCTTTTTGGAGCTGGACTTGGTCTTGTCGGCGGGCTGCTCGACTTGCTTGCGCTTCTTGGAGGGCGAGGCATCCTTGTTCTTGTGCTTGCGTTTGCGCTCCACCTCTGTGGGCGCGGGCGAGGTATCGAGGTCCATTGCGTCGAGAGCCATGGCTAGACGCAATTGAGCGCTCGGCGGAGCCGGGGAGTCGTGATAACGGGTTGGGTTAAATTGGGGTTTCTTTTTTTTCCGGCCGTGAAGATCGAGAACTTTTTTTTTCATTCTGCGCTTGGAGAAGGCGGTGGAGGGGCTGGGCGGTGACGGGCCAGTTCAGTTACCGCCCGGGATATGGGGAGTTGGGGCCGAGTATCGTCAAGTCGCCAGCCTGGCCCCAAGGGATATTTGAAAGTTGTTCTTTCTAGTTGTTGGGACTGGTATTGACCTGCCAGCTATCACATCTCTGTCATGGTCTCTATTCTGCCATTCATTGGTTGGGCGGTTCTTCCCAATGTATGTGGATGACCTCAATGCGGAGATACACTGTTTATACAAAGAAGACCAGAGTGATACTAATGCTATCTTCCCTCGCAGTATGCCACAAGCTTCCTCCACAATGTCTACTATGGGATCACTATTCGTGCGGGTGACCCTCGTCCTATGCCCCAGACACCCCGCTTCGAGCGCGATCGCCGTCGCATCTTTATCTTCGTGATCATCAGCTACCTTCTCTATACGCTCTACGAGACCTTCCACCAAGTACAAGTCGCGGGCGACTACTACAAAGTGCTAGGCGTATCACCCTTTGCCGACGAGCGCACGATCAAATCCCGATTCCGCAAGGTCGCAGGCCAGTTCCATCCAGACAAGGTCGGACTCGACAATGGAGCCGAAGCTCAGTTCATCTTCCTGAGACGGGCTCAGGAGACACTGGCTGATCCGGTGAAACGGTTCGCGTATGACCGTTTCGGGCCTGATATGCTGGAATGGGGAGAGCAGAAGACCATGCGCGACTTTCTAAATGCCTCGCTGTCCCGCGCAGTCATCCCGCAGTATATCGGAGGTTTCGCGACGATGATCGTGCTGAACTGGTTATGGTGGGCGAATTGGGGACGCTACGTAAGAGATTCCTAAGAATTTGGCATGCCGCTGGCTACAAGCATTCAGATACTAACACTATCCACCTCTAGTGGCGCTTCTTCACCTTTGCCGCCCTGCTCACCCTCGAACTTGCCCTAATCACCCACCCGCAAGCCGTCTTCATGCCAACATCCTACCTCCCATCTTCCCTCCGCACCGTGATCCGCACTTGGATCCCCGAAGAACAATCTTTCTACCTTCTCCCCTTTCAAATACTCACTCTCGCCCGTCGCGCTTCCATAACCCTCCACATCTTTATCTCGCAAATGGCCCCACGTGGTTCCAACGCCAGCGCCAACAACGGCGAGAAGGTCTCCCCGCAAACGATGCAGCGCTTGGGCCAGCTCGTGCAGACAGCGCGGGGAACGGACTTTGAGGCCACTCGGTTGATGCAGCTGGGGCTTGCGCCGTTCCGGGGGGATCGTGAGAGTGTTTCTGCGCTGCGACGGGGGATGAAGGAGGGGCTGATTCTTGGGGGAGTACGGTCTAGTCCGGAGGTGCAACGGGCCGTTGCGGAGGTTATGGAGAGGAGGAAGGCTGGGAAGGAGGATAAGGTTGATTAAATAGGGGCGAGGGCGACGTGGATGATGGAATAATTGCATTGTAGACTTGATTCAGTTTGTACATGATAACATGTCTAGCACATTGGATCTTGGCGTTTAATTTTATAAAATGGAATATGTCAGTATACATGGATATGGATCTGTAGAGTGAGTACGAGATGCAGTCGAGGGAAATTAGCAGAGCCCTGATTGAGATTTCCGTGATTTGAATAAAGACTGGGAAGCATTTGAGCGAAACTGTAAGCGTGGCTTATCCCTTTATCCTTCTATCCTCGACCAGACTCAGAAGAGAACAAAGATGATGGCCAAGACCGAAGGAATCGAATCGCTCCACTAAACTGTGTGGGACAGAGTTCTCCTATCTTCTTGTTCAGTAGGTCTAGCTAGTAGCTCGTAGCTCGAAGCTAGTAGCCAGGCGTGGATCGCATCCTTATCTCTCGCAGAGGATGACAATTTTGGCACCCGCGCATCTCGATGCAAGGTTCTACACACTTACAAGAATCATTAATAGTAGGTTTCGAAATCAATCTCCCTTTTTACCTCGATCTGAACTGTGAATTTTCAAACTCTGGACTGAACTAACCGTGGCGTCCTCGGCGTGGCGGGGATGTCGGAAAGAGTTTGTTCCACGCCAGGAAATCAATGGATCATGGAGAGGCGAGAAAATAATGGGATGGGATTTCCGAGGAGTGGCGTGCATGATCACAATTAGTCTCGAGAGGTCACAAAGGCCGAGGAGGAGGGGGTCACCCTCGTGATACCCGTGATCGGAGGGATCCAGCCATGGCGTTGTGAATTTGTCTGGATTTCGTTTGTTGTCTCGCGCCTCTTGGAGTATCCGAATTCATTGCATACGAAGTGTTTCTTACAGTAAACAGTGCGTCCACTAGGGATGAGTCTGTAAAGTATTGTCTGGCCCACCATGAGTGAGCCAATTTCGGGATGCTGCGGGAAGCGGTGCCAGGAATGAGAGGCGACCCGTCGGGAAAAGGAATATGATTACATAGTCTCCGTGCTCTAGCACCAGTAGTGGTATAGGACCGGGAGAATTTTTTCGTTAGGGCTGGCGTTGGCGATCTCCCTTGGAATGTATGGGAGAACCTACAGTAGATCTTAGGAAGATTGTATTGATGATTGAATGGGTTATATAGAGTAGACTTGTACTGGACCTTTGTCATTAGATAGGGAGTCAATGTCTATAACAGTATTCTTGATCTCAAATGATCCGATTCCACGTCGTCGTGGATGCCTACGACAGTTCCAAGGCGAGGGACGTGCATTGGAGTCTTTCGTAGGATCTGCTTCGTTTGCATTGAAGATCGGGGCTGGTATTGGTATTGTCACGCTGAGAGAGACAGCCCCAAATCCGGGCGACACTCACAGCAAATCCGAGGCTTGGCGGGTAATACCGTGACACAGACGCGAAGCCTCACCTCCCGTGTACCCTTAAACCCGGAGGAGCGAGTTGTCCCTACAAAGTGGAAGGGCCGTACCACAAAGTCGCTCACGAAAGAACCTTTTCATCGAGAAAGATGAAATCCACTTCGACCCTCCCCCCCCTGCTCCCCTTCTTACTTCCCCTTCCGCCCATTCCTCCCTCCTCTTCCCATCCACTCCTCCTACTATGATCCCATACCTCTGGACACAGCTACGACCAACCACTTTCGCCTCATCCTGCAATCCTCTGCACTAAGAAAATATCGCCAGCCCACGTCACGATTGCCCGCCCATTCATTCGGGTACATCATCATCCCCTTCAATTCCACCCTTCCCACGACCATCCCACGATCTCATCACGACTCCACGCCTCGTTCCTCTTCCTTCATCACCGCGTCCTTTCTCCGCGTCCACCATGCCGGCCGGCTCTACCCCTAACGGTCGCTCCAATCGAGCCGGAGCTGCAAAGAATGCTCCTTCAACGCTACTCGTAACCCTCAAGCTGGCCCCCGAAGCCTTGCGACAATTCCTAGAGGAAGCTCCCGAGTCCCCGGAGACAAAGACCCCCGAACCTACATCCAACCCCGACAAGGCCACCGAACAGTCCTCCCCGGCCTCCTCCACCGAAGCCCCAGCCGCCCGGCCATCCTCAGCAGACGCAGAATCAAATGCCGAAGCGAACTCCACACCCGCCACGGGGGCAACCCCAGGCGATACTCCACGACGGAAGGGAATCCCGGGTCCCAAGCCCGGCACCAAACGCGCCAACGGCCAGATAGAGCCCGTCGCGCGAGTACGCGGTCGACCCGGTCCGAAGAAGAAGGCTCGCCTGTAAGTTTCATCCTCGAAGCGGAAAATCCCCGACCGTGTCCTCTCGAACGAGGAAACCAAAACAACATGCTAACCTACTCTACCCCTAACAGTGACGAAGGCGGCGAACCAGGCAAGGCCTCCATCGCCCCTCGATTGGGACCCAAGGCCAACACCGGTGCTATCAATGCACACCTCCGCGCTCTAGATCGCACCGGCGCCCCGTGCCGTAAATGGGAGCGTCAACCTCTCAAGCTCCGCAGCTTCACGGGCGTCATGTGGCAGTTACCCGCTTGGGGTAGCTACAAGATCGCAAAGCCCGAGTCCGACCAGAACAGTGTGGCTGCTGGTTTACAGAATGGAGAGAATGATACCAAGATGCTGACTGCTCCCGGTACGGAGACAATGAATGGCAGCAGTGCTGTCCCGAGTGAAAAGAGCACCGCTGGTGAAGGGGAGTTTACCCCGGCGCCATCGAATAATGTTGAGCCCTCGTCACCGGCTATTGCCTCGACTGCATGAGCTGCGGCTGTACATGAGATCTTTCATTTCTTCCTTCCTTTTGTTTTCCCCCCTTTTGTTTCTTGTTCCTCGGCTTCCGTTTGTTCTTTCTTTGCGTCATCATCTCTGGTTTCGGGTTTCTGGTCTTGGCTCCTGGCGTCTTTGGAAAGGGCGTGGTCTGTTTAAAGGGTCTATGGCGGTTTCACATGTCTTCTGGCAGCACTCGGTGGTGACTACCCCGTCTGCTTTTTTTTGTATTGGGGAGTACTCGGAATCATATTGTATCATATTTGCTGAGACTCTTTAAAGTCTTTGGGATCGGGTGTCTGCTGGTTCTTTTCTCCTTTCATATCTTGTTGGGTTGTTTGACTGATTCGAGGATATTTCTCTCCGTGCTCTGCTGCTGAAAACATAGCGCTTGTAGCATTTGCTTCTATGCTACAAAATTCACTTGTTCATGGTTGAATCGTCTGGGACTGTGTTTATCTAGTATAAACTTCCGGCTCGGGCATATCGAGAGATAGGCTGCTATCATCATCGGCTGCTTCATAATAAAAACGTCAAAAGAGATACAAGATAACCCATTCTTCTAAGCTACTATCCTAGCTATCTCTTCTAGTTCTCCCCTAATTCACTGCTTATCTGTCTGCGCCGAGCCTGAACGGGGAGGGGACCTCGTGACAAAGCATCGGGCTCTTCTGTAACTCTTCCTCCTTTCCCCCTCCTTCGGTGCCAAAAGCCCTTCCCCGCAATCTCCCTGTAAGATACACATTCCTCGGTCATCAACTTCCCCCCTTCTCTTTGCGGAACGGTGGTTGCTGCAAAAACCCCTTTCACAGTGGGGGGTGATTTTCAGGGCCCGTACGTGGCTATCGTGGGCACCGAGGGGCACCGCGGGCTGCCGGAAGCCCTCTGGTCCGTGAAACACCATTGTTGTTCGGCTTGTGGTCTTCTAGACGCGGCCTCCATTGCTGCTTGCGGTCACCAGATGACCCGCTGATCACGCAACGTCAAGCAACGGATTTCCATTCTCCGAGAAAGCGTGAAAACGAAAACTGCCCCAAAAAAGTCAAGCACGAAAGGGGCGGGCCCATCGCCGTGCACATCCAGTTTGTTGGGTTGCCCGCCGCCGTCATCCACTCAAGTGGTGGATGACTTGACCCGCCCGCCATGGCCGACCTTCCCTTCCCCAGTGGAGCTCCTCGAGCTCCAACATACGGCATCTCCTCCGGTCCACGCCGCTCCTCCTACGCCTCCGTCGTGTCGGGCACCGCTCTCTCACCTCCAATCTCCAGCTCCTTTCCACACCTGCTTAATACTCATCCAGTTTCTTCGTACCCCCCGCTCTCACAGCCCGACGGTCGTCTCCCCCGGGCCCTGTCCGGCCTGGATGCCGCAGACATGCACTTGAACTCCGCCTGGCGGTCCTCGGGGTCCCCAGATTCCCTACCAGCCTACTCGCGCAAGTATACCAACCACATGCGCCCGACCGAGTTCCCGCACGGGCTAGGTCTTCTCGATGGTCCTTCCTTCTTTACGCCGTCCTACCTCCGAAACTCCCACTACATCTCCCGCCTCGACGCCGCCCATCGAGCTAAGCTCGCCGCTCAACAGCGTGATGCTTCTTCATCGACCTCGGCTTCAGGCCCTGCCTTATCTGCTTCGTCGAGCCATGTGCATCTCCCCCGTATGGCGCCGTCTCATCGGGGTATGACCCATGAGATCATCGAGAGGGAGCCCCCCGCCACGACGACCGATCCGCTTAGCCCGCTCCCCACACAGTGGAGTTCCTCGGACAAATATGCCGGGTTAGAACTCTCAAATGATGGACTGGATGTGCGATACACGGGGCCGGTGCATAAACATGATCATGAGGCGGCGGCTTTGCGGGCGGATCATGCTATGCCCCCACAGTGTGGGATCTACTACTTTGAGATTAAGATCGAGTCTAAGCCGAAGGAAGGGTGAGTTGTCTGCCGTTCTATCAGATTTGGATATGAAATAAGCCCATGAACTAATTCTGGGTATGATATAGGATGATCGGTATTGGATTCTCTAGCCCCAAGGCCTCGGTCGAGCGGCTTCCCGGCTGGGAACAGGAATCATGGGCCTACCACGGTGACGATGGAAAGTCATTTTTCGGTGAGAGCCAAGGTCAAGGGAGGCCGTATGGACCGACATTCGGGGTTGGAGATACCGTTGGCTGTGGAGTGAATTTCTCAACAGGGTCGGCGTTCTTCACTAAGAATGGAAATTTCTTGGGTACGTACAAAGTGTATTCGAACATGAGGGGGGTTGTCAAATTTGCTAACTGAATAATGGATAGGAAACGCCTTTCATGAGCTGCGTAACGTGAAGCTCTATCCTTCCGTTGGGATGAAGAAGCAACCACCTGTCCATCTGAAAGCAAACTTTGGCCAGGAGCCGTTTATGTTTGATATCGATGGGATGGTCAAGGTCAGTGTCACCAGCGTTCCTCGATCGGATTTGCGGCAGTTCTAACAGACAACAAAATAGGCCGAGCGAGCATTGATACAGGCGGAAATCAACGCAACGAGCACTGATGCCCTGCAGCCCCCTCTTAACGAGTCAGCGTTGCTCCAAGAACTAGTAGCGCAATTTCTGGCACATGATGGCTACGTCGAGACAGCGAGAGCTTTTGCCGAAGAAGTAGCCACCGAGACAACGGCGTTACAAAACGGTCAACGAGAGCCTTTGAAGAAATACGAGGTCGAAGAAGACCGAGAAGCCATCAACCGCAACAGTAATAGCCCCCTTCTCCCTCACTTTTCTCATTTCACCTCTCTCAATACAATTTCAATTCCCACTCTAATACTCTATTCAGAGATCCGCGCCGCCATTCTAGACGGCGACATCGACAAAGCTCTCAAACACACAAAGGCTTACTACGCCAACGTCCTTGAAGATAACCCCCAAATCCACTTCAAACTCCGCTGCCGCAAATTCCTCGAAATGATGCGCCGCTCCACGGAACTAACTCCCGGGACATCGAACCCCAAGCGCCGCCGGCCAGACTCACCGGGCCTCGGTATCGCCGATGAGCACGCCGTGTTTGACCAAGAAATGGAACTGGATGATGGGAATTGGGATGGTGATGGGATGGATACGGAGGAATCCGCGGTGGTGGAAGCGGCACCCTATAATGAGGTTCTAACAGAGGCGATACAGTATGGGCAACAGCTGTGCATGGATTACCCTTCTGATGAGAATGGGGGAGACAAGAAGATGCTCGAGGCTATCTTTTCGTTGATTGCATATCCGGAACCGCAAAATTCGGTACATGGGCATCATCTTGATCCTGCGGGTCGGGTTGCCGTGGCGGAGGAGTTGAATTCGGCTATTCTAGGTGAGTTACCCCCCAAGTCCTGATAACATCCATTCTTGCCCCCAGCTTTCTTTTTTCCAGAATTTGGTGACTGTCCGTACTAATATATCTCTTCACCAGTCTCCCTCGGGAAATCCTCCTCCGCAGCCCTGGAGCGATTATACCAACAAACGGAAGCTCTAGTCAACGAAATTAGCGAAGACGGCGGCGCCGGGGCGTTCATCAATGTTCGAAATGACGTTTTGCTTTGATTTCTACCCACTAGCGCGGGCTCTCTTCTCTTCTTCAACTATTTTCTCGTCCTTACGCTTTTTTTTTTCTTTTTCCAATCAAGCCAATGGTTCAAGGGTCAATGGGGTTTATTGCGATCTTCGATCTTCGTTTCTTCTTGTTGTTATCATTTTGAGAATCTCCGCACTTCTTCTCTACTCTATTTTACTTTTTTTTGGATTCCTTGGGTTTAGATCACACGTTTTTGGTGTGGTTGAGAGGTGCCGCGATTTGGGGTCTATGGCTTTGAACTGAAGCGAAATGAATTGACGGAACCTGGAATATCCTGCTAAGCTCGTATTGGGTCTGGTCTGGCCTGATATGGCCTGATCTACCTTGATATGGCCTTGGTTGTAATTCAGGTTTCCGTCGGGGTTCTGGGTTCATAGGGTCATCATCTTGTGTCTCTATTGCGTGCTAGCCAGAATGTGTGATCGTGGTCTCATTACGTAGCCTGAGGCCTTTTTTCTTCTACCTCTTCCTCCTTTTTCCATAGGTCAAGCCACAGTGGTTTCTTGGCATGTAGTAGAGATATCTATGTTGATCTGGCCGCGCTTTAGTTATGGAGAGGGGATGCCTAGTGGCAGAGCTGGGTAGAGTAATGGAGATATACAACTTGGATCTAATTTTCAATCCAGATATCAGAAATTTCGAATTCCCGATGCAGGTCTCTCTAATTGACGGACCTACTTTTTTTTTGGACAAGTATCCTCTTCACATCAATGGGCGCCTTTCTCGGTCAGCAGCTGGACGATTGCCTTGTGGTGTTCCTGGAGGGCCCAGGTCAGCGCCGTCCAGCCGTGGTCGTCCTTTATAGTTACATCGGCGCCCTTCTCGAGTAGCAGCTGGACGATTGCCTCGTGAAATTCCTGGAGGGCCAAGGTCAGCGCCGTCCAGCCATGGTCGTCCTTAATAGTAAAATCGGCGCCCTTCTCGAGTAGCAGCTGGACGATTGCCTCGAACCCTCTCTCGGCGGCCGTGATCAGCGCCGTGCCGTCATACTTGTCCTTCGTATCCATATCGGCGCCCTTCTCGAGTAGTAGCTTGACGATTGCCTCGTACCCTCCCTCGGCGGCCCAGGTCAGCGCCGTCCGGCCGTCGATGTCCTTTATAGTTACATCGGCGCCCTTCTCGAGCAGCAGCTGGACGATTGCATCATGCCCTCCCTCGGCGGCCGTGCTCAGCGCCGTCCCGACGTAGTCGTCTCTCATATTCATAAAGGCGCCCTTCTTGAGTAGTAGGTGGACGATTGCCTCGTGCCCTCCCTTAGCGGCCTGGATTAGCGCCGTCCCGCCGTAGTCGTCCTTCGCATTTACATCGGCGCCCTTCTCGAGCAGCAGCTGGATGATTTCCTTGTGCCCTCTCCAGGCGGCCTGGAATAGCGCCGTCCTGCCATACTTGTCCTTCTTATTCACAGACTTGCGGAAAATCGTCGAGTCCCAGGTTGTCTTTAACAGAAGCTTCCGAGCTAATGGCTCAATCCCGAAATAAGAAAACATGTGCAACAAAGGTAAGCAATCAGGATCCGGAGTAATCCTGCCATTTGCCATTTGGTAGGTCACCCACCAGTTCATCCGTACAATGGAAGTTTCTTGGAAGAACGGCCATGTGAGGTCAACGCCATCGTCCGAATGTGTGGAAGACTGCCTTGCGTGTTCCGGCCAGTGCAGTGTTGCGTAGTCTAACAGTGGCCATTGCCGCTGAACAGATGCTCCCCAGATAACCAGAGGCCTTTTGCGTAAGTCGCTGTTCTCAATGTAATGAAGACATGTTCTTGCTAGTTCGGCATGCGCCTCTTCTACTCTGATGCGAAATTTCTCTTGTATTGTGTCGTATCCAGGCTTCTCTGGCAGTAAATAGTCCTTAGCTGATTGGTGGACAAGGTGGACTTGCTGGTTATGGATCTCGAGGATCGGCCCACATAAAGTGATGTGATCGCGAATGGCTTGGTCACTGACATGTTTAGTGGACGGGAAGATAGCAGCGGTTAATTCTTGCAACGCCAGAGGCCGAAGAGCCATCGTAACCCAACGCAAGATTTTGGAGGCAGTGCCCTGTCGACTGCTTTCGATCTGCCGTAACATTCGGTTGTAAACTGCGTCTAGTCCTAGCGGAAAACTGTACAGCGTCTGCATGATTTCTTCACATGTATTTATCTTTGACAGCTCTCCCATAACGAAGCCAACCCAGAGGAAGGTACCGTCGGCTCCACTTAGAAGAGCACCCTCGACCTTCTTGCGAATAGAGTTGAATCCCTGTACCCTTTCAAGTTCTTGAACTTTGGCAGAGATGAACAATTCAATGTTGCTGCCCACATGCCCGTCGTTGTCAGGATCCAGCTTCACTTGGGGGAACGCATTCAGTCTAGCAATGTTCCGGCTAACAATTACCAATTTGAGCAGCCCACCACTTGGCTGTGAACTCTTCGGCGAAAAGTACTGGCAAAATTTGTCAACTAGAAGTCTTGCCGACGCCTCGTCGCATTCATCGAGTCCGTCAAGCACACAGAAGACCGTGCTAAGGTCGGGAGCTTGTAGGAGCGTCCTAAATATGATCCAGAGGGCTTCGGCAGAAGACAACGTCGTTTGAGTTCTCTCTGGACTCTCGAACCATGATAGGACGTCCTTGGAGAGCTCTCGGCGCTCTCTGACTAGCTGGTACGCCAGGCCCCTAAGGACGGCCACCGCGCTGTTGCGCTTCTCATCTTGATGGCTGCAAAAGTAGAACAACACTGTGTCCTTCATTCCTTGAGTATGGGTCTCAAGCTCTTCAATTAAGAAATTCGAGAGCATTGTCTTTCCTTTACCGGGCTTGCCGGAGATCCAAAGACATTGCGGGCTGCCTTCAAGCCAAGACTTGTAGGTTTCATTGTCTTTGATCCATTCGCAGGTGCCGGCAGTCCTCTCGCCCTTTGTGCTTTTGAGAGTCTCCCGATCGATGATTGGGTCGGTGAGGAATAGGGCATTTCGACAGGCGTCTACTTTCTCTTGAGAAGCCCCTGTGTTTTCGCATTGTTAGTGAAGGTCCGTTCATTATCAAGAGAATAGTTAGCGTGTACTAACTTTGAGGACCCCCTGCGGTACCGTCTGGCATATATTAGAATCAGTAAGTCGGCGCCAAAATCAGTATAGAAGGGTGTCAACGAATATTGAAGAAAACTAACAATGGTTATGTACGTCACCATGGTGATCCCCTTGATGTAATTTACCATGATTTATGGTGGTTGAATATTGGTGCCCTCCGCCGTGCCATCCGCTCGGACTGCCGCTGGGCGCCATATAGTCTTTGCTTTGTTAATTTATCATACGGAAGAAGAGAAAGAAGGAGATCCGGGGGGCCTGGATGCATGATATATGTGACTCAATTGGCCATTTCGCGCCCGTTAGCTGGACGACTGGTAGCTCCAATGAAACGAGCCGAGTAAGCGCTGAACATTTTTGGGTCGACCGTGCAGGCACAAATAGCCATGCCCCGCGACGGATGCAGGCGTTGAAATAGTGCGCGTAGCCTCTTCAAATAAACACATTCAAGGCCACTCCACCCACGTCTTCCTCTAGACTTTCATCATACGCGTTATCGGAATATGGTCGAGCCAGTTGGAGCAACGCTCGGCGCAGTGTCGCTCGCAACTGCACTGTCAGGCATCTTTGTCTCAGTAGTGGAATGCTTTGAGTACGTGGAGCTGGGCCGTCGATTCGGCAATGACTTTGACAAGTCCCGGGCTCGACTTGCAGCATTAAAGCTGCAAATCACAAGATGGGGAGTTGCTACCGGCGCGCTCCCAGATCCACGAACGAGAACACACCGAGCATTGAACGTCGATTCTTATACTGCTTCCGCCGCACTGCATCTTCTCATTGTAATACGGGATGATACCATCGAAGTGGAACAGAAATCGCAAAAATACCATGCCCAGCCGCCCCCGATAAGTAGGGTCGATTTGGCGGTCCTTAGCCCTAACGAAATAGACGCCCCGACCGAGGCGCTGAACTCGCAGATGCGTGCCATTATTTCCAAGCGTGTTCAAGGGGTGCCATGGAAAAGAAGGGCGAAATGGGCTATATACGAGAAAAAACACTTCGATAGGCTCCTAGATGACATCACTGAAAATCTCGGTCAGCTAGAGAAGCTGCTCCCGCAGGCTGCGGAGTATCAGAAGGAGTTATGCCGCATCGAAGTCGAAGAAATTCAAGACGGCCAGTCGGAGGCGGTCATGGAGCTGCTTTATGACGCGGCTCAATTTAACAAAGATGCCCTGCTGGAGCAGGCGGTGCGGGAGGCAATTATCGCGAAGGGCTCTGGTCATAGCTGGGAGCGGACGGAAGTGGGCAATAATGTCAAGCTAGAGCAAGGCGACCGTATTGCGAAAGGCTACGCAGGCCAGGCACCTGTAGGTAGGGTCGGCCATAATTATGGCGTGACGATCGGAAAGGGGCATGCTGAGATCCGCCAAGGAGATATTTATGGGCTGATATGATGGGAGTAGTGCGCATTGAGGCGGAGCTTAGCCCAAGGTGTTGTGATAAGAAGTTGTGAAATATTGTATTTAGGGGTTCTAGCACTCCCCTGTATTTACTATGGTGTTCTGGGGTGATCATGACGACTAGAGGATCGGGTCAGCTGGGAACTACGTTACCTAATGGCAGAGCTGGGTAACTAGAGTCATGCAGATATATGACTAGGATCTGAATTTCCATGTAGTCGTGCCTCATTAATGCCAACACTACATAGATAGGTCTTGACCCCGTACTCAACACGAGCCTCTTTTAAGTTTAGAACTATATCTTGCCGTTAACCATCTTCTCGCTCTCCTTATATCCATTGAAGCCGACTGTTCCTCGGGCCCACCTGCCAAACCGCGCTAGAGTGTATGAAAAATTGGAGCTTGTTGTTTTTAGCGTCGTGACTCATTGCTTTGACTACGAATTACCTATAAACCGATCAATTCAGTTTCAAATTGTCCATTTCTTGTCAAATCATTGCTCTGCACAAGAAAGCTTACTACATTCCACGATGGAAAGGTGCATGCTGTTGAGGCTCCCTAACGAGCTCTTGATGACTCTGATAGAGTACGTCGATAGCCCCGGCCATGCGGCATTGGCACAAACATGCCGTGCCCTTAATGTCTTGACAACACCTTATCTCTACAAAAATGCAAATATCCAACTCGGCAAAAGCAACGAATTTGTCCGGACAATGAAAACAAAATATGCCGATTTAGTGCGTCATCTCTCGGTCGTGATCGAAGATAAAAGACCCAACATTTCCCCTTGTCGAATTGTACCCTGTCTCGCACAACTAGAGAATCTGGAAAGTCTCCAGCTAGTTGGTGGCTACTGGATGTGGAACGACAAAGGCGAGAATTGGTATACTCTCGAAAAATTGCTCTGGGAATATTTTGAACGGGCGAGCCTAAAACAACCTACCGAATCGAGACTTTCCAGGAGTCTACGATCATGTCAGGGATTAATGCCTAGAAAGAAATGCTGGACAATGAAGCTAAAATTTTATCTATTAGTGACCCTTGACCGTGTTGAACGCAATGGCCAAGCAGCCTTTCTTGAAGAATCGTGCATCTTCATCATTCCGCAACTCCACGATCTCACATTACGTGGTTTTATGCTCGAGGAAGGAGATGCTGAGGTTGACGTGCAATTCGAACGTCAGACGGAGCTGAAATCCTTGCGTATCGAGCGCAGCTCGGTGAGCTTTCCGGCTTTAAGGAAGGCCTTACTTGCTCCGCGTGCATTACGCTATCTCAGTATTTGCCATTTAGATTGTTACAGGCACCATGAGATCAACGACGGGGAAATTAACCACGCAACAGTGGCTGAGTTTGTGGATGCATTGTTATCGCATCGCGAATCACTCGAAGAGATCAAACTTGTCGTTGATGAGGATGATAATGATGGGTATAGTCCAGAGGTTTCAACGATCAACGATCCGAGCTTCCGTACATATGCGACGCAGCTTCCGGCACTGAAGCGCTGGCTGGGTTGTGATGAGTTCACGTTAAAGGACTATCTGGATCCACGGGGAATTTATGAACGAACGGGCTGAATCAGACCGTCTGAGTCGTTCCAGCCGTACATTTTGTCACCTTGTATCTAATCCCCTCTACCGTCAGACCCATGTACCGGCTTTCGATGGACTTTACCAATGCTCCAATCCAGAGGTTAGTTAACCCCAGGATGTCTGCATAAGATCAAATCAGGAGTAATCCACTCGATCAGGGGAATCTGGTGTCGCTGAACGGCCTAAAAGGGACATACAGTTGGGTACAAGGCCATGTCGATTTTGCGCCTGAAACCTGTCTATCCAAAATCCGCGGGGTACTCTTTCACAGCACGGGGATGGAGCCGGTCTTGCGAGTGCACATTTGCATGGGACCTGGAACGCGATGGAATCTGTTAAGGAGTCTACGATTTTTTCGTTCCATTCTCTTTGATTTTTGCCGAAATTGGCCTCTTACTCAAGAATGAGAAGATACTGAGTCATGAATGACGGTGCTATACATTCCAGATGAATCCATTCAAAACAGGGGATAGTTGCGACCAATTGCAGGCGCGGAAGGTACAGCGCAATAAAGTTACTTGAATCTTCTTTCAAAGTACATAATGGTGTAATCTAAACTTCAAACATATACAGGCTGGTTCAGGTCGTATTTCCCACCCACAGCCAATTGAGGAATTTGCGAGTACTTACTCTGCAGCAAACCCCTAGTGGTTTGCAGGACCTATAAGCGTAATTTGTCAGTACGATGTCCATATTGTGACATGGGGGCTTTCGGAGCATTCAGACCTCAATGTAACTCTGGCGCGGATTACTCCTCATAGTGTTGATAAAAGCCCACGACATTGCGCCTATACCTCGATTAATATCCAAATATCAAAAGATGGACAATTGAAATGAGGAACTCCAGATACAACCTACCTGTGGCAAGACCTTGCATACTCGTATCAGCAGAAGTCTGATCATTAGCACAGCCACTAGACATCCACACGTCCTTGCCCTCATTTCGCCAGTCCTCCATGAAATTCTCATCCGCAAGCCCATTTTCATCCGAAGCTTCCGAATGTGTGAATTTATGCAGCAGAGACGTTCCACGCCCAATCAATGACTGCACATCGTGGATTTTCTCGATGGAGAATCCGCCGTGTAGCAGGACTGATGCCTCCTTGGCTAGCGAAATGCCTTCTTTGACGTTGTGGACCATGTTCACCCTGCCGTCGGCGTCGGGTCGGAATACGTAAGGCAGTTCCACGGCAGAGCCAGAATGGCAGCAATCAAATAGGATTGTTAATCTGCATCGAGGGTTTATGGGTGAGATGATTGCTCGGTGGAGCTTTGTTCTCTCTTTGCAAATGCTCAATTTCCAAGGAAATGGGAGGGGATGGATCATTTGATGTACCGTGTCGCTGGTAATTTGTCCATTTTGTTCAATATCCACAGGACATATAGTGTCATCGAATCTAAACACTGTTAGAAATAGGGAAATGTATCTTTGTCGTTGCCATCTTAGAGGACAAAGTAAGAACAGGATCGGATCTTATACCCAGAATCTCGATCTCCATCAGGATCTCGAACTTGACCTGTGAACGTCTTCAATCAGAGATTTGCGCCACTATGCTTGTACGCTTGAGTGAGAAACCTACTTCCATGACCTGAATATGACAACCACAGCGAATCCCCCGGATTGTTCCCCGAAATCAGCCAATTCAACGCAGCCAGCATGTTGGCGCCAGTAGGATAGAACGGGGTGCCTCGATTCTCCGGTGCATCGGTCAAAATCACCATATCACGCTGGTCTGAGAATAACCATGGTCACAAACCAGGTATTCACGAACGTTCATGGCGTCATTGATGCACCCATTCAATTGATGGTTGGAGCCGGTGTAGTTGATTCCAATGAGGAGGGATTTCTTACGAGGCATGATGGATGGATGACAGCTAGAGAATCCTGCTCCAATTGGCAAGTTACGATGAAATATTCCAAACAGCCAGAGAGGTTTATGGATTTCCAACTCAGCGTTCTGTGATTTCTATGTGGCCCACGTGGTTCACTGCCCCGCAGATGACATATGGCCCGAGGCCACCATGAGTATAAACTGAACACCTGACTATGGAGATGCAGAGATGCGATTAGTCCGATATGAGTTTTCTCATATGGTTTCTAAGTTCGAGTGGAAGAAAGGCATTTAGCAAGTGGTAAAATTGAGAGGTAGCAGAGGTAGCAGTCTCAAAACCAATCAATTTGGACGCCAGCTCTGAAACACCCAACCCCCTTCCGCGGCCTTTCCAATCCCAATCCGCGGTCCTTGTTGGCCATGCCTCTCCCCGAACATATCCTCTACTTCGGACACAGGCCTTGCCATGTCTACTTCAAACAGCGCCGCTACCAACGTAGGAATACTCAGGCGTGCCTGTGCCTCCCCTGTATTACCCCGAACAGCTATCAGAGCTACTATGGCGAGTATTACACCCAGTAACACAAGTAGTAGATTTGCGGCAATGAGAGCAAACAGTGGAGCTTTTGGAACGCGCGCAACAAGAATCTGTTCTCGCAATTGAGACGCCAAAGCGACTCGTGGCTCGAATGCGCCTGACGCAACAGCCAAGGCAGTTTGACTATATGCTAGTGCAAACTGATCTGCGATATCTTGTGCAGAGTTGCTTAGCCCTGCGACACTAGCAGCCTGGATGAGGTTTGGGTTCCCGACGTCGGTGTGGCGCTGTGTGCCTTGCACGATGAGCGTTGTGGACTGATTAGAGTTGCTAGACTTCCAGTTCCTGATGGTGCCATTGACGGAAGAGTATTCGACGTCGTAGACGGTAGATGAGCAGCGTAGTGCCACGATGGTAGCACCGCCGTGCTCACCGGCCAGAACCTCTGGGTCGTTCTGGAGGGCTAGCGGACGTGCATTGCGCATATTCGCTAGGATCATGGCGGAGTAGTAATAGGGGTTGTCAACCAAGGTATTATCGGTGTTGTTATTAGAGCCGGTTGAGTCTGTAAAGTAGGCCATTGTGACCGAGTTGGACGCGCCTACGGCTGTGTTGACGGTCCCTTGGAACGCGAATGGGCACTTGTAGGTTGTGCCAACTCCGAAGACATCATTGGCGTTTGCGCACTGGGAGGTCACGGGAGTACATTGCGAGTGTATGGCGTATGTTGAAACGGTATAGTCGAGAAGCGATAAGCGATTTGTTTGCGGGCTCGCGATGTATGCGTACTGATCTTGACCAACAGAGAAAATCGGGGTCGTCATTGAATCTGAAATGTTGGAAAGAACTTTCATCGGGTCGGGATGAAGTAGGACATAGCCCGAGGCAGGTTTGTTGAGGTTACAGGTGAGGAGATTGCTTTTTACGTTCGTGCAATTCTGGTACACGCCGAATCCAAGACCTGAGGCGTCGGGGTTTGCGTTCGGTTGTGTAAAGCTGACGGTTTTGGTAGTGAAGTGAAGCCAGGTGTCGGTGACTATGACAAGATTGCTGTGTCCTTGTTATACTAGCAACTGGGTAGAATTTCTAGACACTGGAAGATAATCACGCACCCACAGAGAATGCCGAGGGCCAACACGGCGGTTAGGCTCTTTACCGCTCTCACCTGATGCTCGCGCTTTCCTCTCCAGCCATAGGAATACCCTAACCAGCTCCAAAGGGCAGATATAGAGCCGCTAGAAGTCATGCGGACAATCAATGAGAGCTGGAAAGGTGTTGGTAGCTTCGCCACCTCCTGTTTTTCCGAGGCCGTCAACAGACCCTTAGCGACAGGATAGGATACCAGAGCGCAACCAAAGCCAACTAACATCGGGGCGACAGTGCTAGACCACGAGGCAACTTGGGCGAGTGTGGTTGCGCTTATTCGGACAAAATAGACGCTTGCGTCATTCTGGTCCTTGTCAAATGCAAGATCATTGGAGGCAAAGTCGTTTTGTTTGATGCGATAATGAAAGATCAAGCCGAGCAGAAGGCCGGATAAGATTAACAATGGCAATGTCATGACAGCAAACGCAATGAGAATCTCCTGGATGCGCCCCTTCATCTGGATCTCCGCTCTATCGGGACCCAGAGGTACAGTTGAGTATTTCTTTCTCCTGTCCATATCTTCAGAGGTGACCATCTTGGTATGAGTAGCAAGGAGGAATTCTGACTATCGCGATTCAGGACACAATTTGATGGCAGTTACGACTATATGTTTAAAGTGACTGAGGAGCACAGCTGAGGAATACGAGACACTCGCCAAATTTTGTCTTGAAATTAAAAGCCACCTAGACGCCACCAGCGCCTAGCCCATAGAGCTCACACATTCAGAGACTCTACAAGGATCGAGGCTACAGGGGGTAGATAGCTGGTATTGAGAGCCGATTGACCCATCAAACTATTTCCTGGAGCTACTGGACCCTGCAGATCCTGAGGTGGCCTGACCTCATGACCATGAATGGCGGCGAATTATCTAGGAAAACCTGCCATCCTGAATCCGTCATATAGGTCGACGTCAGAATGTATTTGGTGGTAGGTTGTAAGCCATAGCACTCGATCATACGTCAAGTCAATTCTCAGGCTAATCGTAGAATAAGAATAAGGAACGCTGTAAAAGGTCAAAAAACGCTGTACTGTGCAGTTCGGTAATCTGGGAAAACCCGCGGGTCTTCCTTACCTTAGGACTAGAATTTGTCAAGCTCGAGGTATCACAGTAGACTGCCAAGGGAGGGGCGGATAAGCGATTGGTTCTACAGTCTAGCAGGTCGGCAAAAGCTACCAAATAACGGAACTCCTGGCCCAACTGTCCCACTTAGACTCTGGGCAAGCATCAGCGTTGCAGCCGCGGCCTTGATAGAAGCACAAATCCATCTGATATGATGCTCATCCCCGGGTGGATGAGACATAGTTTGTCGCAACTCTAAGATAGAGAAAGGATAGAATTTAGGGATAATATTTGGTTGTCCACGAGGCAGCTAAGCTGCTGAACCATGTTTTTTCAACCCGATTGTGCGGCTGAGCGTGGGGGCCGAGTAGTATGGACTCTTGCCCCGCAGTTCGCACATCGGCGATGTCGTCAATGCCGGCCCAAATGGCCATCTCGGCCGCTCTGGGTACCGTAATCCACGGCTCAACGAATCACACGGTTAGACGGATTATATATACCTAATAGATATTTTGATTAGGCATATCTCAACTAACACCTATTGATTCAGCTAACTATGGCCTTTACCCTCTCCGAGCATTAGCTTGGTTATATCTTCTACTTGGCCGGCTGTTTGGCTGGCTATTCGGCGGTGATGGTGTTTGTGGAGAGATAGTAAGCTTTAAAAGCACTCTTTTTGCATCATTTAGTACTAGAATCGTAGCCATAAAGCTATTTCGAATAGTATCCTGTCAAAAGGCTTCTGGCCTCGCGCGTAGTACTCGTCCAGGGACTCAAACTTATCGATACGGTTATATCCATTGCGCGCAAGATCGCTTAATCGCTTTTTAGAAGCGATGGTATACGCTTTTGACCACGGTAAATCACCCAAAATTAAGCTGCTATTATAGATATGAAGAATGGGTGGGCATACGGGTGTCAAATCGGGTTCTCTGCATATTCGGTCGAATTGGGGAGTGAAAAGGCTACTCTGGCCAAAATAGACCGCGTAAGCGCGAGTTTGGCAATAGAATAAACAGTGATTATAGCTAAAGTGATTTATTTAATTAGTAGTTCCGCCTTTATTCGAGACCTCGAATCGCTTATCTTTTGGTAGTGTATCAAACTAAACCCGCAATAGTAACTTTGCCCCAGAATATTATGGACAGCGGCAGCGAATAGCTGTCTACGCAGCTTGCTTCAATCGCACTAACCCTTTCGCGATCTCCTCGTTGTAGGATCGAACGCCGACCGTAGTATACTGCTTGCATAACTATCTTCTATGCTGAAATAAGGTCCATCGCGATTTGGGTCGAGTCCTCCGTTATGCCGTGCTTTACATCAACGGCTTTAATTTAGATAATAACTACTTATCTCTCACGAATGTAAGAGTAGAATGAACGATTTAGACTACATAGTAGCAATATTTACATTAAGAATACACCCTCGGTTGAATCAATGCAGGGATCTTGAATATGCGGCGCAGATCCACTCGGCGGTTCCCACCTTTGGTGGCTGCAACACAAACTACATACAATGGTAACTTGAAACCCAGAATATAAGTCTACGTGAATCAATGACGCTAGCTTCCATTTGACTCATTTATTCTATTGTGCTAGTACAGTATAGAAAATTATCCGTCGAATTAAACATCTACAAAAATCAATATAACCCCTTTGGGCACATTGCATATGCTTACCCAATCAAGTCAGGCACCAATTACATCAGCCGTCAGCTGATCACCCCCCATCAGATCTCCGCTTTTTGTGCCTGGCAGTGAGATCCTGTGATGAGAGAGCTTTGTGCTCTGTTTGTCTGTGACTCTGGACTGTCCACACTCCACTGCTCTCTGCAACTTGCCTACTAAGAAGGCTATCCTCGGCGCCGGTCTCTGGACGATAGCTCTCATCCACGGATGAACAGCCCTGCTCCTACCGGCGCTCCGAAGGGGCCACATTCCCATACCACCCATGGATTCCCATTTACACCCGCATACCGGGAGCCCCGGCCCGGAGCTCCAGGTACACCTCCCCAGCATTCCAACACACTCTCGCGCGCCAGTGTGCCTGCGCTGCTGTTGCGGTCGCGATGACTGCGCGCTGCTTGAGCATAATCATGTTGCGCTCGAGGGACTGGAGAAAGACCTTGAAACGGCTGCTAGACTGGGTCAGGTACGTGATAATTTTTTTTTCCCTTTGTATTCGCTTTTTGGTGGGCCATAAATTAGAGATGGATCACATTGTTCGGGACACGATCGGGTGGGATGTTTCTGTGTTCCTAGGGCTGGCTGGCTGAGGAGTGAATTGTTTGATACATCATTTTTCATCATTCCTGAGCGATAAGAACGCGTGTTGTCTTTGAGCTTTGCAGCTTTCTACCCTTCTTATCGATCTGACCCAATAATGGTCAACTACCTCTGATCTAATCTTGCTTGCTCTGCTCTGCCCTGCCCTGCCCCGGTCAATGGATACCCTCATACCGAGGTCTTCTGTCCTCTCACACTGTGTTGGCGTCCGTCATGGCTACCCTTGCTTTCTGCGATAATTCTGCAACGGCAGATACGTCTAGTGCTAGTTCATCGTCGCTGACATTTGCTCTACAGGCCCTCCTGCACCGCCATGAAAGCTACATTGCTGAGGCGGAAGAAGACCGCCAACGGCTTGAAGCAAGCGTGGATGTGTTAGAGCGCGAAAAGCACCAGGTTCAGGCGGAGAATGCACGCATCGCCGAGGAGAACCGCGCCTTACTCGAACAACTCGAAGGTCTGAACAAGGCGGTCTCTGAATCCGATGAGCATGTGCAGTCACTCACTAGGACACTAAAGAGCACACAAGCAGAGCTGCGCCGCGTCACTGTCGCAGCAGCGCGCGCTGCAGACCTTGAGGCACAACTTGTGCTTATGGAGACGGAACAGTCTCGACTAGAGGAAAAGGTATCCCTGGTACAGGAGGATGAGAGATCTGCCGTGCAGCGCTGGAAGAATGCCGAGTGTACACTGCGCGATCTTCATGACCAGGTTGAGCGCATTGAGGCCGAAGCGCGCGAGGAGCGTGAGCAACACCAGGAACTAATTCAGCGTTTGGAGCGAAAACGAGCCGTGGAACGAGAATTGGACAATGCAGCCGGCCGTCTTAAGGGCGCCGCAGCTGCATCTGAACTTGGTCGCAATCCGGGTACGCATGTTGTCTCACGTTTTGTCAAGGATATCTTGCAGGACAATGCGAACCTGCAAGTTGGAATCATGGAGTTGCGTGAGATGCTGGAAAGCTCTAATCAGGAGGTGCAAAACCTGCGTGAACAAATCCACACTCACCAACCGCTGGCCAGCATTGGTGGCGATGAACACGCCGAGCCTCTTCCATCCACCACCCTTAGCGAAGAGCTTGAGTCGAAGGAACGTCGGGTCTCGCAGGAATTCCATATACATCACCATTATCACACACCCACATCCTCGAAGAAAGACAAGGGATCACTCAACCGTCGCGTCAAAAAGCGACGACCAGCTCTTGGAAGCCCGATTCCTCTTCACTCCGCTATGGGTGCCCACTCACCTCGTCGCTCTATTCATCGCTCACAATCCTCGGGCTCGTCTATGAACACTATTCTTTCTCAAACATCCGTGTCAATTCCTCCCACATCATCCGCCCGCCGCTGGTCGCTGCAATCCCCAGCAGCTGACTCCCTCGCAAGCTCTCCGCAGTCTGCGTTCCGCACATCCTCCATATTCGACCGTGTAGATCGCGGATACGATTTCTCTCAACCTACCAGCCCTGATAGCACCGTGTTTTCCTCGCCAGTTCTTGGAGCACGCAATAGCAAGGGCTTCGATATGCCATTCCGCCCATTGGCAGCGCTCGATGATCTCGATATACCTGATGTTGATTCATCCGATTATTTCAAAAATGGCCACTATGAGCGGCCAGGGCCTTTGGGTGTGTACGGTGAAAGTGCTACTGTGCACCCATCCATCCCGGAAGAGTCGGAGCCATCTCCGACAAAAGCCTATCACGAATCTACCGTACGCAGCCCAGCACCAGCCACGGCGGAAGAATTATTTGCGATGCAATTTCCCCCCCTGCGCAAATCAACCTCGCATGATAGCTTGCTCTCCGTAGCTGGAATGGACATTCACACCCCAGCCACTCGTCATACCCGCATGGGTGACTGGCACCCGGGCATGCGTATCCCGCAGCGCATTGTCTCGCCTAGTATCGAGCTGGTCTCGACACCACCAATTCTCTCAGCGCCAATGATAATAGCAGACCGCGCCATAGCACCTGGTCAATCATCACGATCCCTTCTCGCATCCGTCGCAGCAGGCCATAATCTCCCATCTGAATCAGCATCCGTCGTCTCCGCAGACAGCAACAGCACGAGTTCCACCGCCACGCCCTCAACCCGCAAATCATCCGCATTGGGCCGACGTATGGGCGGCTGGGTGCTCGGCCGGTGGGGCATGGCCCCTATCTCGGACAACGCAGCTGATTCCGACACTGAGACTCCACCATCGAAATCAACGACTCAGCCCAAGGCCGTACCCACAGAACCAGACCCTCCGCAGATGCGCTTTAGATTCACAGGCGTGAATCAGAAAGGACCTATTCTGGGTTTACGTCCTCCGCCACAGGCGCCGATTAACATCCGGCCGCAGAACATCGATGAAGAGCTTTTGAGGGAGAGTCTTGCTGAGGGGGGTTAATAGGCTTCTATTCACTTTCAGTCTGACTGCCAATATGCTCTCGTCCATTCACTTCACTGCTCTCTAATCGTATGGCTGGCTACTGCCCCAGCCATATTCCTAATTACATACAACATTCTGTCCATTTCTTTACTTTCGTCACAGTCTCTATACATACTCAACCTGCATTGCAATCGGATTTCATTTGGTTCTCACTTTGGCTTTTTCATCGATCGGTCGTTGATATAACTGGGGGTTTGCGTTCTTGGTTTCGGTCTAGTTGGTTTTGTTTCAAGTTCTGGATCCATCTGAGCTCGTGCTCGTGACTGGACTGGATGGATGGCGCTGGTTGTTGCTCGTGATACCCTGATGAAGACGTGTTTTCGAATTTCCTTTTGTTCAGTAATGACTTGCACGTTTATGAGAAGGTTGTCGCATAAGTCCCTAAGATCTAGAGCATTGTATTAAGCATTTTCTTTATCGCACTATTCCGTGAGTTTTTTTCGGCTGATGTGGCGATGACACCCGTCAGTCATGCCTGTCTACGGATCATTAAATAGATGTGACTGTCTTCCAAGTATCTCTCAAAGGCATCAATGTTCGTTCGTTGAACAGTCCACACATTCCTAGAGTCCGATCCACTGTCTGCCGGACGCCTTGTTCCTAAACATGTGCATTGGAAGCGTGAGAAGCGGCACCTTTGGGACTATACAGCTAGAAAGGCGTACCCATGGACAAGATAATGAGCAGCATATTGCATGGAATAAATCTAGAACTAGATTGCTCGGGTCTGTCAAGAATATTTACCCGGATTCACGACTTGGGCTGGTTGACTACATTCGAGAGTTGGAGGCAATAACCCATTGGAAACCTCCAGAAAATCCCGCTTTAATTCTAATATGGAATGGGAGGATGTTATGGCATTTGAGCAACATTGATGGAAATCGGACTCCAATCGTGGGCTGCCTTATAATAAGGGTAAATACGAATTAATCCAACTCATGTTCACTATCAACAGAGTGCACGAGTTGGAGGTATTTCTTGTCGCTCGGCCTAAAGAGCTTTTAGTATCAAACCCCGAGACTTTCTCGATGGATGAAGAGGATGTATGCTTGAAGTCTCTCCTTGGTTTTGAACTTGCCAAAGTCAAACTTCTAGGATGCGGTTTTAACACTATGAAATCAGAACAAGTATCGGAGTCTATTACTTCTAACTTGTCGCTTCAGCGGTCTTATGATACCTTATTCAGGTAAATGACAAGCACTTAGCGTGAAGCAATGCAAGAAAATGATGTACAATCGATTTCCATAAGCCGACTACACATGCTCATAACCTCATTGATTATCATGCAGCACGTATCCCATTCCTTTTACGTAGCCTTAGAGATTTGATATATTTTAAGTGGGATGTTTGTCGAGTGGAAAAAGCCAGTTTGCTCCTCTGATGGCGTAGACTCGAAGGGAAGAGCCTCGACTCTAAAGGCATACTTTTCTGTTCAAAAGGTTAGCGACTGTATAACAAAGCTCTCCGCGTATTTCACCTACCACACCCATCCAGGAATGTCTGGAACGTTTTCTCATTGCGTAGAATAACCGAGACAATGAATTGTTTGACATGGTAATTGTCGAAAAGATCGCGCACAGTCGATAAAAGAGGAGGAATAATGTCGGTATCGTAGACCTAGATGACACGCCAGTCCTATCAGCAGTCTACCGTATGAGGGGGATGTCAGTCTTCTCCAGGTCAGGCAAGCATACCAGATCTGCACCCAGCGCAACATCAAACCTCAAATCTCCTGCCTCCACAAAAGAACCCAACTCTTCCGTTTTTTTCAGTGGTGCTCCCCAGTCCCACATAGCAGGATAGAAGGGGAAAGAGCCGTCACCTTGATAATTAAACGGCACACACGCGCGCATATTCTCGATCAGAGCTGGCTCACCATCACTAGCAACAACGCCCCTCACGCCGAGATGCCGTGCACAGAACAGGGACAGGAAGCCCGTTCCCGCGCCGAGTTCAATCACCCGTTTCCCACGTACGAGGGCATCGCCTGCTGGTGAAGCAAGGAATGAGCCGAGATGAAGGGCGGCTTCCCAGGTGCGATTGCCAGTCGTGCCGCCGGAGAGGAGAAGACCGCGCGATTCGATGGTGGTCACCTCCCGGTCAGCGGTCGGATAGGACTGTAGAGGGGCAGTATATTTGACGTGAGATAGTTGTTGGACCAGCTCTAAGGCACTTGGTTTTGGTTGAGCCACAAGCGTGCCCAGGGCGTCCATGAGATTGTCATTTAGCTCCTGTGTCTGATTAGCAATGTTGCTAAAAGAAACAGTGCAGAGGGTCGTTTTTAAAATCAGATAGAAGGTCCAGAAGACCTGCATCAGAGAATTTGCAAGACTAATCAAAACATACATCTTCATCGGGGTCTTTGATTGATTCTTCAATTCGCGCAACTATAAGCTTGAGCACCCGTGTTCGATACGCAGCTAGCGGGAGTGGGCTGAGAGATTCGTCGAACATGCGCTCATATAGAGCTTTTTGCACAGCAGGGCGTAGCAGAACATCTCCTGACGGTAGATCCAGATGTGGGGGATCAACAAGCTGGAAATATTGCGCAATAAGCTTGTGCACTAGGCCCGCCATTACTTGAATAGAAGTCAATTTCAACACAATGATACTTGGTAGCTCCCAAATCTCGGGTGGTTCTTATCGATAAGCCGATAAACCACCTGACTCAGCAGTCACGGTGATGCTGACCTCAGCAACCCCTTCCCGACTAGGCTAGCGCCAGTTCTTAGCCGAGCACACCGCACGAAAATTGAAAGTCATCGAACGTCTGCTCCTCTCCCTGCATCACCACGACACCACCAAAATGGCCGACACCCCCGTTACCCTCCGGACTCGCAAGTTCATCCGCAACCCTCTGCTTGCCCGCAAGCAGATGGTCGTGTAAGCAATCCCTTTTCTTGCTCCCCGACGCCCAACCGAAAGAGGAGGAAATTTCGACGTCGCGAAGGATTCGATTCGAGGAGATACCGAACCCATCAAGACCGCGCACAACGATTTTGATCATCTCTGCGAAAAATCTGCAACATCATCAACATCATCTTCGACGAAGGCGATAAAGTGATGTTCAAAGAGAATGCGCAAAAATTCAATCCGTCCGACGTCGAAATTGCCCTCCATATGATTCACCAAAAATTACCCACACAGAACCGCCCGACTGACATTTATTTCTCTTCGTTTCCAGTGACGTCCTGCACCCCAACCGCCCCAACGTCTCCAAGGATGAGCTCCGCGAGAAGTTGGCCGACCTGTACAAGTCCAACAAGGACCAGGTCTCCGTCTTCGGTTTCCGCACCCAGTACGGTGGTGGCAAGTCCACCGGCTTCGCTCTGGTCTACGACTCCGCCGAGGCCCTGAAGAAGTTCGAGCCCGCCTACCGTCTGGTCCGCATTGGTGCCGCCACCAAGGTCGAGAAGCCTTCTCGCCAGCAGCGTACGTTTCCACCCTTTGTAGAAGTTTTTTTTTCTTTACCACGCCCCCCGTGACACCGACGGGGTAGGGCCTCTTTTCTCACGAAATGGAGCGCCCAGGCACCTGGATCCTCTATATTGATCCCATGAAACTGACCCTGTACCCACAGGCAAGCAACGCAAGAACCGCTCCAAGAAGTTCCGCGGTACCGCCAAGACCAAGGGCCCCAAGAAGAGCAAGGACTAAGCGTCTCGTTCCCCATGAATTATGGTTGGATGCAACGTTTAGTGGCCTGGTGGTCGCGGCCTGTTCTCGATTCTTATGCATTTACATGTATTGGGAACAGGTTGTGGTGCAGTGTATGAGAGAAATGGAAGGGGGGAATGGGATTATACCTGCTAGCATGGATGCTATCCTTCCAAAAATCAAAAAATGATACCACCATGTTGGTTTATTCTTCCTTGGTGTATGTGAACGACTTGTCATCCCCCACTGGCTGGGTATCTTCTATGGTAGCCAGCAAATCTCATGATCGCACCCAAAAGGCGTCAGTGCTGTTTCTTCTCATGTGGTATGGATCTATTCTCGGATTAAAAAACAGCGAGGAACCCGGGCTTCGGCTGTTGCCCTGGAATGAAATTCAAGATCTTCAATTTCTAGTCATCGCTTAGCTTGATGGGGCTGTTTCGTAGATGAATGTCTTCGTAGATGACTGTCTCCTCTGTCTATGTAATGCTTGCGCCTATAGTTATCCCATCTTCATCTCTACGGTGATATTGGTGACTCCGGTGCCTCATGGATTTCTATTGGATCTCCACTTGAGCCCCAAGGGTGCCCTGCCCTAATTCCCACCACTTCCGTAAATCCGGGGTTGATGATGAATCGTGTCATTGAAGATGACTGGTTCATGTTTCTGAAATGTGAACCTTTTTCCTATCTTATCTATAGCTGGAGGGTCCTCCTCTGCTCTACGCCTGTTTCCAATTAATTTGAGAATATATCTCGCAGTTATTTCCTCCCCAGATTCAATTCTATATTCCTCTCAGCAAAGCATCGCTACACTTTCAACTACCTAAGCATTCAACTTCAATCACCCTTTCCCCAACGGAGATAAACTAGTTACATCAACCCACAATGACTTCGGCCACTCGTTAGTACGCAGCTTACGCAGGACGCAAAAACTAATTACTTTTATCTTTTCTTCGTAGCGACACAAGACCCGTTGCGCTGCATACCCCGGACCCTTTCCCCCAAACTCAAAGTCCATGTCCACATGGATCTCAGGGTCTGCGAGTCCCTGGCTAGCATCAAAATAGGAATCACTTTTCCAGTCCGCACCCTCATCTCAAAAGTGGTTAATTTTACCTTCATGGTGAAGTTATCACCGAGAAAACAATCACTAAATAGGCATCGGTCAACGTTATGACTAGAAGAAAGATAAAGTAGTCAGACAAAGCTAGAGTATCGAGTCATGCCAGCAGGGATCTTGCTCGGAGGATAAGCGTCCACAGAATCTCCGGACCTGCATCTGATTATTATTGACCTCGGTATCTACCGCATTCTAGTGCCCTAGGGACATGTGGTCATTCACTCTCTTTCCAGTCAAGGAACGCAGCTGGAGAGCTTGCTATCAGATTACGATATGAGGCGAGGATTGCGCAGCGTGTACTTGCCTTATCTCCTAAAGAGGGTGGGACTTAAGATAGACGTTTCCTACATTCACTCCCATTTTAATAGTTTGCGGTGCTAAGGGCTACATCACATGCACTTACCACGCAGACATAAGCATAAATAAGCCACCTTGTATACTTCCGGAGGATTCGGGATTCGGCCCGATAGTCAAACCTTCAACAGACACCATAGTGCTCACATTACCCAGTTTTTATTTATGTTTTATGCCGTGGTACTTTGTGCAGATACTCGATCTTATACATGTATATCTCATGTAACTGACCCCCCACTATCTGCCAGACCTAGCGGCGATTTACCTCAGGGATAAATGCCGCACATGTGCTTGTCCGTTGTGTGACCTTCGTGTCTCGATCTGGGTAACGAGTAAGAAAGTTAATCTATTGATCAACTCGTGCGTGACTTAGCTTGACTAGCCTGGTTGGTTGAGACACTACCTTCAGTGTGGTAATGCAGGATGTCCTTAGCGATAGAGCTTGGATGGTGATTGATTAAGGGTTCAGGAGTCACAAGTAAATACCAGGGGGAGGAAAGCAACAGAGTCGTGTCGACTGGATGAGATATGAGGTATTCCGCAAAACCCCACAATTAAATAATTACACGTATCTCCAAGAGTGAAGAAGTATCCTAAGAACGAGGAACAGATGTAGATCGAGATCATATTAGTAATAATCCATTGCAAATAAGACCCACCGTGCAGCATCCCACACAGGCTTCCAACGGGGTATTAAGGGGCGGGGAATTTCCCAGCAGAGAAAGATGATGGTGAACGGAAAATATTAAGCATAAAATCACAAAAGGGACTCCGTCCAATTTGTGTATACATCCTCAAGACACCACGAAACGAACAGATGGACGAATTACGCAATATCAGGAGCCGAGAAAGGGTAAATTGGGAGTGTAGGGAATCTTCCAAAAATGATCCGCCCTACACATGCAATAAAAAAACATAAGAATAAATCCAAAAAAGAAAAAAGGCTCATTTCAAGAAGTTGCCAAACAGGATAAAGTTGGGGATGGCAAAAAAGCCAAAAAAGTCAGGTCCCCCAGAACAAGAATGGTAAGAGATCACACAGCCAAACCCTCAAAAAGGTAGAAAACCAACAAGCACCAACAAGCACCAAAATAAAGGAAAAAAGGAAAAAAAAAGGTAGCAAAAAGCAATTAACACAAAATTCCACAATCAAAAATAAACCGCAATACGCATTAAAGTTCATGCCCAGAACGAGATAACACGACCCCTTCCTGTACGGCTCTCGCATTTGCAACGCTCACGGGGACCTGCCTCGAGGGCTTGTCGATCCGGGTTCCCCGCGATGGTTCAACAGGGGAAGTGAACAGCTAATTCTGCGGTGTACTCGGCCGTATCATCCCGGTCTACGGAATGGTCTTGCGTTTGTGCCAGTGGGGTTGAAATGGTAGGTAATTGAATCGACTGGGATGGAGTCGGACATGGATGTAGGATACCAGAACCAAAAGCAGAAAAAAGAAAAATCATCATGAAGAATATGCTCCAAAAATCCTAATGTAGACCAAGGATGGCTATCAATAGCCACTCTGATTCACCAACGGGGAAATAGGCGCCCGGTGCACCCCTTCCACAACCGGCCGATGATACTCCGGCAATTCATCATGAAGCATGCCAAAAGAAAACGTCGGGTTCGAAGTATGCGCGTGGCGAACGGGAGTATACTCCAATCCCCCATTCATCAATGTACTTGCACCGGCATTGCGACCATCGCCGGCGCGCTTGCTCTTCTCACGACTAGAATAGCTGTAGATATCTGGGGTGCAGTCGGTCGTTAGCTCGACGAGGCGCTGGGCGGTAGATGTTCGGTCGTGGCCGTAGATGCCACGAGTTAAAGAACGGTCTGTGGATGTTGATGCGTGGGCTTGGGCCGTGGGAGTGTTTGATGGGAGTGGGCGGGTTGCGGTTGTGTGGTCGAGTGCTTCCATAGCGTAAGAGGTAGGTGTGGCGGTTGTTGTGGGTGGTGCCGTTGTTGTGGAGAGGGTTGACGAGACGAGTTCTTCGGTTGTGGTAAGCATAGGTAAGCCTGAGAAGAGTATGTCCTGGTTTGAAGTTGTTGGACATCTTGTTGTTGGGGGAGGGCTGTTGCTGAAGAGGATGGTGCTGGGAATGGAATGAGCTGGGCTGCGAGAATCGTGAGGCGGTCCACAGCGTGGATTCCAAAATGCTGGTCTAGCTTCGATTGGAACGGACAGGCTGCATGGACTTTCTGTCTGAGAGAAGACTAGTCCTGCTAATGCACTAGGAAGCTGTTGACTGCGACAGGTTGGGGTTGGAAGTGTTCGGTCCGGGCCTGGCAGATCGGCAGATGAGATATTCGCCATTGCGACTGTTGTCGACTGTGGGCCTTCTGTAGATGCGAGGCCCTGGCTTGGAAGCATGTAGGAGAAAGGGGATTGAGCTATGGCGTTGTTTGCCTCGGGGTCAGGGTAGATCGACCCGTTGCTGGGCCTGCTTGCGCCCAGCACGGAGTCCCAGGTTTTAGGACTCCACGAGGACCCTCCATAATCAAAAAGAGTTCCAGCTGGGGTGTTAGGGTGCATGTACGCTGGCGACTGGCTGTAGCTTGATGACTGACCGTCCTCGTAAGGCATGGACACTACGGTCACCGCTGCGCGCTCGGGGAAGACTGACCCGTCGGTGGTGCCAAGGTCGTAGTCGGATGCTTGTTGGAATGCAGCCATACGGGCCTGGGGAGAGTCCATGGGGAGCAAGGTCGGCTTGCCTGCCGTGGTGGATGTATACATGCCCAGTCGAGGAGATGGCATGACCGCCACTCCGGGATTAGGATAGGGCCAGCGGTTGGTCTTGGGGGTCATCTTCATGGAGTTGACCTATTCAAAAGTACGTCAGCTAACTGGATAACTCGATCTTTGAGGTTCTTCTCCTGTGGTCCTGAATGGAGTGATTTACGCGCAAAAATTGGCAGTCTGTGTTGCCAGCACTGCGGCAGTTAGAGCAGCCCTGGCCATCACCAGAGTCTCCACTGCATTTGATCTTTCGTCGTCGGCATCGACCACACTATCATATAGTTAGATCAGATCGGGTAACCATAGAGGAGTTTCAAGGATTAGAGGTTCCTTACAGCTACTGGCACTCGGCGACGCTGGGGATTGCGCATCTTGCTATCCATCTCCGCCGCCGGGCTAAGCTCGTGCTGGTTCAGGCTCCGCATCGAGTGTGACATTGAGAGTGAGCTATCATGCCGAGACTGCTCAAAAGTGGCAGCTTTGTCTGTGTAATAGGAATCCATCTCTGGGAGCTGTTAGCAGAGTGATAGTGACCAGAGCATGAAGTTGCTTCCAGGGTTTTGGGGACTCACAGCTCGTTGTATAGTAAGTCCAGAGCCAAAACTGACCAGAGCTAGTACACTGCAATCAACCAGTGTAAATCAATACAGCAGCAAGTATCAACCTCCGTCAGCTCCTAGATGTGAATGACCGTATCATGGGAAGCCGAAAAACTTAAGAGAGAAGAAAGTTGAAGAAGTCGAATACAACTAGTCCTTGGGGGGTGGTTGCAGAGAAGGAGAGAGGGAGAAGAGTAGGGCCAGAGAGGCTGGATTTAAGCCATGTTTCGGTGACAATCAAGATGGATTGCTGGCCTTCTTTTCCGTTCGATGGACGGTTCTATTATTCTGAGGGGAGGGGCAATTTTTTTATTTTCATTTTCACTTTCCACTACTAATTCACGATGCTATGTGGAGGTCTATACCTAAGGGGGGGGGGGGGGGCCTGGTTTAGTGGGGACTTGGTTTCTTTTTTGCTTTTAATTTCCGGTATAGCATCTTCAATACTGTTGCCTTTCTTGGATAGGATTATTTGCTATTATTTTACTTAATCAGAATGAGTCTATGAGGTTTCGATTCGAAGGGTGTGCAAGAGTATGAAGGAGGGGGCTAGGGCCCCGTACCCCGTCAAGTCGACCCAAAGGTACTTACTTCACTGGCTGGGACTTTTCCGGGAATAGCGTCTCGTTGGAGGGGCCACCGTTGAAAAGTTTTCGTTTTTTTCTTCTCGTTTTCTTTGTTTCTTGACTCTCCTTTCTTTTTCACCTTTGCACTTTCTATGATTGCTGTAACCAGGGGAAATGATATGCACACATCCGTAACACAGTCAAGCCAGATTCGTTCCCCCGGTCTCTATATCTGGAGAGGCGTGTAAGTCAAGACTGCCTCAGCATTTTAGTAGAGAAGACATGGTTCCACAAAGTAACGTCACACAAGAGATGACCTGATAGCCATGATGTGAACAAGTCCAGCCAGAGAGGTAAGAGCCTGCTGTCCGTAAAAGCCAATCGCGCAAGGGCGGTTGTTTCTCTCTTCTCCGATCATGTCTCGGTATAGTTTGAGCCTTCGTCTTGGGCTTCATTGCAGACTTCCATAATTGAGGAGGGCACAAATAATAAAATTATAGACACGAATAACATACCAAAAGACACTAGGCACCATCTATCCCCTGATAGAGCGGTCTGCCAGGCTTCCCAGATACGAAGGAAGACTACTTCAGGACGTTTGCAGGAACGTAATCCCTGAGCAGATCCGGAAATACTTCCGGTGCGGCAATTGAGATGGAGATTTTCCAGGGGCCAATTTTGCCTGGTGTTGATGGGTCTGATCCAGACTCTGATTGGTGTGGCTGCTGCATCCTCTTGACGCCATGTCCAGTTGTATTAAACAGAGCGTTTAGACAGTCTCAACTCGGGCCGAGGCGACTGGGGGGCGAAGACTCCCGTGGAAGGCAAAGAAGAAAATGATAGAAGGCCTAGGCTTCGCCTATCCGGGGATTGTCCAGAAAGCTTTCCATCAAACAGTTTAGAGGAGTGCAAAATTGCGCTTGGAGCCCTCCATGCCCTCCATGGTTCGACTTCTTTGTAGTCATAGTTTCCCTGTCTAAGACCTGATTTATTTGTGCTGCAAGTCGCTGAACGTGTATCGGAGAAAAAGGAAAACCGATCAATCTTTGACACTGTCACTTTGGATCGCCCCAGCGAAATTAAGTGAATCGTCAAGCGGGCTTGGCAGGAAAAGAAAAGAAAAAAAAGAGCAGAGCAGCTGGGATCAGGTAAGGTTGCCAGCTGATCGACGACATGGATGAGCAAGTGGATCCATTCGTTTGGGCTCAGGTTTAGCGCCTCTGCGCGCCCCACGGTTTGGTGGAAGGGGCAACTAGCCAAAAAAAGCAATGATAGCAAACCACAAATCGAGATTTTCTGGAAGCCAGTGGTGTTTAGGTGGAGGTGGAGCTCACTGGCCGAGGAGGCTTCAGATGAATGAGATTCCATCATGTTTGAACCTTAAGGAAAGATCGGAGAAGGGCCGCCCCGATGATGCATGAGCTTCCGGGATAGGGACCAATTTCCCCTTCAATAGAAGACAGCCGGAAGGTACTTTTGCCCCCGATTGACGTGCTAAGACCAAATGCAGTCAACTGCCTGCCCTGGTCAAACGGCATTTCCATGTTTTCCTAGAGGGAAACATGTCGTGATCACCGCATCAATGTGCGTCTATGACTGACTCCTGCACAGCATGTGGACATGTGATAAGAAGACACAAGACTTAGCCGCGTCCTTTGGAGTTGGTCTCAAATACACAGGGCCCGTTGGGGGGGGGG